GGTACTACACCTCGCAGCGCAGCCCGCAGCACCTCCTACGCGCCCAGCGATCTCGAAACTGGCAGTGCCTTGTCAGCGTCGGAGTACGACTCAGATGAAGGCTCGATTCTGGCAAGTAACGCGAACCGCAGCACGCAAGACAGCGGCGCTCAGTCTCTGCACGCCGCACAGCGCTCGTCCTCTACCACGACTACCGCTCGCGGTCGAGGTGACACAGTGCGCGCTGTGTCCAGCAAGGCAGGCGTCAGTAGCTCCATGAGTCGGGCCACGGGAGCGAGCCAAAGCACCAATCGAGGTGGCTCCCGGCGTACCAGCGTGGCAGACAAAGGCCGTCGGAGCAGCGTCGCACGCGGTGGAGGACGAAGCGACGATGAAGATAATCGATTCGGTCCGTTGGATGACGAAGATGATGAAGTCCAGCCCTACGATCGTGGCGAGGAATTGGTGCGTCGACGTGCAAAAGCCCGAAAGAAGCTCGAGAAGCAAAAGCAAAAGGCAGCAGAGCAAGGGCGCACGCGCCAGCAGCAACAGCAGACTCCAAGCAGTCCTAGGATCCGCTCAGGAAGCATCGCTGCTATTGGCGGAGGCCTGCGATCCCCTCAGCCAGACGGCGGTGCAGTGACTCGAGAAGGACGTCCGATGCACATCTCCATTCCTACACCTGGATCGGAGATCAGCTCTGGACTGCTTTCTCCGGGCACTGCTCCCTCGTCTGCGGCGCCACCGACTGCCAGTCCAGGTGGTAGCCGCCACACGAGTGGAGCTAGCGGGCACCAGGCATACCCTTCGCCGCACTCTCATATCATGCGCTCTGGTCTCCCAGTCACCTCGCCCGATGTTCACTCTGCACGTCGGTCAAGCGCAAACTTCAGCGTCTCGACGACACGCGCACCGACCACTGGCGCCCCCGCCAGGGACGTGTTCAGCGACAGCAACCGCGCACAATCCGAAGCTGGCGCGGGCAGTATCGCTGGCAGCGTCGTTGAGGGATCTTCGGAGGACGGCGACATTGGCCAAGCAGAGGAAGATGATCACGAGGAAGGTCGAGACACCCTTGGAGGCTTGGTCAAGGAGAGAGAGACTCAAGTGCAGGCTGTGCGCAACAGCACTGGTGTGGATATTCAGGAAGCGACCCCGGAAGATGGCGATTCTGGCGATTTGGACGACGATGCTAATGGCGACGATGATGGTGACTCCTCGGGCGGAGATGTCGAGTACACGCTCAAAGATAGACAGGACGCAATAAACATCGAGCATCCTTTCGGTTTGCCGATCTGGAAGCCCGCATTGTACAAGAAGAGCCGGACGGTCACGAGAAATGCAGAGGATGCGCTTCATTCCATGCCATCAGCTGCGGCTGAGAGGCATCTACTCCCCGGCAACATCATCTGGACGGTCTTCTTTGGAAGCTGGCTGAGTGTACTTTGCATTCTGCTTAGCTTCGTGCTCGCCGCTGTCCCATTGGGTGGACGTCGCTACGCTCGAGTGCTGTGGGAACTTGGCTGCTACCTCATCTGGCCTTTTGGCAAATACGTAGAAGTCGACGTCGGACCTAACAGCGGAGAGCGAGGGACCATTTTTGGGGATGCTGACCAAGACGCGGCCAATGACGAAGAAGGAGACGCAACATTCGAGAATGCCTTCACTCCAGTGGCTGCTAGATTCCCTCACGACCACGAGCACCACACAGTTCCCTTCAACAGCCGCGCTGGACCGCGCTCTGCGTCGAGTCGCTCCTTTGCTGATGAGCAGAATACGCTCAAGCAGCGCCCTGATTTACAACAGCGCCAAGATCGCACTGGCAGCTCATCAAGTATCGAGGCTTCCAGCTCTCGTCAAGGTGTGGAAGATGCTGCGACTGCTACCAGAGCGAACTTCACAGAAGCAGCGACCGAGACCAGCCCATTGAAGGGAAAGCGTCGTGCGTCCGATACGGCTCAATCCGCAGACTATGGGGCGGTGGGCGATGCTGGACTCGAGTCGGGAAGCGAGGTCAAGGATGAAAGGGAGCGGATCGTGGAAGAGCGGAGACTCTATGAGTACGTGCACGACGCAAACGGCAACGACATTGGTCGCTCAAGACGTCTGGGCGGCACCATCGCCTACGGCGTCTTCTTCTGGATCGCTCTTGCGCCCGTCTTGGGTCTCGTGTGCCTCTCACTCTGGGGGGTGGTGTTCACTATTCCGATGGCCAAGCTGACTTGGGTCCTCCTCAAGAACTTGGCTACCCAACCCCTGGCATTGCACTTCCGTTCCGCGCCTGGCATTGCCCTTGCCGCAGGCCTCAACGACGATGACGCGCAAAGCTCGTCAGCAGGATCCGAGCAGCTTCAGAACGGATTTCTCAAACCTCTTCAACCAGGCCAATTCGCTCCTCGCCACAGAGTCGTTCGCAAGGAAGGTGGCGCTCTCGAACCTGTGCGCCGCTCGAAGATTCTTCTTTGCACATACCGGGCGATGGGTTTGCAGTACTACAAATACACCGTCGGAGGTGTCAACATCCTGTTCATCAACACGCTGCCCTTCGTGATCTTGACAATCCTCGACTTCTTCTTCGTCGAAGACTATGTGCACCGCCACCACATCGAGACCGGGTTCCTGGCCTTCATCTCGTCCCAGGGCGCGCTCTTTGTGCTGGCGCTTGGTAGCGTGCTACCACTCAGTTACTTCATCGGCATGGCCGTTGCAAGCATTAGCGCACAGAGCAGCATTGGTATGGGTGCTGTCATCAATGCGACTTTTGGTTCCATTGTCGAAATCATCCTGTACGCCATTGCCCTGACCCAAGACAAGGCGCGCTTGGTCGAGGGTTCCCTGGTTGGCTCAATCCTGGCCGGTGTCTTGCTGATGCCTGGCCTGTCCATGTGCAGTGGTGCAACACGTCGCAAGGAGCAACGATTCAACGCTCGCTCAGCTGGCGTGACGAGCACCATGCTGATCATGGCAATCATCGGCATCTTGACACCCACGCTTTTCTACCAGATATATGGAACATTCCAGCTCACCTGCAACGGATGTCCCGTCGGAGCGCCGCCCGGAGATACTTGGACGTGCAAGCAATGCTTCTACGAACACGTGCCACCTGCGTCGGACCCCTTCTACCAACGCGATGTCAAGGGTCTAATGTATACTTGCACGGTGGTCCTCGTGCTGTCGTACGGCATTGGTCTCTGGTTTAGTCTTCGCACGCACGCCTCTCAGATCTGGCAAAACCCAAACCCCGTGCCGGCTGTCGGTGCTACGCCTGTTCATCAACATGCAGGAGCAGTGCACACGGGCGCTGGATCGAACGCCATTAGCATCCCTTCTGCGCAGCGAGCAAGCATCTACAAGCGCATCCTCCAACCTGTCGGCCAGCTCCTACCTACACACGGTCAACAGTCGGCTTATCCTGTCTCTGCTCCAGCTCACGGCCAGCAGCATCGCCCGCATAGCCAGGCCCACAGTCAAGGTACCGGCACCGTTCGTTCCAGCCGGGGTGGAGCTCCCGAAGGCGGCGCTTTGCCTCCCCTCCAGTTGCCTGAATCAGCAAGTCTGACTTCCGACGACTACGCACGCGCGGTCGCTTTGACGACAAGCGCCTTCATGCAGGAAGATGAGCGTCAGAAGCAGCTGCAGAATCAATCCCGATCAGCTTCTGGACACGCTCCGGCAAACTCGGCAACTCATGCGAATCAGGCTATTCCGCGCTCGGCCCTAGGCCCCACGCAGCCCCGACATCATTCTGTCCACGATGCGACTCACGATGCAGACGATGCTGAGGGCGGCCATGGTGGCCACGATGCGCCATCTTGGACTCGCAACCAAAGCATGTTTGTTTTGCTCAGCTGCACTGTTCTCTACGCCATTATTGCCGAGATTCTCGTCGACGCCGTCGACGTTGTTCTTGACGGAGCTGGCATCGACATCAAGCTGCTTGGTATCACTCTCTTCGCGCTAGTTCCAAACACGACCGAATTCCTGAACGCGATGAGTTTTGCAATGAACGGCAATATCGCTCTGAGTATGGAGATCGGCAGTGCATGTGAGTACGCTTCCCAAGCTTCGCCCCGCGCCCCGCCTGTACTGATGTGCTTGCCCGATCGCAATTCTACGCAGATGCTCTCCAAGTCTGCTTGATCCAAATTCCAGCCATGGTCGTTTTCAGCGCGTGGTGGAATCGTAGTGGAGAAGCAGACGAGCAACAGATTTTCAGTCTGATCTTCCCTAGATGGGACGTCATCGCCATCATCTTCTCCATCTTCCTCCTCACCTATACCTACACTGAAGCACGATCCAACTACTACCGCGGCAGCATACTCATACTGAGCTACGTCGTTCTCGTCTCTGGATTCGTCTTCGCCCCTTCTACCGGCGACACCGAAGACCCTGGCGAGGACTTGCCCGGACCTGGGACGCTCCTGACAAATACCGTGCATCTCGCCGCTCAAGCGGTCGGCACACACATGGGTCCGGCTGCTACGCTCAAAGCATGGATCGGAAGCTTGTGGGCGCGCTGAGACCGAATGCTGCATGCTCCGCGGCCCCCCTTTTCAAACGTCGAGGTCCTTAAGCAAGTTGTGCGCGGCTTTAGAATGAATCAATTATGAGCCGATGGCCTGTTTCTGCCCGAGACTAAGCATCATGCAAGAGGGAAAAAAAAAAGAAAAGAAAAGAAAAGAGCGCGTTTGACCAAGCATCCTGCTTGCCGACACGCCTACGGTAGGCGTTTGACTGCGACGTACGCTGAGGCCAGTTGCGGAGACTGTTTGCGCAAGTCATGAGTTAAAGCAGTCAACTTGATGAAGGTCATCCGCGATGTTGTAACGAAGCACCGCCCACTTCGATCACGAATCCGATTCGTGATTGTGATTGTGTTGTGCTGCGATTGATGTCAGCGGCGCTCACGTGGTCTGTGCGCATCTGGCGTGAGTCAAGCATGTAGGTACTTTGACTGTGCCACGCGTGACGCAACATACAGATGGGCGACGCGCAAGCCGCTCACCTCTTCCTCTTCTGTTCCAAGACCACCTCCACGACACCTTTTGAAGACTCGCTCCACCATCAATCGGCGACCGAAGAGAGTCCCACGTACGCATGGAAGAGTACACCGAAGGTTCAGTGTTCCCTTCACATAGAGTCTGTCCGAGATAGCTACGTCACCACCGCCCGCCCGCCACTTCTCTCAGCGCCCTCCACAGCGACCATCTCCCGCTGCTGTCGGCATGACCACCGATATTCAAGGGTGGACGTCTGAGACTGTCAAAGGTGTGCTTGGAGCTGCTTTGGACGTGAGTGGGCCCTGCATTGCTGCCCTTCGCCGACAGGGTGTGAGCTGATCACCAAGGCGGAACCTTGGCTTTACAGTTCCAGGAGGCCGAGCAATCGCAATGGAAGTTGATCTATTTGAAGGAGCTAGCAGACGAGCTCAAAGCTGAAAACGCGAACAGCTGTGAGTAGAACAGCTGGCTGAGGTTGGCCTCGTCAGAAGTGTGATCAATCCTCACCCTTGCCGACTTGCGCTCCAAATCAGTGCCGCCCATCGATGTCTCCCTTGCAGACCGGATACTGCTGGCTAGGCTCTCACTGGATCCGCAAGCGGATGTCATGAGTGATGATGGCGAAAAGCTTCAGGCGCTTGCCTCGCTGCCGGACGATATCACATCTTGGGACTATCTCTGCTTAGCATATAGGCGCTGTCGAGCCGAAGAATCACGGATAAAGAAGGTGAGTCCGGAGAGTCGAAGCTTCGGCAAAGTCCCATGACTAATGCGAAGTGCGCTGTTCCTGCAGGTGCTGGGCTCCAAGGCTCCCCATGGTCAGGCAGTGCTAGATGAGCTTCGAAGGTTGTTGACCTCTTACATGGGTCTCGTGCTCCAGGACGCCAGCATCTTTCCTGGAACTAGCAAGAACGGTGGCAAAATGACAGTCAGTGGTCTTACCCTGCTACCAAGCTTGTTGAAAGAGTCGACTGCAGCGTCAGGAGATCCGTACACTTCGTCGAGTAGCAGCTCGAGCGCAGCATATCAACTCCCTAGGAAAGGAGAATGGGCGACTATCGATTCTGTTGATCTTCCTCTCTTTCTATCAGAGCTGGCAGAGAGATTCCAAGACGAAGGCTTGGAGGAGATCATCGAGCCACCCTTGCACGAAATCAGTCGACACGTACGCAATGGTCGGGATGCAGGTGGTAGCGCCCAAGCTACAACACAGTCAGATTCCGCGAATGGACAAAATTCCGCCGCGGAGGCCGAGGCAGCGCGAGGCAGAGCGCTTCAAGAAGCGGCAGCAGCGGGCAATGTCCAGGCAGTCTTGGCTCAGCTTCTCGCAGGAGGAGCTCCCGCAGCTGGGGGAGGCGTACCGGGAGGCCGAGCGGCGGCGGGACCGAGTCGCAACGAGGGCATGACCATCGAGGGAATGGATTGGAGGTCGCATCTTACAGCAGTAGTCGAGACTCTCGAGGTGAAACCCATTGCGGCCAAAGTAGGTGACATTTAGGTGTGGACATCAATACCCCGCGACCTTGCTTACACCGCGGGAGCATCTCACAGGTTCCCAGCCTTCCTGAATTCACCCCTGCTAGCGCCACTGGACCATCCGTAGAGAACGATTCGCTCTTAGGCCCATTGCTCCGACTATCCTCATTCATCGACGTGGCTCCCTCTGTCGCTCAGACCTACTTCTCCGATCTCAGTCAGGCGGCCAACGTTAACGCGGGGATCACTACGCTTCGAGGCACACTTCAGCTCGTCCATCAACTCCATTTCCGCATGTTCAATGCGATGGTCCGCGCAAGCCCAGAGAGTAGAGAAGGCGTCCTGGCATTCTGGTCGAAGATCTGCGAGCTGAATAAGAGAAGGGGAGTCATGCGCGTTCGCAAGTCGGAAGTAGCGACAGATGGCTTCATGGTCAACGTGTTCGAGACTGCCCTTCGGTTTGCTGAGCCTTTCATGGATCCAAAGTACACCAAAGTGAGCTTTGGCAAGCTTCAATTCCAGACGCGTGAGCTGACATGTCTGTATCGGACCTCAGATCGATCGGATCGATCTGGAGTATCACCGAAGGCAGAAGCGCTTCGATGTGTCTGACCTGACGAGATTGAGTGCTACTGAGCAGGAAGCGGCGAAGTGGGCAGAAGAGGGCGGCGGTAAGATTCAGAGTGTCCTCATACAGCCTTTCTCGTGCTGATGTTCTCCATCTGCCATATCAGAATTCACATCGGCGCCCAACTTCATCACCGAATCGTTCTATTTGACTGTCCGGCTGGCGTCCTTGGGTGTCAATAAAGCGCTGCGCACCTTCAATGATAAAGCAGACGAACGGCAAAGGCTGAAGCGCAGAGCAGCAGAAATCGAGCAGGATCGTGCTTCATGGTCGACGACGCCGCAAGCGCCTCAATTTGAGGCTTTCCTCAAGAAGGTGAAGGCGGATTGCGACAACATCAACGCTGGACTCGTTGCCGCCGAAGTTCAGCTGCTGGAGCCTGACTTCTCCTACCGGCTACTCACGCTCATCAGCTTTGTCATGACCTGGCTCGTCCGTGTTGCTGACCCGACCCATCAACACCCTCAAAAACAAGTCTCTTTGCCCCTTCCTAAAGAGGTGCCAGACGTCTTCCGAATGTTGCCCGAGCACATTTTCGAAGACGTCTGTGAGACACTGATCTTTTTGGGCCGGTGCGTTGGAGCAGGCGATGTTTTCCGCAGATCCCTGCTGATCTCCAGTTCACGCTTCGCAGTTACAAACCAGACTCGCTGCCCGAGGCAGTGAAGAATGACCTCATCACCTTTTGCACGACGTTCCTCTCCTCTGGGTGGTACATCAAGAACCCTTTCCTGAAGGCGAAGCTTGCCGAGGTAAGCATTTCTAAGACTCTCTCTGAAACAGCAGCGGCTGATTGTCCTTGGAGCGCCCTCAGATACTGTTCTTCTTCGTGTTGCCTTATGGCAGCAACCAGACCGGCTTCTTGGGCGAGCTGCTCAATTTCCACAAATTAGCAATTCATCACCTTGTCCCAGCCATCATGTCATTTTGGGTTGAAGCCGAGTCTACGGGCAGCCACACGCAGTTCTACGACAAATTCACTATTCGCAGTCACCTGGCACGAGTCTTCAAAGTCATATGGCGCAATCCACAGCACAAAGAGCGCATCCACGCGCAAGCTGATACGAACAAAGACGGCTTCATCATCTTCGTCAACCGCCTGCTCAACGATGTCACATTCTTGCTAGACGATGCCTTAGAGAGACTCTCCGCGCTGCACAAGCAGCAAGTAGAAATGGCTGACGAAGCAACATATAGCCAAAAGAGCGCGGAGGACCGGCAGGAGTTCGAAGGGCACATGCGCCAAAACGAGAGCCACGCTCGCAGTATGCTTGGTTACGGCAACGAGTTCCTTGAGACTCTGATCGACTTCAGCGGCGAGTCCGGACGAGTGCGCGATGCCTTCATGCAGCCGGAGATTGTCTCCCGCTTAGCGCCCATGCTGGACTACACGCTCGACATGCTTGTTGGACCTAAAGCGCAGGACCTGAAGCTCAAAGATCCGAAGAAAGCTGGATTCGACATCAAGCATCTCATTCGTCAACTTCTAAGCGTTTTCCTGAGCCTCTCCTCACGTCCCGAATTTGTCCAAGCTATCGCCCGCGACGAACGGAGTTATAGAAGAGAAATTTTCGAGAAAGCCGCCCGACTAAGCCAGAGATACATGCTCAAATCTCCGCCAGAGATCGAAGTTTTGTTAGGTCTGGTTGGTCAGGTAGAGAAGATCAAGCAGATGGAGGCGGAAGAGGAAGAAGACCTTGGCGAGATACCTGATGACTTCTGTGGTGAGCGTCCCAACGTTGGCTCGACACATCGTCGCCCTGGGCGTCATGGGCCAAGATGAAAGACGCTGACGACCTTTCACGCTTCACGCTTAGACCCTTTAATGGCAACTTTGATGACCGAGCCGGTCATCTTACCTTCCTCGAAAGCTGTCATAGACCTCTCCACGATCAAATCTCACCTATTGAGCGACGCAACAGATCCTTTCAACCGAGTGCCGCTCAAGATTGAGGACGTTCTGCCCGGTGAGTGCGCAGCAACATACGTCTTCGTCTCCGAGAGGACTCCTCAAGCTCATCTCTTACCTCGTTCGGTGCCGTCTGCTAGCGACCGATCTCAAAGCTCAGATCGACGCTTGGGTAGCTGAGAGAAAACGAGCAAAGGGCAAGACAGCGACGTCCTGATCGCGCGGACCCTTTGCTTCCTTTCTTAATGGATGCTTTCCTCTGTCAAGGCATCCCTGCCGTCTACACTCACGCATTTGTGCGGTGCAGACCTGTGAGATGGGTATTGACTTCCAAAACGTGACCTTGCGTGCGTCTGGTGACATATCGCGCCTGAGTGGGAACTAAAGATGAACAAAAAGAAACAGTAGACTTTACTCCAGATGGTCATCGTCGTGCTCGACCACCTCGGAAAGAGGCCGACCGCCACCGGAAGCGCTGAGATGCCGTGAGATGGGCTGGCCTGCCGAGAGACCCGGTGCGCTTGGCGCTCGATTAGTGTTCGCGATGCTCGAATTCAGTGGTGTGGTTGTAGCGTCGGTCATTAAGCTAGGTTGCACGTCTGCATCCATAGTCGATCCTACCATGATGCTCGGTGACGCACTTGTTCTTGGGGTGCTAGTCCTTGCAGAAAGGGGGGACCGGTCGTCGACCGCTGTCGCAGAGTGTGCCGCCGGGCTTGACCCCTTTTTGGCCACTGGAGACGAGAGCGTGGAGTTGCTCGCGCTTGAATTGGAAAAGAGACCAGACGCATTCGCCCCGCTCAGACTGACGCCCGACGGAGAGCTCGTGAGGCCCTCGCTACCTGTGCTCGCATATCGTACCATCCCGGTAGCCATGGGAGGAGTAATGGCATGATCGCCTTGGACAGTCTTGCCCAGTGGCGACCCCTGGGCAAAGATGGAATTCGCATGCGCACCCGTGGCTGCTAGCGTAGACGCGCCTCTCAAGCTTGAACCACTGCCAATTGAGCCAAGGCGCCCTTTGGTCAGTCTCAGGCTACCTGCTGAGCTCTTTCCCAGGGCTCCAAAGCCTCCACCCGCACCGCGATAGCTTCCCCCTTCGCCGCTGCGGGCACCTCCCACGCTGCGAATGCTGGCGCCGCGAGCTGCTGTTGAAGAAGGGTGCACTCCGGCCTCGTGTTGTGCGGGTTCGGCTGATCTCGTTGACTGCTCCACGCTGGCACGTCCTGCTGGTTGGGATGCAGATCCCGAGCGCGGACGCGCCCAGCCGCGAGCTTCGGATGCGCCAGCTGGCGATACATTCGCATCACCCTGACTAGCCGACATCTTCTGCGAATGGCCATTCGTCTGGGCGGAAAGGCCGAGTCCAAGTAGAGCGTGCTCGCTGCTTGGTCGGCCTTCGCTTGCGCTACTATCCGTCCATGTGCTGACGCTGGTACTCAAGGGAGGCAGCCGCGCCGAGTTACGCGTAACCGATGGGCTGGAAGGCTGGGCAGGGGTGACGGCGCCGCTGATGATGCCGTCGATGCTGTCTGAGTACGAAGTGTTCATCGGCGGCTCCACAGGAGCAGCAGGGAAGATCTCGTAGGCGTGTTCTACGCAAATACGCAGCACCGTGCCTAAAGTACGATCGCCGCCGGCTGGACCTTTGACGTCTGTGGCGTTCGAGTCAGGAGTACTTGTTGCACCACGACTGAGAGTTGCAGGACGTGGACCTTGAGGTTTACCGCCGCTGTTGGAGACCGTCGAATGCATGCTACCAATGCCTTCCACTCTGCACATCGCAACGTCGCGCAGGGGATCAGAGCCTCGCACCAAGTTGGGGGCGATGACAGTCGCCAAATTTGCTGCGTCCATCTTGTTCCGTTGTGAGCGTTGAGCAACGTCGTGCAGAAGCTCGCATACTGTCGCGAGCAAAGTGATCTTACAGGGCGGTGCGAGAGCTGGTAAGAGACGTGATCTGATATACTCCAACGTGTCCTCGAGATCGGCGAGGTTCTCGCCAGGGTCGTGTAGAGGGCACGCTTTGACGAGCGGATACAAGCTTGGCGGAAAGAGCGGTGATGGTAAGCGTCTCAAGAACGTCTTGAGTAACGACGCCGCCAAATGTGCAGCTGATGCCGGGCCGTCGCCGTATCGTTCAAGGTTGACAGGGTGGCCGCCATCATACGCCATCTGAGCCGCACGCAATAGACTTGAAGGGGGTGAGCGTCGAAAAATTCCTTCGGTATCCATGAGAAGCTCGCCTGTGTCTTCCGAGCCCGGCAGAGGGTGACGCAAAAATTCTATGGAATCCTTGACGACGCGTGGGATAGACCAATATTCGCCGGACTCCCCCATCAGATGCTCTAGCGGCACACCGAAGACCTTCTTCGTTGCATCCAAGGCACCTGCTTCTTGCGTGGAGAAAGAGGCCTTGGCTTCTTCTCCTTTTGTCAACGCCAGATCGTGAGTGAGAACCTCTGGAGGAAGCTCAATTTGCTGCAATGGCACGTGTTGCCCGAGCTCGGCAAGGGTGGAGCATTGCACAATCTTGCGTGCAAATTTCGGCGAGATGAAGTAAGAGCCAGTGCTGATAAATTGCACAAGGGTTTTCGTGAATAGCGTGGGATGAACGATGTAGAGCCGTTTTAAATTCTTACGATAGCTGCAGGTATGACTCAGCAAAATCAGCGACAAAAACAGATCATCTCATCGCGACACAATCTCGACTCACTTCCTAGTGAGGCCCTTGTACGCCTTCCAAAGCCAGTTCCACCCCGGTCGGTGGCGACCGGCAGATGCGAAGAGTATGACGATGTAGTCGTTTTCCACGAAGAGATCCAGAGCAGACATGAGACGGACAAACAAGTGATCGTAGTCCACCTCCTTTGGATCCGGCAAAGAACATACAGAGAGAACGACCATCGGTCTAGATCTGGCGAGATTGCGTCCACGTGGATGTGCATAAGCCTTTCCTGACGACTGAGAGCAATGCAAACGAGCATAGACACTTACTCGTTATCTACTCCGGCCGGCGTCACGCACATGCGCACACACTCGTCAACCCTTTCACGCTCTCTTGCTGACCAGCCTTCTTTGTCGTCCCATCGCGCATGTCCCTCAGATGTGTCAGATGAAGAGCGTGGCCAAGCTCTAGCTGGAGCGCTTGCCATTCGGAGGCTCCCTTTCCTCCGAAAGCCAGCCTCATCGGCAGCTTCGGCCATGCTACTCCGTCCGACCTGCCGAGCAGCGCCCGAGGGCCGAGGCAAGACAGGTATGCTGCGTCGGTGATTGAGATGACTTAGCCTTGATAGTGTGCCGTATGCGTCTGCTCCAAGCTGACGTTCCACTTCGAACGCCGAGTCCCCACCGGCTTGCAGCTTGGTCGGCGAGACGACTGGCGATGCGGGTAAAGAGCCATCTTCTAAGTGAGCTGCCAGAGCATCGAGTGCAAGCCTAGGCCGACCTTTGCGGCTTGGAGACGCAAAGGGAGACTCGTACCGATGATCCTCGTTGTCATCTTCCTCGGCGACAGAAGTGGGCAGACCGGTCGTCGCTGTAGACGGGGACAGATCGAAGGGTATTGCACCTCGACTTCTCCCTCCCCCTTGGCTGCCTCGACCGGAAACATCGCCGGTGCCTCGATGACTATCGACGCTCGAGCTCCGCCTAGAATGTATGCGACTTTGACTCGCAACATCTGTAGGTTGCTCCAGCGTTTCGGGCTCTGTACTCATCAGGGCGTCCGGAGCAGCTCCGCGCCATGTGAGCAGGGAGCCCCAACCTCCAGGTGCAGTGATGGGTCCATCGCGCTCTTCGGCTGTGCTGTGCTGATGGACAGCGCTACCACTTGCCGGCCCTGGTCGCGTGCGCTTTGCCGCGGACTTGGCAAAGAGGGAGTTGAACAGGCCGCCTAGCCGCGATGGACCTGGCTCAGTAGAGCGCCGCTCAGGGGGCGAGCGCGTCTGACGAGACGCCTTAGGAGACCCGCTCATGCCTTTGGTGGTGCGTGCGTGAGTATGACGGCGCGTCGCTGGACCACCAAATTCTGCACGCAAGCTGGGCAGCGCTGGAGAGATGTCTAGGGAGTGCTGCGTTGGTGATGGTGCAAGCACGCTTCGAACAGGAAGGCACCGTACGTCGGCCACGAGTTGTGTTGCTTAGGCTTTGTCTAGACACCCGACATTGGAGGTTCTGAAGCGCAAGTCAAAGTCGCAATGAACAGCACTGACCACCAGCTTGGAGCGCGAAGGATCAACGTTGGAGCGTGGGAGCTCGACTACTGTGAATCGACAGCGTCGATAGTCGCAGAAGAGTCGATCGGGTTAGAGGGCAAGTCAAAGACACGACGGGTGCGCCTGGGTGCTGCAGCACTATGTGGCCTTACAATCGTGAATCGTGAATTAGGGTCGCCGTGCATCACGTATATACCCACCAACTGGCGCACCCGTGCGCATCCAAAAAGGGGATGACGCAGCAGATATCTCAAATTACACATCCAAGAATTTGAATCTACTAATTGTGCCCGGCACGCAGTCAAAAGTCACAGGTATGACTCCGTGAGCCCACCTCATGCGCACAGCACAGCTATATATAAGATCATCATCAGATGGCAGTCCTGATTCTGCATGGGCCCGCGTTCTCACGCGCGTTGGGGCACGCAGCGAGCCTGCAGGACCGCGATTGTCCTCTGTCACGTGCGCCTCCATTATTTGAGTCCGAGTCGTCTCCGTGTCATCAGTCTTGAGTCACCATGCAGTCAAGAGTCGTGAGTCAGGGTCGAGACTCACGCAAGCCATGGCTTTTTCGGCTTGCCATTCGATTCGTATTGTGATCACGAGTATCACCGTCATCATCAGTCAGCCCGAAGTGAAGGCGACATAAGCACCCTTGCCTTAGGAAACCCATCTTCACCGACGGAAAACCGTTCACCTAAATTTCGCACCTTCGCCACCTTGTCAAGCTCACAAGATGGGTGCCGACGGCGGGAGCATCGCAGGACGCTCGGACATGGTCCGCGTGCGAGCTAAACAGGGCGCGACTCCGGAATCCTCAGCTGCCTCGAGTCACGCACAATCGACTACATGTCGCCTCTCTGGCAAGCCATTAAGGGCGGGCAAAGGAGAAGTTGTGGCCGACGCGTTGGGAAGGATGTACAATAAGGAGGAAGTGTTGATCCACCTGGCCGAGCGTGCAAAGGATAGCAGAGGACCCCTGAGCCATGTAAAGCGTCTCAGCGTAAGTACACGGGCCGGACCTGATCTCGGCAAGGTCGCATTTTGTGAAGCTGAACATCTTGCACCCTGACCTGCTTCCGCTCCCAACAGGATGTGACAGTCCTCAACCTGACGCCGTCAAACTTAGCGTCGTCCATCAAGCCCAGCGCTGCCTCTTCGTCGGATACTGCAGTTCCTTTCGCGTGTCCTCTAACGTCCAAGTCGCTGAACGGCAAGAGCAGATTCATCTACCTGACCACTTGTGGTTGCGTCATGTCTGAATCTGGGCTCATCGCCACTGTTGGTGACGCCAGACAGCGCCACCGCGCGGACCGCGACGGGCAACTCAGCACTGGCGCCAAACGCAAGGCCTCAGCTGTCGAGTCTGACAAAGAAGGAGAACGTTATGGGTCATCACACTCCAGCCCCGAAGAGGAGGATAAAGCGGGGACATCCTGCCCAGTCTGCGGCAAGGTCTTCACGCTAGCAACGTCGACGAAGGATCAAACAGAAGGTGCGGGCGAGTCAAAGCATGCGAAAGCTCCGATGAGCGGTGACACAGTGCCTGGTGGCGATGTAATCATAATCAATCCACACATAGGGGAGGAGCTGGTCATGCGCGTCAGTCTAGACAGACGCTTGGCAATGGAGGCAGAGGAAAAGGCCAAAAAGAAGGCTGCAAAGCGTGCTCAAGCCGATCTTCCGCCTGGCGCGGATGTCACGAGGCAGGTCGTGCCGCAGGACAAGGAAGAGAAGCGGATCCAAAGAGATGCGAAGCGCGCCGCGAAGCTCGCGGCCTTGGCCGAGGCGACGTCAGCTGCAAGCGACCTTGTCGAGCCAGACTTGAAGCGCCCACGGCTCGACTACGCCGGACCTAATGTGGAAGAGAAGTCGCGCGCCCCTGCTGCTACCTCTGCTGCTGCGGCCATTGCACGGTTGGCGAAGGAGTCGGCGGCGAAGAGGGCTCGAGGAGAGGGAATGAGCGAAGCGATGAAGCAGGTGTACGGGATCGGTCAGGAGCGTAAGAAAACGCAAGGTAGCGATTGGATGACCAAGGGCACGTTCAATCGGTGAGTAGAAGCATCGAACGCTTCTGAAAGGATGTTCTTGTTCGAAGCTGACATGAGCTCCGTGTTTACTCAGCTTTGCCTGACATCGCATCGCGACTGCTTGCCCTCTGCGACTGCTCCCTGCTTCGACGTTCTGCTGCCGCCCCTGCATTGTACCACCATCGGCGATATCGCAATATCACACTCTCGAGGCGGCTCGTTCAAACAAGCCCACTCCAGGCTGCTGTGCGCGGCCATCTATTTGTTCTGCGTTGATGACTGCGGAAAGCTGCGTCTACGTGGGCCGCAGGCCAATTCTCACAGGAGCAAGAGGATGCGCAATCGGCCCATTTGCCTGCATTGGCGTCTGTGTGCGTGGTCGGAGCCGGATGAACTCTTGGAACTAGGGATGGGATTTGGAGATCATGCGCGACGGATAGTAATGTTCGGTTCGGCATGATTGAGTGCGCATTGGACTTGGTACGTTGCATCAAAGTCGGTCGTGAGTTGGCACTGGCTGGTCTCGTGCTTTCATAGCCAAGGGTGTCTATCGAGGTACCATGCTTGATTTTGATTGTGCAGAGGTCCGGCCCACCGTTCCGGCTTGTTAAGGTTGGTACCGCATCGAACGTGCATGTGCTCCATGCCTCCGCTCGACGTCTGTTAAATGACTTCCGTCCGGGAAGCACAAGTGCTGAACTCACAATTGTGAAAGCGTTTGGTGTGTCAAGAATGGGCTTCGCGTGTGATACTGGCACTGACGATGCACAGCCCCTTGTGACGCTCTTTCGGGATCGTGCGTTGAGGCACATCTGCTTGCCAAGCCCATCTGATAGAGTGATCCGGGGAGCCTAAGAAGAATTGAAGCCACTCACTAATGACTTGTGGGCGTCCCAAAGCTCGACCATTCAATTGGAGTCGAGAATGCCAAGCTAATTAGGCTAAGCTGTGGGCTTACAGTCAGCAGGCTTCCAACTGCTGCTGCTGTGTGTTACAAGCGCATGCAGGTGTCTGCTTGTGCTGACCATCAGCATGCTGGTGGCTGATGTCAAACGCTCCTTTTTTTTCGGCACCGTCTCGTGGCGCAGCGGTGGTCCTTGGCCCATGAATCGTGACTGGTGACTGTGACTGCTTTAGTGCATGCGGCTGCCGTGTATAGGTGCCATGATGCTGGATGCTTCAGACTCGTGACTGGTCTACCGCCTTGGCTGCACAGCGTCTCCCCGCTCCACCGCTGCGTGCATGGTTAGTCAACCGTGCTGAGGATGAACGTACGATTTCGAGGCAACTTCACTCAAGACTCAAGACTCAAGACTCACCGCTCGTGACTGCTGCATGCACGATGATCCTGCTGATGGTTTTGAGTTGGAACCGCGTTTCCACACAACAGACACGCTTTCGTTTTGGTTCTGATCGACAATCACAATCATGATTCATAGCTTTAGACCTTTGCACTCATCAGACCAACGCCGTTCACGTACCGTTCGACACTTCGGCCATCGCTCAGACCTAGACTTTACTTGGAATCCACTACACACTGCCCCACCCGCCTGGCTCCTTCCCTTGACTCTGCGAATCCTCGAGCGAAGACTTTGCTGCTAGTCAAGCCGGGACGAGCCAAAAATGACACACGAACGAATGCGCAAATCGCGCAGACGAGCCTCGCCGGACGAGGTGGAACTGGCACGTCGAGCTATAGGCAGCAACACGCAGATTCAGTTGAGCAGAGGCTTCAGCGCTGGTCAATTACAGTACACCATTCCCATCCAAGTAGGAGCTCCTGCAGAAGAATTTCATTTGCAACTGGATACCGGCTCGAGCGATCTGGTGAGTTTTGTGTGCGAAGTGGCGAGGATATTGGGGGCGGGAGCCCGGCGCGTTCGAGCTGACTGTTGGATCGTCGTCGACTCAGTGGCTCGCATCAAAAGATTGCAGATCCAGCAGCTGTCGACCTAATTCCGGCGCGGGCGTAGACTTGTACGACGATGGCGGTGCGACCAAAACTGTGAGCGGCTCCATATTTCGTGCCCTTTCCATCCGTGCAAGCTTGCTGAGACGTGATGGAGCTCTTGAAAGAACAAGGAGTTTGATATCACTTATTTGGCAGGCACAGCAAAAGGAGACATCGTTACGAGCAACATAGAAGTGGGTGGAACATCGTTCGCCCAAGCTTTTGCAGCTGCTACCGACGTGGAATCACAACAGCTGGGATCGATGGGTGCATCGGGCGTGCTGGGACTCGCTCTGCCCGCCAACTCGATCATACAAGCGACGCTCAAAGGTTCACCTGCCGCAGCAAATGATTCCTTTCCCAGCTCCAGCGCCACGGGTAGCATTTTGCCCGGCGTGTGGCAAGATGCAGCTGCAGGGACACGGTTCTTTAGCATTGGCTTGCAACGTCTGCCTTCGGATGGAGGCAACGGCAACTCGACACTCACCTTCGGAGGGTACGATGCCGCTTATGCGCCCGATGCTAGCCAGATCAAGTGGGGCTCCAATGTGGCTGATACGGACGGCGTAAATCGCAAATGGACCTCCCTCGTCACCCAGCTCATCACTACGGTCAACGGCACCTCTACCGCTTTGCCCAACTACACTGCCCTGAAAGCCATCTGGGACACTGGTGCTCGCTTCAATTATGGTAGGAGGGACATATTGAATGCCATGTATGGCGCGTACGGACTCGGCCCGAATGCGGATCAGAGCGGATACTACTTTCCCTGTCGCACATTGCTGCAGATCACCCTCAGCATCAATGGAGAGCTCGCGACCATCCATCCGCTCGACTCGACGCTCAAGCAGACGGATCCGACTTCGTCAAGCTCTTCGGGCTGCATCGGCGGCTTCCAACCCTTTGTGGATGACGCGAATGCGCCGGCCGATCTGGTGCTCGGTGCGCCTGCTATGCGAAGCATATACAGCGCGTTCTCTTGCGATGGTGTTCTGAACGGCGCTCCTCAAGGTGCTGCGGCGCCCAACTGCGATCGCCCACAGATTGGCGTGCTTGGGCTACTCAACGATCCTGCTTCTCGCAACGAAGCCATAGATCAATTCAACCAGGTGCGCGTGCAAGGAAAGAGTCTGGGAGACGACTCGATCATTGACAACGACGGAGCTGGCGGTACTGCATCGAGAGGTCTAGGGTCGGGCGCGAAGATTGCCATCGGCGTGGTGCTGGGTGTCGTTGGGCTGTTGGTCGTTGTAGCAGGTGCGGTACTCTACGTCAAGCGACGGAGAGCAGCGAGAAATGGCGAATACGACTCGCCGGGACAAGGACTGGACGGTGCGGCAGAGAAGGAGGAAGCGTTGGATGGTGGGCGTCGCGCTCAAAAGTCGGCAAAGGAGCAAGCTGCAGCGAGGGAGTGGGCACTGTTGCACGGACAATTTCCCGAAGACGAACCGCAAGGAGAACAGCCGGATCTTGCTGCTCGAACCACTGCGGCCCCTACGTGGGACACTGATTCCAGGGGCTACTGGGAAGCGCGTGCGGTCAAAAATGAGTATAAACAAAAAGCTAGGGCTCCTGCCCGGGGCGACGCCTCAAGTAGTGGAGCATCCGGCGCGGGAAAGGAACATGAGATCTCAGGACAAAGAGCAAGTCAGCACAAGCATAGCGCTAGCGCTTTTACGGCCCATCCAGAGTCGTACGAAATGTCGGACACGGGCAGTCACAGACTTGGACCGCTGTCGCACGATGCCACACACTCTCCGTTTTAGATGGTAGAGGGCGGTGCCGCTGTTGATCAGCTTCCTCTCTCGCTCGATCTGCTTCCATGCCAAGTTTTTCATTGCATTCCTCGCCTCTTCTGCACGTGTATTGTAATACCGTCCATCGTCCATCTCACAAGGCTTTCTTCACGTTTATGTTTTCAAGTCGGTTACGCACACCTGACACCTCTGTGCCCTTTCCATCTACCATTGTCTCACGGTTCATGCGTTGAAGTCTGGCGATACCACGCACGGATGCAAGGCCTGTAATAACACATCTTCATTGCAGAATTGGAACGGCGATCTACCGGACCTCCTTCTCGGGAAGCGACCGACAATGAAAGGTCTTGAGCTTAACGATGCTTTCACCTCGAACGCTTTCGCAACACCCAAGGCGAACTGATGATAGGTCGAAGGCCATGCGCACGAGCGCACCACTGCTACGCTGGCAGATGCTGCGTAGTCTACTATCCACTAATGATATCACTGTCGTAATGGGAGTAGCTGCTGGTCTGAACGAAGTCGCGAGTCAACTGAAGAACCACATGCAGAGTATGGGTATCGGGAATCGGATGGATTCTTCCGTGCCGGCGGTCAGCTGAGCGCCGAAAGGCATACGGCAGAGCGCGAAATCCTCGCGATGCTTAGAGCGCTACCTCCGCCAATCACACAGCGCAGTCAAGTGTACGAGTCTACTTGCAAGTAGCGCAACGTGTGCAGATGGATGCTGTGCAAGGATGCGTGGTCCCGTCGGTAACTCACGCGCAATCGTGACTCGTGATTGACTGTGTGGTTGGACCGTTGCGGAGCTCTCTGACCGCGCGTGCTAGCTGTGCTGCTGCATGCATGGGTGTTGCCGTGGGAGAGATAGGGCGCATGATGGTTGGATGCGGGAGTGTGTGTCGCGCGTCATACGAGCTTCTTCCGTCATTGGTCAAAAAGGGCGCGGCTTCACCTGCGAATCCTGCCAGTGTCATCAAAACCATCACCCATCAAGCCAGGTATAGCTTCGCTGCCATACGCCGCGCACGCATTGATCGAAGACCTTTCTGATTCGAAGTAGCCAACGGTTTGTGTCTCGGCCACAGAAAAGAGATCCGCGGAGTCATTGGCACGATCGAGGCGTGCTGGGCTGGCTCATTGGCACAAGGCGTCATTGATTGGGTGGAGCCCATTCAGTCGTAAAAGGTCACAAAATGCCACCCAAGACGGCGGGAAGCGGTGCACTGCGACCTGGAAATCATGCCGGTCCAAACACCACCACCGCAGCACCAGCAATGTCATCATCGTCATCTAGCCGATCACCTACCAAAGTCAGTCAAGCTGCATCCCGCTCATCCATCTCGTCTCGATCTACGACGACCCATCAAAGCTGGCCAGCCCTCTCCTCCAAACCGCACTCCTTGCTACTCCTGCCCGCCCTAGCAGCATTCATCCTCGTCCTTTCTCTCTTGGCATGTTGGTCTCACTACTACCTTCCCCAACCCGTCACCCTCGCCCAATCCGCCCTGTCAGAGTCAGCGGGCAAAGGAGCTCTGTTCAGCGAAGAGAGGACTTTTCAAGTGATGCAAAAATTGGCGATAGATATCGGGTATAGGATAGTGGGAACCAAGCAACACGTTCAGGCGGAAGAGTGGCTGGAGAGCGAGATCAAACCTCTGATTGGGTGGCATCAGACCGGAGAGGGTCGGGGAAATGGCACGCAGGTGGAGATGTGGACGCAGATTGGTGACGGCGCTCATCGGTGAGTACGCTGGTACGATATAGAGTGCTCGCTGGATGAGGCGAGAAATAAGACTTGGCCTGCTGAGGGTAGAGGGTATCCTTGAGGAGTGACAGCAATGGGAAGGGTGAGCCAGTCGAGCACACATGGCAACACGCGTCCACGACGAGGTGGCAGCGTCGTTCAGGACTCTGTATGCTTGAGACGCTCGACTGTAAAGCTGACAAGCGCGGTATCGATCTTACTCTGGCAATTTGCGCAGCTTTGACTTTATGCACAACGTCGTCTTCAAGCGCTACATGAACATGAGTAATGTGATTGTTCGTCTCTCCGACGGCACGGATGAGGGCAAGGAGCATGCTGTGCTCATCAATGGGCATCTTGACTCTACTCTGCCAAGTCCTGGAGCAGCGGATGATGGTGTAGCCATCGGCATTATGCTCGAGGTGTGTGGACGGACTTAGCGCTCATTGGAGACCCTGATCCAGGGATGCCGATTGACCCAAAACCGTGCATCTGCCTCCAGCTTCTACGCATCTTCACAACCAGCCCACGGCCCAAGCTACGCCACTCGATCATTCTGCTCTTCAACAACGGCGAAGAGTCGTTGCAAGATGCTTCCCACCTGTACATCACGCAACACGAGCCTACCCGTCATAGTGTGCGAGCCGTCGTCAATTTAGAAGCTTGCGGCGTGTCTGGACCCGAATTGCTCTTTCAGGCCGACTCGGAACAGCTTGTGGAAGCGTACGCGAAGGCTCCGCGGCCTTTCGGTACCATCTTGGCCAACGATGTCTTTGGCAGTGGCATAATTCTCAGCGACACGGATGCCCGGCAATTCGCAGAGTATGGAAACGTCCCGATGTTGGATATGGCCATTGTGGGCAACAGCTACTTGTACCACACCAGAAAGGATGTTCCAAAATACATTCAGCCTGGAGTGGCTCAGCACTTTGGGGAGAATGTGCTGGCCATCGTGCAACACTTGACTACGGATCCCAAATCTAAATTGGCGAATGTCAAACAGTTTCCCAAAAGAATGCCTCCAATTTACTTTACCATCGCTGGCAAGTACTTCATCCACATTAGCAACAAGGCGTGGAAAGGCCTCTCGATGGTGCGTCATGGAGGTCTCGCAAGTGCAAAAAGGCGGCATTTCCAATTTGATCACAATCTGTCCTACCTCATCTTGCATACAGGCAATGTCAGCGTTCGCCAACTTCTTCCTTTCCTCCACCGTCCGCGCGGAGAAGCACTTTGGTTCGCTCCAGACGACGACGCTAGCCATCTTTGCTGTAGTGCTCTCACTCTTCGCAAGCTTGATCAGCGCGAATCTCGTCGCTTTGATCATGACGCAAGTGCTCAACAAGGGCATGAGCTGGTTCTCTCACGAATTATACCCTGTCGTATTGTACGGCCCGCCGGCAGTGGCGGGCAGCCTGGCAGTCCAGCTGGCAAGCTCTTACTTCTTCACGGGCGAGCGCAGAGCTTCCATGGAAAGGGCAACGCTCAACGGAATGTTTGCAAGTGAGTCGAGCTCTCCAAAGCTGCGTGTCCTTACACGAGGTTCTGACCCACCCCCTTTACGGCTGCAGTCTTTGCGCTGTCGCTCATGTGCCTCAACGCGTTTGGCATTGGCTCTGCGTACCTGTTCGGCCTCGGCACATTTGCTCTGCTCTTCGTGTGAGTGCCACTCTTCCGCCTTTGCCTATTCATGGCGCCCTTGACTGATCGAAGAAAGCCTGTTTCGCTCTCGCACAGCACCGCGTTGAACGACTTTGTGCTGGTTGGCTTCGGCGCAATCGAGCTCCGCAAGGTGGCCGCGGATCAAAGGGTGCACCCTCTAACTTATTTTCTGCTTAGCATCATTCCATCGGTCGTCGGATCCGAAGGTGAGTAGAACATCAAGTCCGGTTTTTGATTGCTTTGCTGATTGTCTCTGTGACACATGGCTCGCTAGGTCTGGTATCGTTCTTGGATCTGTTCGTTCCCTTGACGGGCCGCACTGGCGAGATTTCGCCCTCCGATCACATCATCGCGACAATCGTGGCCGCGCTTTCGTTCATGTCTCTGCCCATCATGCTGCCACTTGCACATCGATATGGTCCGAAGCACATAACGCGAGCAATTGCTGGGCTTTTGATCTTTACAAGCATAGCCATTGCGGTGTTTGCAAGTCCTTCCTTTTCCCCTTGGACGCCTTTGACGCCCAAGCGCATATTTGTTCATCAGGTCGAGAACATTACCGACGGGACGTGGAGCATGAACATGGGCCATGCTGACGCGGCGCCTGGTCATTGGCAATTGGTCGACGACGTCAGGACCGCTTTGGTGCCAGAGCACGCCCCGGCAGTCAAGCAGGTAATGAATGGTGAGCGTTGGGGTCGAAGCGCGCTGGTCAGATAGCATCCACTGACGCCTGCTCGATACTGATCCGCCCGACCAATGCGACAGAGAATAATACCGTGTTTGACATTCTGCACCCAGTCAGTGCCTTTTTGACGCCGTTCAAGTTCGACTTGCCGCCGCCCGCTTCCGGTCAAGTCTCTCCCTGGTCCGCACCCAATGCCTTTACCGTCACATCCAGGGACGAGGAGTTGGACCTGGTGGCCGGAACGAGGCGCGTTACCATCGAAGTCAAGAAACCAGGCTTGATCTGGTCCGTCATTGCTTTCCACGCCGACGTCTTGGAGTGGGATTTGCCCGGCGTTTCCCCACCTGCAGGCGGCAGGCAGAGACATCACATCAAGGAAGTGGGCAGGTATGGGGTGGAGAGTTGGACCATACGCCTCTTGCTTCGGCTCGACGAAGACGCGAGGGCAGCAGCGGCTATCCGAGGACCGGACCGTGCACCCTACTCGGCGTCTGTCCGCGTAGACTCTGCGACAGCAGCCGAAGACCAAGTGTACAGAAATCCCTCTAGACTCTGGATCGATTATTCCGCTTTGGACGCAGAGGGAATGTGGCCAAATTCTAGACATTTGGTCGAGAGCAGGCCATCTTTGAAGACGTTTGAAAAGATGGACAGGTATTTGGCCAAGTCGCACCCGGAAGTGGACGCCATGCTGCTTTCTGTAGTTGCTGGCGTCGCTCAAGTCTAAAATCCGCGTCGTTGGTGCCTCCTTGCTACCGCAGTCGCACGCTGTGCATCAAAAGGCGCAAAATGAAACATCATTCGAACTCCCCCCCTTTTCGTGACATTTCGTACCCGGCTAGTGTGAGCGTTACAAGATGTGCCTCATGCAGAAGATGGTCAGTGTAGGCGTCCAGGCACGACTGGATGGCTCGCTGCGAGACCTCCATCGACAGGAAGAGCCACACCGTTGACGTAGGAGGCCTCGTTGGTGCTGAGGAAAGTGACCACTTGCGCAATCTGTTGTAGCGAAAAGATGCGTTTGCAAAATCTCAGCCAATCACGTGGTAAATGACGACTTGATAGCCCGCGCTTCTTGCACCTTCGAATCTGCACTCACTTCTTCTGCCACGCCATACCTCCTGGTTGGGTTGAGCTGACCGATCTTGCCCGCACTGCCGCGTTCCCTGGACATTTCAAACGTGGGCAGAGTCATGCCAGTCTCGATCAGACCGGGACAAACGGCATTGACTCGAACATTTGTTCCTGCCATTTGACAGGCTCCGGTTTGAGCGAGGGAGATGACGGCTGCTTTGCTGGCGCTGTAATCTGCTGAACCTGCTCCTGAGCGAAGACCGGCTACAGAAGCGGTGAGGATGATGGATCCACTTGCATCGGACTTGGACGAGCTGGTCACTTGCATTGCCTCGCTTGCGTACTTGACGGCGTGGAAGCAGCTAAGTAGGGATGAGATAGAGTCAGCGGCATGCACACATCGAACGGGGGTCAATCTTCCCAAACTGGGCGCTGGTATAGAACCTCCAATCCAGTCTAATCTGCTGCCTCTCCGGATGCCTTGATTTTCTGCGCCCAAATGCTCACCTCAATACATTCACTCTCAGAGTCTCGGCCACATCTTCTCCGTCTGTAGCAGAGATTGGAGCGCCCGTAGCGATGGCAGCATTGGCGAAAAAGACGTCCAGCTGACCTTCCTCTTTGATGGCACGATCGCAGATCTCCTTGATGGCCTCCTCTGATGCGGCATCGCAAGCATGAGTTGTGATCTGCCGCGGGCAGCAATTCAAAAAGCAAAGGAATTCAGCAGGGGCCCAGTGAGGGCGGAACACCTATCCAACGATGCGCATGTTTGGGCGAGGATGATGTGTGGTGTGCTACGGCGCCGAAAGTTGCAGCACCTCACAACATGTATGCACGAGCAAATCGAATTCGAGCAGCAAACTTTTTCAACTCACCTTGACATCCGCATACAATCCCTTCAAAGTCTTTTTGAGCTCCTCGAAATGATCATCGACGATGTCGAGGGCGTAAATGTGTTTGGCACCCTCATGAGCGTACTGCCTCACCGTAGCTCTGCCGATCCCAGTCGGACTTCCAGCACCCGTGACGATGCACACTTTTCCAGATAGACGACCTGAGCGAGGCGCGCTGGATAGGTGAGATTGGATGATCTCTAGACGACGTAGCGTCTGCTCGTATGCTTTCTTGGACGCTTCGGACGACATGCTGGCCGGAGCAAGGGACGAGTGCGGTGGTGGTGGCGGGGTTTGGGGCAAGAAGGATGGAGAACGATTGGTTTTGAGTGTGGGATGAGTAATCAGGAGTTGGAAAGAGTATGAATACGCCGCTGAGCTATGTATGCGATGGATGAGAGGATGAAGGGGGAATGGACAGCAAAAGTGAAGGGCAGCTGTACAGATGCGGACCATGCAGTCGTGAGTCGTGAGTCGTGAGTCGTGAGTGTATAGCAAATCGTCTTTGGCGTGAGAAGCCATCAAGCAGCAGCAACAAGCAACAAGGCGGAGGTGCATATGCTGTGCAGCATGAATGCGCGCGGGGCCTATAGCTGCTGTTCGGCTCACCGGCGTCACCCGCAAGCCGGCGGGGGGCAGCAGTCGCGCGCGCGCGTTCATCACGTAGTTTGGTGCGGGGGAAGCTTAATTGATGCAGCCGTCAGTGCAAGGCACGAGACAGAGTCACGCACGAGCCATCCGCCCAAAGATACGGTATACTTTTCACTGTTGTATCTATACTCACACACACAGCAGAGAGTCACGCTCACGACTCACGACGACTTGCATGCTGGGAGCTGCGCGACATCTTCTCAAACAGGCAGTCACGAGCAGCAGCAGCAGCAGCAGCAGCAGCAACAACAACAACGCAGCGCAGCGCAGCGCAACGCAAAATCATGTCCGCAAGCACAAGGTTGAACATTCTGCTGGATCTGTCCGGTACGCTGCACATTGGCGACGTAGCCACGCCCGCCGCCATCCCAGCCTTGCGCAAACTGCGAGAATTTTTGTCCAAAAGGGGCAACAGCTCCTTGCGTTTCGCTAGCAACACCACCAAGGAAGCGCCTTTAAGCTTGCAGCAACGCTTATTGAGGGCGGGTTTTGGAGCGGGAGATGTGCCCTTGATGGATCTGTACACCAGTCTAAGCGCTACCGCTCGAGAGGTGGCCGTATTGCAAAGACCTGCACTCTTGTTGCTCAGCAAGTCCGCTCAACAAATCTTTCAAGATCCTCCTTCTTCCTCTTCCTCCTCCTCCTCCTCCGCAAGGCATTTCAGGCCTTCCAGCGATACATTGCCAAAGGATCTTGATGAGGAAGAGTGGAAGTGCTTGAAGAGGTGCAACGTCGTCGTGGTTGGTCTGGCGCCCGATCTGATGCGCAGCGAGTGGCTAGACGAAGCGTTCAGAATCCTCTGCGGAGAGTATTCCTCCGAGCAGCAAGAAGCAGCGACGCCAAAGATCATCGCGACGCATAGAGGTCAGTCCCTTTGACTGGCCGACTAGCTCATCTTGGGACTTCTGCAGCATTCGTGGCTCACTCGCCGTCCATGCCGTCCTCACCAGCATCGTATTATCGTCCAGAAAATGCCGCGCCGCTTTCTATGGGTCCCGGCCCCTACGTGAGCGCCCTCGAGACCGCAGCCAGGCTCGATGTTCGCGATACTTTGGTATGCGGTAAGCCCAGTCGAGGCTTCTTTGAGGGGGCATTGAAGGAGATGAGAGGGGGCGAGGATGCGCAGCCAGGGGAGAGAAACATCGTTGTGAGTTCGAGCCATCTCTTCCTCCAAACTTGATCTGAACGTCACATCGCGAGGTCCAATGATGCTGATTGCGCAAGCTGCTTCAACTTTCGCAAAACCACTCTTCGGGGTCGCAGGTGGGTGATGGTGAGCAGAGATTTCTTAAGGAGGCCATCTTCTCCACTCCTCCTTGTCATGTTCCATTTCATCTCAGCTGACGCCCCTTTTGGGACCACGCTGCGTGCGCAACAGACGTCTCTGCCGATCTGGGCGAAGGAGCCATCGAGCTAGGTCTCGAGCGCATACTGGGTGAGGCGGGCCTACATCCTCGCATCCTCTCTTTCATATCCCATTCAGAAGTCTCGCGCTAATCCTACCATCCTCTTTGCCGCCCATCTGAATCGTTGTCCTTTTGCGTGCCACTCCAGTCAAGACGGGCAAGTATCGTGATGGCGACGAGGACAGAGCTACTAAGCCCGTCTTTGCTGTTCATGAGACCTTTGCGCAGTGGGTGGATGTCTTGATCAGCGAGGAAGGACATTGAAAGCCGACCAGAAAGGGCAGAAGGGCCCCTCTATTCTGCTCGCGATTGCGCGATTTGTACGCGCCCATAGCTGCCTTGCGTCTCATCGAGTCTCCTCACAAGCAAGCAATCGTCGTCGAACGGTGAAGAAGACCATCTGAATTGGCAATGGAGCGACAATCGACAGTACATAGAACACCAGCATTCGCGGCCATAGTCACAAGATCAGCGCGGCCGAATCGGAAAGAAGCGCGGGCGACTGAGGGCGTGGCTAATCCTCTAAAGAGCGAAAAGGCGGAAGAAGGACGAGATGGGCAAATGTAGCGAAAAGAAGAGGGGGACAAGGATGACAAGTCCCGCATTCGAGACGTTTCACCGTGCAGGGTGAAGAGCGGTTGTTTGAGTGATCTTGTTGGGTACAGCATGCTTCCGTGCACCTCGTTATGATACAAAAGAGCGTGTCGAGCCGGATTTCATCAAGAGATTCGGCTGCAAAAAGAAAGAGGTGCCATCTGGATGGATGCACATGGAAAAAAGGTAGACGAATCGGCCTCACTGCTTGCTGCCATACAACGTGGCATACACGGCAGCTCTGCTTGCAAAAGCTGGCCCATTGTCGGCCGAACTGCGGAAGCGCAGCCATTCCGTGTCTGTGCGGCTGGTCCACGCTCGCTGATCTCTGAGGACCATGGCTTGTTGGGCGCCCATGTTTCTGCCGTCCCTATCGAATGAAGACTTGGATTGTTCCAGCCCGTCAATGAGCATGTCAAGGTCTTCCAAGATGGCCAGCAGGCTATCAGCTGTACGACGGTAAAAAGCATCCCGCTGTCTCTTCAGACCACCGCTTCGTGTCGCAGTGGCAGTGCTGCTTGCTTCGGCATTGCTACCGCTGCGCGCACCTCGCATTGTCGGAGTCTTTGCGCTCGGCACAGGTGTGGCCTGAAGCACCGTGTCGACAATGCGCCTCGTCTCAGAGAGAATTTGAAGCGCTTGTGCATGGTTGCGACGCGAAACGACCAAAAGGGAGCGAGTGATCATGTCGCTAACCAGAATCTCGATCCGTCGCCTCGTGACAATTGGATCCGCTAGTGCAGCTCCGCTGCCAGACGAAATGCCTTGCTTTGACATCGGATCTTGCGAATTCGCATCGACTTCGAGAGTCAGTACGCAAGGGTCTGGCAGCCTGCTCGTCGATGTGCCCATTGCTGGATCGCGGAAAGCAGCATCCACGCTGAATACTGCAACTTCTTCGATGAGATTGTCGTGAGCGCCAATGCCTTCGATCTGACCATCCGCACTCGCGAGGTTAAGATTTTCCAGGCCTAGACGATGCATAAAGTCATCGGTTGCGCTACCTTGCTCGTAAGCTGAGCCGGCGATCCTGCGTACGTTGCGCCGGCCATCAGGCCCATGCTCGGTGATGAAGGGCACAAGGCCGTTGAAATCCAACTCCAGCTCGACCATGATTTCTTTGCAGTCTCCGAAGCGCAATTCGCCAAGTTCGAGATCGACGTCTTTGCCGGTCGCTGAGACGATTGCTCCTTGCGGACCAGCCACTTTGCGGACCCTGAAGTGGTTGTCCGAAGGCACAGATATGTGCAAGCGCACATCCGTGGAGGCGACGGACATCAGAGAGCCGACACAGCCAGCAATGCATTCCCGCAGCTGGTACCACTCCCGGACGAAGGTGTACGAGCCCTTTGTGTGATTGGAAATGAGCCAGAGTGAAGATGGGTCGTGGCTCTTTCCGAATCCAAAAGAGTGCACGGGCACATTGCCAGCCTCGGCTCGGGCCATGACAAGGTCCATCTGGCCACGACGAGGAGCGTCGGCGGCATCGCTGATGAGCAGCATGCCAGTGAGAGGATTTTTACTGGTCCTCGCCAATACAATGTCTAGGCCCACATTGACCGCCGTGATGGTGTCTGTACGGTCTGCCGAACCGCCCAGCAGCTCGGCGTTGTCACGGAAGGGATCTTCGCCTTCCCCGGCCCAAGGCTGCCCGATACTCTCGATGAATTGCTCGAGCACAGCTTTGCTTTGATCTTTGCCCGGGCTTAAAAGGCTGGTGCGACGTACACCTCCCTCAGCACCCACACTGTATGCGACCAAAGCCAGCCGATCTCTGGATCCCATATTCGCAGCAACGAAGTCGAGAGTCGAGCGAATCAACCGTAATTTGAGCTGCGCCGATGACGATGTGGTGCTGCTAGTCGTTTGCTGAGGCACAGAAGGTACGCTGACCATGATGATGAGATCCAGCGGTGTGTGGGGAAGCAGGTCGGGCGGCGGCAAGCTGGGATCGAGACCGCCAGAGGCAGACCACTGGGTGTGCATAGCTACCATGGGAGCATGCACAGATCGGCTCATCACATGATGCACGGAGTCGCTTGAGCCCCGACGAACATTGCCGCCTGTCTGACGTCCGGCGCCCGCAAAATTTGGCGAAGCAATGTCGCCGCCCACCTTCGCGTCTACAGTGGAGGTCGTGCCACGCCGAGCAGTACTTGGCGTGCCTACGGCAGGGCTTGCTCCTGCTTGCTTGGACTCAGTGGGAGTGCGTGGGTACTCTGGAGGCCGATGTTCGTTCACCAGCGCGACCAGCTTTTGGCGCCAAGATTCCAAGGTACCTCTATCCTTGAAGCAAAGTACGAAGTGATTTAGGCTATCATCGTCGAGCTTGACACTCAGACTGAGGTCTCCTTCGCTGGAGGTGTCTTGTACTCGACGAATGTGTCGAATCCAGATGCGGCCTTTGAGCTTCAAAGGCGTTTTGTTGCTGGAACTCGCAGGCGAGAGCGGGCTTCTGAGAGGATCGTTGGCGGCGCCGCGGTCAGGCTGATCCTTCATGAAACGAGAAAGCCCCTTCTCCTTCTTGCGCTCTTCAGCGACGCACAGCAAGGCTTCTTTGAAGAGGTATACGAAGAAGTCTCTGACCACGTCATCTTGGCGAACACCGAGGAAGTCGAAGAGGGCGAGAGGTCCGAACCTTTCGATGCTATGACCCTTCCAGTCGGCAATTCGTTGGCGAAGATCGTCCGTAACGGGCTTGAACGGATTGACAGTCTCGCCCGAGTCCGCAGCCGGAGTGGCTCCGAATGAAAAACCTTCGTCATCGGTGGATGGGGAGCTCGCTCCATGGGTCTCCTTGTTCGTGCTCGAATTGGTGTCTCCCAGATTTTGCGACGTATCGCGGAAAGATTCGGCGCGTGGCGAGAATGCTGTTCCCGCATCAGAGGTCGAAGCTACGGAAGGAGGCTCAACGGGGTCATCGCGGTATGTGTGACTCTCTGTCGGCTGAATGCTGCGATCAGATCCTGATGCGCCGGAACGGGCGCTAAGCAAAGCACGGTGTTCGTTCTCTTCTTCCTCGAGGGTGGGAGCCGGGCGCCGATTCGGAATTTCAATCGAAAGGACGCACACGATGTTTTGCTTGCCGTTCTGACCCGTTGGGTCCTTGCGATAGACTGTGCTGTATTCGGGCCGGACCTTGATAAGGGGAAATACGGTGCCTCGGTGATCCGCGGACGCGCCGATGGATGGCGAAGTCATAGAAGTGAATTCGGATATAGCATCTCTTGATTTGCTGCGTTTGACGTTCTGAGCCTCGATAGGGTCGTCGCGACCGTTGTGTGACTGGATGGAGTCCGATTCTGTTGATATGGACCGTTGGGCCGAAGAGCTGATGCTTTTGTCGCCCCCCATCATGCCGGTCAATTCTGAACGAGACGCCGACGATGAAGCAAAAGATCTCGAAGTCAGCGTGTCTGCAGCTGGACCAAAATGAAGATATCTGGCCAAATTGAGACGGGGGACAGGGAAAGGTATAACGAAAAGGCGCGCAGCATAGTCGCTTGAAGGACTCTGGACCGATGACTGCCGAGCTGAGGACTTGCCACTTCGGGCCCGCCTTAAGCTCGAGCTTCGCGAGAACGACATGAGACCGTGCCACAATGGGATGTATGCGACACTTGGGAGAAGGCTGTGGTGAAGACCGCTAGACTAGCTGATCGCCAGCTGGAATGTGAACGTGGCTTGCGACGATGATCGTTGCGCGCATAGAAGCAGCAAACTGCCGCGAGCGTATGCTTACAATTTGTGACTTGGTCTATCGCTGCGACGCGCGAGGCGAAGAGAGAGAGCATGACAGCCAAACCTGTCATTCAATTATGAGGACCGTGCGGCAAGCACATTCTCATGGTTCCAGGGAACGTTGTCCGGGCACCCTACCAGGCTCCATTCACGATGCGAGCCACGAATTTGAGATGTACAGCGGTCCTTGCACGGGTCCTCGTGAGGTGGCAGTCAAGTACCGTCTGAGGCCGTGGTGCCCGAAAACGTCTGGGCGCGCAAGCCCCTGCCCTCGGTAATATTCGCGCGCGGGCCGCTCCGAGTTAGACACGGCTGGTTTGCCGTCCGCGCTCATATGAAGGCCTATCCGTACCTGCTCACGTAACAGACAACTCCGAAGGGGCGCTGCCGCACTGCATAGCGAGGCAAAGCTGCCATCCAATACGCTCGATCTCAACAAGGAGTAGACGTGCGAGCCTTTGCCACGAATGGTTGAGGCGCATCTGAGCGCAGGCGTGAAGCTCTTTCTGACTCTTTTACTGCCCGCCCACTATTGCCACGGAGAGCGACTACGCGCGCATCAAACGCTCACTGCTCAAGCCGCGAGAGCGGCGAATCGGCCTTGATCGATACTCGAGAAGGAAGACTGAATTACTCACTGTTACTGCGACGTCCTGAGATGCCGTCCTCGTTCAGTACGATCGGGCGTCGACAGACTCCACACATTCCTGGCGGTCCATTAGCTGTCGGTCTTCCGCTGCCTTCGGATCGTTGTGAGCCCTGTGAAGCAAGAACAGCTTCGGGCGCTCCATACACTGCGGAAAAGCATGCGTGATGCAGCGCATGACCACACGTCGGCACGACGTGAGCCTTTTCACCTGCTAACCTGAAGGATAGCAGTTCAAGACAAACTGGACAGGATGCTTCCTCCGCTGCTGCGAGCTCTGCATGACCCGAAGACGACGGGGAATACGCGAGTCGGGACTCCCGGGCGCTAGCGCCTCGCAAAGCTTCGGCGCGGGTGCTGGGACTTGAGTGAGCCGGCGATGCAGAGCTGATAGGCCCGTTAAGCTTTCGATCACCCGAGAGAGAGGGCGACATGATCATATTCGCATGTTCTAAGCGCTGCAGCACTTCGCTTCCTGGCGTGCCTGTCATTCGCTCCAGTTTGCTCTTGCCGCTGCGTTGGATGAGGCCGCCCGCTTCGAATCGCGCCATGACATCCGCATTCGAGTCGCCTGCGTATCCCTCGAGCTTATCCTTGCCACGTTGACTGTCGGCCGAGAAGGAGCGAGCATAGTCAGACGGCTCGTGCCCGTCAGAGGGAGCCCGGTTTGAGAGGTCCTGCGAGCGATTGGAGTGGTGCCCGTTGCTCGCCGAGGGAGGAACTAGCGCGCCTGCGTCACTTTCATGCGCCGCTCTTTGCTGTGCTGCAATCTGCTGTGCAGCCTTTTGGCGACTATCCGTGTCCCAATCCTCTTTCGGCAAGAGGCCGGCAGTGTTGCGCCAACCAGACTTCCCTCTGTGAGGAAGACTCTCGCTGCTAACTTGAGTCTTCATAGATTGCGAGTTGGAAGCGGGATCCAGATTGCCCTGGTTGGAGTGCGACTTTTTTCCAAATGGAAGCTTCCATTTGCTGGTGCCAGACGCAGGCAAGCTCGGGCCCGGATCTTGCATCGTGGCGTTCGGAGCGTTGGCCTTGCGTTGCAGCGAGGAGGCTCTGGGCTGAGGTGCAGGCTGCTCGTCGGTTACCGAGCTGGGTAGGATTGCAGGAGCCACAGGAGAATGCTCTGAGGTGCGAGCTTTCGGAGCGACACGGTCCGCGCTTGGCTCTTGGTTTGGAGAGGTTCGCTCAGTCTCGGTAACCGCAAAGCCTGGTGTGACGCCGTTTTCTGAGTCAGGGTCTGCGAAAGCAGGGTCCACCGCCTGCTCTGATGCAGCTTTCTGCTTCTTGATCTGACGCTGGATCTCTTGTACAGCTTGCGCAGGGAGCTTAGGTGGTCCTTCGTCTGGCGGGGAACCAGCAACTGTGGGCAGAGTAGGGGTGTGAGTATGCTTCGAGCTGCTCTTCCTGAGTGTGCGCTGAAGGTCTTGATCGTCGCTGGAGTGAGTCGTCTGGTCTGAATGGGACTGACTGAATCTGGATAAGAGCGAGTCAAAGCTCGACTTCTTCAGAACACCTTGAGTCAGAGCTCGAAGGCTTTCTGGCACGGGCAAGTCAGAAGTCGATGGGGCTGCAGTAGTGATCGCAGTCCGGGATGTCGCAGTCCGGGATGTCGCAGTCCGAGATGTAGTCTCTCGTGCTGAGGTGCTACCGCTGTCAGGTGCGTGCTTTGCACCCGTGCCAGAAGCTGGCCCAATCGCGTCCCTGGTGGAGGTGTCTGATGTGTCCAGGGCTTCTTGGCTCGAGGATTGCAAAGCAGCCCGTGGTACGCGAGAGAAGCGCCGAAGGAAGCTCAACTTGCTTGTGCCACTGTTACCGCTATCGCTTTGGATGCTGGGCGCCTTCGTCCGATGAAAGATTGCGAACCTGCCACCAGCTCCGGAGAGGCCGTCCAGGGGAGCGCACTTGGGCGGTACGACTTCGGGGATCTTTGGGGATCTCGAAGGCTGCTCGGTGGAAAATGTGATGCGAGATGGCCCTGCTTTCCGCAGAGTCTTCTCGTCGACTGGACTTCCAAGGAGTGGAGCTGACTTCGAATGCGCGCGACGCGGCCTACGGGGTGTTGGACTGGGTAATAGCTCTTGCAAGGTCCGCGAAGGCGACCGATTGGCTGCTGCAAAATCCTTGCCGGCTCGCGAAAGCGAAGCTCCAGACTGGAATGTATCGAGTCGGGGTCGCGGAGGAGATACAGGAGATGTAGAAGTCTTGTCCAGTTCGCTACTAGCGGAAGGACCAGCTTGCGGGTCAGGCAAGTCAAAGAGGCCTGCCTCGCTCGTCGAAACGCGCCAAGCCTCTGTGCGTTTGCGAGCACTGTCAAGGGGAGGGTGGCGGGGGATGACATATGATTAGCATACCTGATCGGTATCGAGGAACACCTCTCCGAAAAAAGAACGTGAGGACGCTAGCGGCTGCGGGCACGTAGTCACAATGTCCAATGTCCACGCGCCTCGAGCTTCCCCGAGCCGCAAAGTGCAACTTCCACCGCACCGGGGTCCGATCGCCGGACTTGGCTGCCACTCTCGCTCGAGTGCATGCATATATGGCCCCACCTCTGTCCATGTGGTCGAGCAAAGAGTAGCCCAAGAGATCATTGGCGCAGCCCAGATCAAGTTTCCGGCTTTGCTTGCTAGCCAGCCAGGACCCAGGTTCCACTCTCGGCAGACCATACCCAGACGAACATGCGACCACTCGTACCTCGTCCAGGCACGCGGGCCAATGAAATGCACTCACCTGGCAGACATGATTGAGGGGCCGACAATACGAGAGGAGACGAGGAGTGGAGGGAAAGTTGGAAAGCGGTGTCAGCGAGTGTAGGCACTGAGCTCGCAGAGCAGTGCAGAGAAATGATGGGATAGAGTGGAGACGATGCAGAGGCGATACGATACAAGAGAGCATCGAATACACCTCAAGCCGTGACGGTCGCCTTTTGAACCGACGTCCACGGGCTGTGCGTTTTGGCCCCTTTCTTGGTGGGGCATGGCGTCACTGCTTGAGGTCCGGTGCTCCAGTCACGAATGACTAGAAGCCCGCGACCGCAATCACGTTCCATGAGAAACGGCGTTATTGATCGGAGCAGCCTGTGCCCAGACAGACGTCAGCTCATCGCAACCGGCAAATGCCAGTCGCATCGGTGCATGGCCGGCCTAGGGCACGCGGGGCCCAAGCGCGCTCGGGACGCCAGGGTAGCCAACTGAATCGTCATCGCTCGCTCGCCAGCCAGGTCCAGGCGCAGTCAGTCACACCTGTGCATCCACAGTGTACTGTACAGTCTCGGCTTTGAAGCAGCCCGAGCATCGGACTGGACAAGTCGTCGAAGTGGCCGAAGCCGATCGAGCGAGCGAGACACACAAGGCCACCTCGCGCTTTGGCCCCGCAACGACTAGCGTTTCGTCGACGCATCACCTAGATCTGCGCACCTTGCTATCCTCTCTAGCAAGCGTGATTACATCCTCTCTTGTCTGAATTCAGCAGATCCATCGCCTTCGCAAGCATCAGGGCACATCCATCGCGCTACTCCGTTCCTTGACAAGGTTCTGTGGCGCTGTGCTGCTCAGGATGCATCCCACGGTCGTACTCACCTAGCCTTTCGATCTATACGCAGTCGGCCAGCTAGTCGCGAAAAAAGTCACACTGAGCCGACTTGCTGAGGTTCTGAATGCCGGGTATCCGAGCGGACCGAGCGATCGTGAAGCGTCTCGTGCACTGCTTCTGCGACGACTGTTCTCGTGTGCCGAGTCGATGATCTTGGGGGTCCGGCCAAAGCTCGTCAGCGGTCGTGAAGGGAGATTGCTCAGGGCGTGAAACGTGATTGACGTGGGAGGAGAACGACGGAGCGACGTAAAGAGTTGGAGGGGTATACTCGTCACTAAGAACAGCGGTCAGTGGTGAAGGCCTGTGGCCAGGTTCTGTGTGGAAGCTGTGCTGGCTGAGCTTGCATCGTGCGTTTCGCCGTGATCAGCGGCAGCGGCCGGATGTATGCATGCTTTGGTGCATGGCTCCCACACGCACGCTTTTCGTGGGACAAGCCAAGAAGAGAGGTCGCAACTCATGACTCGTGACCGCTGTCTGCGTTGCTTGCATGCTCTGCCTCAGGCCGTTCAGTGTCACACTCACGACCACCCAAGACTCTTGACCGTTGTGACTCACTGCTGCTGTTACAGACTTGATTTTGACAGCAACGATCGCATGCACGGGCAAGTGGGCACCGTTACGTTCGAGTAGGACATTCACGAATCGTGAATGGTGTGCAGGCTGACAGCAGGCCGAGTACCGTAGCCCAACGGCGGGCCTGCAGTCGCCTCCGCGTTGTTCCCATGCATGCATGCTGTCGCTTGCCGCTGCTGTCTTCCGATTTGGCGCAACACCACTTCAAAATCGCTGTGCGCTAACAGCAATCCGGGCATCCAGCAGCAGCTGAGCGGGCGCCGGTATCCAGTCAGTACAAGACCGGCTCTCGAGCAGGTATCATGACCCGTCATCCCATTCACGCTTACTGGTGAGTTGTTGTGAAGTTTCAGCTCATCAGTCACAGTAGAGACTCCGATTACCATCACATATATGCCGCACCGAAAGAAGCTCTCGCGATACCTTTGCCACACCAGTCATGAGTGCGTGAGCTGTGCTTGGACTCACGACTGCTGCTGCTGCGCCCGCCTACAGCCCGCTCGCTATACGCACACCGCGTCGAGAGCGCGTGATTTCAATAACCGACTGATGGGACGACGCCAGGAACGGCAGCGCCCGAGCCAGAAAGCATCGCGTAGTGCAGCGCGGCGTCTCCGCCCTGTCGCGGAGTATTAAGGTACATACATGATGCTGATGCTCGCAGCTAGACAGCCCTGCAGCGAGAAGTTGGGCTCGGGGGTTGATTTTGCCTTCTGCCTTCAGGTGTTGCACTCATCCCCTGGACTAGTCACGAGCTCATTACGGTAATTGACATCAGCGTATTAATTAGAGGAGAAGCAGCAGTAGCAGTCTAGTCATGAATTCAGCCACGCAGTCACGAGTCACGAGTGTATCAGACTCGAGTGGCGCCGCCACGTTTTGAGCATCGCCATCAGTTGGACACAGCGAGCCAGTCGGGCAGACGCTGTGCTAAAAGCCACCATCAGCATGGACTGCTTGGCCAAATTCAGCCTGCGACGCACGCTCGCCATCGCATTATATAGTCTAGTGTGACTCTCAGATAAGGACTTTGGTCTCTCATGAGCCTAATTTCTTGCCGCTGAGCCCGACGGCGGCAGGGAAACATTAGCGTCACGCCAGGGTGCATGCAAACCTTCCCGAACGCATCAAGCACAAAAAGACTGCGCGTCTTAGATCAAGGTGACAACGGTTTCAATCGAAAGCTGGTACTGGCCTTGCGTACCACAACCCTGCTTGGGGTCCATGCAAATCTGCTCACTATCATAGATAGACCGGCGGGCCCCAGCGTGAAGTCGCCCTTTGCGTCCGAAAAGCTCTGGCAAGCATTGTTGAGCAAGAGCATTTGGCGGAGCAGATTCCGCGGTTGAGATTTAGCACGGCATGCATGCTGGACATTTACACTCACAATCGTGAATCTGCATTCCTATTTGTGTAGCTTTACGAGCGTGGCAAGCGACGTGGGCAAGGATTGGAGGATCTGAATGCCGAGCCTCGAGAAGGAGGTGCCTTCCCACGCCATTCGCGTGAAAGGGCAAGAGCAAGAGGCCACCTCGCGTCCCTGGCATAACGATGGCGCGTGACCCGGCTTGCGCGGCTCGTGAAGATGGTTGCTGGTAAAGAGGCAAGGGTACACACAGCTTGCCTCTGACTGATGCGTGGCGCTCCACACTCATAATCCTCAAAAGTGCTCCTCTTCCATGTCGAGAGTCTGCCGACTGCGGGCCAGAACAGCAGTTGCCCCTCATTCCTTAGCCCTCCGTTTTCTTTCTTTTCTCAGCGCGCTGCTCTCAGCTTTGCGGGCCAGCTTAGCAGCATTCTCTATCCCTCTTTCCACTTTTACTCTAGCTTTTGAGCTCGTGCCGGCTCGTGAGCGCTTGCGCGTGCTTGCCGTGTTGGCCGGGACCTGGCGAACGTGGCCTGGCAGCGACGGTTTGCGTGTATTCGAGCTTTGTCCTGGGATGTCAGCGCGGAGACAAACAAACGAGCTAAAGTCAGACTGGCAAGTCTTCACAAGACAGCGGCTGCGTGAGTGTGTCTCAGCGATCGTGCTTCAGCGCTCACCGCTATCATCAGGGTGTATCTCGATTTCCGGGTGCACTTCAGGCTCGCGGCGCTCGCTCCCTGCAGAGAAGATGTCTGGCCGTCGGTCAGCACTGCGACGCCACGCGGCGACGTTCGAGCTTTGCACACTCACGCTTCAGACCTCCTCTTTTGCTTGCTTTTGCCATGACGACCGTCGGAGGTCGAGGCCTGACACGGCAGTTTCACGTGATGACCGTGGTGGTGTAGCGATTCTACGAACGATGCTGGTGGTCATCATATGCATGAGTCGATGCAATTTCCGGTCACGCATGAGAAAGCATCTCGACGCGCGCGTCGGTTGCGTGCGTGACTTGCGCCCTGCTCATCGGTGTATAGCCAGGCGCCCTTTGGCGGTGATCAATGTCAACATCGTACCAAGGCGTAAAGACTGGCTTGTCGAGAAGACGCACACCATGCTGTGAGCTTCTCTGCCGAGACGAGGAAAGGAGGCACGAATTCTATTCGCTCCAATGCGTCCTTGTGCGCATACACTACAAGCATTCAAGGGTACAGAAACGGAGCTTTGGAGGATGTGCGCCGGATGCTGAGATGAGCTCAATGACTTCAAGGCTACTTCCTCGGAATGAGTTGCGGCGCAGATGGTCCAATCTAGTGTGCCGGCCATTCCGAAGGAGGTCTGCCTTTGAGAACATGATTTCCGGTCTCGTCGAAATCTGCGGGAGGATACGTCAACATATCGGTGATGGGACTTGATAACGTTGGATTTCCGATGCCCATCAACCTCACCGTACGCACCAACATTCTCTGCATGGCCCAAAGCTTTACCAACGAACTTGGTGTGCGAGCCGTACGCCAGCACAGCGTCAGAAACTGGATGCCGCAGCTCGAAACGTGTTGTCGCAAGCGTCTTCCCTACATAGTTGGGGTCGATGCAAATTTCGTCAAGACAAGGCGTAGCGCACAACTTGTACTCCACGTATGCTGACCTAAGCTTACTACTGTGCCGATGGCGTGCACCTCATCTCCGGCGCCTCCGCCTGCTTTGACGAAAGTGGTGTTGATATCAGTGGAAACGCCGGTGCTGTACAAGCCTTTGGTTGCCAGCGCTAGGCTGCCCATCGTCTGTCGATGCAGGAAGCTGTCAATGGTTAGCAACCTGAGCCTGAAACACGCTTCTGCATATGGACACATCAAGGATGTAAACCCACATCGGTCAAAGAGCAAATGGCCCCACCGTGCAAGCTTCCAAGCCGATTGAGATTCTCTGACCTGATCGTGACCGAGGCTCTGACTGTGCCAGGTATGGCCGACAGAATCTTCATTGCCGGAAAACAATTCGCATCGTGCCCCTGGGTCTTGATGAACGCTGCTGCTACCCTTCTCGTAAACGTCAAGCAGGGAGACGCCGCCGTCATGGTGTGGAGCAGCTCGTCTGACGACGTTGCAAAGTGCAATCGTGCCTGAAAGCGTTTGTGCCTTGTCAAGCAACGTGAAAGCACGATTGCAGGACTCGGTATCAAGCCTCCGATGACGAACCTGAAGCTATATAGCGGTCAAGGTATGAAGAAGCACCAAACCATGAACAGACTAGCCGAGTCACGAGTGCCGGTGGGTTGTGTGTTCCACGCCTCTTCTGGCTCCCATCACAGCTAGACCACTCGTAAAACTTCTGACCGCCGGCTGATGCATGCCTTGCGCACAGAGAGGTGGCTGTGCGCGCACACAAGAATCGTGGAATCGCGTGCGTGAACCTAGGTCAAAGTCCGGGTTCAAGGCGATCCACGTGATGCGCGCGGGGAGGCCCATCACGTGAACAAAAATCAAGCGGGCCGCACGCGCTGATGGTTCCAAAATGGCCTGATCTTTCCCCGCGCGCGCAACGCGGCACATTTGGCACTCTTGACTCAAGACTCGTGCCGGCCGCTCGCGTCTGGCCGCACTGCCTCGACCCAACAACCTCAGGCCACTTTCAACTCGAAAATATGGGCAGAATCGACTCGCACCATACATCGCAACCGGCACTGGAGCGAGTCAAGACGATCACCGACATGAGCTGATCGCTCTTCGGCCGCCTTTTCGAACATGGCTATAGCAAATTGATCTTCGCCTCGGACTATCGCATAGGCAGTCGTGAGTGACCACGCCATTTTCCACTTCCGACAAAGCTTTGGCAGCGGCGATCCGCAGTGTCTCAATCACACACGCCTCAATCTAGCCCATACATACGACTTGCACTCATCGCAACAATGGATCCTCTTGGTGATCGCAACCACCACCTTGAATCTCAAGCCATCCATCTGCAACACCAGCGAGAGGTCGAGAGGCAGCAGCAGCAAATCTTGTCGCTGTTCCGCCGTCAGAGTCAGCCACCTCAACCGACCTCCCCTTCCCGACCAATGAACAGCCAGCCTTACTTCTCGACGGGCGTGTATGCTCATCCTCAGCACGTAATGCCTGGGCAGACTTCTGACCACCAGCAATTGCCGCAGCTCTACCCTCAATGGCCTGGCCCTGCGCCAGACGAGGCTTACCTGCGCCATCTGCTGGCCGTTACTTCGTCGCAGCCGCAGCACCAGTCTCAGCACGTTGCCACTCCCTCAGGGCAATCGTCATTTCAGCCTCAAAGCTCGTACCACTTCCAAGGCGGCCTCGACGCAATTGGGCACACAGTTCCAGAGATCTCACAGCACAGCGCTACGCACTCTTCAGCTGAATCTTTCTCAGCGGGTAGTCCGCACTCGTTGCATGACTTCGTACTCGGCATTCACGCGTTCCCTACTCCTCCAGAGAGCGACAACTCCCTCGAACACAATGATGCTGGCCAGACCCTCGATGCTAAGCGTAGCGACCTGCCCCTCTTCTCCTTTGGTGGCGAAGCAGGATCCGACGGCACCATCGATCCTACCAGCATGTCGTTTGATCCAAGAGTCGTGTTCGGTGAAAGCTACAGTGATCAGCAGCGCAGCGCCCCCTCGAGCACCCCGGGTCTTAGCCCTAGTGCTCACAGCAACGTCGGACTCAGTAGTGCCACGTCGCACAGCGGCTCTCCGCCGTATTCGAGCAGCGCCCCTGATACGACCTTTGTGACTCCAGAACAACTCTCCAGTGTTCCCTTTTCGCCCAGCAAGCCGAGCCCCGAGCAATACGCTTTCAATCCCGCTATCAACAACGCCATGGGTATGTTGGGAGTGGCGGGTAGCGTGCCATCATTTTTCGAAAGTGCTGCACCGCATAAGACGGACCTGAAGCGTCAAGCATCGGGCGAAAGGCCAAGTGAAGGCCGTCCACCCAAGAATGTCAGAACGGCACCGCCCGCGTCGAAGGAGAATTCTAAAGCAAGCCGGCGAGTTAAGAGAGAGCACCAGCCCATAGCGCCTGCAGTTCACCCGGCCAGCGAAAGCCACGCAGCGCCGTCTAGCAGCTCGATGAATCTTCCCGAGATGGCAGCTGGCAGCAACGCCACAGCACAAGCTGCTATTATCAAGCTGCGCCAACGTCAAGCTGCTGTTGCTGCTGCAGCTGCCGAAAGTGCCGAAAATGCTCGTCATGGCAAGAGCACAGTGGATGGCTCGCTTGCTTCGAAAAGCAGCAGGCTACGTCGTGACAGCTTTTCGGGCTCTGACGACGACTCACACGATCTTTCGAATGGTTCTTCCGAGAAGTCGCAACGCAAAGTAGCTCACAACGCAATCGAGCGCAGATATCGCAACAACATCAATGATCGTATTGCAGCCCTGCGTCACGCTGTACCGGCTCTCCATGATCCCAAGCCTCTGCCGGGAGGTCGACGAGGAAAGAAAGCACGGCTTCAGAACGATTTGGTCGACGGCGTGCCCCGTGCCACGAAGCTGAATAAAGCAACCATTTTGGGAACAGCTACCGCATACATCCGCGTCCTAAAGGGTCGAGAGATTCGTCTGTCAAACGAGGTCATTGGTTTGAGACAGCTAATCACATCTTTAGAAGGAGGTGACGAGCTTCTAGAGCTGTGGGTGGCCGAAATGCAGCAGGCTACCGGCGCAAAAGGCGACACCTCACATGACGAGCCCGAAATCGACGAATTTGAGGTCGGAGAGGATTCTGATGACGACGATGAGGAGGACTCTGGTGAGGACGAAGACGACGAGAAGCCCAATGGTCAGCAGATCAAACGCAGCCGCACTTCTCGCGCAGGACCGCTCGCGCGGGCCATGACAGGTGGTATGCTTACCCTCGCCATCTTCGGACCTGACTCCCAACCGAACGAGGTTGCGCCTACATCTGCATCTGTACCGCACTTCGTCAAGCGGCAACTGCTTGACGAAAGTCAGGAAGAATACCAGCCCGGCACTCCTGCCATTCTGGACACCTTTCGCATTGTGACGTTCATGGGTATCTTCCTCATCTTGGTCTGGCCTATCATTTCGCGACTTCTGACTCGCTGGCATCGCAAAGCTGCGCGCAGTGGAAGCACAGCATCGAGCGAATCAATTGCCAATCTCGACGATCCTTCCTTCGACGCGCGCAGGCGAGCCCTACTGCAAGTTTTGGCACGGTCGCATCCTGATGCGCGAGAAACGAACACGGCCTTGCGCAAGTTCGTGGTGGCGCCTGTGCACCCACTCTGTTCGGCCTATGGACTGGTCCTGGAGAGTGCCAAGGCTCTGCGCACTGCCATGGGTCTGCGTCCTTCTGCGACAGATATGACCTCTGGTGAAGCTGCCATCTGGCTTCGTTTGCTAGAGGTGGAAACATCCCTCGGTCCACTCGCGGAACCCAGTCTCGTCGCCCGCCTCTACACAATCATGCGTGTCTCTGCAGCTCTGGAGCTGAATCAGATCAAGCGCGCCCAAGGACATGCTACCCTCGCGCTCGCTCTTCTTCGAGCTTTGCCTGGCAATGCTATCACGGAACGGTGGGCTGTTCAATGCTGGGAACGCGCGCGCCGATGCCGACTTATCGCTGCCGACGAAGAAGCCTCGCAATCGGCTCTCGATGGAAACTCGCTCCTGGAAGCTCACGATTCGGTCGACGAACGATGGATAGACAACGTTCTGAGACTGGAGGCGTGGGAAGCTCTGACGTACGCCCCAACCCCGACTGCAGTCCTCGCAACTTTCAGAGCCACTGCACCGGCGACGGCGCGCGCGACTGCTCTCTCGCCTCTTCTGAGCGTGTCGGTGCATCTGCACGCCGCGGAAGCCAACGACGTGTGGTCGACGATCTTCGACGCTCTGGTGCGCCACACGTGTCCCGGCGCCGTGAACGTTGACCTCGAGACTACGGCTGCCACGACTGTGCGAGAATTCATCAGACATGCCAGGACGATGCGACTTGAGTTAGACATCGCGACGAACGACCTACAGCGCGAAGCGATTTCATCGCGCATTGCCCAACTCGTCGCTACAGCGCCTCCTGTACCCGAATCTCGCGACCTCGCCTTGACTCTGCTTGGTGCTTGGTCCTTGATGATTGGCAACACTTTACTGGCCCGCAACGTTTGCGCTTCGCTACTTCGCTCAGGCGCCGTTCGAAGATCCGCCTCTTCTTCGTCGCTTGTTCACTTGGTCCTTCCTGCCGGTTCACACGAGGCGAGCAGCCTCGAGACTCATTCGGTCGACGCGATGCTAGACTGCGCCGAAAACGTCGCTGCAGCTGCGCTGGGCTGGTTGCTCTTCTTGCGAGGCTTTTCAGGCATGTGCGCCGGCACGAACGGTCACCCCACGGAAGGTGCACGGACTTCACTCATCACGTCGGCGAACCAGTTGCGCGCTCAGCTAGCGAAGGTTGCCCTCTCGCGGCAGCCTCGTCGACAGCAGTCTGCAGAAGGATCGACGAGAAGAGCGTCTGCGACCTCGTTCGCTTCAGATTCGGGTACCATCACCCCAACGTCCAGAAGTCAAACGCCCACTATCAAATTGCCCGAGCAGCGCCAAGTCAGTCTCTTCGAAGTTAGAGATGCTTTGACTGACGTCCTTGCGACGCTTACGCGTAGGATCGTCTCGAAAGATCTGCGTGGCTGGGTGGAAGAAGATGGCGAGGACTCGGGCGTCGAGTGGATTTGATGCGGTCTGACGCTCGAGCAACGACACTCCCCTTTTCTGCTTCGCTGAGCCTTTTTGTATATACATCTGCTTGCTTCGGGCCCGGGTTCGCCAGTTGTAATGTCTACGTTTTGCGTCTCGATCATTGCGACTTTTCACAATCCGCTGATTACGAGCTCGAAAGGAGGTGGATCGTGATCTGAGCTTCCTCTATACCTGCTGCCTTTGGTGCAACTTCTCTCAAGTAGCCTCGGTGATTGCAAGCCTCGTCACAATTTCTTGAGATTTCGTGACACGATTCGCGATTCTTGATTGGACCAAGAATCATGAACAGTAGACGTTCTCAATCGTGGATCTTGAGCGCAGCGCACCGACGCATGCTCGTGTGTGTAGCAACCTTGGGTGTGAACTTGATGAGAGTGATCTTGAATGCACAAATGGAATCTTAAATACCGTGGGTGCACGCTTTGAGGATGCTGATACTCACTCGCGTTCGTTCAGGCAGAGGACCCTTGCAGGGACTTCAGCGGCCGCGATTGGACTTGACATGCCAAGCAAATTTGAATCGAACAGCTCACTTCTCCTGATCCGGCAAAATTCAAGACTGGCCATGGGCTTCCATGTCGAGATTCGGACTCGCGGCGATGACTGCTTCCGCTGCAAGCAGTCAAGAGGAATGGTCTCAGGAATCGGCAATTTTCTGGTCTGCTGGCTGCTGACCTCGCACACAAACTCCAGAGGACTCATCAGAATCACAAAGCCATCAAAGATGCGCCTTCGCTGCTGCTGCTGCCGCTGCTGTCTCGGCTGCAAGCATGCGACTGCAGACTCATGACTTTGACTGCAGGTCCAACCACACCACCACGATCGCGCCTTACCCTTGTCACCGAGTCAAGTGCACAACAGCCAGGGTCTGAGTGCGTCCCGGGCAGCGAGCGATGCGCAGCTGCTATATAGCTGCATCTGCATGCTGATGCCTCCCTCCTTCAAGCGAGAGCGCGCGTGTTCTCGCGTCAGCCAGCATAGGCAGGCAGGCAGCCACGGCAACAAGGCTGCATGGTGGGTCCCAGTGTACCGCCAGTCTGCGGAAGTCATGGTGTACCACCCATCACGCCTGATTCCCTGTATCGCACCGCCGTCATCTTGCCTTCATCTCACCTTACCTTGACTGCATGCCTGCCTCAACAAGAGCTCTTGCGGCACCCTGCTATCATCTCAGGTTGTCGGTGCTCAGTTGACGATCCACTCAGGCCATCCCCCCGTCGTCTCCGCATCCCTACTCGGATCAACACCTGTTGCACCCTTCCACCCCCAGATCCCGGCGAGCACGCCTAGCGCCGGCGACATCTCAGCTGCGCACGCACATTCCACGTTCTCGATCTTCTTGCGATTAGCTCCGGTGATCAATTGAGCGGATTTCAATCCATTTCGCTGGACGAGTCGGCCTTTCGATCCGACAGGGTTGCCACACATTCTCGATTGTCACAGGTTGCGAGTCGCCGTAGGATCGAGGCACTGCGGCAGGAGATTGCGGTCGAGAGAGCTTTCAGCTCTGCGCCGCCGATCGAGACAGGATGGCGCCATCATCCGTGGCCAGCGACAAGAATGCGTCTGGTGAATCTCCAGCACCACTCTCGCCACGCTATGTTGGTCCTTCCTCTTCTAGCACACAAGAGTCGGGTGGCTTCATCTATCCAATTCGCAGCGCTGTGTCGGTCCGGCCGCCAGCATCTTCAGCCCAGGAAAGTCAGGCAATGAGCCCTCAGTCGTCTCGCGAAGGAGGTCATACTCACTCTCAGAGCATAGAATCCTTGACTAGCGGCAAGCGTCCCGCATCTTCTCATTCTCGAGGGGCATCCTTAACGCGAGGACTCTCCAAATCCAGCGTGGGTTCCGCGGCGCCCCCGCGCCCTCCATCCAGCAAAGACGACCCTGAGGCAAGCGCAAGCTATGCACGCGTCGATGCTGCTGCAGACTCTTCTGTCGGGGAACACTTGGACTTGGACTCTGTTGACGAGGAAGCTTCAGAAGTGCAGGAGGCGCGGCGTTCGGACGTTGGGTACGCGGAGCTTGACCCCTTGGATGAAGACGCGCGGAACACCGCGAGAAGGGAGGCTTCGGCGGAAGCAGCCGAGAAAGATAGGCTCGAGAGCATGACACAGACTCGTTTCACGCATATCGCCACTCCTGATGGGCATATGATTGTTACCGGTAGACAGAAGGAACTTACTAAATGCGAAGAGGAAGTGAGTAGCGCAGCAGACGAGCGCCATTTCCGCATACTGGTACCCGTCGGCACGAGGCGCCTCGAGCTCATTCTTTTCGGATCCCTCTTATGCAGCCAATTCACATTCCCGGCGCGGTGCAGTCGTTTGGCTGTATGATTGTTGTGCGGGAGGATGAGGAAGGCAACCTCGTGGTGCGCCAGGCTTCAGAGAATACCGGCGATATTTTGGGTCTGCCTCCTGCGTTCCTCTTCAAGACTGCGTCCTTCTTGGACTGCCTGGAGGATGACGAAGCTGATAGACTGTGGGACACGATCGAAGCTTTGGATCAGACGGAGCAAGAGCTTACGGAGTCCGGCCCAGTTGTCATTCAATTGTCTGGCTGGGGCCAACCCGGACCTGGCACGGGCCGTGCTCGCGCACGAAGACATTGGGAATGTTGGTGTGCTGTCCATCAGCCCAAACTCAATGCCACTCCGCAAGGTCGGCAACCGCTGACCATTTTGGAGTTTGAACTCATCAACGATGCCCACAATCCTCTATATCACCCGACTGAGCCCCCTGCGGTTCCGGTCGACGAGCACAATTGCGAGCTGCGTCAGAAAGCGCTTGTACCATTTCTGGGTCAAGAGACCCAGAGCTCTGCGAGTGGCGGCGCGTCAGCATCCGGCACTGCCGTACAACACGGAACGGGTCTGGATGCGAAAGAATCTTTGAGCGGGCAACTTGCTCGTCTCAGCATTCAGGCTGGTGCGTCACCGGGCAGCGGTACCGAAGGCTCAAGTACACGCTCAACTTCGCCGCGGCCGAGCTTAGGCACCTCGAGTAAGTCAGACGACACCCCCCGACCCTCAAATTCTTCCTCCGTGACTCTTTCGGCGGCTCGACACCCTGGTGGTTTGGAAGGCGAGCCCTATGAGCCTAGCCACGAACAGTGGCTCGAATCGACCCAATCAACGTCGCGACCGCTGAGATCGCTGACGCGCACACAGGACAAAGGCGGGGAGGGCAATGGCAGAAGACGACCTCGACCCAAGAAAGCAACAGCAGGCGGTGGGCCGGGTTTGGGTTCCGGTCGCAGAGACAGTGGTTCTCAGATGCTGGACATGTTCGGCATCCTAAGTCAGGTCAATGAGCAGCTTTCTGCCGAGTCGGAGCTGAACAGCTTTCTGAAAGTCGCTGTCAGTCTCGTTCGCGAGGTTACAGGCTTCGGCCGAGTGATGATCTATCAATTCGACGAGGCTTGGAATGGTCAGGTAGTCTGCGAGCTCGTAGACTGGAGCGAGACACACGACCTTTACCGCGGCCTTCACTTTCCGGCTTCAGACATTCCAAAGCAAGCGCGGGATCTGTACATGATCAACAAGGTGCGCCTGCTGTACGACCGCGATCAACCCTCAGCTCGTATGGTTTGTCGGGAACAAGAAGACCTCAATACTCCCGTCGATATGACGCACGCCGTCTTGCGCGCGATGAGTCCGATTCACATCAAGTACCTCGCAAACATGGGTGTCCGTGCGAGCATGTCAATCTCCATCACAGCATTCGATCAGCTCTGGGGGCTCATCGCTCTGCACACGTACGGAGAGTACGGGAAAAGAGTATCTTTCCCGGAACGACAGCTATCGAGGCTCATTGGGGCTTCAATCAGTCGCAATATCGAGCGTCTCAGCTATACACGCCGATTAGGTGCCAGGAAGCTCATCAACACGCTACCAACGGACCAGAATCCAAGCGGATACATCATCTCCAACGCTGAAGATCTGCTAAAGCTCTTTGATGCCGACTTTGGTGTCATTGCCATCGGATCGGAGGCCAAAATCCTTGGCCCGCTCAGTGCGAGCCAAGAGGTGCTAGGTGAGATGCCAAAGACTGCCCACGATGATTGAGACAATGCTGATCTTTTGTGCCTTCGCCAGGCTGCACCGAGTACTTGCGCATCAAAAAGTTTCAGAGGGTGGTGGTGTCCCAGGATGTTAGTGCTGATTTCCCAGACATGGTTCTGCCCCGAGGGCTGGAGGTCATCGCTGGCCTGCTCCTCGTTCCTCTCTCAAATTCCGGCGTCGATTTCATCGCATTCTTAAGGAAGGCGCAGAACAGGCAGGTCAACTGGGCAGGTCGACCATTCAAGCAAGGGCAAGAAGGATCCGCCGCTCTGGAACCACGCAAGTCCTTCAAAATCTGGAGCGAGACTGTCACTGGCACATGCAGAGCATGGAAGGATGAGGAGCTGGAGACTGCCAATGTACTCTGCCTCGTGTACGGCAAATTCATCAGCGTGTGGCGGCAGCGCGAGCAAGCGATGCAATACAACCAGCTCAATCGTCTACTCTTATCCAACGCAAGTCATGAAGTACGGACACCGCTCAATCACATCATCAACTACCTCGAGATGGCGCTAGATGGCAACTTAGATGTCGACACGCGTGATCACCTGAGCAAATCGCACATGGCCTCAAAAAGTCTTCTTTTCGTCATCAATGATCTACTGGATCTTACTCGTCAAGAACACGGGAACAGGCTCTTTTTGCAGGAGCCGTTCGATCTCGCTTCCACAGTACGCGAGGCAGTCGAGATGCACGAGTGGGAGGCCAAGCGGCGCGAGATCGATTTTACAGTCACGACACAGCCAGAAACCCTTATGGTCCTGGGCGACAAGAATCGCATTCGCAGCATAGTCACCAACACAGTAACCAACTCTGTCAAGCACACCACCAAAGGGCAAATTGTGGTGGAGATTAGACAACGAGACTCTCAAGAATTGTCAGAGCTGCCGGAAGACTGCGACATTGAGGTAGAGCTGACGGTCTCAGATACCGGCAGTGGTATACCACGCGCAAAGCTCGAATCCATCTTCCGCGAGTTTGAGCAGGTGGAGTCGGTGATTGCGGATCCATCGGCCCCTTCGGATGTCAAAACCCAGACTGTAGAAAGCGAAGGCGTAAGCGGATCCTCTGACGAACTTGAGCTCGCGGCCGCGCGAGACGTGGAGAAAAGCAAGCAGAGCGGAGGGGTGCTTGGACTTGGCCTAGCAGTCGTCGCGCGGGTGGTCCGTAATCTCGGCGGCCAGCTGCGCGTGGATTCGACTGTGGGCGAAGGCTCGCGCTTTACCTATTTCATTCCTTTCAGGTCCGCGGAACGTGGTGAAGCTGCGCGAGGTGGTGCACAGCAAGTCAGGAGACGGCCAGCATCCTTGCAAGGCAGCGAGGCGTCCGGATCTGGACAAAGCGAAATCAATTCGCTCGTCGAAGCACTGAACGCTCCTCACCTGGATGCATCAGATGCCGGCAGCTCTGCTATCGGTAGCGGTGGCCAACGTCGATCTGTAGAAATGACGCGCACCCATTCTACCTCTTCCTCCGAGCAAGCACGACCACCCCAGGCGATCACCACGAGACCTACCCACGACACTGGCGTGCACATCAGCGGCTCCAAGGTCCCCTTGAGATCCGTTCGAGTCGATCCTCACGAGCTGGACGGGCAGTCGCAGGACAGTCCGCAGCGCAGAACCGGGACCTTTTCTCAAGCGCAGTCGCCATCTGGACCCACAGCAGAGGGGCGTGACGATCGAGGTGTCGAAGCGCGGGACTATGTCGGTACCAAGAATGAGCCTTACGCCTCGCCGAGTGCTGCGACGAAAGCTTCCATCAGCTTAGATTCCCAGGAAGGAGAAAGCGCCCGCATAGCTGCTGTGTCCAAGGGCGCCAGCGGAAGACGCTTGGCGGCAGCGAATCGCGGAAGGTCGTCTGCAGCAGCATCACCAAATCCTAAAGTCCCAGCATGTCGCGCTCTTGTGGTGGAAGACGATCCGATCAACCGCGCTATCCTATCAAAGCGCCTTGGTCGTGATGGACACTCCGTGTCGTCAGCGGTTAATGGAGAAGAAGGCGTCAGGGCATTTGAAAAAGATGGCGATGCCATCGATGTTGTGCTGATGGATCTTCAGATGCCGATATGTAATGGCCAGGAAGCTTGCCGACGCATTCGAGCTCTCGAAGCACAGCGCAAGGAAGCGTCTTCAATGGAAGGGCGTCCAGCCGTGCACATCCTCAACGGCAGAATACCGATCTTGGCAGTGTCTGCTACTCTTACGCACGACATGCACGACGAGATTGTCGACCTTGGCTTCGACGGTTTCATTTTGAAGCCGATCGACTTTGCACGGCTGTATGCCCTGCTCAACGGTCTCAAGAATACCGAACAACGCGCAGCTGAGCGTTGGTCGCCCTCAAAGAACTGGGAAAAGGGCGGCTGGCTCTCTGCGGCACCGGAGCGTTCATGATAGGCTGCTTCAGGTCCTCATTCTACGATCACGAGCGATGTACACTTGATCGCCTCGGCATTTCGGAGGCCGACCAATTTGAATCGCAACTACGCTTCCCACCGCGCACCTATGTTTGAATCACGTTTACAAATCTGGCTCCGCAAGCATACTCGTCCTTGTTGTTCCGTCGCCATCTTCTCGTTGGTGCGCTTCGGTGCTCGCTCTCTTGCACTCCCTCTTTGCTTCCACCTCGACAATTGTATGGAAAGATAGCATTCACTTCATTATACACGCAAGCCATCTCCCTCTTTGCTTCCACCTCGACAATTGTATGGAAAGATAGCATTCACTTCATTATACACGCAAGCCATGCTAGTCACGTCGCACTGCGCACCGGCCTCCTTTACCGACGACCTACTCCTCCTCGAGCGTGTCGTACCTAGCGCATGCCGCTTGAAGCTCAATAGACACGCCAAGACCTATCTCCGGAAGGGAGGGCATGGCGCCTTGTTTCGTGATATGTGGATTCGCCGGACAGTCATTAGTGTACATTACAGATGCCGCGACCAGAGTCGAGTCGAGTTGAAGTAGCGTATCGCGCCGATGCGGGATCGCAACGCAAAAGAGCCGGAGTAGAGTGGAAGCGAGCGCTACGGTACGCCACCAAATCCGCCAGAGTTGGCACCAAGCCATGTATCTACCCGGAGGCTAGTCATTGACCCTCACTTTGTTGTGGAGGTCCTCTGGAGGTCGTCAAAGGCGCGATCCACCAAGCATTGATATAGACGCAATTACTCGTCCATCAGGTCCTCAGCGGCAACCTCGTTGCGAGCCAGGCTGCTTCCGAGATTGCTCGTGTTGGTAGGCGAACCATCCTTGTTTGGCGATCCGCTCGAGCTAAAGCCGGTAGCGGTGGGAAAGGCACTGACTTGAGGCTGATTGCGACCAAATCCTCTAGGATCTGGCACAGCGACAGGAGCCGAGCCGGGTCCGGATGTTTGAGGTCCAAGTGAGGTGGGTGCGCCTTGTGTTGGTGGGGAGGAAACCGTGGAAGCGTGAGGAATCGTCTCTGGATTTGGGATGGCTGTGCCAACAGATTGAGGCGTGGCCTTGCCAGCCTTGCTCAGTGCGTAGTCGCCAGAGTCAAAGTATTTGCGCTCCTGCACGTCGCAATGTATGCAAGTGATTTGCGTCAGCATTGCCGCTCAATGCATCAGCAGCATCGACACGCTCAGCTCACCTTCAGCTTGTTGCCCACCACATCCTTTCGAGTGGGTAGCTTGCCGTAGAGACGAAAGAGTTTCTGTTCCTCCTCCGTTAGCGACTGCGCGATGCAGAGGAAAGGCCTCAAGGTGAGCAAGGTGGTCGGGCCTACACACGTTTAGAGTGCGATAACCCTGCAAATCCGTCTAGCACTCTGGAAGCCACCGCTCGTGATACGGTGTGCTCAGTCGCATACAACCCGTCCCTGACGAGCCTGGCCAGCCTTTCCGGTATTCGTCGTGGCACGTGTCTTCTTAGTTGTCCAAGCCATTGTCTCAGTCCCAGATATTCCTCACGACCCAATCACAAACCGTACTACATGATACAAGTAGCCATTCGATGCTCCACGTGTCGAGTTACGCCGCTACTCACAGAAATGTCGACCTTGTTGCGCTGTGCGGGAAGCATGATGAAGAGCGAGCAGATGAAGGAGAAGAGAGAAGCGGTGCTGTGTTCTACCTCCTTGAGTGCTGCTGTCCGTCTGCTACAGATCGTTTTTCAACACGTCCGCTACAGGTAGGCTCTGAACTTTCAAGGTCCAAATGGGCTTGAGCTTCAACGAAGTACGACTTGCGGGCCTCGACGAAACGTTGTATTCACACGATGAGCTGCGTGCGGCCGAGCGGACCAGAAATCCGGCGCGAAGCTCGACCAATGATGATCGGTGAGGCGCTATCGGAGCCGACGTTTTGGTGTCGGATAGAGCAGGCCGAGATGAAGGGTGGAGGGTAAAGTATGGAATGAGAAGAAATGAAGTCGGTGAGTTGGCTGGCTGGTTGCAAAGCCTGCTATGCGCCTGGATCGCGAAGCGTCGCTCGGAATGCTCGGCTACCACTTCGTCCTCGCTCGACGAAGGCGATGTCGATGCGGCGTCAAGGTGATGATGAAGGATCACGCGTTCGTCGCTGGAGTTTGTTCGTCGCTTTAGTTTACTTTGTTCAGGCACTCGGGACTCGTCGAGATGAGGAGAGGGATGCAGGCGGTAGTGCGGTATAGGAGATGTGGAGTCGAGGCATTCAGATTCGTATTCAGCTGTGTGGGCGCGGCGCGCCCCGAACCGCGCCCCGCCTACACTCATCCTGTTCCTTGCCTTCTCGACGACGCACAACTTAATTGCTGGTCCCCAAATCTGGAGCGAGCGAGCGAGCGTGCGTGCGTGCGTGCGTGCTTGCGTGGGCGTGCGGTACGTATACGGGTCCTGCGGCGGGTCTGTGTGAGCACAAGCTGTACTCGCGACTATGCATCGATCAAGACGGCGCTTCTGCTGGGATTAAATACATGCGTATTGTGCCTGTACCACGCACGCTAGTACTAGACTACTCAGACTGCTGTGCACGCGCGGTACGGCATAGTCGCTGTCACGCAGCATCAATCAGTCAACGCGCGGCGCACGCTTCCGCGCGCTTCGTCGTGTTGCATGAGACCACCAAACCGCACGGCCGGCCGGCAGCAGCAGCGAGCGCCGAGCAGCACGCATGCATCCAAGCACCGCGCTCGAGTTGCATGCTGGTGCTCGCGGCATCACGCGCCTCGACAGACAAGTGCGAGAAGACTGGTCGGATGCTCGCCATGTAACGAGGATTCTGTGGCTGCAGCAGCCTCTTTCGCAGAAAAAAGCCCAATTCGTTGCCCGTTGCCCGCGCGTCTGTCAATTTCCTATAATAGCTGCGTCGCGCAGATATACGCGTCCCGCGGCGCTCAAAGGTTTCATCGATACACACAAAATGCGCGCGTGCAGCATACATGTAGCCCGGCCGGCCTCACTCAACCTCCACCGCGGATGGTGGCCGGGCGGGTGTGTGTCTGACTTGGCCGTCCATCAACGCTCGTCCTAAGCGTCCAGAAGCCGGTCGAGGGATGTTCAAGGTGAATCATCACAACAATCGAAACGATGTCGGAGTCACGAAAGCGGCACGACATGAGTACTCGAGCGTCTGACGGATCATCTGCATGGGTCTCCTACAGCAGCTTCATATAGGAATCGCCAATTCACGAGACGCGGGGCTGGCTTGCTTGGCGCCGCTCCTATACCAATCATTGATCTCATTTCCATGTACGTGCTTTGACCCTTGGCCATCCTATATGCTTCATTCAAAATTCGCGATTTCCTGTATATCCTTGCAATCCCAACCGGCGCCCACGTTCTGTGACCCTCGGCCCTACAGCGGAGCCCAAACTTACCTATAGCTGTAGAAAGCTCGGGCCGGGACGCATGAGCCACGGCGTCCGCGCGTGTGCTTGCTGATCGATGTTGTTGTGCTACGTGTATATGTCGAGGGTACGGGTGCCTGAATTGGACACCGCATCGGGTCAAACAGATCTCTCTCCAAAGAGCGTTTGCTCGTGTCCGACGCTGAGGACACACGCGCAGCAGGGTTGATGCAAGCAGTGACGTGCCCGCTACCATCATTCCCACAGGCCACTTGAGTCCTGAGCTGAGTCCACCATGTACCTGCTGCCTTGGCACCGCCATGCGTATAGGTTCACCAAGTGCAGAGGAGGCAGTGTGTGGTGTGCATCTATCTAACCTCGTGCCTGTTCAAGGGGCGCTCATGCCGAGTAAAGAGAATCTTGACCCGTGTTTGTCATGATATCCAGATGCGCGTGCACTGACTGCCTGCCCTCGATCGCATCTCACGCTCCATTCGTGATTCACGATTGTGTTTCTGATGCCTTCTTGCATGCCGTGGTGCCGCTTGCGGCACAGTCACTCATCTGACTCGTGACTGCTGGAGTCGTGGAGTCGTGGGTGCCAAGGGCAGCTAGCTAGCTGCATTGGCGGCTATAGCCAGCAGCAGCTATAGCTGCATTCCGCCGCAACCGGAACCGGTCACCAAGGCAATGTCAATGCTGCAGGCCCGTATGTATGTCCATCGTATCCAATAAGCACAGCACGGACCCTCGCTCCTACCTTCTTCTGCCAATGGCACATCCCCACTCGGGCATCTCGAACAAATAACTCGCAAGCCCCCCTTTCTTGTGGCACAATGGGCAGAAACTTACGGTCCGGCCCGGCTTATTTCAACAAAAAAAACGGGCTCAATCGCAATCGCGGCTGCAGTAAAGTGGCCCTCGTCGGCGCGCATCGAGTCCTTGCTTGCAAATGTACGCACACTTTTGTAGGTGCACCACCACCACCACGCGCTCGAAAGCACGAGATCTCCCGCGCTCATTCTTGGGGCGGTGGACATGCAGGCAACCAGCCCTATCTATCCTCAATGATGAAAGACTTCACGTTTGCTCATGAACATTTCGAGGCGGTCAGACTTGCCTTGCGGTTTGGTCAAGCAGCACTCTGCGAGTAATGTCAAGGCGACCACCATCTTCACAATTTGATGCGACATTGAGAGACTTGCGGACGCTGAAGTGACATTTCATTGCTCCGCGCAAGTGAGAGAAGGGTAGATAATGGGATAGCTCACTACGCACGGAGGACTTGCGTTCAATAGAGTCGCACAGGCACCGATTCAAGAGTTGAAATGTGTATAAGAACAAGCGGAGGACTTGAGCGATCGCCGCGGAGATTTCTGGGAGGCAATGGTCGAGTCTAGAGCTTGGCGTTCTCGGGCATCATACGCAGAGCTTGTCGAATACCGAGGTCAGCCAGAATCTCCTCAGATCCACCCAGAACAGCGTCAAACTTGTAGGTGCGGTGGAACTCCTCGACAAAGCGACCCATCCCAGTCTTTGTGAGACCACGTCCACCAAAGATGTTGACAGCATTGTCCGCTACGTCGTGAGAAACGCGAGTGGACCAGCTCTTGAGGAGGGCGACCTGGCCAGCAAGGAAGAGCGCTTGCTGCTTGTAGGTCATGTTGCACATCTGGTAGGTGACGGATTCCAGCCATGTCTGAGCGGCCTCGCATTGAGAGATGATGCTAGCCAGCTTGGCGCGCACGACAGCCTGCGAGTTGAGGGGCTTGCCGAAGGCCTTGCGTTGGGCAGACCACTTGAGCAGCTGCTCGCAGATGGCACGCGAGGAGCGAATGGTGCTGCAGCACATGACCCATCGCTCGTGGTTGAAGTTGGACAAGACGATCTGAATACCGAGACCATCCTCGCCAATGACGTAGTCGGCGGGGACCTTGACGTTGTCAAAGGTGACGTAAGCGGTTCCGGCGGTAGTGGAGTAAGAGGTCCTGATCTGTTTGGTCTCAACGCCACCGAAGTCTCGGCGAACCAGGAGCACTGCATATCCCTCGTCGGTCTTGCATGCGGTGGTGAAGTAATCAGCGAACATGCCGTTCGTGATCCACTTCTTGGATCCGTTGAGAATGTAGTGACTGCCGTCCTCGGATTTCTGGGCGAATGTGCGCATGCCCATGACATCGGATCCAGCAAAGGCTTCAGAGATGGCGAGGCAGATGTACTTCTCGCCATTGAGTACCGGTTCGATGACCTCATCCTTCAACTTCTGGCTGCCAAAGTTCATGACGGGTGGCAAGCCAATGACCATACCTCCGTTCAAGCCATCACCGAAGCCACGAGCGCCCATGCGGACGAGCTCCTGAGTGATGACAAGTTCGTGGAAGTAGTCGAACTCCTCACCCTTGACATCGGCGAACAACTTTCGGCCGTGCAGGTGCTTTCCGGGGCCCATGCGCATGGCGTTGATGCCCTTCTTGCCCATGTCCTGGAGCAGCTCGACATCGGGGCGCTTGCCGTTCGCCTCGCATCGCTGGGCGACCTCGTAAATCATGGTATCCACGTAAGCCCTGAACTCCTTCTGCAACCTGCGGTGAGACTCCTTGAAGTATGGAGAGAAGTAGTTGTCGGTGAGCCACATGGGCTCTGCATAGGGAACCTTGGAGCGGGAGCCAAGCTCGTCGGGCTGACGAGAAAGCATAGCATCGAACAGGTCAGGGAGGGCTAAACAGAGCACGAAGAGCATCAAGCGTCACTGCAACTCACAACAACCTTGGACTCCTCGCCCTTGATCTCTCCGATCATGAGCCTTTGATAAGCAGGTCGGAGGAGGACTTCGTGCAAGTGCAGACCGCTACAAGGGTTGTGCCGGCCTTGATGAGCTTCGTGTTAAGTAGACCCAACTTGTTCCAGCTTGAAACTACTCACAAGAAAGTCTCTGTGGCATCCTGGCCGGCAATCTCTTCGTCGTACAGGACACTCTCGCCACCAGGGTGCTAAAGGGTGGCGAGCATTCAAGGCACAGCACAAAATTCAGCTGTCATGTCACGGCGGCACGGCAGAAATGCCAACTATTCGCCATCGCTCAAAGTAAGCAGATGAGCCTTGCAGGAGATGTTGTCTCTACAAGCGCCATCCAAAGCTTCGTCGAGCTTCTCGCATCCGAAGCCAAGCACCCGTTCCCAGAGCTTCCCTTTCCATGCGATGACTCTCGCCCCGTTCAAAGCACTCACAAGCTCAGCAAACTTTGACAAGTCGTAGACCTTGGCATCGATGACGATCCAAAGATCTCCGGGTTTGTTGTGCTGAAGTGAACGGAAGCAAGAGAGGGGCGTCAAAAGCGTCAGTCGCAGGAAGGAGGAGGAGGAGAAGCCATGTCGAGAGAGTGCGTACCTTGCCAACATCATCCCGGCTCAGAACCTTGAGCTCTTTCTTCTGTTGCTGAGGAGCAGCCATTGTGAGAAAGTGTGGGAGGAGTGGAGAAGGTGGAAGGCTGGAGAGTGGGGAATGCTTGTGTGCAAAGCTTCAGCGTGCACAGGTCGTCTCGTGAAGAGCGGGGTCGGAAGACGGGTAGAAACGAAAGCACGCTCGTGAGGGTGGATGTGGTTGGTAGGAAAGGTATGTGCGCGATGCGTTGCGAGCAGCTAGAAAGGAAGAGCAGGCATGCGATTGGCTGCGACTCGGACCCATGCAGTGGCAGAGCGAAAACGTCCGCACACTGACTGGCTCGCGCACTCACACGGGCGCTGCTGGGCTGATGCGTGGCTGCCTGCCTGCCTTAATTTCAGTCATCACAGCACTGTATCCGTCTGCTTACGAGGTCCAGAGTGCGGGGAAGGCCGACGCATGCACCGTCGAGATGCCGTGTCTGTTGAAAGGCGCCTGCTTGGAATGAGCCCCGGTCGCCGGTAGCCGGTCGAGGGGGGAAGCGCGATTAGGTGTAGGCGCTGCGCCAGTCAAAGTCATCACGGAACTTTGCCAATTGGCAGGCATACACGGCTGACTTTTAGCTCAAGCTGGCGCGCATGCAGAAGCGTAGGTAGGCCTCTCCGCCACTGTGACTCTGAATATTGACCAGAGCAGACGTGACACTTGCGCCCTGCATGGACGACTGCGGGAAGCAACACGCCTGCGTGATGCTGATGCTGGCTAGGCTGACGCTGCTCCTGTCGCCGACGACCCATTCGTCAGCCTGGAAGGGTCGCTGCCTCTTTGTGTTCGTGGGATGCATGGTCACTACGAAAGTCTCTGGCCAGTGTCCGATCAGCCTGAAATTAACATGGCTGTCCTTGCCCACCCTACTGCTCTCCCTCGTACAAAGATGGCATGGCATCCGCGAGAGTCTTAAATCGCTATGGTACCCATTCGGCCCCTTCAACCCTGCCTGAGCCAAACGTGGACTGACAGCGGCCATAGCTTACGCTGCATCAGCCGAACCCCTTGATTGGCTCGCGCTTTAAAGCGGCTTCTTTAGCTGCGTCGCGTCAAGCTTTCACGCTGGGCACGCGCATGCATCCATGCATGCATGGATGCCATCTAGCTGCAGCACACCAGCAGCACTACGCGAGCCTCCCATCCTTCGTCGCGTGTACGCGTATAATAGCCGCACCAGCATCAGCGCCTCAAAGCAATCACGAATGACCATGCACACGAGCGTTAGATCGAGGGACTCGACGCTCCAACAGCAGCAGTCTGCGAGCGTGACTTTCGGTCCGCGGGGACATCGGCGAGTCAAAGGGGACAACGCTAAGCGCGCCCATCTTTCGGCCTTTGGTTCCATCGGCCTAAGCCTTATTTGGCTCGTATGTATACCCGAGGGACCGACCTCATCAAGATCACATTCGAGATCCCTTTGCCTACACTGTAGCTGATGCTCGACTCAAGGGACCATGCAATCGTAGCTTTGCGCTCGACCGCCTCCCAGCTAAGCAAACCCAAGATCAATCCTAGATCACAGCGAGGCCACACAGCACCTCACATACCAATCGACAGGTCCAAGCCGAGAGAGAGCGCTCGCCTCTTGCTGACAAATCCCGCTCGTCGAGCGTGGTGCAAGGCCTACATCTGACTCTGCTTGGGCGCGGCTGGCGTGGCTGGATGGACAGGCCAACCCGCCAGAGTCGGACTGGGGGGGGGGAGGGGGGGGGGGGGCTTCGAAAGACATGCAAGGCTTCAAGCCCCCCTGCTTGCTGTGCATGCCCTTACCCCGCAATTTAGGGCTGCCTTGGCTCTTGCCCCTTCATGTACGTGCACCCAACTACTTCCGAAGTCGGCATCTGCCCTCGACATTTCGATCTCCACCGCTGCGGTCACGGCAGCTTGGCCATGGACGGTCTGAACCGTGAAGCAGAACTTGCGCCTGCACGACTCGAGATCTTCTCACCCCTCACGTGCATCGCGGTGCTGCTCCGCCCGCAACCCTCGTGACACCGCCGGGGCTGCAATTTCAATTACTCAAAACTTGCCAGCCTACATCTGCTTGATTGAATTAGTCCATCAGGTGCACAAAGTGAGCATTGGATTGGGCGGACCTTCAGCTGTTGTAATATTAGTTGTGGTACTGTACAAGCATACATGGCGATTCAAGTGGACGACAGCAGATGCGAGGAACGTCGCGCTCAAAAGTGCGCAAGCACATTGCAAATGGGTAAGAGACTTGGCGCGAGGTCGAAACTTGGAGTGTCCATGATGGTAAGGCAAAGTGAAGAGTGTGTGCGTGTGCTTCGTGCACCTGCTGATCCGGGCGCGGGTCACCTACCAGTGACCGTCAAGACGTTATCGCTGTTCAGCACGTTGATGGCCTCGCTCCGGTAATCATCGGCGGACACACTCGTGGCGTTGTGGTCGAAGAGCAAGATTGACGAAGAGGAACCATAGGCGGGCCATACGGGCACTTTTGATGCGCGCGCGAGGGAGTCGATCAGCTCACCGCGCACGAGCAGTCCAGCAAGCGCCATCGTACTCACAGCCTTGTGCGTTGGGATTGTGCGTCGCGGCAAAGGTAAGCCATTGGCGAGCCATGGTGGCGCCCAGGGGACTCGAGACAGTTTGAAGAACTGATTTGAAATTCAAGTCTCGTGTCAGCACGCCTGGAACGACGCCGGCGCGCAGTACGCGCACAGTGTACTCACTCATGTCGAGGTCCGCGCCATGAGGTACCCCGAGCTCAACTGGCGCACGAGGATTTCGATTAGAGAATAGGTAGGCATGGATGGGCACATTAGCGGCCGCTGCTCGCTGTAGGAAGAGCCTTCTATTCGAGTGCCAACGAATGTCGCCATACACTGCCGCTGCCCTCTTGTACTGATTGGTCGGTCCGTAGAACCGATCCGTGGGGTCCGCAGCCGAGAATGGTGATCCGAGGCTGGGATCGTCAGGGTAAGCTGCGATTACGCTTCGAAGGGCGTCCATAGTGTCGTTGAAGCTGGCGATGCCCGAAGCATTGGCTCTGTCAGGCCCCGCGAAGTATATCCTGCCCAACCAATCCTCGAAAGAGGGCGACTCGTTGAAGGTATCCGGTGCGAACACCGTTCCTTCGTCTTCATCATCACCGGACAGCATCGGCACGCGGGCGTACAGCCGGCTCGACAGCAAATCGCTCGCCCTGTCGGAGAAGAGCCCTCCTTCCTCTGGGCCGCCATCGATAGCGGGTGTCCAGGCGTAGGAACCGAGAATATACCCTTCTGGCTTCAGAGCTCTGTCTGCCTCGACATTGGTGACCATTCTCAGCTTCTGCCAGGGAAGCGCTCGAAGACATTCCAGGTGCGCAGTGGCAGCAACAGGGTCAAACGCCCTTGGAGGCTCAGCCAAGGTAGCATTCGCTAGATCAAGACTGCCGCATTCGGTGTCGGAGAGGACGCGATTGAACTGATCGTCTTTATAGCTTTGAGGCAGCATGGCTGTATGAGTAGCGGGCCGGAAGACAATCAACCAGGGCCTTCGCGCGTGTGAACACGATGGATCCGAATCTACTCACGCTGACCACCGGGTCCGCCGGACTGCAATATCGCAGCCGCGAAGGGCCTTGGTTCTTCTACCGAGGACGGATAGGCTGTCAGCAGCGAGCCAACGCCAAATGCGCCTTCGCTCTGGCCCCAGATGGTGATCTGATCAGGATCTCCTCCAAATTGGTCGATGTTGTCGCGCGTCCACCTTGCGGCCTGACGCATGTCTTGGAAAGCAAGGTTCAGACCGACATTGCCAGATCGACTCTGCCTCAGCTCATCGAATTCCGTGCCTCCCAAGAAAGCAAGCGAGCCGAGGCGATAGTTGACGAGGACGATCATCACATCGGGTCCACCGGCTTTGCGGCCAGCATCGAGCATCTTGATCATGCTGCCGATATACGAAGCCCCAGATCCAGCTTGTCCACCTCCGCCGTGGAAGAAGAGCAAGACTGGTAGGGAAGCGTTCTGAAGCACGCCTGGCGAACGTATGATCTGGGCGAAAAGGCAGTCCTCGTCCTGACGACTGATGTCCCCATCCTGTGGGCAGACCAAGCCGGTATTGGTGGCTTGCACAGTACGTAGATTCGGTTCAGGTGGTGCATCTCTGCGATCGGCCCCAGCTGAAATGGCGTCCCCGGCGTCGGCGACCGTGTTGCCGCCTTTACTGATTTGGTCAGCTGATGAGTGAGCCGAAGCTTTGGTCTTGTGTGAATTCGACTTTGACTTGGACTTGGACTTGGGAATGCTGACCGAGGCCACCTGTATCGGCGAGGGAGGCGGTTGGGGTGGTGCAAAGCGAAGATCGCCAACAGGCGCAGCCGCATATCGTATACCTTGCAGGGGAGGCGAAGGATGGTACGAGGATCAGAGTTGTGACCGAAATCGCATCGCTTTGCAAGGCAATTTGGCTCGCATACTCACCACCAAAGACCTCGTAGCCATCGAGCAATCTGCCAGATATCAATGTGCCGTCCCTGACCGCGGCGGTTGGGGTGGCCTTGGCTGACCCGCTCTGCCGGTGAGGCAAGATGAGAGCTAGTGGAAGGACCAGAGCCAGGATGACCATGATGACGACGATGCACCCAGCAAAGATGATGATCAGTCCCCTTCTCCTGGATGCGAAGGTCGCCAAGCCCGCCTTTGCGCCCCTGCTGTTGCCTTTCTCGTGGTCTGGGCTGAATGATGAATGACCTTCGCGTGCTTGGCTGCTGGGGCCTGAAGAGGTTAAGGCGGAGTCATGGGACCGCTCAGCATCGCTTAGCTGCCTGGCTTCCTCTGCCATACTCAGCCTTTCCGGCGAGCTGGGTGACGTGGTGGTTGTGGAATTCATGTTGATTGTTCTTCAAGTCGAAAGGCCGCGAGTGCTTTGCCAGATCGATGTTGATGCAGTGCGAAAGCTGTGTAGTTGATCGATGAACTGTGACTTGCTGTACCTTCAATTGCCATGCATGCACTCGGCCGCCCAGATGCGCAGTTTGGAACCGGCTTATGGAATGCCGCCTCAGATCGTAAACGCTGCCAAGTGAGCCTGGACGAACAGGAGGGAATCGATGCCCTCAAGTGAACAGCCCGAATCGAGATGGAGAATGCTTGATTGTAGATCTGCGTCTGCAAGTTCCACACTCGAGCCCCTCTTGACGAAATGTGTGCCGTAGCAGGCTGGGCTATCTCGGTCCCGCGCGAGTTCCGCTCGACAACGCCGCCTGCTGCCTTAGGTATTGTGAGGTGGAAAGCCGGGCGATGGGTTGTCGATACAAGGAATTTCTCAGGTGGAGATTGATGAAGAGAGACGAAATGTTGCTGGGCAGAGAAGCGGGATGAACGATGCAGCCGCAAGGTGCTGTAGTCGCTGGCGACAAGGCTGGGACACGAAGCAGCGTTGCAGGTCGAGCGATATCAGGCAGCAGGCTACACCACTCGAGGCTGCGCTGATTGCGCACTCCGCGGATGTATACTCGGACTGGCCGGTATGAGCTTCGAGAGGCAAATGAGCTATGGCCCGCTTCCCAGATTGAGTTTGAGGCCAGCACGTGGAAGCGAAGCGGCCCGCAAATTGTCACGTCCGGGGTCTGTGCGGCTATTGGCTCGAGTCGTGATTCGATCGTGCGTGCCTCACTTGGTCCACGCGCACAGACACGAGAAGAAGGAGAGGTGTGAGGTGTGCTTCTCGGCAAGGGATCTCGAGATAGGGTAGCGCCCACGGAGCGAGGGCGCGTGGGCGTCTATGGGCGCAACAGCGAAGAGCAAGGCGGCAGGGGCTTGCAATCAGAAAAGAGGCAGAGAAGCTGGCTGGCGGTTATGCTGGAGTCGGGTCGATGCGTGGATGTGGGCAAGCAAGGGGAGTTGGTGGTAAGTGCGCGTGTGCGGGAGTCTGTCAATCAAAGTTAAACTGGGGCGCCATGATGGAGTCTGAGAAGTTAAGTGCTGAGAGACGATGATGAGACGTTGCCGGTACACATGAAGATTTGAGAGACAGCAAATGTGCAAGTCTGCTTGTGCTGGTCAACTTCAGAGTCACGAGCATGCCGATCGGGCGGAGAGCGTATAGCTGCTGGTATAGGTGTATGACGGGCGAATCGCAGCCATCATGCTATCTTCACGAATGGTCGTGTCCGCGCGCCGCCCGCTTCAGTACGAGCCGCGGCGTTGAGCGCGGAATATGCGCGTTGCTGGGGCCCGCGCGGACGCGGACGGCGAATTCACGATTCATTTGTTAGATGGCAGGTCTTAGCGCGGTTATATGGGCGCGGTGCGCGCCTTTGAGCACGTTCCCCGCGCCAATCAGCCGCAATAAGGCCCCGCACCGCCGCGCCGCCGGCCAAGATGCTCGAGCAAAGTCTAAGCTCGGATGAAACAGCAGAGCGTGAAGAGTCATGAATTTGATAGCTCCACTCACGACTCACGACTCATTTTGGTGAGTTCTGTTCTCCGCTCAACGCGAACGCAATTTGTCACGCTTTACCGGATAAGCAAATGTGTCAGTCTGAATCACGAATGTGAATGCTGCTGGTGATCGAATGGTGCTCGAATCTGAATGGCGCAACTCCGACATATTCCCGGAGCTCCGCTGCTGCCCCCAACTCCACCCTCGCACGCACCACAAATTGCTTCTTTCAGCTCAGCGGGCAAGCCTCGACTCTCGACGCTTTGTGCATCTGCATGCTCGCAGCAGCCACGGCAGCGTTGCAGCAGCAATCTTGAATGAAGTCGAGGAACAGCGAGTGAGATGGGCATACGTTGTGCGGGATGCTGCTGCTGATGGTGCGATTTGTCCGTGCAGGCTTGTCGTCGCTACAGACGTACTTGATTCGATTTGCTGACGTTTCGGCACAAGCGGCAGCAAGTTCACGACCAGCTCACGTCGGCAGAAGGTGTTAGACAGGAGCGGACAGCGCTTTGGTGGGAATGCTGGTCGAGGACGATGAAAGCTGTCAGGCCAGCTGCCTGCTAGATTGCTAGTTCCATGCATCATAGACACGATCCACAAACAAGAGCCAACTCCTGCGCGTTGCCGCGATCTGTCCGGTCGGCATCGCGATCTCGATCGGAGTCGATGCTCACACCTCAAGCGACAGCAGTCCACGCACCACGCCATGCCTGTCTCACGATCGACGACGCATTCACGCTCCCTCTTCCGCTTTGGCTGTTCCGGCTCATGTAGAAGTTTGATAGGAGAACACGTGCTCTTGCAAATCTCAGCAGGTCCGGACAGGTGCAAAGATGACAGCTTTCAGTGTCCGACCTGAAAGCACAATTCGCATGCCTTTTCGAGCACGTCGAACACGTTCCTGCTTGGCTAACTGATTCGCTGCGTCCACACCTCTTCACCTTCTCGAGATTCTTTTGCTCTTGGCTTGCGCATTCGCGCTGTTGGCCCGAACTTGCTCAAGAATGAAAGTCATGAGCAGCCGAGCAGACTCCGAGCAGCGGGCACGTGCACTTGTAAGCTGCTGTTCACGAAAGCGGACGTCGTCCTATCGGCTTCGCTGCTTAAGTCCGCCGGCTTGACAGTCAAAGGATGGGAAGTCCTCTTTGCTCACAGAGGCAGAGCCAGCTTCGCAGGAGCTTCGCAGCAGACGGCAACAGCCATTACCCCCAGTCTAGTCCGTACCGAGCTCGCTCCAAGCGCTTGTAGGTAGCGAAACAAGCACGGCAGGTCAATGTCGATGTAACAGACAGCTGTGAGACTCGTCCGATGATCTCCGACAACCTTGCGTGATGTCTCTCCCGGCTGCGTCTCAGGCTTTTCTAGCACCTACCTATCGCTCTTGGCCTACCTCGCCTACCTTTGGAACGTAGAAAGCAGGTGAATGTGATGTCCCCCGAATGCCAATTCGCCCACCTCGGGCAGCATGTTGAAGTGCAGCGAGTGTACGCATGACTTGGTGACGTCTCGCGATTTGCATTTGATTATTTCTAGGCCCACTGCAGCACGACAAGGTGCTGGACACGTGATCGTCCGTTCGAGGGAACGATCCGATCGACAAGACCGTCCAGGAAACTCGGCCTGAGAGCCATGCAAAAATATTCTGCCGACGAACACCAGGGCGAGGGGAGCATCTTGATTATTCAGTCGAGTCCAGTGTCTTTGCCGCGCATTGTGCTACTCACATCCGTCTTTACCCCCCCCTTCCTCATCCCTGCCCAATGGCTGCCCTCATCCGCTGTGAGAGGCAAGAATGTCCCGTCGCCAAATCAGTCACCTAAGCGAGCCAGCGAGTCCACGCGGCCTTGCGCTCCCGCCGCATCCATCTACAACTCACACAAGCTGGCAGGAAAAGGGAGACGGAAAGCGTAAAGCATCAGCGAGAGAGCTTCGAAGTGATGCTGCGCCTGCTGCAAGGATACACTCACAATTTGTCGCAGAGGAATATGGATGAGCTTGACAAACTGCAAAGAGGTGCGCAGTGGGTGGTCCGGAGGTTAAATTGAGGGTAATCGGCCTTCGCCGAGCCGGCGTCCACTCACGTAGCCGATGAAACCCATGACGACGAAGCCCATGCCTACAGCCCTGCAGATTTGAAGGTACTCTGAAGGGAAGGAAAGAGAGGGTGCGAGTGCACCGATGGGGCGGGTCAGCGCTGCTGCATGTGACAAGGCCTCCTTTACGCTTCCTTTCCGCTGGAAGCGAAGTCACAACTCACTCACCCTTCTTGTTGGGCTTGGTGCACTTGTTGAAGAACTGAAAACCTTGCTGGATCAGCAAAAGCCGCGGACCGATAGTGGCACACTATCGTCGCGCCATTCCCTCGCCCCAACGACATCACCGATCGCCGCCGGATGCTCACCTGTGTCCCATCCTTGACAAAGCTCTGGGGAATTTCCACCAGGTCCTTGATTGCGTCCGACATGTTCGAGTGTGTTAGAGGATGAGCGGTGGTGCAATAGTGCGCTAGACGTAGACTTGCAGTCCAAGGGGTTGCAGTGAAGGGGATCTCCTGATGGGCTCCTGCAGTCTTCTTGCGTAAAAAGCCTACACTCGAGTGGATAAGCGCTCCGTTCAGCACCACACTGTCGATGTGAGAGAGACTTGCTTCTGTACGATGATGAGTGCTGCGAAGCCGTAGTTGAGAAATTCGATCGCGCCTTGGAGTTGGGAATCTTGAATCTGGAAGAACGCTCGCTGTTCCCAAGTGCATCGCTGTTGCCGTCCGAGCGTGCGTACGCAGGAACGGCCGGCGATGTCGCGGAACATGAGGGGCGCACGCACACGCACGTGATGACACGTGTCACGCGGGCGACCAGGCCACCTTCTGGCTTACCGTATAGAGCGCGAACGTGCTTTCCGTACCGTTTGAATACCTCACCTTTTGCAAATCGCGAATGACCTCGTCAATCTGTGAATAATATAAGTTGAACTTGGTTCAGACTCTTGCAAATCAGACACTTGACTCGAGTGCGGCATCGTGATGTTTCATGACTCCACTTTCCAAACTCGGAGGTGCCAGGCTTGCATCAAGTGCAAGCTCGGACTTACTCACTGCAGAACTACACCAACATCAGTCATGGCGGCATAGTGAAAAGACGGAATGTGCATTCATCAGGTTCGGAAAATTGGAGTCCGGTGACGTAGATACAAGACAAGAAGTGCGCGGTAGCCAGCTCAATGGGCCTGCGACCATCAGATAGAGGGCAGATCAAGCTCATGCAGCAGCAGCTGGAGCGACTGGAACGTACTCTGCAGGGATGCCCACAATGCCTGCCACAGCGGCGGAGCTCAAGGTGACGAGGATACCAGTGAGCAAAGCGCTGGGGCACAACTTGACGATGGTGGCTGATCGAGTGGGCGCAATGGCAGACAAGATGCCGACGTTGATACCAAGAGAGCCGATGTTGCCGAATCCACAGAGAGCGAATTGGGCAATCAGGTAGGCTCTTGGGCTCAATCGCGTCTCTGGGTTTGGCATGACGGTGTTCTGGAGAGTGTCGTACGCGACGAACTGGAGAGACGAAGGAGAGTGCTGGGTCAGCAAGTGGAGCAATCACACTAGACACTGACACGACGTGCCCACCTCGTTCGCGATAACCTTGACTGCAATGAGCTTGGAGACTGCAAGCGTCTCGTGACCAGGGACACCCAACAAGAATGTCAGCGGCCAGAGCAGGTAGCCAAAGATGAGTTCAAGCTTGAGTGGGTTGTCGTCAGGGATGTACCAGCTGCGACCGATGTAGGTCAGCAAACCGTTGACGGTGTAGAGCAGACTGACGATGGCCAACACGTTGGCAAAGATGAGCGCAGCGACGCGCACACCGAACCAGGCGCCTTTGGAGAGGGAGTGGAAGACATCGTTGGCGCGGTCCACTTCATCTTCCTGGGCAGAGACTTGGATCTTGCCGGCCGTGTACGAGTGTTGCGTCTCGGGGTAGCGCAACTTGGAGGCGGCGATAGCTGCTGGGATCGACATGACACTGGAAGTCACCAAAACCGTGCCATTGACTCCGATAGAGATGTACGCTGCCAGCACTGAGCCAGCAATGGTCGCGAAACCGGAAACCAGCACTTGGTGGAACTCGGATCGAGTGAAGCTCTTGACGAATGGCCGAGTCAGAACGACATTCTCTCCTTGACCAATGAATGGCGATGCGACTGCGACGATTGCTTCAGCACCGCTGATGCCGAAGACCTTGTAGAAGAACTGCGCGGGCACGAAGTAACGAGCCAGATCAGAATGAGGACGAGCGCGCTTCGTGTTTGCGGAACGTTCAACTTCAGACTCACCCAAGCAGCCTTCTTGATAAGCCAAGGAAGGACGCCAATATAGAATAGCACAATGCACAAGGCAACGAAGAATGCGATGGAGGACAGCACATTTGTGAAGAAGTAGCCGTTCTCGACGAAGTCTCTCCAAAACTGCGCGACAGGACAGTATTTGAAAGTGGTTTGTTAGGGCGGGAACATGAGTTTTCCACGATCTCGAAGGCGACTCACGAATGCAGCTCCTCCATTGACACCTTGCGCAAGCAGATCAGCGGCAGCAGTGGCGATCCAAGAGAAGAGGGACAGACCAGCTCCAGTGCGGAAAACGAACAGAGCAATGATGAACTGCAGACCCATTCCAAGAATCGTAGTCCTGGCTTGAACGGCACCGTAATTGGATGAAAAAGCAAAGATGATGGCGTAGATGAGGCAGTAGCCGACAAGCGAAATGGTTCGTTGACCCAGAGAGCTGCCCTGCTCGATGGGCAGCCCGTAGGTAGAACCAAACACCAACACCGCCAAGGACAGCCAGCCAACGGCGAGCTTGCCCTTGTAGGGGATGCGGGACCAGGGCTTTTCGGCGGCCGTTGTCCAGACTGCAGAGATGACCCGAACGATTGGCCTTTGCGGAATGTAGCGCGACTTGTGCATCAGGATAAGAAGGATGAAGAACCAACTAAAGATGGTAGCTACGATCCATCGATGCCTGACTCTTTCGTTGATGATGGATGGGATCCACCAACCCAGCTGAAAGCACCGAACCGCAAGCTCATCAGCTCTTGTGTCCGACTGCCCATCGCTCGTGCCTGCAGCTGCTTTTGCAAACTTACAAGAAGAGCAATGAGACCAAAATCTCGGACGATCACGGCACCCCTGGAATGCAACAGCATCTTGAGCTGTGCAATGGGCCCGTCGCTCTTCTTCTCGTCCTCATCCAAGTCATGCTCTCTGTCGTAGAGCGCTTTAGCTTCCAGGTCATGCGGAGCTGTGGGATCGCTCTTGTGAGAAGCAGACTCTGTCGAGTAGGGCTGCTGCTTTTGATCCTCAATGTCGTGCGAATGGCGAGGAGAGATGCGATCCTTGGTCGCGTCCGACGCCTGTGTCGTGAAGTCAGGGATGATCGGTGAGCTATTGGGTACTGTTGGCAGAAGTCAGGACTGCTGACGCCAAGGACAACTTACCAAAGGCGCCGGCTTGTCGTCATTCCACTTGGGCAATTCAGAGGCCATGTTGAAAGGCCTGTGTAGGTGGCACCGGGGGAGGGCGGGGGAAGGGTGAGGAAAGCGGGCAGGGGGGTTGTTGAAGCCAATGGGAGCGAGGAACAAGGGTGTCTGAAGAGCTCGCGTGAGCAGGTGTGAAGCTTTTGAAGGAGAGCGTGGCCGCTGTTGCGCGCGCTCAGATGTCAGGAACAGCCCTTATCGCGCCAAAGCCGAGACTGAAGAAGCGAGTCTGCTCGAGAAGAGTGACGAGGAGGGCTGGAGTGTACTACTTGCTGTAGCGCCATACATGCAAGCCGGCGTGGGGTTCAGAAGAAGTTTGGCTCAAATTTTGAGCCACTCATTAATAAGGCTGCTGCTGCTGCTGGGATGGGCACCACTGATAGGCAGCGTTAGGGACATGCAGCTTGCAGCTTGCAGCTTAATTGCCACAGGACAAGCCCAGCTGTCCTGAGCCTGTATCGGAGCTGGTCGAGCATGGCGAAAGTGCCGAGGCACACATGCAGGTCACATCAAGTCCAGTCCATCACGGCGACTGTGGATGGGTAGGTGCATGCACAAGAGCTGTGTCTGCTTTCGCAGCAAGCTCACGGTGAGGTCGGCATTCGAGCAATCTTTTGAGCCGATTTCGCTGCGAAGGAAAGCATAGATACTCTAGCTGCTGTAAGCAGACATGGGCTCTGCTGGAGGCTTGGGCGGAAGGCAAGTCGTGAGTGTTCGTGTCCTCTTCAGCCCCATCATGCATGATCTTCGCACCGGGCTAACCCCCGCGGTCGCTCGGCCAACCCGCCAGCCCGCTGGCGCGTGTCGCGTGCGCGGTCACACGTACGCGCACGCGCGAGCGGCTCGCTGCGCCACAAGAACTCACACTGGGATGCCGAGGCGACATCACGCCGGTGAGGCAGGAGTGTGCGCCCATATAGATATAGCGAGCAGCATACGATTTCGCTTTCAAAAGCTTGCAAAGAGCGCTGTCAATCAAGAATCCCACGCGCATACTGAGTGGTGGTTTAGTAGCTGCAGGAGTAGGAGTAGGGGTAGAGGTAGAGGTAAGAAGAGTGCCAGTGTCGGCGGTGTCGTGGCTTGGCCCCTTGCAGCTCTGTTCGGGAGCCAATCATTGCTGATTGTCCGCCTCGATTCATCAATTTTGAGGCCTCCCTCGGCTATGCTGATGTTAGCGCTCGCTCGTTCCTGAATGAAAGTGCGAGTCGACTTGCAAGCTTCTGCATCACTGTGACTCCATATACGCGCTTGCAGACGAGTTTCCGGCAACCGCGCGTGCATGGCGCTCCGCCAACCGCAAGTCAGGCCTCATGCAGACCTCGTTCAAGCGATAAGGAATTCTTGCCACACTCTTGACTCGCAGATGGTGTTCCTGCGCTGCTATTAATGATGCAGCTCGATCGCGATTGATGGTCAGACACCTGAATAGCAGCGATCTGACTTGCCATCCGGTCCGAGTATTGCGACGCTCAATTCACGATTGGCTGCGAGAGGTCTCACCGCGGTGAAGATCTTTGGTCGCGTCGTCGCGTCCAGCTGGCTTGTGACAATGCCTGCAACAGTCACGAGTTCGAGTGTCTGAGTATAGTGCTATGGACGCGCATGCTCAACCAGTCACGAGTCCAAGCGGGACCGCCAAACTTGACTCCGCTTATCTCTTCAAGCATCAGCCATGTACACATAATACGCAGCAAAGACACGCAGCGCCGAGGATCGTCATACCGACATGAACGCGATGTTGCCCCTCAGCACGTCGCAGCGTAACCATCATGAATTGGCGCATCGGGGCTATCTCCGCGGCCTCCGGTACGATAAGCAAAAGTATCACGTGACATTCTCAACAGCGGCGCGCGTCACGTAAAAGAAGTTGCGACGAGCCATCTCATTATTGAGGTCCGTCTGACACGATGCTGTTTGGTCTTGCACCGAGCACCAAGCAGTCACCTCCTCACATGACCCACAGGCTTGTCTCAAGCTGATCCTCGCTTCGTTGCTGCACTACGCACGCTCGCTTCTGGTGCTACTCCAAAGTGTGCAGTGGATCTAGCTCTCAAACGCGTCCGTGAGGCTACTGGCTCACTTCATCGCTCACGCTACCTTCTTACGAATCTGGCTAACTCCAAACCCCATGTGCTTCACTCGGAATCAGCTCGACATTTCGTCTTCGTTGTATTGCCAGAGGCCGCGCTTCCCTTCAGAAGACCAAGTCGTCTCTCAAACGCATTGCTTTGAGTGTCTCAGCCCCTCTCTCTTCCTTCCTTGCCTCTCAGCTGGGTCTGTCACGCGGTCAGAATCATTGCTTCTGTACTGCAGAAGCAATAGCTGCGCAAGTGCTTCGCATCAGCCGCTTTGCATCATCTCTCACACGTCGCACCTCTACCAGAGAGTGTGCTCTCTGCCCTGCCTCTCCTTCGACCGATTCCGCAGCTGCCTGAACTGTTCTGTGGAACACGCTCACGAATTCCTAGACCCTGCAGTCTCACTCTACTGCACGCGTCTCTGAGTGCCAAGCACAGACGAGGCCGCTTACTCTGACCACGCTTGGAGCAGGGTTGCGAGCTGAGCTGCTCTGGCTTTCTGCGCGCTCAAAATCGCTTCCGGCCTCGCCATCTAGCCATCTCTGCTCATCTCGTTGCCCTTCGACCTACTCTGCAGCGAGTCACCTCTTTCCTTCTTCTGTCCATAGCATGGAAGAGCAAGAATTCGTCAGTGCGGAGCGCGGTGCCGAAGCTAGTGCAGCCCAGGGAAGCGCCGGGAGTACCAATGACGCTCAGGAGGAGCCAGTGTCAACACGCATTGGGCAAGCGCGCGCCACTCAGGATACATCAGGACCTGCTCAGATCACCCTGCCCGAAGTCGGCATCGGGGACTCAACACAGCCAAGTGCGCAGATTGACGGGGCTGTCGGCCAAGAGCGACCATCAAATGGCCCGCAAGATAGTTTGAAGAGGGCAGCGGAAGCGAATGAAGGACGGCAAGCTTCAGATGGGAGCTCAGAGGAGGCTGCGAAGCGACCTCGGACAGAGGCCAATTCTCTCCTGTCAGGTGTGACGGACGCGCAGAGATATTCTGCTGATCGCCTTGCTACTCAGCTTGACAACCAGTCCATGGCCTCATTGGCGTTGCCAGGTGAACAATCTGAAACCGAGGTCGACTTGCTAACGCCAGGGGCCGTAGCACTTCAGGACAAACCTCTCCCGATCGTTGCTGAGCAGGAAGAGCGTACCAAAGCACAGAGCGACTCCGTGCTCCGAGGAAGCCAGGCTGCCTCTACCTGTAAGCAACATGAGCACTTGGAACTGGAGACATCAAGCCCGGCACGCCCCAATACTACAGAAGCCGTCGCCGAGGAGAGCACGGCTTCTTCGAATGCCAGTGCGGCTGGTCCGCAGAATGTTGTGCAGGCACCGCGCTTGGCGGATGACGATGCCAAACATGCGGAGAGCATGCACGAGATTGCGGCGAGCCAAGAAGATCATCACGAAGAGAGAAAGATTACCGACGAGCAGCAAGGTCGTCCAACTGTGGTCGCCCCGAACTCTGCTTCCGACAGCCCGCCGTCGGCAAATGTCAAAGCAGGAAATCAGAGTGCGGATTCTGCAGGCGAGAGTTCATCTGGACTCATCGAGGCCCCACCGCGCACTTCCTTGTCCCCTTCTTCGAAGACGGAGATTCCAGCAGACGCAGCCGCACGTCTCGCAGCATTTCGCAAAAAGTGGATCGAGCCCCAAGACCCAGCTCCATCAACCTCAGTCTCTACGTCGGAAGCGGGACTCGCGCGAATGCTGGGCATTCAAGCCCGCACTCCTCGACCTTTTGCCGGGCCGGCAGCTTCGTCTTCGTCAGGCTTGCCACAAAAACCACCTCTCGCCACTACAACAGCTACGCTGCCCATGAAGCCGGGCGTGGTCATCAGACCTCCGAAGCCTCAACAATACCCCTTCAATCCACCTAGCCGCCAGAGACCTGGTCAGCACCGAAGTGCCTCGACAGGCAGCAGCATCAGCGGAGGAGGCAACGCTCAACCGCCGCCTGGTCCGCCTCCAAGACCTCCAGCGCGTGCTAGTGGGCCGCCAGGCCCTCCTCCGCCTCTCCCACCTGCGCGTCCCGTGAAGGCACCGGGACCACCGCCAACCCTATCGCAAGGTCACGGTGCTGAGTACGTGCCGACAAGGTTCCCCACCGCCCTTCCGTCAGTACCTGCAAATCCTGTTCGTCCGGTGACGAGACCGGAACCGCCCAATTCAGCTTTGCGAGTACCGCAGTGGGAGACGGTGAGCACCTTATCCATGCTGCACCAGAAGGCAGGAATGCATGCAGCTCGTGCCGCGTTCTCGCCAGAGAATGACTCACAAGGGCTTTCGGGAGCATTGCACCAGGGAGATATGAACGACGCCAGGCAAGCAGTCATGGACTCTCGCAGCTTGGCCGCGAAGGCGACTATACGATTGTGAGTCTTTTGGACAGTTGGATCTGGACCGCCCAGGGCTGCCTGCTCGCTCTTGTACTGTTGATGAACTTGGCTCCTCCTTCCAGAGATCCCACAGTAAAGCATTCTTCGTGCTCGGCTTGTCAAACGCCCTTGCTCGCCGGTCTGACCGCAACGGTCCGAATTCTGACATCGGGACCTCATGGCCGAGTCATCAAGACCGAGTGCAGCACTTGCGGGTACAGCTTTGATATCCCTGCCCCACCTCTAGGAGGCCAAGGAGATAATGCAAGCCACGAGGGTAGTGTGTACACTCAAAGACCGACCCGGGAGCACGATTTCCCTGAAGGTTTGCGACGAGGTTGGGACATGCAAGATCCAAATCAGCAGCATTCCATGCCTGCAAATCAAGCTTCGGGCCGGTACACGGGATTGTCGAGTACCGGTCCTGGTTTGGCAAACGGACAGGGTTCCATCGAGCGTCCGTTACAACCTCAAGAGCAGGGTCACACAAGTCGTGCGGGCACGAACCATACTTATTCGCCTTTCCAGGCGCCGGGTCAGCAACACAACGAAGACACATACCGCAATATTCATCGCCCTCATCAACCATTGCAAGGTTATCACAACCCACCTTCGTCTGCTCAGTCTCCCATTCTGCCGCGCGAAAGCGCTGGATACGACCCACACGCAGCCATTCCACTCAACTCAGACTCTGGACCGCACGCATTCTACGGTCAGCCGCACACCACAGCTTACACGAGCCACGAGGTTGGTCCAAACCCAGCAATGCATCAAAATCAGCCATGGCATGGCTTCCATGGTGGTCACGGCCACAGCGGGACTCTCGCACCTCCAGGAGCAGGCTCGTGGGGTCACACACAAACTTCCACGCCGAGCCTTGGTGCAGATCGAATCAACCCAGCCGACTTTTCTCACTCTGACCAAATTCACGTGACTTCATTTCCCGGCGGAAATGCCGCGCCCTCATCAAGCTTCTCTCAACCTCAGCAGTACGCCAACCAGACCAGCTACTCAACCCTCCCACAGCAAGCTCCCCCGGGCACTGTTCCCAAGCGATTTGATTATACAGCATACACTCGACCCGAAAAATGATAAGATATTGATTGCCAAGCGTGGTGCGAGTATGTTGTGCCCGCAGAACGTGCTCGAGGAGCCGAGCTCTTCGTCGTCAGCGCTCCAGTAGCTCCACGTCGTCCTCGTTCATGCCCAGAGGCATCTTTTGTCGCTCGTACAATCGTTGTGCCAGACCAACTGCCCCGCCAAATTCGCTATGAGCGGCAGCGCCAGCTTGCTCGCCGTGTTCGATTTCCAACGTTGACACTGGCTCAGATTCGTCCCCTCTGCCAAACGCAACCGAGGGTGCTCGCTTGTAGCGAGCATCAGTCACCGAAGCTGGATCTGCAGCAGCATCAGCGACACCTTGGTGCGGCAAATGTCGAGCAGCTTGTGCGCGATAGGTCTCTGGCTCAGGCGTGGGCGTGGGCGTCCATTCGCTAGGCGTGGACCTGAACAGTGCGGCGTTTCTCGAACTAGAAGCCGGTCTGCTCGCACTCCGCATAGAGTCGATGCCATCAGCAAAAGGTGCGGGCGAGGCGGAGGGTGTCCGGCCATTGTTGCGCGTAAATCTTCTCGTGCCGTTCGGCGCATCATTTCTTCCCGGTCCCGGAGTGACGCTGACGCTACGACGCCCCGTGCTCTCGCGCACAGGCTGGGCAGCTAGTTGCGGAGCTGGTGCCGTGGGAGCAGCTTTGAAGAGCGAGGGATAGGCGCGTTTTTGCGCAGCTGTGGATTCCAGCACCACCACGAGAGTCTTTTCGAATCTGGAGAAAGAGAGCGAGAAGAGTCAATAGCGGTGGAAGTTTCGATTGTGTTCGCATAGACTCACATCCGGAAGCCTCTGTATGATACTGTGAGGCGTGGCTTTTTATCTTCCTCCTCGTCTTCTTCTGCCCTTTGGTTACGCGCTCCAACTGGCTGCGACGCATCACCTTGCGGAGTCGAAAATCCCCACTCGTCAGTGTAGGAGTTGTCTGGCTGAAATTCCGGTTCTGCGTCAGGGTCTGGCTTGATTCGAACATCCTGCAACGCATCGTGCGTAACGTCTTCGCGCGGTTCGGCACGCCTGCGCTTGCTTGGTATGGGTGGGGGAGCCATAGACCCAATCACCGGACCTGTCAGGGCTGCGCCACCGAGGGCTGCCGCAGACTGATTGTTCATTGGCCCAGGGATTGGCATCGAGGGTCCACCATGCGCACCACGGACCTCCGCTTCGTCCCCACGTCTTCGGCGCTGCAAATGTGGGAACGTCAAACGCTTGTTCTGAATGCAAAAAGATTACAGCGGGGCAAGGAGATGAGCACAAGGAACCCTCCTGCCTTCACCGAACGCCATGCCTTCCTTCCTTGCCAAGACTCACCTTGAGCAGAACAGCATGTCTATTGCCACCGCCGACCCCGCTTGCAGCAGCCCTCTGGAAGTAGAAAGCCATGCGAAAGTCTGGATGCTCGAAGATGTCCACCGTCTCCTTTCCACTCCACGCGCCAAGAGTGTTACCGTCCAGCTTGACGTCGTAAGCCGCAGCACCGGCAAGTATGTTTGTGCTTTTGGTGCTTCCCACACTTTCTCGAAGTAGCTTCTCCATCAAAACTTCTTTGAGATGCGCCAGCGCGATGGCAAGGATCGTCTCCCCGCGCGACTCGCCACCCTCAGCATCTGTTCCTCCATCTGACTCCTCATCGGAATCTAGACCTTCACCTTGCCCCTGATGAGAGTTCATCCATCTGACATCCCGCGCATCCAAGAACAGAGACATTAGCAGTACCATATATGGCGAGATGCGAAGGTAGTAGCTCTGTCTGGTCGAATACTCGTCTCGTGAGGTGCGAGGCCCTCCAGTGGCTGCACTGGATGCTGACTGCATGGCGACAGAATGTGAAGCTCGTCAGAGCTGGCTCTAAGCACCGTTCACTCATTCGCGCATCGATTCAAGCCTTCGGAGCGAAAATTTGTGGGCTTTCATGATGGGAAATGAAGTCGGTGGTTGGGACGAAGGAGGCCTTCCTCTCGCTCACCATCGTGAACGAGCCCGCGAGGGAGGGGGGGAGTTGATGCGCACGCGCCGCCCAGCTGAGTCGCGGAGACTGTTGTGACTGGACATACAGTCAGCATGCGGTCGCGTGCCCCTCCACTTGCTCACGCGCGACACACACTCGTGACTTGAGTGACGCTCTTCGCGCGTCGCATGTCCGGCGCAGCAGGCACATGATGTATGTATGATTCAATCACAATCCATCTCAATTTTTGAATGGTGACTTTGGAGACGCGGAATTCAAGTTGCAAGGCAACGGTATGTACAATTTTTCACGGCCAAGCTTGGAAGCTGTGTGTAGCCTCTGTGACTGTGATTGTCAGCTAGCCGCTGACATGGCTGAAGTGATGAGAGAAGGGAACGTGTAGTTGCTCGGCAGAGATATCTTGACCGGTGACTGTTAGGAAGCAGATGCAGATGACAGGCGAAGCATGTACCGATGGACCTTGACTAGCGAAAATTTGAATTCTGCGCGACAAGGAGGAGTGGCAGAGGCTCGATCTTACAGAGTTACCTCTGCACTACCCTATGACCTCTGCGAAGATGAAGCAAGGCCCGCTCGGACGGGACTAGCAGGTAGCGAGCCGCCTGCTGATCTGATGGAAGCAGGCGAGACTGGTGTCAAACGAGATTTCACGGGGCTTGCAGCGAGTGATTCGCTATCTGGGAGCGGCGTGTTGAGGCCAGAAACGTTGTCCGTTGCAGCCCCGCCGGTGCTCGTCGCGGAGAGGCTCGGAGTCGTGCTTCCACGCCGACTCGCAGCACGACTTGCGCTTCTGCTTTCCCGTCGCTTTTCCCGCATATGCATAGCCTCGAGCGCTCTGAGCTCAAGGTCCCAAGGCGTTTCGCGCTTGCGAATCTCTACAATCTCAGGCTGCTCCGCAGCCCGAGAATTACCGTCATTGCGTCCTTGCCTCGAGCCTGGGCGAGACCTGCCTGCTGAGCGCAGACTTTGCCGCCGAGACTGCCATTCCTGCAGACTTCCATCGTACAGCGGTGAATTGACCAGGATCGGCGAGGCGTACGAGGATACGTCATCTTTCGCCACGATGCGTGCACACGCAGGCGTAGCTCTTGGAGGTGGCTCGCTGGCACGGTCTTCTCGTAGTGCATTGAGACGCGAAGAAGATCCCTTTCTGGTGACTGCTGACTCGGCAGCCTGCGCGAGGGACGCAGCTTGATGTGGTATTAAGGCTGACAGCTCTGTGGTCGGTAAGGAAGTGTTCACTGTCGCTCTGCGCCTGTGAGAGACCTTGCGAGGTGTGACGGCTTCGTCTACACGATCCACACGGCTGCTTGGCCGACGATTGTCCTTATTGCCCTCCTCATCGTAGGGTCTTCGGGGTTGCAAAGCGCGGCCCACTCGACCCAAAATTTTGCTAAGGCTGCTGAGACGTCGATGCTGCTTGCTCGAAGGAGAGGCCTCCTCATCGTCGGTCTCACGTGCGTGTTCTGAGTCCGAGTCGCCCGGCAATATGCCCAGAACCTCAGCGCTTGACGGTCGGGAAGGGCCTTTCCACAAGACACGATGGTTGCCGGAGGGCGTGCGTTGTCGTGCTTCTTCCACATCCTGTTCTACCTCTTCCTCTGAGCTGTACACCGGATCTGCCAAGTGGCTGAGCCTTTCATGTTCATTTGTACCATGTTCGCCACGTAGCGCTGCTTCGGCTCGAGGATGCATCGGGTCTATCTGGCCTGAAAGAGCAAGGTCATCGCCAGGGCCTTTAGGCTGATCAGGAACGCCTGAGGTCGCTGTATCCGTTCCCATAGCTGTAGCACGAGTCGGGCTAACGGTAAGAGGCATTCCTGCATACGAATTGAACGTCTGAACAGCAGTCACACCCGCGCGAGCCTGATTGTCGAGAGAACTTTCATCGCCAACATTGGAAGAGACGCTATGATCGTCGTCCTCTTCAGACTCCGACCGAACGAGAATCAAGGTGCCAGGGTAAAAGGCACGTGGCGGTGCCGGCATTCGGTCAACTGCAGTGGCCTCCATGGGCAAGTTGATCGCTTCCGCCGGTAACCGTCCACCGAACGGACCGTTCGGATGAATGGGAGCGTAGACGTCGCGGTCAGTCAGCGATCGCTCTGGCTTTGCTCTAGCAGATCCACGTGAGCGCGGGCGACGAAGGGAAAAGATGCTCTTTGTCGGTGAGGCAGCGCTTGGCCCAGACTCGGTGTCTGGCCTCACAGCTGGAACTTTGCGCTTTCCATGAATCTCTTCAGGCTCGTGAGAATCGGAATTTGCAAGCCGGACAAAAGTGCCTCTGGCGACCGCCTCGCTCTCTGGAGCGCCGGGTGCTGTTCTGGGTCGCCGATGGTTGCCCGCACCGCCCCTTCCAGTAGAAGCTGCTGGCGTAGGTGCGTTGCTATCCTTTTCACCCCTTTGATGCCTCCAGCCTCCGCCAAGGGCTATCTGACCTCCGAGACCATGAATGGGTCGTAGCCGCCCTGCAGGAGCCTTTGCATTGGCTATGCGCACGCTCGGCGAGAAAGATATGCGGCGACTGCCGTTGGAGGTGACACTGCGGATACTGTTTGCTCTCGAGTGCGTCGGAGATGGCGACGTGTCTGTTTCCCGAGCGGTAGGGACCGATAACGACTCGCTACGCATGACGTGAGCGATGCCAGGATGTACTGATGCGCCCGAAGCGCTCCAAGAATGCTTGGGCGCTGGTCGCGCTGAAGTTTCGGAGGCCTAAAGGGGATCGATCGGAGACCATCTGAGCATCGGAGGCCGTGCGCATAGAGTTCAGTTGCAAAACTCACTATTAATTTCCAACCATCCAAACTGGCGCGCGGCGTCTGCAACACCTCCGTCATCTCCTCCTCTGGAGGAGTAGGGGCTGTTTTCCCGACAGGCAGGCTGTGCATGATCTCAGCTGGTTCGTCGTGAACAAAATCTGGCGCCCGCACAAAGGGCGCCGATGGCCCCTCCACGCTGGACTGAGACGACGTCACGGAAGCAATCGAGACTGTTGAGCTTGAGCGCTGACTGGCCGGGCCGCTCTCTGGCACTCGCAGCCACGCCCTCGAGTCGAAATCGGTGCCCGCCTGCGTCTCGCGCGAGGGCGGCGCTGAGGAGCGTTGAAGCGCTTGAACGCAGTGGGAAGCATCCCTAGATAGCTTCGGAAGATTGTGGAGACTACTGCGCTGTGCCAACAACAGGTTTCTTGAATTTGACGCTCGAGCGCTGTCATCTCTGGTGCCAGTGCGGAGAACATCGGTGGTACCTGAATTGTCCGCGTGAAGCGCATTTGGCAAGTTTGCCGCGATGTTCGCCTCCGACGCGGCGTGATCCACGGAGTCGCTCGCGGATGTGGAAGGTGACGTCTTGGGCCTTCTTTTGGCAGCAGCCCCACCGCGGGCACTAGGGATCGGCGTGGAAGCAGAGGGGCTGCCATGTGAGTGGGAAGCTTTCGTTGAGCCAGAGTGGCGCGGCGTCTCGAAGCGAAATGCCGGCGAGGCCAAAGGCGGTGTCGCGATACTGCTACTATCCGCGCTGGGTGTGTCGGTACCCAACGCGGGTGGATGCAAGAGGTCTTCTGGCCGTGTGGCGGGCACATCAATCTGGAGAAACTTGCGCGCTTCCACGCGCGGTCCGTCTGCTTGACCCGAGGAGCTGTGTGAGTACGAAGAGGAGACTGGTGGACACGCGTCTTCAGCGTTCAGCTTCAATGGTGGTGCAGGCGCTCGACCCCCGCCAGTGTTCTGACCTGACCCCTCCCGTGCCATGCCTCGAAGGACTCGCACATCATGTGAGACGGACCCATCTTCACCTGTCCCTACGGGGGTTGGGAGTGGGGGAGCGGCTTCTATTGATTGTTGTGACTGCGAGAAAGACGACCTCTTCGCTTTGGTTGGCGTGCGCAGGCGTGCCAGGAAGGGCATGTCCAAAGCCGTTGGGTACTTGGCTTGAGGAAGCTAGGAGCTGGTGCGCCCAATTTCTGATGCTTCACGCCCAGTGCTCAGGCGACCTCAGTGTGGAGAAGATGTTTGCAGAGCTAAGCGCCTTTTTGGTGCACTCGATGGAGTTATGTGGATGTGAGGTGTCGAACGATACATGACCAGGTGTTCGTGATGAGTGAGATAGCTACTTGATGCTCATCAGACTTTGAGATAGGCCGCCGGAGACGCAAACGATCAAATTTGGATGCAGGGCACCTGGAAAGGGTTGCGGGGTGCAGACAGCTGAAGCGACTAGCCTCGCCCAGGTACGTGAATGCTGTGCTCCACCGCGTACCTTGCAGTCACGAGCGGGTGTCCGTCCTCTGCGTCCTGCCCATGAGCTCCGATTGAACTCACACTTGAGCAGTCACAGCGGAGCAAGACGCACATATTGATGTCGCCTGACTCCCGTACCGGCTTCGCTGGCATGTCGGGACGGTAACGAAAACAGCAACACTTCTGCGGCGGAGATTACTCATGACCATATCAAAATACCAAAAATGGCGATAAAAGGGCGGCGTTCAGCAACGTACAGCGCCGATCGTCGGACATCGACTGCCGCGCAAGTGCCATGAAAGGGCGGTGCTGGTGCGGCGCATGCACAATGAGGCCAATCAAATCCAAGAGAATGAGTGCGCACGACGCGGTTGCGCAGTCACCCAGTCACTATTTGTGGGCGTTGCTGCACGGCGTTTCAGGTCGGGATGATGGGCGAACGAATTGAATACTTATTGCGGCTTGCTGCTGGGTCGATCGAAAACGACTTTGCGCCGCGCGTTGTGTGAGATGTGAAAGATACTGGGCCCATGCATGCGCGAACGGAGAGGCACATACGCGGCCGGAGCCTGGCGCGAACTCGTCAGAACTTGCTTGTGCGCAAAGCTAGGGAAGATTACGCTGCAGCCAAAATGCTTGGCGCAGCTCTCACACATATCCATGCATCAGCTGCTGTGCTCGTGCATGACTGCTGGGACGCAAAGCGCTCATTCACGATTGCATGAGTATTTTGGGCCCCACCCTCATGCTGTTGCAAGCTAGGCCAGGCACACGCCCAGTGTCTTGCCGAAACACTCACCCGAACTGCTGTCAAAATGTAAATCTAAGATCAATCGAGCCCTCGCGTTACATCGTGATCCATGCACGCGATGACCTGTTCTCAATTGGTGTCCTGCAGCTGCTGCTGGAACACCTTACTCCTCACGACTCTCACAATGAAATTCTGCTGCTGCAACGCAGAGTGGCATACGCGTACGACGACCCTTCAGCATCGAAGTGAAATTGCCATAGAGCTTTCCACCTCATCCCCGCTGCTGGAAATGGCCATGACAGGCGGACAGCAAAGGCTGACAGCGTGCATGCAAGGCGTGGTCCTCACATTCCAAGAGACCGCAAGCGCGTGCATGCTGCTGCTGCGATATGCTGGCTGATGCGAGTCGAATCTCTTCAGAAGTCTTGGCAAGGCGCTAAACGTGAAATCGACCGCCCTTCAACCCCCTGCGCGCGGGGGCACCACTTCCCCGACTGGCCGGCACACCAGAGAAGAATCACGAGAGTCGCAAATCAAATTCCATCACGAAACGACCATCACGTGAGGAAGCTGGTCAACACTCACGATTACAAAAAGTTTTAATAAGTCTTCTTTCGCGAATCTCGGATTTAGCTCTTCCCATCGTGTTGCCTCCCATTGACCGTACTCACAAGACAGAAAGATCTATACACACTGCTCTCGCGGTGCTCATGGCAAATCATGCATTCACAGGTTCCTCGTCATGATAAAGCAGCGCTTGACGTTTGCAGCGGACTGAAACTCATGTGACTTGCGGGTGAGCGAGCATCTCAGCGCCTTGCCTATTCGTCATTTACATCATGGGCACGCATGGTCATGCGAACAAGATGAGCGAGCACATCGTGCTTCAATCACATGAATGTTGTTGTGTGCGTCTATGCAGCCACGCGTGGTGACCCGTTCCACCACGATCCACGACCTGGCGCTGCCGAACATTTTTTCCCATCGGCATCGACAAAGACGCATCGCACCTCCTAGCTGGACCGATCTTAACGATGTTAACGATCTTTCCTCGAGCTTGCGTAGGTACGCGTCTGCTGCACTTGCGAAAACACCGACTGGGCAAATCCGAGCTGCGAAAAAGAAGAGAAAAAAAAAAAAAAAAAAAAAAAAAAAAAAAAAAAAAAAAAAAAAGGATAAAAGGGATTCACAAAAGTTTGCAATCCGAAAGGTGTGCCCAAACCCGGGTCCACCTCGAGCTGCGTAGCCCCTACTGTGACTGCTGTGAGAAGTCGTTTCCGATCCGGTTGTGTTGTGTCTGCATCGCGCTGAGGAGTGTATACGTGCAAGGTGCGTATGTGAAAACGCCGCGGTGGGGGCTGCGGCTCCATCTACTCGAGGCCGAGGGGGAGCGGTCTCAGAACCAGACTCCATTATTACCGCTGCGATCTCCGACGCGGCTCGTCATCACTCGCACTCTTGCCCCGGCTTGATCCAACGACAAGCTCATAAGATTGTGTCGCGCGGCGCTTGCTTTTTACATATCGGCATCCCAATCAAGACAAGGGCTTCGTTCATGAAATCTCTCAGTTCCGCAGCAAGCTCACGCAGACGCAGACGCCTCACTTCGCGGCCTGAAAGATGTAACATTGCGTGCGAGATACAAGGAGGGGTTGCGAAGAGGGAGACCAGAGGGTCGGGAAGGCGCGTCGTACTCAACAAGAAGATGCCGAAATGCGAGAGAGGAGGTTGTGCGGAGTAGGTCCGTCGAAGAGGATGCAAAGATTTTGAGAGTACAGAGGGAGAGTGCAAGGATTCGGGGTCGCAGCGGGAATGGAGACTGTGTGTGTTGGCATACCGCGACGCGCGATGGCGTAGCACAGCTAGCGTCACCAGCTGAGTCTACGTGGTTCACAGCTGTAATCACGAGTGGCGAGTGGGTAGCCGCGCAGGGAAGGTGATTTCATGTGGCAGGCGGGCCGTCGGGATCTGAAACCGGTACCCAGTAGTAGCGGACCTCTTGACCCCTTTCTGAAGAGGACGTGCTGGGCGGTATGACGGCTTCGATCACCGCCAGACGCAATGAAGCGCAAGAAAGATCCAAGGTCAGCGATGTTCATCGCCCCAGCCGATGACGGCGCAACACGAGACTTACCAGGCGACATGTGCTCCGACGAAATCGGATTGGGTTGATAAGGCGTGCCTGCGACTTGTGCGGAGCGCCCTGCACGAAGCATATCGTGCTCTACCTGAGGACGTCGGTACATGGTATTCTGTGCCGGAGATCTCACATTCAGCCTGAGGCAAAGACTCTTCTACCCAAGTCGCAAACGGACGAGCTCCAATGCTACGAGCCGCATCACTCACCGCTCTCATTCGCGCCACATATTCGCCCTCCGGACCTGGCGGGGCCTCCATGGGCATGTAGTAGCTCATGATGGTGCCTGGAGATGCCTGAGGTCCGGACACACCCGTGAATGCTGAGGCCGGAGAAGCAATGTGGTCCCAGCTTTGAGTCCCATCCAAGGCTGGTAGGCTTCGCAGAGGCGCGTGAGAGGCCTGGCTGCGCCCGTGCAAAGGGGGTCGGGAAAATTCATGATGTAGCTGACTTGGATGAGAGCTAGACGGCCAAGAGCTGAGTGGTATCCCTGAACTTCTCGTGTCCCAAGGCGGTCCCCAGGGGAGGTACATCTGATTGCTAGGTGACATTTCCGCCTCCTCCCGCTCATTTGGCACCCTCATAAATGCCCCACCCCGGGACGGTTGCTGCAGGCCTCGGTGCGTCTGATGTCGCCGTGCATCCGCGCGACTGATCTCTTCGCGTTGCCTCAAGCTCCGGCCGAAGTCGTGGGCACCCATCGCAGACCCTGCTGCCGTGCTCTGAGAAGCGCTGGAACCCTTATGTTGGTCCAGGTTGTCGTTCGGCGTGGTGATAGGCGCCCAGTAACCCCCGGCCGAGACTGGCTGCAAGTCAGGACCAGGTCGCGGTCGTTGCATCGGAGCTGAAGGAAGAGGCTCACTTGGGCGAGAGAGGTGCCCTTCGTGCGAAGGCATTCTATCGATTTTGCCGGTATGTCCGCTTCGCACTCCCTCGGTGCTAGATGCCGGTCGTGCACCTGCGTTGAGCGGATGCCCAGGTGGTAGCCAGTGACTGATGCTGGATGTCGCAGGAGCAGCGCTCGTGTGCTGAGCGATGCGAGGGGAGGGCGATGGGACTAGCTTGGAGGCCTTGTCGGTGACTGCTACGGCAGAGGAATTATTCATACCGATGAGCGGTCGGCCCTCGACCGCGTTTGCAAAAGCACGACGCGGCCATTGAGGCCCCGCAGAAGGTGTCAAGGAGAAATCCTGTGGCGATAGTGGCGCAAGTGATGCGCTCTCTGTCGCCGCATCAGCGCTATCGGGCCTTGCTGGCGACTGAGGTTCTTGCGAAAGCCAAGCGGGTCGCGAAGATCCACTTGTGGTGTAAGCGCGATTGCGCGAGGGTGTGGGGGGCGCGACTCCAGACAGCCAATGGGATGAGGGCCCAGCCTTTGATCTGGCGTCAGCTCGCTGTCTTCCCGTCCGCTCCAGGGCACGTTTCTCCTTGAGTGCTCGCTTTCGGGCTCGCAGCTTCAAATTCTCCTCTTCTGACACCTTTGAGTACACGCACGGACGACCTATTCGGGTGCAGAGTCCGCACGAAGGTTGTTGACCGTCACATCGAACTTTGCTGCAACCGAAGGGTAGGGATCGTACAGAGATGTGAGCGAGAAGCAATGTTCAGCGCGACGAGAGTGGGCATGGAGCAAGACTACCAGCCAGCGAAAGCGACGTAGACTTGCCACTCTTGCCTCAAACACGCGTACTCACCGGCTCCGACAATGCAGACACGCTATTGGCACTCGATCTTTCTGTGCTTCGCTCTTTACAATTGATTTGGGCTTTTCATCTGGCGAAGGAGGTGAGATGCGGGGCTGTTGGTAGTGTTCATAGATCCATGCCGCATCAGAAGAACTTGTGGGCTGAGGATACTCCACTTGCTCTGCAGATGGAAACGTAGGTGACTTTGTGATGGCCGACGTGTGGCGGGCTGTGCTAGGTCCTTGCTCAGGAACAGGCGGACCCTTGTCTGACGGCGTACTGCCCACCAAGGTACTTTGTGCGAGGTCTTGAAGCGCGGAAACACGGGGCAAAGGTGGGGGCAGAGTTGATGGAACCCACCAAGCGGTCATGATAGGCCTGTCAATGCGGACATCCGCGACGAAACAAATGGGTGAGTACCGGGGATCTTGGTGACACCGAGTCGTTATGTTGAATGGAGTTGGCGAGATGAGACACGCAGCGTCGAAGTCGCCAGCAAAGGTAGAACATCCGACACGGGTAAAGGGCCCGCCTGAAACCTATGTTGACAGCTTGCCCAATAAGCCCGACTGATTGTTTGGTGTTTGAGAGCAAATCGTGGCGACCGCAAACGTGTACGGGTACCGCTTATGCCAGCGGGCGACAACGGGCTGAGCTGGAAGGAGCTGACAGCGGGCGGAACTTATAAGGGAGCTCGCGGAGCCCGATTTGCATCAATCAGAATAGCGCCGCTTGACATGACAGCTGAGACGCACGCCGGGCAGGTCTTTTGCAGCTGCAAGTCATCCCGACCGGACTTTGCAAAGCACGACCACGTCTTGCTGTTGCGGCTGATCGTGTCGCTGCTGCTGTCAACACGCGAAAGGGACTGGGGCACTGCTGAGTTCGAGCATACAATCAGGAAAGCACCGGATGTGATCGACAGTCCCAGCTGGTACAGGAACAGAAAGTCGCGATCCCAAGGGAGCTGAGGCTAAGGCCCGAAGCGCTCCAAGTCAAGCGCGTTAGTGGTGTTATGCCGTGTTGTACTGACTACTACTGCATGATTGTTGGCCCGTCGGACTCGCGGACCTGGCTCTTGAGAGTCTCATCAGTCGTAAGTCGTGAGTATTTCTCAGACATCGGCCCGATGGGCGAATTTGAACCCCGCCTCGCGTATAGCGAGTTGTGTCATTGAGATGGTCAGGTCGCTCAGCATGGACTTGCTCTTGCTTCCGCGATAAAGTTCACATTGTCGATGGTAGCAGGACAGCGCAGTAGGCGGCAAGGGATTCGACGCCGGCAAGAGCCACGGTGGCGAGACAGCATCGTGAATGCTCGTGCGCTAGCTGGCATGAATCATGAATAGCGCAGGTCCCGCAAAGGGAGATGCGCAAGTCTCGAGCTTTAAATAGGTAGCCGAGCTCGGGACGCCTGAAAGGAAAGTCTGATGAGCTTGTTTCAAGATTGAGTCACGGAGTGCTATATAGCATCATCAGTCACGAAATTCGGCACGAGTCCATGGCAAGTCAGCTCAGCACGACAGCTCATGTTGGCAATCGGGAACACGCGCTTTGAGCGAACCCTTCTCGTCCATCAAGCTGTCGAAGCAGCATTTGCGCAATCTGGCTACAGCGCATGGACTGCACTTGCTGAAGCTGGACCGCACAAGAGCAGATGCGCGTCTGCTCCCGCCAAACGCTGTGGAGAGCGTTGACTGCATGTTGGAGCCTGAAACACCATTGGCTTGACTGCTCCTCACTACCACCATTGCTGCCACAAAGCCAGACACTGCTTGGCCCGGCTCGCTTCAGCTTCAGCAACACCCGGCGCACCATTTTGAGGCCTGTCTGTTAATGGAAATTCCTGGATGCAGCAACAGGCAGGCCTGTCCAGCTGAGGGGAAATAAGGAGAGGGGCAGAGCGGCACGGGCCAGAGGAGAAGTCAAACGAGCACGCGCTGCTGGTCCGGTCTTCCGTTGGAGGTCACAGCCGGGAAGTCTTTCTGCTTACAGGACCAGTCCCTCTCGCTTCTATGGGTTATCTGCCGGCACCGCTTCTGTCAAAGTCTTGCGGTTGTGTACTCACATCCACGCGCAGTGGGTCCACGCGATTCCATGCGCATACACTACTGCTACTACTGACACGCACATGCACTCTGATCATCCACCACACTCTCGCACAGTCTCATCAAGATTTACGAGTACGCAAAGATGTACCTACATTGGCCATGCGGTAAACAGCCGCTAAGGAAGCGGGGAGCCAAGAGTAGCCCGCCGGGCTTGCTCAATAATTTCTGATTGGTAGCTGCAGGCGCCCTTGCTGCTCGGCTGCTCGGCTGCGCGTCATGGCCCGTCGCTCTGTCTAGCGAATATACTCGTGAGGTGCCGTTCATCATTTGCGATCACCTGCTCGTCTCTTGGACTTGAATTGTAGTCGAGGATGAATCGCCACACCATATTCACCATTGGCAGGCGCAAAGAGAGAGTCTCGGCTGATCATAAGCAGCAGCTCAATCTGGTCGGTACATTCAAGATTTACTCGCGGTCGGCAAAACCTGCTGTGCGTACGCCCATGGAGGACCGTCAACCTGTCTCTCCGCGCGCGAATGCACTGCAAGTAAGTCAAGAGTGTACCTTGACCGGTCTGAGCTCACGTTGGCGCTCGTCTATCCTTCTTTCTCCTTTCCCGCGATGATTGTGAGAACACCTTCGCTTCCTCGAAAGATCGACTGATGGGCTTGTCCAGTCGTGCTGCCTCTGAGCTTTTGGCCAGCAAGCAACCTTTGAAGGACTTCACGCCTTGTGAAGTGGCGGACCCGCGTGCAGCCCTCTGGTCGAAGCGTTAAGAGGTACAATGCAAGTATACAAGCTACACATGAGCGACATGCTCGCTGACGTGCTTTTTGCCCCGCTCGACAGCTGCAGCCTCATCGCGGCCCCGAACCCATGCAGATACAAAATCAGGGATACTGAGCCAGCCTCTCGCCCTCGTCCATCGAAGCGGTAACAATCAAAATAAAGAATCACAATGCAGGTATGTGATGCATGGCAAGGCTCGTGCGACTTTCGCGACAATCGTGAAGCACGGATGCAGCAAGCGGTGCATCCGTGCATGCGCGCTACGCACAAAGCACATCGCTTTGCGACACCTTTGGCTTGAAACTGGTTCTACACCAGCAGGGCATCTGCCGTAGACGGACAGCCACACAAACGGCAGCACCTCAGGCAACGTGCCGCATGTCGAGAGCTGCATGGGCGTGAGCGGATTGATTTCTTTGATTTCCCATCAGCGTCGTGCAGCGGCAATCAGTCGAGCCGAGGAGAGCGTGCAGCTAAAATTTGTGATGATTGGTGACCGCTGATCGAGCTCGCTTTCCGACCTTCCTTACCCGTCATGCGGCATTGGTCGTTGCGCGCCCTGCTGGCGCCATGCTACGATGGAGAGAGAGCACACCGCGCAAGCGAAGACGACGTCTACAGCATTTCGGCGCTCTCCGATCACGTCAGTCGTGAGTATTCACTATTCACGTCTCCTGCACCATTTTGTAGGCGAGCAGGCGTGAAGGCGACGTGTATGGGCGCTACCGAGCCTCTATGCTTCCTGATTCGTGATTGCAGCAGCGGGCCTCGCGATCTCGAACTTCCTTGCGGCACAACCCCAAGAGAGCTTGTCAAGTTGGACCGTCTGGTCTCCTGCGGCCGAGCCACGGACCTACAATTACCACTAGCGATAGCAGTGGTACTGGATTAGCAGTGGGCAGTAATAATAAGGGTAGTGATAAGAGCAGCAGTAGTGGTAGCAGGAGGAGGAGACGGCGTAGTAGTAGTAGTAGTCGTCATCATGACGAGTCGGGTGAGTACTGTACTGTTGTGTGTGCTGAGGGCACGAAGCAACAGGCGAACTTTGCTGGAGTGACGTCTGGCGCAAGTCACGAGGCTTGAGCTGGTCACGAGGTGGGCCGTGTTCATTTCTCAAGATTGGCATACCGCTAAAGTTAGTCATGAGATTTCGAGAACCGCGAGGGCAACGGAGGGTACGAATCTCCGTCACTCGCACAAAATCATCCGCGCTCCGCTGCAAAACGCCCGGTGCATCACGGATCGAGAAGAAAGCCTGCTTGCTGCTTGGCATCTGATCAGCAGGCGCGGAGTCCACTTGTGCCAACAGCCGCATCGCGAAGCGCACTCCGAACTCGTCTCGTACATCACGACTACCGGACTCATTCGCTCGCATCCTCTTCTCTTGCATCTGAAGCCCCTGAATCCCACAAGGGCACTCGATCGCGGACTGTAGCAGCTTTGCCTACTGCGCACCTCCTGCTTCCCCCCTCCCCAATCATGCAGCCAGCAGGCACCGATCGAATCCAAAGATCGAACCCAGCGGATCTGCTGGCCATCAGGAACGCGATACAGTCTACGAGCCCCACTTGCTCAAACTCTTGCTTGCGAATAACGCTAGCTTCACGTACGCACGGTTGGGCCGAAGCGGTGTCACCGCAGAGTGTCAACTAAGCGCGGCGCACTGCACCAATTGGATAGCGTTGCATATGCGGTAGGTACCTACCATCATCATCCGTATCAGAGCGGATTCACGATTGCATATGCGACACGCGCGCGCGCGCAAGCGTGTTCCTAGCTGCGACGCAGCAGCAGCAGCAGCAGGCATTAATCTGAACCGTGAGTTCCGGCTGCTCCGCGGCTGCAAAGTTTGTCACTGACAGCAGGCACGGGGCGAGTGCAACGACGTTCACGGTTCACATTCGATCCGTGCCCCACCTTGAACCAAGCCCAAAGCCCCTTTGATCTCTGCTATAGTCATTGCGCTCGCTACACCCACGACTCTTGACCGTTGAGACTGGAAGGATCTTACCTCTTCCCGCTCTCGAACCCATAAAACCTCGCGATCCAGTTGTGACTGCTTCGCAGCAATGGGACCCTATTTTTACCCATGCAAATTTGGGAGCTCTCTGCGAATTTGTACGAGCAGCAAAGGCTCCGCGCGTGGATGTATAGCAAAGATTTTTGATTGCAGTGGTCATTGCGCAGCGGAGTTCAATGGTTCTGTAAGCTGACAGTGCAGCCACGTCGTGCAGTCTCAGCTATGATTGTCAATCGTGAATACCTCGAGCTCGAGAAAGCCTGGCGGTAGTCGCAGGTGGCTACGTACTCTGGCCCGCTGATGCACGACCTGGACGACCTCGATCATGAATCTATCAACATGGATCGCATTGTCGGAAGGAGGGCCATACACGCCCTCGCAAAGCTCTTTTCAATCAGCAGTGCCTGACCTCGATCAGAATCACGCAACGCTCTCGATTCAATGTGGCTCTCGTTGCCACTCTGCTGCCTCAGACATCAACAGCCGCCAAGGCATCACTACGGAGTGGGCCGGAATTGCTCTCGGAGTGCGTTGCGATACCGGGCTCGCTAAGCGAGGCGTCTGCATCGAGCCCGCTCATGCTAAGCGAGACGAGAAGGGAAAGGGCAATGAGAACATCTCGGCTAAGCGCGTGAGGGCTGCAATGTCGCCCGCATAGACCTTCGCTTAGGATTTGTCGAATGCAAGGTGGGCCACAGTCACGCATGTAACCCTTTCGTGAGCTCGAGGACGTCGACAGTTGGCAGCAGCAGACGACTGATTTGGGGGCAAGTTGCGAACGGCAAGCATAGCGGAGTAGCCACCCTTCTAGAAGGCAAGGGGTTGTATGCATCGAGGGCACACTTGGATTCTAGCGTCAGACGAATGCGTGGAATACAGGCTTGCTTGCTTGAATGCCCACAAACACATTACGCTGGACGCCCGAGCACGCTCTCGCCAAGTCCTGATGTTCGTGCATAGGATTGGAGCAACGAACAGACCGGCGGTGCACAGCAAGGTCGAGCTCCGGGCGCAATGGAATTTTCCTGACCCCAAGTCGATACTTGGGCAGACGATCAAACACCTGCTTTCGTGGTTCCCTTCTCCCAATTGGCCGAGCGTGTGCGCAGACGGCAAGGCGCGCTGGCTCGGCTCGACTCGCTGCAGCCAACAAGAGGTAGCTGAATAAGCGTACCGGGCGGTCCACCTCGGTGTCTCAATTCTGCTCCCTCACCGTCGCGAGCCTCGGAGTGTAGGAACATCCGACAAAACACGAATGGCGGAGTAGCTGAATGGAATGGACCATATTCACTAGTAGACTGAGGAAGATGAGCTTGAAAGCATGAGCACCACGCCGTGGCTTGTACGATGGATGGCAGAGTCGAGTGTTGCTGTCATTTTTCCACTTCAGCTGGTCCTGCATGCTGGATCATCGGTCTTGCGTCCTTCGACTCAGACCAGGCTTCACTCGAATCGCTTACAGCTTGGTCCAAGTGTCACCACTCATTCAAAGTTGTGGATGTAAGAACATTCAATCGTGAATCGTGAATCAATGTGAATGGCGGGACAGCAGGATCCGAAGTGGCACCTCTTTTGAGTTCATGCGCTTGGAGGCGCGATCACGTGACTCTACATTCTCCGACTCCGACACGAACCACACGGACCAGCATCTCTGTTAGCGCGTCGATTCTTGATTCTTGATTGTGATTACTTGCACCGCTCCGTGGCATTCATCCGCAAGCATACGCGCAAGACAACCATCATTCATCATCTTCTATCACTATATCCAGCATACTCGACCATCGAGGTCCAGGCACGCACAACCGTCAATCACGCTGCACCTGCAGAGGACCGAAAAGGTCGGCCACTAAATTGCTACATCTTTCTCCGCCCGGTGGCCTCAGCTCAGCACCCGATTGACAGCACCGAACTGCCCTTGTAGGTGAGCCAGAGTCAGCTGTAGCGGTGAGCCATCATCTCCTGATCATTCTGACCGCCGCGCATCCATCATGAAGCACTGCGAAATCATCTCGTCGCTTTTTCTCCATCTACACTCGTCTTTTGCCGTCTGAAGGCCAGTCAGTCATGGTGGACTCGGGAACGATTCTCTTTGCAGGTCTGCTCCTGCTACCGCCCGCCTTGATATACCTCGTCATCAGGCCGTACCTCAAAGGAGGCTCGAGCGGCGGCAGAAAGCCCTACACTGGCAAGTACGACCCTTCGACCGGATTGGGCAGAGGTGCACCAGGCTTCACGACCAACGTGGCTCGTATACCCGTGCCCGCGCACATTGTGGCTAGGATCAGGGCAGGCGAAGAAGTGAGCGCGGAGGAGATCACTGCTGCTCAGGATGAGGTGAGAAGGAAGATGGAGCGTGAGGAGAGGGAGAAGAGAGGGGAGAGCGAGGAGGAGCAAGCCAAGTCAAAGAAGGGAAAGAAGGGCAAGAGACGATGAGCAGGAGAGAGAGAGAGGCATTCTCAATATTGTCTTCTTGCAGCTAGCAATCAGCATCACGCATGACTACCCAAGCACACTGGACAGAGTGATTGTTATACACGTTGATTCACATTTGCGGATGTGAGCATTTCTGGGTCAATGGTGAGGCATAGAATTTGTGATCACGCGGGTCGAGAAAGTGTTGCATCTGAGTTGTAAAGGCCGCGAACTCTTGATCTTGCAGGCCATCACCCTGCTTGGCGGCAGATGCTGAGGCTGGCTGGTGGTGAGATGGTATGCAGTCAATCCTTGTCGCTACAACGCAGGCCTGCATGGACTCGGTCACTGAGTGTGCACCTCAGAGTCGGGCTCGACGTACTCGCTGTAACGGTGAGGTGGGCCACTCGAATTGTCAGTCTTGGAACAGCAAGCGAGACGTCTTGCCCAACTGACGAGGCCATCGCAGCTTCAGCTTGCTAGCAAAAGCAGCTTCTGGTGAACCGCTTGCCACGCTCTCGATGCCAAAGAAGGTCCGTCTGCACTGCTCCCAAGGAGCACCCATTTCCCTTTCCAACTCACATTTGAGCATCGCCTCCAGCCAGACTCTTGGTGGTCAGGCCTTGAGCAAAGTTCTCGGGCATGACGGCAGCAAAGCCCCTCATGATGGGGCTGTCGTAGCGCTGCTTGAGCTTGCCTCCCGCCTTTTGAACGCGCGCAATCTCTGCGTCGATTTCGGAGTCTGGAGCTCCTTGCTTGTAGATGCTAGAGGGTGTGGCAGCAAGGAAGAGCTAGCATTCAGCTTTGAGCCACACGATGCGACACGATGCGTAGCGGACAGAGCTGCAACAGCAGATCCATCTCCTGCAAAAGAGCGGCTTGGCTGGGCAATGACGTCGCATGCAACTCACACAATGTAAGGCTTCATCTCGTTGGAAGCAGTAGCAACGCGGTTGGTCTCCTTGATGGGGGGTTTCGCGGTGGTCGAAGCCGCAGTGGAGGCGGATCGGTTGGGTAGTCTGCTGACAAAGGTAGTCTTGACCGACTTGCACCTCTTCTTTGTAATGTCGAGATACCTGCTGATCGTCTTTGGGATCTGGAAACGGATTGACATTCTTGCAGCTCTTTTGACTTTTGCCGATGTTGGACGCTGCTTTATGTACGCGCACAACTTCTCCCTCTTGGCCTGTGCACCAACTGACGGCGTCCCTCCACCCGAGCTTAATTTGTCCAGCAGCAGCAGCTAGGCCCCGCCGCTGCGATTGCGGGCGGTGCGGCGGGTGTTGCGCAGCAGCTGCTGTGCGTTCCTGCGCCGAAGTTGGCTGCTGCTGCTGCTGCTGCTGCTGCAAGTGAACGCGAGATGTGCTGCTGCTGCCGCCGTGCTTTGAGGTGAGAGGGTGTGCGATCGAGCAAGGGACGCGGTACGTTGCGGCAAGCTCGGTCCTTTGGAGCCGGAGTCCGGTCGTGCGCTACACGTTCTGCAGCTCCACAACAACAACTCACGACTGAGATAGCCAGAGTGAGGCGCAAGATTGCTGATCGACTCGTGACTGCTGGATGCCACCAGCCAAGGCTCGCGATTGATCGTCACAGATCAAGAAGGAGGTCACGACAATGCTGTAGAGGTGGCTAAGCACTCTGTGTCGCTGCGGCTCCGCGGAGAGTCTCTCCTTTCAATCTGACGCGCGGCCAGCGGCAACGATAGGTGCGGGAAGAATAAGATGACGAGGTGGACGAGTTGTTGTGGGGTCGGTGGGAAAAGTGTTGCGATCGAATCGCGATCGAGACGAAGTGACTTTGGGGGTGTCGCTACTGCTGAGCGAAAGGTGACCGTGCGGGGACGTGATGAGCGCAATCACTCAGTCACCACTACACGATTGTGTGAGAGTGGTGAGTCACAGCGCTGAGTGGTGAGTCACAGCGCTGAGTGGTGTTATATTGCCCTAGAGATTGGATGCAGAAAGACTGCGCGTTCGATGGCGTGCTGAGTTGTACACACGCAAGCCGGAGCGTGTGGCTATCTTAATCGTGGCGGGCAAGTGCGAAGGGGGGCAAGTCTCGGCCAAGTGTGAAGATTTCGTCGGCCTCAGCTTAATTGGACCTCCTTTTGGCTGTCGACTGCAGGCGCGAGCAGACACATTTCAGACGCAATTCGACTATAGGCACCTCGGGTCGCCCCTGTGCAGAGAATTGAGCCTTTCTTGACCGCCGCACGTCGTTTGCACAAATGAGCCTCAGAAGACTGGTTTGCCGCTTACTTGATGCTGCTGGTCAGGTCGCGCTGCAATGGCGCAGCCAGCAGGTGCGTGAGTGCGACAGTCACTTCATGTCTCATTCATTGATAGGCATCAATTGCGACAGCCCGCCTCATTGTGATTCCTTACTTGCTTGCGACTTCGCACGTCGTTCGGTCACAAGTGCTGACACGAGCAGCATGTAAGGCAAGCACAATCTCTGACATCTGTCGCGCGTCATGATCCATATATACATGCAGTCGTGAGTCAAACTCTCTCGGTCACAAGTGCCTTCCGTCGGATGCCCATCACCGCCGCAGGTCTATCTGTCGCTATATCCAATCAAAATGGGACGTGAGAATATCACGCAGAAGCGTCATGGGCTGGCTGATACTCATGCACCCATCGAGCGCTCCTTTGATACGCATTTACTAGACATTAGCGAATCCCTGCCCTCAAGCTCGTTGTAGTGCACTCTGTCTCGGCATACAATTACGGTCGTGGCGGGCAGCTCACGCAGACCGAGACAGCACCATGGGCCAAGAGCATCTGGATGCCGTGATGATACACAGCGCTCGAACAGCAGAGACGAAATCTTGAGCGAGCAGCAGACGGTCACGAATGCGAACGAGCAGCGTGTACAATTAAGCCACATCAAGCCATATACATCCCTTCAGTCAACGAACTTCTGTGTGTAAAATGCTTTTGTTTTTTTTTGGACTAGACGGGGCGTCGTGATGGAAAAAAATCTCATTCGTGATTCGTGATTGTGACTCAAGATTGGAAGGTGAAAATTTTTCTTCCCTTTGTCTCATGGGAGACTCAAATGTTGATCAGAGTTGTCTGACGGCGATGCGTGGCGTGCGGCTCTCAGAACTCAGAACCTACTTGCTTGCATTTTAGCATGCACATTCGGCTCGTCTCGACCCAACTCGATTGTGCTTGCGACGAATTCGTTCCCGCGACTAGAGTGGTAAGCTCACATCGATTTCCACCGGCCGATCGCCAACACACTCGCAGCCGCGTTGGAAGACGTCGAGGCTGTGCTCCGCGGAGCCGGGGAGCAATTGAGTGATTTGAACATCACACCGCAGGGCCTCTCACAGGTAGCTTCCACCAGTATTTGACTGATGTCCATCGATGCAACCGGGTCCGCGCGGAAGCACCTCTGACAGGAGATCATCGACCGATGCGTGAGTTGTTGTGTAGGCGCACGAGGCGCTACAGTACGTCTGGCATGTGCGTTGACCCCTGGCTCGAGTCATGCAAGCAATGCGGCCAAATTGAATGAACCAACGTGTGATGGTCGCACTCCTGCTTGAGAGAGACGCTGCTCAACGCAAGAAAGGGGCAACGAATTTGATCAGCTTGCCATCTCGCTTGGATAAAGCCAGTCTCGCGGCATGCCTGTCGAATGTGTACCGAGAAGCCGTGACATTGATGCTAAGGCGAACGTCGTGTCGAATACAGGACGGATCTGATGAGCTAGCCCTCCGGGCTTATCCTTGAGTCGGAGTCATGTTGGCCGTTTGGTTTTAATTAAGCCTCAGCGGTTTGGTAGCACTGAGCTCGGCTCCATCCTTTTTTGTAGATGCGAAATGTGACTTGCCTGTGCTGCTGAGGGCCCGCAGCAAGAGAATTGCACGACGCTGCGCGAAGCGGGCACCACCAACGTCTGATCCATGACCAAAGTGCTCGCCAGCCTTTGGCACGACAAGTGCTCGTACTGGTGGCCGCTTCTTGTGCCTTGATGCCCCGTCGAGTGTAGACTGCCCTTTACACGACCGAGGGCCCGATCCCTCGCAAGCAGCGGAGCCATTCTTCGTCCAAAGCAGCAACATTGCTTTCCACGTCATTGGCCGCAGTCTCGAGCGTCAGATCAGAGTGGTTGCGAATGTCGTCCTCTCGCACGGCTTCGACATCGTGTGGGTGCAGGTGTGCATGTACATTAAGCTTCTTCGGTCCTTCCAAGACCCCTTTGAGGGTGCGTACCCCGTTCAGAAGCGGGCCAGCCCCAAACGCATCCAGCCAAAGTCGCCAGGTAAAGTTCTTTAACCGCGGCATAGCATCCGCAAATCGTGTGCCTGAGATCGTCTGCACCTCAGCATCGAACAGCAGACAGCCAGAAATGGACAAGGAGTGAAGTTTGGGGAACGCGCCTACTCCGAGGTGCAGTGGACTGCTCCAATAGGTGGGAGGTGGGCCCAGATGCAAGTGCTCCCTGGCACGTCGATAGAAGGCAAGACAGTGCGTCAGTAGCGTTGCATCCGCGAGTGAACACGGGCGCCGCGGTTCAGACCCCAGCGGGTACACCTCACAACTTTGGCCACAGTCGACGAGAATCGCGTCCCCCGACGACACGTTCAAGATAGGAGGACAATTTCAGGGCGACAAGTTCGGGCATCATGGACAGCAAGGACTGGATGACCGTGATGATGGAGCCCAGCGTCGGCTCCTCGTCACTGGCGAGATAGTGCGGCCTCCTTCCGAACAGCGCGCGGCTTGAAGGCGTGTCCGGTCCTCCATCTTGTTGGAGGAGGAAGTGTGGCACTTGCTCGAGGTCGAAATCCTCATCTTCTGGCTGATGTGGATTCCCTGCTTGGTCGTGCTCAGCGTCCGAATCATCGTCGTTGAGTTCCGCCTCGTAATCTGGTAAAGCGTTGCTCTCTATCCCGCCCGTAGGGAATAGCAGTTTGAGGCAGCCACTTCGAGCAAATATCGACGGTGAGCAGATGTCATCGTCCCGCAAAGGACGCGAACGCCACGCCTTGGCCCAAGCGTCTCTCTTTGCGCTCAATTGGGAATTGACGCCGGTGTAGTCTAACGATTGCAGCTTGTTGGCGATTGCGTGGCATACCCTTCTCAGGGGAAGCCCGTGCATACTTTCCAGTGATCTGATCGCCGGAGAGCAAACTTCTCCACCATGATCCGGTGCCTGGCGCACTTCCTTTGCTACCTTTTCCGCGCAATGCTCGTACTCGGCGCCCCATGTGCCGGCGCCAATGAATTCTAATGCAGCTAGATGACCAGACGGAGGTTTGGACACCTCGACCGATGGTGACCGCCTCTCGGCATCTTCATAGCTCAGCGGCATCAAGAGTCCAGTGTCGAGACAAGTGAAGCACCACGCCACCCCTATTTGAACGAATTCCATGTCGAGGACTGCCGCATCCAAGTCGATGAAAGGCCTCTCATGGATAGGCAGCGGTGGTGATCGCGGCGGCAGATCCGGCAGATCCGGCATCCCCGGCAAGACTACGTTAGGAGCGATCGCGAGCTCCTCCATTAGTGTCATGTCCCTATGCGCACCGCGAGAGAGCCCCTTGCGGGTAGAGACAGTCCAGGATATGGCTGCTTCCAGCGCTTTGGATTGCGCACCTCCTTCTGGAGACGGAAGCCGCCCATGCGGCATCCACTCGACGCCTTCTTCGATCAGCCAATCCTCCCAATGGCGAGGAAGCGGCCTTCCTGCGCCATGGGGCGCTAGCTCAGAGGATGCTTGAGATGCGGGTGTGAGGCATAGAGATCGGACAAAGTGGCCGAGTAGAGGACGTTGACTCAGTGTTCTGTGAAGCGCAAAGAGTGTAGGATGCTTCCCAATTCGAATGTGCGCATACAAGAAGGGCACCAACTGATTGTAGAGGAGCTTGTTGACTCTCAGAAGATTGACGTGGGTGGTGTAGTCTAGCCTGACGTGCTCTAAAGTCGACTCGCGAGCCAAGCAAGCTAATCTTGCCGACTGCAGAATCAGCTCCACCGGCAGCGACATGGCTCAGTACGAATGTTTGGAATCCGTTGACCTCGTGTAATCCACCGCTAGCCTTTGCTGGATATGCGAACCATCTGCGTAATTAGTAGTATGAGGCTCTGAGCGCTATTTTGAGATGTGGATGTGGCCTGTGGTACTAGCATCTCCTGTTGCTGGCAGGTGTGAGCTCAAAAGCCAGCTGAGGACGAATGAAGCGCCGCCATAATCACGGGGCTTGTAGCGGCCCGAGACTTAGCATTAGCCCACGCACTCTACGAGAGAATGGACGGGAATGTTGCAGCATAAGGGTTGCAAGTCGTGAGTGGATAGTCACGAGTGTAAATGTACGCACATCGAAGCTTGTGCGTGTGTGCGCCCAAGTGCAGCACACACCTACGTAGCTGCACGCACCTCGCTTCACCATGATCGAGGATCGAGTGAGTGAGTGCCCTGAGTTGGATGACGGATGGTGCAAGCCACGCGCGACTCTCTCGTACGATAGCCAATATGCGGCGAGCGCGGCGCGCAGAGTCGTCTGCTTCGAGCGTAGCCTTCTTCACAGCAGATCATTCACGGCCATGATCTGCCGGTACCTAAGATCGTCGGTTTGGCCTTTGTGACCCCATCACAAAGCCACAGCTCGCCCGCTGCTCCGGACGGAAACCCACTCGTCGGACAGTCTCCACTAGACGCACACCGCAACAAAGGTGTGTCGTGCTCAAGGCGTCCTCTCCTCGAGATCACTGCCCGCTCTTCCACCTGCATACACGCCCACCAGCCAACTCTTGCTGTCCATTTCGACTGCACCGTCGTCGGACATTTACATCAGCTCAATACCGAATTTTGTGCGCATTCTCTTCGCGAGTAGACCACACCCAAGGCAGCATCGCTATGGCATCACCACTTCGTCGCGCCACGGGCATAGGCGCTCGAGCAAGGGCATCGGCGCACGCAACACCCGTCGGCTCGTTCATTCTCCCACTTCGCAAATTGGTGCTGGACTACTGTCCGCATGGCATATCGTCAGAGCCGCTCAGACAATGGATGAGGGATGGAAACGTGGAGAGATGGGCAAGGGACAGACCTGCTGTCGAAGTTGTTGTCAGGGAGCGACCTGGAAGGCATCCGGTTGGACGCGGCGAATATCGTGAGTACTGCGGAGATGATGCGTCAAATTGGCTCCCTCCGTCTCGAACGACTCCAAATGAGATGCAATATCTGCAGCAGAAAGAGTGCACTTCTTCGCGGAAATGCAGATCTCCCTAGGATTTGCATGTTTTTGCCAATAAGCTGACCACATCTCGTCCGTCCCGGCCATCAGCACATAATCGCGAAAAGGTTGTGCCACTGCAAAAACACCCGTACGAGGAGCTGGAGGGCAGATTACAGATGCTGGCAGATGCAAGCGGAGCCAAGAGGGATCTCAAGTGGAAGAGAAATACGGTGGTCAGCGGAAGCGTGGGCAGCGAAGAGGGCAATGCAGTCAGAGGCATGTGGAGCCAGTTGCATGCTGATGGACGAGAGATTTGAGAGAGAGATGTACTGGAACGATTTTGCTCAGAGGCGACCTGACCAACTTCAACCCTCCATTCTTGCCAACGCATTGCACGTAAGCCCAGCGCCTGCCGACCTGCGTCAACTGCATTTGCCAGTCGCACGCAGCCCGCCGCAATGCCACGCCCGAGGATGGTCTCCGTCGCTTTAGCAAGGCAGAGCGTGTTGCTGTGAGCGAGCGCGTTGTGTTTGACTCACACTGTGGCTGCGTGGCGTCAGCACTTGGCGGCTAAAGAATGGCTCAGCAGTGCGAGAGATGATAGATGAGCAGCTCGAACGGACTCTTTTGGCTGCACGATCCGCTCGATGAAACCGCTCGGCTCATGTCGAGAGCGAAGACTCGAGCATCGCCATCCCAAGGCGACGCACGATGCAAGACTGGTTGATGTTCTGAACAAACACCCAAGACTTCAAAATGATCGCTGCTCAAGCTGCGAACGCGGCCGAGTCGCAGGGTAGATGTTTGCCGAGTCAGATTGTTGTGTGCTGTCTGGGTACATTCAAATTGATCGGCCTCAACTAGAGACGATGACCTGCTTCATAACAGCAGGAGCCCCTTCGCTCCATGGGAACCAGAGCGGACTCTGGACTCTCTAGCACGAGTGAGCGTCTGCAAGACTTCGCAGCACGCACGTTCAAACTCCGGCGAGGGATGACGCAGCGCTGCCGCGCAAAGCAGCGCCATCGTTAGGGAAAGGGAGGCATCGAAACCCCTTTTTTTGCTCGCCGCTCAATTCAAGGCCCGCACATTCCTTCTCCCCAGGGCGTAGCTCCACACTCAAAGGCTCCAATGCCATTGCTGTCGCCAGAGGAGCTGATTTCAGACTGCGGCATCGTGAGCATCACAAGCCTGATCGTGGAGATGTGCATGGACATAGCAAGAGTTAACAAAGGGTGTTCGCTTCAGGTTTCAGCGCGGGTTGAGCAGCATTACTCACACCTGCATGCATGGCTAGCTGACTGCGCGGCCAATGCGTATACCGGTATATGTTACTCGTGACTTACGACTCGGACCGTCCGAAGAGGTTCCGATTTACCCGCTCGCAGCATCCACCCCCTGCCGCGCAAGTGAAAGCCGAGTGCCTCATCACCGCGCATGCATTTCCGCGCTTGAATCTGTCAAGGCCTCGTGGTTTGAGGTGGCCATGAAGTGGAGATGGGAGGACAAAGATGGCCTGCCTGAAGCTGGCTTTCGCCCACTTGCCTCGACTTCGTTTGCCTTCAGCGGACTGAGCTACCAGGCAATCATATGAGTTCCGCCTTTGAAAGGGTGCAGGCAAATTGTATATTGAGTCAAAAGTGCCGGGAGTCATGCTGCAACCTTGTCCGGGTGCAGGCGGCCCCGAGGTATCGGTGCATATATGGTACAAGCAGAAGAGTCGTAAGTACAGTCGTGAGTCGTGAGTTCACAGTAGTCCCATATATGATGTGAGTGTATGCATGCAGAGAAGAGGCATCCAAGATTCAAGATTATGGATGGATTGAGCTGACACTGAGCAGCAGGTGAGACCTCGTGACTGAGACAGGCGCGCACTGACAGGTATGCACGCCGACGGCGGAAAGCGGTCCCTGTTCGAGGACGCTGTTCTCTCTTCGTCTCACAACAAGCTTGGGATTATATGCTCTGATACATCTATATGTAAGCGGGTGAAGGACTCGCCTACTCTTGACTCGTGACTTCTAGATTGATCGCTTGACTCGTGGGGCATTCATCGTGTGAAGGTTACCTGTCAAATGCCTGCTACATTTCTTGCATGCCATGTTCCGGCGTCGAGTCTTGGAGCGACAGCAAGTCTCAGCTCCGCGCGTGGCAGCACACGATTCACGACTCGATCGAGATGAACGCATCACCATATGCAATCACTGAATCACATGAAGCATCTTGTGAAGCATCGACAATGGCGATGGCGATTTTCCGCTCCTGAAACAGCAATGATACAATTTGCTGTTCTTTCGCCGTGCTGCAAGCGAGGACGCTTTCGCGACTCCGCTTCTGGCTCCGGCTCAGGCTGGTCTAGGCGTCATGCATGGCGGCCGCCTTGCTGCCAAATCGATCGAGAGAGTATATAGTGAATCAAGTGTCAATGTCGGCGTGTGATGCGCGGCGCGCGGTGTCAATCGCGAAGCAGGCGATGCAATGACCAGATGGATGTCCAGAAAGAGAGTGTCACGAGTCTTGATCGGGCGACACGGACGAGCTCGCAAGGCCGTACAGTGAGCTGGTTTGACTGTTCGCCATTCAGATTGGTGATCGATGCGAAGCTTTGCTGAATTAAAAATACGATCGTGATTGCTGGAGGGAAGGGTTTGATCGCCGGCATGGGCGCGATCATGATCTCGAATTCGAGTTCGGAAGGATCCCAAATTGCCGAGAAAGCAGCGGTCCCTCCTTTCGCCGCGCGACGCCGAGCAGCTTCCGGTCGGTGTGGGCGCAATGTGAGTCGAATTGCTGACGATCCCTCCAGATCGAAGAATGGTGCGTCTGCTGGGCGCCCATGCCTCACCCCTGGCCGCGCGAAACAGCAGTGAGTGAGTGCTGATGCACGACCGCGTGCAAGACCGCAACCGAGTGCAGTAAGGAGCTGCAGCGTAAAGCAACAAATTTCGAAAAATAACGTACAGCGGCTGCATCAGGGCTCTGCAGGGCTGCTTTCATCGGCGCGAGGGCGCCGCCTTGCACATACAGCATATATATGCTGCATGCTGCTGCTGCCGCTGCTAATCAAATTCGACGATGTAGGGTTCGTATAAACGAACACCTATTGTATACCATGCGCACGCAAAGGTGAGACTTACCGTAGACTTCGCCGCCGCTGCATCAGGAGCTGCTGCTGCCGTTTCTAGCTTCGCCCCGGCACTGAGACTCGTCACCGCGCTCCTCTGGCGCCCAATTGAGCAGTTGCTGCTGCTGCTGCTGCTGCTCCTCAAAGGCGCATGCTGTGTAGCTCCTCGGCTCAGGGCTTGGCTTGCCTCACTTGGCTGCAGCATTTGGCATTCGGCGTAAGTTGCTCTCCCTGACAGAGGGAGACCCAGTTCTGTCCGTCACTTACTCTGCTGGTCGATGCTCTCCATTCACGATTGCTCTCCAGTATCTCCACGCCCAGAACGGCACTCAACACCCATCTCTGATTCCTTCTGTATCGATCCTCGGCAGACCCTGCTAGCCTGCTAAACATCGCTCACTAGTCTTGACCTGCCATCACCACTCCCTCTACCTACCAGCAGCGTCTAGCCCGACTGGCCCTTCGTCAAAAACTTGTTACGTCCATTTGATCCCTTAGTCACCTTCCACACTCGTTTCACCCCTGGGCTCTATACCTGCTCTACCCTACGCAAACACTGGTAGACTACCGGGAGATTGGGTCTGGCACTGGAAGCCTTAGTGTCGCTTCTGTACACACACCTCAAGCTGGCACATCTTACAAGCCCCATCGGTTTCAGTGTCTCAGGGTCCGATCCCTTCGACAATTGCCATCCATACTCATCAATACTAGCCGAGGCTCGAAAGACTCTTGCCCTTGACACGTCCATCGTTGCGATGGAGACAGCCGACGATGGGCCTCACCTGCACCAGAGGTCTTCCCCTCGCATGGCCCCCAACAGCGTCTCTGTCGCATCTAGCAACGCGAATGCGGCTAGCTCAGGATCTGCAATGGGCAGCGGATCTTCCGCGTCCCCTCAACCATCAACATCCGCATCAGCCTTAGAAGGCAACTCAACCACCACGAGGCCCGGCAAGCGGAAATTGTCTCACTCATTGGCATGTCCATCGAATGTTGCCGGTCCCTCGGGTCGCATCCATGCCACTTCAGGTGCATGTCCACCTATTGAAGATCATATGCCAGGATCAGATATATCCGAAGGACGTCTCTCGTACTGTCAATCATCTCGCGAACTTGCACGCGCGGATATGTCAGAGAACTTGCCCCGGAGACCCGGCATGGGACCGCGCGATGATGAAGCAGTACTGGCAGGCACTCGCGCTGAGTCTGCCTCTTATGGACTTGCACCAGTTCATGACAAGAGGAGCACGAGCCCCGCCGCAGCCCCTTCAACATCGGAGCAACAAGCACCTGCTCCACACCTTGGACGGTGCATCGGTCGAGCAGAAAGTATTTGCTGCATAGAGCCATTGGATGGAAGCAACTATCGAGAACCTCGCTCCTCAGAAGAAGTGTGTCTGCACCGTTTGCAAGGATGCGAGGGAGCTGTCGCATCTCGAAACGATGCATCAAGAGATGCTCAAAGTGCTCGGCATCTTATTCCCCCCCACGGTAAGTTTCTGTGTCTGGAGCGCAGCTCAACGCCCGATTTGGCTAATCTGACAACGCCACTGGGCATCGCACTCAAGTCGAGCAAGTTGATCTCAATATATCACATGGCGGCGCCGAGAGAGCCTCATCGCCTTCAGTGAGGCTCGAGACACCGACCACACCTCAGGAGAAGGCAGACCACGAGGGTCATGCCGCTGGCAGCTCCAGCCTCGGCACTCCTGACTTCGCCCAGTACTTTCGCCAAAGTCCACACTCCGCTGCTGCGCCGTTCCATTCTGGTTCGCCCTCCTTTTCTGGCTCAGTGCCCTTCACTACTCTGGTGACAAGCCCGACCGCTTCTTCGAGTCCAGGGGGCTCTATAGCACATCCAGCCTCGCAGCCGCTTGCGCTCGCAAGAGCACAATCAGGCGACGCCTTCGAGCTGGATCGCGATGGTGACGACCAACGCATCTCAGCTCGTCGATCCATCCGTCACGACTCTGACCGATCAAAATGGTCGCTGAATCAGAGCTCCGAGGCGTCCGGATCTCGGCCTTCCGTGAGACAGCGACGCAAGCCCATGGTCCAAGCCAGGCATCTGCGCCCGAGCGAATCTGGCTTGCCGCATCCCACATTTAGCGGGCTGGTGCAGCATCGTCTTTCTGCGATCGGAAGGGCCGAAGTAGCAGCCTTGCGTCGCTCGAGCATGGGCGACGAAGTGGACAGGTCGCCTACAAGTGCGGCGCGCCCATCGGCAGATGTCCCGCCGTTACATCGTGCGGCAGAACACGCGTTCTGCCTTCAACCGGTACCGCCCTCAAAGCGAAGGAAATTTGCTAATGCGGGTGGACTTGACGGTCGTGTCCAATCGCCGCCGCCCTTGGTTCAGCCTGGTGCCTCGCATCCACTCGGTCAAGCTGGCCACACCCTTTGCGATCGTGGTGTGCCGCCCGTTCCAAAGGTCCCAGAACAGTACCGCAAATCTGGACGGCTTCAATCCACGCCCAGCGATGCGCATGCTGCAACCTTTGAAGCCGATTTGCAACCAATGAAGCAAGCAGCGACTGGGACCGTTTCTCAGGGTCATGGCCTCTCCGCTGCTGAGTCCTTGGCTGGAAGTTTCCCTGCCGTCCCTAGTGCCTCTAAGGCCACACACCCTGCCTACGGCGCCACTCTGACACCAGTGTACTCGGAAGAGAACAAAGGTGCCGTCCCTCAAAATGCTGCCCGATCGAGCGCTTGCCAAAGTTCCGCGCAGAGCTTCCAGCGGCCGAGCTCGCGTGCTGCACCGCCAGCCAAGGGCGACGCCCCGCCCCCTGCTCATCATGCTCCGACACGGCGTCGACCCCGTCTACGGCGCACTCACAGCTTGCCAAACCTAAAGGCAAGACCCGTCGTGGACTTTGGCGCTCCTGTCTCACATCGGCTGGCCCTCCCTCTTCACCTGATACAGTACATCGCAAGTCTGTCTCGTGCCCATGAGAAGAGCGGAACCAACGATGTCACCTCTAAGGTGACACCCGGCACAGGGGCTACGCACTGTCGCCAGCTTTACACTCCATCCCTAAATCCACCCATCACGCGTCACACTCTGCGAGAGCTGGACCTGTGCGAGATTTTGAAGAATCCCCAGCTGCGACACGATGTAGTCTTCGACCCGAACGTCCAGTTCCGACCTAACTTCGATGGTGAACGCGGTCGGCGCAAACGCGAGGCTGGTGACAAGTACTGGGCCGCAATTTCACGCGAGATCGAGTTCAATTGCACCTGTACCGCCTTCGAGGGACGGACCATGCTACCTTGCTCGTGTCCTCCAAGTGGCAAAGCGGACAACCGCAAGGCGGCGCTGCCACCCGTCCCTGTCAGAGCCGCAGGTGGCTCGATCAGAGTCCCGTCGCGCATACCGTCTTTGATTCAAGAGCTGCGTGCTATTTGTCTCTCAATTTTGCCGCTTGGCGGTGCAGGCGAGATCCCAACTACACCTCTCACACCAGCACACCCACTTTCAGCGAACTTGAGCTCTCGCCCACAGCCGGGCCTGTCGCGGGAGGCCTCGCAGCAGCGAGCGGCCCAAGAGCCCACGGCTAAAGCCGATGCGCCCGCAATGCAGAAGACTTGCGAATTGCCAGCCGCTAAGCAAAAGGGACGAAATGCTTCAGATGGTTCGGAACCATCGAGCGCGCAAAACCGCAATGCTACAAACGCTCAAAGTCGCTCGTCAACAAAGCTTACGCTACCTGGCGCAAATCTGCAGGGAAGCAGCAACACCTACATCTCGAGCCAGCATACCTTGATACTTCAGATGCTCGACCCACAGCTGATCACCCAAGAGCTGGCACACGGTGTGCTGGACGTGAGTGCATTGATCACGATGCTCGGCTCAGTGCTCAAGTTGCACTGCGCTCCGATGCGCGACGAGGCGATCGAGAGGATGGTCGCTACCGTCGTACACAGAAGCGATGTTGGCAAAGGCCTTCGTTCTTGTTTTGAGATCTTGGAGCTCATGAAGCTGGACATTGCGAACCACCAGCTCCGCACTGCAAGGCCATATCTCGTGGACACCGCCGTCGAATTCGAAAGTCGTTGGTTCCGCGAGCAACTCGAATTGGGCAAGCTGAGTCTGGACAGATCATTCTCCTGGTTCACCACAGCCCTGCAGCGTGCTGAGAGTCAAACTTTCTCACAAGCTCTCACGCGCACGGAGGCTATCTCCAAAGCTTTCGACGATGGCTTCTTGAATCTCATCTTTGAAGCTCCGCTGGTCCGACCCACTTCGTCGGTCACTAGCACGTCCGCCATTCCTCTCTCAGCGTCTCAACAGCAAGGCACAGGTGTGGCGCTGTCAAGCAGCAGCCTCAACCACGCATACATTTCCTACTTCCCGGAAATGTTCCAGTTCGACGCGTACCGCTTGATCACTTTTCACGCCGATGCGACCGACATCACCATTATGTACATGCTATTGCTGCTCTTCAGGCAACTCGCGTGCTCGCCGCTTCTGGCTGGCGCTTCACCTCCCTCGACAAAGCTGACCGCAGGTCAAATTGCATCCAACGCCGCAAATCTAGCTGCGCGTCAGATTGCGTCAGTCAAGGAGGAAATCTGGTGCTTGTTGTGCGAAGCTAATACCAGCATCTCTGCTCGAGAAACCTCTGCGCCAAGGACTCCCGCTACACCTTCTGCGCGGACTGCTGCGATGATGCTCGGAGGCGCGACGGGCAGCGCAAAGCTGGAAGATGTCAAGTGGCGGGCAGCTATGGGGGACGTATTGCTACAAGTTGCGGCTCGTGCTAGTGCGGTTCAAATCGCCGCGCGTGATCCCCAATGTCTCGCGTTAGCGTCCGCTGCCAGCGCAGGAGGAGAGACGACTACTGCCGACCCGTTACCCCGCGTCTCTCTTTCTGCACCGCCCGAGCGTGTTCTGGCTATGCTTCGTGCTTGGCTGGAAACGAACCTTCGCGTAGGCAGCCCTTTGCACAAGCTCTGTCAAAGCCGGCTCCGCGATGTCATAGCTGCGATGCTCGCGGACCGCCTTGGAGCACCAAGGGCTCGCCGCCAGCCATTGATGTCCCCCGTCCAAGCAGTGGCTGGCGTGAGGCGCAAGCACCCTGGGGACGACGCTGTCTGTGAGGCTGCCCTTCCTGGGGAGATGTCTAGAGGCCCTTCTAGCAAGAAGGCCCGCCTGGAGGACGGGACTAGAGCTAGTATCCCGGGGTCGTTGGCCGCCATGAGCTCCACTAGCGTTGCCACAGACCAGCCGTGCGAAGCTGAGCTTAGCATGGGCACACTAGCCTCGAACACGACGGCACGCGTCTCGGAACGCGACTGGGAGTCCGTGCTCGTCAAAGCTGGGCTTGAGACGCTCAGTGCCGAGGTCAAGCTGCTTGGCGACCGCATCACCAAGGTTGCTGTCTTTCACCTGCGAGTCATGCGACCGTTCTACGAGCGTTTTGCGGCTCAAGCAGCCGGCACACAATGATCAGCTTGCGTAGCTCGGCGACCAGGCCTACGTGCTCTGACCATCGAAACATTTTCCCACGTTCCCATGCTCCCTGCTCCATTTCGACTGCTCATTGTCTGTGTGCACCTTTTCAATGTTTTCCCGCCTCGTTTCATCCTTTCATTCGCTCCAAATTTCACGACTTCAGGCTTTCTGACAATGCATCCATTTATCTTACTTGGCTACGATCAATAAAATAGTCTTTCTCAACTCAGATTGTGCTTCTTGAGCAAGGCTTGAGCACTTTGTGCACCTCAATCTTTTCGGGTGCTTGTCCAGTGATTCCGACTGCCTTGCGTGTCCTGGCGGGGATTAAACGTTGCAAAGGCATGGCGTACGTGCCGGGCGTTACCTCACGTGTGCCAGGATTTTCTGCGCCATTTGTTCATTTCGAGCCCTCTGGACTGAGCTTCGTTCCATCGCTTCGCCTCAGTATCTCATCAGTCAAATATTGCCGATAAGGCACGCATGCGAAAGTCTCATCGAAATGTGCAAAGGCCCTCGAGGTGTGGCAAACGTCATCGATGTAGTAGTGAAAGCGACAGATGACCAACGAGGAGCAATGGTGGCAATGCGAGAAACGAACAAGGGCAGTGGTATCTTGAATAATCATGTAAGGTGTGCAGCGATAATGTGTAAAGGTATAAAGATGGCGACGCTCGTTGGGAGCACCTAATGAATCGATCTACTGGAGAGTCTGAAGGAATGTCTGGCGGCGCTGTGCTCGAATTTGTTTTTGGCCACCCCCGCGCTTTTCCAGCTCCTTTTGAGCTTTGCGGGCGTGCCATTCGCAAAGCCTCTGACCGTTGAGCAAATAGTAATCGTCTAGAAGCTCGCGACAAAATTCTTTGCTGTCGTGGCCTTCGTACTGGCAAGTCAGGCATTGAGGGTGATACTTCTCGCCAGATTCTGTCTGGCGGCATTGGCCCTCGATGCCCTCGTTGCATCCGGCGCAAAGAGTTCCTGCCAAGGCATGGTAGTGCTTGCTACAGTAGGGCACATTTTGCCAGACTGACGAGGTGCCGACCAGAGCGTCAAGGCACAAGAAGTCAGCGTGAACGGTCTCATGCAGGCGCAGACAGATGGTACTCACCGTAGAACGTGCCGTCCTCGAAAGACGCATCGCACTGGAAGCAACAGAAGCAGCCTGCGATGAAGGTGGCATGTGGTATGAGTGTTTGCGAGCAAGTACGTCAGTGACTCGGATGACTGCTCACCTCGGTGGAAGATGCCCTTGAGAGCACCATCGGACGATTTCACAGCATCCTTCTCCACAGGTTTGGTGCACTTGCGGCACTTTGGCAAGTAAAGGTCTGCATAGTCTGCAGCGCAGAGCAACTTGCCATCGCGCTCGACGAAGGGCGTCTTGCTGGAGCCCAGGGGGCACAGGCAGACGCTGCAAAGCTTGGTCTGGCGTTTCGCGGTCCGCAGATCGTGCTTCAGCTTCTTGCCACCCTCCTCCGACCGGTTCCTCGATCGCGTCTCGCGAGACTTTGCTGGGTTGATATCTTTAGAACGTGTATTGCCTCTAGATGCCACCTCTTCCTTTCGTGCGACTTTCTCCGTGCTCGGCTTCGTAGGCTCCTTGTGTGGCGTGCTCATATCCAAGTCATGAAGCATGGCCTCGATCTTGTCCAGGTCTACGCCGCGTGACTTGGGGCTTGGCCTGGCGGTCGCATTGCTGCTTCTGGCCCCTGCAGAGTCGACAGAGGCGACGAGGACGACCTCGCGGGGACTGGGCATGCCGCTCGTGTGATCGAAGCTCGAGCTTGGTGTGATCGCAGCGCTGACAGAAGCAGAGCTTCCATTTCTGCCTCGGCCCAACAATGAGCTGTGGCTAGAAGAGGTGGAAGACGAAGTGCTGGGTGCCTTGGCGTGGGAAAGGGAGCCAGGAGGCTTTGCACCAGCGATTTCTGGGGTTGGGCTCGCTGAGCCTTCTGTCGGAGCACCGTTCAGGGTCGCATTGCGGCTTCGAGCGGCAGCGCGCTGTGCTTCGATCTGCTTCTTGCGTTCTGCAACCATGCGGATCCGCGCATCAGATGCGTTTTCGTCGGTTGCAGCTGGCAGAGCCGAAGAGGTTGTGGGAGGCGAAAATCTCGCCGTCCTACGAGGCTCTGCGCTCGTCGTACCGGACCGCGGGGCGTCGAAGGAGGAGGCGCGCGGTGTCACCGCATCGAATCCGCCGCCCGCACCATTCAAAGCTGGGCTGCTCCGGCCTGATTTATTCTCGAGCCTGGCATATCGGTCGAAGAAAGGCGACCGTGTACCACTTTTTGCAGGAGAAAGGCGGCCTTCGATTGGAGACTCTACCAATGGAAAGCCACCATTGACGGCAGTGCTCGCAGCAGGAGCATGTTCCACGGCAATGGTGAGTGGAGAAAGCGGAGAGGTGCTTCCCGCCCTTGCACACGTGTGTTCCACAAGCTCGTCGAAAGACAGTAGGGTGCCACAGTCGGCGCACTTGGCTTTGGGCAGAGGTTCATAGGTCGTGGCACGCGCCATCGTCTTTCGAGCTGCTGCTGCGCTGCGCAATGCATCGATCGTTGTGTCATCGTCGTGTGGTCCAGCATATGCAGTGTACCTAGCCCTTCTCCGCTCGTCGTCTAGCTCCTCCTCGTCCTCCTCGTAGTCGTCTTCGTAGATGGTCTCTCGTACATTTGCCTGGGCAAGCATGTTCTGAGGATGCAGATCGCCTCTGCCACCGTGTCGGCTAGACAGACTGCCGGACGACGATAGAGTATCGCTGCCGTCGTATGCTAGATGGACGCTCGCAGTCGATATCGAGTCCAGCGTTGCTGAGCGCGCAGGCGCACTCCGCTCCTGTGCCAGCCGCCGAGCCTCGGCCCCGCGCTCTGCAGCTTCTTCACGCCGACGTTGGTATTCTCGCTCTTCTTGCTCCTCTAGCTGTCGGGCTCGTTCGCGCTCGCGATCCGCCCTGACGGCAGCGAGTCGAGCTTGCTCTTCACGCTCTACTGCAGCGCGGCGTTGATCCTCATGGCGCCTATGCTGAGCATCCAGACGTTGTTGCGCGATAGCCTTTCGGGCCTCATCTTCCTGCTGTTGTTGAGCTAGATGACGCTGAGCCTCTTCCCTCTCCCAAGCGCGCCTGGCGTCCTCTTCTTGTTGCCTCCTGCGCTCCTCGGCCTCGTAAGCCTTGTGCTCTTCCCACCTCATCCGCTCTTCTTCTTCATGAGCTCGACGCTCTTCCTCCTCCCGCGCGCGTCGACGCTCGTACTCCCACCTTTCTTGCTCCGCAATCTCTCTAGCTCTGGCTGCTTCGTCCGCTTGTCTTTGCGCCGCCTGCGCGGCCCTCCTTTGCTTCTCGGCAAACTTTCTTGCGCCGAACCCGGCAAAGTTCGCCTCGGCAGGCTCCTCTGCATCCAGCTTGGGAGAGTCCCAGGAGGATTGCGCACGGGAGCCGCTCGATGCATAGCCGTCGCGTTCGTTGCCATTGCCGTAGCCGGAATAGCCTTGCTGATAGGCAGGCATTGCGTGTGCTTGATGGCGCTGAGAGTACGATGTGGCCATGCCTGATTGGTGCTGTTCCAGACGATGCGCGAAGAGCGTTCAGTATGTCGAGTGCTTGTAACTATTTCAGAAGCTGTCGAAACTTGTGACGCTCCCATCCAATGCGAATTGTGCGCGAACGGATACTCGACGATGTACCAAATCGAATCTCTGGGCCACAATGTCGTTGAAGGGTGGGTGTAGGACGTTCTACCACCAATGTAGATTGTGCTTCAAAGCACGTCTGCTGCAACAGGCAATCGAGCTGTTCAAAGTCCCCCGAGGTCAAGGGGCACTTGCCTTGGCAGAGACCCTACCATTGCCTACTTGCCTGGTCTGCGTCTTGGGTCCCAAAGGAGTCCGCAAAGGTACCGATCAGCAGAGCTTCTGCTGAAGTTTGCCGATGCAGATGGATAGAGATTAGGGAGTGGACGAGAAGTTTGAGGAGTCGCTACTCATGCGCGAACAGAGCGGTGCCTGAAACGAAGAGTGGATAGGAAGTGATGAATAAGAGCGAGGGTAGATGAATGCTCCTCTCCTTCCGGTCGGGCTGCTCTCTGTGCAGTCGGCAGTCTTTGGAGTTCGCAAGTGGAAAGCGCCACGAAAATGTCGCCCTTGGTGCCGTGCACACGTCGCGACACTCGTGACTGGTCAGAGAGAGAGAGAGAGCTGAGTGTGATTCCGACACGTCACACGATCGACGGACGCGCGAGGTGCGGCACGGGTGGCAGTAGCATTCAAGTCGGGCGTCCGGTGCTTACTCCGCCTTGCTATTCCAGTGCTGAGCTACAGTCACAGTAGAATATTTGTTAGAGCAGTCGGTCGTTTCCTTGTGCTCGAATGGGCTACCGCCAGGGAAGGGTGCACGAGATGAGCATGGACCATGCAAGGGGCTTGACGTTGGCGCGCGTCGGCGGATGAACGGCTGCCGTTGAAGTTCGCACGCACCAGAGTGAATCGCAGTTCGGCGATTTTGGAAGATGAAGAATGCTTGGGACTCTGCCAAGAATTGTCGGGAGAGACGGAATGGTGGGAGAAGGGATGGCTGTTGCTATGAAGCGTCTGAATGCAGCGCACGGTATCATGTATTCGCTTGGATGGGATGGTTGGATCAAGGAGTTGGCTCGAGGCTACATGGCATGCTTCCCCGTGGGCAGGTTGATCTGCAGCAGTCGTGAGTCGTGAGTTGGCACGAAATGGAAATTGAATCAGAAATGGAAATCTTGAATTCCATGCAGTCAGCTGGTACGGCAGCCCTGTGGGACGGGCCTAAGCCCATGGCAGCAGCATACGAGCGCATGCAGCAGCAGCAATCCACGCACAGTCGTCAGTAAGCCGTGCACGCGGGATGGTCCCAGTCAAAGTGGCTTTTTGGGTCGTCGATCGATCGCCATATGCGACTGAGAAATCAAATGTCCACCCACGCCGTGCTATGAGAAGTAATGATACCGCATTTGACTTGACTGCACATCTTAGAATCAATTACATGCGTATGGGTTACAGTAGCTCTATAGCCTATTTAGCTCATGCGACATGACCTGTGACAAAGTGCGGCTTGCGCTCGATGGAGAGACCTGAGTCGCATGCGCATCCAGTATATAGTGCATGCGACACGAAGCGTTTGTTTGCCGTCGGCCGAGGCTACGGTGTGCGGAGGTGCGGGGATTGAGGTGCCACACGGGAAGCTGGTTTGGAATGATCTTGAAGAGCATATTGTTCACCGTAGCTGCAGCTACAGTATAGCTGTAGTTGGCCAGCTGCGTCGCGAGCGGCTCTGCTGCTGAGTGCAGGGAGGGTGGGCTGCTGTGAGGCGCTGCAGTCGTGTGCTCCAATCGCTTGGAAGAGCGCTTGTCGTACTCGAACGCGACCGCGTCTCAAAACGGTCACGAGTTCCTAAACTCTAAAACCGACGGGCTAGCTGCAAGGCTGATCATCAGTCAGAGCTAAGGCGCAAGAAAGGGAAAGGCAGTCGCGAAGTGCGAGCTCTTCCTCTTCCTCTTTGTGCGTCTTTGCGCTGGCGCTGCGTGATGCGATGCGATGCAATGCGGGGATGCGCGGAGGCCCGAATGTCCGTGAATGCACGATACTGCACAGCGCAAGTCACGAGCGTGCATGCAGCGGGACCTCGGCCGTCACTTGACTCATGACTCGTGACTCTGCTGGATGGATGGATGACCTCTGATGACCGTCGTGCGCAGGTGACCCACGAGTTGATATCCTAATCTTGAATCAGAAGAAGCACTTTTGTTTCGATCCTCGTATCTCGACTGATGGGCACTACTGTGACTGACTTCTTCCGAGTCCGCTTGACGATGTGTGCCTTCCACCTGGAGTGAGCAGCAGCTCACCGTGAATGAATCGACGGGCACCAAGCAGCCTCACTGAACGGTGCTACCACTGTGACTGTTGCGTGTGGGTAGTCTGAGCAACAGGCAACTCATCGACCATGCACGTTGTAAGACTGACGCCCAAGCCTCACTCGCTTTTCTCGCTGCAAAGCTGCAGATGGGTCCACATGGAACTTGCGCTAGTCCGGCCGGCATCGACCCGCAAAAGCACTGACGCCCTGCTGGCAAAGAAGTCTTGAGTCACGCTGAGGGATAAGATCGGTGCATGCTGCCAGCGTCGCCCGAGCCAAAGAGCTGCCTTGTCGTGACATGTGTACGGTGTACCATATAGCCAGCCTGTGCGGCCAGCTTTGCGGATTCGCGATCGTACTACTACTGTAACACTCGTGACTGTACCGCCTGCTGGGGCCATTTGCAGTCTCGAATTCGCTGCATGCTGCTGCTGGTGCTTGTCGACGCTTGAGCACGGACATGCAGCTCGCGTAGCATATGCTTGGTGCCTTATAGGATCTCGCATGAATGGTCCCTCCCAACCCCTATACTTTCGTTTAGCTTGCAAGCACACCGGCGCGGCGCGGTTTAGACAAGCTCATCACATGTTACGAATGAATGCGGATAGGATGTGTCCGAGATGTCGGTTCGAAGATCTACCATGACAGACTCGCCCTGTAAAATACCCAATTTGGACGAGTCTCGAGCTTGCGGCGGCGTTTCTCATTGCGTGACTGCTGACGAGAATAGAACCTTTTGATTTATTGTGAGCTTTCGGGAAAAGGAGTCAAGTGACTCGTGCAGCACGCAGCTGTAGACGCTCGGGCAGACGTTGCCCCTGTCGATCTCTTTCCGGGCCAACAAATCACTAATTTGGACTTGACCATCTGCACGGACTAGATACTCACAACTGTTGTGTACCGCTCGCAAGGTTCTGCAGGTTGTGCCGCCGTACACTTGCATTCGAGATTGCTGGCAATCGTGAATGGAGTGCGAGTAGCATCGTCCCGCCACGTCGAATGCGCAGTGCGTGCGGGCGATTCGATCATGGCTCCGTAGCTCTTGAAGGATCCCTACAGTGTGCGCTAGCTTAGCTCAGCTTAGCTTCGAGGTCTGCTGACTCGGGATGCTCTTTGACTCGCTTTGGCGAATCCTGAAATCTCTCCGGAAGAGCGTAAGTCTCGGTGATGTTGGGCTCGAGCCGAGCTCTGGAATTTGTCAAGTCAGATGCAACAGTCGATTGGCCAACTGACGAGCAAAGGCGCCATTCGTTACTGCTTTCGGGGAGATAATGCAAGGTGGGGTTGATCTTAAAAATCCATTTCGTCTTCTGACGACGCATGATGGACGTTCGTGACCACGGACACTGTCGGAAGTTGAAAGCGGAGGCAGGCTCGTGACCTTGCGCAAGCTCAAAACACTCCGGCGTTGAGGCACAGTCATTCATTCACTTTTGCCTCGAGTATAGCTGTTGGAAGAGATCAACACTCGTGACTCGTGACTCACGACTTTATTGACATTCAAGATTCACGATTCTTGGTTCTGATTCATGACTTTTGATTTTTGATTCTCGATTTGGGTGCACACTTTGGCGCCAGTCACGTGGATCCAGAATCCTAGACGCTCTCACGTGACATCGACACCAGCTGGGCATGGTCCAGCTTTTCGACCCTTTACTCATCGACTCTTCACCCTTGACTCTTGATTCTTTCTTGGCTTGGACTCATGACTAAACCCACGACTCCAGAAGGGCTGCGCATGATTCCAATCTGCTTGCGCAAGGTGACTCTTGATCTCTCCGCCTTTGACCTCTCAACGCTCTGCCCATTCCCCGTTCATGACAAGCTCCGCTCCAACTCAGCAACATCAGAGACCAATCAAAAGATCGTGCATCATGCCCCGCGACAGAAGCCTCTCGCCACGACGGTACGACAAGAGGTCTCAGGGAGAAAGCTCGCGCGGCGATCACCAGCGACATCGCTCCTATCGCGACAGTCATGGAGACGATCGGGTTAGGAAGCACCGCGATGACGATCGCGATGATCGGGAGGCGAAGCGTAGAGACCATCGGGATCGGGATAGCGGTAGATACGACAGCAAGCATGGCCGCTCTTCGCACTCTGAGCGAAAGCGATCATACGACAGCGATGAAGATGAAGCGGAGCGACGAGAGCGCAGACGCGAAAAGAAGTGAGTCGCCTGGTCATCTTGGTCTGGCTCATCCCTACTTGGCGCATATTGAGGCATTTGCTCTGCCTGCGTCATCTCTAGGGAGCAGGAAAGAGCAGCACGAAAGGCAGCCAAGCGAGCAGCCAAAGAGGAGGATGAGGCCTCTGCGCAAAGAGCCATGGCGGCCGAAGCGCTGATGTACAGCGCAGAGGATAATCCATTCAATGACGCAGATCTCAGCAGCAAGTTCAAATGGCGCAAAAAGGAGGACAAGGAGAAGAAGCAAGGAATGAGCAGAGCTGAAGCCGAGGCGAGGGATGCAGAGAGACGAAGAGAAGCGATGGCGAGTAGCGCATAGATCCCAACAGGTCCTATTATATGTATGCTTGCGCTAATACCGCTGCCCCCCCCCAATTCCCCGAGCAGGAAGAGATCGCGCGGCTGAATCAAAAGAGAGCAGAGAGGGAGAGGGAGCAGCAAGAAAGGGAAGAAGAGGAAGCTAGAATGGCTCGACTAGCAGAAAGCGCCGCCATGTCCGAGTGGGTGGCTAAGGAGGACGACTTCCATCTGCAACAGAGCAGGAAACGTGCAGCTATCCGGGTCAGGGAAGGTCGAGCTAAGCCCATCGATCTGTTGGCTATCAATCTCAAGTGGGCCGATCCGAAAGTCTTACGGGATAAAGACTCCAGAGATAGGGACGAGGGCGACGACGAGGAAGATGACGAAGCTGGTCTGGAAATTGATCTCGAGGAGCCATACCTGATCTTTGAGGTGAGTGGTCTGGCTTCGGCGCCAGTGTCGGCAGCCATGCTGAGATCTCCATTTTTGTCGCAGAACCTCTCCCTCGACGAGGTTGAAGAGCTACATCAGGACATCCAAATGTACCTCACGCTCGAAAAGAATGAGCAACATCTCGATTTCTGGAAGGTAAGTGCTACTTTGCTGCCTCCAGTGCGTGTCTGCCGAGCTGAAGGCACCCCTTGCACTCTGCCTCCTCTGGCAGGCCATGGTCATTGTGTGTGATGACAAGCTCGACGAGCTACGGATGATTGAGGACGGCGCGAACCCTCAACAAAGATCATTGGACCCAGCTGTCAGGTCAGAGATGGATACTATGCTAGGCAACAAGACACATGAGCAGCTGGTCGGTCTGCAGGATCAAGTTCGATCAAAGTTGAAGTCTGGAGAGTCGATCGACGTCGAGTATTGGGAGGGGCTGCTCAAACAGATTGTCGTCTGGCGCGCGAAGGCTAGGCTTAGAGATCAGCACGAAAACGTTTTGGCCAATCGCATTGCTTACCTGAGAAAGAGGCAGAGGCTGGAAGCAGAGAGGATGCAAGAGGAACTGAGGGCGCAGATGCAGGATGGTGAAGATGATACCTCTGGTCAATCTGAAGCGCAACCGTTGCCAACTGGGGCCGATGCTGACGAGGACCAAGCGGCAGAAGCACAGGCTGCTGCTGCGGAGGCGGAGCTCCTTCGCATACAGACCGAGTGGGACGAAACGATGGAGCCGGGCTTCATTGACCGAAACAGCCTTCCCTACGCCGACCGGCAGGTAGCAGTCGTCGATCCTGATGAGGATCGCGTCAACTTGTTAGAGGCAAGGCGCAAGGTTCTTGGTGCGCGCTTCGTCCCTCGCAATTCTGGTCCGCGTCATGCCAGAGGAGAAGGCGAAGATACGGACGCGTCGATGTGGAAGCAAGAAGCTTCCAAGCCTATGGATGTGGAGGAGGAAGCGTTCAATAATGCCGAAGAGCTGGTTGGTAAATCTTATCAGTGGGAAGATAAGTACAGGCCTAGGAAACCGAGGTACTTCAACCGCGTGCACACGGGCTTCGAGTGGAGCAGGTACAACCAGACGCATTATGACTCGGTGGAGAATCCGCCTCCGAAAGTCGTGCAAGGCTACAAGGTGAGCATGGATCGGCGCTTCGCCTGAGATGCTGTTTGCGTTGGTGCCATCAGCACTCCCCGAGGTCTTTTGCTGACCCCGCCCCTTACCGCTTGTGCCCTCTCCTGTTTCCCGCCCAGTTCAACATCTTCTACCCAGATCTCATCGACAAGAGCAAAGCTCCCACATACCGCATACGCAAGGATCCGAACGATCCCGACACGGCCATCATCATATTCGTTGCTGGTCCTCCTTACGAAGACATTGCCTTTCGCATCGGTGAGTGCTTGGTATCGCGCATCGTGGCCAGGAACGGCGACTGAATCGTGTCTTGTGCGTGCACAGTCAACAAGCCTTGGAATCTCGCCCACCGGAGAGGGTTCAGGGCTAGCTTTGATCGAGGCATCATGCAGCTCTACTGTAAGTATTGTGCTTTTGCAGAGCGGCCAAACAAGCTTGCAAGACCGAGACATGTACTCGAGCTTACTCGCCATCTCTCGCACCCAAACAGTCTCGTTTCAGCGCAACTTCTATCGCAAGTGATCATTCAGATACGCAGCAGAGCAAGTCAACATCGCAACGCAAGCGCTTCGTGTTCGAGGTGCTTTGTCAACAAAATCGGCTCTCTAGGCGTCTGCTTCTATTACTCTAGAATCTATAGGATCACGCGCTGATCACCGCGTCTATTGTTTGTGTGTCGATGATGTATATCCTTCTAAAGAGCTCGAGAGTCGATCGTAGAGAAGTGTCCCCTCTACTTGTTAAGGCCTTGGTCTGAGGTGGTCTTGAGAGTCAGGTGCTTGCCATCAGTGAGGTGCTCGCCCGACTGCCAGCTGGTCGCGGGAACACCCAATTCGAGAAGTTTCGCGTAAGCCTTTGAGAAATCCTTGAAGAACTCCTCCTCCGACTTGGCATATCGCTGCACGTGAGGTTTGAAGGACTTGTCCGTGGTAAGAGCCATGTCGGTAGTGAGCATCATGAGGCTCTTTGTGTTCTTGTCTTGGTATTGGATAGGACCCTCCCACTTGCGCAAGTTCCACTTTTCATCCAACAGCAATTGGTAGTAGGCGTTGCTGAAAGTGGTGGGAGAGAAGGTCCAAGGTCCATCAAAGCCTGACCTGTCCTTGTGGCATCTTCCCAGAGCGTGGGCACCAGAAAGGGCGACGATCTCTTGATCATTGAATCCCATCTTGTAGAAGATGTGGCGCAAGTGGTCAGAGCCCTTGTCCCCGTCTGGCAGACGACCATCAGGCGTGCAATTCTCAGCAGCACCATCCTTGCGGCCGGGTCTCCAGGGAATCGTGGGACCGCCCATTTCCTGGACTGCGACAATACCGCCAAGCGTCCACAGATCACTGTAGGTGATCCAAGGAAACTTGGAGTGGATAGAGTCGTAGAAGGATCGGGCGTGGATCAGACCAGCGTTCGCTCCATGGTCCGCCTCGGGGGCGAACCGCATCGTAGCGCCGTTGCTGCCACCGTTGCCAGTGTTTTTGTCGTACGTGCCGCTAGCATGCCAAGCGAGGCGAACGAGGACAGGTCCAAAGTGACCATCGTCGTATTCCGGGTCGTGTTCAAGCTTCTCAGCAATAGCATTGTAGACTTTTTGGTAGTCATCCTTGTGTGCCGCCAAACCAGGGCTTCCAAGTTTGGCCTTGCTGCCGCTCAGCTTGTTGGCACCGGTGGAGCCGATGCCGAGCGCTGCAAACTTGTCATCGCCGCCCAGCAGAGCGAATGCACCGCCCGCAGTGACTAGAAAAGCTAGCGAAGCGATGAGGGCGGTAGAGGTTCCCTTGGAACGAGATCCGCCTTGATCAGGAGGAGGGTGCTGCGGAAGGCGAGAGAAGCGAGGGCTGCGTTAGTCGAGCTGCAATAAAGAGCGCGCCAGTCCGTGTTCAGCCAAGCGAGCAGAGTCTGCAGTTCTTGCTCCTCGCCGTGCAGAGCACATGCTCGACGTGAAAGGCTTCAAAGAGAAGCACCAATGCGCCCTCTTGGATGCGACTGGGGACATCATGTACTCACAGCGCCACCGGCGGGACCCGAAGCGTACGTGCGAGAGAGGGCGAAAGAGCGAGGCGCAGCGACTCTCTGAACTCGCAGAGGCGCTGATGCTGACGAGCTCAGCTTGGAGCAAGGAGCAGACGCACGGAGAGAAGCGCGGAAAGCCATGGTGACAGAGTTGCGGATGATGTTGGGATACTGTAGTTGTGGTTGAGATGTTAGGTACTGACTCATGAAGCATCGCTGCTGAGATTGGCGCACCCACCGCGCAGCGAGCAAAGTGACTGACTGCACTTTGACTCACGACTGCCGGTCACTCGCTCGATGACACAAGACGTTCGGCGAAGCACTCCAAAATCACCAGAACTTCGAACGCCGAGCCAAGCAGCATCCAGCCATTCAAGATTAGGCCCGCGCGTGCGCTTATAACCGCGGCCCTGCCCATCACCATTCGTTTTAGGCGCACGCTGCATGAGATGCAGTCCCAGCTAGCAGTCCCCGAATCTTGATGCACGCGCATTCTGCACACGTCGTGTCAAAACTCGGCTCTCGAACTCGAATTGAAAGCCCTTTCTTCCGGTTGGCTGCTGACCAAGGGGGGCGCGCGCCGCTAAACTGTAGCACGTCGCTGCACGTGTTTGCTGCTACTACGCAGTTCCTTCTAGAACCTTCGGTAGAAGCACGTTGAGGCCTCTAGCCGACCTCACATCTGTATCGGACGTTCTGTTCATCCACGTTTTATCGTCGTGCGGCTCTTCAACACGCACACACATCCTTACTCTTTCTTCTGATGCTATGCGACGTGAGGTGAAGTCGGCAAGGGGCCACATCCCTCGCCCCATACGAGCTTCTCACTCGTGACTCATGTCGGAGAAGCACTCAACATTTCGGGTCATCGAAGGACCGGGCTCATGACAACATGCGATCCCGATTCAGCAAGCCGTCGTCTGAGTCAGCAGCATTACAATTCAGGGTCCAATTCTGAGCAGCTTGCGATTTACCAATCCTTCATCCTTGTGCACATAGACTGACTTGTCAAGCTGTTGGCTTCCGTATGGGCTCATATCCAACTCGACGTTGCCACGCCGCTGCTCTGATCGAGCCCAGCGGAAATCTTTTTCGGTCTTTGCTGGCTCCTGCAGCTCTCCTTTCCTATCCGGCGAACCGCGTTACAGCAAAATGTCGGGGATCGGGCTCAGCGCTCCACCGCCGTGGCTCGACGAGTTGTTGTCCGTCATACCGTCGATGCCGCTACCCGAACATGAGCACTCGAAAGGACGACGTCCGCACCTCACTTCAAAAATTGCCGACTTGCATTGTCATCCTGCCTTGGAAGCGGCTTTGCATCTGGCCAATGGTGACTTGTACTCTGCTCACTTTTTGGTCAGAAAGAGTCAAGGCGGGGCTAAAGAGCTAGATTGGGGTCACGCCATCCTACACAGGCTAGAGGGCGATTACGGGAATGCAAAAGTACGTCTATGCGAGCTCAGCTTGCCAATGATGTTTACTCCGTTGAGCCGACGACTTTGCCAATCCGGGCCCAGTGTTGGTACACAGACCTTTCTCAGCTCCAAAATTCCCACATTTACACTCAATTTTGGGAAGGGCAGAGCGTGACACCCGGTCAATTTGTGGACCTGTCCGCTTTCTGGCACGCCTCGTCACAGAACCGCTGGCAAGGCAGCGCAGCTCAACTCATCTACGAGAGCTCGAGCAAGCACTCGAAGATCAAAGACGCATTCTCTTTGCCACAGCTGAAGGACTTCGAGAGCGGCAGTCGTAGCCCCCCTCTGTGCAAAAGGGACGTAGAGGAGCTTTCTAGATCGGAGATCCGCGCCATGGTCGAAGGTCTTGCCGCACACCACGGCTGGGTCGCGTTGGGCTACGAAGAGAGCTGGAAGGCGATTGAAGAGCAAAAAGGAGGCCAGAAAGGCTCCATCGAACACAATGCGGAAAGTATGATACTAGGCCAATCTCGGCGCGAATTCTAGTGCGCGAAAGAGCAGGAGCGATTGCGACTCGTCGATCGTGCTCTCGGCTTGGCCCCTTTTGTAGCCATCGCAGACTTTGGTCGGTCCGCTATCATGATGCCAGTCGAGTGACGGGCATGTGAATCGCTGCTGTTCCGCACAATATACGTGCTCATATCATCTTGATCCCAGTTTTACGAAGAATGTTAAATAGTACGATTCGCCGCGAGACTCTGTTTGATGCCAGGGCTGCTGGCTCGCCCTCAGCAGGGCTTCATTCGGCGGGCCCCACGGACGCATGTCCACCGCGATGTTGCGAGCCGGTGCAGTGCCGGGATGGAGGGAGCCCGAAGCCGTCGGGTACCCCGGCGGCAGCAGTCGCCTGGGTCCTGTAGCTTGGCACTCATGAAGAAGGCCCGGTTTCTGAAGGCTTGATTTGTTTGTCTTGAGGGGTCCACGGGATTTCCTCTGCAACTCTAGCCAGGACATCGAGCCGGGCGATGCGCGACAGCGGTCAACGTCCAGCGCCAGGGATGCGAGTGCGATGTTCCGAGGCAATGCTTGCAATTAGCCAGCGTACCTCATCAAGTGGTGAGTGAGTGGCAGACCATCATCACGCTGACGTCAGCCGAGCTTACCGGGTACAAAGGTCTGCGAAGCATGGTCATTAGAACTTCATTTGACCCAACTGTTGACTCGCAACTGGATTCGTATTTGTAGCATTCACGTTCTTGGACCGAGTCGCCTTGCTACGTCACTTGAACCCAGCTGTATAGGCATCAAGCTGACGATAATTGGTGATTGTGAAAGCAAGCCGCTGTGAACTCGCTGTTGTTTCAGAGCTTCCCGCCCGCCCCTGCAGCGGTCTGATGCGAACCGATGTGCGCGCAGCAGCTGAATCGTCAAGTTCCTGGACGATCGTCGCTTGCTGACTGTCTGCACGCATCGAGATGCTTCTGTGCAGAGAAGGTATCACTCATCAGATTCTGATCAGTATACCCAGCTTACCACATGCTAAGTACGATTGAAGTCAAATTTTGTGAAAGCACGCTAGAAGTGTGAGTGTGAGACCACAAATCAACAGCCAAATTTCGTGAGCCATTGTGCCCAGGCGCGTGGGACCCTTCGAAATCGCATCACATGATGAGCGCGCACTCCAGCTTTTAGCTTCATCCAAGCCTTGAGTCGATGCGAGCTGCACGAGGCCCGGAGAATCGGAGCGAGAGTCTCAAAGACGGTTGACGGTCTCTTCTTTCTCTTTCTCTTTCTCTTTCTCTCTCTCTCTCTCTCTCCTCTTTCTGTTCTTCTGTACGTGCCGTGTCCTGGCCCACACACTTCCTCTCGCGCGGTGACTGTTGTTGTCTTGGTGCTGCTGTACATCTCGCAGCGGCTCTCGGTGATGCTGACCACATGTGCAGATGGCTGGGTAGACGTGCATGAGCTGCCGAGATCAGAGGGCACTAGAAGAAAAGCTTCCGAAGGTGGAGAAAGTGACTCGGTGGAGAATTTTGGCAGCTCGGTGCTGGGGATCGTCTTCTCCTGCCAGTAGTACACCCCAGTCGCTCATCAAGCTTTCAAGAACCTGCCGACCCCTTCAAGCCATACATACGAAACCAGGTGTATGAACACCGAGTATCGGAATGGAATCGGAATCGATCGAGTGGCAGATGAGCTTTAGGCCGGACAGGCACGGACACGGCTCCGTGGCTCCGTGCTCGAAGGCGTTTGCACTTTATGGAGTTTCGTTCGGTGGCACGAAACCTCGGATCAGAAATGACCGAGCTGCCTAACGGTGTGTACACACAATCCCCCTCACCCTGCCCTGACATTTGCGCCGCGATGAGACGCCTCGGTGCGGCTTTGCTTGACCGGGAAGTCTCCGAGTTGAGGGCACTTTGGCGTCGCGGCGGGAAAAGTCATGTAGCTGTATACAGTATAGATACGCAAATACGCCTAGCCAAGCAAGAGGCAAGCGATACCTAGAAGGGAATGATGTCAGCCAGATCGAGATGAGAGGCCCGGTCGGGCGGGGGATTGAGAGACGCCCGCAGTCAGTGACTCCGGTGCGATCAAGGTGCGGACAGGGCGCGGCAAGGGCACGCGGGGCCGTTAGGCCGTTGCACGTAGCCCTGTCCTCCAGGTCAACGATCAAGAACGTTCCGAGATAGGGCTCACTCCCTCACTGTAGCACAGCACGCCTCTCAAATTGACGTCTGCATTCATTTCTGGCCCTTCAAGCGCTCGAATAGCGATCTCGAGTCGAGAGAGCCTGTGCCGCAAGTCTTGTCTGCGTTGACACGGTACGTATGCAACGAAGAGGGATGCAGGGAGCCGTCGTGCATCTCAGCTAGGTTCGCTTGCATGCAGCTCGTAGCTGCGAGAGCTGAGAGAGAGAGAGAAGAGAGAGCAAAGGGTATGGGCGGTCAAGAGCCTAGGTGAGGGCAAAGTGGGGAACCCGCAGGGAGAAAAATGTAGCTACTAGCGCTGCTAAACTAGCTACAGCAAGACGCACTTGTTGACTGAAAGCACTCTGACTCAAACTGCACAGCAATCTTAAATCAAGATAAAGACGCGGACGTACGCGGGCCATCGAGGCAGGGCGGTGTGTGCATTTGTGAGGAGACGCTGCTGCTGGCGAGAACGTGGGCCTGAGCTAGCTTGATGAGTCCCTGATTTGTGCGCGAAGTTCGCACTCGAATTCGATCAAGCTGATCTGTTCCAAGTCACAGTATACGATCGCGATAGCGCACTTTTGATTCGACTCCATCCACGACTGTTTCACTCACATAGACTTGAACGGATCAAATGCCAAGTGGCGGCTCATCTTGAATCACGAATGGTCAATCGTGAATCACAATCTTTTTTAATGCACATAACAATATCTTCCCCAGCTTCGCTGCAGTGCGCGGGCAAACTTGATTGATCATCGATAATCGTGTGGACATAGCGTGAGTTTCATAGTCGTCGTGGTACTTGCAGATCGAAGAAAGTGCTCCTTTGCGCTCATTGGCTTTCAGGCTACCCTTTTGATGAAGCTTGATCCACAGCAGACAACGCGGCCTCCGAAGTCGGAATCCCAGCATATAATAATGAAGGCATACGCACGGTTTGCGATTCGAAGCGAAAGTGCACCATCACAACAGATGGTGAGCGCGTGTTGTATTTAATTGTTGTCGCCGCCGTGCGTTTGCATGATGCATGCAGGGAGTCAAGTACAGACATGGTGCCGTGGACGGCGCCGCGTGTTAGCGGTCTTGAGTTCAGATTTCGAGGGTTGGCTCTGCGCCGTAGGCCCCAGCGCAGCTGCTGTTGCTGTTGCTGCCGCTGCGCCTGTGGTGCTTTAAGCTATATAGGGGCAGGCGGAGAAAACACGGCCGACGCGATGATCGAGTCAAGATTTATGGTCAATTTTGAGTCACCGAGGCGAGAGTGCAGCAGCAGCGCACTTGATTCTCGCGCGCGCGCGCGCCGCAAACGCACGCACGAGACTTCTGCGGCATGCAGAGTGACCAAGCGCCCAATTGAGAGAAAAGCAACGGCTGCATGCTGCATGCATGCATGCCAGCCATGCTGCTTTGATCCTGCTCCGGGGCGTGAGCGACGCGTGCTTTGATATGCTGGTCATCAGCAGCGCGGTAGGACACTGTGACTCTTTGGAGACAGGAAGCAATCCAGCAGGCAGCAGGCAGCAACATATGAGCGATAGCCCCAATTCACAACAAGCTCGATCAGAGTCAGTCGTAGCCAGGTCACCAGTGCCTGGATCCCCTGACGAGTTTAGAGCCATCTCCTTCTATACCATCTGGTTTGCTCCAGCATCCTCCACAGCAATTGCTACCCCGTACCTGCTAGTGCCATCGTCGCTCGCACAGCTAGGTTCCCTCAGCATTCTGGACAGTGCACCACCTTGGCTCGGCCCCGGGCACCAGGCAACGAGCGCGTCCCTACTTTGCGGCACGCCAGCAGTCCCCTAATACGTGCGACCGGCCCCTGTCCCACACGTTGCAGCTACCATTCCCATCACGGAGCTCCGCGCTCATTTCGTCTCGAATATCGCACAAGGTACTCTTGTTATGTCAACAGGTCGAACGTTGTACTGAGTATCCCTGAGATCAGCACTTCAAAGCCACAGGTGGCTACTACTACTTCCGAATCCCAGAGACCATCAGCAAGGCTCGAACAGCAACATCAAAGGAAAAGAGAGGTATCAGCTCAGCTTGATCTTCATCTTACTCGAGCATACAGCACAGTGCTACTTGACGACACCACACCGGTTCGCCTTCCCTGCTCACCACCGACACTTCTGTGAGCTCTCAGCGAAGTCCATTGACTCCGACATTCGTCGAGTTAAAGATGGCTGCGACAGCATCAGCTTTCCGCCCGGGCCGCAAGCAGAGCGTTAGTGGAGGATCGGTACCCTTCGGTGACCCGTCAGGGTCGGGAGCAACAGGGATGGCACCGTCCCCCGTGCCAAGTCTTCCTCACGCCTTTGTAGGGAGTACCGGACCGCACAGCAGCATGGGAGGATTGAGCGTTCCAGGTAGACCTGGATTTGGAGGAGCGGGAGGACACAGCTCCAATAGTATGGACGGAGGCATCGGCTCGAGTCTGATGTCTGGACCAGGTGGCGCCGCTTTGATGAGCGGAGCACCATTGGCCGCAAACACCATTGCGAACAAGCCTGCTGTGGCGGCTGGCAGTCTCTATCAAGCATGTCTGGCTTTGAGAGATAGACTCTGGCTTGTAGAAGGCTTTGGCGAGTCGTTCTTGAGCGAATCTGTCGCAGCTGGGAACGCGACATCTAGCCCTCCACGGGATGGAGCTACAGCTCTCAGACCAGTGCAATCGACCGACGTAGTATCACAACTTTGGCAACTCTTCCGACTTGGTGCACCGCTCTGCGCTCTGTTCAACAGACTGGGCCCGAGAGCTCCGCTGACAATCAACCCCGGCGCAAATCCTAGCAATGCGAACGAATGCAAAAAGCAAGTAGCGAAGTTCATCATTGCGCTGCAGAATGAGCTTAGTTGGGATCCAGACGACTGTTTCACAGTCACTCAGCTCTACCTCAGCGATACGAATGGATTTGTCAAAGTGAGTTGCCTGGGCCTTTCGTTGGGCCAAGCTCGGCATGACAACGTAAGGCACGCGAGACTGACCGCACACATCTTCGGCGCTTGGATAGGTCGTACGATGCATTTCCAAGCTTTTGGACGTCTTCGAGGCCAGGGGGCTCCTGGTGGAGTCTGCACATGCCCCTTCGTCGGCCCTTGACGATGTTACCAAGCCCAATGATGAGCGCGCTTGGATCGTCCGAGAATTGCTTGACACTGAACGCAAGTACGTGCAGGATCTTGAGGTAATGCAAAACTACGCGCGGGCACTCGGCCAGAACGATATTCTGCCTCCAGACACCATTCACAACCTCTTTGGCAACCTCAATACGCTGGTAGATGTGAACCGTCGCTTCTTAATTTGTATTGAAGAGAATGCCAGAAGACCGCCGGACGAGCAGCATTTTGGACACGTCTTTCAGACCATGGTGTGTCCTCGAGACCGTTTTGCCACACACATACATGCTCACACGCTTGACGTCCATCCCTGCAGGAACAAGAATTCTCTGTGTACGAACCTTTCTGTGCGAATTACGCGCAAGCTCTGGACATCATCAGCGCAGAGGCTCTCAATATCCAGGTGAGAAGCTCGCTCAGATAACGCGACTTGAGCCCTCCCTCCGAGCCGTCTGGCTCACTCGCCCCTCTGTTTGGCTCTTCAGCGATTGAGAGCATTGCCAGCAGCAGAGGGTTGCTATTTGGATCCTTCGTATGAGCTGCCGACGTTCTTGATCAAACCAGTGCAGCGCATCTGCAAGTATCCGTTGCTCCTCGAGCAATTGCAGAAGAAGACGTCACCCCAAGCACCCATTTACAAAGAACTGGTCGATGGCCTGCAGGTCATCAGGCGAATCACCGACAAGGTCAACGAGACCCGAAGGTTGCAGGAGAACATCCAGATTCTTCGAGAGCTGGAATTGAGAGTCGAGGACTGGAAAGGCCATTTGGTTAGCTCCTTCGGACCTTTGCTGCTATCGGACGTGTTCGTGGTCTCCAAGAGCGACACTGAGCGCGAGTACCATGTCTACTTGTTCGAGAGAATATTGCTGTGCTGCAAGGAAATCCTACCTAATCAGCCAAACAAGAAGAATTCGAAGAGCAACAGTCTTCTCAAGCAGAAGACGACCGCTGCACAGACGCCGCCCGGCAAGAAGCCCAAGACAACGCTGCAACTCAAAGGGCGCATCTTCATGGCCAACGTGTCCGGGGCCAAAGCGCACTCCAAAGTTGCTTGTGAGTCAAGTGTGCCCATGTGCAGACAGACATGATGCTAACAAATGTGTCTGGTCGTGCTTGCAAATAGCTGTATCTGGCCTCCCAGGAGGTTCACATGCCTTGCAGGTATGGTGGAAAGGAGACGTTGGACACGAGTCTTTCAGCCTCAAGTGCAAGAACGAGGAGCAGCTCAAGCAGTGGCTGTCTGCGCTGAACAGGTGCATCGAGCTCGAGGCCGCCCGCAAAGCCGATCAGCTGAAGCGAGGCATCTTGTCACCCGCTCAAAATATGACTGGAACTGGAGCTGGTCTGAATGGCAGACGGTCTACAGCAGGCTCGGCCGGACCCGCATCGCACTTTCCTCAGACTCCTCTGACTGAGATGGGTACCGGATTCCCATTTACGCGTGCTGATAGCCAGATGAGCTACCAGAGCAGAATGGACAGCGGCGAGGTAGACTACGATACGATCGAGGGCTTGCGAGACCATGCCAACCCATCTGGCTTCGCAGGTGGCCGTTCCACGCCACTCGGAGGCCGCTACTCCACTCCGGCTGAGCACCGAGATCGGCAGATCTCTTTCACGTCTTCAGATGGCAGACCAAGGGCTAGGACGGAGGACCAAGATTCGTCAGTCTTGACGCAGTGGCGCTCCCATTCACCGGCTGTTCCCTTGCCCGGCCGGCAGTCCACGTCCTCCAGCGGTAGCGCTGGAGCGAGCGTTGCAGCTGCAGCAGTGACTGCGTTGCAAGAGCGAGAGCAACAACTTCGCAAAGCGTCAAGCAGCCGACAGCTTCGAGCGCCGGGCTACCCACATGCACAGGGTCCAGCGCAGACAGGGTTCCACCGACCTGCAAGAGCTGGAGGGGATGTCGCTGCCCGACATGAAGCTGGAGATCTTGTGGAGCATCTTGATCACCTCACGATGCGAACAAGAGCTGATTCTACTGCACACGCAATGGAGAGTAGCAATGCGAATGGAGGCGGCGTCCATGGCAGAAGCAGGTCTGCGAGCAATCCCATGGCGTTCAGCGCACCGGGCGCTACCGAGCCACCTCCACCTGTGCCTCGCGCTCCATACCCGCCGCACCTGGTGAACGTGGGACTTGCAGAGCCACAAGCGATCCGAGCGCCGAACCATTACATGAACGGCCAAGACAAGCGCATTAGCTCCTCCAGTATCTCAACCATGGACTCAGTGCACTCCATCGGATCTGTACCAGGATCAACAGCTGCAAGTTCTCCGGTCACGCACGGACCTTCCAGCAATGGCTTGTCATCTTCGCGCTCGACTGCCAACTCCACACCTACTCAACACGCGCAAAATCAGCACTCCAATGCCGTTAAGCTCGTGGTCCACTACCGCGACGAAACGTTCGTGGTCGTGGTGCTGGCGACAACGAGCTTGTTGGGCCTCATGGATAAGCTCGCCAAGAAGATGCGCGACATTGATGGGCGCAAAGTCGATCCGCAAGCCATTCGCATACGCTACATCGATGATGAAGGCGATCGCGTCGCCATGCAGGCCGAAGACGACGTGCAGATGGCCTTTGACCAAGCTAGAAACTCAGGGGGAGACGTGCAGTTGATTGTGACGGTCCAGGTCTAGATCTCCCCACCAGACCTTACATCTTGTGATCTGCACTCGGCAACACGTCCCCGGATCTCTCAGCAATACCCCAAAATCTGGAGTGACGAGCGCTGGCGTTTGGTGTGCTCAAAGCTAGCATTGGCATACGCGCCTCCGGCTGAGACATGCGTCGAAGGTGAATGCACCGAAGTCGCATGTCTGACCAAGTCACAATTTGTCACTTCTTTCTCTTGCCCTTCCTGTTCCCCTTGTACTTCTATCACGTGTTTGCTCCGACTCTACATGCCCCTTTACCCTTTCAAGCCTTTCCAAACCAACAAGCTGCCACTGGTCGCGCTTCCGGCATAGTCTCGGCAGCGGTCGCGACATCTCCATGTCTGCTCGCGGCAGGTGAAAGCCGCCACCTCGCTTTCGGGTCTGCCAAGCCATGTCTCCTCACGTACCGCCAACGCAGCCCCACGTCGTCTCGCCCATGTCTCATCTCGCCAATCGCAAGACATTTGCATGACGATCTTCGGAATGTGTGTGCGGTGCCACGCTTGCAGTCATGTTCGCTGGAAAGATACATAAGTACGAGGCGAAGTGCGCCTTTGGCCCGCATCATCGGTATCGTAGGCACCTTGCTGTACGCCCACAGTCACGTCGCACTTTTGCACAGGCAACAGCGACTAGGATTGGGAGCGTGTAGAAATGTCAAGGACCAAGACTCGGCAGCTTCATCGTTCTTTCAGTCTCCTTTTGTAGTCGGCAGGACTCTCGAGGCGACCGCCCAAGCTCCACATTCCCCGCTTCGCCGATCTGTTTGCACACAGGCGCGCAAGAGCGCAAGTGGAGCATCAAACAGAGTCAGGGAATGCTTGCATCTCCGAGCCGCTGTCTGAGTAGACAGCAATGAGCAAGACTCACTTTGCTTTCTTTTCGGCCTTTTCGAGCTGCCTAAGACCCCAAGAAGTCTTTTTGCCCTTCTTCTCTTTTGAAGCGCTGCGGAACAGTCTCTGCCACCATCGAGCATTGGCGTAGGCTGCTCCTGACTGCGTGTACACCGTGGCTAAACCCAGCTTGACCATTCGCAAGCTCACATTCGTCCGTCCGAAGATGTAAGGAAACCTCAAGACATAGGGCGTTGCGACCTGCATGCAGCAATGGTCAGTCATAGCTGGTCCAAATGCTGCTCCACTAGCGGCTGGGAGGGACTTACCAAGCGCTTGTATTGATCGACGTGTGCAACCTGGATGGGTCGAGGGACAAGTCAGCCTTGTGAAAACAGAGTACCGCCTGATTGGCATCTGAATGGCAGCCGCGAGTAGCAGCAATTCGCGCCGAGTCCTTCACTCACCTCGCACCATACAGTCTTGCCCTCGACGAGCCTCTTCAACTCTTCTTTGGCCTCTTTCGCAAATGGTTGAGCTTCTTTGCCAAAATGACCGCTTTCAGGAGCATCCGCACCTGCCATCCTCACGCTTAGCGTCTGATCCGATTTCGGTGAGTGTGGAGCTGGTGCGAGCAAGCGAAAGGGAAAAGGAGGCTGGTGATAAAGCCTGAAACCGTCTGCGTCTCCGACGCTGTAGTCATTGCAACGAGGAGAAGATTTTTGAGATCAGCTTTGCAGCCAACGTGTGCGCGGCTGGTTTCGCGACCATGTCGATCCAGCATGCCGACATCTCAACTCCATACCTCACCTGGTGCACCTTCCCACCAGCGTCCTTCTCCACTTTAGCGTGGCAGGCGTCAAATGCTCGGCATTCCTTATCCGTCTAAAGTACCGCCAGTACAGGGTTGTGCTTCCCAGCGTGGCAGCTACAGAGGTGACAGCTATAGCCGTAGGAGATTTGGTCAGATCACGAATGGTGACGGATGAGGTGGAGAGGATGGGCCTATCGATGGTGGAGTTGAGCGCCGCGAGCGCTTGGCTGGCGGAAGGGATGGAATCGAGCGGAGAGGCGACCAGCAGATCGTGGCCCACAATCTGCTGTTGCAGAGGCTGCGCAGACGGTCCTGCGGGTCTCTCCATCCTGAAGGTCTGCTCCAAAGTCCTTCGGAGTCGTCCAGCTGGTGGCGATCGCTCCTCTCCGCTACACCCTTTCCCATCTAAACTGATACCAGCTAAGGACCACCTCATCGCGGGTGTGTGAGACCCTTTAAGCAGCAGCTTCCTTGAGTCGAGAATGGCTTTCCTACAAGAGCAATGTGACGCGTTGGGAGGCAGGATTGCGGGGACCTGGCTGAACGCTCCTGCCTGCCTGCATGTTCTTGGCAGTCACGAGTGGTGACTGGTGAGGCCGAGTGTGCGGATGCCCATAGGGGTGTCTGTAAGTGATGTCGACTCGTGACTGAGGATGTCGGGGTGGCTGTATGCGCCCCAGCAGGGTGCACGCGCGCACACTCACACTCATTCACGATCGATACACATCCCCCGCGCCCTCAAATCAAGCGTATATGCATACGCGCAACACCCAAACAAACATGCAGCCGCTTTGACACTCAGTGACTGACCGTATTCGTGATTCGTGATTGCCCTCCTTTCGTAGACCTTCAGTTGCACAGTCCGCTCTCACTGCCCAGTCAGCACAGCAGAGCAGGGCTCAAAGTGTGTAGCGCGACGCTTTCATTCAGCTTCCATTTCATCGATTCAGCATCTTGAAAGCCTCACCGCCTTCTGACCTTTCAGACGCTCCGAGTGGCACGCCGCACCCGAGCCCGGGACTGTTGGAGTGGGTTTGGGGATCAACGAGCCGCACCTGCCACCTCACATGCATCTAGGAAAAGCTCAAACGGTGCCTCTCCTCGCACTCCTCTCTTGCTTCAATTATGGAGGGCTCGAACGCGGGAAATGATAGGGCTAGGGGTCAATCCTCTCTTGGCACTGCCCACTCCTTTGAAACGTCGACGGCGCCCGCAATTGCATTCACACAAGCTGCCTCAGCGGATGAGAGGGTCGTTTCTGGAGCTGCGCTTGACCCCGTCTCAATAGCGCCGACAGAAGGCTCCCCGATTTCTGGGTCGACAGCAAACGCTAACGCAACTTCTGGACATCCAAAAGGGGTCGACGAGAGCATGCCCGGTTGCATACGGGGGCTACAAAAATGCCGCATGGGCCTAGAGGAATGGTCAGATAATCTGGAGAGAAAGGAGATCGAAAGGCGGCAGCGAAGGAGGAGAGCGAGGAGAGGCAGCTTCGAGACCGGCTCCGTTTCAGAGCTGGAACAAGGAAGGCTCTATGGTCAAGCTAGGAGTGTCACTGTCGAAGGCTCGCAGGTTGTTCAGCAAGAAGCGCCAGGTACGGGCAAGGCCACCCTGCCGAGTGAGCCAGGATACGGAAGAACGGATCACATCGTTGTGAGGAAGGGCATGGTACCTATGGTCTTCATCATCATTGCTTGGGTCTACCTTGGTGAGCAGTTCAAGCTTCAACGCGTTCCACTTGGTTGCTGACATGTTTGAAATTTCTGCTTGCTCGTTCAAAGTACACGTCTGGAGGCTGTGCGCTCCAGCCATTCGTCAGACCGATCAAGCATTGACAAGTCGAGCTACAGGAGGTGCGTTACTCGCGCTGCAGGTCATGCGCACGGCGGTCTGACAACTGGATCTGGCCTTGTGTGTTTGTCTATTCCAGGCGGCTTGCTTGCGGCCCAGACGGTCCTGATGCTGATGAGTGAGTATGATTGTCTTGTGCAAGGCTTGCACTCGTCTCGTCCAGTCTGACACTCTGCTGCCCTCATCTTCCCCTGTAGCACTGTGGACTTACCTCAAAGCGATGCTCACACCGCCAGGCTACGTCAGAGATCATGTAGGAGTCTCGGACTGTCCTCCACCCGCCGCAGATGAGTATTACTACGATGCCCCGTGGGTGCCGACGCCCCAGCCAGCGACCTATGGAGCAGACGGAGCAGCTGGAAATCCATCTCGCAATGACGACCCACACAACGGAGGTGCTTCTGCGCCCGGCGAAGAGGACATACCAGTCGATCCTAGCTTGCCCGCTATTGTGGGTCCGATGGCGGCGAGCGCTATCGCAGCTTCGCGCGTAGAAGATCCAACGATGACGAAGCCCGAACAAGCTATTCCGCCATGCAATGCGCCAGTAGCACAAGCTCCAGCCGGCAATTCTTCGACGCTCCCGCCTACAGGGCTAATTCCCCGGCCTGTACGCATGCCACCGCCAAGGCCCATTCTTGCGCCTGTCAATCGCTATTGCCATAGGTGTTGCAGGGTCAGGCCACCCAGAGCTCATCATTGCAGGAGGTGCGGAACATGCGTGCTGAAGATGGACCATCATTGTCCTTGGGTCGGAGGCTGTGGTGAGTGTCGGGTCCACGCAACGAGGTCTGCGGTGCCGTCATGCATTCGCAGACGGCTGAAACGGTACACGCCTTACCCCGCGATCATTTGCAGTGGGCGCAAGAAACATCAAATTCTTTTACAGTGAGCACGCGCAGCACAACGAGGTGACATCGTGCCGGCAAAGGGCAATCTGACTCCACATTCTGTCTTCTTGTGCGGCAGACTTCGTCACCTGGGTCACCATGTGGGAGATTTTCATGATCGTTAGCGGAGCTGTTCTGTTCTCGAGAGGTGTGGCAGGACAAGACGTTACAGACTCACCCTATCGAGACTGGAGAGTGGACGGCTTTGTCATCAGCATGTTTGTTCTGTGAGTTCGCGGGTCCAGTCTGCGGGCAATACGACTGATTGTATTCGATCACTAGCTCTGACCTCTGTACGACTTGCCTCAGCTGTGGAATGTTCTTCCTCTTCACCGGATCGCTTTTTGCAACGCACACATACATGTACACCATCAACAGCACAACTCTAGAACACATGGCATTTGAGAGGCACAAAGCGACAGAGGCGGCCTTGCTCGACGCCTACTTTTCGGATCGAGGTCAAGGTGGCAAAGGCTTGCACCTCAAGGAGAAGCACGAGATCAGGAAGGAATGGGATAGCCTGTGGGGAAGAGTGAAAAAGGAAGGCAACCTCTGGTGGCTTGATGGCGCATCACATGCTAATCAGAGTGATGCGAATGGAGCGGAAAAGAACCAGACGTCCAGCACAGCTGGGAGGGAAGCATCTCCTGCATGGACAAACTTTAAGCAGGTCATAGGCGATGAGTGGTACGGCTGGCTTCGTGAGTTGCGAGTATGCTAGCACCCCACAGCTATTTGGACCATTGAGCTAATAACCCACTCCACTGGCCACTTGCTTTCACTCCATGCTTTTGCCCTCAAAGTCCCGATCGGCAAATCACCCTCGGATGGGCGCGCCTTTCCTCAAAACCCCAGACATAGCGCTCTAGGGGTATGGAGGCCTAGGCGCCTATGGCCCAATGATTGCAAATAGGGCGCTTTTTTTGATGTGCCTCACAAATACCCGCAATCCTGAATGTGTTCGGGCCAGTCAGCCAGCCTACGAAGAGCGAGGCACATTATTCGCTGCCTCCGGCGCCATAGTCTCGCCCACTGTTCTGGACGAGAAGGCGAAATCGACGTAGCGCGTGACATCATGGTGACATTGAGTGAAGATGCAGGATGCTGAGACAAACAGAGATGTGCTGAATTGAAGGTCAGTGAGCAAACACCACCGACCACAAGAGGACGATCGGTTGGCTATTAGCCCCCCAAAGGTCGACCGCCTCTGTGCGGAACGTAATCTTTTCCGCCTTCGCCCCAGTCTTCGCTTCCTTGCGAGTGATTGGCCTTCGCGTCCGCTTCCTCTGGGTGTATCAGGGTAGGCGGAACTTTGGATGTCTTCTTGGGAGGACCGCACCCGCAATCGTATGTTTCGTCGAGCTGCAACAGAATAGACGAGCTGAAACGTCAGCGGGCGACGCAATAGCATACAAATCTCACGTTCTCGCAAGCCTTTGATACCGCTGCGCGATGCTGACCTTGTCGCAGGGAAATTCCGCCTTGCCTAGTCTTGCGTTAACCCGATTGTGAGCCGCACAGAGCCAACCTGCCGCTGCCAATCTTGAGCTCGTTTGAGGAGGCAAGTCTCTCAAGAGCTGCTGAAAATGCTCCGCGCATTCCCCTGTCGGACATCAAAGAAGCTGTCAGCTCCGCTGCGCCGGTCCGAGCTGCATGACGAGAAACTCACCGCAAGGATACAGTCGACTGAAGAGATGAAAGAAACTGAGTAATGCCTCTCTATCTGATGCGCTTGGCTCATCTGGAAAGCGCAGTGTCATGGTGTGCAGAAACTTCCACGTTGCCCTGCCCAGCTCAGCTCTGATAGACGAATTGAAAGGGAAGACGAGGAGGAATGACTTAGCATTGCCTGATCAAGCTCATTGCCACGAACTTCCGATTAAGAATCCAAAGCCAGCGAGAAAGTTCTGCCATCTTTGGCATCCAGAAGTCACCTCTTGAAAGCCGCGCAACCTCCGACAGCCCTTCCAAAGTCATTCGAATACTCACTTGGCTGACTCATTACCCAGCTTTGCCATGATCGGCTTGCCATACAAAGTACCCTGCGACGCCTGTAGCACTGCCGCCGGCAAGCCTGGCACAAAAGCCTTGCCGGCGCTGTCGTCTGGTCCACTGCCTTGCGAGCCCTGGGCCGTTGGCCGCGCAGAAGGGTTCAGATGCAGGATGGCCAGCTGGGAAGCCGTGTGAGCTCCATCGGGTAAAGAGCCGAGACGGAGAGAAGCTAGGGCACCGCTTTGCGCAGGACGCGACAAGTAGAGCCATGATGGTAGCAGCAGGACGAGAGCTGCCAAGAGGAACAGCTGGACGAAGCGAGGTGGCAAGAAGGTGCTGCCGCAGGAGGATGAGTTTGATCGCATATCGTTCCACGACGTCTTCGTTACCTGTACCGCCAGCTCGGGGAGGATATCGAGCGCCTGTATGAGCTGTAAGACGGGATATGAAGCTAATTTACGTGCTGCGTGACACGATCGTCGGACGCCGTGCAAGGCTCGAAGAGGGCGGATTTATCTCGAGCCAGGCTGTACCACGGACGGCCTTGCTTGCCAGGTAACGAATGGTGTGTGAGAGATTCGATTGTGCGGCAAGGACAGAGGAGACAGTGTCGATTGCGATGATATGAGGAGCAAGTCCCGAGCGCTAGGCGGTGGTCACTATAGATGGGGGTCATTCGACTACCGCGGCAGCATTCGTTCTGGCACCGAAGAAACGTTCAAAGATTCTGGGCGGACAAGCGTTCGTGACTCTCGCGTACATGCACGATGCAGCAGCTCTTGCTTTCGCACCGATGAGCTTGGCGCTCCTCTCTGCACGATGGCGTGAGGGCCCGCGCTCGCCCGCATTTGTGCACGGGGCATGCATCGCAACAGCATGGAGCACCCTTCAGCACATCATATATGCGCGCATCATATGCAATTTCGAGCATCGAGCAGCAGCTGATGTAGGTTGAGGGCGCAATTTGTGTTTGACCGCGCGCGCCCATCGCGCTCAGCCCAAGTCCAAACAAGATGCGGCGCAGCAAGCAGCACCACGCGTGTGCTTGTGGTGAGGCGCTATATAGCAAAGCCGTCGATCAAGGCGAAAGGTGAGCGATGAGCGCTCTTCCTTTCGCACTATACGCACGCGCGGCGATCATACGCATCGTCGAAAGCTTCATTATTGCTGCTGCTGCTGCTGCATGCTGGCACGTTGAGCTGACCCTGCGAAACTTGCTCAGTCGCGAGGCCCTCGTTGTAGAGTGCCTCCGCGGCCTTGAGCACCTTGTGATTTGCCCAAAGGTCGCCGACGTGGTCTCGCCATCAAGCAAACAACGTGACTTTGACTGCACGCACATCCCGTACAGCTGTTCAAAGCGCCTTTTTGAGCGGTCAAGTCTAGGAAACGCCTCCTCAGCTTCTCTCGCAAATGGGACTGAGCCACTTGCCGCCTCGGCCTCTGCCGTAGAGCAGGGATGCAAGCACAGTCAGGCAGTCCGGCGCGCATCTGATCAGTTGGGAAGCGATCGAGAATGCGGCATCCACGTCGGGGCTGCACAGAGCCGCGCGCTGCGCTGTGCGAGCGATCAGCTTGACCGAGGCTGTTATTGTGACTCGAGCAGAAAAAGCTGCGAGTCTTCTGACTGCAACGATGAACCTTGCCTCGCTAGTCGTGACGTGCGGACGAGATGCTCTTCCTCTTCTGAGGACGCACGGAGCGGCCATTGCAGCCTTATTTCTCCTATTCACGCACCACCTTTGCGACGCTTCTAGTCGCGTCGGTGCCCATCAAGATGCGGGTGGGAGCGGTCACACAAGACACGCCACGAACCTGAGCAACGATGGCTGATTTATTGCTGCGCGTTGCGATCATGCAGAGCGCTCGAGCAGAAGGAGCGTCGGATGCCGAGTTAAGAAGTCGGAGCTTTGAGAGTCAGAGAGGAACAAGACGACCCAGAGGGAATGGATCGGGCGCGCCGATTTCTTGAGCGGCCGCGGGTCCAGAAAGGAAGTCTTACTGCTCGCATCACGCAAGCACGCACTTGTGAGCTTGACTGCCGGAAGTCTATCTCGTCGCTGGTCGCGCAAAAGCTCAGCTCGAGCCGGAGAGTCCAAGCCTCTCTGCAGTCTTCTTCAGCGCTGCGACCCCAGGAGTGTCTGCGTCGGGAAGATGTTGCCAAATAGTGCTGAAACAAAGTGCAGCAAGAGGGTCAGCCAGACAGGCAACAAAATTCGCTGCTGGGCGCTCCAGTGCCGCAGTCTTTGTGAGCACGCCAACTAGCTCCCTCGTTGCCAGAAGAGGATCCGCCGTGAAGAGGTGACTCGCGACGGTTGCTTGTCACGTCGGCTTCCGCATGGCAGACGCAGTAATGCGTGTGAGCGCTGTGTTTGAATCTGCTCCTCGAGGAAGGAAGCAGATGCAGCACGTGGGGAGACACGTGCCAGCAAGGAGGTATCTTGCAAGAAGCAGCGTGCAAGGCCCGAAGCTCGGCTGGGAAAGGCCAATTGTGATACGCAGCACAGCCCTGTCGAGTGCGATGTTTCAAGTTACACTACCGCATGAGCCATCGCGAACACGCACGATGCCGAGGGAGGCTCGCTGGACCGCGCAAACACTTTCCAAGCATTCACGCTGGCTTTGCCCTGCCTGCTCTCCCGTTATGGAATCCCGCTTTAGCTCGCTTCAGCCATACTCACGTCGCAAGGACCACGTAGCCAGCTGCAGCGATGCCAATGTCCGCACCTCTGATGCGCCGCAATTCCGAATCCGTTGCTGTTCCCTCGTTGTCCTTGGTCTGCAGAAATTGGCCGAGGGGACCGTATCGGAGCACCAGACACCCGACGAAAGCTCCAGCTGAAAGTCCTTGCAATAGCGGAATCAGGCCGAGCGCTACGGCTGCGCTGTTTGTGGGAACGAATCCGTACGCTACGCCCAACCTGTATGCTGCGTAGAAGATCATGACAAAGTGCGGCACGAGGCCGGCAAAGTGGAAGGGACCCTTGGTGATGGACTCGTAGAGAAAACTGATCGGGTTGAAGCTTCCCTTCGCCTCCTCGCCCTTTGCAGGGTATGGCCTGAAGCTGTCCGCCATCTTGCCCAACCTAGTGAGCTACGAAAGAAGGGCGCAACTCTTGCGCGCCTGCTTCGGCCAAGGTCTTTCTGAGCTGGGATGTTGGTTGATCCCTGGAACGGTCGCAGGACAAGCGAGAGCCCGACTTGAAGACGGCGAGCAGAGCGTTCAGATCTCTGAGATGTACAGCTGGCCTCGGCGGCGCGGATGGATACACGCCCCAGTGGGGTGACAGCACCAAGAAGCACTTGATGCAGAGAGGTGGGGCGGACGGTGACTCAGCGCGAGTGCAGTGGAATGAGCGAGGGGACGAATTCCAGTGCCCGAGCAAGGTGCTTCGAAGTGATGAGGTTGATTGTGGAGCGGATGGCGTGGTGCAAAGGAAGAAGAAAGTAAAGAAGAGCAAGGCAAGACCCAAGAACGGTAAGCACGCCTGTTATGATCAAGTGCACACACACACTCCGCGACGACTTGTTATTATTATTATTAGCTGGAAGCCGGATGGATGGATGCTCAGGTCCATGCAGCTAGCTTGCTGCTGCTGCTGCTCGCTGTTGCTTGCTTGATGCATGTGAGTCTCGTCTCAAAGGCGGGGCAAAAGTCACAGTCTGCATGGCCTTGACGCGCGCGCTGCTCCAGAGCGGTCCGCTGCAGCCTCGCAAGCAGTGTGCCACACACCACGCTTGCCTGTCCAGCAGCGCCGTGGATGTCATCATCAGCTTGAACAGGTAGGTACATACTCACTCGCGACTGAACTGCAGGCAGGCAGGGCAAGGCAAGGCAAGAGCATGGCAACTCAGTCGACCACAGTCCCCGCGCCGTTTCCCCAGTCACAGTCGTGAGTCGTGATGCCGCTCTTGTCTTACAAGTCTCATGCTCTACAGCGTCTCTAAATGCCAGAGCTGAAAGCGAAAGGGTATGTCTATCCAATCATTGTATCCTTTCCCAGCCACTGAATCTTCTAGCTCGCTCTGCAGCCTACTGTACACCTCCGCTGCTAATCGCTCACGACTCACGACTGGCTCTCCAGAAGCCAGCGAGCAAGCGAGACGTGAGCCGGAAGTCGGAGTAACAGCAAAGTCGGCCATACGCCTATTTCCCCGCAACCTCACGCCAGACAGGTCGCCCGCGTCTAGCGAGCGCACTTAGCGTCCTCCAACCTGGGAGAGGGCTGCATGACATGGCTTGGTACAGTTGAGTTGAGTCACGAGTGTCTGCAGCGCGTGCTCCGTACAGAGCGGCACAACCGACCACTCGTGACTTTGACTCATCGCCGTGCAGCAGCCCCGTACGTACCACCAGCAGAGCAGCCTGTTGGCGGTGGAGCGAGGCTGCTGCTGCTGCTGCTGCTGCTGCGCAGCTGAGCGACCTCCATCATGAATCGTCCAACCACAGCGGTCGACCAACTCTCTCTTGTGTGAAAAGTACGAGACCGCTATAGTAGACTTGAACAACTCAGCGATCAAGGTGCGGTACCGCACCGGATGACTGAATCTTGAATCGATCTTGAATTTGAATCTTCACGATTCAGGTTGAAATTGTGAATTGCTCAGCTTGCTACTCTTTCTGATGAGGCATTCACATGCATCCAGATTGATTCACACCTCGCTTCCGGGGCCATCCACACAGATTCAAGATTGTGGTTGTAATCTACTGTGACTACTCAGACTGTACAATTGTCACAGCAGACATCCAAGATCGAAGGGACTCACGACTGACCTTTCTTGCTACAGCACCCAGAGATTGCGAGCGGTATCTGAGGCGTCTGCTTTCTCCAACGCCCCTTCGAACACGCCTGCGGGTTTGCCCCCCCCCCCAATTCATTGCGCCTGGCCGATTCGCATTCTATTCTCGGCTTGATTTGAGTAGCGGACTCAACAGTCACTGGGCACGTACGACCTCCAAGTCACATTTCGCGTCTTGCCGTGACGATACTCGCAAGAGTGGGTGGGTGGGTCAATGCGAAGCATCTTCAGTCTCGACTTCGTCATTGCGATTCGTGACTCGCGATTGAGCGCCTTTCTAATCGTGGGATGCTTATGCAAGCTGTCTCTGTCTAGTCACGACAGTGTCCGTGCACTCACGACAGTGTGAGTGACCATACACAAGTCAAATGGCGGAAAGTGATGGTGCGACTGTGCGAGTGCATGGCTGCCTGTACATGCATGCACTCCAACCTCTGGGGATAACCTTTGCCCCGCGTTGAGAGTTGCCGACTGCCGAGCATCCGCGCTCTTACGCCCGCTTCATCCAGCGCAGTCGAGGAGGCGCATGGCGCGCTGCTGCGACAGATCGCTTGGTCCTTGCGCGCGGATACTGCACCGCGAACATCCGGATCACGATGCCCAACCACCTTTCAGATCGTGCTGCTTGGTAAAATCACGCCCATGCTGAACACGGCACAACAAAAAACAATGTGATTGAATTGCAAGGTCAGGAGGGGAGATGCGTGAAGCATGCTAGGCAGTCGTGGGAGACAGAGGAAACTCAAGCTGCCTTCAAAAGGCCGGGGCCGTCAAAGGAGTCTCACAATCCAATGAGACGATAGCGCCGCCCATACTTCAAGAAAGTGGCTGGAGAACGCTATGTAGCGCCATGTAAAATGCACGCTCACTCCTCGGGTTGAGGAACCGGCTGGATCAGCAGTGGCCTGTGTGGCTGAGATCGCGTTTCTACTTGACAAAGGTGCGGCAATCTTCACCGAAGCCAGAAGCGCTCAGCCAATTTGCAGCAAACGAGAAGGTCTCTACGTTCTCAAAGACCTTGCGGGTGCCCCAAACCGGCTCGTAGACTAGAGTTGCGGGTCGTATTGGATACGTCAGGCGTCAATTGTCAGCCAGGTCGCCTACTGAGCATGCACTACTCACTGTTGACGGTGGAGCGAGCAAAGAATGCTTGCTCGAAAGGCTGCGGCCACAAGCAAGGGGTCATCAGCACTTTATTCCCGAAGCTTTCGACTCTGCCCGTCGCTTTGCGTGCAACACACCTGCCCCCTGTATGATAGAGGCCGGGCAGTGTCAGCTAGATCGGAGCGCAAGCGGGACAGCTTGAATACTCACGATACGTATTCGAAACGGACGCAACGACCGGTATTAGGGTACATGGTAGCCTGAAACAAGTCCGCGAAGCAGGCGCATGAGGATCAGGACATGGAACACAGCTCATGGCCGCGGAGCGATTGTCTCGACGTACTCTGACTGGCGTCGTGAGCAAGTCCTTGAAGTTCTGGGCAGTCAGCTGACCTCGCGGTGCGCGGTTGAAGCGAGTCGTAAAGACAGGAGAAAGGACACCGAGGGAGCCGCTCTGCGTGATGGCGACCGCAAAAGGTAAATGCCAGCTAAGACATAATCACCAGCAAAGCCGCACACTTACAGGGTTGTTCAAGCCAACAAAGTTCTGGAAGGAATATTGTCCCGATCCAAGATCGTTGTATGCCTAGTCGGAGGGAGCATTTACTTTCGGTAAGCTTCACTTCGAGGCGATTTTAGGCCACACGTCGTGTCAGCTCGCCTTGTGCTCTGGTTCGAAATAGCCCAATTTCAAGTTAGCACCGTAGAGACTTCCAACCAGACGTGGAATGAGTTGGCTCTGCCAAGACTGGTAAGACATGAGGAAAGGTGTTCTGCCATCGTTTGCCGCATCGACGAAAGGAATATCTGGCCATTGAGTGCGGTAGCGGGTCAGTGTGAAAGGTCGCTTCTTGTGAGCATCGACTGCCGACGCACAGAAGTAAGAGCCTTGGAGCTCGTTCACCCTGAGCTCAAGACCCATTCTTTGACGAATGTCTGCAGTCGTGAAGAGGGAGCCGCTCGTCGTCAGCGCGCCTTCGAACATCGGCGAGATTTCGTCGAGAGACTCACCAGTCAGGTATTGGGCCAGGACGATGAAAGGGTGCTCGTCCGGAGCAAGGAAACCCTCCGGCAAACCGGTAGGGGGAAGAAGCTTATACTTGCCTGCTAGCTGTTGAGCAAAGGCACGCTTGATGGGGATGACCTGTGGCAGCCGAATGCATCGGACGCGCAAATGGATGTTAGCGTGGCTGCTTCCCCACGCTTTCAAAGTCTGTGCGCACATGCATAGTCAGGTTGGTGCCCGCAGTTTGGAGAGCCTCGTTGCCTTGATAGATCTAAAGGTGACGGGACTCAAGTCAGTCGAATAGGTGGGGAGAGCACCGTGCAAAAGGACTGGGCTGCACTGACCTCGTTGGGCGCTTGACGCTCCACGAGCGCACGCGCGCCACGCCCGGTGACATCCGCAGTCAGAAGACTGTCGCTGACGTAGGACGTCGTCTGCTTGCACTCGGGTCGGTCAGTAGCTCGATCCTCGCGGTTACCGAATCAGAACAAAGCAGCGCTCACCAGATTGTCTGCATGAAGCTCAAGCTCGACCAGCGGCGACGGTCTGCCAAGGGCAATGGTCATCGAAACAGCGGCCAGCGTGAGAGCGGACAAGAAGTTTTTGACGAACATGTTTTCAAGTGCAACCAAAGCTGGATGGATTTAGCTCCGCGGGAAATGGAGGAGGAAGAGGTGAGGAGAGGAAAGGACGACGGACGAAATGTTAAGGACCGGGGATCGTGCTCTAGCCGGCTACTTTATACGTTCGGCTAGGCCTCCTAGCTATCTACTTTGCGTTCATCTCGGATTCTAGGCTGACTACATTCAGGAGCCATCAGATGCTTGCCGCAGCTGCTTGGATATTGCGGAAGCATGGTCGTGCAGGAGGAGCAGAGCAAGGACCACAGATGCTTTGCTTACGCAGCGCTCGATCGGGCCAAATCTCCCAATTTCCGGAGCTAGAGTCTTGAATGAGATGTGAAGTTCTTGAGGAGCTAAGCGCATCTCATGACCATCACTTGCCGTTTCCGCCGGCAATAGGAACAAGGATCGGCAAACCGTCGACGTTCCCTTCGTAGGCGGGGCAAGCGCTCCGCTGCGTCTCCGTCTCTATATATGTGTAGCCAGCAACACACCCTTGACTTCATTCAGATTTCTCACTTCGAGCTCGGGCCTCGAGCACCGCCTGACGCGGCCTCGCGGCAGTGAGTGCTCCGAAGCTAGTGCTGCGACACGCAGACGCTCATTGCCTCACGCCGCGAGCGCGAAGAGTTTCCTGACACGAGTTGGACCCCTCACACGGGCCTCTTGCGTCTCGAGCAGCCGCTTCGGCGCTAGAGCGGATCCATAGGCTTCATTCGCGTTCGAGTTTCGTGGTTGTTGGAGGGTTAAAGTGACGGGTGATTCCCGGAGATGGTGGCTCGTCAAGTGAGAAAGAAGAGAGCGAGCTCCACCTTTCACGCAGATGAATGAAGGGTCCGAACCCAAGACCGGAGATTCCATCGAAAGTGTCGCTGCCTCGTGATATGGTCTGAGCAAGGTGGCTCATTGGTGCTGTACAGCCGAGCCCAGAGCTGATCTGGGACACGCGCGGCGAGACCTCAGTGAGAACGAATCGTGATTCTGGGGGTCTGGAGGGATCTGTGGACATGTGTGCACTTTGACTCTTTCGTCAGACTGATGAGTCTCTTGACGTGTCGAGCTGTCTGGACTCGACTTGCGTTCTCTGCGCTTTCATTCACATTGATCACCAACTTTATGCAGGTGCAGATGCAGGCCGCGCACTCTGCGCATCCCGCTCGTCGTCGACATTCACGATTTGATTTGTGATACAGTCATCAATCAGTCTTGAGTGCTGATCCAAAATTGTGACTTACGATTATCCAAGATCCACGTCGGTGCAAATTGTCATTCAGAACGTGCCAAAAGGCCCGTGTCGAGAACGCTTTCGGCTTCGTGACGCGATCACATGTATAGCGGTTTGTCTCTATCGTTGGGCTTGTCACTCTCATGGCCCCTGCTGAGCTACAGGCCACCTCCTGCCGATCGGTGCAGGCCGCAGTGGGGCAGCCCCGACAAGAGGTGGCGCTGGCACCACGTCCTTCGCACACGGGGCGCACACTGGGAATGATACGGTCTCGCGACGACCACAGAAAAGTCAAGTCCAGTCGTTGGAGCAAAGTGTGGTGTGCGGGCATTCAGAAACAAAGCAGGGTCTCGAGCACGGTCAGGTCTGCTTGCCAAGATGTGCAAGCCAGTATACGACTGATTCGCTTCAGCCCTTGGTCTGATTCAGTTGCTTTTTGAGACTTTCTGCCAAAGAGTCGAGCGTGTCAATCTTTGTTTGGTGCATGTTCAGCTTCGTCAGCAGGTATTCCATCCTCCTCCTCGTCGCGCCACTGCCGGCGCTGCCTAGCGCCGATAGTTCGCTTAACTCCTTCTCGACGTCGCGCACTAGCTTCTCAGTGCTGTTAGTCGCAAAGCGAATATAGGCGTGAGATGACTGGCAGAGTAAGCTCAAGCGAGCCCCGCAGCTAAATGCACTCACCTTTCAATGCCTTCGTTGGCGCTTAGCAATCGCTGGGTGTTTGCAAAGACTTCATCTGAGACGAGCCTACGCATAGCCTCTCGCAACACCGGCCTGCCTGCCCGAATACTTGATGGTCTACCGTCCGCATGCTTGACAGAGATGATCTCAGCTTGCTCCAGAGCCTTGACAGCAGCCTCGTCGCCCTTGAAAGCGTCATGCAAGAGCCCGTAATATGCAAGCTGGAGCATCGAGGAGCTAGTGAGCTAAACTCTCATGGCGGAACCAAGATGCCGATGTAATCGACTCACCTCGTCTCCCTTAGAGAGCTGCTCAACGATGGTCCATGCTTGACCTCGCTTCCAGGGCAGAGACTTGGCATCTTCCAAGTCATCCCCAAACGCGTTCTTCCGAAGCTCGACAACTGTTCGCGTGACAATATCCTCGACTATTGCGATCATGGAGTGTGCCTGAATCAGCGTTGGGAACAGAAGTCGATATTTCTCAGCGCGTGCTCACCTGCGTCCGGGACATTCTGACCAAGTCCAAGCTTTTCGGTAAGAGCTTCGAGATCCTGCATTCGTCCGCCCAGCACATCGATGGATCGCACGGTCGCCTGATCCAGCTCCGCGCCTCTGACAGCGGGTGAATAGCCCGGTGTGTCCGGAGCAGGACTAGGAGCGGCAAGCTGCAGAGCTTCGAGCTTCTTCCGAACATACTCTTGCGCTCTTTCTTGGTCTGCATCCGCCAAAACCACAGATTGGAATGGGACATTCGGCAAGGCGCGCCCCAATGTCTTGCCTTGCGCGACGGGGTTGTCGCTGACGAAGATGACGTGGGCAATGTGGGACTGGGAAGCAAGGCATGCACGAGTCAATGATCGAGCGCAAAACAAGTCTTCCGAGCACCGAAGGATTGACGTGACGTACCTGCGTCAACTCCGCGCTCCAAGCCGCAAGCACATCCCACACCATCTCGTTTTTGAGGCCCTTGTGGCAGAAGCCGTCAAGAACGATCTAGCGATGCAGAGCTCGGACAGTCAGCAGTGGTGTCTATCTGCGGAGAGAACGTGGCAAAAACTCACTACAGGAGCGTCAAATTCGCCGTCCGAGGATGCGGTCTGCTGCGCTTTGCTCTGCTCGTCCGGTGACAGTTTCTTGGCCAAGCGACGTTTTTCTTCCTTTGCTTTAGCTTTTTGTTTGTTCGAGTTGGTGTGCACCAAAGCTGCTGTAGCCGTCTCCAAAACTTGCCTCAGCTGTGCATCCACAGGCGTGGCAAAGATGGGTTCCTTGCTGCCTATGAGACCCTGTGCTCCGATATCGATTAGGTTGTTCACGGAGCTAATCCAGCTGAAGACTGGCCAATAGCCCAGCTCGTTTGCTAGAGCTCCTATCAGGGCCGAATCCGTCTTTGCTGCCCTAGCAATAGCTTCGCAGTTGATGCGCAAGTGCGACACCTCCTTCGTGAGCACACCGTCCAGCAATTGATGCTTGCCCGACCCTCGAGGACCTGCGATAGTGATAAATGTCGAAGGCGTCTCTCGCAGCCAGCCTCTGATCTCTTCGACCGACTTGCCACGTTCCCACCACGCGTTGCCATCTTCCGCACCTTCGCAGCGACTGAATAGCTCGAGAGTATTGGTCTTTAACCACGTGTATAGCCGATAGTCTTCCAATCGGAACGACCCGTCCAATTCCCGCTCAACGAAAAATTCCCTGACGGGGTTGAAGACAGAGTACGTGATCGTGCCAAGTGTAAGCGCGAGGAAAGGAAGCACGATACGCGGATGACTAGAAATCCATTCCCACGCCTTGTGAGCGCGGAATGCGGGTTGGTAATTGATGATCAGCTTCGCCCCGCTGCTCAAAGTTGCTCCATGCGCGCAATTCCTAGCGCTCGTTGCTCCTCTCATGGTCGAGAAGCCAGCAATGGCAGATCCCTCTTTCTTGTCGACTTTTAGGCTGAGCAGCCTTCCGTAGGGTCTTAACGTCTCCCAAAGTGTCTGCTCGTCGGGGGCCGGCCCGCCTTCAAACTCGATGCGGATCTGGCGCGCCGGAAATCGAGCGAGGTCCTCCCTCCATGGCTGACCTCGTACCACATGGACGGAAGGTGGACGCGCCCAAGAAGCCACGAGCAGCATGCTGGGAGCATACACTGACTTGACTCCCTGCTTGAGTCGCGTCTCTATGATGTTCAGCACTTTTGCCTCATCTTCGCCAGACGCCTTGTACTTGAAGCTCAGAAAGGCTCCTCCATCTTTTGCTCTTCATAGAGCAGTCCAGGCGCGAAAGGAATGTCAACGTATGATCCAGCAAAACCTTGAGTATCCGCCCTCCATTCCATCTCCCGTCTCACCTAGACTCGACCCCGACAATGCTGAAGGCGTAGCCAACTTCCTCAGAAGCAGGCAAACTGTTTTGCAGTCTTTGCAGTAGCGCCTCTCCTTGGACGCTGACCAAATATCGCCGTGGATCCGCGACGTTGAGTTCGATTGGAAACATGGTATCAAAGTACAAGAAGCCCAGCCGCTCCTCCGCTTCGAGCTTGAGATCTAGAGGCACTAGAGGATAGGAGGATGTTTGCTCGATCAGGGCAGAGGGCAGCGTGACTGTGCCGTCCGCTCCGACTGACGGCGAGGAAGAAGTGGCTAGGCCTCTCGCAGGTGTCGCATTGCGAGTCGAGAGCACAGATCTCAAAGGGCCTGCTGAGATGATGGAGAGTCCCAAAGCGGCGCCAGTAGAGTACCCGCGAGGCCCGATCCTCGCGAGAGGTAGGTTCAAAGTCGGACGTTGATGCATCGCCGCGACCTCAGCAGAGAAGCCGTTCCGGCGAGCGAGGCGGGACGGTGTTGCCAGCATTGCGTGTCGACAATTTGACAAGAGCGACTCGCGCTACCACACGCGAAGCGAGAGAGGATGAGAGGCGAGGTTGCGAACGCATGTAGAAGGTGCAAGTCTTCTGTACTTGAAGAGTCACCGTCACGAGTCTCTACGAGGACGGTCACTCAACCAACGACTCCCACTCACAAGAGTGTGGAGGCAAGAGGAGCGGATCGAGGTGCACACGCGCAGCATGAGCGAAGACGGCGCATCCGCAACACTCAAGCGTGCAGGCGTATTCGTGATTATTTATTAACGATTTTAATAGCTGCCTGCCAACTCGTTACTGCCCCCTTAATTTGTATAGAGCGCCTCTATATGTGGCCGCACATGCAGCAGTGTGCGGGTGCACAGTGGTGTGGCCTGCCATGCGCCAGAGCCGCGTAGACATGCAGCATGCAGCCACACTCACATGGGCTGCGCAGCAATCACAACCACGAATCCTGATCAAGGCAATGAATGACGCATGATCAGCAAGCGGGGCTTCACACTCGTGACTTTGACTCGCGACTTCGACCCGTCCACCGCTTCCCTAGAAAGACATCAGCACATCCATCCCTCAACATTGATGCTCGTATCCGAGACGAGAGTCACTTTCCTCACCAGAGGTCATCGTTTGCGATCTCCAACGGCGTCGCAACTCTAAACCCGACCTCAGCCATACACCTCACCTCACCTCACTTCTCCTTCCCCCGACTCGCCGGTCTGTCATGACGTTGCTGGTCGTCAAGCAACGCCGACGATTTCCAAATGCGTCGTTTACCGTTGTGGTCTCTCTCCTGCTATGCGTCGTGTCCAGCATACTTGGCTGTGCCGCCATCGTAGCCAGCTCTACCTCAGAGCATGACGCGTCGAGCAGCACTACAAGCTACAACTTGATCGACGTCTTGGCAGACTCCACCGAGCACACGCTGCTACTGCGCATGTTGCAGCGGACCAGGCTCCTTCCTACGCTCAACCGCTTGATGGAGTTCGACGATGGCCGAGGGCTGACGATCTTCGCACCGACTGACGAGGCTATCGAACGCAAGCGGGATGCTGAGCAAGCCAAACGATTGGCATTCGCGCACAGTCTCGATTTCCAAGCGACAGAGCAGATGTACGAGGACGAGGATGGCATAGAGCTGCTCAGTCCTGCTTGGGCATATCCACGCTCTGCAAAGAGTGTTTGGGAGTGGGCTGTTGATATGGCGACGCACGACTCGGAGCAAGAGGGGCTCTCACCACCGCACCCAGCCATGAGCGGAGCCGAGCTGCATTTACCCGTCACTGGCTCTTCGGGCACAGGCCAAGCATGGTTGAGGGTCGACAACATCGAAGCTGCCCTGCGTGCTCAGCTTCTCTACCACATGATCAACTATACATTGCCTCTCGATGTGTCCGAGGGGATTGTAGTGGCACGGGATGCTGCCACATTCGAGGACACCAAGGGTGCAGCACAAATGCTAGAGACACTTCATCGCCCCTCAAGCACCACAGTACACACTCGACCTGGTACAGTGCCGCACCCACCTTCCAGCCCCGGCTCAGAGGACAACGGTTGGCTGCTGGGCGGCGAGGGACAGCGGTTGAGGATGGCTAAGCGGGCCGAAAAGGGAGAGCAGGACTCATTGTGGGTCGGCACGGACGTTAATGGAAAGGAGGGCGGTGCGAGAGTGGTCAACACAAATCGCAATAGCACCGCGGGTGTCATATTCTCCATTGATGGTGTCCTGGAGCTTCCGCCAGATTTCGGTGAGCACTGCTCTTGATCAACTGCACCGCACCGAGACTTCTGACTTTCAGTTTACTTTTGAATCAGAGACGCTACTGTCCGCGCATCCTGCGCTCCAGCACCTCACAAATCTCAGCAGTGCTGCGCTGCTCAGCACTCTTTCCGAAGCACCTCACACCACCTTTTTCTTACCCAATGCTGCAGCTTTCGACAAGCTCTCGGAGCTGGAGCGCACCTTTCTGACTGGCGCTACTGATCTTGCAGCGCAGGACCGGGTCAAGCTGATCGGCTGGCACATGAGCGGCATAGGTGTGGGCGAAGGTCGGATTGGGTATGCTGAACGACTTAGGGAGTCCGGGACGAACAGTGAGTGATTCGAAATCAGTCATCTTTAGCGCCAGTGCCCAGTCAGTCCTAATGTGCGTCAGTACTTCGTGCTTCAGTCACAACCATCCTAGGCGGGCAAGTTCCCGTCAGTACGGCAAGCAATGGAACCGTCACGGTCGGAAATGCAAGACTAGTCGAAGAAGATATCCTGATCGAGAATGGTGAGTCCCAATGCGTGACTCACGCAGATAGCGACGATGTTAGCCAGCCTGCTCCACTGCCTGACACCGCTTCGGATGCCAGGTGTCGTGCACATCGTGGATGATCTTCTGCTGCCAGGAGGAACATTTGGCATGAATATCGAGCGCACACTGCTGGCTCTCAACTGCACTCGCTTTGTCAGCCTCGTCCACAATGCAGGTCTGTCGGCATACATCGACAATGACATTCGCGATCCAGATGGAGAGGGCACGAATGCCACCTGGACATTCATGGCTCCTCGCGACGATGTGCTGGATGAGTGGATCGAGCGCGGTGCCCCTACCGACGGCAGCAGTGGCGTGGTGGACGCTGAGTACGCTGAGCAGCGGTGGGGAGTGCCCAGCCAGTCAGCTACATTGCGTCTCGACAAAGACCATGCACTACAAGCCGGGATCAACGGGACGAAGCTGGAAGAATTGCTGCGATACCATATCGCCCCTGGACGACTGACCCCGAAATCTTTGCAAGACGGAATGCTCATCGGAACCGAGCTTCGGGATTGGAAGCTCAAGTTCGGAAGACAACGCGTCGCTGTCGAAGTAGCCGAAGATCCGCGCCAAGAGAAGGATCGTCAAGGCAACGGTGATGTGGCTTTTGGGGACGCGAATGTCATTGCGAAGCCGGTCGAGGTAGGAGGCAGCATCATCTACCTCATTTCGCAGCTGCTCCAAGTTCCGCTCAATCCGATCCAAACGGCCGTCTCATCCTTGACTCTGTCGACGTTCGTCGCAACCGTATTCAGCGCCGAGTTGGACAAGCCCATCAAGAGAGCTCCAGGAATCACTTATTTTGTGCCTCACAACGACGCCTTTTCTGCCCTCGGCTTGGCCATGAACTACCTCTTGCTTCCGCGTGAGGGACCTCGCGCAGAATTGCGCTCGGTGGTCGAATATCACGCTGTAGACCGAGTCGTCTACGTGCAGGATTTTGTGAAAGGGGCAAAAAAGTATCCCACGCTTGAAGGTAGCCCTATCTGGGCCGGACAGTCGGAGAATGGCACTATCGAGGTTCGACGAGGGACGGAAGGGCGCGATGCGAGGGTGCTGCAGGGTGATCTTCTCACTAGCACTGGCGTCTTGCACGAGATCGACCAAGTCGAGCTACCTCCCACGCTAGACCTGACAATTCGCAAGCTGATGACAGGTGCTAAGGCGCAGACGATGATGAGCCTCATTGAAGAAGCTGGCTACGGTTGGATACTCAACGGCACAGCCCCGAAAAGCCCTGAAGCAGCTGCAGAGCTCGAACGCAACTCTGCTGCTGTGCAAGGAAACAAGGGCAAGAAAGGAGAACGCAAGCGTCATCGCAAGAGACACAACCTCTTCGCTGATGGTGGTCAATCTTATGTGGTGCTTGTCCCGACCGATGCGGCATTTGCCAGAGTCAATTTGACCTACTACTTGGAAGACCGCGAAGCCTTGAGGGAGCTTGTGCAACTGCACATCATCCCCTCTCCCGCGGACGTCATCTTGCCAGGAGGAACATCAGACCGACTACCCATCGCGCTAAGCAACGACTTTGGCTTTACGTCTTTGCTCGATCGAAGTCTGGGTGGAGCTAGCAGGTACGGCAAGCTAGGCTTCAGAAAGGAAAAGCACGCAGAGAAGAATGATGATGGAGGTGCTCCGGATCTGAACAAGGGCCTAGGCTGGGTCGTGGGTGTGCAAGGCTCGCGTGGCAACGACCATAGACAGCATTCTGCCAATGTCCTCAGCTTTGGCAGAGAGTCCTTGTCATCCACCAGAGCGGATGCTGATTTGGCTCAAGCAAAAGATAGGCTCAAGGGCTTGTTGCGCAAGAGAAGAGGACGAAGCCGACTGCCTACGCCCATCGAGGGACAGGAGGAATGGAATTCTCGCAGCATTGGCGGAGTCCTGACTCTCGACGCTGTACTGCAACCTTACGAGCCTGGGTGGTTTTATAGTTGTAAGTGAACCTCCACTCGGCCTGATCCCTCGAAATACCTTGTCTCACGCTGCCGAGCAACTTTTGCACCACGACAGGGGGCTGGATCGTGCTGACCGTCATCATGGTGGGCTTTGTTCTGACTGGGATGGGATTCGGATTGTGGAGATGGTGGCATCGCGACGGTCGCATTCGCTTACCCGACGCCCTTGAGGGTCAGTATGTGCGACTTGATTGCGACGCCCTTGTGAAGGCTGACAATTCAGCCCTTATCGATGCGATCCACAGGCGAAGAAGACTGATTCGGCAGGAAGCAAGCCGCATGGCCTCCGTTTTGTAAAGGGTCTGTTTCGTTTTCAACTTTCACTACCTAATGTACAGTATTCGAATTCTCCCGCTATTTCAACATCACATCAAATGTAATTGACTCCACATCTCATCAGCGAATCAGGCACGCATTTTGCTTGCCAAGATGCATCAGCTCAGCACTCAGAGGTCACTACAGGGGCACGATGTGTAAGTCTACCATGAATGTATTGCGTGAGCGGTCTGCCGAATCCTAGTTGGAAACGGTGGCTCTTGTAAGTTGGTCATCGACTGAGCAAGTCCACCTCGTTGTCGTGATCCTGCTCCATATCCACATCGTCTCCGCCGCCATCACCGGCACTGGCATCTTTCAAAATGGCCAGCGCATCATCCCAGAGATCTTGTTGTCCCCAGACACCCACGACTGCCGCCACGACGCACCAAGCACCCTCTTCCCCTTCCATCCGCTGCTGCTCTTCTTCCCATGTGCCTGCGAGTGATGCTGATTTATGGCGCTTGGCTTTTGCTGCGCGCTTAGCTCGATGAAGAGCAACAGCTGCGATACAAGCCCTTGCCAACGTTCGCAGGATGCTGATCTCGTCCGAAGTGAGCCTGTGGTCGAGGAATGCCAAAAGAGAGAAGAGCCAGTTGGCATAGAGCTGATGAAGTGCTTGGGGCGCGTTCACGTTGTAGACGTCTTCGTTCGATGCGTGGGCGGGGAGAGGCAAATTGAACCAGTATGGGAAAATGGTCAACAATTGCAGAATGTGATACTGCGTTGTCGCACACGACGAGTCAAAGCAATGGCTGTAAGTGGCGCGACTAAATGATTTCCGAATGATGAATTCAGCTCACGGACTGGAGTCGCTTCATTAATGAAGCGCTAGGTTCTCTAGGCAGGACGTGCCCTCCGGCGGCGTCGGTTCCATTCGAGTACCTCCTGGTAGGGTCCAGTCGGGCCTGCGCTTGCTCTCTCTGCCTCTGACTCTCGTGCGTAGCATAATTGCTAGCTTCCCAGTCATCCCCATCCACCTCTATGCGCACGCCATTGGGTATCGCTCGTCGGTGCACAAATTCGTACCATTGATCCACCCGGCCCTTTTGCGGCAACTTGCCAAAATTGGGATTGGTGATGGGTCGCGTCGGCGTGGTCGAGACCGCCTTTTGCCGGAAAGCGACGGATGGAAGGTGCAGACTCAGCACAGAGCACGAAGCAGACATCGTGAGACGCTTCACCTACGAAAGCAGCTTAGACACTCACTTCTCGTAGCGCTTTGAAGCGATTCACGTAAGTTGCACGCCATCGCGTCGATGGAATAGCAGGAATCGACGTGATTTCACACGTCCGGACCCTGACGTCCAGATCTTGTGGTGAAGACAGGAGCTCTTCCGGAGATGCAGGCCCTGCGACTTGCTTGCTGAACTCATTCTGGCGCTTACCGCCTGCTCTTCCGTGCTGTTCGGCCTCTCGCCTGACCATGGCCAAGTACTGCTCGCCGTCCGTGGGCACGCCGTCAAAATCTGCAGAGAGGTCACCCACTGGCAAAGCTTGATGACCGAACTCTCCTCCACGCCCTTCCCAATGAGCATCATCGTTGTACTCTTGCGAGTGCGCATCTTCATCTCCATCATCTTCCCAGAATGCAGAGCTCGCTTTGCCTCCCATATGCTTGGACTTGCCAGCGGGGGAAATTGCAGAAGAGCTGGGGTTGAAGTCCTCCTCCCTGCGTTGCCTTTTCATCACTCGAGCGCACATTTCCCCAAGACGAGCCGAATGAGGGGCGTGCGCGCGATGACGAGGGGTACGGTGCGTTTGGACTGCAAGGTGTGATGGATGGTGAACGAATGCTGAGCTGCAACAGAATGAGAAGCCGCACTCGGGAAGAAAATCGGGAGGTGGAGGGGGCAAGCAGCTGAATACACACAAGCAGCACACACAGCACTCAACGTAAGCCTTCACGAATCAGCACAGCTACTCGCACAACGGCCGATCGGACGCTCTTAAGCAAAATCGTGAACACTTAGGTTCTCCCATTAGAGCATCAATTATTGTAGCTTTAATCATAATAGTGAATTGTGGAGCAGCAGCAGCAGCAGCACGCGATGAAGCGCGACGCGTGCTCATCCAATTTCACAGCCGCCGCCGCATTTTTGTCATCAATCAGCATCGATCACCCATGCACCGCAAGCGTGAACATCGCATGGCGCAGCATTATTATTGTTACGCGTCTTCGTTCACACTTCCTGTCTTTGTACAACGACAACCGTTAATCGTCATCGATTTGTCACAGATCAGGTCTCCATTTTCGCTCCAGCGAGCATTCCCGGCTACGGCTACGAAGCGCACAAGACAAGTACGACAGCGTCGGAAGTCGCCTTCTGTACCGCAACTCGATGCCCCTCAACTTTGCCTCCGCCTCTGCCTCCACCTCTGCCGCGCCAAGATGGGATCTCAACGCTGCCGACGACCCAGCAGATTGGGAGGATGAATTTTCCTATCTCAAGCCTCTGGATGCCGCTTTGCGGTGCGAGCTTTGCTTTGTGAGCACGTTCACGAGCGCCGACGTGTCTTGACGAGCTCCGCGTCGGGACGGAGTCGCTTCGTTTCGCACATTCGCGATAGGTGGCGGTGTACCTTGCGGCTGGAAAAAGATGCTCTGGCACTTATGCTGACCCACGATGCCTCGCTCGCCGCGCGCAGGATGTTTTCAGAGCTCCCGTCTCGTTGCGCTGCGGCCACACGTTTTGCTCGACATGCGTGCGCAACGCCATCAATCAAGGTGGAGCAGGAGGACAGGAATGTCCAAAGTGTAGAGCAAAGGCGCAGGACTCTCATCTGACACCACAGATTGCTCTCGAGACGGCGGCCGAAGCTTGGAGGGATGCTAGGTGAGTTTTGCTGAGGGGCCATGATTGGTGGATCAGCGACGTGCATCTGACCTCCCCTCATACTAGGGCGCGGCTTTACGACTTGCAGACCGCACGCAAAGCTGCTGCAGAAGGAGCCAAGTCAGAAGCTACTTCGCCTCGCGGGCTCAAGCGCAAGGCGAGCGAAGAGCCGAATACGTCTACCTCGAGTTCTCGGACCGCTCTCTCACCACCCAACAGCTCCCTGCGTCAGACGAGATCATCATCACGAAGGCAAGAGACGAATGCTGTTGGTCCATCCTCCAAGCCAGAGTACGTCGTCGTCTCCGATGACGATGACGGTGACGTGTCTTATGTACCCTCGAATCACGCATCACCCAGCAAGCGTGGCAGTCCTTCGAAGAAGTCCCCAGCTAAAGCCCCTCCTGAAGCTGATGCCAGTGAGAGGGTGCAGTGTCCTTTGTGCAGTCACACTTTCACGCTCGCTGCCCTAAATCGTCACTTGGATCGAGGGGTACCTTGCTCGCCAGACGATCCGCCTCCTATTGCAGCTGAAAGTGGTCTTGCAACGCCAAGAAGCACGATGAGCACAGGCTGGTTCACTGCCAAGGCACAGGGCAATGGCGCCAGCATTCCTAAGGGAGCCAAGCTCGTCCGCCCTCCCTACGTCTCCCTCAGGGAAAAGCAGATCCGGGAGCTGCTGATGGAGCACAGGCTAAGCATTGCGGGAAGCAAGGAAAGGAGGATAGAGAGACACCGGCATTGGGTCAATATTTACAACGCAAACTTGGACGCGTCCGAAAGGAATAGAAGGACTGTAGCACAGTTGAGGAGGGAGATGGAGGAGTGGGACAAGGGACAGGACGATGCGGAGCGACAAAAAGCGCGAGGCGGTGCCATCTCGGAGAAGCGAGCCAAGGATTGGGCGGTGAGTGAGACATGCAAGTGTGGCTGCTGATGCGAAGAATTGCGAACTCTTATTAATGATGAGCTGTCTACGGCTGTAGGGTCACCACAATGCTCAATTTTCCGAGCTCACTGCAGCTGCGAGAGATTCTCACAGACGCAACAGAGAGGCGCATCGTCCCTCTAATCAAGTCGACTCTGGAAACGGGCGACAACTCGACGCCCCCGTGCCAACCTTGGCACCGGGGGCCGATTCCTCTGCAGAGACCTCTGTATAGCAATGACATTCCTGCGGCATTGCGTGACAAATCCGAGTGAAAGTCATGCCGATGCCGCACTTTCCAAAGTCTTGACGTCATGCTACTGTCGGATCAGCTCATAAGCGTGGTGCGTCGGACTATCGTTGAAGCCTACAGCTTCGTTGCCATCTGCCAATCGACTCTGGCTGCCTACGCTATGTTCAAGATGGGAGACTTACGGAGCATCGACATGCGGTCACCCTAATCGTTGTCCCACAGATTCATCGATAAAGGTGCGCAAATCTCGAATGACTCTCCGACTTGCTAAAGGTATGCCGTCGATGCACCAGCGTCTGCGCACTCGCATCAAGGTTTGCCGGTGTAGCGCTTGGATTGGGCCACGCATGGCTGATGATCGTGTCTATGTCACCGCATATGTCTTCATGTGGTTCCAAATGTTCGGTGTCGCGTGAGGATCGTCATGCTGCTTGTTCCGGACCAGGCTCCATTTGTCGGCCGAGAGAAGGGGTGATGATGCGGGCGGGTGCATTCACGTGATTCGTGATTCTGATTCAATTTCAAAATTGACGATGTGCGCCATCCCTAATGCCTACATTCTTGATTTGTGATTCTTGACTCTTTGATTCAATTCTCCAAGCTCAAAGCCCAGCTGAAGGCTTGGATGTGCACACGCCCGCTCTACTGTGTCGCTCCTTGTTCCGCAATCCGACCGTACTTCTTGGGCCTACTTCACGCTTCAACCCTGGCACCGCTACGTGCCGAAATCCAACTCTTCAGAATTTCGATTACCTGCATACATCTCGCTCAGCCAGGTCGTGCGCTGCCGAGCATCAAGGCAAACGGCTTTCATCACGCTGCTACACCACTCAACAGGCAAGCGATTTCGCAGCTCTCGACACATTTGTCATCTCGCTGTTTCTCTGAAATCCTCTTTGTGCATCTCATGTCGAAGCCGGCTGTACCAGGTCAAGCCACCACGGCGAGCGGGATTGTAGAGAGTGGGCAAGAGCGGGTGATTCCTGGTAGCGTAAGGGCAGATGGCAGGTAAGTCGGTAGATCGATGCGTGTGCCTCCCAGCGGTCACATCCGAGATCTTCTTGAGGAGGCTGTATCCAAGAGGATGAGGGCAGCTGATTCTCGCCGCCGCGTCTCATGATTCATAGCCAGCGGAAGGAACGCAAAGTAAGACCAGGCTTTACCCCTGCGGAAGACGTGGGCCGATTTAGGTCTAGCAGGCAGCAAGCAGCAGAGGCGCTCTCACGCCGGCCACCACCTGGCTCCGTTCCTGGCAGTCTGAATGCTGCCAGCGGAGCAGCTGGGCCAAGTGTCGGGCTATCAGCGGCAAGGAGCGCCAGGAGCGGGGCAGTCTCCAGCTCTACTGCTCCTGGCGCTGCGCCACGAGCGCAAGCGTCCAGCAAAGCGGACGAATCCACATCGTGGAGAAGTATGCGAAAGACGAGCGCGTCTCAGACACCTGATGCTTGGGACGACGACGACGATCGGACACCAGCGAAGACGACGGCTGCAGTACCCAACAAGGACAAGCGGCTCAGTGCTGCGAACAGTGCTTCGGCGCTTTCAGAAGATTCTCGAAGGGCGCGAGCAGTGGCCAAGAAGCTTCGAGCGGCCGAAGCTCTTCAGGACAAACAGCAAGCGGGTGAAGAGAAGCTGTCGACAGAGCAACGCGCAAAAGTAGACGGAATCGAAAGACTGAGGCAGGAATTGAAGGCTCTGGAAGTCAAGGACGAAGCGCGAAAAAGTGACAAACTGGAGAAGGAGTGACTTGTCTGTCTGCTCTGCTCGTCATCGCGTGGGATACGTAGGCGAAATATGCTCGCGCCGCCGACGGGTCACGAAGACAATCAGTCCGGTGCTTGAATCGACTCAACTGCCCGTCGCTATAGAAACTACCCCTGCACTTCTTGAACCAAGAGCGGTTGCTCAACTCCGGTCGCAGCTAGCACAGGCTCAAGCACACAGATTGGCCGCTCCTTGCTGGAAGTTTCTGACACTGTCAGCGCCCGAAACATTTGCCTGTGGCCAACGCGGCGTTACCCAGCCGTTGGAAAGTGGGGTCACACGTCGTCGCTGCATGGAGCTTACTGCAGCGACATGCCAATGCAATTCAATACCCTTCAATCGTGTCGGATGCCACGCTCGACAAGAATTGTCGCAGGTGTTTCTGTGGTGAAGACTATCCTCGGCGTGCAAGTCAAGAACGCTAGTTCGGGAATCTTCAGGGCGCTAAGTACGGTTCACTGCATAAGGTTCGCCGTGCCATGCGAGGTGCGCGGGTCACGCCGCTGCGAGCAACTGGATGGAGTCTCGCACTAACCTCGACCGAACACGCACTCCCTTCATCGTGTACATTCAGCAAGGCCCTTCCTCGAGCAAGCGGTGCTAGGGAACCCTGGCCACGGAGCGTTGAGTCCAATGCTAAGACGAAATCGAGCAGCTAGCGCGAGGTGCCGCCTTGGCTCAGAATGGAAAGGCCGGGTGAGCTGCCTGCGAGGCAAATTCGCTCTGAGCGATGCGAGATGCGTAGAGACTGTACAGGCAAGTCCTCGACATTTCCAAGAGCAATGCAAGAGCGCATCGCATCACGAACGAAATTGGCGACATCCATGGCAAATGGTGTTCCGTGCGTGCGATCTAAGCACTCTCGGCTGGCAGACTGTGCCATCCGCATCGATGTTTGAGCAGCCATGGCAACAGCAACACGAGGTGGATGCGCCGAGAACTGCTGGTAGCCGAGTCGATCGAGATCGAGGCGAAGTCGTTTCGGAAGCTATCTCTATGCTTTCTCCGTGATCAGATTGAGCCTTGGCGTACTACTCGATGCTGTGCAATCAAAGTTGTGGGGACCCTACATAGCAACGGCCGGTGCTGTCTGTGCTGTGAACATCGCTTGCTCAGCTAGCTGCTGCTGGCGTAGACCCGCGCAAGTCTATCGCAGCCGGTCAACAGCAGCAGCACGGGACAAGGAAGCAAGCAAGGCGTGAATGCGACACGTGAGATCTCCAGCAGAAGCGTCGCGCGACCGTTCACGCGCCGCGATGCAGCGAGATCAGACCGAGACGATGCGAGTCTAGCGCACTTTCACACCCGCGCGCCTAAGCGAGGTTTGGGAAACTGCAACAGTGAGCAAGCACGAGGGCGGGCTAAAGTTGTGGCTTGGGAGCGGTGCTGTCGCGCTAAAGCAAGAAGCGCCAAGACACGCACGCCAAGCATGGAATATCTCATCCGACTTTGACTGCTGCGCGCGCGGCGACTTCGCTGCTGCTGCTGCTGCACAATAAGCGCTTGTGCTCTGTGCACCCTCTTCGAGACCCATCAGTCGACGATGCAGGGATGATGTTGTTGTAGAGCGAGCAGGGTGCACGGTCATGACATGTGCTGCATGCTCGCTGCCAAGACCTCGATCAGCTTTCATATCGCCCAAATGCGGCACCAAATAACCGCACCCACCGGCCTTTTGTTGATGGGTGTCATGTCATCCAGGGATCATCAGCTCATCAGCCGGCCGCACCAGCCGCTGTGCCGCGGGTTGGAGGTGTTGCCTTTTTTTTTTTGCTGTTGAAAGAGCAACGATGCTATGCTTTGCGCCGCCCATGAGGAACCAGAGTCACGAGTGAGAATCAGGATTGGGCGTGTCCGACATGCAGTAGTCGGAGCCTGGCTGAGCAACATGGGTCGCGCGCAATCCGTAAGCAGCAGGTACCTGGGTGCAGGAGCTACTCAAACACTTCGCAGGTCGCATACCGAGTGTTGCATGGTCAAGCCCAGAAGATTGTCGACATGAGTGTCGTGCCAATTTAGCTCTTTGCCGAGTCAGCGCTAAGAAGTGCATTTTGCCGCGCGTTGCAGGAGGGGGCAGTGTGAGGTGAGCAAAATCTGATGAGTGTCTGCGAGGGCGTGTTGAGCGTCGAGCGTGCCCATTTGGCTTGCGACGCCATGCGCATCATTCGTCGGGCCCCGCTCGAGACGAGGTGAACGTGATAGCCATGATTTGCGAGCAGCATATAGCGACGCACCAAAAGAATCGCCTCTTATCTCCACTTTTGCAAGCCATAGCAGCGCCAAAGAACCAAAGATTCACGCATGTTATCAGGGACGATCTCATCAGCTTCGTGAATTGACTTTGCGATGTTCCGGCGAATCGAAGAGATAACATTCATTGATTCCACACCAGCAGCAGCAGATCTAGAGTCACGAGTCACGAGTAAAGTTGCGAGTCTCGAACAAAGTATGTCGAACCTCTCCTGCAATTAAGCGCAAAATCGCACCTCGATCTGAATTCACGATTGCTGCTGACGACTTAATTGCAGCTTCTATTCCTGCATGTGCATGTGGCGTCTCTTGCGTCACCGGCGTTTATCGGTACACAGTTCGCAAGGTGCAGCTAGCAGATGCTGCTGCATGGATTCACCGTTCAAAACTCGTGACTACGACTTGCGCTAGCATAGCATGCACGACCGGCAAAATGCACGTCACTGGGCCTAATCTGCTCTGCCCAGAGGCCAATCTAAGCGCTCTCCTCACAGCCCTAGCTGCAAGCAGTCGCGAGTTCCAAACACCGGCAGCAGCGCTTTTAGTTAATTTGCAGCGCTGAGGTCATTCAAGATAAGCCACCAAATGGTGACGACCATCCTGATTTCGCACCGCAAGGCACAAAAGCTCTCCCTTCATTTGCACGCGCCCCTCCATAGGCTCAAATTAAATTGCGGTAGCGTCGACTTGGCGGTAGCGATATTGAAAGGAGGTAGCTCCACTGATTCCTCCGTCTCTCGGTTGCCTCTTGGCAAAGGTTAATGATGTGCTGTCGAACGTGTACGCATGTCTGAGTGCAGTGAATGGCACTGCAGGAGCACTTTGCCTGCCACTTTGTCACCCAACTCAAGACTGAATGAAAGCGCCCAAGCCAATGCCGCCGGTCAAGCAGAATTTCGGCCAAGAGCACAGCCAGGTCGAAAGACGAGAAGGTATGTGATTGCGCTGAGTCGAACAGGACGTGCGGGCCCAAGCAGACGTGTGTACATATACAGATGGCACGATGCGATACTGCCTAGTCCAGCCCTCACACGTCAGCTGGGAGTGGTAAAGGTCTCCAACTCGACACACTCTGCCACTCACACGAGAGCAACCGTACAATTATCCAAGTTGTTCGATGAGCAGATTCAGAAGCTCGACGACGACAAAGCACACTTTAGTACCGTCGCGACAAATCGCCGCGCAGCTTGCTCACGATGGATCCTACACCCGGCCAGGCGTATGACTCTGCTTCGCCTCCAGCGACACCAAAGCCAGCTAGACTCCGCAACACCTCTGCACCACCACGTATGAAGCTGCCCCACGGTCTTGCGCCACTCAGCCAACTCAATGACGAAAGCAGATCCGCCTCCTATCGAGATGAGCGGAGGCCATCACAGCCGGACGCGAGCTCCGCAAGTAGCGAAAGCGGCGGTCTTCTCACTTCTCCAGATGACCGAAGCCGAAAGCCGTCCAACCAATCATCTTCTGTCTCCTTCGCTCCTTTGCCCATCACACGTCAACCATCTCCAGATGACAAGGAGAGTTTGACAGCGACCGCAACAGCAAGCCCCACTTCCAAGGACTTGGAAAAAGGAGCAGGCCTGGATGAAGACGAGCTCAAGAAAGCAGACGGGACGCTGCTGGCTTTCAAGAATTCGACTTCCGGGGCGAGGAGGGGATCGGCGGCGACGATGCTCAGCGTTGGATCGGTCGGCGAGCGCATGGCGGCGTGCAACCAATCCAACAACTACAACGATACTTTGGGAGCCTACGGTGCTGGTTCCTCATCACCCAACTCCGATCCTATCACACCATCTCGAACGCCGTTGGTGACCGAGCTGGCAGAAGGTACGGATCCTTTGAAGTGGACCCTGAAATTCAAATGCTGGGCCACCGCCGTATACTGCTTGATGATCTTGTCGACGACGTACGGTTCTTCGTCATACGCGGCATCCGCCATCACCGTCGAGCGGGAGTGGGGCTTGTCAAGACCGCTCGCCACCTCCGGCACATCCCTGTGGGTGCTCGGCTTCGCAGTCGGTCCCTTGCTTTTCGGTCCCACAAGCGAAGTCGTCGGTCGTCGTCCAGTCTATCTCGTCTCTTTCGCTCTCCTCACCATCGCCAACATCGTTGCGTGCGTCGCACCTGACATCGAAGTCCTGCTCGCTATGCGCTTCATCGGCGGCTGCATGGGCTCGTCGGCTCTCAACAATGTCGCAGCATCCATTTCCGATATGGTACGAGTGCGTGACCGTTTGAGATATTTGACCATGTACCGTGAGTGTGGGAGACGCGACGTCAGCATCTTGCCATGCAGTCACTGATCTTCGCCCCCCACCGTGTCACCTGTCAGGCATTGTCTCTTTCGGCGGTCCAACTCTTGGTCCACTCGTCGGTACCTTCCTCAACCAAGCGTCTTGGCGATGGAACCTTGCCGTGCTGCCCTTCTTTTCCTTTGCGACTTTGGTGCTCTACGCTACCACCGTGCCCGAATCGCATCGAGTCACCATCGCCCGCAAGCAGCTCGAGCAACGACAGAAGGAGCACGAAAAGGAGGTAGAGAAACTTTGCGAGGAGGGCAAAATGACTCGATCTACCGGGGACAGGAGCAATAGAGAGCTAGGCGGCCCTTCGCTGATGCAGCGCTACAAGACGGCTCTGTCCATGCCTTTCGTGTTGCTCTTCACCGAGCCCATCGTTGGCATCGTGTGCATCTACACCGCGTGAGTAGTTCGACAAACACGATGATTTGTCCGTTGGACTGACTTGAAGTTCCCGTTCTTCATAGGCTGCTGTATGGTTTACTCTACGGCATTATCGCAGCTTTCCCTCTCGTCTGGCAAGATATTAGGGGTAGAAGTCCAGAGTATGCATCTACCGTTTTCCTCACACGTGAGTCTTCACCTTGCCACGGTCTCCATACCTATTCTGACCAACGTTGGGCCATCCAAACTCTTCAGTGCTCGGCGGTTTCTGCCTTGGGGCCGGCCTGATCGGATGCTGGCTACAAGACAAGTCTTATAAACGCCAATACGATGCGGGAGAGGTGACGCCAGAGTCGCGAATCGGTCCTGCAACTTGGGCCAGTTTCTTCGTGCCAGTCGGTCTCTTCGTCTTTGGCTGGACGGCACCCTACGACAGGCTGGTCGGCAGTCTCGACATCCACTGGGCGGTCCCTTGCATCGCGTTGGTCATCTTCGCTTTCGGCATGCAAGTCGTCTTCAACTCGTGGTTGTCCTACTTGGGCGACGCGTACGCTCCAGTCGCCGCTTCGGCCATGGCGGCAGCCACCTTCTCCAGATCGCTGCTCGGCGCTGCTTTTCCGCTCTTCTTGAGACAATGGATGCTGGTATGGAGCGTGCAGATCGTCTTCTCCATTCTGGGCGGACTCAGCATTCTTCTCTCTTTCGGAGGTTTGCTCTTTGTCCGCTACGGACCTCGCATCCGCGCCCGTTCCACGCGCACGGCCACGGAGGATTGATTGGCTTTGACCATTCTCTGTAAATAGTCTTGATTAAAAAGGAAAAGCCTCTCGCACACCTGTATCATACAACCTGATTCGCTCCACGAACCCCGTCACTTGCCTCATCAATACGCGCAATGTACATTTCGAAGGCCAGTCCCAGTGGTTCAGCGCACACTTGATTCGCATTGGGTGTTGTGGTCGTGCTGCCCTTCGAGGCTGTGATGATGTATGCATTCAGCCAAGGACCCTCCTGAGGTCAGCCGTGCCACCAGAAATTTCGACAAGAGTGACTGGACATCTTGAGTGCTCGTCGACATAGCCATGAGCGCAAGTATAGCAGAGGGCGTAGCCGGTAGGCAGCACGCAAGGATTGTTGATGGGCGTGCTTCCACAAAGAGGACAGGCGTTGTGCAGCAGGACATCCTTGGTCTCTTTGAGGACCCGTCGACCGTCTTTATCGACCTTGCGTGTGGGTGCCGCTCGAGTGGTGGAGATAAGGGGCTGCTTGTACGCTGGGTCGCGTTTGTACAGACAGCCTTGAGGGTGTGGCAAGAGAGGCTTCGGGCCAGGGAACAACGGTAAATCTCCATCTGCTCCCGCTGGCCCCCCGTTCGCGGCTGCTCCTCCTCCTCCTCCTCGCGAGCCGCCTCGTCTTCGACGTGGATTGTCCGCCGAGTACCACCACTCGAGGAATTTGAAGAAGAAGATGGAAGCGGGGAGAGCATACTTGAGCGCTTCAAAAAAGATGAAAGGTGACGCGCGCAACAAGGCTAAAGCGAATGAGATGGGTGATCGTAGCGGGTTTGGCATATCCGGCGGTAGCAGGGGTGGGGAGGCAGGCTGCGCCAGGTGGATGGAAGGTGAAGATGATAAGCAACGTCAGCAAGCTCAACGGACGGCGCAGGCTCAAAGAGTACATCGAGCTCACATAGTCCTCTGCGCTGACTCTTCGGACGTCAACGCGCATCGCTTGCAACCAGGGCCTCCAGTATGGTGTCCTGTCGAACAGATAGGCCACGTTATATGACAAGAGCCAAAGTTGATACCCTGCTCCGACGTAAGGATAGCCACTTCTGAAGCACTTGCGAAACAATTCTCTCAATTGTTCTGTACGGCTCGTTTGTGCCTGAGCGTTTTGGGCCAAGTGAGAGTATCAGGAAAAGAACCCTGGCATGGACTGCCGCTCGCTGCATCGAGAGGCGCACGCATTCGACTCACTGTTCCAGCAAACCGTCTGGCGGCGCCTCCGCTGTCTCCTTGCTCATCCTCATCATCGAACAGCCCGCCTTGGGGAGCGCCACCTCCGATGCTTTCCCAATAGTCATGCAGCTTTGATTTGATCCACGGCGCACCCACTAGCAAGAACAGACTCAGATTGATCTCCCTTGACCGGAGCTTTTCGTAGCGTGCCAGAGAAGTGCGCGTACTACCTGTGCTGAAAGCTTTGCTGCGAGAAGATGACAAGCCTGGTCTCCTCCTTCTGCGCAAACCATAGAAGTTTTCGGCGAACGAAGAGCCTGACAGAGGAGAGGGGGGCCAGCAGCGGTGAGCGATTTCCCGACACTGCACGGAACAGCCATCCATGGCCGATTACTTTCTCAACTCACCCCACGTGGTCAAGTAATGTCGTTCCACAGCGAACATGGCGAGCGCATACACCTCATCGAAGCGGTTGGCGACCCTTATCAAGTACCTAGGATTTCTCTGCGCAAGGACTGCCAGGACATACCTCAGAGCTGGCTTGAGTAGATCCCGGAGCTGATCTTGAGCTATCAGTTCGAAGAAGGAGGGCCTGAAGGGATCGCCTTGCTGACCCGAGGTCGGGTCTACTGACTGCAATAAATCCATCTTGAGACGCTGCCGTGTGGCTCGCTCGACTTCGGCGGCGCAGAATGTTTCGACTACGGCTGGCCCTTTAGACGGCGAGGTACTTTGTCGCGACGACCTTGCAACACAGGGAAAGCCAGAGAAGCGTCGTGTGACAGTTAGTAGTTACGAGTGTGTCGCATAAGATGTATGCTACGCCACATCGGTGCGGTAGGTATAACGGTGTGGACCGGCTTCAGGTTCGTCCTGATCGGCCGGGGCTGCGCCTACACCGCACGTACGCGCATTCATCAGGTTCGAGCTTATATGCGGGGTTGTGCTGCAATTTGCTCTCACGCGCCAGACTCCCCGGTCACGTGTCAAAGAGCTGCCAGCGCTTCGAAGGTCGTGATTTCAAATTTGCTGCGAAACCGCGCGACCATTCGTGGATTTCGTTTCGAGGCTCGACGGTCAGATCATCCACGATTGCCAGAGGTTGCTAGGCGACCTGAAAACAAGCCTTTCGATACTCCCTCCTACTGTGAGACTTTAGAGCCCTTAGGACTGGCGTGACTGTAACGAGCGATCCCTACGTGGCGGGATGGAGGATTCACTTCCAGCATAGCGCACGGTCGGAAGTGAGCAAGCACGGGATGGAGGCCCTCGGAAGATCTTTTAGGGGCCACGAACGGTAGACAACGCAGCCATCATCACTACGACCTCAGTCAAGGGAATCATTCGCATAATCAATGCGATGCAAAGATGCATACACCTTGTGCCAAGCCGCTCGCAAGCCTTGTGAGATGCGCGAAGCGATCACCAGCACGCACATTCAGCACCTCGTCCAAGCGAAACCTCACGCAGGACGGCCAGTATTTGGTGCTTGGCATCGAGACGTGAGTCAACATGCCTACGCGCTCGACTTTTTGCGTCTGCGCCATCACGAAGCTCATGAGAGACAAGGCGCTCCGCTCCGTCTGCCGCTTACCCCACCTCGTGCCAAACAGATCATGTGACGACTCGTGCGCCTCCTTGGTGAGCGCTCCACCATCCTACGTTACGGCAGCCCGACTGTCTGCGCCTCAAATATTCACGCCTCAAATCGATGGCAAGCCCAACCAAGAACGGCCCAGAGCGCGCATCATTTCTTCTATAGTGCTCAAGCAGTCGGAGCACAACAAGACGGGAGGAGTCAGTCCTCTGCCTGCTGCGCATCTACATTCCAAAAACTTACCTCGAGCAATCAGCATGTGTCTTGAAGAAGGTGTATCAAAGAGAGTGCTCTCTCAGGTCGACAGTGGGAAGCCCCGCCATTCGACACACACTGATAGCAGCTCGCGCGTACACGCAGCAGAGGAAGCGCGCCAAAGCCGTCCTGTAGTTGGGCCGCCTGCTGAAGTGGATGCGATTGCTGTCACTCAAGGGCCCGGCATGCCAGGCTGTCTGACAGTAGGCTTGGGCGCCGCAAAAGTGCTGAGCTCCCTCTGGGGCATACCGATCATCTATACTCATCACATGGTGGCGCACGCCCTGAGCCCTCTGCTGGCCTCAGATGACCTTACTCAGCCTCAACGCACAGCCATCGAAGGCCAGGGTGCTCGAGACTCCAACCCGAGCGCAAAGCTCGACCGCAGGCCTGTCACTTTTCCTTACCTCGTCTTATTGCTTTCAGGAGGTCACACTCAGGTGGTTCTTTGTAGTGGTCCCAAGCAATTTCGGATTCTGGCGACCACGGCGGATGAAGCGATCGGTCGCTGTACAGACAAGATCAGCCGACAACTTGTCGATTTGCACGTCAGTGACGAGGACAAGGTCACAGGCGATCTGGCCCCAGGCAAGAGGCTCGAGATGCTTGCGGAATTGGCCAACGATCCAGCCATGGCAAAAGAAATACCGCAATATGATGTGGCCGTCTCGTGTCGAGGCGAGCCCATGTTCAGCTAGTGAGTCAAGCCCATGTTGCTAAATTTTGAAACCGATTGCTCATTCAGCGTCCCGCTTGCTTGTGCTCCTCAGCTCAGGACTGCATGCTCGGCTAGATCAGCTTATTGCAGCCGAGCACGTCAAAGTTGCCGAGGACTCCTCACTGTCAGATGACACTGGCACTCCGCTTGCTTCGCGCATTCCTCTGCCCACGCGGATTGGTCTGGCTAGGGCGTTCCAAAAAGCCGCGTTTGCTCAATTGACAGATAAGGTTCGGATGACGCTGGCTCCACGTGTCGCCGCCAACGCTTCCTCGGCCGTCCAAGCGCAACACTTGCGCCACAATGCCGAGTCTGAAGCTCGATCGGAGACATCGCACCCATCTGTGGTCGCACCCTCACCGGGGCCGCGCAAATCGGGCAAGTCGTATCACACGCGTCTTCCGCGCTCAAAGCTGATCGACACTCGCATAGAGCTTCCCTTTGGGCTTCAGCCCGATCAAATCAAACATCTCATAGTCGCTGGTGGTGTGGCTTCCAATGCGGAGCTTAGACGGGCTCTTCACTCTTCGCTCGCCGACATAGGCAGGCAAGACGTCAGCTTACATTTTCCTCCGTGAGTGTGCCTTAGTTTGGACGTGTTCATGATTCGGCGTGCTCACATGAGCGCTATATGGCCCAATCCACCGGCTTCACGCCTCGCACTTTCTCGCTTCAGCGTATCCCTCTGCACTGATAATGCAGCCATGATCGCCCATGCCGCCTTGCTTGACTGGGACAACAGGACATGGGATCTTTCGCCTTCGCCAAGGGGCAGATGGAGCATCGAGGATCTTGTATTTGGACCAGATGCTGCAGAATGAAACGAAGAGTGAACCGCGCATGTCTGATGGATCTCTAAACAAGATCAATCACGCAATGATGGAGCCAAAAATCAGGGTCATGCGCTCGCACATCGCATGGGTGGCTATGTCAGCCGGTGTCAGTTCGAAAGTACAAAAGCATTCACCGTCGACCGAGCGTTCGAGTCTGAAAGTGGTTCGCGCGTCCGCTTGCCACCGTCAGGCGTCGAACCCCCGGCGTTCGGTTCGTACTTTACCGCCCGCCTGGAGCCACGCAGTATCCGAGGCGTCCCCCTGATACTGCTAGGCTACACACGCGCGGCGAAACTGAGACTTTGACACTCGTATATATAGCAACACTTGCAGACGTGCAGATCCATCAGGTGGAGGAGACTCGGCCACCCCCTGGGCTACAGGCGCCAGCATCACAATTGTTTGCGTTCTGAAAGTGTTGTCAAAATTTCTGCAGGTGAACACCAATCACGCGCCAGGATTGTCGTGATGCATGCCAACCAGCATTACTTCTTGACATCCTTTTCAGTAGCGTAAGATCCACGCGCCGGAGCTGAGTAGGCAGGTGGAGCGTGGAGATTCTCTTTGCTGGGTAAGGGAGGCGCGCTCGAGCTCGAACTTCCGCCGGCTGGATTGTGAGTGCTGGCGCCACTGGTGCTGCCGGGGGCACCCGCAGGCTCAACAGCCATTACGATCTCTCTACCATCATCCATCCGCGCTTTGAAGGTTCCTCCAGCCACTCGAAGCAGACATTTGCGACGCACGCCACTGTTCGCATCAAAGCATACGAAAGCATGTCGAATTAGCATTCAGGCGCACTCTATGTGTTAACGAGATCACTCACGAAATATCTTTGTAGACCGCAAAACAACCCTTGCCAATGCTGCCTGCTTGACCGCCAATAATTTTGGCTTCCGACCCATACCTGTGCTCAATCACCTTTCCCGTAGCCTCTCCGGTATCCGTAATTAATCTCTCGGCTCCTTGCTCGAGCCCATCGATCACCATATTTGCCGCTATCAGGCTTCTGTTGATGGCTCCCCTCCAGCCGGTAGGAGGTGGACCACCTGGCTTGGACTGGATACCTGTGCGTTTGCCAATGCTGGACCCCAGAGCTCCTGCCTTGTTCAAGATCGCATTAGCTGTGTCAACGGGATAATGGGCGTTAGTATCTCTGACGACCACACTGACACAACGCTGCAATGCAGTGTCTGGCTCCCTTGACTCACTAGTAGCGGCCGATACGTTGACCACTTTGCCCGTCCAATTGTGTGCGCCTTTCGCGGCCGCATGCGTGTGAGAGTTGAAAGTCAAAGGGACCTTTCCCGAAGTGGTGTAGTTGCCGCTCGTCGAAGCGGTGGTTCCCGACCGCTCAAGGCCAGAAACCGGCTGGCCAGGAAGGGATTCGAAATGCGTGCCATCCGCTGAAAGCTGGGCACCTGTATGCGGTGGTGGGAGATCTGCAGAAGGCTTTGCCGTGCGTTCCACTGACCATCAAGATACGACGCAAATGATCCATTGAGAGTCAGGTCCCCTGCATGTCGACGAGATGGCGATTTGCCGTCTCCTTTCACTCACCGTAAGAAGAGGCCGCGCCTTGCAATTTACCACCAAGAAAGGTAGATCCGTTCACGATACCTCTCGAGATGTAGTTGGCCCCCTTCAGCAGCCAATCGTCCTGAAACTCTCTTGGAGCAGGTCGGACGTCCACGTCCTTCTTGTTACCCGTGCCATTTGCGGCCGATGAGAGGTCTTCGAGATCGACAAGGACTGGCTGCTTCTCAGCTCCCACAGCCGAAAGGCTGGAGTCCTCTTTGAAGTTGTATGAGCCCTCGAGAGTGCCCATCACTTGCCCATGCTCGTCTAGCAACTCGATCTGGCCCGCATCGGACCTGTCATCCGACGCAAATGCGCAGTATTGGGCCAGCACATCCTCGAAAGCGTCTCTGAGCCCATGAGAGGCGGCATCGTGCGAAGAGAGGTAGATGCGGATGGAGGCTCCAGTATCCGGTTGGGGAAAGTTGTAAGATGCCGAGCTGCGGTCGGGAAACACTCGCTGCGTTGATGGGATGGGCAGCGAGAAGTCATTGCCGATGGAGAGCACAAGCCAAATATCGGTGCTGTGGTATAAGATTTCGTATTCGCAGTGTGAGCGGCTAGATGATCGCAACCCCTCTTTCCGCACATGTCAGTCACTGACTCTTGCAAAGACTTCTCGCTACCAGGAGGAGCACCGTACGGGCTGTCGATGTTGAGAGTAAGGACAAGAAGCTGCAGCGTGCCTGTGAAGAGTAGATGGACGAATGGGCCCACGCACCACATTTGAGGTGATGAGCACCCATTTGGCTGGCCTGACTCCGCACAACATTTGGCTCACCAGTGGCAAGCGGAATCACTTCCTTCTCGAATCTTTGCTCTGCTCTGACGCTGGGCAATTCCAACAAGCAGACGCCCCGCGTACCTTGACCGTTGCTTTTTGAGGTACCTCCTGCTAGGCCGGATTGCGATGCAGCTGCTTTTGACATGGTTTCAGCGATCTTTGAGGGTGGAAGTAGACAAGCCGAAGAACGCTGCTGTTCGAAGTGACGATCGTAGAGATGAGGAAATGCAGCAAGACTCGCTATGCCTACTCTTTCCGGTCGCGATTGAGAGGGACCCGTGCCAGGCAGTCGTCAGTGAGCGAGTCGCAATTATCTGAATGGTGAATGGTCCCTTCTGATGATTTGCCGCCGCCACCTCTGGCTCACATCATACACACGTCACCCGGGCGACTGACTGGTGTGTGCCGTCTGCATGGCTACGCGCGGGACCTACAATCACGAATCTATATATTTTCGAAGAATAACTGATCTGCCGCGGTCTGCCTTAGTCCACGCAGCAGACTGTAGCTGCCCTGCACCAATTGTCCGATGACACCCCGATCGTGAACCTATAAACGGCAATTTGTCGCCCCTGCTCGACAACACCGGTCAATGCATGAGGCGGTGCATTCCGCTCATTGCAGCATGATGCCAAGAAATTTCACGGTTGTGAGTCGCTTTCACCTGATGCAGCCTGCTGTGCACAAACGCCCTGATGACGGCTGAGCGATCGATGCTGCGAGGCGACTCACACTGCGTGCAGCGCCTTAGATGACGACACATTATATCGATCGACTATCACGTGACTCATATACAATCATGGACTTTGACTCACGTGACTCTTGACTCTTGACTCGTCAAAACTTGTTCGATTTTGATTTTGGATGATTCATGATTCTTCTGATTCAAAATTCACGATTCAAATTCTTCGAATTAGACACGCAAGAGGACGGGTCCACACGTGCAACGTCTGACTTGGAATCTAGCGACGCCATTCAAGATTGATTCCTCTAGCCGCCATCTGTGCATCTGCCACTCGACTCTCGTCTTCTCTAGAATGCCACGGGATCAACGACGTCACGACACTCAAGCGACAAGGCGCCCGATGCGACCCATGTCTGAATAAGCCGAGACTCTCTGAGGCAACGCGATGCTGCTAAGCGGCAGAACCACCCTTGGGCGCTCCTTATCTCTGGGTCCGCCTCCTACAAAAGTTGCACAGCGCTGGCTACAACTTTGATCTTTGCGCATCATCTTCCGTTTGCGTTGGGCTCCATCCGCACTGATCATCATGCCATTCGCAGTACCCGTCGTTGACATTGGGGCGTACGTGCAGCAAGACGGCACGCCGGAACAACGAGCCATCGTTGCAGCTGCAATCGACGAAGCGTGCCGAACTGTTGGCTTCATCCAAGTCATCGGCCACGGTGTGCCCACTGCGCTGACCAATGGTCTGGCCGAGGCCATCGACGAGTTCTTTGGCCTGAATTTGCAAGTAAAAAAAGCATATCGCACACCTCCCGAAGTCAATCGTGGCTACACGGCTCCAAAGTCCGAATCGCTCTCGCTCTCGCTAGGCTACGAGTCTTCGAGTCGTATGAAGGACTTTTTCGAAGCTTTCAATGTCGGCCTTGCCAAGAGCGACTTCCCAAATCTCTCCGTCGATTCGAAACATTACCCGGAGAATGTATGGCCGTCCACTGAGCATGCGCCAATGTTCAAGCACCGCGTCCAGTCCTACTTCGTCGAGGCAGGTCGCGTTGCTCGTACAATGACACGCATCTTTGCCGACGCCCTCAGCCTTCCACCAGACTTTTTTGAAGCGCACACAGACCATTCCATCGACGTGCTACGCATGAACAATTATGCCTTGCCCGAAGGCACTGAGGTGCGCCTCGACGGCAAAGATGACCTGATGGGCATGGGAGCACACACCGATTTCGGCATAGTCACCGTCTTGTGGGCGGACCAAGTGCGCGGTCTGCAAGTCCTAGATGCCCAAGGCAGCTGGCACGACGTGTCGCCCACGAGAGGTGCCCTGCTTATCAATTTGGGCGATCTTACTGCACGATGGACAAACGAGCGATGGACCAGCACTTTGCATCGTGTCAAACCACCCATTTTGGAAAATGGCACTGTCGAGCGTAGACGAAGCGCGGCCTACTTTCACGATGGAAACGCCGAAGCGCTCATTACCACCATTCCCAGCACCATTGCTGAAGGCCAAGCGCCGCTGTATGATCCAATCACAGTTGGGGATCATATCGCCGCAAAGCTGGGCGGCTCTCGAGCTGGTCGAAGGAACGAGGCAGGTCGCGAGACTCAGCGCGTGCTCGCAGCCACTGGGTGAAGCCGAACGCGATCGATTCAGTATTGCTGCGACCAGTGCGTTGGGAGAACAAATTCATAGTCTGCCATGAGCTAGATATGAGCACTAAACCGTGCGCTGTTTCTAGCTGCGATTGCGCGAGATGCAACAGCGGGTAGTAGGCTTCCCGACGGCCGCGAGCAAGATCTGTATCCTCTCCTGATCCGACCCACAACAAATGTCGCTTTGCTTTGCTCGCATCATTTTCATACTTCAGAAATGACGAGGATGTTGTTGCGGACGGACTACCAGAGTGAGGTGATGGCAGGCTTTGGCCATCTTGTACGCTCGAGGATATGACCAGCGCACTCATCAAAGGCTGATAAGACTTCGTCCAAGGTGGTCGACACGTGCCTGATCAAGACTGACGATTGTATGACGGACAAACTATAGGGTATAGGGAAAGCTCTGTTCACCCTCCGCTTATTGCGTTCCTGCCAAGACGAGAAAATCGGCACGAAGTTGTCATCGCGAGGCCATGAGTTGTGAGTGGAGGTGCTTTGCGATTCGTGATGTCCACGATTTCGGCGGCCACAACCTTCATCAGTCGTCAGTCACAAGTGATTCGCAGCGTGTCGACCGGTCAATCGGAAGCGACCAGGCGTCTGCGCGGCCACACCGCTCTGCGAGCATCAACAAGGCAGAGCACGCTGACGTCACGGCGTCGCCAAACGGCTGCCTGCTGCTCGATCGTGACGCGACCACAGCAGAGATGCGGGGTTGCAGCCCCAGGCAGTGAGTGGTTCACTCGCAGTTATCTGCACCGGACCCCCTTCTGCTGCAGCACCTCGCAGGCTTTCGCGCTAAAATCCCTTTGCGTTGCGCAACAGAAGCCTCTCCAGCAGACTCGGCACAGACTCACGACTGTCGTCAAGCTCATCCGGCTTCACCTCACGCTAGCGAAATTGACCGAGCATCGAAGCCGCCTGCGTCACTCATGGCTTTTCCTTTTCAGACCTGCGGGCCGTTGAGCTAGCGAGAGCAACATCCAGATTGCTGTTGCTACTTCGACGGAGACGGAGTCACAGCAGCTGCATGCATGGGTGCGTCGTGATTTGCGTGTACCGTAAAGCCGCATAAATTCATCACGCACCGATCCCAGAGTCGGCGAGTAGGCGGCAAGGCGAGCGATCGCTAGACAATTCTGAAAGCCACACGTTGAGAGCTGTGGCAGCTGCGCTCGTTGATGCTTTGGCTTGGCCCTTGGCCCTTTGGCCTGCCCGGCGCAGTTTAAGCGGAAGCGTGACGCCTGGCAACACCGCTTGGATGCTTCGCTAATCGAATCGTGAATGGCCTTGCTCGCACTCAGTCAGAACAGTTAGGCTTGTGCCGATACTCGCTTGAGAGATGCGGATGGTGAGCCCACGGATGCATGCGTTCGGACATTGAGCCGAGCGTCGATGCGCATCAATCGAGTGTGAAGAGCGAAGGGCAGCGCGGTGAAGTCATCGCGGAAAATGGATTAATTGCTGCGAGGGATCAGTGGAGTGAATCAAATTACGAATGTGAATGAGACCCCGCTTGCTGAGCAGCGTCGCGTGCGGATGCGGCCGGCAAGAGGCGCAGCTAGAGGCGATGCACAAGCGGGCGACACAGCATCGGCGAGACAGCAGGAGAAGCGTCGAGACAGCAGACGGGCTGTGCTGCTGTTGCTGCGTCTCTAGCCTAGCTCTGCTGTATAGCCTTGCCTTCTTGCTGCCCAGCTGCCTGCAGTGCATGTCGCTTGAGCCCTTCGTTCAATTGCCAACCCTGAGCTATACATCAGCAGCGGGCCTACACTTTGACTCTGACTCATGAATCACAATGACGATGTCGGAGTCCTCCGCTGCACTCGGACTGCACCAGGCGAAAAAGAGATCCACGCTCTCGCCTCTTCCTGTATAAAGCCAAGGTAGCACCTTCACGCGCACCCTCCCTCACTCTCTCCCTTAGCCTTGCACCTCTTCGCGCCGCACTCCCGCCTCCACGCGAATACTACAACTCTTCTCCGTTCCTCTCTCTACTGGGAGCAACCTCTGCCCAACCTTTTGCTTTCTACGTTTGAGCTCGCGCCAAAATGGCTGGTCGTGGTTTCTGCGTCGGTATCGGTGAGTACTCGCGCCGTGTAAGCCAAGTGCCTCGGTACATTCATGTCGCAGGGGAGCAGGAGCGGGGCGCTGTCGCACCCACACGCTTGGTCTGCGCATGTCGCGTGCGCAGCTCGCATCAGCATCACGACAGGACAAAAAGCGGGGCGTTGCCATGTTTGGCCAGCATCCACCACTTTGCGCATGCTAGATGGATTCTTTTCAGCCATGCGCAGTACTGTGTCCAGCATACTCTACTGAAAGGTAGCCATGGCATCCCCTGTCTCGCTCGTGCATTCCCTCTCTCCGCCTGCTAGGCACGCGCATCATACTTCGCTCGTGGCCGATGTGTGCTCAATCATGCTCTCTGACGCTTTGATAATCACTTCATGGGGTGCAGGCGAAATCTTGGCATTTGCTGCTCTGGTGTTGACCATCCTGTGAGTCACATGAGAACGTTCCACTTGCGCGAAAGCCACATATCACTTACATGCTGCCCCTTCTGGTCGCGCTGCGCAGTGTCAACATTGGACAAATCTCTCAGAACATTGTATCTCGCAACATCTACTACGCCGAGCTTGACCTGACAAACTTCGAAGCTACTCTCCGAGCCCAGGCGGGATCCGCTGGAGGCGTCTCTGGCGTGTACGCGAGCGACCAGTCGTCTCCTCTTGGCCAGAGCCAGGGTCTGCGCAACACCTACCAGTGGGGTCTTTACAACTACTGCGGAGGCCAGAACGAGGACCAGAACCGAGCCTGTGTGGACAGCCGTTTCGGAGCGGGCCGCTTCCAGCCAGCAGAGACTATGTCAGTATGGATGAACTTTTGCTTGGGGCATACCACGAGGCAAGCTTTGACATGACGTTCCGCGCTCCTGCATCACAGTTACGCCGACTTGCCCACCGAGTACCAAACCCTTTTCAACCAGACCGTCAGCCAAGGCACATTTGCGGACAGCAGCTACCTTGGTCGTTTCTCCCATGCGGCCTTCTACCTCGTTTTTGTCGGCACCGTGCTAGCAGGTGTGACCTTCTTGGTCGTCTTCCTGGCGCACCGCTTCGCGTTCCTTTGCGCGGCGCTCACAGCTCTGGCTGGAGCGGCGTGCATCGGTGCAGGTGCTGCCATCTACACCGCCATCCTTGTCAAGACGCGCGACTCGATCGAGAGCCTTGGCGGAGCAGAGCTCACCCTCAACAACGCTCTTTGGATGCTGTGGGCAGCGTTTGGCTCTCTTGCACTTGCCATCGTGCCCTTGATCCTCTCTTGCTGCTTCGGACGCAACAAGTACTAGACTGCTAAGTTTCATAGCGACGATCAGCAAGTTGCCGACCAGAGCTTGCTCGAACACCGATCGCAGAGCCTCAGCCACGTCCCGATACCCCTGCAGGTGGTGACACAGAGAGTACTCTGGTCGCTCCTGCACAGCCCAGCACTCGCATTGCAGAGCTTGGTTCCCTTCCGACGCCCACTTCGCACAGACATCACATCGACACGAACCGAAAAATCACCACCACACTTCTGCACGTTGAGCTGTTCACTTTATGATGAGGACTTGCTGAGAATGTCAGAAACACGTACCGCATTCCGCGCAAGTATCTGCGATCTGAAGAAGATTGCCCCTTCGAGAACGCTTGATCTACGAACTACTTGACCCCCTTTATTTTTCGCCTTGTGTGCATACATTTCGATTTCCCGTCTCACTCCGCTGGCCTTCGCGGGCATGTACCCATACGAATTAATTGCAATACCGATCAAATCAGCTCTTGCTCTTTGACGTGTGTGGGTGGCAATAGAATTCACAGGTGGGATTCTCCCATCGTTGTGCCACCTATCGATGACCGCTCACAGCGCGAGGCAGGACGATGGTCGACCATGACCCGACCTTCCCCAGCTAGAGTCCCGCTGTAAGAAATTGTGTGGTGCATGGACGAAGTTCGAAGCTGAAGGTCTGCTGCTTTGAGTTCCGTCTAAGTGATCTCGCATCAATGGTGAGTCTGAGACCACTGTCGAGTAGGGCGCTCACAAAGTCGTGAGTCGTACGTAAACCACCAGCAGCGCGACTCAGACAGACACCATCCACTGCGCGCACCTCTCGAAGCATTCGCGATTCGCATGATCGCGCTAGCCAGAACTCGTGACTATCGATGGCAGCTCCGCACTCGCAGACTTCTCAGCCTTCGCTTGCCTTGGTGGAGGCTTTACAGCATTCGACAATACGCTCATGTCGTTTATGTCACTCACACTCTGCGGGCAGCAGTTGGTGGAGCGGCAAGCCGCGGACAAGGTAGCTGACATCCACGACTCTGACTGCACGGCCAACAGGGCTGATGAGTAATGCGAGGCGCGTACGACGCGCTCACGTATCTGCAGCAGCAGGAACACGGAGATAACAGCGTTCGACCGCCTCTTCTCAAAAACAGCTTGGAAACGAGGACCCTGTGATATGTACGTGCAGTAGTAGGGGAGAGTAGCGGTGGATGCTTACTGGTGAGGGAGTGCCTGTACATGCAGCTGCTGGCTTCCAATCGGCCTCGCCTACCTTCCTAGGTGGCCCCCATCCTTCATGAGAGGGTTGTGCGAATCCTTCTTCGCCCCACCCACCAAGCACTGCTCCGTAGTCTTGAGTAGCCACTCTCCAGCGACTTCGAGGGCCCTCTCTCAGCCCAGCGCCATGCCGCAGTCAGATCCGATTCAGCCCCAACGAGGGGAGAGGCAGCCTTTGCTGTCAGACACCAATGACGGGACGGGAGCGCCAGATCCTGCGTATGGACCATCTGAGCCTCAACCGAGAGCACCGGTCATGGATGATCATCTGGCTTGGTTGGCCGGCATTCCGTGGTACAGACGACCAGCTGCAGCTTGGTTGCTGCCCGTCGTGCTCATCCTCGCCACTGCTGGTGGACTGTGCATGGCACCAAAGCAAGAGATTTTGACACAATTGGTGTGCCACGAGCTCGGTCTGGATGGCAGAGGTGACATGAGTCCCTCGCCTAATGTCCTGCAGCATCTCTCGCTCGTGGAGCTTGTCAGTACGGCACCACTCAACAGCTCAGCTCACTGCAGAACAATCCCAGCAGTGCAGTCGGGTCTCTCTGCTTTGCAGCTAAGGATGGATCTTGCGATGGGCATCGCAGCAGTCATCACCACTGGCTTCTGGGGCTCGCTATCAGACCGATTTGGCAGAACTCTTGTCTTGCGCCTTGGCGTCCTTGGTTTTCTCGCCAGCGACCTCTGCTTCATCTCGGTGGCACGATTACCGTTGGAGCAAGTACCGCTGGGCAGCAACTTTTTGGTCGTCGGTGCATTGGTGTTTGGAATCTTTGGCGGCTTTGCGACGCTAGCTGCTGCTTGCCAGGCCTACATTGCCGACACCACGCCGTCCGGCTCCAAGAGTCGCGCTCTGAGCGTGTTTGGTGGGCTGATGTTCCTCGGCTTCGGCCTCGGCCCACTGCTGGGTGGCAACATCAGCACGCACTCCAACAACCTCGTCCTGCCTTTCTACGTCGCTCTCGGCGCCCACGTCCTGTACGCTCTTCTCGCCTTTGCTGTGCTGCCAGAAAGTGTGAGCAAGGCGCGGATGGAGCTTGCACAGAAGGAGTTCCGCAGACTTGTCGAACAAGCTGATGCAGACGAAGGCCGTGCAGGCGCCCATGATCGATACGTCGCGCATCAGACGACACGAGCGTGCGGTCCGCTGGGAGGTGCGCGCCGCCGCCTGAACCGCGTCGTCGCAACGGCAATTCCGATCTTCTTGATGCCATTCCAGCCACTAGCACTTCTGGCGCCCAAGATGCGCCTCGTCTTGGACGAGCCTCCGCGCACGGAATGGACCCCACGCGAGTCTCGTCTTCATCCGGAAGCCTCCGCGTCGCACATTTCGGTCTCGAGGATACGCCAAAGCAAAAGAGATTGGAACCTCACCTTGCTCTCGGCGGGCTACTTCTTGGAGGCGAGCGTCATCGGCATTCTGAGCCCAAAGATTTCGTATGCGCAGTATCGATTTGATTGGGCACCTGCCCAGCTCGGCGCATACATCAGCTTTGGAGCCATTTGCCGCGTCGTTGCTCTCATCGCCATCATTCCTTTGCTAATCAAATTGGTGCATCGCCCCAAGCGCTCCATCGCTCTGCCCCACGATCACGTCAATGCGGTCCAAGTGCTAGACGCTGAAGGCCGCATTCTGGATGTGCAAGATGAGAGGGACAGTGACCGCGCCGTTGGTGATGATGCAGCAGCCGAAGATCGCCACGCCGACCTGCCGGCCAACTTTGCAGAGGCTACGGGGATGGGCACCGCAGAACCTCAGCTCGGTGCTCACGGCGCGGGCGCAACTGGATCTGGCGCATCCCACTCAGTGGAAGACCTTTGGCTTTTGCGTGCCAAGCACATTCGCCTGCTGCACGACTCGCGCTTCGATCGTCGGCTCGCGCTCTTCAGCATCTGCTTGTATCTTGCTGGGTACGTCGGAATCGTCTTTACAGCTGGCCAAGGCCCAATCCCATTCCTCATCAGTAACGCAGTCACCAGTCTTGGTGGCGCGGCTCCCGCTGCGATGAGCTCTCTAGCGCTCGCACTGCTTGAGCGGGAGACGGATTCCGGCAAACTCTTCGCAGCGTGGGCAGTGCTGAGTGCGATTGCCACCACCGTCGTTGGTCCGACTGTCTTCATCAGCGTATACGAGAGGACGACCAATACGTATCCGGAAGCCATGTTCGTATTGGCCATGGGTGAGTGAAAGGAAGCTTGCTTGACTTCTAGCAGCGCTGTTCCGCTGTGGACTCACGCATGCCAAACATCGCTCCTCGCACAAGGCGTCTTCACCGTCGCTTTTGTATTCGTGGCTCTTGTGCGACTCCGGAGATCGCACTCCTTGCCCTCGCTGCCTGCCAGGCCTCACACCACAGCCTCTCGAGCAGCCGCTCTGGCCGCCAAGCGCAAGAGTGTCGAAAGTCTGAACGCGAACGCACAGGACGGCGCTCAGTATGGCTCTACACGAAGCGCAAGCTCCAGCGAAGCAGGCAACACCTCTACCAGGAGCAAGTGGCGCATGAGGCCTTTGAGTCCTTGGCAAGCTCGCAACGACGATGCCGAGAGATAGCGGCTGCTCTTGTGCGTGGCATACTATACACATCGACTGCTACTATACACACGATTGCTACTCTACACATCGACTGCTACTATACACATCGACTGCCCCTTTCGCTCCATCAACTTGATGACCGTCGAGCTGGATTGCTGATGGCCAGCAGCAATGCCGAAGCGCTCCTCTGCTTAGCTTTCTCGTCATACACTTATCCGCACTCCGCATCTCTGCCTGTACACCATCTCGGAGCCCACCTCCCTATGGGCTTTCTTGCTTCGTCTCGTATCTAGCGGCCTCTTTCCCTTCAGGGATTGTAGATTGGACACCCACAATCCGATTGGCAATCTGCCAGCGTCGAGCCAGCCTTGTCTCCATAGCCAGAGTGGCATTCATGAATGCTTTTCGCGACCACGCAGGCCTGACTCTTCGAAGACTCACAAATCGGTGTGACGCGGCGAGTCACTGTGAAGGACAAACAGTGAAAAGTCCACGATGCTGTAGGTGAGCTTTTTGGTCGCCGAGCGGTGTGGAGGCGGTATGCAGTGGAGCTGTGTGGTCGCAGCCAGGGACCCCTCCCCCTCCACCTGCTGCTGTTGTAGGCGGCGTGACGCGCGTATGTTATGCGGTGTGCCCGCCCCAGTCACCAATTTCGAGTGTCCCACCAATCCTCCACCGCCCACCAAAACGGACATGAAACAGGCCGCCTGCGGTCTGAGTGCGCAGCATTGGCGGGGTACGAGCTCCTGGACATTGTGATTCGCATTGGCTGCTCGTCCTTGCACCCACGACTGTGACTCACGGCGACGTGCGATCGCGATCACCTATCCATCACCATCTACGCAGACCACTCACACCTGCTGCACGTCAAAGAGGCTTCATGCAACATTCACACTGAAAGCACGAGGTTCCGTTTTTGCCTCTTGCACTCCTCCTCACCCGTGCTTCGCCATGTCTATTCCGTAAGTCAGGAGGGCATCAGCGTGCGACAGTGGCTCGCGAACCCAGTCTGTTGTTGACCTACACTGGCCTGCCGCCACAGCACCTCACAAAAGGTTTTGCGCCTAGAGAAGCCTCATGATCAGCAAAAAGGACAAAGGAACCTCGCGGCTGTGCGTGAAGCACTAGTGCCAGATGCCAAGGATGGGCAGGTACTGGTCCAGATTCACGCTGCTGGCTTCAACAGGAGAGACGAGTGGGCGATGCTGGGCGCTTATCCTGGCTTGACCTACAAGGACTCTACCTTGGGGTGCGATGGAGCGGGAGTCATCGTCCGGGGAGATGCAGCTTCGAAGCCCACCCATCCTCAAGGTCTTGTGCTGCTAGTACCCACTCGGGGCTGGGCCTCCGATAAAGCTGGTCCAGAGGGTGAATTGCCGAACAGCACAGAGAGCAAACAGGTGAATGACCTGGGAGGGAAAGGCTTTGGCTTGCTTGGCGCGACGAAACCGACTTCAGGAGCAGGAACTTTTGCGGAGTACATTCAGGTTGGTAAAGATCAGGTTGCAGATGCACCCCGCCATCTCGATGCGGTGCAAGCAGCATGCTTGCCCTGCGGTGGAGTGACTGCATACAGGTGAGTGGAGGGGCGCGCGTTCATAGGGCACAAGCGGAGGATCGGAAGCAGCCCTGATGAGCGATTTCATGACCTCTGCTGGCGCCTTGCCTCCCATCAGGGCCCTCTTCACCAAAGGTCAACTGCAGAGCGGTCAGAATCTGCTGGTCACGGGAATCGGTGGAGGTGTGGCCCTGCTGGCTTTGCAGCTCGCCGTCGCTGCTGGTGCCAACGTGTATGTGACGGGGGGAAGCGATGCGAAGATTGCTCGAGCGAAGGAGCTCGGCGCCAAGGGCGGCGCGATTTACAAGGATGCCACGTGGCCAGAGCAGATCCGAAAATTGTTGGCGGAGCACAGCAAGGACAGACCCTATTTGGACGTGGTGCTGGATAGCGCGGGTGGTGAGATACCGGCCCAGGCGGCCAAATCTGGCATCAGAAATGGAGGAAAGATTGTGTGTTTTGGAATGACGGCGGTCCCTAAGATGACGTTCACGATGCGCGAAGTGCTGAAGAACGTCGACATCCTGGGTGAGTCTGCCAGAAAGGCCTCGGAGCGTCTGCATGCTGAGCTGGGTATGCTTCGCCCTGCGAACCAAACAGGTTCGACGATGGGAAGCGCAGCAGAGTTCCGGGATATGCTCAAATTCGTCGAGAAGCACAAAATCGTGCCCATTGTTGACACGGTTCTGCAAGGCTTGGATGAAGCTAAGAAAGGCTTTGTGAGTCATGGCTTGGTTCAGCAATTCGCTGCCCCCTCTTGCTGACTAGATCCTTCCACGGCATCACCTATGCTTCAGCCTCTGCTGGCTGACGCTGACAAGAGGAGCGGTGGCAAGGTGGTCGTATCGTTGGTGTCGAATCAATCGAAGCTTTGAGCACGGCACGAACACCATTCCTCCCATTCCTTCAGTGACTTGGCCCAATCACCTTCCTGCCTGTGCTCGAGGCCTCACACTTCGCGTAATGCTACGTCTGACACAGCAGAACGTAGCGTGTATGCTGAGTCTCCTGATTGAGGTCAAGCGTTCTTCGACGGCGTTCATTTTCGATCTGATTTGCTGCTCACTTGTGCAGTGCTTTTGATCCAGCAGGCCATGGAGGCAGGGCTCGAGCGAGCTTGAAGTCACAGTCATGATCGAGTGGGTTGACGAGGCTTGTGTGCCGTGCTGTATAAGGTATCAAACGCGTGCGGCGTTGCTCTTGTCGCGGGCTGAAGGTTACCGTGCGGTCACGTGACCTGAATGCGACGCGGCGGCCGGGCGCGGCCTGGTATATACGTCAATCAAAATGGTGAATTTAGGAACCAACATCAGCGGCATATTTGGCAGAGAAGCAGCAGCAGCAGCGCAAGAGGGAAGAGAAAAACACGCCCGCCGCGCGCGTCGCCCTTGAGACTGCGTGCGCAGTCCACACGACCAAGCAGCATCCTGCTGCTGCTTCTGCTTCTGCTGCTGCTGCTGCTGCTGCTGCATGCTGCTGGGTTGCATGTCAAACGTCTTACTCACGACTGTACGTGCAGTCAGCGACCGCGGTGCTGACAGCAGACGGAGACGTGATGTGGAAAAGTTGGAGAGACCGGGCTGCCAAAGGAAGAGGACACAGGACCCAGAGGGCTCGCTATGCTCGCGACTCTTGACCCTCACAACATTCGCTGATGTGTCTCATCTCATTACGAAGTCGCTCAACTGGCATCTCAAACTCTTGACCTCAAACTTTGCCAGCCAAGTACCGACCCTTTTGATCCGATCCAATAAGAGTCTTAGAAGCACTCGTACCTCGCTGCATCACAACACGTCTGCCTCGCCCCTCCAAGCCATGTCGGAGGCCGTTGCGGACGAGTCCAAAATCTTTAGGTTGAAGGGAGAGAAGCAGCTAAAGCTGAGCACTGCCGAGGATGCCGCCCCTTACGTTGCCCAGATCGAGGCCATCGACGGTTTGCAAGAAGTTCATTTCGGAGGCAACTCGCTCGGCACTGCAGCTTGCGTGGCTTTCGCAGAGGTCCTAAAGACAAAGACGACGCTAAGGGTGAGCATCGAAGCGCGAGCGAAGTGGTGTTTCATACTGCAACATGAGATCTGCACATCTGCTGATGAGCGCCGTCGCTCCTGCAGGTCGCGGACTTCGCCGACATTTTCACGGGTCGACTGATCGACGAGATTCCCGACGCACTTCGAGCTCTGTGCAATGCGCTGCTTCACCACGAGCATCTGGACGAGCTTGACTTGTCCGACAACGCGTTTGGTGGCAGAAGCGCAGAGCCAATGGTAGAGCTGCTCAGCAACAACCACTCCATCAAAGTACTGAAGCTAAACAACAATGGCCTAGGCATCGATGGAGGTCGCATCGTATCGGGCGCTTTGACGGTCGCAGCCAAGAAGCTCGCAGACTCTGGCATACAATCGCAGTTGCACACTGTCATTTGCGGAAGAAACCGCTTGGAGAATGGGTCGGCGCCGCAATGGGCGGAGGCGTTTGCTGCTCACAAGACGCTCAGAGTGGTGCGCATGTACCAGAACGGTATCCGCATGGAAGGCATCCAGGCCATCGTAGCTGGACTGCGAGAGTGCAAAGACTTGGAATGGTTGGATCTCGGTGATAACACCGCCACCCTGAAGGGATCAATAGCCATCGCTACCAGCCTGCCAAGCTGGCCAAAATTGCAAACCCTTGACCTCACCGACTGCCTGTTGCGTCCCCGAGGCGGTGTTTTGGTCGCCAATGCCCTCGCCAAGGGTCACAACACAGAGCTCAAGAAGCTTCAATTAGGATACTGCGAGCTGGACAGCAAAGCCCTCAGCGCGCTGGCAAAGGCGATCACCCTCCAACTTTCAAACCTCACCAGGCTCGAAATCAACGGCAACTTTGCAGACGAAGAGGATGACTGTATCGAGGCCATCAAATCAGCTCTGGAGGAGCACGGGCATCTGGATGGTCTCGATGATTTAGATGATCTGTAAGTGGGCGGGCAGGACCGCTACTTGTTGGTGTACTAGCTGACATTTCCATCTGCATGCTATGATTCGCAGTGATCCCGAGGGCGAGATCGACGACTCCGAAGATGAGGCTAGCGACGAGGAGAGCGGCGAAAATGAGGAAAAAGAGACCGGGGCAGTGGCAGCCGGCGTGCCCACAGCAGATCAAGATACGGTGAGCAGACGCAAAGTGCTACTGCGCGCCTGCCCACCAACGCCTGACACAGTCGTGACATTTACTCCAGATCAATGTCCCCAGCATCACCAACGATCCCGCCAAGGCCGCTGCGGCTGCCGTCGCCGCACCCGCTGCAACCGCTGCCGTGGCTGGAACAGGTATCGCCCGAGCGGTCGACAATCTGGTACACCCCGCAGAAAAAGAAACTTCCGAATCGTCCGAGCAGCCAAAAGGCGGAGAGGCTGAGCAGTCCACCGCCGCTTTCGAGCCAATCACCGACGCAACGCAGCCTGAAAGCACAGCAAGAATTCAGGACGTTCAGGAACCGGAAGCTGTGCCCTCATCAGGTGCTGCAGAACCGCAAATTCCAGCGCTCGTAGCTGTTGCCGAGCCGGAAGCTCAAGGCCAGGCCGAGACCATAGAAGAGGCAGCAGAGGCAAAGGGTCCCCAAACCGCTTTGCACGTAGTGCAGCAGGACCAAGCTTCGCACTCAGAAGACGTTGGCCCCACCCAAACCACCGAATCTCAAGCGAATGAAGTGTCTGAGAAACTTGCTACCTTGGAGCTAGATGACGCAAGCGCTGCATCGACGGAAGCCGAGCCACAGCGCATCTCGCAAGGACTTGTGCCGGACGTTGAAGATTCAGCCGAGGCAGCTGCAACCACACAGACGGCCTCTGAGGACGCTGAAACAGTCGGAGACGCGCCGAAAGCTAGTATTGCCGTGGACACTGCGGCTGGGGTCGCTGAGACTGTCGAAGCAGCGCCTCAGGACAGACTTGCAGCTGAGACTGCCGCGGAGGTTGCCGAGGCTGCAGATGAAGCGCCAGAGCCGCAAGTGGCTGCGGACACAGCTGCCGAGGTTGCTGAGGCTGCAGATGAAGTGCCAGAGCCACAAGTGGCTGCGGAGACAGCTGCTGAGGTAGCTGAGAGCGCACAGGAAGTTCTTGAGTCCAAAGTGGCTGCGGAAAACGCTTCTGAAGTCGCAGATTCGGCTCAGGACGCCTTGCAACCGGCGCGAGAAGAAGCAATTGCTCCGGTCACTGCTGATACATCCAACGACGCCGCCATCAGCTCACAGGAAGCACACAAGCCTCAATCGGACGATGTCGGTGTCACAGCTGCCAAGGTCGCAGCTCTCTCCCTTGGCGCCGTTGGTGCTACGCAGGCTGCCTCTTCATTGGCAGAACACGCAGAATCGCGGTCTACCGAGCTTGAGAATGCGAGTGAGGCAGAGGCTCCGGGCATCGCGGCTTCTGGACAGGCTCGAGGCGATCAGCGAACACTCTCGGAAGGAGAAGACCTGCCAACGGCAGACGTTCTCCCTTCATCGCAACAAGGAGTAGCTGCTGCGGCCGGTCTGAACTCTGCGTCACACGCAGAGGTCGCTTCTCACGTCGCAGAGCAAAGTGCCGAGCCTACACATGCTGCTGATGATGCCCAGGCCGAAGAGGCATCCACAGCTCGAGATGAAGACAGAGCTGTGCCGGCGACGGCAGCGGAACCAATCACGATCGTAGCTGCTCCTATCAAGGCGACCGCGGAGCGAGACGGAGGGTCTAGCCTTTCGCCTTCTGTCAGCGCTGCGATCACTGCGGCCGCCACGGCAAATGCTGCAGTGAGCCCACCAGCGGCACGCACGGCAGATCTAGCAGCGGAGAGTTCCACAGCCCCCGTCGCTCTAGAGGACCCTTCTTCTTCTTCGGCACCCACCATCGATGTCACCACGGCAGCGGAAGAGGCACCCACCTCGCCCGCATTGCCCGTACCCGTCGCAGCCACCAGCGGGGCGTTTGGTGCTGGCATTGGCGGAGCAGCCAACGTGTACTCGCAGCTAAATGGAGAGGGCTCTGGAGCGACAGCAAGCGCTGATCTTTCGGTGGAAGCCTCGCCCGCACTCACACCTGTCTCTGATGTTGGCCAACTGGAATTGAGGCAAAAGAGGGCACAAGAATCGCTCGGCAAGCAGGGAGGACACGCAAAGTGAGTGCATCCACTAGACAATTCCCAGCCATCTCTGTGCGCGATGTGTGTCTCCGGATGCTAATCCTTGCTCCTCCTCCACATTTCTTAGGAAATCATCTGTCGACCTGAGTGGAGAATTGTTCACGGGCTCAGACTACAAGGCACAAGCTAAAGGCACCTCATCGAGCGCCAGCGGTGCGCATCAGACTACGGATGCAGCCGCACCCCGCAAGAGCCGTTTCAGAGCTGCGATGGGCGCGATTCGCGAACTGCTACGCTAGGGAAATCGACACGCCAAGTGATCATCGGATAGCCGACGATGTCGCGCGCGATTTAGACGTGCACGGCCGCAGGTTCACACCTATTTCCCGTTTGACGACCCTATACGATACCTATACAGCTTGCGTAATCATAACAAAGAATTTGAGAAATGACGAATGGCCAGGGAACGCAGGCGGATCTGTGCCGTAGCTCAGAGTGGCCAAATTGAGTGCAGCAGAAAAATTGCGCGTCTCGGCATTGCAATCGTCAGGAAGGGGTGATGCCCGCTGCAGAGACGCGACATGCTTTTGGCAAGGTACAGACGAGCGAGACGCGAGATACGAGGTACACCTTGAGAACGTCGCACAGAATTAAGCACCGCCTGGTCGCTCCCCACGAGGCTGAGACCAATTGACCGACAGGATGAGGTTGCTATACCTGTTTTGAGGCAAGACGAGAATGAGGGAGGTCAGAAGACCTGCGCGTGACATCATGAAGGCTCGGAGGCGGATTAGCTACGCACCCTTTGCCGTCCACCTTTTGTCTGGCTTTGTCGGCGTCATCTCTGCTTTCGAAGCTGACGAAGGCGTAGCCTTTGCACTCGCCAGTTTCGCGGTCTCGCTTTGAGGAGGCCGTGTGAAAGCGAATCAGCACTATACTTTGGCATTCTGCGGCCAAGGGTAGAGTTTTGCAACACAGCACAGCTACTCACGCCGATGTAGACACGGATAACTCTTCCGTATCTGGAGAAAATTTCGCGCAAATCCTCCTCGTCTGCATCTTCGCTGAGATTCGTGACACGCAGTGTAGGCATGTCCTCCCTGTTCATAGGTCCACCCATGCGCTCGCCTGCACCACGGTTCGCACCTTGACGCATAGAAGGAGGAACATACTTGCCACCAGCGCCAGAAGAGCCTGCAGCCACAGCAGGATTTGTAGGGTCGGCGATAGCATCCGAGACTTCTGGCTCGGCGCCAGTGTCGGCTGCTCCTGGAATGGCTTCGAGAGTATCGCGGTAGGGACACTTGGAGGTGAAATGGTCTCCCTTGCAGAGACGACAGGTGATCTTCTTGGATTGCAGCTGCTTTCGCAGCGCTGCCTGCTCGTCCACTTCTGGCTCGTCCTGCAGTGACACACACCAGGTGTGGTCAGCACGCGACTACTGAAGTGTCAAACGGTGGGCGCCGAAGAAGGACAAGGCCGCTTACCTTTTTTGTGGAGCCAGCGCTGAACTTCAAAGCTACGTTCTCGCCCACCGTGGTGGTGCTAGAGTGAGGACCCGCCTTCCTTCCCTTCTCTTGACCAAACTTGGCCCACGTCTTTCGCTCAGCCTCAGCAGCGTTGACCTTTGTGGTGACAAGGGTGCGCCTGATGCGTCGAGTGATCTTGACTTTCTTGCCTTCGGGATTGAACTTGTATTCGACAATGACCTTGACGCCATTGCCCTCATCTCGTTCCTCCCTGGGTGGCAGACCAGGTGTCACGGGTGGGACTTGAGGTCGATCAAAGCAGGACGGGGCAGCACGTTGATCAGCGCCGCATCGTATTCATCAGCACATCATGAATCGCATATCGCACTCACTGGCATCATCATCAATGTCTCCATCATCAGCCCAGTCGATGGGCTTGGGTGCGCTGCGTCAAGAAGCAGATGTTTCTGTCGCCTCAGCCAAAAGGTTGGTATCTCGACGCTGAGCATTTGGGACACTTACGGGTCAGCTACTGGAGCCATCGTGTATGCGAATGCGTTCAGCAATAGTTCGGCGGCACTGGTCGGTTGCTTGTTGATGAGATGAGACGCTAATAAGTTGGCGAGATCCAGAGAAGTCGATGTGCCTAACGCACTTGAGCGATTGCTGGGGACAGACGAACGCAGAGCGTGGAAGATGATGGCGACGACAATTCAAAGACTCGCGTCAGACTCATCCTGCAGACTCGTGACTCAAACTCGAGACTTTCGCAGCGCGCGACCTCGCGCCGCGGAACGAAATTTGTTGTCGAGATGATTCGTGCATGCATGCGTGCTCATGCGCAATCGATCTACTCACGTGTCTGGCTCACAGCGCATGCCGTGCACGGACAGCACTCTGGTGCGACGCGACAAGCCGGCTGATTTCAGGCTTGGGTCATAGGAGTTCCACCTGCAGCCTTGAGCTAGTGGTCGGGTCGCCCTTACGGGGCATAGCGCATTCCCATTCACGACTGAATTCCTTCTCATCATCTTCGAGTAGGCACCTTGACTTGAGTTTTCGAACAGCCTCACCAACGCAGCAGTCTTCGGAGTGTCATCGCAGTAGGAAAGCGACCGGAAGCACTCCACTCATAAGGCCGAACCTCTTGCGCGGCGCTCGTCAAAAGGGCCATACCTACCGTACCGCCCTCTGTCATAATGCCGACCTACTTTGATACAGTTAAAAAGGTAAGTGGCCGCACCGATTGCACAGGGCTCAGCGAGGTAGACTGACACTTTTGGATCCTCTCGCAGTCCTACGCGGACGTTCCCATCACAGAGGAGGGAGTGGACACTTCGACGTTCCTGGAAGCGACGGATGGGCTGGTCAAGCTGTTCGACCTTCTGGGCTCTTCAGCTTTCGCCATCGTTCAGAGTGACATGAAAGGCAATGTCGGAGTGCGTAGTGTGATAGCGGCGAGAAGACCACACCGATCCTGTTCTAAATTCGTTCCTTGCCTCTGTGCCCACTGTAGAAAATCAGGGATCGCCTCCTCAGCTCGCCCGGAAACTCTCACTCGCTTCAGCTCCTGGTCAAGAATGAGGGAGCGCCAGGAGACAAGAACAGGACTGCTACTCAAGGACTGATGTGGCTGCTTCGGTGAGTGAGGGGTTGTTGCCGCCAAGGAAGAGAGTGAGGAGTCGCTCCAGCCAGAGTACGACGTAGATGCTTTGCAGCTCGTGCCACTCTGGCTGGAAGGCTGCATATACACGTCGCGCGCGCGATAGTCGCGCTCAACCTCCACTTCTTGACTTTTGTGCGAGAGCAGAGGACTGGACTTCACAGCTCAAGCATTGCGTCGCTCGGTGAACAACAAGGGCGAAGAATTGTCCGTGAGCTTCACGAAAGCGTACGAGAACAGCCTTAGGCAGCACCACAACTTTGTCGTCAAAGGGGCTTTCAGCGTGAGTCAGAGTCCATCACAGAGTAATGTTCACGTGTAGAGATTTCGCTCAAGACGGATCATACACTGCTTTCGCCTTTAGCTCGCGATGAAGGCGTGCCCCTACAGAACCGATTTCTACGCTAAGCTTGGCTCCCCGCCCGAGCACGTTGACCAGGAGTTGAGGCGATGGCTAGATGCCCTGGAACTCATTGTCAAGCAGCTGCAAGACTTCTACGTGTGAGTCGCACCAGAGTTGGACTGGCGGCGCTGAAAGGCCGCTGACCAGCTACGTACCTATACGCGAACCTCTTGTGGTCTTCTTCAACTCGCAGTGCTGGCAACTATGGCAAGGGCTTCTGAGATGGGCAGTGATTCACGAGTGTCCAAATCAGATTTGCACCGTAGTTTGCGAGCGAAATGCAAATGTTTTGGTCGCGAAGGGGGGAGCTCTTTGTTGTGTAGATCACATCGGCAGGCTCGGCTAGCGAGGCTGCAACGTGGACCTAGCCTCTTGCTTTCGCCAAATCAGCGCTGACGAGTACAAGTTGAGCAAATTGCTTCTTTGACGCCTGGGCTGGTCGATGTGCAGGGAAATGGCGAGATGCAACATCCACTGTCGCGCACAGGTTGTCAGGCCTGATGATGGGTCATGGGCTGTGTTGAGTGAGTTTTCAAAGCTGCCGCATCGCGCTGAACAATCTGCCAGCGTCGCTTGCCCAGCAGCACTCTTCTGGGACGCGAAGCAGACCGCCAGACGCATGTCTCCTGTGTCACGCTGTCTCAGTGGTGCTGGCTTCTGGCTTGCGCTCTCATCACGTCAGACCTCAGATTCAGCGCTCGGCGGCTTGGCTACCCGTGCAGCAGTCTGCGTCTGATGAGGCTTTTCGTTCGAGATCCTCATGGCGAGGTTCAGGCAAGTCTTTTGGTAGTATTTTCTCTTGGCTCGCGCGAAGGTCCCTTGGGATGGGATGATTGACCATTTTCAGGTTTGCGCTACGAGAAAGCGGAACCGGTATCGTGGCGCTGAGGCGGCTGTACCGTAAGTCCATTTGCCGGCTTGGCGTCCATATGCCCAGTGGGGCGATGCGTCTGCGTCGTGGCTTGTAGCCCTCGCGCTACGGCCCTTCAAGGAAGACGACGTCCTCGATGGACGCGCCTCCGCCTCATGAAGGCGTCAAAGCGCTAAGTCAGAGTACAATTCCGAGTCGTGGGTGGATAGAGAGAGAGCCGCTTCATCCATCAATCACGCGAGTCTCGCTAATAGCTGGGGCCCCAACCTCCACAGACGCCTTCAATCGGGGCGGGACCGGCAGGTCTCTTCGAAAAGCTGAAGGAGCTACCCACACTCATGACTCTTGCAAGACTGCTTGGATTGAGCCGCTCCTCTGATATGCAGCCAAGAAATGTCGGGTCGACACTAAAAGCGGATGCAACGTCGTAGTGTCGAAGGCAACGTCAGCCCCGTTTCTCTTTCTGCTAGCGTGAGTGGTCACCGGACTTTGTATCAGTGGTCTGGCTGACTTGCAAGACAGCCAGCCACTCTTGACTGCATGCTGCTTGCTGTGAAAGCTGCTGGCGGCAAGCACGTGCATGGGCGTAACCTGGAGGTGACGCAGCTCTGTTACGTGTGTCTGAAACTCGGAAGCGGTGAGCACCATGAAGGCGCGCTAGGCAGGTCGTGAGGCTGGATCAGCTGTAAGGGCTCGTGCGCGTCAAAGATCGAGGGGCAACACCGCTGAAGATCTTGTCGAGGGAGAACAGGCGTTCTTGCCTCTTCACTATGTGCTGACCGCAGCATGAGAGGGCCAGAGCATCGGTCATCTGCAGGCTGCGTCTGTTGGGCTGCCACACACACAACAGGAATACCATTCACTGATTCCATCTATTGATTCAAAGATTGAAACGCAGGTCCGGTCGCGATTCAGAATGAAAAACTCGTGACTTAGGACCGGTGATTGATGCGCTGTACCTTTTCAATGGAGATTTGTACCTCGTCGGAAGTCATTTCTCCTGATTCAAGATTGTGATACAAAGGCAGTCAACCGATATCACTCAAGAGATAAGAGGCATTGAGTCCAAGGCAAAGTCGTGAGTCACGAACCCAATGAGCATCGCAGCGACTCAATGGCTCTATCGGCCATCAGTCAATTCTGGATGTCAAAAAGTGCCAAGTCTCGACTAGCGCCAAAATCTGACTGCGCCGAGACGCGCTAGCCGCAAGCCACATGCAGAATGCCTGCAAGCAGCAACCAGCATGCATGCATGCAACTAAGCCGCGTTACGCGCGCGCGAGGACCGCATCGGCCACATACCGATGATGCTGGGTATAGTCATAGTGATGACACCAGTGACATGCGTGTCATTGAGCAAGCGGGCGCGGTGCGCCAGCTGCCTGCTGCAGATTTCATCTCCAGATCTGGGACCGAGCGCTTGATAATTCTTGGCGTTTTGTGAAAGGAGGTGCTCGACACTCACGCTCACCCATGACTCACGACAGCGTGAGCTCATCTTATGCTAACACGTTCCGGGCTGTGCTCGAATTTGTTATCCACCTCGACTGCGGGGTCTGAATCTCCAAACCAATTGTGCGTCGTTCTTGAAAGTCAGTCGTGGATCAGCTACATAGCCGAGAGTACACATCTCCATTCACGATCAAGATGTAATCAAGAATGATAGGGCTACGATTCGCACTCAAACTGTAGGCCCGATGAGAAGGAGCTCAGGTGCCGCCGCGATCCATCGGACCGTTCACGCGATTTGCGCTCAGAGCGTGAATCAACTAGCTCATGCTTAGTGCGCTTGCGAGATGAACGTGGGGGTTATCCAGCATCATGTAAAGGAGAAGTAAAGTGCTTTCTTGGCGTTTGTCGAGCGCTCATTGCAAGGGGTTGGGGCATACAGGCTTACCAAAAAACATCACCTTCTGGTCGAACCTCGCTGTTGTGAGTCGTTCTCGACCTGCGTGACGTTCTGCATGCTTGCAAAGTGAGAGTCGTGTGAAGCATGTTGATGTAGGCGTCTGACCCTTGAGTTTGAGTATGGGTCTATTCAGACGTCGGCCCTTAGATTGCACACGTGTCGCCGCTGCTGCTGCTGCTGCTGCTGCTGCATGGCTGCTCGTCTCCCTAGCGTATCTCCTCCCAAAGACTGCCTGCATGACGCACTGCGTGGTATGCGCGGCCGCTGTTGGCATGCAGCACGGACGCGCGCATAAATGTGCCCAAATGCGGTGACTGCCAAGACTTTCAGGTAAAGCGGAGGCGAAATGAGCAACGTCAGCGAACCTTTGACCATTGTACAGTCACAGCAGAGTCAGAGTCACGATCGACAATACCACCCTCTGTCATCGCATCTGCATGCTCCGCTTCCGCGCCTTGCGCTCCTCCAGTCGGGACCTTCCACTCCGAAACATCCACAGTTCACGACTGGGACTCGCTGTGTGCCTCTCGTCTCGACTGCATGGCCGTCACGATCCGGCTTTGGGGAATAACCCCTTATCGCTGACGTCGCCAGAGCACGGATGCCGCCGCTTCGTTTCGGTGTCCTGATGAGGATTCGCCTCACCGTCGGCAGATGACACCGCAATGCAGACCACGTCTTGCTCCCCTGTCCGGCAAGCGAACGTGACGAGCAGCAGTGCGCGTGGATAGAGGAGATCCATGAGCGCCCACTATTGCAGCCTGTTGTTGCACCGCATGTCTGGGTCAGCAATACGCACATGACACATCACCTCATGACCGCACGAAACATGCGGCAGCAACGCTTAATTGCACCCGTTGCACGCTGCACTCGAGCTACGGATCCGGAACGTCTGGTGACTCCTATAGCGTGAGCCAAGAATCACCGCGGTATGTCGGTAGCACCCTAACCGTTTCTTGGCCATATAGCGCGCGCTAAGGCGATGTTGAAGGGGAAGGCAATCAAACCCTTTGGCTCATCTTACAAGAAGCCGCCGAAGATTCATTTATGCACAACAGAGGCTACGAGTCGCTCATGCTGCGACTTTCAAAGTCAACTTGCAGGTGCTTTAGATTGCTTCGCACTTTGTCGGTGTCGGTGTCAAATGACGCAGGCACCCCCCACTTGGTAACTTGCAGCAAAGTTCCTGGTGCCGAGGCTGTTCCAAACGCGAAATTTGAACACTTGGCTGCTCGTTCGGTCTGCTGCTTGTGGGAGTGTGCACGACGTGGTACGATTATGGTCCGCCCACAGTCACACGAGCTTGCAGTAGCCTTCCTTGAATGGAGAGTCTCGGAGATCTGCTCCTTCGACGCCCTGCACTGATAAGCACAACAAAAATCCGACCCGACACTCCTTCTTGTCCTCCTCGCCTTACCCACCAATCACTAAACCTCGCCCATCCTCCCTCGTGCACAGCGACGTGAGCTCGCCATACTTTGGAGACACTTGCAATCGTTGGATGTCACATTCGTGATCGTGATCCTGGCCAGTCTTCGATCACAACTCAACTCTCAACGAACGGGCACGCCATGTCGCAGCCGAAAAGCGATCAAAGCCATCCTGGAATGATTGATCCCATCGACACGCGCTCCCCGGAGAAAGATCATGATGAACCTGTCGAAGAGCTGTCTCCCGCTCGACCGGTGAAGTCAGACTCGTCCGACAAGGACCTCAAGATAGTCAACTCGGACTTGAGCGCTCAGCCCCGCAGACACTCCAGGAGAGGCTCTGCGGCGTCACGGCGACACTCGACGGCGCTTGCCGCTTCTGAGACCTCACCTTCGATTTGCGAGTCTTGCGGTGAAGACAAAATCCATGGTTGGAGAGACGTCGTCGAGGCTTGTAGTCTGGTGAGTGTTCGGTCATCCGCGTCGGCATTTGCTCCTGAGTTTGACCCCTTTCGCCCTTCCCACAACAGTCATGGCATCAGCAACGAAAGCATCTATTCACCTCTTGGATTCACGTCCCCTTGGGTGTTACATTCCTGCTTGTTGTCGTCTGGGGCTTAAAGCTTGCCATCGATGTAGCACCCTTCAGATTTCCGGCTGCAGTGTTGGCCGCCTTTGGCATCTTCCTCTTACTTCTACTCCTCGATTGGCTTTCATCAGTGTTTCCTGGTAGGAGGCAACGAGATGCAGAAGCGATGTACGAGAAGTCGGACCGACCACAGAAGAAGCGCAAACGGTTCATCGACCCCGTGCTCATGCTCTTGGCGCCACCGTGCGACTTTTGCTTGCGTATCATGAGCGTGCTCTTCACTCCGTGAGCACATGCACGTCGTCCACCGCACCCCAACCTTTCTGACGCGCATATCTTTATTGCAGGTCTTTCATCCTGATCCCTGCCCGTGAGGTCATCTCGGGCGGTGAGATTGGTCGAATCATTGGATGGTTCGCTGCGACTCAAGTGCTTGCTTTCCTTTTCCCAATCTATCTCAACAAGGGCATCAACTGGGCCTTTACAATCCCCAAACAGCTTCGAGAACGTCGCGAGAAGGCTCAACCGCCTCTGACAGACTTGCGCCGCTCCAGCACGGTCAATGGTCGACGCAGCCGTAGAGGCAGCACCATGAGTCAAAGCGGTTCTCTCGATCACAGGAGCCGCCGCGGCAGTACTGCTACGATAGCAGGTCTCGAATTCGAAAAAGGCTACGCTTATTCTGGTCAGCAACGTCTTGGCACCATTGCAAGCGGACTTGCCGGAGTCACCGCCACAATCACAGCACCGGTAGCTCACATTGACATGACGTTGGAGGATGACGAGCAAGCGTACTACAACGCCGTTGCCATCGAGCAAGCACGTCAACAAGGTGACCCTGCAGTCACTTCGCCTAATCTAGCACCGCTATCTTTTGGTAGCTTCGTGCCGCACTCCGACGTGAGCTACTTTAGCCATGCTCGAATGCCAGTCGATCGCGAAGGTAGACCGCGTCACCACCATCACGCCATCACGGCGGAGCAGCGTCGCAACAGATCCCGAAGTCGCGACGGGGCTCGCAGTCAATCTAGACCAGCTACAGCGAGAAGCCTGACCGTCTCGCCTCGCGTGCCCAGTGGAGGCGGTTCGGTCGAGTACGGTCCGCCGTCAGTCGCCACCGTACAACGCTCTGCTACCGCGGTGGGCGCTCTCCCAGTCGCAAGCCCGGCTCCTTCAGAAGCCTATCGCTTCCCGAGCACTCAATTGTCGCCGGTGCAAACCACCATTGCATTCGACCAAGATTTGCCAACAGCTGCTTCTCTCCGTGCGGCCGAGAATGGCGCGAGAGCCAAATCTAATGCTCCAGCCGTCGAAGGTGTACGGGAACCGGAGCCCGCGAAAGTAGCAGCCACGTCTTCTGCCAGCTCATCGCGCAGACCTTCGCTACTTGGCAACTTCATTGCTCCCTTGAGCATGTCGAGGAGAGAGTCCGCCACGAGCGGCCCCACCCCGGTTGCTACATCAGCTTCCAGTCAAGCTTCCGCAAAGGACCGCGCTGATCAAGCTGCAGTCGCTCCCAGCGCCTCCGCTCCTGCGCCAGAAGATCAGCCTTCCGAATACGGACCAGATGCGATCGAGCGCCTAGCGTCGTGGATCAGTGACTTGATCACTCCGATCATCTACTTCACCTTGATCATCATAGGTCTGCCTCTCTTCTTCGTTCTCAATTTTGCGCTGCCTCTGTATCTTGGCATCAATCTGCTAGCTTTCATTGGCGCCATCACGATCGTGCCGCCTAAGATTCGAAGATTCCTGCATCCCATCCTCAGTACAAGCATCGTGACCGTGCTGTTGATTTGGGCGCTTGGAGCCATGAAGGGCTTGAGCATCAAGCAGGCTCTTGCACTGTACAGCAATGGCGCTAAGTACACCGTACTTTGGGACCCCACCGGCTACCAAGGCCCTGTGCCGGGAGCTGGTGACATCCTCTTTAGCGTTCTCGACGCAGGTATCGTGAGTTTTCAAGTATCACGGCTCTCTCGATCATCCCAGCTTGCTCACGCCTTGTATTCCTTCAACAGGTCTCTCTTGCCATCCCAATGTACCGCTACCGCAAGGACCTGAAGCAGAACTTTTGGCGGATGCTCATCGCCTTGACGCCATGCGCGGCCCTCTCGCTATTCCTGTGGCCCTACATCGCCTACTTGATGGGTATGAACGAGGTTCACGCACTCGCGTTCTCAGCGCGCTTCATGTCTACTCCTCTCGCCATCGAGCTGGCCAACAACATAGGCGCAGACGAAAGCATCACCATCGTACTGGTTTGCGTGACTGGTATCATCTACGCCATCGTCAAGGAGTACGTCTTCAAATGGACCAATGTCAAGGATGACATGACCGTCGGTGTTGCCATGGGCTCGACGGCTGGTGCCATCGGTGCATCCAGCCTCATTTCGAAACCGCGCCAACTTGCTCTTGCCAGTCTGTGCTTCATCCTCTTCGGTGCCATCATGCTCATCGCAACGGCGATTCCGCCCGTCGTCGATGCAGTGAGGATGCTCGCGGCCGGCAACAACGTCATTTGAACCTTTTCTTTGGCTCGAAATTGTCACCACCAATACTTCCAGTACATTCTTGGCTCACTTTGCATCTTGCATCTTACACTCAAATCCTGTAGACATACATTTATGACTCGAGCTTCCAACGATGACCGCAATGATCAATTGACGATAGGCTAACTGACGGGTGCATATGCCTTCTCTAGTCGGACTTGAGAGTGCAATGACCCTGTAAGGTCTGAGTCAAGAGTCGCACCGCTCGAGTCAGAGTCCGTTGTCGTATGTAAGTTGATGCCCTGAGTCACAGATTTCATGAATGAAAGATTGCAGAACAATTGAATTCACCCTCATCATGGTTCGTGGATAGGTCAAATTCGGAGTCTTTGAGCAGGCAATTACGCTTCCGAGTCCCGCTATAATCAAGGACTTGAGTCTAGCGATTGGAATCGAAAATCAAAAATTCAAGATTAACATCAAGACCAGCGTGTTTCTCTGCTGATGCATGTGTGAGCACCCCACCAAACCTGCCACGTGTTCATGCCCGCGCGTGCTGCTGCCTCGTCGCGATTCGTGATTGGAGGAAGTTGTCGATCTACACCGCGCATGCAGCGTCCGCGCCCGCATTGTGATTGTGATTGCCTCCACAAACACTGATGAGAGCCTCGACGCAAACCCTTCCGTCTCCACCCTGGATCGCTTCTGCGCAAAATTTGAGGCCCCTCGTCTGACTACATCCTTTCCAGCCTGGACAGCTCGCCCCGCCCACGCTCCATTTCGGCACCAGCTGTGCTGACCTCAGAACACACACTGCTATCGATTTTTTTCCCGGATCTATCGCAGGAGTCGCGTGAAGGCTGAAAAGCCTTCCTCAAATTTGACCTGCATCCAGCTGAAAATGGCGGATCTTGGAAGTGCATCGGCTACTTTGCCAGGCAATGCGTACGCCGACGCTTTTGTTCGAGGTCAAGCCAGAGAAGGCGTGAGCCGAGTGCAGGCTCGGCTGGGCAAAGCCAGACATCTGAATGATGACCTGTGAGTGTTCCTAGGGGCTTGATCTGACGTGCGGTATTGTTCGTTGGCACTCACGACCTACCTCGCTCTCACATCTCGCACCTCGCACAGAGCCGACTACTTTGCCGCGCGTCGAGAGGTAGAAGCAGCGTACCTCAAAGCTCTCTCGCGCATCGCCAAGCGTCCTTTCATCTCTGATCCTACTGTCCTCGGCGCATTTGCACCAGTGTATGAGAGACTTGCGCTGGAGCTAGGCGAGCTCGCTTCCGTTCATGGAGAGCTCGAAGGACGACTGGAAGAGGCAGAAGCGGTGCTTCGTACAGCATCAACGCGTGGAGAGTGGTCGAGAGTCAAGGAGGTGAGTGGGCAAGGCGATGAATGATGTCCGAGTTGCGCCTTAAGGCTGAACTTTTCTCCTCGACATTGCTCACTTCACCAGCACGATGAGAGCGTGTCTGCTGCCCTCAGGGAAATTGCAAGCTTAGAGTCGCAACTCGCAAAGGATCAGAAGAAAGCGGAGAGCGCTTCGTCGAAGAAGGTTGCTGCGGCCCAAAACAAAGCCAGCGAAACGGCTGCGCATTTAGCACAGGCAAACGATGCGTGGGAGACTGAAGCGCCTTTTGCTTTTGAGGCGTATCAAAGGATTGATCAGGCACGCTTAGATCTATTGAAAGAGACCATCACCAAATGGGAGACTGCTCAAAGTGATGCTGCGACAAGGCTCATGTCGACAGCTGAAAAGACGATGCAAGCCTCTCTAAGCTTCGACACACAAGCCGAGATGACGGAGTTCATCCTTAAGCAAGGCACCAGCAAAGGCTTGCCGTCTGTACAGGGGCGTCCTGATGCAACTATAAGAGCGCAACAAGGTGCCTCCCCGGTCACAAGTGCAAGTGCTCGTGGACCTGCTCCAGGTGCACCGACCCCTAGCAATGGTCGCAATGGAGCCGCGCCCGGCCTGGCGGAATTTGGAGGCGTAGGCAGTAGCACTGCGTCGATACATTCAACTGGTGCCGGGGCCCAAGACACTGCGAGTGTGGCTCAGCAACAGCCAACAGGAAGGGGTAGCACTCTCAAGTCTGCCTTGACGCGCATTGGCAGGGGTCGTTCCGGCAAAGGCGCAAATGAGATGTCGACTTCGTACGGCTCACTACCTGAGCAGCCCGACAGTATGGGACCTCCTCAAGTACCTGCTATCTCGTCGAGTGTCTCTCAGCGCGCTCCCCGTTTGTCGCTGAGTGGCAACGACGCCCGGGAAGGTCTTCCTCAAATCGGCATGGCACCCCTCGTGCCGACCACTAGAGGGGTGAGTCGCGATATGAGCGACCTTCGACAACCGGTCTGATTACTGATTTGAATTTCCATGCCAAACAGACAAGTACCGAAGCATCTCCGGCCGCACCTCAAGTTGACGCTGAGGGCTACTCTATTCCACCACCAGACCGCAAGCCTTGGGAGCCAACCGCTGGGGCTTCGCTCATGGACGAGGACGCATCAGAAGAAATTTCAGATCTGTGCGTCACAAGCTCGCCCTCGTCTGGGTGCTCTGACTGACATCGCTCATCCCCTACCCTGCAAATGCGTCCCAGTCCTCGCGTGTCTGGCATGAACATCTCAAGTAAAGCGGTCACGCCTAAGCCCGAAGACTCTGCACAGGACCAGGCCGCCCTCGAACGTGTACGCAGCACCTTGCTCACGGCGCGGACTCCACCGACTGCCCCATCCCGCCGGAATACCACCCGGAGAGACCGCAGGGACGTGCGCAACACGACCTACAATCCCAATCTCAACCTTGATGCGGGCACGTCGACTGCCACGGGTGGGGGATCAGTCGCGAGCCCGATCGCGGCATCGACTACAGCAAGCCGCTTCGACCCAGACCGTACTCAAAGTATCGTCTCGATGACGTCGATGTCGGGTGCTGCTGGCAGCCCTTTCGAAGCCGCCAGCGCTGGTGTGGGAGGCGCAGCGGCAGCATCAGCTCCCGGCCTTCGCGCAGCTGTGACAGAGACTGTCAACGTCATCTTCGATGGCCGGGACATACAGCGCATCATGATTGTCGGAGAGCTGAGCGTCACTCTCAAAGACATTGGGACAACTGAGCCCTTGCATCTTCGGCTCGACGCATTCGAAGAGCTCGAGAAGGCGGCACCGAATCCAGCATTTGTACAGTCAATACCCGATCGACCTGGAGAATACAGGTTGGACGTGGCTAGTCTTGTGAGCAAAGGCGGGGCCGGCGTGTTGCTCAAGTATCAGCTGCATGTGTCGGAAAGCAGGAAGAGGGACTACGTTCCTTTGGACGTGGTTGCACAGTGGCGCTGTGAGCAACATCAAACATCTTTGCTTTGCAACTACACGCCAAACACAACCAACAAGCTGCTCGCTTCTGGGATCGATGGCATGCCAAATGAGGTTGTCGCATCTACGCTGCAGGATGTCAGCTTCGTCGCCACGATCCAGCCCTCGAATGTGGCCGGACACATGAGCAAGCCTGTCGGGACTTGGTCAGCAGAGCACAAGAGAATGTTCTGGAAGCTCGATCACACGGAGGCCGCGAGTGCGGGCAAGGTACTTGCGCGATTTCAGGTGGATGCACCCACCTCGCCCAGCGGCGTGCAAGTGAGATGGAAAGTGATTGGTCGCACCATCTCCGCGCTAGGCGTCAACGTAGTCAGCGACTCAACCATTGCGCCATCCGCTCTCCGATTCGATAGCGTGGCGCGGTCCACTGTATCGGGCAAATATGTCGCGAATCCAGTCCAGTCCTAGGACCAGGATTGCGCTTCATAAGGGGCTCACCGTCATCTTCGCGCTGTCGCTCCTGAGAGTCACTCAGCCACTTCGTTCTTTCGTCTCACTGGAGGACTGCTTTGTGTTTTCGTTCATGTCACTTTCTTTATTATGCCCACGTTCACTTGTTTCGGGGCTCGCAAAGCCGAGCTCGATGTGTCCCTTTTGCGGTCAGCAATTCATAACATCCACCCTCATCGACCGCATCAAGTCGTGCGGTCGGTCATGGCCTCGCTGTGCTACATTCCGTTCAGGATCCATCCCATCTGCTTTCGGCATCCATCCCATCTGCTTTCGGCATCCATCTCATCTGCTTTCAGCATCCATCTCATCTCCTTGCGCAACCTGAACGACCGGCGAAATCGTCCGTGAGCTGCTTGGCTTGTGCTTGTGCCTGCTGCAGAGCCGTATCGCGGCACCGATGATGCCCCTGAAAGTCGAAGGTTCGAGCCGTATCCGGAGCGCGCCAGATACTCTTCAACTTTCCATCCCTGACAAGCACCGAAGCCGTCGTCGGGCAACGCCGTTGCAGGTGCTGCAAGGGCCTCACCACGCAATCACCAGTGCCAGCATCGTGTGGGCTGCTCCTCCCTCACCCGTCTTGCCTCGCACAAAGAGCAAAGCTCTGTTGCTCCTACTTGCTGAGCCGCTGCAGACCTCTACATGAGCTGAGCCCCAGCGCCTGGCACCAAGTCCTTGCAGCATTAGTTGTCGACGACGATCGGTCACACCTCTCCTCTGCCAGGGCGAGCGAGCTCCGAGCTGTTCAATCCTTCGACATCCCGTAGCAGCTGTAGTCGACCTTGCAACCGCGGACGGGGAATGTGTGGAGCTGCTTGCTACCCCGCCTAGGATTTGAACTGCGAGATTAATTTGACTCCACAGTCCTCTTGGATTGCTTCAAGCTTCACACTAAAGCCAGCGCTCGAAAGTTTGCCTCTACCGGGATGCGCTACACTATGACAGTAGAGGAGCGGCGGTCTCGCCGCAAGAGCAGGAGACGCGGAAATGGGTTTGCTACTTTCCGCTGACAATGTACGTCTTCCCTTGCTGTGCATCCGCCGGCGCTCATCCCTACCGTAGACAGTCCCCGGCGAGTTCCCGATGGGCGACTTCCAAATGAACCTGCAACGGTCAGCCTCGTCCCACTATTGGGTGGTGGGCACGCGCTCAAGATAGCATACTCAGGGGCCATCGGTCCGCCGCTCACGCGCAAAGACATCCCAATATCCCGTCACCCTCCACAACAATGCCGAATGAAGGGAGAAGGAAGTACCCCTGCGCTTTCTGGTGCGAGATTACCACATGCCCAGTAAACGGTGCCATTTCTGCCGGGTTGCTGTATGGATCCCAAGGCAGCGCGAGGGATCTGCGTGGCTGGGGTAGGTCTGACCAATGACCAATGTCACGCCACACCCTACTCCCTTACAAGACCCAAGTCTTGCCACCCTTTCTCGCTCGAAGAGCGCACTCCTTGTTTCCTCGCAACCAACTGCCAAAACCTCTTCTCCCCGAGCGCTACACCAAACGCGCATCATCTCTCTGCCAAGTCTGCGAGAGTCAAAGACCATGAGACATTTGTCGTCCTACGCTCTGACGCTTGCTTTGGCGGGCGCACTCGGCGTGGCCTCCGCTCAGTCAGCGCGCCAAACATCTGAGATCTCCTCTCGCGATGGTTGTGGCAAGTACAGTGAGTCACGATTTTAGGAGTCACTTCGTCCTACCCCTCGTCTTGCGTCTTCCTTCTAGCCATGCCTAGCGTGCTTATCGTGGCAGACGAGCTGAGACGAGCAAGTCAAGGACTTCGCTTAGCTGGGAGACAGCGTCACTGACGCGCCCACGTCCATCACTATTCCAGCCATCATATCCACCAGAGGCACCGGCGAGATGCAAGGGCCATCTGCTGGCTTCGGGGGCATGATCCAGACAACCCTGTCCACCGTTGAAGGTGGTGAGGAATACGACACTGTATATCCAGCCGACGCATCGCAGATGGGAACAGCAGGAACCGAAGACATTCTGAGGCAGGTGTCATCTACCTTGAGCGAGTGCCCAGACCACATGTTTGCCTTGCTGGGTTATAGCCAAGGTGCGGCGCAGACCACCGCAGCGGTACAGCAGATTCCAGAAGATAGCGACGAGTTTGAAGCTGTCAAAGCCATCATCGTGATCGGAAATCCAAGTCGCGTTCCTGGTCTGCAGGGGGATGTCGATGACAATGGTCGCCAGAGTGGCAGCACAGGAGTGCAGGCCATGATGGGAGGGATACCGCAGTACTGGGACGATGCCGGCAAGGTCCTGGATATCTGCGCGGCAGGCGACAACATTTGCAGTGGTATGGGCGGCGGTGGCGGTGGAATGATGCGACGGTTGGGTGCGGGCCATATGACCTACCCAGGGAGCCAGTGGGTGCAACAGGCTGGAGCAGATTTCATGATCAAGGCATTCAGCGGGGAGAATGATGAGTGTTCATCGGACGACGATGACGATGATGAGGCGGAGGACGATGACGATGAGGAGTGCACGTCAGACGGCGACGAAGACGATGATGATGATGAAGCGGACGATCTTGGCGCCATAGAGACAAGTTCCACAGGACACGGTGCCGGAAGAAAAGGTGGCTCAGGCATGCATCGTGAGGCAGACGTTGAGGACGGCGATGACGAAGCGGGTGACCTTGACGATGTGAAAACAAGTTCTAAATGGCAGGACGCTGGCCATGGAAGGAACGGCCGCACGGGCACACATCGCGGGAAGACAAAGACGTTCAAGAAGGACAGAACCGAATTGGACTCGCTTGAGGACAGCGAAACTGCAGCTGATGAATTTGAAGGAAGGAGGACGAGTCCAAAATGGAACGATCATGGCCATAGGGGAAAGGGCAGCGCCGGTAGACATCGCGGGGGGAGCCAGCCGCTCAGCGAAGACCTAAGCGAGTCGAGCGAGGCTGAGGACGAAGACTCGGACACTGAGCCCGAGAGCGCACGAAGCCCCGCGCGTGGCAGTGGACGTACCCGGACCACATTCCAAGACATGCCAGTGCGAGGCAGTCAAGCCCAGAAAAGCGCGGACAAAGACGATTGCCCGTGTAAGAAAGGTCAAGGAGAGATGGACGGAAGCGAGACGGGGTCGAGCGCATCTCCAGCTTCGGACGAGGTGTTAAGCACAACAGACGACGACGACGCGGAGGAAGAGGAGTCCCAAACCCTTGATTGCCCCGAGCCAGAAGATGAATCATCCATCGAGGACGAGACTGAAGGTGAGGATGAGACTGAAGATGAAGCGAGCCCCACAGATGGTCATGGGACGAAGGATTCGCACCAGGCGGAAGAAAGAAGCACGAGCGCAGAGGCGAGGCCGAACAAGCGTGGTACTATACCGGCCACGACTGACGTAGGAAAGGATGGCAGCACCGAATTCGAGGAAGCTGCTGGTCAAGCTGTAGATGTCGAAGGAATAGTGGGGAAGCGTACTGCGCCCAAGAAGCCAAAGAAAGCCCCGAGGCGCAAGATGAGGCAGGCAAAAGTAGAGAATTCAGCGCTGCTTAGCGAGACCCAAGGCGGTACGGGCAGCCCCAATAGACACCTGCGCCAGAAAGGCATGAAGCGCTGGACCAAGAGATGGTCTCGCTTCTGACGCGGTCTCGTCTCGTCTTCATGATCCTTCGTAGGCCCCACGTGGGATCCGCGCAGCTGGGCTGCTAGATCAATTTGTGGCACCAGTCGTGCTTTCTGGTGCACCTCTCCATCTCTGTCTCTTGCGCCCTCCTCTCTCTTTTTCACAGGTTCGCATACCGGGCAATGCAAGCAAGTTCAAGCCTTCCACCGACGCCTACCTCCCCCAGTCCTTGTACGTGTACAGACCTACATCAGATACGATCTCGGTCTAGCTCCTTTCCCATGGAATCTATCTCACTGTTCACGGCTCCATCTGAGTTGCCCTTTGGATATCTTCTCGAATCTCATGCTCATATAAGACCAAGTCGTGTTCGACCCCTTAATTTCACATGCATCTTTGTCCCGCTAAAAGCGAGCGGCAACCGTGAGCTTGCCTTTCACCCTGCCGCGCTGCGACGCACAACATCTAGACATTGCGATGCAGAGGACGATCTTGTCCACCTGATGCTCGACGTTTGATTATGGATTTGCGGCGGATTTACAGGATCGCTTGCGGAATGCTGTGATGTTTAAGAATGCTGATTGACATTTGAAGCGAGTGATTGCCAAGCGGACTGCAAATGGCCTTTATGGGAAAAGGGCGTGGCCATCATTGATAGCTGCTACGATGGCACCTCCGACGTCGCGATGAGGATTGCCTCTCGCGCAGTTTACTGCGACTTCCTTGGCGGTTTCCCAGGAAGCTTTACTCGTCCTTCTCCTCGCTGTCATCACCCTTAGCTGCGTCGTTCTCGTCAGCGCCAAATTCAGCCTTTGCCTTGGCGTCTTGTCTCGAAGTCCTGAGATAATGCAAGAGCAGAGCTCAATCAGCTTCGGCATTCCTGGCTTCAAGCAGCAGTGAAGCTGGTCGCAAGTCCTGCACACCCACTTTGGACTCACTTTGCGGCTGCGACAGTCTTCTTCGGATCGGTAATGTGGCTGTCCTCTCCACCTCTGTGTCCCTCCTTGACCGCTGCGACTCCGGTTTTGAAGACGTGATCGTCCTTGTGGGTCTCGCGGACATCAGTCTGCTTGGCCTTTTGCCTAGACGCAGGTTCGTCCTCCGCAGTGTGAGATAGCTCAGCCAGGCGCTGTGGGCGCATCCAAGACCAGAATAATCAGCACGCACGCCATTGCTGGCCTAAGTTAAAGCGCTTTCTGGCGACCTTTGAAGTAGTATCCTGCCTGGCAAACACAGCTGCCCCATCCTACGTGCTCGCGAAGAACCTCACGCACCTTGTTTCCTGCGGGAGCATCCTCGTGCTGATCCTTGGACTCCGTCTTTCCCTTTGCCAGCTCCTCAAAGTCGAGTCCAGCAGACTTGTCGTCCGACACGCGAGGCTTCTTGGCGTGCGAATCGTGGCCCCCGTGACCATGGCCATCCTTTGGGGGAGCGGTCAGGTAGATGCCGAGACCTGATGATCATATTGGGAGCATACAAGGTCAGCAAATTGCATCGCGCAGGCCATACGCACGCCGAGCAATCTGGCATCGAGGCTATGTCGGCTTGAGATATGGGCTGCAGCCGCTGCTTAGCGCAGCACTTGAAGACTCGCTTTCACGCACAGGGCCACCCACGGTCCTCCTCGTTTGCAACGCCTGCCACTGCGCTGTGCACCTGCCTCTACTGACCTCCAAAGACGACGAGACTAGAAATGGCCCAGGGCACATCGCTGCTTTGCTGCTGCTTCTCGCCTTGATGAGCACCGCTAGCGTAAGACCTGCGAGCGAGTGCAGGCGAGGCGCATCTCCTGGGCACCGCAGCCGCAGCGCGGCGGACAGCGGAGGAGGAAGCGGAGCGAATAGGAGCGATCATTGTTGATGCCAGACCAATCTTTGAAAGAGCTTGCGCGATGCGAAATGGAAATGAAGCGAATGATGGTTGAGAAGGAGGAGGTGAGTTGCAGTAGTCTGACGAAGATCAAGGAGCGAAGTTGAAGGCTGGCTGCATGCTTTGGCAACCGCACGCACGCACGCAGCACGTTTTGGCTTGCGTCTGATGTGTAGTCGCAGAGAGAGAGAGGCCTGCCGCGCACGCAGAAGAGGCTGAGAGGCTTGCTGCATACTCAGGCTGGCGCGTGCGCGCGCGCGCGCGCGCGCGAGATGGGAAGCTTTGCACGCCGCGGTCGCCTTTGCAGCCCCAGCCCTGCGCAAGCGGAAAAGGCACGTAACGTACGCGAGATTCGATCGGTTGCATGCAGCATCATATTCACGATTCGTCGTTATGCCTGCATGCTTTCTTCCGCAAGCGACCATGCAGCAGCAGCAGAGCGCCTTTGCGGTGGGGGATGGCAAACCATGGAGCAGCAGAGCAGCACGCTATATTGGTTTCCCGAATGTGTAGTCGTGAGTCTGTTTGAGTGAACTGGTAGCGGCAGCGACAAGTGAGCGAGAGTGTGTAGCTATAGGCCACGGGAGTGTGCGTGTGCGTGGTCAGGATTCGGCAATGCCAATGCGCGCAGGGCTTAATGCTCAAGGACGTCAACGGGTCCAAACCTCTACATCCGCTTCATCTGCATACAAGATGACCCTTCGCGTCTTGAGACTCGACTCGACTCCAGCCGTTCGTATACGACACGAGTCACGCGTGGGCGCGGGCGCGGGCGCGGGCGCGGGCATGTTCGCTCCAGAGAGCATCTCGCTAAGGATCACGTGTCGCATCGGCTAGACCCCGTCGGCCACGTGCTAGCGCTTCTCCGTGTTCCTCCGACAAGCCGGCAGCGCCGCGCTTCATGGTCCAAGGTCACACGATATCAACCAGCAGCAGCTTTTCCGATCGGAAGGCGGCGGTCCATCAGCAAGAGCGATATATGTTCCAGACGAGACGTCTTCGCGATGTCGCAGGAAAGGCCCCTGCATCAAATATATGTAGCTGCTGCCCTTGCGCAAACTATACTGTAAGCGGCCTCGATCGGCACGTCGCTTGGAAGAGAAATTAATAGGCTGGCAGCCAGGCGCGCCGAACTCGTGACTGATGACATGTATGGGAACATGAGACGAGACTGATGCCTTCCCGCTGTGAATCTTGAGCCTGAAAGCGGTGGAGTATGGAATTTGACTCACGCTGGCCCGCCGTTCGCGAACCCCGCGTAGCAGTCACGATCGATGTAGGACCTGCTGTTGGAATCTAAGAGGTGTTTTGAAGGTGCAGGCAGCGTGGCTGCTGCACGCCGCCGCAATTAACGGCAAGCGTTGCAATCGGGCAGTCGCGAGTTAGGCAAGTGCTTGATGCTGGTTGCATCGGCTGTGTGTTGAGTGTAGCCGTACGCGATGGTGCCCGTGTCTACCCGATACCTCGAGAAGGACTGCCATTTACATGTCCGACGTCGTCACCGTGTCATGCCTCATGATGCTGTCCCAGGCATGTGCGGAGAGTAATGAGCTCCTCTCCTCGGGTATCGGAGCAGTCTAAATGTCGCAGGTGTGATTGGCGTAGTAGGGTTTTTGCGAGAATCAAAAATGGTACAAAGGTAGAGAGCAGCGAGCGTGAGCTGGCCATCACACACCTTCCAAGTCCAACCTTTTCTTCCCCTTCTCTCTCACAACTAAATCCTCGCTCTGGCCTCGCATCTGATTCCTGAACCTTCTCCCGACATAGACGCCTTCGCTGGCCCAACACAAAATCAACTAGATCGTTCACGTGAGTTGCCCGCTTCTGCGCTGGATGTACATGGCGAAGCAATTTGCTGATACAGCCCACCTTGCAACCCCTTCTTCTTCACCCTCCTCCATCCCCGCACTCGTGACTGTTGCCTGCTCGCATCCCGTGGCTGACGGCTCTCTTTTGTCTCCAAATGCCCTGCTGATTCGCGTCCGTTGGCGATTCATCATTCGTGATTGGACCGCCTGACTTCCCCGCCCCGACCCCACGCGCGCGCCCCTTACGACGAATCCTCGCTCCCGACTGGCGACCTGTGACGTGACTTTTGATGCTCTCCCCCCTCACGCTCCTCACGACTACTGCTGCTGCTGGCGATGCTCGTACGGCCTGCATGTCTCCTGCTGGGCTGGGCCTCTTGCCGATGCGCATGTGCCGACATGCTGCTGCATCGCCTGCTCGATGCGCTTGCATGCATATGGGCGGCTGCATGGCTGTGTGCGCGCCTCAAAAATCACCCTCCACCCGGTACCCGGCTTCCCCGCTCTCACCCGAACGGCGGCACTCAACTCTCACACGCATACACGCACGCGCGGGCGTACCCTTCCATTCTCGGATGTGCTGCTGCTGCTCTCAATAATGTCGCACCGCTTGTGCACTACCCATCCCCACTTCCATTCTCTCGACCTCATCATTCTGATTGCTTTGACCCTCAAAGTCGAGCTCTTCTAGTCACATCACCCCGTAAACAGTCACTCGCACATCCAAACATTCTTCATCATGACTTCCCCCGGAAACCATCACGATGAGCTGGTCGGAGCTACTCCCCACTACCCCATGCTCCACAAGCAAGATGACCTCAAGCTGTTCTCCAGCGCCGGCTTCGATATGGACAAGGTGAGTGCAGATCAGCGGGCTCTCGGCCAGACCTGCACCTGGTGCTGGCGCGCGGGCGAGATATTCCGAGACACGTCTTGCTCAACGCAGTCGCACCTTTGGCACCACCTCAGATCCATCTCAAGCGCAATGCTCCCGTCGCGCAACTGTACGAGGAGGCCATCCAAAAAGAGGGTGCCGTCATTAGCGACACTGGTGCGCTGATCAATTTCTCCGGAAAAAAGACTGGTCGCTCTCCCAAGGACAAGCGTATTGTGTTTGAGGAGACCAGCAAGGACGACATCTGGTGGGGACCTGTCAACATCAAGATGGACGAGCACACTTTCGAGATCAACCGCGAGCGGTGAGTAGCGCTGCACGCGCATGGCAAAGGTCAAGGTCGGGGTTCGGTGCGACATCTTGCGCAACAAGCTCACGCTGAGGCGACTCGTTCTGTGGTGCAGCGCCATCGACTATCTGAACACTCGCGAGGACATCTACGTCTTTGATGGATTTGCAGGTTGGGACCCCAAGTACCGCATCAAGGTCCGAATCATTTGCGCTCGTGCCTACCACGCTCTCTTTATGCACAACATGCTGATCCGACCCACTGCTGAGGAGCTGGAGAACTTCGGCGAGCCGGACTTCACCATCTACAATGCTGGTCAATTCCCTGCCAACCGTTTCACTGCCGGTATGACCTCCTCCACCTCGGTCGAGATCAACTTCAAGAGACACGAAATGGTCATTCTCGGCACCGAGTACGCTGGAGAAATGAAGAAGGGTATCTTCAGTGTCATGCACTACTTGCAACCAGTCCGCTTCGGTCAGCTCTCTCTGCATTCCAGCGCCAACGAGGGACCCAACGGCGACGTCACCCTCTTTTTCGGTCTTTCCGGAACTGGAAAGACCACCCTGAGCGCCGACGCTCACCGTAGCTTGATCGGAGACGACGAGCACGTGTGGTCCGACACTGGTGTGTTCAACATTGAGGGTGGATGCTACGCCAAGTGCATCAATCTCTCTGCTGAGAAGGAGCCCGAAATCTACAACGCCATCAAGTTTGGTTCCATCTTGGAGAACGTGTCTTACGACAAGGTTACCAGGAAGCCGGACTACGACGACTCTCACCTCACTGAGAACACTCGTTGCGCTTACCCTATCGAGTTCATTCCCAACGCCAAGATTCCTTGCATTTCCACCAGCGCACCCAAGAACATCATCATGCTCACCTGCGACGCTTACGGTGTCTTGCCGCCCGTCTCCAAGCTTACAAGCGAGCAGGCGCAATACCATTTCATCGCTGGATACACCTCAAAAACACCCGGAACCGAACAGGGTGTCACTGAGCCCAGCCCCACCTTCTCCACCTGCTACGGCCAGCCATTCATTGTGCTGCACCCTCGCAGATACGCGGCCATGCTTGCCGAGCGTATGTCCAAGCACAAGGCGGATGCGTGGCTCATCAACACTGGATGGGTCGGCGGCAAGTTCGGACAAGGAAAGAGATGCCCTCTCAAGGTCACGCGTGCCATCGTCAACGCCATCCACGACGGATCTTTGGCCAAGGAAGAATTCGTGCCCTTCGACACCTTTGGCCTATACATTCCCAAGAGCGTCAAGGGCGTCGAGGACTCGAAGTTGCTGGACCCTTCTCAGGCCTGGCCTTCCAAGGATGGCTTCAACGCCGAGGTCAAGAAGCTGGCGGGCATGTTCAACGAAGCTTTCTCCAAGTACGCCGAGGACGTCTCCCCCGAAGTGCGCAACGCTGGCCCCAAGATTTAAACAGGCACGTGCACGTCGCCAATCAATGCGGGCTTCTGTTAGAGAGTCAAGAACGCCATTGCGAGCGTGACCTTCTCTTGCTTTGTGGCTCCTCACTAGCGTTTTCCCTCTCTCTTGTCTTGACCTTCCACATAATGTACGAAACGTCATTTGTCAGCACGTCAATCGACCATATTTCTGAAGCCTTTGCAGAGTGGGCAGATTTGTGTGATGTCGCTGCGAGCGTGTTTGGGCGGCTGCAGTGGGCGCGTGCCAGGGAGTGCAGAAGAAGATTGGCTCGAGGGAAGAGAGATCAACTTGAATTTCGAGCGCCAAATCTTGATGAGTAGGCCTTGATCGCGTCACGTGATACGTTAATGAGAACATCGCTCGTCTCGAGTTTTGGTCACGCGATGCGAGGAAAAAGGTCCTGGTGAAGGAGGGAGGCAGAAGGGCCGAAATTAGATCGTCTCGGTCCCTCAATCGGACAAAGGGCTCGCTCGCGCTTCTTCTTCCAAAGATCAATGTGACGAAGGGCTCGCCCGTCTAAATGATGAGCCGCGCAAGCGTACGTTCTTGCTGCAGCTGCTACTGTATGGTGAGTCGCGCGCGTGTGGCTTGCAGGCTAGTCGGGTCTGCTGCATGATGGTATCCTTGCCAAGAAGCTCGGCGCGACGCGCGCGTGGACGTGTGTGGGTGAGGGTGATGGCCGCTCGCTGGCTGGTACCTTGACCGCTCTCCTCCCTCATGGTCAAGTCATGTATCGCCCAGCAGATTCACGATTGGCAACTACGAAGGACTGTAGAAAGCGAAATACGAATTCAAAAGAAATCCGGAAGCGAAGTGAATGCGCTTTGATCTACAACAGTACTTCTTCACGGCTCAACCGTATATATGCATTCGTTGAAGCCCGACCCGACGCCAGCTGATAGAAGACGGGATCAGGTCTATCAGTCGCGCCTCGCCGGACTCCGGTCTTGCTGATCTGGTTTGGTCTCAGAACGGTGTGCGCCTGCTCGCCGCGGCCCCCGCGGAGCCATGCATGGCGCGGTAGCACAAGAACCCCAAGTCATGGTGAAGGGTTAATGCATGGATCAGCGCATTCGTGATTGTGTGGATATAGGTGCTGTGCAGCTTAACTGTACACATTCACAGTCGCCGAATACTGTATCATGGCCGTGATCGGACCCTTTTAAAGAAATGTCTGGGATTTGAGGCCGAGTGAAACAAGTAAACGGACCTCGAACTGAGTCAGAGGTGCGGGCTAACTGCATGCATCATGGAGCCAAGGGTTCATTCGCTTACGATGGATGGGTTTGTGCATGGCAAGATCGACAGTCGTGAGTGACAGTCAAAATGTGAATAATCCTGCCGGTGCGATTGCAGCCACCGAACCAGCCTTGTCGTTGGTCTCATCCAGGGATGCCCAGCTCGAAAGACTCGTGCAAGCACTTCATAGGCTTCTAATGCCCCAGTGTGCGGTCATGTTTCGCCGAATTGAATCGAAAATACCTCACCCTGACAACAAGCAGCTCACAGTACACAGGCACGCACGCAAGACCCCGTGCATCCAGCCGCGATCCGATCTCACCGTCTCTCCTCTTCTCGTCCTCTCGGCAGCAACGCGCGGGCGCGTGCGCGCACGCGCATCTCTGCTGCTGCTGCAAGCTGACACCACTGCATGGGAGGGAATGTGTGACGCAACCCTACGGTTATTTGGCCCGCTCTACCAGCTGACCGCAGTCGCCAAGAGTCAAATGTAAGCAAATGGAAAGGTGGTTGCTCGCTCCCCTCTGCTGCTGCTGCTGCGTCGCCGCGACATCTTTTGACCCGCTGATCGGCAACTAGCTCGCCATCAGCAAACAGAACTCGCACGCCGCACATACTCACGAGTAGGCCTGATGTTGTGGTACAGTACAGGTACGGTCACAGGTCGGGGTGAAGGACAGCCAAGACGAGACAGGAAAGTCGGTCAGATTGGCCCGGCCACTCGGACCGCAGGCCTTCTTTCACCTTATGGAAACCCCCACCGCTCGCCATCGCCGCGGTCTGATGCCCACAAAAGCTCGTCCGTCTACTCTTTAGGAGCGCGGCAACGGGCAAGCTAGAGTCAACGGTGCTCGATCGGCACATGTGTTGCCAAGCTCAACGAGTGCGTGTCGCCGACAAGAGACGATCAGACCGTCCCAGCCCTTCGGCCTGCAAACCGCCCTGCACCATCCTGAGCCACCGGAACCGCTGGTCGATGATGTGGCAGATCGGTACACTACAGCATTGCATACGACGAACGACTTTGCCTGCTTCGCTGATGCCCCATCCCGCAATGGTATCAGTACAGAGACTTTGCCCGCGATCTTCGGCACACTTTGCCGTCTGCAAGGAAGCAGGCCGTGGGGAATGAGGGCTGACCGAAGGGTAAAGCATGCGGCTGTCGATCCGACTGCAACAGCACTCGCCGGGCCATTCCCACCGATTTTCGATCGTGTGCGCTTGCTTCATAGAGTACTGTAGTAGTAGTAGTAGTAGTGGTGGTGGTGTGCGATTGACTGACCGACATCTTTTGGAACCCAGAAGATTATATATGCGCTCTTTCTGTCTCTCATCATCATCATCATCATCTTGGCACCGAGGAACCTGTCTCATGACCTCGAGGCTGTGCTCCAGCCACACATCTTCTCCCTCTTGACAATCTCCTACACTCTTTGAGTTCATCAACAAACACAGTCCTTACCGCTCTTTACTTTGCCTCTTCGGTCCAACTTGCAAGCCACTGACCACCTTGTACCTGATTTTCTCCTCGCTCCTCGCTCACAATCTGCCCATAGCCTTCACATCAAGCTGGAAGGCAAGGTACACTCTCGGATCACACACTCTTTGAAGATATCTCCGCAGCCCTTTGGTCCGCTCTTTTGGCCAGCTCGTGCACATACTCAATCACGTCGTCGACACCTATAAGACGCACGTCCTCATCACCCCTTTGCAAGTCTTTCTCGCAACGCAATCCACACACTTGGACATCTCAACTTGTTCACAATGCGGCTTTTCCTCTTGGCCAGCGTCGCACTTGCGTTCCCATTCATCGCCGAGCTTGCGCATGGAGCTGCTACACCACTTGCACTCGAGGCTAGAAATACTCTCTTTGATGCCCGCGCTCAAGATGTCAACGGCAGTGCTGCTTTGGACTTGCTGCACACGCTCGAAGAGAGGGACGCCTTTACCGACAACCGTGGGCTTGCCGACGACAAAGGTCTGACATCTACGGGAGAGCGTCCAGCAGGAGCTTTTGCCACCACGTTTCAGATCGGGTCTGGACGTCTGTTTGCATGGCAGAGCAAGACGCCGCACGACGAGCGGGACGCCGAATCTGTCTTCATTAACTTGCACGGCGTGAACCGCAATGCGAACACCTACTTTCGCATTCTGAACAACGCGTGGGCCCACGCGAGGGATGCTGGTGTCGGATCTGCGCGGCCCAACTCTCTGAGGATTGCACCCCTCTTCTTCAGCACGCTCAGGGACAGCAGAGCTATCAACGCAAGCACGCTGGCATGGGGCGACTCGAACACGTGGACAGGTGGTGACGGAAGCACCAACCCAGCAGGATCCAACCTGAGTTTGTTCTCTGTGTACGACTTCTTCTTGGAAAAGTACAGCGATAGCCGCAACTACCCGCGCATGAGGACGATCACCTTTTTGGGCCATGGCGGTGGAGCTCAAGTGGTGCAGCGATACGCGGTCTTGGGTCGAGACAACCCCGCTCCTGGACGTATTAGCGTTCGTTACGTCGTTGCCAACCCTTCCTCCATGCTCTATTTCACTCGAGACCGCCCTGTCGAAGTCGACACTAGAAGTTGCAACTGGTTCGACGACTTTCGTTATGGGTTCGGAAACTACCGCAGCCCTTACCGTCTGCCCGGAAGCGCTGCTTTCCTCTTCAAGAGATACGCCTCGCGAGACGTGCGATACCTCGTAGCCAGCGACGACGACTCCTCGGTCGAGGGCGACCAGCTCTGCGGAGGCCGAGCAGCTGGCGGTCCAATTCGTCACAATCGAAGCTGGGCCTATTGGAAGTACCTCAACCTGCTTAGCGGCAACAACAACACCTCCATAAGAAGTCTGTTTGGTGATTTCCCAGCTTTGGAACCAGGCAAGAGCAATAACGGAGGTAGGATTCCTACATCATCTGCTGCTCACCTTGGCCAATTCAGAGGAGTTAGCGTCAACCATCGAATCGCTGCTGTGCACAACACCGGACACAGCGCAACAGCCGTCTTGGAGTCAGCAGCCGGTCGAGCGTTGATGTTCCAAGCCAGAGAAACTCTTCCTCGGCAGCAGAATTGAGTTGCGCTCGCTCGACCGACCGACCGGCCGCTTCATAAAAATTTGTGCCGCGAGATGTTTCCTTATGCTCCTTCCAGCCCCCACCTGTACAATTTTTTTCCCCTTCTTGACACAGCGCCCGTTGAGCGACTCCTTGCTCAGCCGTTTGCGCGCCGCCTCGTCCGTGCCCGTCTTCGAATCTTAGACGTCTTGCCGGATCGCCGTTTCTCATGCTCGCTCACACAGTCATCTGTAGACCATTATTTGCTCTGCCTGCACAATTACTTTGCCTTTGCAATCAAACACCATCCCGATAGACTCTCATACAGCAGCGAAGCCCGGCTGCAATATTTAAAACGTCACACGGCGTCCTGGCTGAAAAGAACGTGAAGTGAACCCATACTGATTGCTAGGGGCAGACGTGCTGCGGAGTGTCTACGATCAATTGTACTGCGCGTACAGGCTCGTGCTGGAGAATTTGGAGCCTTGCCTGACAACCTTTTCCACGGCGTCCAAGAAGTCCCTCTCTGTGGCCATCTTCCTCCTCGCTCTAATGGCAAACATGCCGGCCTGTAAAGCAAGGAAGGGTAATGCGTCAGCCAGATCATCACGCGCGGAGGCGGCTGGTGACGAGGCCGCGGCACTCACTTCAGTTGCGACGCTTCTAAGCTCAGCACCTGTCGTGTTGGGACATAGACGGGCAATAAGGTCGAATCGAATGTCTCGCTCGACCGACATGCTTCGAGCGTGAATACGAAGAATGTGTGCTCTACCTTCATTGTCTGGCAAGCCAAACTCCACTCTTCGATCCAGACGCCCGGGCCTCAGCAATGCTGGGTCGAGCGTGTCCGGTCTGAGCGCGGTGGGAACGCTATGCATCAGCAGCTGACCGAAATTGCTCGCACACGTCTGCTTGGCGAACTCACCTGTTCGTCGCCATGAGTACTTTGATGTTGCCTCTAGCATCGAAGCCATCCAGCTGATTGATCAATTCCAACATGGTTCGCTGAACCTCGTTGTCGCCTCCAGCACCATCGTCGAATCTAGCTCCACCAATAGCATCCACCTCGTCAAAGAAAATGATGCAGGCTTTTTTGCTTCTCGCCATCTCGAACAGCTCTCGAACCATTCGAGCTCCCTCTCCAACGTACTTCTGCACCAGCTCGGATCCGATGACACGGATGAAGGTGGCGTCTGTCCTGTTCGCTACTGCGCGCGCGCAAAGAGTTTTGCCAGTTCCAGGTGGGCCGAAAAGCAGAACTCCCTTGGGGGGGTCGATACCGAGATTGACAAAGCGTTCGGGCTGTCGAATACCAGGCAGGCGAAGGTGCCAAGCTGAATGAGTCAGCATCCACTCGTCACATTGCTTGACCGAGCCGCAATCGTCTCACATTCAACAAAGGCGTCTCTACGACTTCTCTGAGTTTCTCGATTTGCTCCTTGCAGCCTCCAACATCTCCGTACGTGACGTCCGGCTTCTCCTCGACCTGCATCATAGTGACGCTAGGGTCAATTTTGGGTGGCAAAGGAATCTGGATTTGATACTTGTTGCGATCAACACTGGGTCGAGCAATAAGAGAACAGGGATTAGATTCCACACAGCTCCTGATGTATGCGTTCCTCGCTAGAGTAAGCGCGACTCACCCGACACGCATGCCCTCCTCGATATCTGTGGGTGCCACTCGCTCGCCCAGACCAACGACGAATTTTGCGATCTGCTTAACGTTGATCACATACTTGTCCTCCTCTTCTGCATTTGGAGCGCCTTGGCCTCCAAGGCCGCCCAATCCGCCCAGACCGCCGAGTGTGGGTCTTGCTCTGCCGCCACTGGCCGCATTGCCTGCAGCAGCACCAGTGTTGGTTGCATTGGCAGCGTCTCCGCCGCCGGGGCCAGCATTGCCATCCGGAGCTGAATTCTCCCTCTTGTCAGCACCTTCGCCCGCCTTGATGATTTTCGTGCACCTGGCTACTTGCAACGGATGTTCCTCTCCCATTCTCTGCCTGTCAGCAGCCACGTCCCAAAGATTGGGAGGTGCCAAACCGGTATCGCTCTCTTTGACACCCTGCTTCTCGTTGATCCTAGACTGAACATCCTTGATCTCTTGCTCGATCGCCTTGAGCGCGATGGCGTAGGGTCCTTGACCATACGTCTTGAGGAGCTGAATGTCGCCCTCGTCTAGCGCTACGATGGGCTCGTCATCCTTCTTGTCCACATCTGGCTTCTTGTACTTTTCCCAATCTGCCTTGGGAGCCATCGTGGACCAGAGTGGCTGTCTCGGTAGAGGGAATTTTTCACTAAATATGCTCTGCGAGGCTTCCTGGCCGTTATTTCGAAGAAAGTCAAACTCGATGGGACAGTGAGGAGCGGAATGTTCATGGACGCAAGCCATGAACATCTGCAGTCGTGAGGGGACATGAAGGCATGCACACGGCTAGATCATCATGAACCCCGCCGCTCCGCGCTCAGAGGACGCGCGTCGATGGTCCGCGCGCTTGCTGATGGAGGGTGGAGCCTGCCAGTCACGTGATACTACTTTTGGCGCACAAGCATCAGAGGCTGGCGCGCCTCCACCCGCTCGCAACTGCATGCTGAGCTCGACTGGATTCGGTCTTCGCTGCGATCGATGGCTCACCTCGTCGCATCCATCTCACTTCCATCAAGCGCCATGCAGCAGCTTCATTGCTGATTCCAGCCAGCTTCTCAATCCTCGTGCATGCCTGGCCTGCGTGCAATTGACGCTCGCCTTCGATTCTGAGCAGCTCTCGCGACACTCCACACACGCTCTTCTACGCCGAACCACGCCTTCCACGCCGCTGTCCCCCGCCCACTTTGCGCTTCGCTCACCTTTTGCCTCTTCCTTTGCGATTTGCGCTTTTGTTCACCTCTGCGCTGCGTGCTGCCAACTTCTTTCCGACCTTGCAGTATGCTTCGACGCTCATCACGCGGCGGTGCGATTATCTGACCGTATAGCGGTATCGCGTATTCCCTCTCATCCTTCCTGCGACCTCCTCGCCGCATTGGGTCCACAAGGATGCGAATCGTCACGTGGAACGTGAATGGGCTCAAGACCATTCGGCATTATCGGCCATGGATCAACTTGTCAAGTTGGTCAGATTGTCTGGACCACCTCGAGGCCGACATCGTGTGTTTTCAAGAGGTCAAAGCTACGCGCAAGGTGGTGTTGAACGATCGAGATATGTGCTTGCCACAAGCATACACCAGCTACTTTGATCTGCATCCTACCAAAGGCTACTCGGGCGTGGTCACCTACATCAAGGACTCCAGCTGCAGACCACGTGCCGCTGAGCGTGGCATCACTGGCACCATAGCTCAGCCCAGAAGTATCGGTTGCTACCCGGATCCGCGCGATGAAGCAGTGTGGGAGTCGATCGATGCGGAAGGAAGAGCTTGCGTGATCGATTGCGGTCTCTTCGTCCTCTTCAACTTGTACTGCCCAAACGAGACGGACGAGAGCAGGAGAGAGTACAAGATGGCGTTCAATGCTGCTTTGCAAGAACGCGCCCATCGCCTGCTGGATGCTGGCAGGCACGTCATCAGTGAGTCTCCATCCATTGAGCGGGCATGGCAAGCGAAAGGAAAGGCAAAGTACCATTTCTGATGCGATAGTTCTCTTTTGCAGTTCTTGGCGACATCAACGTTGCACATCTTCCTATCGACCACTGTGACTCTGTTGGCCGCGAGTCGGCTTCCGATTTTCTGAGCGCGCACCCGGCACGTGCCTGGTTGGACTCCTTTTTGGCTCCACGAGGGAGATTTCACGACGTCACGCGGATGAAGCATCCTGGTCGAAAGGGCATGTATACAGTGTGGAATACTCTGATAGATGCCCGACCAGCGAATTACGGCACGCGCATCGACTATATCCTAATTGACGAAGGCTTGATACCTTGGTTCAAAGACTCAGACGTGGCTCAGGACGTCTACGGCAGTGACCATTGTCCAGTTTGGATCGACTTGCACGACGAGATCATAGATCGAAATGGCAAGAAGAACCATCTGCGAGATGTGCTGGGTGGCGGCGAGGCGCATGCTGCTAGGAAGGCCCCACCGCTCGCCAGCTGCAATTGGCCTGAACTCAGCCAAAGAGGTATTAAAAGCTTCTTCGGAGGCTCTGCCGCGTCGCCTGCCCCCGTAGCCTCTGGACAGGTTTCGCCTCAACTCGGCGAGCCTGACACAAGTCGGGCCGCCCACGATGATAAGATGGAACTGTCGACATCAACGTCAGTGTCCAGAAACTCCGCCAGCCCTATCAAACCCAACTCTCCTTCACAAGTGGATACATTCCCCGCATCACCTTCGGCGACGACATCAGCTAGCACAGCCAAGAGACGCAAGTCGGACGCAAACATCTTCGCAAAGGGTCGCAGCTCTTCGAAGCTTCTCATTGCTTCCAATTCTAGAGAAAGCAAAGCGAATGGGCGCGACAAGGATCAGGGACAACTGAAACTGAAGAGCTTCTTTTACAAAGCCTCCGGCGAGACAGCAGAGGCCTCTCGCGTGGCGAAGGAGCCTGCCACGCATCACATTGATATGACGAAGGAGGATTCACCACGCACACCGTTGCCCCAGTCTAGCGTAGATACCTCTTCGAGCATCACGAGACATGAGCTCGAGCAGTTGAACGCCCCCCGAGTCGACACGCAGCAAAGCTCCAGCGCCGATGCGGGATTAACAGACGCAGACGGAGGCAAGATCACAGAAGGCCAAGAAGTAGCATCGGGCTCGCAAGCGAAAGACGCACCCGCAGATGACGCGGCCACGCGAGTTTCGACCTCTTTGGCATGGGGTTCCATCTTCGCTCCGCCTCCCGCACCACTCTGTCGGGTGCACGACGAAGTTTGCACAGCATGGACAGTGAACAAATCGGGGCCAAATCACGGACGCAAGTTTTACCTGTGCTCCAGACCTGTGGGACATGGGTATGAGCGATCCGGAAGAGACAAGAAGGACGTGGACCGGCAGTACAGGTGCGATTTCTTTTGTTGGGCCAATGAGGGCAGAGCGAAAGCGGCGAGAGCGAGCGCGCGCAGTCGAGTGGAGAACAATGCTGGCAAGGAGCCCGGCGGCGAGGCGACACTTAGAGATGTGGCTTGCACTGCACCTGCATTAGGCAGTGGAGACAAGCGAGGAAGGTCGTTCGGCAAACGATCGAGCAGTGACAGTGTCAAGGCGGAAGATAGATCGCCGATTCAGCGTTCGGATGACGATGTCAAGGAAGCTCACAAACGCGTGAAATGGTAGTCTCTAGAGCTACTCATGATTCGTGGCCCTCCCACGCTTCAACCATGAGGATCCTTCCTCGCTGCTCTCCGAGCAAGGGTCTTCGACGCCGATCAATTGTAACAGTTCACATGCATTGTATTCGTATTTCTTCGTGGAGAGATCTAAGGGCCAGACGTGTAATCAATTGGTTCGCGTAGCAAGAGAGCATGTGCTCGGATTTGAACCTCGGCTCCGTGCGGAAAAATCTATGTGGAAGAGTGCTTCGCATCAAGGATCAAAAGTGATTTCTAACGGCGAGCAGTAAGAGCTCCCTTCAGGTCGCCTTTGTCACAACGAATCCTGGTGCGAAAGGCTGCCACGGGCCCAGGCATTGTGGATGCCGCCTTTGCTGGAGCTGGAAGAAGAAGGGACTTGCGAGGCTGCAAGGGTCGGTCCAGCACTGGAGCTCGAGCTTCTCCGCCATGCGTGAGCCGAAGGGCTGGCTACGTCTGATGTCGAGAGAGACGGGATGCTCCCCGTTGCATGAGGACCCGAAGGGCTCGTTGCGAGGGGCCAGGCATCAGAGCTGTCCAAGTTCAGCTCTGGGGGATCGGCAACGCCCGCGGGAGTCGACGGTCCGCTTGTGGCGCTGAGATTAGCCGATCCGGTCAAACTCCCGCTTAGGCTACCACCTGCGAGACTTCTTTGCGAGCCTCGTCGAGCGGCTGCAGGGACCTGCACAGTCTGAACCTTGGCATTTGGCGTCCTCCTCATAGCTCGCGTAGACGGACTAGCGGAAGAGCCTGCCGTGGCGATAATGTCCCAAGCCCGCGACGGGGACGTCAGCGGTAACGAGTGCGGAGACGGCGAAGGAGACGGAGAAGCTGACGTGGACAAGTCACCAACACCTGCGGAATTGTGTTCTGATTCTTGGGCGGACGTGGAGGTAGTGCGCCCAGCGTGCTCATGCTCTGCTTGCCATTGACTCTCTGCCATCGCAATTTGTTGCAACACTGCTTCAATATCGTCTGGCGGAGGTGTCTCACCGCGGGCTGGTGTGCGACTCGAAGAAGGGCCGTCGGCTACTCCTTCTTCATCGACGGCGCGGAATTTACCCGCTTCGGCTTCGTCTCTACTGAGCATCAAAGCTAGCTGCAGAGCGTCCTGCTCGTCAAGGTCGTTCTCTGCACTGCCTGCGACGAAGCGCAAACGATGGTATTCGGCTTGCGCCGAGTCTCGCTCGTTTTGGAGGCGTGTGGCAGTCTCTTGAACGTCGTCGCGAAGATCTCTACCAACCACGAATTTGCTCTCCTTGGTGCGCGCGGGTCTTCCCGACGATCTGTTCAAGCCTGTCTCACCTGTCAACCCTAACGCGCGCTTACCTTTGATCAGAGGACCAGCTCGCCACGCCAGGACGTGGGGACCAATGGCGGCCACCAGGGTGTCAGGTCCACTTGCGATTTGACTGACCGCGTACTTTGATGCCTCTTCGACTGACATGTCTCCGGCCATGAGCGCTCGGGCTGGATGGCGTGTAGCGGTGCGATCGTTAAATGTCCGAATGTGCGCCCCGGAAAGAGGGCAAAAGGCTTTGATGGTCCCGTCGGCAGCGCCGACTACGACAGCGTGTGCTGTCACGTCAATTGCCGTGATGGCGCAATGGTGCGCGCGGATCTCAAGCGATCGGACTGGGCTGCACAGAGATGCACTGGTAGCATCGTCGGTCCAGTCCCATGCGCAGACGTATCCGTCCATCGTGCCCGCAAACACACAGGTTCGCTCCGCGAAACTTGCCTCGCCAAGCGGAGTAGAAGGTGGCCCGAGGACGAGGGAGCTCGAAGGAACCAGCACAGGGGTGGGTTCGGACTCTTTGACGACTTGCCCCTGGGCGGACGTTGCATGGCGACGAGCCTTCAAAGCGTACATGTCGAAATCAGGCCTGACGGACGTGATCGTCGCGCCTGTTGGAGAGCTAAACATACTGCTGATAACACGCGCTTGTTGTCCGGCGCCCGAAGGATGAAGCGTGTGCTTGCAAAAGAAGGGCGCTCTCGCATAGCGTGCTAGCAAGCTGACTGGTTTGCTTGAGTCCGAGGCTGAAATCTGGATCGGGGCTTGCTCGAGCACCACCAACTCCACTGCTGGATCGTGCATGTCGTATTTGGCAGGCTTAGGCAATTCGTGCCGAGAAATGGCAGAGAGCACGGCTCGATAGCGCGCCCTCGCCTCTCGCTGCGACGGTGTTGCTATCGCTCCTGGCTCTTCAAGGGCAGTGGCTGGTAGTGCGAGAAGTGCTTTGACATCGAGGTCTTTCCAGATGCAGATTTCTCCTTCAGACGTGCCGGCAGCAACGACGCCCGCTGATGCATCGTAGTCGACGCATACCACCGGAGCCGGTGGAACCCGAGAAGGCGGTAGAATTGCGCCGCTGTCGTCGCGCTGCTGCGCTTTGACCAGACCTGTCCACAGGGGCACAGGTCGGCTTGGGCACCACAGACGGACTGTAGCGTCAGTACCAGCGGTGACAAAAGTCAGTGCAGCATCTCCGAGGGCCTCCTGCTTCTGTCGAAGACGCTCAGGAGCTCTGCCGATTCCTTGGGAGCCTGCTTTGTTGCCATCAAGAGCTGGCGCAATTGCTAGAATACTGCCAGCATGCGCTGCACGGCCCGAAAAGGCATGACTGCGAATGAGGGCGTGCGGCTTGTTGCCTTGTCGCGTCAAAGTCGTTTGAGTGACGCCACCGGTGACCGATCCCCAAATGACACGCCCTGCATCGGCATCGAGAGCGACTGCACTAATGAGCGCGTCCGCGTGGGAAGTATGATTGACGATGCCTCCATGGGCGTCCAGGAAGCCAAGGGCAACCTTGCCCGAAAATGGATTGGATCGAGCGGCAACTCCATGAATCTGCGATACCGAGAGAAGGAACGAATGCTGCAGATTAAGTGCAAATCCGCTGAGCGTCGCGATGTGCGGATCGTGGATGACAGTGGGTGCACGCGATTTGCGCCAGCGGCGAAGAGTCTCTGAGCGGCGAAAATACTCCAGCTTCCAGCTTCCGGACTCAATGCGCCGCAAACTGGGCACCACGTCTTTATTCTCTAGGCCGAAAGCGAGAGCGAAAGCCAAACGCCATGTCGAGTCGTCTCGAGTCAAATGACCGATCAGACGACACGTGCGGGCAGCTGTTGCCAGACTGATTGGGTCCAAGAACGCGAGAATCCTGACCAGCAGCTCAGGCGGAAGCTGCAGCAAGAGACACCTGTCCATACGGGCCGCATACAAATTCTGGTGAGTCTATGAGCGCGCTGACGATTGCCCGATAGCATGCTGGAGGGCGAAAACTCACGAGTCGGCCTCTTCAGAATCGAGCTCCGAGGCTGTCGCTTCCTGATCGCTAGGGGATCTCGAATGGTGGTCATCCGCCTCGGCCAATGCCCGAGCGATGGCTTCGTCGTCATCGCAGTCAGGATAAAAGCCCTTCAATGCAGGCTCGTCATCCTTTTGATCATCTTGCAGTGCAAGTCTCGCTGCGTGGCGTCTGCCGGCACGCTGAGCAACTCTGTTGAATTGCTGTACGCCTCGATGTGCCTCGGCTGAAGGTGGTTCAAGCGAAGGCTGCTGGTGATCTGAGGAGCCACGATCGAGGATGAGAGCAGGATCATTGTAGACTGCGCCATGTTGTCCAGATTCTTGCGATGTCTGTGTGTGTGAGCGTTGTGAAGTGTGCTGTGTTAAATTGCGATTGCGGGTGTGATGCATATACTCGACAAGGGGGCGCGTCGGAGGTGTCAAAGAGTTTGCGAAGGCCGATTAAAGACGGACTTCGAGACTTGCAGCTGTGTTCGTCTGCGAGATGGAAGGCAAAGAGTGCTGGAACAGGTGTTTGGTACGTATGGTCGTGTCAAGGAAAGCCCCTTCTACCTTCTCCGCTCAGCATGACTGGTCTCGCAGTCACCGTGACTCAGTATGCCCTGCAGTGAAACTTTTAACGAGCTGTGCCGGGCAAGGGTCGCGTCGCGCGGTTCTCTCGCGCACTCCGTGGCGCGACGATGCCTTGTAAATCACGTGATGTGGTAAGGGCTTTGATTGATTCAGAAGATCATCCAACAGCACGCACCAAGATTCAACCGAAGACCCGCCTTTGATCTCACAGTCTTGTGACATGCTTTGACTCTTGCTTCGGGCGGCCTTGACCTGTGGACTCATAACAGTCATTTGAGATCCGCGCGGCGGCATTCGAGATCGATTCATGCCGTACCGGCACCATCAGCGCTCGGCGCGCGGAGGCGCGGCGCGTGCGACGCAAGGGGACACGATATATTTAGGTCCTACATAGGTCTTGTGGTTCACGTGGTTGTAGGTACATCGACCCATCATACACATCCAACAGCTCACGCAGCTGAACTCGTCGTAGCACGTTGAAACATGAATGGCTAGCGCCTTCAGGATATACGGCAAATCAGCCTTTGCTAAAGCGTTCTAGTCCAAAATTGCATTCACGATTGATGAAGTGCGCCATAAGCGTGTTCGTCTTTCAATTTGCCCAGCAGAACCTCTATCGAATCGGCGTGCGTCTTCGGCTCCTCTGAGTCAAGATCGCGTTATGAGTTGAGTCGAACACCGAACTATGTCTGTCGACATAGAAGTCAGGACGACTTTGCGAAGCAGGCACAGCTAGGTGTGGCAGCAGCTAGCCACGAGATCAGGCGGCCGGTCAAGGACTTCCTGACGTCAGAGGAGCTTAATTGTTCACCTAGGGGTTCACACAACCGCGAGCCTTGGGTGTCGAGTCCAGAATTGCGGTTATCGGTGCATCCAAATCACAATCACGAATGAAGCGCGCCAGAGGGCACAGCGGAGCGAGACTTGGTCTAGGCCGGGGGGCGCGGGGCTGCTGCTGATGCCATGGGTTGTGCGGCATCATCAGCAGCGACTTCGGAGTTTCAAATCGTGAACGTGTGGCAGCTCGGACCTGCCCTTGCTCACATATGTATTATCTGCCTAAGCCACGCTTTTCCAGCGCACTTTGTGATTCCTTGATTGTGTGTGCTTGGTGCGAATTTTCAGATACACCTAGCTTAATTGCTGTCGAAAGCAAGGCTGCTGCTGCTGTGCAGCCTTGTCGCGATCGAGGGTTCGTGTGACTGCTCAGCAGGCGACAGCAACATCGTGTGCAGCACCGCGCGGGAAGAGGAGCGACGCAACAGCGGCTATTTGTTGTGCAGGTCTCAGTCAATTGAGCCTTCGCTACTACTACTCTTAATGTGTTCCTTACGATATAGGCGGGTTTTCGCTATGTACCATTCTTGACTATCAATGATCGAGGCAGTTATTAAAAGCTTGCGGAGCGCGATGGGCAAAGGCCTTGAATTGTTCATTCAAAATTGAAGCCAAACAATTGCCACGCACGCGACGCGGATGCAGACGCGAGCTGCGAGCGTCTATGCACGGAGGCGTCTCATGAAAAAAGGACGAAATGGATCGATCGCTCCTGCTGATGCATGGCGCATGCATGGTTGGATGCTGCCATCCCCATCAGCGGCAGCCCTGCCCGCGATCACAAAAGCTCGATCATCTTCATCCTTACGATACGCTTGGCGAGCAAGTGGCGTGTGAGCTGTGTCCTCTAGCTGCAGTCACCGGTCACGTCGATTCGTTTGCTAGAGCACACTTTCATGCATGGTGAAATAGGAAAGTCCAGCAGGGGGCTGCATGATGGGCCTTACGGCAGTCTGAGTCGTTACAGTAGTCGTCATGTAGCAGCAGCAATTGGCAGGCGCCCAGTCACGGCTTCGTAGCTGTGAAAGAGTCGAGCATCAAGACTGTGTGATATCACGACTCGCGCGACGCGGCATCCGAGCGCAGCGGGTTGCACGCGGTGACTCGCCAGCTGCTGCTATACAGCTGCGATGATGCTCGTGACAGAATTTCTGGCGCGCGCGGGACCTTTCCATGATGTGCGCGTGCGTGCGTCCCTTACGCGCTTGGCCCCTTCCCTCGGCATCCGTACCGGCCAAGTCCCTGCAATTTGAATGCTGCTGCACACGCGCTCACGGTGGACAAGGCGGGATTTGTGATTGCGCTTCCTCCCCTGCCAACTCACGATTCGTGATCGTGAAGGGCTTGTGTAGCTAGCTTCCCCTCATTCACACCGAGCGTCCTCCAGCCATCTGGCACCAGTCCTGGAATCGTCCAGCTACGAATCTTACTCCTTCATCCTATCTCCCTCTGCCCAATCCTCCCGCACCTCACAATACCCGTAGCGACATTCAACACCCTCATCTACTCGCCCATCCTTCAGACTTTCCCCCTACTACACTCCGAACACTTTTCGAAACAAGGAGCTTTCGTGTCTTTCTCTCCATCGTCTCACAGCCACGCGCCGTTTCCATAATTAACCGTCTGTATTCGGCCAACACCTAAATCGGCTCTCAGCACCTAGCACTCTAGACGCCCTTCCACAGAGGTGTCTTCAAGCCGCTGTCTGCGCACGGCGTGCTTACATCCTCATTCGGCTCTTGTGCCATTCTGTCTTGGGCGCGTCTTTCCGAGGAACCATCCGGCAAAGACGTGCGACCTCCAGCGCCTGCACACTTGCACATCCCTCTCACCACCTCTCGGTAGACGTCTTCGCCTTGGGTTCTCTTGGCCAAACATGTTGACCAAAATGTTCGGCATCGCTCTTGCATTGGGACTATCGATGGCCATTCCCGCCACGGCGCAAGGCGCTCTGGATGGACAATGCGTCAGTCTGCAAGGCAGTGTCCAGTGCCCAAGCTTCCAGGATGCATGTGAGTGGAGTTGAATGGTCAGAATTGCTCATCACGACGTGGCTTCGGGCCCTGTGACGACGACCATCTCCATATCGCTGACGCTGCCATCGCTTGCTTTCCGCAGACATCAATCCTCAAAATCTCTCGTCAGCTTGGCCTTGGTTTGCCAGCGTTACCAACGTGACGACGTTCGACCAGCAATTTGCAGCGTATTTCACCGACCCCAACCGCTTCCTCGCTGAGAAGCTCGGGCGCCAACTTGCGTGCAACCGGACCGCAGCGCTGAACACCACACTGCAGTACGAGCGAACGATACTCTGTGGCCAGTTCTCACAGATCTCCTACAGCGCCCAGTGCAATGTCGCCAACCGCGCGGACCCCATCATGGTGTGCCAGGACACGTGCCTGACATACTCTGCTGCACAGAGTGACATCGTTCAGAACCCGGCGATTTGCACACCGGACGCAAATCTCACGTCCGCACGCAATGCAACCAGGTACAACACGTTGCAGCGCGACTACGTCACATGCACCGATTGGACCTCGCTAGTGTCGACCAACAACCAAACCTGCGTGGAGGGTGCCGCCAATGAAGGCAACTGCGGATTTGGCCCGGGTATCAGCAATCAACTCTGCGCTGCTTGCGATCCTAGTGGCAATCGCACCGTTCCTGCGTGCTGCTATGCCAACAACACCGCACTGTCTGGATGTGCGTCTTATGGTCACCCAGGTGCCGCTGCAATTATCCCTACGACTTCCGTCGGCACCGCCATGGCTTCTCCCACTGCATCGTCCTCCTCGTCAGCACCATCATCTAATCCTAGCGGTGCCGGTAGTGCTGGAGCGGACCAAGCAGGCAGCAGCAGCGAAGGCACGGGCCTGAGTCGCGGTGGCCTCGCTGGTCTCATCGTTGGCGTTATCATTGGTGCTTTAGTCCTCGGCGGATTAGCTGTCTTTGCCCTCTTGGGCCGCAAACGTCGCAACGAGTCCGGCGCTGCTGGTGTCTATCCTGGTGCGGCCGGCGAGAAGCCTTGGCACTCGGAAGATGGTTTGAGTCGCGACGCTGCGGGCAGTCCTTCAGCTGGCGACAAGAGCCCAGCGGGCCGACCATCGCTTGGAGGAGCGGCCGCGGGCGCAGGATTTGGTGCCGCTGGCGCTGCTGCCGCTGCTGGCGCAGCCGCAAGGAGCGAAAATGATGCAGCAGACCCCAACCGACCCATCAGTGGTGTCACTACCAGCAGCGGTACCGATGGTCGCGGTACCACGGTCGCTTCCGCAAGAGATCAGTACACTGGTCAGGAAATTTTCCCTGGAGAGGATGTCATCGCCGTCTACCCATATAATGCCTCTCTGAACGACGAGCTTACCCTCGAGCCCGATCAGCGCATAACCATCGTCAGATTGTACGACGACGGCTGGGCACTGGGACGAGCTGCCGATGGTCAAGAGGGCGCTCTGCCCCTCGTATGTGTCAGCTCCACCAAGGGTGAGATCCCACGCATTGGTGGTGGATCCTCCGGCACCGGCACTGGTACCGGCACAGAAACTGAGAACGAGTCTGGAAACGAGGCCTTCACGAGCGGCGCCAGCGTCGATGGCGCGGTCACTGCCGACGAAGGCGGTTTCACTTCTGATGCAAGTCGTGTCCAGGGCCGCCGATAGATTCGTCTGGCCCCACGTGACTGTTTATGCGTTTGTGCTCCTTCACACAAGCAGATAGGCCGAGGCGCTTCCACGCTCCTCGATCAGAATCATGTCCTCTCATATCTCGTCGCGCCTCCAGAGATGTTAATTACCACTCGTTGGGTGCATACACCTTTTCGAATCCGGAGCATTGCCGTCTATCCCACGGATTCCAAGGCAACTTTCCCCTCGAACACTCGCTCATACCTTATCGTCATCATCTTCATCGTCGACCCACGCTCACTCTCCCAGACATTTCCCAGCCAAGCTTGTCGCTGCAGAAGCGCATGCCATGTACGTAGTACCCCTTTCCCACACCCAGAGGCCAGGCTCGCAGACTTGGCTCCTGCATTGAATACCTTTTGCACTCATGCTGGCTTGCGTATTTGTTGTCGTGCACGCGATGGACGGGAGGTAGGCAAGTACCGGTGGTCGCTGCATGTATGTCCAAGATCTGTACAGCTCGGTAAACGTGCGGACGTCGATGATCTAGCCAAGCACGTCCAGAAGACATGAAGATCACCCGCTCGACGTTCGGTGGAGCAAGTGATGGCGCGCCAAGCTTGTAAGGGAGTCGCTCCGTCATGCAATCATCCACGACCACCAGCTGTTGTGACTGCGGAGCCCCGCATTCGTGATTCGTGATGCACACATACTTACACTCAAGAGGTACACTCTTCAGCCGCCATCGAGCGAAATCGTACACCGGAACGTGGAGCGACGTGCCTGTCCGCCGGGGGGGCATACACGCCAGCACAATGCTTTTGTCTGTTTGCTTTGGGTGTTCTAGCTGCGACCTTTTCGGTGATCTGAGAGACGTGCATCGCTCCCTTCAGACGTGCATCGCTCCCTTGCCCCTCTGCGCATCACATTCATCGGTAATCTCGCGGTCGTGGTGGGGAAATCAAGAACCAGACCTGAAGAGCTTGGCTTTCCTGCGCTTAATGATGCTGGATCGGTCTCTACAGACGAGTTACACTTGACAAAAGAGGGGTGCATGGAGGAGCATCGAGGGGAGAAACAACCAAAAGCTTGGCTGCTTCTTCACACGAGGGATAGGCCGGGTCTTACAGCTCGGACTTCTCGCAAGAGCAGCAAGCAGCCTTCGCTCGCGACTCGGACTGAGCGCGGAGCCCCGCAATGTGTGTGCGTCACCGAGCATCCGCTCCGACATGACGCCTGCTTCGACGCACCGCACATGCATGCGACGCAACCTCCTAGCATTCGGATTGCATCTCTTGAGAGAGTCACGAGTAGAGAGCAAGGACCATGAATCCGAGTTGAGGCAGCACGAGCGTGAATTGCTGCCCTGCATCTTGCCACGAGGCAGAGTGAGAGGGATAAGAGCGTCTCTGCTGCATCCCAGTCGACTGTGATGCGGGTATGCACTCACACGCTTCTGCGACTGACGAGGGTGCGTACCGGCGCGGCACAGTCACGAGTGCTCCATGACTTCGCCGGCATTGCGGGCCTAATCCTACCAGCCCTCCGTGTCCACATGTCACTACAACTAAACAAGATGCATACAGCACTACTCGGCGGCGGGTCTGGGGATGCTGAAAGGGTTTCAAGAGATTCCCGAGATGTCATGTCGTCAAACCTAGATTCGGGGATGCCGTACAGCAGAAGCGTCTTGATGCTACCGTGACGCCGTCGGTGCAGCTACCACATTCGAAATGCTCCTCACGGATGGATGGTGGGCAAGAGGGATGCAGAGGACGAAGCTCTTGTGAAGCATGCACATCGATGCCTATAAATGGAAGCCCTTCCGAAACCGTTAGCTCCTCGTACATCCAGGAACACCAATCTGATTCGGTATCAGCAATCTCCTTTCCCACATCTCACTCACTAATTTGGCCCACTGCAGCAGCAGCAGCAACCGCGATGCATTTCTCTCTTGCTAGCATCACTGCCTGCTTGGCTCTGGTAGCCAGCACTCGCGTCTCTGCCGCTCCCACCAGCTCCTCGTCACCTTCCACGCTATCTTCAAGGGCGGAAGCCAAAGTAGGCTACCTCGCCAGCAACTTCTTGGGCGGTAACGTGCAATCCGTCTACTTTTCCTTGTCTCGTGGCAATGATGCGCTGAGCTTCAGGATGCTAAATGGTGGTCAGCCCGTCTTGACGCCAGCTTCTGGGCAAGGTACGGGTGGTGCTAGAGACCCTTACCTCGTGGCTAGTCCCGATGGCAAGACGTTCTGGCAGATCGCCACGGACTTGGTAAGTCGAGGTATGCTTCATCGATGCTGCTGGCGCGGAGCTGACTGGACACGATGCTCTGCAGGACATCGGTAAGACAACTTGGGGAGACGCTGTGCGCACCGGCAGCCGAGCGATCTACGTCTGGACCTCCACGAACCTCGTGGATTGGTCCCCAAGCGAGCTTGTCAATGGTGCGTCGAAGGCTCATCATAGCTTGCTCTGCCCGTGTATGATATGCTGACGGTGCCCCCGGCATCCGTTCGGTACAGTCGAAGACGCTACGGCAGGCATGGTGTGGGCACCAAGCGCGCACTACAACTCTGCGACTCAAGAGTACACCGTCTTTTGGTCCTCTCGTTTCTATGCTGAGAACGACCCTGACCACAAGGGTGCGGTCGTCCGCGAGGACACCATCCGCTACGCGACCACGAAGGACTTCAAGACGTTCAGTGCGCCCAAGAACTACCTGGATGCCACGCCTTTCATCGATCAAGAATTCCTTCCGCTCGACAATGGAGGATGGGCGCGCTTCTTGAAGAATGAGAGCAGCAGCGTCGTGACGTGGCAAACGACATCGGATACCAGTCTGCTCTCCTCCGATTGGCAGGATCATGGAGCAGTGACGACCGCTGCTCGTGAAGGACCTGCAGCATTCCACGACAACAACGATGCCAGCCTCATTCACCTCTGGCTCGACGATTTTAGCGGACCTGGAAGGTATTTGCCCTACTCCACAAAGAGCGTCACCGCTGGTCCATGGGCGCAAGACAATGCACCCAACTTCCCGAACAACCTTCGACATGGCTCTGTCATCCAGCTGAACCAACAACAGTACGACGCACTGAGTCAGAAGTGGCCAGCTTGAGACGCAAATGGTCGAAATGTCTCCAAACTGCTTCATTGTGATTTGATTTGCACCTGTCATCGTAGCTTCCGACGCATAATAATGCAGCGCTGATCAGCTACTCTTTCCCTGCTGAAAGCGATGAGATTCATACGTGCCGCTTCCATGGCACACGTGGTCTGGCTGGAGGTCATCGACGTGAGAGCCAGCGCTCAACGAAACGCGGAAGCAAACAGCGACCGGGCCGCTCCGCTTGCGGGCTTGTGTATTTGCTGCGCAAGGTTCTCGAGAAATGAGTCGGCAAGGGCCCTGTCCAGCCGTCGCAGCTCGGCAGAAGCCCCATTGCCTAGCTTATTGATGGCGACGATGCTGATTGACAGTCGCGGTCACGAGTGTCTCTGTTCCAAATCGGGTCGACGCGAGGGTCATGTGAGTCATTATGGGTGGAAGCCGATTCGCTGTGCTAAGCCGATACGGTATAGTCACGCATGTAGGTCTATATACGTTTACTACTCAGCAGAGTAGTCTGTACGGTGTAAGCATCCTAGCATCTGCTTATCAAACATGCAGAAGATCCCACTCGCGCTTGACGAGTGTCAAAGTCTTTGATTGTGTTGTGCTGCGCAAGACCTCGATCGCCTCATTCCTATTTTTGAATCACTGATTCGCCGGTAGCTCAATCAAGTCTGAGCACACTCTGCTGACTACGCCTCTTCTGACACTCACACAGGTGCAGCGCAAGTGCGCCTCGCCGGCCTGACTGTCTACGCCGTCCCATGCTGCCCATGGTACATCTCTATGTATATATATATATATATATGTATGTATGTATGTAGCTTTCTGTGCGCTCGCCGTCGACCGCGGCCAACGCACCCCACGGCGCGCCGGACTCGTGACCGCCCGCCGTTCTCAAATGTCGGACCTGCATCCGCATTTTCGTCATTTGTCCCTTATTGTTGCGCCTCAAGCTGGGCACTGATCAAAGGCTTCGACTCGATGATCGAACTTGTGACTCGTGATTGGTACGGAGACTCGGAAGTGCAGAATGAAGTAGTTCGGAGGTGGAAGGATGAATAGGCGCGGGTGCGACATGCGTTGGCTAATTGATACTCGTTTTGGATGCGGGGAGATTTTGAAGCCGTTCATTCATTGTTCATACACCATGCACGAGTCCACGCGCGTGCTCGCGCCTCGTCGATGAATACTCTGAGGATCTAGCTGTCAGGAATCAAGAACAAAGCTGATCGGACTTGGATTGATGACTGTGATCTCTTGATTGTGACGGTGAGCGATTGTGAAATCGTATGTGAATGCGTCACAATCACGAGTTTGAGTAGCTACCAATTCTGATTCAAGAGTCGTGAGTATACATGTGGCCTTGTAGGTGAGGACCCGCAATTCGTCTTTTAGCGTAGTTTATTTTGTTTTATGTGCGGTCGGTACCTTAGCGAGCTAATCACGAAGGCGCATTGTGATTGAAGATTTGCGGTCAACTTTGACTGCATTGCATGGGTGTGCGGTACACTTTGTACGTACAGCCAGCTATAGGAGAGTGCGTGTGAGCGGTCACGCTGCCCACGCATCATCGGCAACCACAAGTCCGGAGTTGCTGCTGAAGTCACGACGAGTCTGCAGTGACTGCAGCAATCTCGCCCACGTCACAACATCCGTGGCTGTTGCAGCACGACGCGGGGTGGGGAAGGGCTCGAGCGCGCTTGGGCTGTCTGTCAGCTTGCGTTGCGTATTCGTGATTCACATTGTGATTGCAGCGCTATTATTGATGCTCGACGCTTGACCGAGTCGCGAGTGTGAATCACGAATCAGAATGGCAATGATAAATGGCAATCGACGCGCCGTCGGCTTCCAGATATATACTTATTCGCGATGGACCTGGTAAGCCACGGATCGCGAACGTAGCCCACAGTCCAGCAATCCTACCTCTTGATTTGTGCATGTATACACTCAACACTCACGAAGCTCATCAACCTCGACGTCCGAACTCAGCCTTTCCTCCCAATATCAGCGCGACGAGCCACTCAAGGAGTTACTGCTCTTCTTCCCGCCCTCACTCCTCCCCACCTTGCCTCACTGCCTTCCAAACATGACCCCTGGACCACGTTCTCTGCCATCATAAGTGCGACGAGTCTCGAAGTGCAGATCACCCCGCTCCCAATGCCATAAGGCGTCAGCGCGACTAGGAAATCGCAAGTCAGCCTTGAAAACAGCGTGGACCGCTCTTCTCAAGGCACAGCTCTTACACCTGCAGTGACCAAACAGGTCTTTGCTGTAACAGCTGATACAACATGCGCGCCCTCTTCCGTCGTCCTTCTGAGCAGCGACACGACGTCGCCGGCGGTCGCATAGGCGGCTACGCCGAACCAGAAGATTTGTCGTATGCTCAAGCGATAGCAGCCCGCGGAATCGGCTCTTCCAGGGACTCGAATGGGGCAGCCCTCGCATCCAGTCGTCTGAGATCCAGCTTCGATGGCTTGTCTGGCGGAGCGCACATTGGAGGCATGCCGCCACCTGCACGTCCTGCCTCGAGCTCGCAGGTGTTGGGTGAGACTAGGAAGGCAAAGGTGCTAGGACTGGGAAGCAAAAGAGAAAAGACGAGGAGACGGATGGATCTCTTTGGCAGGAAGAATGCTGACGCGGGTATGGACAAAGGTGGCGCGGAGGGTGAGTACCGAGGACTCGTACCCCAGCTCGTGCAATGAGGCGCCGGAATTGCGATCTGCCAGCACACTGACCCATCGCGCTCTCTTACGATTGCACGCAGGTGCCCAGTCCAAAGAGCCACTCGATGACACGCTTTCCGAAGCCCAATGGCGTACGGATCGTGCTTTGGCCGAGGAGGCACGGACGTGGCGAGGGTCTACACGGCGATCTGTGGATCGAGAGCCAATTGTGGTGATGGGGAAAGTAATGTCGGATTCCGGCAAAGTTCCAAAGGCTTCCGTCGTCCCCTCGAGAAACGATACCTCTGCGCCCCATTCACCCGTACCCTCACCTGACCCACGACTGAGCCGCGGTATGGCCACGAGTGGCCTAGTCCGACCATGGGACCAAAACGCGGCGCCGCACATTGATATGGCCAAGACGAGCAGCTCATCCAGTGCCTCGAGTAGCACTCACACTCACACTGCAGCGCGCGCAAATACCGGCCGTCGAGCTCCACCACCTCCCTTGACCCAAATTTTTACAGACGGTCCGATGTTTGGGAATGGTCTAGCACCTCCGCATCGTCCTTCAGCATCAGTCTCTCTACCCCACTCTCCTGTCGAAAGTTCCAGGTCTGCCCGGTCACCTTCACGCCAACGATCCATTGGCTCGTATGGAAGTGCAGACCCGTCTCCTTCACAGAAGCTTCATGCGCGGTCTAGCTCTCAGATGGCCAGCATCCGCTCCCCACTCAGTCCGGGCAGCTTTCGCACCGCCACGTCTTCGATGATCAGCCCGCTCCCTTCGAGCGCATTATCTGGCCAGTCTGAGCCCATCGATACCACTGCAAGGCTCGCGCAGCAGCTTAACGAACTCGCCATCGCGCACGGAGATGGACTGCTCGGAGAGGAAGAATACCGCAAGCTACGCGCTGCAGTCTTTTCGGAGAGCGGTGTCGGCAACCAAGAGGTGCCGCGAGAGGCGAGATTGGGTAGCTTTGGAGGTCAATTGCAAAAGCGTCCGGTCACTGCAGGCAAGTTTTGACATCGAAGGCAGTCAGATGTTGAGGAATGCAACTGATGATTCTCGTCTCCCGCAGAGACGCCCGACTTGGCCTCTATTGACAAGCGCGCAGCGACCGCAGCACCGTCCTTGCGGTCTCAACGCTCGTCGATTGCCAACTTTGCAGCGCTGTTCCGAAAGGGTTCTCTGCGCAACCTGCACCCGTCCCATGGGGAAAGCATGAACGTTGATAATTCTGGAGATAGCATAAACGCGCAAAGTCCTTCGCTCTCTAAACCTCGAAGCATTTGGACTGCTGCAGCCTCGGTTGCTGGCCTATCTAGATCGGACAGCAAGACCCGCAGAGCACCTTCGGAAGCGGAGCTCGAATCGGAGATCCACAGGGCTCGCTCAGCGCGCACCTTGGGAGGAGTAAACGGCGACGGCATGAGCGCCAAGCAATCAATCACCGGAGCCGGATCCGGCTCAGTCGCCAGCGCATCTGGCATGCTTACTGGGGACTACGCAGAGAAGGGCGCCAATGAGCTCAAGGCCGAGATGGCAGTAGTCGAAGCGGAGCAAAAGAAGCTGCTGGAAGCCTTCAACGGATTGGTCCAGACGGCCGTCGGACGATCTGGGCTGGGACACGAACAGCTGCAAAGGGCGCAGAATTCCGCGTCGCGCGCTCTGAGCCCGGAAAGTTCTAACGGGAGCGGCGACAAGAGTCAACAAGGCACGTGGAACCACTCATTGCTTCGCAAATCATCAACGTCCAGCTCTGGAAGCAAGTCTCCTGCAAGAAGCAGACGTCGAGGGTTGGGCGACAGCAGTCAGGGAGATCGGGAATCTGCTTACGGGCTGTCTCCCAGCTACCCCCCATCTGCTTTCCGGCATGCTGCTCAGCTGCGTGGCAATGGATCGAATGGTGATCACGCTCAGCTCGCTGACGATCTCGACGCCGATATGGGCGATGATCCAGAAGAGGAAGTGAGCGTGCGCGCGCTTCGGAATGAAATTGTGGATATTGGAAGGCGCAGAGAAGATGTGAGGAGGAGATATGAAGAGAGGCTGGCCTTTCTGCGCAGCCTCGTGAGAAGTGCGACGCTAAGAGAGGGCTTGCGAAAGTGAGGTCGACCCACGTCTACTCTTGGACAGCCGCAGCCTCGTCGTGGCACCCATGTCTATATGCTTGCGTTACCTTTGTCAATATATACCCTTATGTCGATTGGCATTCGCGAGCATTGCGACAATCTCAAGCCTATGCTCATCGGTCACATATGTAATCGTCGCTATCTCTGCGGCCGCGCGACCACGAGGATCAGGGCAGGACACTTCTTGTCCGAGGGACGGGCGGGAGCTGATGACAGCGAGCGCAAGCACAGCAGCCCATTGCGAGATGGCGTGGTGGTGTCATGAACCAGAGGTTTTGCGATATAGCAGACGGGAATTCGCGATTGGCTTTACAAAAGGGATGTGAAAGAAGCGCGTGCCCGCGAGCAATCTTGAACTGAAGTTCTGCTGCCCTGCCAAAGAAAAGCTACGCTATAACTCTGTACGAGCGCGCGATTGCTACATATATACACAGAGCTGACCAAGCGTCGAGTGGAGGCCCGCGGCGACTTTCGCCAGGCACGATCCGGGCCGCCGGGGTTCACTGATATCAGCTGCTGCAGCTCGGCGGCTGCGCGACAGCTCGCAGTCAAAGCAAGCTTGCCGTGTTTGCATGGATTTCGCAGCTCGCTGCGTATCATATGCCATGCACAAGCACCAATGAAGCATTCACGATCACGACTTTTTGCGACTGGAACACATGCTCAACCACCATCCATCGCTCGAGGCGGTCCAACATCTGACTACACTCCAAAGAAATCCAATCGCTCCTTTCATCTCGGCCATGGCCGCCGCAGTAGTCTTTGCCATTGGTCTTGTCGGCACCTTGCTCGTCACTTCCTCCTCTCGAGCTCTGCGACGGAGAAAGGCGAAAAAGGCCGGTCTGGATTACCATGCCTTGCAACGCGACAAGATGGGCAGGGCCATAGATCCAAACAATCCCCATAGGCGACTAGGCAAGAACGAAGAGGTGAGTCGAATGCGCTTGTATGGACTGGGATGCGCCCGCGAACAAAGGTCTCGCTCGGCCTCCCTGTGCCACTGCCACTTGCGGAGTGGGACTGGCCAGACGTGTGTGCTTTGAGTTTCGGTGGCGTGCTGAGTCACCCTTCTCTCCTTCCCTTGCCTTGGCCTGACAGCGTGCAGTGCTTGAGCATTTCAAGCTGTCGAGCCAAGAACAAGCAAAATTGGAGCAAGAGCATGGTCCCGTCTTGCCCGGCTACGAGGCCGCACCTCCGCGCTATGTCGACAAAGCGCTTGCCTCTCGATCGTCAAATTGATGTGCCATCAGGTCAATGATCGTTTGACTCCGGGTCATCTATCAGCGCGCAGAGCTAAATCAAATCAATTGGATCGATGCCCTAGAGCCGACGCTGTATGAAGTACACGAGTAGCCCAATCGGCCACTAAGAGCTAGGATGACATTTGGAGACCAAAGGAAGAAGACCGTGGGTGACAACGTAAGTTGAGGTATGCACATATGAACGTTGAGTTGAGACGCAACAAATCTGAGTATAGATGGGTGTGGTTAGATGGTGCACCAATTCTGCTGCTCTCAAATCGTGCAGAACTGCGGTGGTGGAAAGGGGAGAGGGGGGGGGGGGCTCAGCCCCGACAAAGGCAGCCAGATCACTTCCAGTTGAAGATGTCCAAGCCCAGTTTGCCTCCATCGGCACCACTGCCGCCGCTTCTACTGGCAACCGTGGCAGGAGAAGGCTCGCCGGTCTTGGAGCGCGGTTCCAACAGTAAACTGCGTCGGTACAGGTCTTCCGCACCACCTGCGCCGGCCTGTTGGACGCTAGCCAGAACCTTGTTGAGATACGACTGGCATTCTTGCACCTCGAGGAGGGTGTAAGGCAATTGGAACCTTTGCAGGTCTCCGATGATGCGGCTCATTTTGACGTACTTGTCGAAATTGAGCAACCGCTTTTGCGGATCTTGTGGCGATGGTCGCGTTGCAGGGTTGCCTTCGTGACAGAAAGTCAAGTCGGTGAGGAAAAGACCGACAAAAGGCAGCGCTGGCGCGGCCGTTGCTCGTAGACGTGCGCGATAGCCCGCAAAATTGCGAGTGTGCTCAACAGTGCGGCGTTGCTCTTCCATCATGACGTGGTATTTGGCAGTCAAGCCATCCCACGTGCGCTTCAGTCGAGCAATGGTCGAAGAGTTGAGAGCGCACTGGATCGCCATCAGTGTGTTGAAGTTACTCAATGCGAGACAACGCTGTTGAAAGGATAGACAAAGCAGAGTCAGTTTGGGCGCCTCGCTCGACACGCTACACCGTCGCCACTCACATCGCCGAGCTTGATGAAGAATTTGACCAATTGAGTCCGTTTGCGCGCATCTCCCTCGTTCAGGATACACTCGGAGATCCACCCTGTAATTGACGTGCTCAAAGAGCTCATGTTCTTTACGTGCACGGCACTGCTGACCCCAGCCGCTTTGCTGAACTCTTGACCGAGAAGCTCTTCCGGAAGAATCGCGCAGTAGATCTTGGATTCAAGAATCGTCAGCTGTCTGGCGAGCTCCGTTGGATCGAACTCCGTAATGCTGATTGGCGGTTGAGGCGAGGCGCGAAGAGCAGATAAGAGCGCCTTTGACATGATCGGTTGCGGGGGCATCGGTCCCTTCTTGTTTGTGAAGGCAGCCGAACCGTACATGTTCGACGGGTCGACCATGCCGGGCGGGAGACTGCCATTTCGCAGTCGATCCGTGGAAATCATGCGTTTCAAAGCGCCTGGTTTCGAAGCAACAGTGGGCGCGATGCCGTTGGCGTTGTTCACACCTGCGGCGGTGGCGGTGCCAGAGACTTGGGCCATCACCTTCTTTGTTGGACCAGAGATGATGCGTTTTTGTGCCAGGTCAGCCAGACGCTGACCTGGTCGGTGCAAAGAGTGGGCCATCGAAGTGCGTGTGAACTCGACGAGGCGTTCGAGAATCACATGATCCGTGGCAGAATGCCAATACGTCTCGAGCCAAGTCTTGAAGAAGTTGAAGATTCGCAGGCGCACTGGCATGACCTTCTGATCGGTCCACTTGACGAGCTCTTCGGCACTGACTTCAACCTCCTGAGGCGGGCGCATGTTGTAACGAGCTTCCAACACGTCGAACAGCTGCATTGGCGTCGTGAAGAGACGGAAGCACAAAAAGAAGGCATTGGAGAGTGCTGCGTCAACGGTGGTGTCGTGTGGAGTCATCTTCTCCACCAACGCGGGCAGCGTTGCGCCAGTCAGCTGCCCCTCTGAATTGTAGCAGACGTCGCTGGGAAGATAGTCTGGCGACATGAACTTGAGTTGGATGGGAGACGGTGCCTCAAACGTCGACATGACGCTAGGCGTCAAAGGCGACAAGCCAAGAGGGGAAGGCTCGCTCAAGCTCTCACCACGACTGCGGGTGGGCTGAAGATGCAGCACCTCGGAGGAATCGCTACCACGCCGGGAGTCAGTCACCCCTGCGAGATGCTTGTTGTGAGCCTCGCGGAACGTGCCCCCGATCGGTGCTGTGAGTGGGACGTTGGCATGCTCATCTGCGCCGTTATTTTGATCCATGGAGGGACGAGCTGATGTTGCTCCAGTAGTGTCTGATCTGGCCGAGTACAAGGTGGAACCGGAGGCTCTGGAATGCTGCCTGGACATCGTTTCGCTGTGGTCGCTGCCATCTCCTCCTTGTGGGTCGGTGCCATGGTTCGCAGACGAGATCTGAGGGTGACTACCTGGCACGTACTGTGTGAGAGCTGGCGTGGCTACTACCTGTGGAGCGTGCATAGGGCGACGCATTGCCGGGCCGAGTTGCTGCAGAGCTGGCGCTCCTCGTCGTTCTGACAAGGACGACCTAGGTAGGTCCAAGTCCGGCATCACCGTCGACTGTGGCGACGCATCCGATTCTCCTCGAATTTCTTGTTGAGGGGCATGATACTGCTGCCTCGCGGTAGCATTTTCTTCGCTTTCTGCAAAGTCATCATCATCGTCTGAGTGACCCTCGGCTATGTGTCCAAAGCCTCGAACGTAGCCACTCTGCTCGTATTTCTCGCGAAGGCAGCTCAGGCTGGTCGCCTTGCGACCCAGGAACGATAGAGTGTGTTTGCCTCTGCGCACAGTACCAGCAGCCAACAGAGCGTCTTCCCCAGCAGCTTCATCAGGAGTCAAGGGCTCTGCCGAGTCAGCAGACATGCTCGAGTCTCCTGATCCGTGCCGTTGTGTCGACCTGCCGTCGCCTGGCAGTGTGAAGCGCAATGCTGAGTCTGCGTGATTCAGGCATAAACGCACTGCACCGACGCATTCGCCACCCGTCCTGAGAACAGCGGTGGCTGCTGACAACAGCCGCGATTTCTCCTCGTCCTCATTCGCATCAGAAAGGGCAGCAGAAGCTGCGGCTTGGGCAGAGGGATTCGAAGTGATTACCCTGGCGGCCGATACCAGTGCTGTCGTCGCCTCGTATAGACTTTCTCTGGTCTGAAACAGAATCGTAGTCTGTCGCGGCAGCGTAGACTGCAGCTCGCCGCTGTTGTGGACCGCCTCCACGACTATCAACAGATCACGAACAGCATCAACTGCTTCTCGTGTCATATCAATGAGGTGAGCGAAGCTCGACGCGTGGCTGTCCCGTGTGTGGCTGTGCACGTGGCCGATGAAGGCAGCTGTGATTGAGAGTAAATGGTCGTTGGCTACTCCAAGGCGTTGTAAAACTTCGGAAGCGGAGCAGATGACGCTCGATGGAGGCGGAGCATCGCTCAAAGAATCAGTAGAACCTGACCGCGATGTCGGCTTAGAGCCTGAACCAGAGTCCGACGCCGAGCCAGAGCCTGAACTATGTTCTTGAGGTTCGGAGGTCAAGGAATCAGATCGACGGCGCGCTTGAGCTTGCGCCTTGATACGCGCAGCTTGCGTCATAGGCTCGCTTGCTGTATGCTTGGCCACCATAGCGGCGGCTGCGGCGTCGTCGAATGGATATTCAGCACGGTCGCGCAGATCCAGAAACCGCGTGCTGCGAGGAGACATCTGCCCTGAGGTGTAGGCCGTCTGGTACGCCGAGCTTCTGGGAGACTCTGGGGTGGGCGTCTTGTCCGCTTCTCCACGGTCAACACCCAACATCGATCTCTGCTCGCCGGCATGTGGAGCGTCAGCTGACACACGATTGCGATCTCCGACTACCGACGAGCGCCTGTCAGGCACGTTGACGCCGCATTCGACGGCAACCTCCAAGAAGCTTCGCACGTGGCGCAGCACCGCATCCGCCATGCCCAGCATGTCATCCATCTCTTGCGCGCGACCCTCTTCCCGCGGCATAGGAGCCGAGGCTTTCCTTGCCTGAGTGACGAGCTTGCTCAGCTCGGACAGGATGTGTTTGCGCTCCCTTGCCAAAATAGGGTGGGACTTCAGGACATGCGACTCTCGCGTTAAGCAGTCCGTAGCGGAGAGCACGGAGCGCACAGACGAGATGACGCATGCCGTCGAAGGCTGAAAGTGCGCAACCCTGTTGGCGCGCACTGCGTTGTGCAATAGAGCGATCGCGTGTAGTATAGGCTCAAGGATACCAGAGCTAGCGCTTGAAGCAAGAAATTCTTGAGCGGTGGGTGTGGGCGACCTCGAAGGGTGATGGGGCATGCCTGCCGACATCACACCAGGACGCTGCTTATTGAGTTGCTGTGTTTGCACCGACAGGCCGAGACCACGACCATTGTATGGTTGCGATGTGTCACGCTCACCATCTCCAGCAAGCTCCAGGCGCATATCGCTTGCTTCTGGACTTCCGAACCCGATTCCTTCCTCGTCCACATAGTTGCTAGGGAACCATCCTCGTTGGCCCTCGAGCTCGCCGTCCCACCAACCCGAAGTGTCTCTGTTGAACACCTTGATGACTTGTCCAGCAGCGAAGGACAGACACGTGGCGTTACTGGACGCAAAGTCGTGTAATGCGACCACATATTCTTCCCTCGACTCATCTTCGGGATCGCTTGAAGCGTCAGCATTCGGCGAAGAGGCAGCCTCGCGGTCGGGATCTGACGAGCTGTTCCTCGTGGGCACTGCGGGCCGCTCGAAGACAGATCTGGCGGCAGCAAAGGCGCTGTTACTGTTGCTACGGCCACGTCGCTCCATGATGGATGGGTGGGGTGACGTCGACGACGCAGCACCAAATGACTGTCTAGCTTCCTCGAAGGCAGAAGCAAGCGCGTGCCGACCTCGCGAGGCGACTCGCTTGGGCGCAATTGGTGACGACGTGTAGTCACTGGCCCGAGCCTCGGAAGGAGAGGCAAGATGATCTTGTTGTCGTTGTTCTGCTAGCACAGCCATGGCCGAGGATGCTTGCGTACCAGCGCCAAGAATTGTGTTGCTTTGAAGCGGTGGACGTGCTCGGCAGATTGATGGTGTCTGACCCAGCGTCACCAATCAACAGTCCATCGACAGCAGACCGTCCAAGCTTAGACCTTGGACACGAGAGTGTATCTGCGCGCGCGTTGTGCGAGTAGTCAAATAAAATGATGAACTTTCGTGTGCTGTGCTGGGCTGCGATGTGTAAAGCAAAGAAAAGTGTCAGACTTTGTTTGCAATGCGGACGGGCAGCGCAAAATGAACAATTACAGCAGACAAATGTTCGACCGGTCTATGAGCACTGTGCACCTGATCCATGTGAGAAGTGCAAGGCCCAGTGATCACAACGAGTCGACGATGCCAAAAGAGCACCCGAAGATCGAGCGAGTGGGCCAATTCTGGCACGAGCGGCAGTCTGCGCATGAAGTGTGGGCGGACCAAACTACAACCATCTGACGGCACAGCCTACAGCGGGAGCAGACCGTGTACCAGACTTTGTCATCTTACAGACCTCCATGCTGGCCACGAGGAGCTTGACAACAAAGCTGTGTCGGCTCATCTGAAAGGCTGCCTGCCCGATCCGTCATCGAAGAGCAGTGCGGCGATATGTGCGCAAACGTTTCCGCACGACCGAAAGCAAGACCGCGACAGGGGTTTCACGAGAGAGGAACAGCGCTGATCCTTTCAATGAAACACCAATCAACCACTGAAGTCACCTGTAAACAGCAAAGCCACTTTGCCTCACAAGGGCGCTCGACTTGCAGCGTGAGATAGCCCATGGTGTTCCTGAGCCAGTTGCGCTGCATGAGCCGTCCCCAACGCGTCCGAAGCGCGTGCGACCGCTCGGCCGGCTCTGAGGCATTCGCCAATCAGATTGCACTCAGCCATCAATCTAGGCTTTCCCCGCGACGCATGCCAAATCCAATTCTTCAACATTCGCGGATCCTTGGGTCTAGCCAACCTGTCAATCCAGGCCCATCCATCGCAAGACCAGCCTCCACGCTGCAAGTCACCACGCGCCGCGGTCTTGAAAAGGAGCTAAACACTTGCGCAAGACTCACCAGAATCTCTTGCAGTGGGCTTAGAGTCACCCCAGGTGGATCAGTGTCTCAGACCTGATGTGTCACTTGGAGGTACATGCGACTTAGACGCAATGAGACCTGTTTGAGCCGACGCAGCAACGGCGCGGTATATCTTCCTGCTGATGCGATCGGCGTGCTTCCGCGTGTGAGCGATGAGCGGCGGTGGGTGCTGGCAGTCGCGTGTACCGGCACGCGATTGTCGCCTTGTAATGGGTGAGCGCAGTAAGCCGAAGGTGTAATTACCGACGCAGCCAGGGTGAGAGTCGTGATGGGCGCTATGATCTAAGTAACAATCGCGCTGGCGTTGACAAGGCCAGGCCGCGTCCGATCGAGAGTTTGGCGAGGAGGTGGAAGGTTGGGCTCAAAGGTCGAACGCGACAAATGCTGGATGGAAACAAAGATCCAAGCAGCGCTTTCGAGGAAAGAGCCTGTTCGCTTCCAGTGCAGCGACGAAGGAGGAGTAAGATCTTCGAAAGTATGCGGTCGATTGCCAATTGCGAAGGGAGAGGTAGGAGTGGCAAGCAGATGTAGATGTGATTTGCAGACGGGAGCTGCGTGGAGAAATGAGTTGGCAAGCTGTTGAAATGCTATGCTTGGGATGTTGAGGCGCGGCTGCTCAAAGTTGGCCCGGTCGGGCACCTGCAAATTGATCATTCCTTCACCAGTCGTCCCCCCCTACGAGCGCACAATGTGCGAACCCCGTGTCGAGCGCGCATCAAATTGGCGGCTCGGGAAACACTCCATTCGACACGCACGAGAGATTGCGAGCAGCACCGTAGCGGGGTGCTCCGCCATTACATTAGCACGAACCCTTCCCTCGAGCCCCGCCTCCCCTTTCATACGTGATTCGTCACCACGGTGCAGCTCGATCGTCTCGGTTCTGACTGACAATAATAACCGTAGATGCTAAGGATGCTTCTGGCCTATGGGGGCTGTCATGAGAATGAACAGTCGGACTTTCACGAAAGCTCTTCACTGGCCAAGTGCCTTAGAAATTTAGGGGCATTCGAAACCTCCAATCGGCGCGGAAGGAATCCACGCACTCACACTCTTCTGTTTCCATTTCGACTTTGACTGCGCTCGTGGCGTGCTGCTAACAGACTGCTAGCCAACTACTACGACTATAAGTGGCCCGCCCCCTGTGGGCCGAAATGAAGGCCAACGGGGACTACCGTTGTCCTCTGCTCGGGACGCAGAGACCATGCTGCATGCATGCACGCACCACTACAGCAGGAGCAAGGCCGTCTAGCTGCATGAGCAAGCATGCGCTCAGGCACCCGCGCCCTGCCAACCACACATTCTCCAACTCCGTCTCAACACCGCGCTGCAGCCATGCAGTGCTGTGCATCGATCTCTGCATTCACACCACACATGCATCGCGAGTGCGAGTCTTTTAGCGTGCTATGTGACCCCCATTCCTCTCTCGAGCGGGACGGCGTGCTTGGATGTGTGCCGATGACAAGTTTGACTGATCACGAATCGACCAGCAGCGAACTGGTCTTGTAGGATCGGGTCGCATGTGGTCAACGGACTCGGAAGATGTCCTACAATCACGACTGCTGGTACTGCGGTCGGTCGGCTGAGAAGCTGCTCGCTTTTTTGCTTTGCTTCCACCAATGGGCGTAGTGTAGTCACCAGGGACGAGCGTGGAGAAACGTGTCTCGGCGGCCCGAGCTACAAGCACTCTTCTGACGCGCGAAGCTATTTGTAGAGGTGCCCGGTGAGACACGCTGCTCTTTCTTGGCGCAAGGCACGGCTTCATGATCGAGGATCGTGACCTCGAATGCAGCGCTACGGTGACCTCGATCAGGACCCGTGCTTTTCGCTCCTGCCATGCTGTCTGTCTGACCACCTGAAGTCTTGAGACTTGAAGTGGGTCTTGTCGACCACGGTCCGATGGCACTCAGGCCTTTTGACTCCCGAAGAAGCGCGCTCAAGGACGTTTGTGCATTTGTGCACACCAGCAGCGAATTGTCACTCGGTTTTGACTTTGGGGCCGCTCATAATTCAAGCTTCTATCGCAGGGGGAACCAAACAAGATCTCACCGCGCAGTGTGCAAGATCTGTCGCTCGGGACCCTAATGAAATCTCGTTATGACCGTGGAAACGACGAGTCTTGCGACGCTCAGAGCAACCTCGACTCGTGCAATCGTCGGGCTCGGCAGCTCAGGCCTCTCCTCGAGTTCCAAGCCTCGGCGACATGCGCGAAGCAGGGTCCTCTAATGCGTCATGGCATGTCGGTGTGAAGAGCCGAGCGCTCAAGAGGCTGTCGGCAATTAGGAAGTCAGCGATCACGAATCGCGATACTGACAGGGCGACTTCCAACCAGTCATTCGTAATTCTCGCGCATACTCTTGGCTGTAGCAAGGAACGTACAGTACACGGCAACGCGATACCGCGGACGGTTACTCACGCACTAGGTGTACCAATCTCGAGTGCAGCCACCCACTCGCCTGGCCGGCTTGTGGCAAGCCAGACTGGACTTAGTCTGTCGGCTAGCTATTTTCCAATCGCCAACTGCATCGGGTGTTGGAGGTGCGGGCAATTGTGAAATGTCGTCTGCCTTAGCGCTTGACTCGTCCTTGTCCTCCATTGGCGTGCACATACACGACGCGCATATACGTACTCGCATGTGCGTGAGGTGGCTCACCTGTGGAACGAGACTTCAGTGACCATTCGTGATGGAGGGTAGGTGCTGCATCCCAGGCCCGGGCGCGGCAACGTCATTGTAGAAAGTAGGCAATCTGCACCAACTCGTTCGTCCGCAGCACAATCTTCGGAAGACGGCGAGCGCTTGGATGTGCGCGATCGCATTGTACTTCCTTGTGGTCGCAAAGTCTCTGCAGGTCGGAGGAGATGCCGAGAGGAGGCGTGAGGAACTTCCTTCAGCTGCGATGCTTGCATGCAACAAACATCACCAAGCCTTGCCGAACATTCGTCTGCACTGCTTGAACCTGCTCCACGGCCCCGAGACAGAGGGCGCCAAGGGATGCGATACACTACTGCCAGACTTTGCTGCATACGGTACAGTACAGTACAGTACCTTCAGTACGCAATGCGTCGGGCGCGCTCAGATGAACATCTCGTTTCTCTCTCTGGCTCTGTCGGTGCCAAGCCTTCCGACAGCAAGCTCGTGTGACCTTTCGCACCGAATCATGCCGCGGCTACTAATGCCGACACTATGTGAGACTGAACATGAAGGCCACTCGAAACCAGTCATGTCGGCAGGAGCAGATCATGATGGCAGAGCAAGCCGCCACGCCCAGCACAATGGCAACGGACCGAATGCTCTCGCTCGAGATCCGGATCTGCTTCGTTCGCGGCTTGTTGTTGACCAGGGAGGCCGCGAGTCTTGTCGAGGTTGCGAGCTTCACCATCGTAGTAGTCGGTGTGTAGACTGACCTGCTTGCTTTTGTGGATCTGCTGTGGCTCTCGCTCAGCGGCACCGCCACGAGCGATGACGTGGCAGCCCTTTCGATTGCCCAATCAGAACCATGCACCTCAACTATGGGTGGCATCCACGGATTACTTGTGGCTCACAGATCCAAAGGAACGAGAATCACAATGAGGGTGCTTCCTCGTGCTAGCCCGCGGAAGCTCCATCCCTCGATTGCGGCACCTATTTTTTTTTCTCCGCAGCCGGCAACCACTTCACAGATGGCGGTCAGACCCACAGGCGCGTGCCATCGCAGCCATGACTGTGGAGGCCAGCCTTGGAGCATTCAAATTGACAATTACCGCTTCAGGAACCAAATGCTTCGGAGTGAGATGATGCGGTAGTCTGTGTGAGTAAGCATGCAGTCGTGCGTGCGGTCTGACTGACTCACTGACTGACTGACATCAGCCAGCAGCTGCTCGAAGCATTGCGCGGCATGCGCGCAGAAATCACGAATCACAGTCGTGAGTCTTGAGTCAGAGAGAGTGATGTGCGTCGAGTGACGTGACGTGGCGGCCATGCATGCACGCGCGTCGACACGACTCTTGAACGTGTAAATTGAGGGTATACCCCCCCCGCCTTCGCGGGAGCAATTTTAGCCCGTGCGCGCACTTCATCGGCGCCTCTTTTGGAATCAAAGAGAACCTGCACCTGAATTGGCGTCCTGTCAGCAGGGTCGAGTCCATCATCTCGAACACAAGTAGTCGACTGAAGATGGTGATCACGTCAGCACTTGCTCCAGTCCAGACACCTTTCAAGTGCGCCGGGACTGTGAGGTTCTCCGCGGTTCTGTTGAGGAAGGTGCAAGTGGCTTGTCCCTTTTTTTGTTGGTTTTTTTTTTTTTTTTTTTTTTTTTTTTTTTTTTTTTTTTTTTTTTTTTTCCCATGCTCATCAGATACTTCCGCATCCCGCAGGCCAGCAGGTCAAGTAAGCCCGCACAACATTTGCTTCCGAACTGCGCGCGCTCCGCTACAAACACCACGGGCCTTGCATTACTTGACCAAGAATTTGCTGAGCTGGGCGGTGTACAGACCAGGGCTCAGCTGTCGAGAAGTCTAGGCACAAACAAGTCACTGAGCGGGAGTTCAAATGAGACTCAGCATCGTGAGATCAGAGTTGACATTCTGGCACCTTGCCGATGCGCTCAAAGCAACGGCGAGCATCTCGATTCATGCATGCCTCAAGCCATCTAAGAGCCGAATGATGCTGAAACACCTCCGCTCACTACCTGTTATTTGATCGAGTGCTGTTTTGGGAGCAGCGCGCATCGTCCTCAATAGGCAGGTCATGATCGCCGATCGCGAACGAACATTCACGTTTGTTTATTAGTTCGATCTTGAAGGCGTCTTGAAGCGCCATGAAGACATTAGGGCAGCGCCAAAAAATGGCTGGTAGAGGTTGCACACCCGGGGTCGTAAAGGACCGATCTCGTTGGTCAGATCTCATGCGGGGGTCCCACAAGTAAAATGACAGCTGCAGCTTGTTCTAGTGAGGGGACTGAGTGACCTCCCTATCGTCACACATCCTAGGACGCCGCATGTACCCCCAGCTTGGCTTATGCGGGCCCGACGTGCCGCAGTACCTCGGAACCAAACCGTGTGGGGAAATGACCATCTGCATTCTGATTCTTGATTGAAAGCAAGCATGATCTGCCAACGGGATCAAGCATTGGATCTTTGACCAAGATCTTGTCAAGCTTCTGCAGCGGCTATGCTTGTCCGTGACTCCGCATGAGCGGACCGAGAATCATGAATGCTGAGTGCATCTAGCCTATTGACAATCAAGAATCAAAATCAAGAAGTGCTTGGAGCACCTTGAAATTTGCATCACGTGACCGACCAATGACGATCAGCATCGAAAGTTGACTCTCGGACTCTTCTCTTCGTGATCATGTCGTATGCTCAGCACGCTTGACCGCCACGTTGAATTGCTTAGCGAGAGATTCGACTCCAAGTCGATGTTTCGCGCTGATCGGCACAACCGGTAAGGCTCGACCGCTGTGCAGCTGCGCAACTTTCCCTTGCAGAATTGACAACTTTTGGCGAGCTTCAGCGGCTGAGGAGCGGAGGGCCTGAAGGTTGGGCGGTTCTGGGCTCGTGCCATTCGATGCGACCTGGCTATGAGCCTCACTCTCGGGTCCGAGGGCATCGCATTTGTTGGCGACCACGATGGCGCATCTGTTGCTCAAGCCTGGCGAGTAGGCTTCCAACTCGTGTTGCAATGTGGCGATCTCCTCCCATGGCGCAGGACTCTTCTCCGAGACATCGACGACGTACACTAAGGCCCTGCACCGTTCGGCGTGGCGCAGGAACAGGTGCCCTAGGCCTTTGTTGTCGGATGCACCAGATATCAGACCAGGAAGATCTGCAATGGTGAGCCTGGCCACTTCTTCTCGAAGACCAGCATTAACAACTCCTTCAGAAGAAGCAAGTGCGGCACGAGGCTGAAGGCGCTTCTTAAGCACTGCACCGGAAGTTAGAAGACCCAAGGGCTCTGACTCGCCGATAATGCCCGTGCCGGTCCCTAGCAGTGATCCATCATGGGCAAGGCGCAGAACGCCAACGTTTGGACTGAGGGTCGTGAACTCGTATCCGCCGACCTTGGCATTTGCATCCCCAGATCTGCCTGCGCTTGTAAGCGCCCTCAGTAACGTGCTCTTGCCCGCGTTGGGCAGCCCTACTAGCCCGACATCCGCAGGACATTTGAGCTCCAAAGACAGCCGGACCCGTTCGCCATGCGAGCCTCGGGTGGCAAATTTAGGAGATCGTGAGATGGCTCCTGTGCTGAGGAAGAATGGATTCCCAAATCCGCCGAAACCTCCTTGTGCGACCAGCATCCCGGGAGAATCGACAGCGGTAGGTTCGTCCAGATCATAAGTTCTGATGATCTTCTTGGCATTCTTCGAGCCGAGCGGCGAGATCTGACGCGATTGCGAAGCTGCTTCCTTTGTGTCTGAATACCTGCGCTTCAAGAGCGCCAGTGCCAGCCTCTCTTCTGCAGCCTTGAATGATTGCCTTAGAGAAGCAACGTCAGATTCGCTCTCCTCGATGACATCAGCTGCGGTGCCTGGCGAGCTCTGTCCACTTATCGAGCCGGGGTGATGTCTCCATGCAGCATCACGACGTATCCTCTCTTCTGCAGCGATGGAAGCCTTCTCTTCCTCCTCCTGCCGCGCAGCTTCGAGCTCGCGAGGAGACAGCAGAGCTGCGCCATCTTCAGCTTCTTCGGGCACAGGCAGGGGCATTGACGCTAGTCCCTTATCAGAAGTTGTCTCGTCGTAGTACTCGGGCGTGATCTCGTCGGCATCATGTCCCGCCTGGTCTGCAGCTTGCGAGTCTTGTGGAGCTCGTGAAGGTTGGAACGGATTGCCAACATCATGATGGAACGGCAGGACGCGCGATCTCTCTTCCAGGTCCCGCTCAGGGCTAACTTCTCGCTTCTCAATATCCCGTTTGTAGCCGTTGAATGCACCCTCCTCCTCCGCAGCTACCTCTTCAAGACTGCTTCTTTCGGCTGACTGACTACTTTGTTCAGCAGTCTCCTGTTCGGTTGAAGCCCCTTTGTCAAGATACACATGAAAGTCTTCGCTGCCTGACTTCTCGTTGTGATCCGGCTCGCTACGAGGCACAAATTGTGGTGGTCGAGGTCGTCTGGGATGATACACGCGCTGAAACCGGCGTTCATACTTGCGCATGAGACCGTGCTCATACTCTGAGCGTAGTATCCTAAGTTCGTCCTTTGGCTCGAGTGGGTCATCCTCAATGCCTTCCACAGTGACTACAGTGCCCACCGGAACGCTGAGGGTAATGTCCTTGCCTTTGCTACCGACGATCCATTCTCCTCTTCCATGCCCGCCTGCACCTCCTTCCGCTCGAGAGGGCACTCGCGCAAGAGATCTTAGATGCGAGACTGCTCGCACGTACACATCTCCACCGGGCCCTCCAGCTCCGCCTGAAGGCGGTCCGAATGGGACGTACTTCTCGCGAGAGAATGCTACGCATCCATCTCCACCCAGACCAGCAGTGACTTCAAGGGAAAGGGAGTCGATGAAGGATGAGGACTGGGAGGTAGCCAGCGGTGCAGCGAGTGAAGCAAGTTGAGTACGCTGCCCATGATCTAGCCGTCCCGCGCCCGAGTACTCACGCTGCTCTGCCTTCGCCATTGCGCCTTTCTGGCCGCCTTCTCCTCTATCGCCCGCATGTATGCCTCGTCCACCGCTTGAGAATCTTGAAAGTTGAGCAAAGGATCTTCATTCGCTGTGCTAGTAGACGTATGAAGCCGCCTTCTTGCGGCAGCAAAAGCATGCCGGTTGACGGACGCTGCTGCCCAACTGCTTTGATTCGCGACAGTTGCACGCACACCCAATTCGTGGCTTGAAGAAGCTTGATTTCGATGTGTGATGAGCGGGGGCAGGCTGCTCTGCTGACGGCAAGAAGTGCAGCCAGGCCGTCCCCTACTAGATGACGAATCCAGCAGAGCTCGCAAACCGAACCCTCGTTGAGAGATCATTCCTGAACTTGGGAGCGATTCGCAATGCGCGTCGTCGCAGGATGGCACGAGCTTCAAGCGCGACGTTGGGTCAAAAGAGGACTGGACAATCGATCCCTGTCAACGTCACCATGCAGCCTGTCTTGAGCTTTGATGGATGCTAGGAAAGATGATTTGATGTAGCCTGCTACTGTCATATTCTTGAGTGGGTTGGAGTGCAGCCACGATGATTCATACGGACGTTGTGGAGGAAGAATCACGAATGCATCTCGCACGGTTGATTCGTCGATGGGTAAGTAAGTGCAAGCAAGCGTGCAAGCTGCGCCTGGGGGCAAGCATGCACGCATGCACACTGAGCTGCCCACCAGCAGTGCCGCGGCAGACAATTCGGCAAGCGACAGGAAGAAGTGGAAAGACGACCTACACAAGGCGAACCACGAATTCTTGCTGGGATTTCCCTCCATTTCCCTTCCGTCACCGCGTCCGCATGGCGAGCGCTGCAAGCCATCCGCACACATTGTCACGATGTTCAAAAAGGCGCCAACGATCAAGCCATCGACGCTGGTGCGCTCCTCTAATCGAAGATCGCTCATAGCTCAGCTGCAGTCCCAATTCCCAGCCTTCGCGTCCGCGTCGCCCGACCTGGTGCTCAAGCTCGTGCCCGAGACGCTGCACCAACGCAATGCTAGCACTCATGCAGACGACAAGGCGGTGCTGTATACGGACGAGAAGGGGAGACCTTTGTGGTTCGAAATCGGCAACACTGCCGGGAAAGGAGCGGAAAAGGCAGGCAAGGGAAAAGGCTTGTCCAAAGTCGAAGTGATTCCTACTGGTGCGTGACTCGAGCGTGTGGTCAATGGATCCATGAAACACGTTTGCTGACGCTGAGGGATGTACGCTTGCCATGCGGCTGTGCTGCTACCCAGTGTATGCTTTATGGCTGCTGCCTACGCTGCTCCCCCGAGTCCCTACGGAGTCTAAGCTGGTGGCCTCCGCGGACAGTGCGCTCATGTCCGGCACATCCTTGATGGTGCCGGGCTTCCTCCCACCCCCAAACACGTTCCCCATTTCGTCTGGATCAGACTTGCCGAGGACAGGTGACCTAATCAGCATTACCGCTCAAGGATCCAGTGTGCCCCTGGTGGTGGGCAAGCTCGAGATCGACATGAAAGACATCGTCGAACGGCGAAGCAAAGGGGAAAAGGGGAAAGCTGTCAAGATCCTGCACACCCATTGGGACGAACTCTGGGCGCTCGGAGGTAGCAAAGAACCGCCTAGTGAAGCTGCTCTGCCGGACGTTTCAAGCTTGTCTCTCGCGACGGACTCATCAGATCCCGCGGCGCATGGTGCTGCAGCTGAAGCTGGGGCATCAGGCGCAGCAGAAAAGGCAGAGCCGGACAGTACAGAGGACGCGGGAGCAGGTGAATCTGGATTGGCAGCTGAAGATGGACCGCAAGGAGATACTGCAGACTTGCTGGCGGATCTATTAAGCGGGGGCGGCGATGCTGAGGAGGATCAAGAGACGTCCTCTCGGATAACAGCGTTGACCGCGAAGGATGTCGATGCTTTGCTTGACCTGGCTCTGCTGAGCGCAGTAGCCCAAGACACGCCAGAAGAGCTGCCAGTCGAGTCGAGCATCTTTTATCAGCTCCATGTCCTGCCAAACAGACCCACTACGTGGCCTCCGACTCCGGAGGGGGGTTTACAGGATGCGTCGTATGATGATGTGGAGCCCAAGAGGCAAAAGACGGCGGTCAGACCAGACGATGATGTCAGGAAGAGCTCAGCCAAAAAATTGGCTAAATGGGTGAAGACGGCGTGAGCAATTGCAGGTGTAAGGAGATGCCCTAGTCGCGAGTGCTGACAATTCTCCCTTGCCGAAAAGTGAGAAGAGTGGAGTGTTCAAGACGAAAGATGTCAAGGGCAAGACGCTCATCACCGAATTTGACACTGATCACCCAGAGTGAGTGCACATATCTCCGTTTGTGACACCCGCGCCATCCTACTGACTACGTGCATTTGCGTCTCCAGTGTGACCACGCTGAAGCCGTTCATTACGCTCAAGAGTCTGACGAGTAGCGATGCGACTGAGGCTGCTGATGAGATCGATCATAGTGCGCCTCATCCTGCTGGGTCAGAGACGACGTCAAACCCAAATTTGCACTTGCGCACCGTTGTAGAACGTTTTTGGACACCTTCAAATCAAGCCGTCAAGCTTTTCCAGAGCGCAGGCTATCCGTGAGTCACAGGCTTCGTCGAGCTCGCGCCGCACGCGACCCAATTGCCGGACTGACACGTCCCCCCTGCGCTGATACCGCAGGACCTCCGCTCCCTCTTCGCGGCCTGCTATTCGAGAGATGCTCGAGGCCTATGTTGCCAAGCATCAGTTGCGCGATGGGCGACAAAAGGACCATGTTCGACTGAACGATACTCTCCTAGTGAATGCTCTTTTCCCTAAAGCTTCAGCCAACAAGGACGAGGTGCCGGCGGTGATGAGCAAGCCGGCAATTCTGGATAAGCTGATTAGCACAAGCTGCACTGAACACCACCGGGTCTCTAGATTATCTGCCTCCAAAGCGGCGCAAGCGGAAAAGATCAACGCCGAATTGGGAGGTGAGGACGTGGAGCTGGAAGAGGGAGAAAGTAGGGGTCCTATGCGAAAGGGAGTCGCTACTCCTGTGAGAATAGAGATCAAGCAAAGGCAAGGCAAAAAAGTGGTGAGCCTCGTCACTGGTCTAGAAAGCTTTGGTGTGGATCCCAAGGATCTCGCTGCCGAATGCAAGCGTAAAATGGGAGCCAGCGCGAGCGGTGAGTTTGGCAGGTGGCCAACCGAATCGTCGCTAGCTGCTCGCTGACCACGGAGATCTCTTGATCAAAGTCTCGCCATTGGCGACATCTTCACCCAAGAATCCTCTATTTGAGCTTCTCATCCAGGGTAATCAGAGCATTGCGCTAGTCAACATGCTTGCGGACCTCGGAGTCGAAAAGAGGCTGGTCAAGGTCGAAGATGGAGGTAAAGGTAAAAAGTGAAGGATTCTTGTGTGCAACTGTTTGCTCTCGACAGCGTGGACGATCCTGCTCAATGATGACCCGCTGGCTGGCTTAATTGTGTCTCGCATTCATGTTGCACTTCCATACTGTCCCACCCCTCCTTGCAAGCGCGGGTGATCAAGGCTGACGGCAAGGAATCGGAAAGACGTCACCACGAATGATTTTGATGAAAGCCTTGCCAGCAGCCTAATGTCGATGTGAGTAATTGCAAGTCGTCTGTCTGAAGAATGCGTGATACAGCATGAGATGTGGAGAGGGCTGCGAGACATGCTTGAAAGCGCTCGGAGCGGAGATTCAGGCGGACAGATCTCCAGCACTGATGTATGGTATGGAGCGTTGTGAGGTGATCATGATTCATGGAGCTATCATGCCGTATGGAGGCGCCTAGGTGATCGAATTGCAGGGCCATGGGGTGGCGGCTGACGGGCACGCGTTGCGCTCACGCGCTCGGTCGACAGGTGAAAGTGCCCTTTCACCTATCCGCCAGGAAAGAGTGCAGATCCCAAGGAGGAAGAATCTGTTGGTAGAAGGGGCGAGGCACGCGTCAGATACCGTTTGAGCGCACACCTAGCAACACGGGCGCATGCTCACCCTGCCTCTGTTCTTCCGGGGGTCGCTGGAAGCACCTGTCGACGACGACCCGTTGGCATTCGCAGTGCCATGCGTCGACTCTAAGTGTGAGAGCTTCTGGAAGCCTTCTGGATCGCCACTCGTGCCTGCATCTCCACCAATGAAAGCGAGGTGACTCGGAGGGACTGGCACTTTGTCCGCTGCTATTTGGCCCCACACAAAAGTAGTCTGTCTGATTGTTGATTCGATTAAGGGCTGTGACGGTTGCCCACTTTGCGCTGCGATCGCGAGTGCGGGATCAGCGCAAGCGTGGTCAGGCAAAAGCCTCCGGCTCACGATGGCTTTCGCAACTGACTCACCAATGATGGCGCTGTTGACCTGCTCAGCAAGTCCAACGCGTCTTTTCTGATCGAGATACTTGCTCACTGGCGAGCTTTCTACGTTGGCGTATGCAAGCAGAGCAGTGACCCCTTGCAGTTCTTTGAGATACATGGATCTCCAATACTCTGGCAGTGAGAGTACTCTGGTGTTGATGCCCTGCACCAATGCCAGAGCGCCCATAATGCCGCCACCTCCAGCTCCCGTAGCGTTCGCGCTTCCATTGGTCGACCCCGCACTGCTTCCAGCATCCGAGAAAGGCGACAGCCTTCCCGTTGCCGATGAGTCTCCGACGGACCTTGTTGTACCGGTAGCAGAGGAGCCCCTGACAGCCTCGATGAAAGCTTGGATCTGCAGATTGAGAGCGACGTGATCTGGATCTAGGCTGGGTCGGTAGGCAGGCAGAGCAGCTTTCGGCCTGCCGCTCTTTCCGTTGCCACTAGCCGCCCCCGATGCACCATTTGAAGCATTGACGGAGCCCGCAAGACCTCCTGAAAGCCGTGCGTACACGCTACTTGGGTCGAGCGTCTGTAGCGATGCTTCAGAGCGTCTCAACCGCCCAGCTGCCGCGGAGGAGCTGACCACAGCTGGGAAATGCTCATCTAGCAATTCGATGGCAGCGTAGATGCGACCGCTCAAGATGTGGTCCCGGATGTCTGTACGCATTTCCGAAAGCGTGTGAATTGTTGTGAGCCTCACTTCAGATTTTGAAGAGGTGGATGCTGCGATGCTCACCTCGCCTGATGCTAATCTGAAAGACGTCATCGCCACTGAGTTCACCTACGTTGTCATGCCCTTCGAGCCCAGACGCAAACTTGTGCAAGTCGTCTCTGCCTTTCCCTTTGCCGTTCAAGGTCTTGTCAGCTGATTGTCGTGCGGCTTGGGTCTTGCCATTCAGCTCGGCTGCGATGGCCAAGGCTTCATCCACTTCTATCTCCATCTCCGTGCTCGAGTCTCCTCTTGCGAGAGGAGGGGGTACGACACCAGCGCCGAGACCTGGTCGCCTAGAAGAGCCAGGGGCCTGAGATTTACTGCGAATGTCTGTGCCACTGGATCCTTCCGCTGCGATGCCGTCGCCAGCGAAGGCTAAAGCGGTGTCGAGGTAGCAGTGATGCACCAGATAGTTGAGCACCAATTCCCGTGTCATCGCGGGAGAAACCGACTCGTTCAGCCTGCTCCTGGTTCCAGATACCGCGGAGTCATCTCCAGGCCTCTCTGCCATGCCCGGGGAGATGGGACGATGGCTTGACATCCTGAACGCGAATCACAAGTCACAGCGTCGCTTCGAAGTGAGCGAGAGGCGGGGCTGCTCAAGTGAGATAGATGTGTTGCGTCTAACAACTTCTCGCCGCCGCTCTAACTCGCCCTGTAACTCTGCAGAATGGGTAAAGGCTACGGCGAGGATGTGGCAGCGAAGCGAAGGTCAAGCTCGAGCGGATGTGTGGGAGCGAATGTGCCGTTGTTAGTCGTCGCTTGTGCGTGAGGCTGAGCAGAGCAAGCTTATGATGCCACGGCGCGCGTCGAGGATCTGAGCGACGGGGTAGGTGCGTGCGGTGTGTGTGCCCGCAGTAGGCGAAGCTCTGTGGCACTGAGAGTTGCAGTGGTGTATCAAGGGGTTTGGCAGCGTAATGTCCCGAGTCAGGCTTGTCGTGGGTAATGAGGGAAGTGGATATCACAACGTCGCATGACAAGGCAGATTAGGCGGAGGTCCGATAGCTATACACACATACACTGATGATATACATACATGGCTGTGACCCTCCATCTGATGACGCATGCAGGGCACACCTGTCACCTCATCGCCCGCCCGCCCGCACAGCAGGTCACGAGTCACGCGCGCTATGTTGTCTTCACTGGCTGCACATGCATATACCTATCAGTATGTCGACTCATACACATCAGCGCAGGTCGAGACTCACTATGTCACAGCGTCGGGTGCATGCTGCCGCCAGTGTCTACGTCGCTCATCCGCATGGATCAGCACCTTCTCGAGGTGTCCAGCTTCGCTCATCGCTTCAAAACAGGGCCTGGCTACCAAATCGCACCCACGGAGAACAGGCCGCCGCCATTGACAGCCATACCCAGTCATGAGTCTGGAAAGTACATGGACAGGGCGGATTTCGATCGCAATTAACGTGCAGGAGACGGCCCGCGAGAGGATCATGAGGTATACCGTACGGTACCGCCAGAACGCAGAGATACGCGAAGCCGCGCGACCTAGTATTTCACGTGACGTCAAGCAACCTCTCCAAAATTCGTGATCGTCCTCTGCTCTCGCATCTCGGTCGTCTTTCATTATTACTACACGCACACACAGACACACACACACGCAGACCTCGCTGTCCGAAGTCCTTCAATCGGCGGGGCTCAGAGCCATCGCACCTTGGCAGCCTCTCCTCAAAGAGCAGGTCGGTTCCAGCATGAACGCTCTGCAGAGCTACGATAGCGGCTCGGAGGAAGATTATGCTGGACCCTCCAAGCCATCAGCATCCATCACTGCCGTCGCAGCACCCGCCGCTCCGGTAAAGAGAGCGCTATCTCCTGACGAAGATGACGATGTGACCGTCGAAGCAAGCGACGCCTTTGGCCTCCAAAATCTTTCCGGAGGTGACGCATCAGCCAGTGACGATGCCCAAAGGAACAAGGCGAGCAAGAGATCAAGGGAAGAGGCTGACCGAAAAACGGGTAACGGCGCGGCATCTCGGTCACAAGCAGGTTCCTCCGATGCTCTGACTGTCACCGCCGCTCCGGGCGTGATCGATGCTGTGAGTACACCATCATAGTCTGTCCTTGCCATTTTCCACTCAACTCCACGCCCGAACCCCTCTTGAACTCGAAGGATCCATCGGCTGCACAGTTGCTCACGAGACCCAGCGATACCTCTATGCACGTCAATCTGCGATATACCGACATGACCGCGCCCATCATTGGTCCCGAGAATCCTTTCGCAGCCAGACCGCTTGGGTCGCAAGCCAATACGCTGACTGGCCACATTGAAGACGCTGCCATGAGTGACTTCGACTTTCGAGCTCAGCAGCGCACCTTTGAGTCTCTAGGATACGCCAGGAATCCATCAAATCTGGCTCACAATGGCGGAAACAGCTTTGTGGGAGATAGAGCGAGAGCGTTGGCGTTGAATGGCGCTTCTGCGTTTGAGCTGCGTGGTGGGGACGGCGAGAGCAGGAAAGCTGCGAGAGCATTGAAAAAGCAACGCAAGGGGCAAGACGGAAGCCTGGAGGATGTGGGAGAAGGCGGATATGCAGGTCCTTGGGGAGGCTGGCACGGCGAAAAGGTGAATGTCGCAGAAGGTGTCGGTCCCACACCCGAGGAAATCAAGCGTGCAGAGGAGAGAAGCACGAACAGGCAGCTGGAGAAGCTTGAGATGGAAGCACGAAGACGGCGAGAGGATGCGGCGGGCACTGAAAAGAGCGTCTTTCATGGTGAGAAGATGGTTGCCGAAGTGTTGCGTCGCTCGAATATCCTCAGCTCACATGAAACACGCTCCCCTTCTCCTGCAGGAAAGTCCATGTACGATTACCAAGGCAGGACGTATATGCATGTGCCTACTGATGTGGATACCAACCTCAAGGGTCAACCCGGTACAGAACAAAGCTTCATTCCAAAAGCTTGCATTCACACATGGACGGGCCACACAAAGGGTGTAAGCGCCATTCGCTTGCTACCTGGCAGCGGTCACCTGATGCTGAGCGGCAGTATGGACACTCAGGTCAAGGTGCGTAGCAGCTCGCATGGAGTGATGCACTGTTTCAGAAATGCTAACGCACTTGCCTTGTCTGACTGAAGCTCTGGGACGTATATCACGACGGCAAATGTCTCAGAACTTACATGGGCCACAATAAAGCGGTACGAGATGTTACGTTTAGCCCTGACGGTCGACGGTTCCTGTCGGCCTCTTACGACAGGCAAATGAAGCTTTGGGACACGGAAACAGGCCAGTGCATTCGAGCATTTTCCAACGGAAAGGTGCCTAACGTCGTGCGCTTCCACCCCGACAAGCCAAACATTTTCTTGGCGGGGATGAGCGACAAGAAAATCACTCAATTCAACACGGACGATGGAGAGGTAACGCAGGAGTACGACCAACATCTTGGACCTGTCAACTCCATCACTTTCGTCGACGAGAACAGGCGTTTCGTCACGACCTCTGACGATAAGACGATGCGAGCGTGGGACTTTGACATTCCAGTCGTGGTCAAATACATTGCGGACCCAACTATGCACTCGATGCCTGTGGTGGCGACGCATCCAAACAGTGAGTGCAACTCCATTCGATGCGATGTCGCACAACACCACGCTAATCTGGTGTCACAACTGTCCCGCTTCTCGCTTCTGCCTGCAGGAAAATGGCTGGCGTGCCAATCGCTCGACAACCACATCAATGTCTTCGCATCGGACAGCTTCCGGCAAAACAGGAAAAAGATCTTTTCGGGGCACCACATTGCGGGATACGCTTGTCAGCTCGGCTTCAGCCCTGATGGTCGTTTCATCTCGAGCGGCGACAGCGAGGGGAATGTGGTCTTTTGGGACTGGAAGAGTGGCAAGCTGCTCAAGCGCTTGAGAGCTCATAAGGACGTCGTCATCAGCCACGAATGGCTGCCCCATGAAACGGTGCGTTGCGGATCAGGAGCTCTTGCACCTTGGCAGAGCAGAGCAGAGCAGCTGCTGAAACTTCATTTTATGCTCGAACACGGCGCAGAGCAAGCTTGTCACGGGCTCGTGGGACGGTACGATCAAGCTCTGGGTAAGTCGGCTTTTTGCCGCACCCTTATTCGCAAAAGCGTCTTGAGCTGATCTCAGATCTTCTTCATCGCAGGACTGATACCTGATTCTGTGCTTGACTTGCTATTGGTACTCGCATGCAGTCTTTTCGCGCGAGCATGCACTCTGCGATAGAGAGATTTCTTGGAGTTCTGAGGACCGAACGATACTTGCCATCCTTGCAAATCTCTCTCGAGCACAATGCAGAAGCGAAATCAGTATGCGGCGTTGTGTTTCTCGATTCAGAGTTGCCATTCGTTCTACTCTTGTTTCGCGAGCTTCCTGCATTCTGGATACACTCGTGTGCTTGCTCATCTCAAGGCGATGAACGATGAACAATTCTAGTGTAGGATCTTTCGGCGGCATCGTATCACGCGTGCATGCTGCTCGGAATCGAGGCTTTGATCAAGTTGGGCAGGGCTAGGCTGAGCGTACACGCCATCCGAGAAAGGCATCGTCAACTCAAAGCCTGCGCTGCGAAGCAAGAATTCACATTCCTGATTCACATTGTGGTCGTTGCGCCTCGGACGGTGCGGGTGAGGTGACGTGACAATCAGGATCATGATGGAAGTTTCGGGACCGATGTCATCGACTTCAGCTTCAGCTTCAGCTAGCGTAAGCGAGTTCGCGCATCCGTCAATTGAAGCTTCGTGTCATTCTTGGTCTGCGCATGCGCAAAACGAGCCTCTTGCTTTTGCCAAGCACGTATACGGGAGCTTTGCGCAGCCCACCCCACCCACACCTAGTTCCGTGTTGCCTGCATGATCTTGGCTTGATGTCGCGATTGAGAGCAATCCACATTGAGTGATTCAATTCGCGATGGCAGGATGTATGGACAACGTCGATCGAGCGTGCAGTGCGGGCCATCCACCCAGAGAAAGTGTGAATTGGTTAGGAACACCTGAGCGGCGGGCGACGCATCAGAGGGGCGATGTAGTTTTAAGTTGACCCTTCGATTCGGAGATGAGATTCACGAATGGATGGGAGTCAGAGAGTGCAGGAGGAATGCGGAGATTGCGGCCTCTTCTTCTGCCATGCACTCATCAGAATAATATCAATCAAAGATCACAACAGCAGCTATATATAGACGCGCGCACTTTGCCTTGGAATTTTTTGTTCCTTTGATGCGGGCATTGCCCGACTTTGTTGCGTCGTGAATCGTGAATGAAAGATGTGAGTCAGAATGAAGAATCAGAATCGCATGGATGCATCATCATCGTGACTCACACACAACACAGCACGCACATGACGATTGAGAGCCACGAACGTTGGGTTCACGATTCGATGATGGATGCGCGCCGCTGCACCTATATACCGGTACAACAATTCAAACTCGGCATACAATCGTGAATCACGGATCGCGCTTGCTTGCTTGCTTGCTTGCTTGCTTGCTTGCTTGTTTGATCCTTAGTTGCCTATTTTGGTTCGGCGGGGTCGTGAGTCGTAAGTCGTGGCGCCGAGCGAAACGAGTTGCGCACCTCGCGTTCGCGTTCGCGTGTGCAGCTGCTGCTGTGCGCGCGCGTTTGTCTTGCGCCCGCGCTCGTCGGCGTGCAATTCATCCATCATGCAGCAGCATCGACGATGCGCCATGCACGATGCACGGATCTACGCTGCTCGTCATGGCTTCTGCGCGCCGATCGACTCGCGTCGCGTTCGTCGTCCGCGCTTCCCTTTCTTCCGCTCCACCAGCATCCCATCCACCACGACGCGCATCGCATCGCACCGCACATCCGCATTCTGGTTATTGTGTGGGATCTCATACATCGCACCATATTGATCTTCATCTGCACTCGGCACCTTGATTGAAACATTTCAAGATGGTCAAGTCGCTCAAGTATCAGAGAAAGTCGGATTTGGTGGATATGGGCACCCTTTTGGGTCTCTCCAACCCTTCCGACCTCAAGAGGGACGATTTGGAAGATGAGGTCAGGAACGCCTTGCTCTCCAGAAGAGCAGAATTGCAGAACGATGAGCACTGGAAACCCATTTACGGTGCCATCGATTCTGGAGAGCGCAGAGCAGCTAGGAGCAGTCTAGGCGCCACCAGTCCGTGAGTTTGCACTCTGACTGCATTCGTGATTCACAATTCGCTCGAGATTCGTGATTCTTATTTCTCGGATCCATGGCATCGAGGTGAAGTTTGCGGAGCGCGTGGATGCTCGCTCGCTCGCGGGTGCTCGGACGTGTGCAGCAGCGGCCCCGCGCGCGCGCGCGCGCGCGAGCGGTTCAAGTCATGCTGCTTGCATGCATCATTGCGCCTCTGCTGACGTGCCGCGGCCGATCGTGTGCTGCTGGGCCACACACCCATGCACGCATGCATGCCCATGAAAAACGCGGGTTGCAACGTATAGAGTCACGACGAGTGCACGCGGTCCGTTTTAGCAAATTGCTTCCCCGCATTTGGAAGTCGCTCGTCAGATTGACATGGTCATGCGTCGCACCCATAAGCTTGATCTTCCTGCCTTTTAAATGTCGCTGACAATCGCGCCCAACCAACATCCCATTTAGCGACTCTGATGCTTCGGACGACTCTCCTGCTCGCGCCAAGTCTCCCCGCAAGCACTCTGGAGGCCGGGCCAACGGTACCGCTACTCCGCGCAAGACCTCGAGCTCGCTTGCCCAAGATGCGAGCTCCACCTTCAACAGTTTGACAGCTCGTACCAAGCGCAGCTTCGAAAGTCTCAAGGATGCATTCCGAACCGGAGCTAACGAGGCTCGCACTGAAGTCATTGAAGCTCGCGAGCACGTGGACCACGCCGCACACGGCGTCGCTCACCGCGTCAAGCTTCAACAACGCGCCTTGATCCGTGGCGCTGGAAACTTGTGGCACAAGGCCGGCGTCTACGCTTCCGATGCCAACAACCTGACTACGATATTCCTTGCTCTCGAGGCCATTACTCTGATCCTGTCTATCCTCCCTACCACCTACTTCGAATTTGGCAGCCGCGCGAGCGTGAGCAACCTTGTCAAGAGCGGCGGCAAGACCGCTCACAGCACTGTCCCTCACTACGCCATCACGATTCCCAATGCGTGGGCTCTGCTCACCGTCGGATTTTGGAGGCCCATCGTTCTGTGGACTCTTTACACTGTCGCCGTCCCTTACATTCTCGCTCGTGAGTCTCGCTTGCTCGCGTTGAGCCCATTCTGAATCATGCTGACGTCCGATTTGTACGGCTCCGCGTTATATGCCAGATCTGATCACCTTTAGCCGTCGTCGCGACTTCTCGGCGCAAACTTTCACCTTGTCTCGTCTATTCCTGATCCTCTTCCTCGTCCGTATCACTCCTGGACTATTGCCCAAGCCCGCTCCTGCCGTGCTTGGCGTCGCGGCGGGCCAGACCGCAGCTGCTGCCAACGCTGCAGCCGGAGGCAAGCTGCTGAGTGCCCAGGGCCTCATTCAACAGTACACCAGCTACGATTGGGTGTCAGCCGCAATCTCCCCTGAGCTTCAAGTCCTGGCTGCTAGCGCTGCCGCTGCATTCGCAAACCTCGAGGCGCTCCACACTCGCCCCCGCGCGGGCTGAGCTCCTGAAGAGCAAGCATTGGCACAACAATGGCGCAAGAAAGCGCTTACGCCGTTCGCTGGAAATGTTGGCTTGCCATCTCGAAGACCTTTTGCTTTACCTCACATACCCTTTTCTTTCGGAGCTCGCCCTTTTTGTTCTGCCTGAGTGCTGTGACAGCGAATCAGCAACATACTGCCATTCGCTTCCAAACTCTGCGATGTGCTACCTTCTCCCTCCCTTCTCGCAACTATTATCGCCGCGACGGCGATCATGCGTACCCGTCTCGGCTTGGTTCAGGCTTCCAATATGTCAGTCTATGCTCATCACGTATACGCTCGCGCCAGGATTCAAAAGCAGCCCGCATTTTGTTTTCCTCTTCTGGTCATGCTCCTCGTCTCTCGTGCAATGCAAATCGAAGTGTTTATTATATCTCTCCATTTCGCGCCCCCTCGCCTCGCCTCGCCTCGTCTGCCCTCTCTCATCCTGAGCTTTACGATGCCTCTCGCCCTCTCTGACCTGGCCCAGCGCTGCCAAGGCGAATGTGCCCACGCTCCGCATCTGCATGAACTCGATCGGCCGGGCTCTAAGAATTCAGAGAGTCCTCGAGGAGGCATCTTGAGTCATCCTTCCACATCCGTATCCCTCTCTTCCGGAGCATCCCAGCTGACCTGACCCAGCACATCTCCCATCCAATGCCACCTCCTTCCCATCGCCTTTTCCAGATTGACATTGGGAAGCAAACAGCTCTCCAGCGATCTGCTCCTCCTCTCCAGATCCGACATTCTCCTAGCGCTAACGAGGTACTCTTCCTTGGGCCCCCCTCTCCCTCTCCCTCCATCGCCATCGCCTTGCATCATCTCCTCCTCCTCCTCCTCCTCCCCCTCACAATCGCCGGCTAGAGCAGTGCTGCGCGAAGCTACGAGGACTCTTCGAGCGCACTCTTGCATCAGTCTAGCTATATTCCTCGTATCGTCCATGCCCGAATGCAATCTTCCCTCGAACGGCTGCAGCTTCAAAACTGCTAGCAAACCGCTGATGGTCGTGTCGCGTATCGGCGCTTTTTTGCTCTGCTGCATCCCTGCGCTGCGGATGTGCGTTGACCGACGTTCGGGGGCGCTCGTGTCATTGGGGTCGTGCGTGTGCGTCCTTGTTCTGGCAAGGTGCTCGACGGGCAGGAACTCGTCCAACGAGGACCCTGCTGTGGTGTTTGGGTTCGTCGAACCGAAAGCGTTCAAAGTTGATGAAGCTGCAGTCGTCCGTCCTTCCATTTTGAGCAGCCCAGGTGCAGCTTGCTCCGAGGCTTTTGCGCCCGGAGCGCTAACAGCATCGTGGTCGCCCCACTTCTCAGTGGGCAGAGGCCTCTCGACGTCGTAAAGCGTCTGTATGCTTTTCCTCACGTCGATCAGCGGTCCGCGCATGAAGCGCGGAGGTCCATCAAAGCCAGACATGAAGGACTGCTTGACTACAAAATCTCTCAGATCAAAAGGCCCATGCGTGACCCACGTCACGCCTCGCCTGAGCGCTGGGATCGGCGTTTCTGTCGCACCAGTGCTCGATGCGACCGTCGCTGTCGTACCAGTATTGGACGGCGCGTTAGATGTGAGAGCGGGTGACGAGGGAGTCGAAGGGACAGAAAGACGATAGCTCGAGCTGCCATTTATTCTTGTTCGTGCCGGCAAAGGCCGCGATCGAGGTCCGGTGGGTGCTTCGAGGAGCGAGTGTCGCGACAAGAAAGCTCGGAGAGCGTCCAGAGCTGCTGGAAAGGTCGGAGCTGCATCTATAGTCGACTGAGCGGGGTTTGAGCGTTTCAGCACCTCAATGTTTGCAATCAAAAAGATTCGGCCCTTTCTCACTCACTTGATCTATGCCCGTTAGCTCTCTGCAGAAGCGCGTCAGGCGGGGCCGCCAAGTCGGTCTGACAAAAGTGTGAAAGGTATCCACTACCACCAGACTTGGCTCGTCCTCACTTGAAGGTGTTTGCAACGCGTCTATGGGATCCTTGTCTGCTCCCAGTCCTGCCAGCTGCGTCAGCTCGTCTTGCGCCAACGAGGCCGTATACCGAAAACTTTCGGTCTTGGGCGATGCAGGTGAGCTAGGTCCCGCACTTCGACGCAACGCTGCAGGAGAAGTGGGTGGGTGCACGTTGTATGCGGTCGCTCGCTGTTCCAGCTGATGGATCTGCACTGCCCGACGCGGCTTCCATTGCAGCAGTATGACAGGCAATTCGATGACTGCGGTGGGGTGAGGGATTGGTGTTACATGTGTCAGTGGACCCTGACTGACCAGAACCGACGCTGCGCAGAGCGATCCGAGCCACTTGACGCCCCTTTGAAGGGAGAGTGTCTTTGTTGCGGAGCAACCTGAACGTGCCTTGTATTGACGCTGCACTCACTCTCGTTTGGCCAGTCGAAGCTAGCGCTTCGCGTTCTCTGTGGTGGCCCTCGCTCGCAGGTCGCCTCCACATCCAAGACGAGAAATGAGTCGTAATGCTCCAACTCTTGCTCTGCTCCCAGCCTGCTGGCAGGGGAAGACTGAGTCGCGCTGGTGGCCAAGGAGGTAGAGGCCTCTCCGAGCGCATTCTGGTAGGCGGCGCTGACGGGACGAGACCTGTACCCATCGATAGCGGGGGACAAAGGGTGACTGGCAGATCGACAAAGTTTCAGCCGACCGCCGTTCCTCTTTGGCCCATTCCTGCTCTGCCTGCTCGGACTTGTCGGCGTAGCGAAGGATCTGGGCGAGGCCGAGCTCGGCACGGGAGAACGAGGGCTGGCAGATGATTTGGGCGTGCGGGGTGTGAGGGGCGCGCTGTGCATCGTGCTCCGTTCTCCCGCACTCGAGCTCTGCGAGTCTGTCGAGATGCCCGACAAGCTTCCCATCACCGCCATCTCACCCAAACCTGCCAACGCGGGTGGCGCTTCCTGCCTGATGCGACTGCGTTTCAATCGAGCGCGCAGCTCGGGTCGATGTCCGCGAGTCGAGAGACCAAGCTGAGAAAGTTGCGCTCGCAAGTCGTCCACTGTCAAGCTCGAGCTCATCTCGCCTATCGGTCCCCCAATCGCGAGTACTGAGTGAAAGTGGAGCCGACCGAGAGTTTGGTAGCTAGACGATGTTGATGTGTGCGTGCGTCAGCTGCCAGCACGTCAGTTGATGGGTAGAGGCAGGACCGTTTTGGGCAGCAATGGTGCATGACGAAGTTCTGGCCGCCCTACACCACCCGGCTCGTCCAGCATTGGTCGATGACCCGCCTGGCTGCAGAAAGCTTCGCCTCCGTATGGGCCGGCTGCGGGTCGCGATGATGATGTGGCCAGTCAGCGCCTGGCTGGCCGGCCGGCGGAATGGCTTGAGAGAGATCGAGGCGAGGAACGCTAGCTGGTGTGTGCGCCGCCCATGTAGAAGGCGGAATTGCGTGGTGGGATGAAGCCAGGCAACTCGTGACTCACAACTACATATGCCAGAGCAGCATATCGAACAAGTTACCGACCGAGGTAAGGCAGAGGAGAGGTGAAGGAAGTTGGCAGTGAGAATCAGAATCACGAATCTCGCATCCGTCCAAAGCTCGAACAATCGTGAATCTCGCAGTCGATCTCAATCTCAACCGATCAAGCCTCCATCCTGTTGACCTCGAACAGTCACACACAGCCTTCCCCCAACGCAGGCAGCACGTACCACGCACGCATCGCAGCAGTCACGAGCCATGCAATTAAGTCGAAATCGTGATCAGGTTGCATAGGAACACTCACAACAATCACACTCACGACTGACCGGTGCATGTGCACTGCTGCATGGGGATCGATGAGGGACGCACATATGTTGCCTTCCGCCGCGCGGCGGTGTTCGGCGTCACGCGACGCGCCCTTATAGCTGCGATCGAGCGCTCGATCGATCACTGCTGCTGCTGCTGCATATGCTGTGACTCGTCGTGACTGCATGCAATCACGAATAACGGCCAAAACGCCCCGAGAAAACCTTTGCTTCTCATTCACATTGTCACACACGATGATGTGCCAAAATGTCGATCTCGTGCCAGGCGCCTTTCGCCAAGTCAGCGCATCGTTAATTCTAAGGCCATGTATTCCCGCCTTCATTCGCGAGAACCCCCTTCGCAGAAAGATTGGTCAATCCTGCATCCTTTCTTCTCGTGCCCTTTTTCTTCTCATGACAAGTAGCCCTTCGCCAATGCAATCTCGGCATTGATGACGCTTGATGTCGCTGCTCCAATCATGACGTTGTTTGAGAGGACGACAAACTAAAAGGGAGGCAAGAAGAAACAAGAAAGAAATTGTGCAGATCAGCAAAGTACGCGTCTGCCAGGCCAAGGAGGCAGAGGCAACGATTGCGGCATCTTTGTGGTCCCTCTCTGAATCTTCGACGAATCACAAAGCTTGCGGACGTAGTCATCAGGTACGCGCACGCCCTGCTCTCGCCCCGCTCCACCTCGCGCTTAGCTCTCCCACTCTTCCACACACACACTCTCTCTCTCTTCTTTTGAAGCTCACCTTGATGTCAAAGACTGGACACTGACGAATCCTGCCGACATTGACGCCCGCGCCATTCTGAGCGTCCCTGTCCAACCTAGGCTGAGGTCTGTCCGGCTCCTCGTGCACAATGATTGCCCTTTCCGGCGCAGAATGGCACTTGAGCTGCTGCGCCTCGGTGGTGTATTGCCTCAGAGCTTCTTTGACCTGCTCCGCGTCAGGTGGTGGTCTGTTCAAGAAGCGCACAGATACGGTCTCTGTATGTCCATCGATGACCGGCACCCTATTGCAGTGCGCTGACATCTTGATGCCAGCATTCACGAATCTACCTCCTTGCACGTGTCCCAAGATTTTCGCCGCTTCTTGCTCCATCTTCTCCTCCTCGCCCGAAATGAACGGAACGACATTATCGTGCACGTCGAATGCGCTCACGCCGGGATAGCCAGCTCCCGAAATAGCCTGCATCGTGCTGGCAATCACCAGTTCGAGCGGGCCAAACTTTTGTTCCAGGGCTGCCAGAGGAATGACCAAGCCGGTGGTGCTGCAATTGGCGTTCGTCACGATGAAGCCCTTTTGAAGACCGAGGGAGGCCTGCTGAGTGCGCACCATTTCCAGATGAGAGGGGTTGACGAGCGGTACGATGAGGGGGCAAAGCGGATCTTGCCTGTAATTCTTGGCGTTGGAGAAGACACGCAGCTCCGCAGCTCTGAACACGTGCTCTATAAGGCGTGAGCAGTGCAGCAGTACAGTGCAGCGTGGGAAAGGATGCGTATCAGCATGATGGGCTCCACAGTACCCTCTGGGTGGGCGTTCCCCCCCCCCCCCCCCCCCCCCCCCCCCCCCCCCCCCCCCCCCCCCCCCCCCCCACAGGCCCAGGCGACAGCTCTGGCTACTCACCGTACTCGGCAGCAGGGCCCGAGTCCAGTCCCGAAAAGACGACATCGCACTGCTTGAACCTGTCCACGCTGCAATCGCCAACAACGACATCTTTGACCTCTCGCGGGATCTCCTTTACCTGCTTCCATCTTCCCGCAACTGCATCTTTGTACGCCTTTCCCGCGCTGGATGAAGAGGCTCCCAAGACGCTGATCTCGAAGTTGGGATGACCGGAAAGGAGAAGGATGAAGCGTTGACCAACTGTGCCAGTCGCTCCGAGCAGACCTACGCGCAGCTTTGGCGAGGATGACATGGCGTGAAGAAGTGGCAGCCAAGGTGCAATGAAGTTGCAGATGAGAGGCGATGAAATGCTCCACAGAGGTACGCGGTGAGAATGATCGATCAGATGCCGGACTTGGCTAGCCTACCGGAGAGATCTCGAGTGCGATGGGTGAATGATGATGGTCGAGAACTTGGCTCGATTATCGCAGGTCTTGCAAATTAGGCGACTCTGGAAATTGTGAATGCGTTTCACGTCGTCCATAAGGGCAATGCGGGCTCGATCGCATGGATGCGTTCGTCGAATCAAGTGTGAGTGAGCTAGTCGCCCTCCCTCGAGCTCCAGCGTGCTCGCCCGTTCTGTCGTGAACTCGCTTCGCATAGCCTCCACCTCACCTTTTGGTCGTGCCTTGTGCGCGTATAGGATGTTCTTCGCTTGATTCGAAGATCGAGTCACGCAAGAGATGTGTGCGGAAATTTCGAATGCGCCACACCGCGCCTCGTGACTAGCCTCGTGAACGTCGCGTGTTGCGAGAATCAGTGCGGCTCACGTGACCCGTGTACTTCGTCAACCCTTTCCCCCCCATCCCGCCAGGCCGAGACAGCATGTAAAAGAAAGGTCGAATTCAGTTCTGATTCAAGATTCCTTTTTGAAAATCAAAAACGTTGATGAGTCAGAGGTCAGATGCTCACGGCCAGTCAAGCGTTGACGGGTCATGAGTCAGGAGTTGCTCATTGTTGATTCTGCGTCGATGTCCCACAACAAGAAGAGGCAGCCATTCCGTCGTACGTCAAGCGGGACACTCACGACTCGTCGCTCTTCGCTTCCGAATCTTCGACGTTTTGCTTTGAGGCTCATCAATCAAAGGCCGCCGACTCCTTTGCGTGATGCCGCCATGTCCGGTTCTCCTCGAAGACTGTTGTATCGCGAATCACTAATCGTTGACCGCGGTCAATCGCGTACTGATGGATGCGTGCATGTTGCCTTTTCGCACATGTGGCCGTTGCTCATGTATTCAGATTTGCACATGTGGAAAGGTGTAGGCGCGCAAGCATGCATCATCGCCGCTTCGACGACCGCAGAGAATCTGTGAATCTTGAACGTCGATAAGTGGCGAAAGAGCAAAGAGATTGGCGCGGCACATCTCGGCATACGGTAGGTAGGCGCCGACGACGGCGAAACGCATATATATAGGACAGGTCAGAGTGGGAGTGAGTGATGCTGTGTCTACAGGGCTGAAACGCGTACCTGCCTGCTGCGTCTTAGCACAGCCATGCGGTCGCTTGTTGTAATTAAGACCGGCTTGATGAGGTGCCCCAAATTATTTGGACTTCTGGCGGAGACCTGGCCCGTATGTCCATATTCACATTCGTGATTGGCAAATCACGATGAGTGATGCGCTCAAGCCCGCCACACCGGCCGCGGGCTCGTATCATAGATATGTACACTCACGAATGATGGTGATGCTTCGGCGTGCCAGCATCCAGCAAGACCTGCAATTGCCCTTGCCGTGAGGCGCCGAGCATGCATGCAAACTCACTTCAGCTCGGCCCCCGATCGAGAGACTCTGCCAGCTCGGTTTCGAGCTAGATCGTAATAAGCCTTGGCTGCTGTTACGGGCTGTAGTCCGAACAGCGGGGTCAGGCGACGGGCGAACGGCATAAAGTCACCGAGCAAAGCCTGCATCCTGCTGGCAATTGAATCGAAATGGTCCTTGTGTCGACGTTGCTTTTCTGAACTTGAAAGTAGCGCCGGCGTGGGGCCAGTACGCTTCGTTGCCCGAGTAGTCGGCTACCCGAGCGTCTTAAGGTTCTGGCCGATGGCTGTACGGACTGGGATTCCTCCATGCACTGATGTGAGGTCCTCAAAGGACGACCCTTCTTGCATATAAGAGAGCACTTGTTCAGGGCCTTCTCACAATATTGGAGCAACGACCCTCAGCAACGCTTTCGCCTCGCGCACTCGTCGATTCCAATCCAGACTCTCATCGCCATGCTCTTTCACAAGATGTTCTCACCCATCCTGCTCGTCCTGGCTCTCGTCGCGACGCTCGCGCAAGGCGCCACGGTCAAAGAGCGCGCTTCTGATCAATGCCAAGCAGTGGGAACTGCCCACTCCTTCAGCACCACCACCGGAGATCTGCCCACGATCCACCCTCTAACCGTTCAAATCCTTCGCGACGGGCAGGAAATTGCGAGCGTTGACAATGTGCAGTGCAACAATGGAGTGGATCCACCTACTGTGACCGTGATCGATTCTTCGCTCCCAGCGCCCTTTGGCTGGTCAGCTACGTGCGGCACGGCAAGCATCGAGTGAGTGTTGACTCTTGCCACGTGTACACTCGGGTTACTTGCATCGTAAAGTAGGCGCTCATGACTGAGCTGACGCATGAGCGCAACGATCCACTGTCTCGTGTTTCAATAGGGAGTGTCACGGAGCGTACGGGCGCAACAGAGACATCAAAGGAGAGGCCCCAACGTCGAGACCCTTCGTCCAAGGCCCGCTGCCAAACATCCTCTGGACTTGCAAGATCAACTTTGATTGCATCTTGCTTTGATGTGCCAAAGCACCTCTGAGCGAGTGTCACACACAGACTAGCATGCAATCTTACGCCAAGAATTTGGGTCTTGCCTAGATTGTGAGCACACTGAGCCAATGCTAGTAGCGTCGGAATTCGATAGCCTGAGGCTCACCGAACTCCCCAATCAGACGTCCTCTTGAACAACAGCTGCTAGATGGTCGCCGAGTTCGTCTCGCAATCAACATGACCCTTGCCTGTCCTCCACATCATGTTTCATGCACGCTCAACACGCTTCCAGTGTCTTCTTGACGAAATCAATCGGCTAGCTTCGCACAGATCGACGTCGAGACGCGGTCTGCATGCACGTGCGAGTGATAAACATCTATTGTGGATAGACATCGCTTTCGCGCCTCCCAATCTCGTCGCATGCGCTGCGTCGAGAGTCTGATGTTCACCCTCCAGAGCGTTCGCAACCGTTGTAGATTGCGACTTCTGAGGTTGCGGTCTGTGAACGTTGGCTTTTGGTTGGAGCCGCTCACTTTTTGGAGCGATAAAGGACTGGTGGTATTGCAAGGTCAAAAAGTCAGCAAATCGCTACATCTGCAATGTTTGAGAAAGCTGCTACTTCACTCACGGATATACGCCACCGAGTCTGAGATTGACACGTGGCAGTCATCCGCGCGCACGTCAGTCGTAATCTGAGTCACGCACCTAAGTTCGATCAGAACTCACCTTCGCCTCCACCGTCAAGCGCTCGGATCTTATCCTTGCTGACCGTGGAGACTCTATCGTCGTCAAACTTTTTTCATCACTATAGTCAGCAGCGATCTTTGCTTGCCAAGCAAGAGCATGTCGACTGCGAGCTCGCACTCACTTTGTACCATTCTTGCTCGTCTGGCTTTTCCGTGATTCGTTGCAACGCCTCCTCGTCGCTCTCAAGATCCTTCCTGACCCAGCTGATGTAGTGTCCGGCATCGGCAGCCGCACCTTTGTGCGTGACCACTCCGACCAGCTCGTACAAGCCTGAGTAGTTACATCCAGTGTCCTTGGCCAAATCGGGATGAACGCTCGCCTTGACATCCGCATCTTCTTTGGCTCTGAGCGCCCTTTCGTCTTCGTCCGACAACGCTTGTCCGGGCTGGGACTTGGCGTCCACGGCGCCTGTACTAGAAGCGTTGCCCATCCTTTCCTCCGTCTGGTCCGTCGCACGAGGGTCAGATGAGATGGGCGCGTCGATTCCTCCGCTCGTAGCAGTGCCAAGGGACGCTGGATCAGCATTCTTGGCTGCGTCACTCTTGACGTCCTTTTCTCTCTGTGCTTTTGCTTTGCGCCGATTCTTTGCTCGCTCGTCTCTGTCCTTCTCTACACTCAAAATCTTCGCATGCGCAGGCGCGATCTTCTCTTTCAGTGCGCCCGAGAGGAAAGGGGTCACATCCAAATCGAATGGGAATTTGACCTTGCGCATGATTTTTGTTTTCCTGCGCGCAAGCGGGGCAGATCATCAGTGTTGCTTCGACGTGGCTTATTTCAACGGCCCTCTTCCACGTACTTGTTGATATCACGCCTCCAGTAGAACCTCACGAAGTGGGTGGTGAGGTACGCTGGCAATCGATCAACGCGACGTACTTCGTCATACACAGCTGTGCGACCCAAAGTGTCCGAATGTTTCTCGAGCTGCTGGTTCAACGACTGCACGGGTAGCGAGATAGATTGACGAGCGAGTGAGCACGTACGTGGTCAAGCTTTCAGAGTCAAGTTGCGCATCAACTCACGTCCAAGATTCCAGAAGTCATTTCGTTAGTGCTTGACGAGATGTTGCATTGCAGCACTGAGAACGGTTCCTCGCCGTATGTTGGCTCTTCAGACGCTGCCTCAGCGGTGGACCGTCTATCAATGCGTGTCAGGAGCGATGTGAGGCGGGTCAGTGACAAATCGCGGCAATTGCGCTGCCGGCAGCTCAAGTGTCCACATTCCGCCTGGGCAAAGTATCGCCAAGCACTCACTTGACAGTGATCCTGCCGGTCATGAATTGCTCAACGAATTTTGTGTTTCCACCAGAGGTGGAGCCCCCCGCAGATGAGGCGGGCAGGCCGCCTAGCGAAGCTTGCAGAGCATTCAGGATGCGTACCCATACTTCTTCAGCGTCCTGCTGAGCATAGCCGCCGCCGCCCATGCCAGGCTGCGATGATTGAGCCATCTCTGCGAACTGTGGAGCAACTTGTCGGAGAATCTACAGGCTCGAGGTTCCGGATAGGATTTTTCAGGCCTATGTGGGCATAGAAAAAGCCGCAGAAGACGAGAAGACTGACCGACAAGAAAGCTAGGGGAGGAAAAGCTTCGGTCGTGGAGCCCATAGCTTTATACAGCTCCCTCAAAGCAGCAGTCAAATTTGATTCGCCATCGACGCCTCCCATGCCCGGTGCGAAGCTTCAAAGGATGAAGAGCATAAGCCTTGATCTCAGCATTGACCAACCCCCGCCACTCACTTGTTGAGCGCCAATTGCAGTTCGGGGACCGCCCTCAGCACTTGCAAGGTCGAATTTAGATAGCAAGTGTTGCCAAGATTTGTAAGACCGGCCTTGGTCCGCGTCTACAGGCACGGGGAGAGCACTGAGGTGAGCAAGTGGACTCTACGGCGCGCACGCTTTCACTGTCACCGCTCACCGCCTTTGCCAACTCAGAATCGTCCATGTCTTCGATGAAGGTGATGTTCATCTTTGGCGCTGAGGGTAGCGGTCCGGCGGTGCCAAGCAGCATAAACGTCTGTCCCTGCGTAAATGATTCAGATAAGAGCGGTCGAAAGCTCAGCATGACCATGTGATGCTCGAACACAATATCCTTGATAGCCTTGCGAAGCTTCGCACTCACCGGCTTTGCCGACAATTTCGTCATGTCCGCATCGTCCTGTGGAAGCGCATCAGAAAATCAGCGATTCCTGCTCGCCAAGGAAGCATGTGGCGACATCACTGAATTGGAAACTGACCTTGAGCATGCCGCCCTTGATCATGACCTTCTGTCTGTCCAATGGCACCCCAGTCTTCTGGTAGATGGCGTCCTTGAAGGCCGAGGCGGGCGAGCTCGGGTCCAGCGTGACATCATGCTGTGGTGTGCAGCGCTCGTAAAGGTAGATGAGCATATGCACCAGGATAGCACAACACTCACCCTTGCCCCTCCATCGTCTTCTGACTCACCACGACGCCATTGTGCTTAACCTTTACGCTGACTGCTGAACTCATCTTGGGCATTTGCGGATGTGTGTATATGCGTGCGGGGGGCGTGCTGCTACGCTGAGGAGTCTTGTTCCAGCTCGTATCGAGCGATTGATACTCCGCGCGGGGTACTTGTTCGACGGACCTTGAGCGTCACCAGCTCGGGATTGGTCTGAGTTACAAGTCTGGGAGATGGTGGCATGAGGGCTGGTCGCTGGTTAAGCGTATAGTGGGCAGCTTGGCGTGCGCAACACAACCGCAGGCAAAGATGATGACGCGCACCTCCTTCTTGTTGAGGGCGGCGAGGGCGCGTGCGTGCGGCCGTGCGAGGTGCGGTGAGCGATGCACGTGACGATCGTTTCCGAGGAGCGTTTCATATACCCTCGACAAACAAACGACTTGCCTACTCAAGACAAGTCGATCTGAGAGCAGGCGTTCTCAGGTATCCTCGGCGCAATCTCACCTCGGCTCTCGACTCATGACTGTCGTCGTCCGTTTGAACAGCAAGCGTCGCTAATCCGACCCTTGCTGTGCTCTTCTGCTGGCCGTTCGAGCCCGCTCACGCTCACCTCGCTCAGGTGCGCCCGTGTTGGAGGGAAGATGGCACGCAGCATTCCTCGCGCCTCCAGCGCTTCCGAGGATGAAGGCGATCAGGTCTTTCCCGAAGCTTTGGCAACGGGACGATCTAAGCGCTCCACGGCGGGCAATCGGTGAGTCACTGTGTAAGGTGCTGCGTGCTTCTACTCGTGAGCTTACAAGCTCTGACATTTGGTGTTGCCCTCAGCATGCGAGCGCTTCTGGACCAGGAGTTTGAGGAGGAGGAAGGCTTCTCGGGCAATGAAGATGATGTAGAGTTCGAGGAGAAGTTGGATGAGGTGGACATTATAGACTCAGACTTCGACAAGTCGAGCTCTGACGAGGATGCTGGCTCGGAAGATGACGAGGAAGGGGAGAAACAATTGTTGGAGGAGGAGAATGCTGCTGCGAAGAGGAGCAAGGTGAGCGCGCTCTTTGGAAACTCGTGGGCTAAAACCACGGCGTAATGGAGGAGGGTGGCAGAGTAAGCGCAGTAGCCAACTCAATGCCACGCTCGACCTTATCCTTCTCACAGTCCAGCAAAGGGAAGGTCGGATCAAGCCGAGCAAGGGCGAGACCTGCGCCGCCTGCCATCGCCGCGTTTCGTCCTTCTAACGGTAAGCCTCCTCCGTCCGCCTTGATGTCGGTCGAGCAGCAGGATGAAGGGCAAATCGAGTCCAGGGCTTCCAAGCGCATCTCATTCGCGCCCGTGCCTCCTGGTGGAGAAGGGAGTGGCCCATCGTCCAACGGCCCACGAAGCCTTTCTGCTTCAGGCTCGCAAAGATCCAGCAATCGTCGAGCCACGATGCGGGTAGCTGCTGAAGTGCAGCAGCGCTTGAAGAGCGAAGAGGCTAAAAGGGCATCACAGCCTGTGAAACAAGCGCCGCGCAAGCGTGCACGATTGACGCAAGATGCGTTGATTGCGCAAGCTCTGGAGGTGGAAGATGTGAATCGAGAATCTTTGAGAAAATTTTTGGACCAGGAAGAAGAGAGGAGAGCTAGGGATAGGAGACTAGTACCGAAGACGATCGAAGGGCCGTATGTCAGATGGCACTCCATCTCGATGGCGGAAGGTCAGCCACCCTCCATTACCGTCATCGAGCCAACAATGGCATCTAGCAAGAGCGAAAATCATACGTCGGCCTTGTCGGCGCTTCGTCTGCCTCTGACCCAGGACCCTGTCTTTGCAGATCGAGCGGCTCGGGCAGCAGAGGTGTCCGGCACATCTAAAGATGAAACGGCAGAACAGTCGGCTGACAGGGCGGGTCAGCCGACCAAGAAGTTCTCTCGCACTCTGCTCTCCTTGCGGGGATTGCCGGAAGAGTCCACATGGGTGGACGAGTTTCGACTCTTGCTGGGCGATCATTGCCAATGGGACGCTCTGCCCGTTGTGCCAGCTCGAAATCGACCACTCAGGCCTCGTCAAAGCACTTGTCCAATTACAGGCCTACCAGCCGTCTACAGAGACCCGAGAACGGGCACACCGTTTGCGACGTGCGAAGCGTACGAAGTTATTGGTCAGCTGCTGGATCATAGATATGCGTGGACAGGATCAGGCGCGAGGGAACGACAGACGAGCTCTGGAAACGGAGCGGCGCATGAAGCGTTTGCGATGGGATGCTACGTAAATGCGCTCGATGACGAAGGTGCAGACGGCTCGTTCAGGCGAGCGGCGGAGGCAGCAGGAAGACCTATGGTCACGGCAATGGACCACGCATCAACCAACGCAAGCACGCAGATGCTGGGCGGTGCAAGCGCAAGCACAAGCACGATCGATAGCAAAGCTCCATCGCAAGCGCAAGCCCAATCACGCGCGACCGACCTGCGCAAAGATGAGAGTGCAAGCCCGGCTAGCAAGAGTGCGCCGCGTAAACCTCATCGCCGTGCGCCTACTTGGACGATCGTCAAGGACGACCAAGCGCCAGCACCAGGGGACGAATTATCCGTGCTAGCTGCTGCCCAAGCTGTGAGTATAGGCCCCTCTCTCTCCTCTCTCGCGGTTAGCGAATCGTCGATGGAAGACTGAATAGTTGACACTGTCTTGCGAATCATGCGCAACGTTGTGGTTAGCTGCCTGAAGGCTCTACGCGCTCAGGTGGAAGACGCGTCCATTCGGCGCCCCGTTCCTCAGCATCTGCTCATCCATGAGGAACACACGTTCTGTGTCACGCAAACGATTCACGTGTAATTGTAACAACGCTGTCATCCACCCAATCGAATGCGGAATCGAAGCAGAAGTACGGGTTGCGTGTGACCTCAGACGACAGCACAGCGCGGCTGCAAATCTATTTTACTTGTGGGTGATGGTATAGCAAAAGGATGTATAATTGACGAGCACTGATATCAACGACCAGCGTCATCTCGTCGTTGCTCTTGTGAAGCTCCCAGTTCTTCGTCTTGGCTCGAGTCCGTTCCTTTGCTCGAATGCTCAGGGAGTGGCACATCTTCGATAGCAAAGCTGCCCAGCAGCACAACGACAGTTGCGCCTAGGATGAAGACAAAAGCCGATCTCAAAGCGATCATGTAGGCTTCTCTTGCTTGTTCTCGGATCTCTGGTTCTAGCGTGGGTATGATGCTGGACTGGTGCCTGATAGCATCGATGATCTGGGCAGAGTGTGGGCCTCGAATGCGTCTTTTCAACTCGTTGGCCAGGACGGATTGAAGGATTGCTCCCGAGACCGCGACGCCTACGACTTGACCCGATGTTCGGAAGAGGTAAGAGATGCCTGTGGCTACTGCAATATCGGACCTGCTGACGCTGTTGATGAGCGCAATGAGGGTGCATGTCAACACTCCACAAGTACCGAAACCCAGAGGCGCGATGGCCACCCAGGTGATCCATTCTGGCGTGCTGGGTGTAAAGGCTGCAATGATGCCTGATCCCACCACCATCAACGCAGCATTCAACAAGTTGTACATCCAATACACCCCTCTCCAACGCATGTACAGTCCAGCCAGGACTGAGCTGATGCTCAGACTGACAGAGTACGGCATTTGGTGAAGACCTGCTTGAGAGGCTGATTGCAGCTTGACCGCTTGAAAGTAGAGAGGATAGTTGTAGAGTAGGCCAAAGGAGGATATGGCCAGCGCAAAGTTGGTCAGAGATACGCTCGCTGCTGTTCTCTGCGTGAGCAGACGAAGAGGCAAGATGGGTTTGGACGCGATGCGATGTTCCACAAAGATGAATGCTACGCTGCCGAGCGAGCCCAACACCAGAGCGAGCCATACCTGCATATCTTTGAGCGTGCGATCCTCCGCGCTTAGGCTGCTCAGTGCAAAGAGCGTGGATCCGACAGAGAGTACGAGGAAGAAGGAGCCCAAGAAATCGATTTGGCGCAATTTGAACGCGAGGCTCGGTGACAGTTGTTGGAGCTGGTCCGCATCGGCTGCTGTGGTCGCCAGTGACATGTTGACCGAATGCCTGTGTTTATCAAAGTCGACGAGGAAGGAAGTCAAGAGAGCGAGGCAGAGGATGGGAACTTGAAGATTGAAAGCTGCTCTCCAACCCAGCTTGTCGTTTGCCAATCCACCAATCGGTCCTCCCAGTCCGCTTCCCAGACCGAATATGATGTTGGTGAGACCTTGCATCAAGCCTCTGCTGCGAAGAGGTATGACATCGCTCATCACCGTGCTCGTCACCACTGTCAATCCGCCCCCTCCAGCTCCTGCCAATGCTCTAAAGGCGATGAGCGCATTCATGCTTCCCGCGAGTCCGCACCCCAACGTTCCTACGGTGAAGAACGTCAAGCCGAGTAGCATGGAGATCCTCCTTCCCAATATGTCGCATAATCTACCATAGATGGGGGCAAAGCAGCATACTGATAAGAGGTAGGATGTGCCTAACCACGAGGAACGCTCGGATGCGCCAAAAGAAGAGGCGATGGAGGACACTAGCACAGCTACGATGGTGCTGTCTAGCGCTGCTGCAAAGACGGGCACCCAAATGACAAAGAGGATGGGCAAGAGGATTCGGTATGGCGGGAATGGAACATCGCCTTGCTGATGATGACGCTGCTGCTGCTGCTGCTGCGTGCGTGTTGCGCTACCAGAGCTGCTTCCGGATTCCCGCGGTGGTTGTGCCGTTGTGACATCTTCTTGTGCTCTGTGATCTCTCAGCAATGGCGTTTGCTCATGCGCCGCGGGCCTCGTGCTGGTGGACGCCATCGTGTGCTGAGAGCTCGCTTTGCAGCTTGCGAGGGCGGGCGTTAGGAAGAGGACAAGGCTCGCGGAGTGACTTTCCAGGTCCAAGAGCTTCAAGTCAAGTCTCGAGTCTGAGCAGCGATCCAGGCACAAATGCCTGCTGTGACTTTCGACTCAAGACTTCAGGACCCGCTTCGACCTTCGACGACACACGTGACGGTGATTCCAGCCCGCCGGCTTGCGCCATGCAGTTTGGAGTCAGAGTCGTGAGTGAGTCTTGAGTCGTGAGATTACTTGTCCGCGGCTAAACTTCTCAGCATGCAGCAGGATCGAGGGCGGCTCGGATTCCGTTCCGCCGCGCAGGCACGCAAAATTAATTGCCCGCATGCTATCTGCTGCTGCTGCTGCTGCTGCTGCTGCACGCGCTCGATTTACGTTCGTTCGCAGAGGATAAGCGCATACAATCTCACCGATGCAGTCACAGCAATCAGAATTAAGGGATTCGATTCGCAGTGAGTGAGTCCCTCCGTTGAAGGGTGAGCGTGGGAGGCGAGGGAAAAAAAGGTCAGAGCGAAGTCGCTAGCCGCAAGTGCGGTCGTCAAAGCTTACATAGACTCGCCACTCATACATTCTGGGTCGAGTCGCAAGTCAGGCGCACTGCTCTCCTGTCAACTCGGGCTTTGTGACCGCCACCTGCCAGGTTTTAACGCCGACAAAGTCACCTCAAAGGCTGCTGCTCGCTCGAGCACCAGTCGCAGTCTAGGCGGGCAGCCCCACTGGATCTCGATCGGCGGATCCATGACTCCATCCCACATCTTGGTAAGTCCTTCGTGCTCGCGCGGCTCCTGACGACTTGCGTGCCGTGCCAGTCACGAGTCCAACAATCGAGAGTTGCGCGAGATGCTGACAAGGCGTAGCATCTCGCGCCAGTTGCAATCAGCCAGCCGCAATCGACACTTTTGAAGTTTTCGACTCTGTGTAGCTTCGTCCCTCTGGGCTCCATCTAGGCTCCCGGCGCTGTGAGGATGAGTGGGCACTCGTCTGCTCCCGAGACTGCGAGCTCGCGCACTGGTCAGCACAATGGCACTCTGCACGGAAGAGCATCCGGCATCTCCGACGGCAGCTCTGGCAGCAGCGACGCCCCAGTCAGACCGGCGTATCCGAGTCAAAGCTCCTCCTTCGCCTCTACCCTGGGCGAACAAGCTCTGCGCTCCTCACTTTCTAGCGGGGAGAATAGCGCCGAGATCACACCTATCCACTCTGGTAGGGCAAGTCCTCAATTCATAAGAAGGTCCATCAAGGATAACCCCCTGGATCTGTCCACTCCCCCCATATCGAGGAGTTTGCAGAGCTTTTATGATGAGACCGACGAGAGACAGAGGCTGGAAGTGGAGAGTCAGGTCTATAAAGGGCGAGCGGCTGAAGTCGACAGCTTTTCTGCAGCCTCGAACGGCGGCGCCGGTCTTGATGTGGGAGAGAAAGGAGGGCAAGCTTCTGGGACAAGCTCGATGGATGTCTTCACGGCCGATGTGGGGCACCCCAGAATGTCAGGTGGACAGGATGACTCATCCAGCACGGCGCAACAGCCGAGAGGCACAGCAGGTGCAAGCGCTGGACAGGCAACTCCTTCATCGTATCGGGCAGCTAATAATGCCATCGCAGCTTTGAAGCCTGCAGCCTCCGTAGCAGATGGTACCGAGCAGCGTCTACGCCAAGCGGCAGGTTACGCATCTTCGCCTGCTGATGCTGCAGCTGCACTGGCAGGCCTAGGATCTACTTCAGCTTCCGGCACAAGCGCTGGTGCTGGTGCTGGTCTCCCTAGCTCCAATACGGACATGAGCAACGAGCTCGGCAGCCTGTATGCAAGGTTGCAGAGATGTCTGCAGCTCAGAGAAAAGTACATGAGTGTCAGTCTGCAATCTTGCTTGGAAGACAATCCGAAGAACTGGGATGCAGAGTACTGCGAGCAAATACAGAGCCGAGTTGATGGCGCCAAAATGAATGAAGCAAGCGCAGATGATAGCGAAAGGCAACCCAGATCCATCATCGTCGATGGTAGCGCGTCCGTACAGACGAGCAGTGAAGAAGGAGGCGTACCTAGCAAACCTTGGCGCATATATCCGGCCCCTCCCCGTCCTCACTGGGAGCACTTTCATCCCGCACCCGCTTCGTCCTTTGTCTCTAGACCGCAACACACCAGCGTCAATCCTTTGCCTCCTGCGCAACCTCCTGCCAGTCCTGCAAATGCTAAAGCGGCACAACAATTGCTAGAAGGAACTGGAGGCAAGCCGGGTGTATTCAGGCGAGAGGATGTAAGATGCCCGGACCGGCACCTGACTGATGGTAAAGAAGTCAATTTCGAATTGGACTCTAGCGGTGTGTTCCAAGTGTGCGTGGAAAAGAGCAACCGAGAGGACAAAGCACAAGCGGAGGCTCAGCAGACCAAGCCCGAGTATTTATTCAACGTACCCACTGCGAGGGAGTATTTCAAAGATCTGGACTTTTTGCTCGGTGTCATCTCGGACGGACCGGTCAAGAGCTTTTGCTGGAGACGCATCAAGTATTTGGAACACAAGTGGCAGCTGTACTTTTTGCTCAACGAAGGGCAGGAGCTGAAGGCCATGAAGGCCGTCCCTCACAGGTGAACATGAACGATGAGAAAGGTCTGACCTGGATGCTGATCGGATCGTTTCGCACCGCCTCGCAGAGACTTCTACAACGTGAGGAAAGTGGACACGCATGTTCATCACAGCGCAAGCATGAATCAGAAGCATCTCTTGCGCTTCATCAAGAGCAAGATCAAGAGGTATCCTGATGTGAGTCGCGAGTCGCCTTTTTGATGCCATCACTGATCCGCACTAAGACGTTTGCGCACTTTTGACACGACCACAGGACGTGGTCATCTATAGGGATGGCGCCAAATTGACACTACAGCAGGTGTTTGAGAGCTTGAACTTGACTGCGTACGACTTGTCCATCGACACGCTCGATATGCACGCTCATCAGGATGCTTTCCATCGTGAGTCCGTGTCGGGACCTTCATTTCTGCTTGTCTAAGCTGTGTGACCCATGCACTGACCGCCACACTGCAATCTCTGCAGGCTTCGACAAATTTAACTTGAAGTATAATCCGATCGGAGAATCACGTCTGCGAGAGATTTTCCTGAAGACGGATAATCTGATCCAAGGTCGTTACTTGGCCGAGATCACCAAGGAGCTGATGCAAGATTTGGAGCAGAGCAAGTATCAGATGGCCGAGTACAGGCTGAGCATCTATGGACGATCTGTCAGCGAGTGGGACAAGCTTGCAACGTGGATCGTGGAGAACAAATTGTTCAGCCCGAACGTAAGGTGGCTTATTCAGGTGCCGAGACTCTACGAGGTGTACAGAGGCCAAGGCACCATTCAGAATTTCGAGCAACTGTTGGACAGTAAGTCCTCCTGTTCCTACTGAGATATCAAAGCGCTCTCCTGACACGAGATTCCGCCTCCTGCCTCCTTACGCCCGCAGACATCTTCCGCCCCTTGTTCGAGGTGACACAGAACCCGAGCTCGCATCTCGCTCTGCACATCTTCCTCCAGCGAGTCGTAGGCTTTGACGTGGTGGATGACGAGAGTAAACCGGAACGGCGGGTACACCGCAAATTCCCGGTGCCCAAGTTGTGGGACTACAGAGAAAGTCCACCATACAATTACTGGTGAGCCGATATGTTCCCGCACTGCGTGGCGTGGTTTCCATGACCATCGGTTGACGTTCGACTTGACACTTCCAGGCTGTACTACATGTACGCGAATATGAGCAGTCTGAATCAGTGGCGTCGGATGCGAGGCTTCAGTAAGTCATGCGGGAGCCCAACGTTTTGCGCCTCATTTGCTGATGGTCGTTCATACGCCCGCGCGTCCTCAGACACGCTTGTATTAAGGCCGCATGCTGGCGAAGCTGGCGACACAGATCACATGGCGGCCACTTTCTTAACGTCGCAATCCATCAGTCATGGGATCTTGCTTCGAAAGGTTCCGGCACTTCAGTATCTCTACTATGTGAGTGGCGAGAAAGTAACGAAGCGAGCATGGCGTCCCCCCCGACAGCTCAACGCACTCGCCGCACCGCGACTGGTTTGACAGCTGAAGCAAGTGGGCATGGCCATGTCGCCCTTGTCCAACAACGCGCTCTTTCTATCTTACGAACGCAACCCATTCCCGTCCTTTTTGCGAATGGGCATGAACGTCTCCATCTCGACGGACGATCCCCTGCAATTCCACCTTTCCAAGGAGCCGCTTTTGGAAGAGTACAGCGTGGCGACGCAAATCTACAAATTGACGCCGGCGGACATGTGCGAGCTGGCACGAAATAGCGTGCTGCAGTCTGGCTGGGAGATGGAGCTCAAGAGGCACTGGTTGGGCACCCACTTTTACAAGTACGGTCCTAGCGGTAATTCGATGGCGAAGAGCAATGTCCCTGTGAGTTGTCAGCGCGTGCGCGTGCGCGTGCCGAGGCTGTATCGTTTGCTCATGATGCATCGGCATCGCAACCGCCCAACTCGCCATTCCCTTACAGGACATCCGGATGCGATACCGCGAAGATACTCTCAGAGAGGAGCTGGACCTGGTCTGTCAAAATGATACGCGCTCGGCGAGCCTTTCCTTGTGAACGGTACTTGTTGAGGGATAGAAAGCGCGGCAACAGACGCCTGCCAAGTAGAAAGGAGTAGAGAGAGGGCAGGCGAAGCGAGAGCGGATGAGCAGATTCACTCGAATACCCACACGAAAATTGCTTCGCGATAGTCACTTGGTTGAGTTACGCAATGCAGCAACAGAAAGCGCAGGTATGGGTCCAAGGCATGATCATTCGAGGTCTTGACAGGTCGTAATGTGGCGCAAATCATGACCAAATTTCCCACAGAAGCGCGCGCGCATAGAGACACGAGGAGTCCGAGAGCGAATAGCGGTAAGATGACCCTTGCTGCTTCTAGTGGTGCGCAGAGGGGCACTCCTGTTCCTGGAGTAAAAGCGTGGAAAGAATATGAGGAGCGCATCATCTCATGACTTGTCGCTCCGATTGCGGAAGCGGAGCAGAGGCGCGAGGGACGAAAGTGGGCATGCCTTGCGCAAAAATTCGTGCTGAAGGAGCGGAGCAGATGGAAGAGAGCGGCGAATGGAGCAAGAAGGTCAGCATGAAGCACCCAGCCAAGACAGCAAGGTGAACCGAAAGTATATTGCTCACTTGCAGAAGTTCGTCTGCGCTAGCGCGGCTTTTGACGTCGGCACAAAGGCACACGGCAAGGAATCCCTTCAATTCCTTGCTCAGCTTTTCAGGCTTCTTGAGCGTAGGTGTGCCGTTGGTGGCGATGAGGTACAGCGCTTTCAATGGCTCCTCATCCAGGTACGGAGGCTCGTTCTCGATCATCTCGATGGCCATGATGCCGAGCGACCAGATATCAACCTTGGCTCCATACTCCTTCTGCTTGACCACCTCTGGCGCCATCCAGTAAGGGGTTCCGACCATCGTAGCGCGCTTGCTCTTTTGATCTGTGAGCTTGGCGCAGAATCCGAAATCGGCTAGAGATGACGCGGGCAGGAACAAAGTGTGTGAGCGTGATTGGCGCGCATCTCGTCACAGCACAACCCTACTACTTCGACTCACTGATCTTGACCTGGCCGGAAGAGTTGAGCAGGACATTGTCAGACTTGATGTCTCGGTGAATGATGCTCTGCGCGTGCAGATGCTCAAGACCTTTGCACGTCTGCGAGTAGCGAGGAACGGGTTGCGGCTCAGCATCTATCAGGACCCCAGCGACGTCACTCCATCAAAGACTGACCTCGAAGGAGATAGCGGCAATCTGGTCCTCTTCCAACGTATTGTTGTCAATGATGTCAGTAAGCGCCCCGCCCTCCATGAACTCCATGATGACCCAAAGCTCATTGTTGCGGACCAAATACGATTCGAGGAAGTTGACAATGTTGGGATGCTGCGACTCCTTCATAACTAGAATTTCGTTCACGATGAGCTCCTTGCGAGGTTGGTGGGACAGGTCCATCGTTTTGATAGCTACTCGCTGGCCGGTCGCCAAGGTCTTGGCAACATAGACGGAGCCAGAAGCACTGGAAGATGTGTGGGGAGTGAGGAAGCGTCATCAGTCGCGCTCTTCAAAAGAGCTACATCAGCCAACTCAACCGACACGCTCTATGACTCACCCCTGTCCGACCTTCTTGATCTTGGAGTAGAGCGTGTTGGGATCATCGGGATTCACAACCTGTCGCAACTTCTCCATGATTTGCGCCTCGGACATGGTACTGATGCGGCGCTCGCTCTCCTTTTTGCTGCCACCATCAGCCTTCTTGCTCGTTTGCAACGGCTTGACGCCAGTAGCCGTGCCTGCAGAAGCTGCTGGTGGTGGCCCAGGCTTAGCAGTAGCAGTCGAGCCCTTGGTCGCGTCCTTTGAGGATGCCGACGCAGCAGATTCGCTCAGCTTCAGCTCCTTCGTCTTGACGTTAAGCGCAGCTGTCCCGCTCTCTTGTGTGCGCTCGCGCTCGCGCTCTCTTTCGCGTTCCCTTTCGCGCTCCTTCTCGCGCTGCCTTTGCTCTCGCTCCTGCTCGCGCTCTCTTTCGGCGGCTGCAGCGGCAGCTGCAGAGGCTCCGGAGGATGCTGACTGCCCTGCGATCGAGGATGAAGGTGCACCGCTGGCTGCGCCAGTCCGCGCTGGACCCGGCGCAGCAGGTGCCTTTCGACTAGCCACCAGATCGTTCGCAGAGCTAGCGCCGGTATTGGAGCGCTCGCGAGGCGTTGGCGCGGGCGCATTCGCGGGTCTGTTGCCCGATGGACTGGCTGCTCGCGAGGACGGACCGGTGTTGGCGCTCGGTGCGGCGAGTCTATCATCGCGCTCTGTTGAAGGCCTGGAAGGCACCGCTGCGCCGCTGCGGCTGCCATATCCGTTGGCGGAGGACGAGCTGCCAAAGCTGCTGTTGGAGTTCAAGCTGGGCTTCGATGATGCCGAAGAAAGCTGTGAGGCGCCTTGACTACCCGCAAAGCCCGTGCCTTGGAAGCGACCTGGCGCTTGGCTCGCAGCCGGAGCATCACGCGAGGAGATGTTAGAGGCACCTGTACCACCGGGTTGGAGGTTCATGGTGGGCGTGCCAAGACCGAATTCGTCTCGCTCGCGCTTTTGAATGTCAGTGTAGAACTCGAGGACATCAAGCACTGCCTGGGGATTCTTGGCGTAGTCCTCCTTAGTGATGGCTGATGTGGTGAGCAGTCTAGTCCACTGCTCCGGCAGACCCGTAAAGGCACCACTGATGGGATCGAAACCAACGTGAACTTGGTGCACAAAGTTGGTGGGAGAGCTGACACCCATCAGTGGGCTGCGCGAGTACACGTCGTCCATCCAGCCGTAGAGCTCTTCATCGTTCTTGAGCTGAAGGTAATAGGTCTTGTCTTTGGTCTCAATTTCGATGCAGTAGGGCTTCAGGTCAGTGCGCGTCACATTTGTTATCTCCTTTAGGAAGACGAGAGCGACAGCTTGATAGGTGGTCTGAGTAGCAAGATCCTCGTAGTGTCAGAAGCGGCGCAATGAGACCGGTGCCATGCAGATCGCGGAATCTCACCTCGTTCTTGTGGAAAGTGAGCGTCTGTTCTCGCAGAGCAAGCCAGCGCTTGCTCCAGATCCAGCTTCGAATGCCATCCTCTTTGACACTGACGTAGCCCTTGCGCACAATCCCTCCACCAGGTTGACCAGCCGGCCCGAAGCCAGAACCACCGCCGTTCCAACCGGTACCAGCAGAGAAGGATGAGCCGCCACTTCCAGCAACGGCGCTTGGTCCGGCTGGTCTCAGAGGTCCAGTGTACGAACCACCTCCAGCGCCACCTCCTGCACCCATAGGCATGCCAGAGGGACTCGCACCTGCGCCTGCGCCTGCCACGCCTGAGCTTCCCGCGCCGTATGACGATAGAGGCGGAAGGAAGGGATCTGTGTGCTGAGAGCGTGCTGATGGTACGGGAGGCGCCCGTCGAGAAGGCGTCAGAGACCCCATGCTGCCCGATCCGCCCAGACCGCCTGGGACGCCGCCATTGCCAAATCCGGACATCGCTAGTAGTCCGCTGCTAGGTGGAGAGTCCTCAAGATTGTTCGAAGGAGGAGGAGAAGATAAGCTCTAGGAGGCCCGAAGCCTGCAACAACAGCTTCTTCTGGCGCTACGTTTCTTGAGCAGGGGGTATGGACGACGCGAATGAGTAGCGAAGATTGCTGACAAAATCTGTTGACCGTATATACCAAGGACCAGAATGCCCCGTGACTGATCGTACTGGTGATTCGTGATTGTAGGGCTTTGCAATCACGAATGCCATCCGACGGGCCGGTGAAAGCTGGCAGATACAATTAGCCAAGCGGGTGGAAGCTGCAGTTTAGAGATGCGCATGCTTGCTGTACTCGCCGCACAAACGAGCTGGCTGCAGGTGTGTAGCTGCTGGGGCTGAATGAAGTCAAGTGTGAGTGTTGAGTTGCTCACACAGCAGCAGCGGCCAATTTGCTGCTTCTTGTGCGTCGCAGAGACTGATCTGGTGCATGGCCGATCGCGATCGAACGCGCGCTTGCCTGCTATTGCGCTCAGACTCGTGACTGGCGCGACCGCGGTGCATATGTATGCGATGCACCGCTGCTGCTTGCTGGCCCGGCCATCACGCGCGTGTGCAAGCAGCAGCCCTGCTCGCGAGCAGCGCCGCAACCCCTAGCCGCTGCTGCGTGCTGGCCATTTCCCCTCGAACTACGCGCATGTGTATCGCCGCCGGCGTTAAAGCCATTCATGCAACAGCAGCAGCAGCTGCTGCTGCTCGCATGCAGGCCTTCCGCCTTATGCATTCTCCAGAGATGGCGGGATGTAGCACACTGTATACAAATAAGCATGATGCTCTTGCGGCTCGCGTTAAAGCGAGCGGGCTTGTAATCAAGATTCGCGACGCGCACCTTCTGCACATGCAGTCACGAGTATAGCCATGCCCATGCAGCAGCATCACAAGCTGTGCACGCGGGGAAGCGCTCGGGCCGTTCGTCGATGAGAGGGGGGGGGGGGGGGGGCGATCGAGCAGCTTGCAGAGCTGCACCGCACACCATTATACGCACACCGGCTACGCCTTAGCCACGACTAACTGACTTGGAGGCTCGGCAATCATTCGATCGTGATTTCCATGCAGTCAAAAGTCTGGTGTGAGTGGCAGCAGCAGCTCGCACGCTGTTCAAGGCGCTTTCATTCATGATTCTTAATTCAAGAATTCTGATTGTGATTCACTTTTGAACGTCGCGTATCAGAAGCTGCCGCTCATGTTTCGATTCACTTGAAAAATGCAATCACACGGATTATATTCAAATCTTGATACGAACTCTTGAATCTCAATTAAGTCAAAATCTGAAGTTGAGTAGTCATTGTCACGTGCCTCAAAATCTCAATTCAAATTCGCTCCTTTCCGTGTCACCTTCTTATTATTCAAAGGTTGTTGGTCAAAGTGGGTGGGGTCACAGAGCCTTCCTGCATGTGGACTCTGGAGGGGCTTCACAGAGCAGAGCTCTGTGTCAGCTCAGTGGAGCACAGCCTCTTTTGGCTTTGGACAAGACTTTGGTCACCCCACCCAGAACTATGAACGACTGGCTTTTGATTCTTGATTCAGATTGCCTCTCGAGTCTCGACTGGTTTGGACGAGTGTTGAATAGGCACCCCATTTGTCCAAAGCACACTCAAGAACTCGCTGTGAAGTCCCGAGCGGCATTTCATGATAGTGAAACGCCTAGCGAAGCCATCCATCATTCCTCCAACTCGGCTGACAGGTCTTTCGTCGCGCAACCAAAATCTTGAATGGAATGCGCCGGCTGCGATCACGCCGCAAAGGTCACTTGGCTGTGGGTGTGCGTGCAATCATGAGATGAGGAGTTACTGCCAGAGTGACTGCTGCACTAGAAAATCAGAAAAAAAAGCCCTTTATATACTGCTCCTCGCATGCAATATGCACAAGGTGATGTGCCAGCGCGTAGCGTAGGTGGTAGAGGTTGTGTTGCAATCCAATTATCCACATTAGCGCGACGCGTGCGAGGGTAACCCTCCACGTTCGAGTCCATCGTTCGAGTCCGCGATGGAGATGCGTGGAGGCTGAAACGGGCTCCACCAATGCCCTGCGAGTGTCCCTTCCGCTCGTGGGTTGAAGGGGGAAGGCAGATCCTCCCATGGAATGACGAACCTGTCAAGAGGTGCTCAACATCTCGCGGATCCGACCATGACAGAGGGTGAGCATGACCATTCGGCGGCGCCCTATTTTTTGTCTGCACCTGAGGATGACTTCGGCCACGTGTTCGAGACTAAGACCCGGGGCCGAGAGAGGCCCTTTCCTTCGACTCTTTTGACACTTTGCTCTTCGCCCTGTCGGGGGAGGTGATAAGGCCATTCTATTCCTCTCTTGGCTAGCCTTCACGCGCCGCTGGAGCACCATCCATCTCCATTTGTGCGTTCGTGGTCGCGGTGTTTCGTGACCATTTGGATGAATTTGATTCATTCCACAGCAATTTGACACCACCGAATTTGATGATACCTAAATCGCGTGCGAGTGCCTGCTGTAGAGTGCTGCTCCCAACACGTGTGCTCGGCCGAGGTTGAGACCCGCGCATGGTCAAGAGGCACATCGAGTCGTAGCGTAGGTGGCCCAAAGTCGTCATAACCTTCGAAATCCATCTGATTCACAATACGGAGCTGCAGGGAGGTGCGCTCGAGTTGGTCATTCTGGCCTCTTGTTGGCTCTGCAACGGCAGGAAAGACTTCTTCGATAGCTCGGCTTTCGTATGAATGCGTCGCGCGGATGGCGTTGAGCAAGTGAAGCGCTCCGAGCGGAGAGTTTTCGTTGCAGCGATCATTACCGAGCACGTATTCTCTGCTGAGATATCGCTCTACGGTCGCTCGTAGCCACACAGCGTGATGCCGTTCATAGCAGCAGTCCGCGGCTACAATCATGTCGTTCTGTGGGTGAGCACCTTTCGCGGCAAATTCGGAAACCCCATCAGCATGCTGAATTCTCCCTCTCCGATTCGCCACGCTACTCACTCAAAGCCTCTCTATGATCGTCAGTCGAATTATGCGATTGGTCTGGCGCTGCTTCCTTGGACACTTGAGACCAGTCCAAGTGTGCGACACTGACTTGACCTTGGACTGAATGACCGGCCGGCTCAGCGAGATCACTTGAGAAATTCTGCCTGACGTTGAATGCAAGATTTTCGAGCACGTCAGGATGAAAGTCTGTCAGGCAAACGTTTGCGCGAAGATTGGGCTTCATGCGTTGGACGAGGGCAGCGATAGCAAGACCGACCAGACCCGTTCCAGCTCCAAGTTCCAGAATTTGCATGGCAGAAGTCTTGCCAGGGGGCTTTTTCTCGTTGACAAGCCTGCAGAAAGGGCTCATCAACTGCTGCGCGAGAATGGGTGCGGAGCCCCATGTTCTCGAGCCCAAGGCATCAGCGGTCAATGTACCGTCGCGCATTTTGACTGCTAGACTTCCCACGGGCGAGTTGAAGTGGTAAATCCTAAAGATCGGTCCGGAAGCTGGTCATTCGCGGGAATTTTGATCAGCAATTTGTGCGATGCGAGCTCAGGAAGAATTTATCTTCTAAGCTCACCACTTTTGCCTGCGCAGGCGCTCAAAAGTTCCGTTGCGCGGTCCAAAAGCACAGTCACATCTTCATCTGCGGTTTCCGCTCGCGTCGGGTCATCGTCGACCCATGCTAGTCCAGTCTTGACCAAAGCGGAAAGCCAGATCCTTGAGTACCTGAGCTCGAAGAGATTCTCCGCCTGCGAAGTCTCCTGATCTTCCGCGGCTGCTTGAAATTGGACCGGCGATTCCTGAGCTTGAGCTTGTATAGGATCTGTCAACTCCCTCTTGTCCAGCGCATCCGCTTTCTTTGCACTTGCTCGTTCGAGCATTGGGACGTGGACATTTTCGTGTCCATCGAGACGCAGGGCGAGTGCGAGGTGTGAGAGTGCTTGAGCGAGCACCGACCCTCGAGGTCTGTGCTTGAGAGGAGGCAGGTGCACTGATGGTATGAAGTATGGTCCGTGTTTTCGAGCAGTGCGTAAGCTAAGGGGAGCTACATCTTCGACTGTCATTGGTGATATTCGATTCCGCTCCGAGCGGTTTCAGCGTGAGCTCGAGCAAAAGCTTGCTGCAAAAATCTTCTCTACCCTGCGCGCTGTGTGTGATATTCCTGTTTGCCGGCGCACTTGTGAATCCACAGACGCTCGTCGCTCTATACCTCTTGCATGGTCACGATTACCCTTGCACAGCCCATGAGAGTCACAACTTGGCGCTTGAGGCAAAGAATTCCAATCTTGAATGTCAGCGGTATGAGCAACCCCGCCGGCGAAGTTTGCGAAGGAGGAGTCATAGTTGCTGTGAGGAAGTCTGAGTAAGTTGAATGCATATATGCTATGCTGCGTTTTGCCAAGCGTTTGCCGAGCGCCGACGCTGCGCTGCGCCGCCGCTGCATGCCGCGCGTTGCAGTCATACTCTTGACTGCACGGCCAGCAGCATCAGCACTCACGACTCGTGACCCGTGACTCGCGACTGCAGATTAAGCTGAGCGAGATGCAAATTGAGACAACGTGGAGGCTTGACTCGCGACTGTCAGAGCGGAGGAGATGATGGACACAGGCCATGTGCTGTCTCTACCGGGGTGCGCATGCATGCTTGAGCGCGATGCCCTTTTTGCGTGCAGCTGCTGCACCGCGCGAGCTGATCACGAATGCATGATGTGCTGCCGTCTGATGTGTGTGTGTGTGTGTGTGTGTGCTTTGCGCAGGATGAAGCTCAGATCTTCCTGAAATTTCCATGCCGAGCGCTTCATCACATTCACTATTCATCTTCAGATTGTCGCACCGATCCTGATCTGTTGTCGTAACATCAAAATCGCATCCACGCTTGAAGATACCTCGCTCTACCTGGCATCACCGTCCACACGAATACGGTCTCAGTTCAAGGGTGGCGAAGATCAAGCTCGCCAACTCATTGCGCGTCCAGCTGACCTCATTTCACGCCAACGATTGGCCAAGCCCCACAGAGCTACTTACTGCACAGAGTACACCCCACACCATTCTGAACAGCTCGCCTTTGGCGCAGCTTCGGATACTTTTCGAGGACTTGATTAGCAAAGCTCTGTGCTCTCTGGAAGGAAGCATTGGAGCTCGAGATGGAGGCTGCCTGGACAAAGACGGAGGAGCAGGTGCTGGCTCACTGGCAAGTAGATGCTGCCAAGGGCTTGAGCGAAGCGCAGGTGGTGGAGCGCAGGACAAAGTACGGATCCAACGGTGAGCGCATGGTGTGATCTCGGCGGCTCCGCCGATGCTGCTGGGTTGCTCGGTTGCGAATGCGCGCAAGCTGAATGTCTATGACTGGGCGCACCCTTCCGCAGAGCTGGAAGACGAGCCTCCCACACCGCTTTGGCAGCTTATCCTAGAGCAATTCAAGGACCAGCTCGTCATCATTCTTCTCGCTTCCGCCGTCATCTCATTCGTCCTTGCACTCGTGGAGCTGGAAGAGAACTCGAGCGTCATTGCTGCCCTCGTGGAGCCAGCTGTCATCTTCCTCATTCTGATCGCCAACGCCACTGTGGGCGTGGTGCAAGAGAGGAATGCGGATCAGGCCATCGAAGCGCTCAAAGAGTACTCGCCAGACTACACCACCGTTATTCGAGGTGGCTCAGCTTCCCGCATCCGCGCTGCAGATGTCGTGCCAGGCGATGTCATCACTGTCAATGTTGGCGACAAGGTACCTGCGGATGCCCGATTGGTCAAGATCACCTCTTCCTCCTTCCGCGTGGACCAAGCCATCCTGACTGGCGAGTCTGTGAGCGTGAACAAGTCGCTTGGCGCGGTCAAAGATGCCAAAGCTGTCAAGCAGGATATGACGAACATTCTCTTCAGCGGCACGACTATTGCCACTGGCTCAGCCACCGCCGTCGTCTTTGCGACTGGCGCGTCCACGGCAATCGGCGATATTCATGCTGCAATCAGCGCAGAAGAGGACGAGAAGACGCCGCTGCAGGAGAAGTTGGACGACTTTGGAGACAAGCTGGCAAAGGTCATCACCATCATTTGCATCCTCGTGTGGGCCATCAACGTTCGTCACTTCTTCGACCCCTCTCACGGAGGCGCTTTCAAGGGCGCGATCTACTACTTCAAGATTGCAGTAGCTCTTGCAGTTGCTGCCATCCCTGAAGGCCTGGCGGCAGTCATCACCGCTTGCTTGGCTCTCGGCACTCGAAAGATGGCAAAAAGGAATGCAATCGTGCGCCACTTGCCGAGCGTTGAGACGCTTGGCTCCACCAATGTCATTTGCTCGGACAAGACGGGAACCCTGACCACTAATCAGATGAGCGTCACACGCTTCGCGGTACTTTCCTCTGCAGATGCTGCTGCCGAATTCGAGGTGGAGGGGACCAGCTTTGCACCCCAGGGTGAGATCACATCCAATGGACGTAGCGTTCGCTCCCTCAACAAGGCCGGAAGTGCTATCAACGCGTTGGCTGAGGTCTGCGCCGTCTGCAACGATGCGAACATTGCACTCGAGAAAGGCTCTTATCAAGCGGTCGGTCAGCCGACAGAAGCAAGTCTCAAAGTGCTGGTGGAGAAGCTCGGCTCGCACGACAGCAAGGTCAACCAGCAGATCGAGAGTCTTTCTCCGCAGCAGCGCACAACCGCTGTATCTGATACGTACACCAAAGCTCTGGGTCGCATCTTGACCCTTGAATTTGGTCGCGACAGGAAGAGTATGAGTACGCTGGTCAAACGCGATGATGGCACTGGTGCATTACTCGTCAAGGGCGCTCCGGAGGCGGTCTTGGACCGCTGCGAGACCGCTCTGCTATCGGGGGGATCAGAGGTCAAGCTCACCAAGAAGTCGCGCGCTCAATTGGACCACCTCATTGGGTCGTACGCCACTCAAGGACTTCGTGTGCTCGCTCTCGCAACTGTCGAGAATGCGCCCTTGGACCCAAACGCCTACCGCTCCGACTCGCCCGCAGAGTACGTCAAATTTGAGCAGCGCATGCGATTCGTTGGACTGGTCGGCATGCTGGACCCTCCTAGACCCGAGGTCCGCACCGCCATCGCTCGCTGCCGCGCTGCTGGCATTCGAGTCATTTGCATTACTGGAGACAACAAGGCAACGGCGGAAGCAATTTGCCGATCAATCGGCATTTTCCGCCAAGACGAAGAGTTGTCTGGCAAAAGCTACACGGGAAGGGAATTTGATGATCTGAGCGAGGATCAGAAGCGTAGAGCTGTGCTGCGCGCATCGCTCTTCTCTCGGACAGAGCCCAATCACAAGAGCAAGCTGGTTGAGCTACTCCAGCAACAAAATCTCGTCGTTGCCATGACTGGAGACGGAGTGAATGACGCACCTGCTCTGAAGAGGGCCGACATCGGTATCGCGATGGGTAAGGGCGGCACAGCAGTCGCCCAAATGGCATCCGACATGGTTCTGGCAGACGATAATTTCGCGACGATTGAGAGTGCCGTCGAAGAAGGCAGAGCCATCTACAACAACACGCTCGCGTTCATTCGATACCTCATCTCCTCCAACATCGGAGAAGTGGCTTCCATCTTCATCACCGTCTTGACCGGCTTGCCAGAAGCTTTGATCCCCGTCCAGCTGCTTTGGGTCAACCTTGTTACCGACGGTCTGCCCGCCACTGCGCTCAGCTTCAACCCACCTGACAAGGGCATCATGTCGGTACCGCCCAGAAGACGTTCCGATCCGCTGGTGACTCCTGCAGGGTTCGCTAGATGGGTGAGTACGAGCAATCATTCACGATGTTTCTGGCAGTCGTGCTGACGTAATTCGCCCCCCTCCTGTGCGACAGCTTGCTGTGGGTCTGTACATTGGGTTTGCTACTTGCGGCGGCTACGCCTGGTGGTACCTCTTCTACGAGAATGGACCCAAGGTTTCCTGGTACGAGTTGACCCACTTCCATCAGTGCAGCACGTTCTCCATCGGTTGCAAGCCATTCGAAGAATCTCGAGCTGCCTCGACCATCTCGCTCAGTATTCTGGTCGTGATCGAGATGCTCAACGTGAGTCGCCAAACGTACTCGTCTCTTGTCTTCTGCGCAAAAGCGCCTCGCGCGCGCTGACCGCCTAACTCCCTTTGCTTCGATAGGCCGTCAATGCGTTGTCTGATGCGGACTCTATTCTGGTCACCAGTCCATTCTCTAATCCCTTCCTGATCGGTGCCATTGTGCTTAGTCTGTTCTTGCACTATCTTATTTGTGCCGTGAGTTGGCACGAATGCGTGGAAGTGCGACTCATCCACGCTCTTCGCTGACTGGAAGCGCGCCTTCCCTTGCGCAACACTCCGCCTGTAGGTGCCGGTTCTGCAGGACCTATTCCACGTCCAGGCTCTGACCCAAGCAGAAATGAAAGCGGTCTTCTATTTCTCCGCTCCGGTCGTCGTCATCGAAGAGATCTGCAAGTTCATCACCCGAGTCGCGACGCGCCAACAGCGAGAAGCAAGGCAGAAGGAAGAGGCTCGGATCGAGAAGGAGTTGTCGGCAGAAAAGTGAGAGAGGGATCACGCGGCGCTCTATTTAGTCACGCAAGCATGAACGCAAAAGCTCAGAGCTCGCCATGTAGTCAAGCAAGTTTGGAAATAGATGAAAAGTCAAGAGTGTTTCGTGCGAACTATCACTTGCATGAACGTTTGGGCTTGTGCGGTGTGGTCTTCGAGCGAGCAACTCTTGACTCACGATCGTGGCCGCGAGCGAGCATGTCAACTTTCGTCACCGCTCTCCCGAGTCTGGACGATGCAAAGTTGAGACGATCGATGTCTAGGAGATGGCGGTGCGCCGGACTTGAGACGAAGTGACGATGGAAGTCGTGAATCGTGACTACGACAACCCCCAACCAACTCTGTGCGACCTGACAGCTCTGTGAAAGGCATTGGCCGAGCGAGTCTCGCAGCGTCCGCCTCTTCTCCATCGTCAAAAGAACGCTGGCCGAAGCGAGCCTGAATTTTTCACCTCGCTTCTGATGAAACGTGGCGCGCAAGACGTTGGTGATTTTTCTGTTTTTGCTCGATCGTCGATCTTAATTGCTCGAGCAGGCTCCCCGATCCATACTCGACTGTTGTATGCAGCAGCTCTTGTTTGCCCTTCATGCAGGCACACTCCTGTCGCTTTTGCTCCGGGCGCGGCCAAGGGTCAGGATTACAATCACGAGCACTTGCTTGCCTTGTTGAATAGCGGAGCATTGTGCGCAGTCGTCAGTGCGTACTATACGTACAGTGGCGCGAGTACTACCGCCGTAGACGGGGAGCAGCATCACCGCTCCCGGCTTGCTATAGATATAGCTGCTTTCTTTCCACAGCGAAATGCAAATCGTCCGCGAAAGCCCACATTTTGATTGTCTGCTGGGGTCTCAATTTCCGCAGTGAAGTTGAGACTGCGCTCGAGACTTGTCTTCGATACATGTATAGCTTCGGGGCAATCAGCAAAGCTGCGAAAGCCACGAGTGGATGGACGCGGGGAGGAGTAAGAGCATCGCAGCTATAGACTCACGAATCGAATCGAATCGAATCGTCGACGCGGAAGAGCGACAACCATCAACAGCGCGCGTGCATATGCGCTGCCGTGCAGCAAACCATCATGCTGGCGCGCCACGCAGCCACTCGAGCGGAGCGGGTCTTATTGCATGACGCTGTTCCAAACCCGCCATGCTGCATGCATGCGCGCCGTCGGGAATCCTGCGAGTGAACGCGGGCACGCGATCATCATCGCAGCTAGCAATGCAGTGAGGTGTACGCTATTCAATTCCCGAGTCAAGTCTAGACGGGGTGTGGCGCTACTTGCTGTGTATTGCAGCATTCAAATGTTATTATCATTCCAACGTTGCTCGGATTCACGATTATTCGATCACGACTGCTGTTCAGTAGTGTTCACGCGCGTGCGAGGTGGTACTGGTACTGTACATGATCGAAAGTCAGTATAGAAGCGCTCAAGCATGCATGGCTGCCGGGATGCTCGATCACGACTCACGACTGCTGCAGCACTCGGCACAACCGCAGACCTAGCTGCTGAGCTTGTACTCGACTCGCCCAGCAGCAGACAATTCAGATGAAGAGAGCAGCGATGCGCATGTGACGGATTCAAGATTGCGACAGGAAGTCTGCAGCCTACTCGTGACTGTAGCTATAACTTTGTGCAGCGAAGCTCTCTGCCCAGCACGCAGCGGACCGCGACGGCAAAGCTGGAGATATTCGCGTGGTCGCTCATCACCACTCACCATTTTATTTCACATTCAGCCCACACCCGCGACTCAATTCAGCAAGCAGGCTTGCCTGCTGATGCACAGCTATAGCCATGCAATATTCTTGAATTCATTGCTCCTTCATTTTGATGGCCCTGCTGCCGCTGCTGCTGCTTGACTGACGCCACGGTCGCATATCATCATGCATGAGGATTTGTGCGGCCTCGCTGCCCTCCAGCTGCTGCTCACTCGATCGTGACTGGTGAGGCGCGTCTTGTGCAGTCCGTGATTCAAATTGGAGCTTCTTTGGTTGCAGCAGCCAGAAGAGCCGTGAGTTATTCTTGGATGCAGACCAGCTCCTCGCCAACTCGCTCACCATGTGGTCGATGTGACAGAGCTCTTCGCTGTGCTTGCAATTCGAAGCACGATCGTGTATGTATATCACCCACACACTGCTGCCGCCTTACCACGATCATTATCCCGCTCGATCACCGGACCGCTCATAGGTGCGGCCTCATCGCCATTGCCTGCAAGTTCCGAGGCTCATCACGCGACCTAGCCGCTCATCTCACGCACGACTGACTGGGACTCTCTGACTTTGAAGGCTTGCGCGCGGCTCTAAGGGGCGCGAATTAGCAGCGGGCGCTGGCTGCACAGCACGTTCAGCAGGCCCTTCTGCACCGACCAACGGACGCTTCAAGTACTGCCTGCCTGCACCGGCCACTACATCCCAATCACGAATCTTGGTCGCGCACCGACAGCCTAGATTGCTGGCGTCCGGCACACTTTCTCCTGCTCATGAGCCCCGAGCACAGCGTTACGGCATCAGGTTCGGGACTTTCGAGCAAGCTCGAACGAGGGCCTGTGACAAAAACACAGCTCCAGCACTGCTGCCTCGATCGCGAGCACGGAACCTTGCCAACGCCCGGCTCGTGTCAACTCACTGAATCAGACTCGATCTCAAAGTCAGCGAGCTGGGCCAGCGAGGCGCGATGAGCGACCTACCAGGGAGTGCGACTCCGCCGCAAGCAGCGTCTGTATCATCATCGACCAGCGCTGCTGGCAACGCCAACAACCTCGCCCCGAGCGCGCATCCCAGCATAGCGAGGCATCTTTCTCACGCGCCCCAACACGCCTCCCCGCTTCGGTCAGCATTTCAGCCCTCGCCCTCACCGCCCTCTTCGACGGGCTCTCCGGCTACGAGCAGCTTGACACTAGATGTGAACACGCAGCGCACACCCATGTCTCGCGCTCCGTCCTACGAGCCGGCCAAGTCCACCAGCTCCACTCTGGCTCCGGGACCGGCACCTAGACGACTTAGCGAGCCGCAGCATCAGCCGGTGCAGATGACACCGCGTCCCGAACAGTATTGGCTCGGAGCTGGCGAAGCGGAAAGTTCTTCTCGCGGCGGTCTTGTTGGCAGGAGCAGTCCTCCCATAGCAGCAAGCCATGGCGATGGTTACGCCATCAGAAGGGCACCGAGTAGGACGGGCTCAGCGCAAGGCATGCATTCGCAAAGCATTGCGATCGGCGATGTTGGGCGCCCACAGGACGGTGTCGGTACTTGCGCAAGCGGCGCATCCACAGTCGGGGGCTATGCTTCCTCCGTAGAAGATCATTACTCTGTGCCACCTTCTCGCTTGATTTCAAGGACTCCGACGCCAGTGCTCAGCGGTCTAGCTACCTCCACAATGTCGGAGGATAGCGACGAAGGCTTCAGCTCAGACTCGCGTGATAGCGCGTGGAGGGGACAGAACAGGCGAGGACTTGGATCCTTCTTTGGGTGGAGCGCTGCGTTGGCAGGTGCAAAGAGCGGCTATCAGGCTGTATCTGCCAATCCTGGAATCGCACCGGACACTCGAGTGACCATCGCCGGGGGAAAGGGCGACAAGTGGGACACCAGCCCGCCGTTGACCCCCTTGATGGAAGCAGAGATGGGTAGACGAGGCAGCGTTGCGAACGCCGTCGCCGGAGATGATGGGCAACAAAAGTGGTCCAAGCTGCGTATGCAAGACTTTACGGATGCTGGCTCCGGCAGGAGATCTGGACTGCCGCGCGCGCGAGCACCTCATTCGCGAAGGAGAAGGAATCGGCATGCAGGTGTTCCCAATCCTCTCAAAGTCATTCCAACGCTGCTCGGCAGAACGTTCAGGACGTTCTTCGGCCCGATCCATCCCTTCACAATTATGATTGCGCTCTTGCTCATTGCAGCATTCGTGACAAGTGTCACGATGCTCATCATCTACATCCTCAACCCGGACAAGGAACCGCTGCCTTGGAGAAGCTACTGTGCGTCGCAGATGGCTTTTCCCCACGCGTATGCCGATGCCCTCGCACCCGTGGACGTCATCGTCGGTGTGATGACGGTAGACTCCAAATTCGAGAGGCGAAGCATGATTCGGTCGACGTACGCCGCTCATACGCTGCCCCTCACTCCTGATGGTCGGCCTGCGGCCAACGTGCAGGTCAAGTTCATCCTGGGCAAAGTGCGCAAAGCGTACGCTAGACGAGTCGCGTTGGAGATGGAGGCGCACAATGATATTGTTGTCTTGGACATGGACGAGAATATGAGCGCGAAAAAGACGCTTACTTTTCTGAAGTGGGCGGCGGAAAATGCCACGATGCCCTTCTTGAGGCCGACTGCACCCCGCTCGCTTGTTGATGCGGCAACAGGTGACTCGTCAGAGCATACAGTTGCGCAGTCCGATCAGGATCGCCAAAGTACTTCCGAGGTCGCATGGAAGAAGGTCGATTACGTCGTCAAAGCAGACGACGATGCCTTTATCGTGCTGTCAGAATTGGAACGTCATTTGCGAGTATCTCCTCGCAGACTGACGTACTGGGGCTGTGAGTATTCGAAGCGCATGGAATCCTGGAACGCGGGGACTTTGATCTAATTGCTGTTTTCATTTCCGTTAGATCTCGTCAAAGAATGGTTCATGGCTGGAGAAGCATACGCACTTTCGATGGATCTGGTCGAATGGCTCGCATCCACGCCGGAGGTCGAGAGAACAGCAAAAGGCAAGGAGGATACCCGCACACCACAGTGGATCGCGATGCATCCCAACCGAAGCAGCATCAACTGGGTGTCTGAGCATTGTTACATCTACGACCACCCGAAGGCAAACACGCCGTATTCGCATGGCTTCTTGTTCCCCGACTATGTCGAACGCATCAAGACCGAAGCCAGAAAAGGATTGAGCGAGCAAGAAATCGCTTGGAGAGGTGGCGAGAGGAAGAGCCACTATTATAGCACTGTCAACAAGTGGCACCGCAAATACTATCCGCCCAGAAATGATCTGACGGTGGAAGAGGAGGTAGAGGCTCTGGTCGAAGGTGGCGGGAGATGGGCTGGCACCTGGATCAGAGGAGGAGCTGTCGAAGGCGGCGATGCAGATGACGAGAGTTGGCAGCCTTGGGCGGAGCTCGTCTATGAGAGCGATGATGCTCGGCTGCGATTGCCCAACGATCACAGAAAGGGCGGACAGGGCATGCTCGCATCAGACGTTGATGTTGACGCGCTCACAGGCCTTCCAATTCTTGGTCCTCTCGTCAGTCTGAACGGCACAGCCGGGGCGGTGTCTACCAAGAGCTCGGACACTACACCTCAATGGGGCAGCGGCCGTGGCAAGCGGCGGACTTCAGAAGATAGTCTGCGCAGGAGCGATCACGCGCCTATGCACTCTCCCTTGCAGGTGGAAGCCTTGCCAGCATATATTCCGATGGATCCGAGAAGTAGAGACGATGCGCAGTGGCGTCACCTGCCCCGACCAACACACCGTGAAGGTGGCGGTGCTGCAGCTCGCCTTCGAGCTAAACGATATCTGGGCCGACCGCACGGGGGTACAGTGATCGTGCACTACCTCAAGAAGAGCGAGTATTGGCTGGAGACCGCCATGGCTTTCTTGGGTCGCGAAGCAATGTGGCAAGGCACGTTTGGAGGCGGACCTTCGCGCGAATACAGGATGTGGGGTAGCCCACTGGTCAGACATGACGGATACATCAGCGAGGGAAGATCTCAGCCTAGACCTGATGCGGGTGTACGGGTAGCTGCGGGCGATGAGCCATGGTCGGCAGGATCGACACAGGCTTCCAAGAGCACGAATGCTGCGGAAAGCTCGTCAGAGGCGCATCACACCAGAGAGGAGAGTAGTATCTCACCGACTACCTTGTAGCCCCACATTGTGCTCAATCGGCGGTGGCCGGCCGCCCATCATCTCAAATGGATCGGACGGAGACTTCCCAGCCACAATAGCTAGACGTCCTACCCGGCCCCAGCTGCTCCAAAATGAGCTCCGCGACGTTGTGATTGCGAGAGTCGCCACCAAACGGAGGGTTTTGGGAGCCCACAGATCTCGATCCTTGCCATCTATCCCATTTTCCCCCTTCCCTTTCATCCTTGCTTGCTTGATGGACAATACGCAGTGAATGCGCTTTTAATGTTAATGACGGTCGCCATATACTGCTCTCGTGCGGCTTTTTAGGCAGTGAAGGTTGCTTGAAAGCCATCTGCCTAGCGTGGTCTCGCTTGAACATGACAAATTTCGATCTGTCGCTTGATGAGATCAGAGATGCATGCGAGAGGCAGAATGGAAAGGCTCACGACTCGTGCGGTTTGATAAGCACGGGTGCACGCTGTTGCGCTTGCAGTCGCAGGCTTCAACACCGTGACTGCAAAACGACGCGCGTGCTTTGCAAGTCGCGAGTGGAGTCGCGGGAAGGATGAGAAATTTGAGATTTGCATGTTTTGAGAAGACGCACGTCTGCATGCGCCCGAGATCTGTACCGAGTGCCATGCTCTTGTTTGCCAACCCCCCCTCCTACTCTGCCCTTCAGCATCCCAACGCCAGCTCAGCAAACCAATTTGCTCTGGCTCTCACACCTCTGGGCTGCGAACTACACCAACCTTACGATGGCTGTGGCAGCGCCATCATCCAAGTCTGCCTTCACGGTAGTCCGCGCACCTCCTCGTTCGCGCGTCCTTCCGCCTTCTGGCAGCTCTTCCATTGCGGCCAACGGCTCGCACATCCACCTGTCGGGTCACAGCCACAGCAGTGCCCACGCAAGCTCCAGCAAGGATGCCATGGATGTCGATTACGACGAGGATGAGCAAGCAGCTTTGCGCGGCTACATGGACGGGGAAGGAGGTTCGACTGCAGAAAATTTCAAGGTGGCCACGGCTGGAGAGGCTATCGCTTCGGCTTCCTCTCTCATGCGTGGACATGGCGCCTACTTGTCCAGCGTCGAGGGAGATGAGGGCTCAGCTGCTTCGATCGTCTCGAGCTTGTGCGGAACGGTGACGAGGACGAACAGGCTGATCAGCGTCAGCCCGGTCAGATGTCGATACGCGCCGGAAGTGGGCGATCTGGTCGTGGGACGCATCACCGAGGTATCGGCAGGTCAGAGGAGGTGGAAAGTCGACATTGCAAGTAGGCAAGATGCTGTGCTCTCCCTCTCCTCTGTCAACTTGCCTGGAGGCGTACAAAGACGAAAATTGGAGTCAGACGAGCTGCAAATGCGAGTCTTTTTCCAGGAAAAGGATCTGCTGGTTGCGGAGGTGCAGACGGCTTTTCAGGATGGAGCGGTAGCTCTGCACACTCGAAGCCTGCGTTACGGCAAACTTCGGAATGGGCAATTGGCGATCGTGCAGCCTGTCCTTATACGTCGCCTGAAGAGTCACTTCGTTCATCTCAAGAGGGACGACTCGGTCGATCTGGATCTTACGATTGGACTGAACGGATTCATCTGGGTGTCTAAGCATTCGGACTATGATGCCACCAAAGCTGAGCAAGAGCAGGGATCTGCCAGCATGAGTACAGGCCTGGCTGGAAGCGGCGTAGGAAGGGACATTGACGGCGTGTACAGCGACGTCAATGAGGTGAGCAGGTCAAAGGCGCTTTCACCACACTTAGCACGCGCCACTATTACTTGCTGACAGCGCGATGGCCGTGGTCTATACAGAGCATTCCACCTCACACCATGCAGGCGATCTCGAGGATGTGCTACATTCTGGCGTTGCTGTCAAATGCGCACATACCCATCTCCGATGCCAGCGTCGGTAGAGCATTCGACGTCAGCGTGGAACTCGCTCCCGTGCAGGGAGGTGGCTTGACGGAACTCATATGTGCTCAGATCAGGCAGGAAGCTCTGAAGGCCATTGCTAGGTAGGTCTGCAAGGTGCAATGCCAATCTTTGTCCATTCGTGTTGGGACTCTTGGCTTTTTTGCAGTAGTGCGTGTAGTGGAAGGATCGACCAGCATGTACACGCGCTAGAAATGAGGGCTGCTACAAGACTGCTTTCACTGCGGCTTGAGCCTCGAGGGAACCAAGACCTCCCGGTAATCCGCTCATCATCCCACCCCGTCACGTGCGCGCAGTGCTCAGCCCTTAGTCATTCACATTCTTGATTGAGCTTGCTTGTTGAAAGTGCCACCTCAGGCAGTGAAAAGAAGAGTCGAATGATGACGATGAGAATGGTCGTCCGCTGCACTCACTAGCAAGCAGCGCGATGACATGACGCGTCGGGCGGTCGAGCATCCGACGTGCGCAGCTTTCTGCCATCTGCGAAGCGCGCGCCCGCGCACTTGGCTCTCAACTTCCACAACGGACGAGTTGTGCCCCGTCGCCATTGTCCAAGCTCGCAGCTGCGTTCAAGCCGCACCTCCTCTTTCAGGCCCGCGAATGACCTACTCTCACTAGCATCGTGACTGCGTTGGCGCTGATGTATGACACATGCACAGTAGGCCGCTCGACGTGCACCGGCACGCCACCGTCGGCCAGCCGCGCTACTGTACCACGCAGGATTAGCAATCTCACAGCAAGAATGCTTTGCTAGCGATGAAGGTGCGCTGGTGCACCATCGACCGAGCATCCGCAGCAGAGCTGGACTGTCAGTCAACTGTACCACAGGTAGTGCGGCCTGCCTCAACGCATGCTGCGTCTTGTTCTCGCAGCTCCGAGTCAGGAGTGTGAGGCAGAAGGGCTTCAGCAGATAGATGTTGTCGAGACAGACTGTCCAAAGATGCACAAAACGCCGATGACTGCTGTATCCGAGCCTCAGAAGCGGATTCGCAGAAGCGGTTCACTGACCTTACTCACTTCCAGTCTCTGCCTCCACCACTCCTCCGTCAGCCGGCTCGAGAATCACTTGCTCTTCATCTCCTCCCGCAGTACCTCTTCTCACAACCCCTTACCATCTCATCTAAGCGTTCTGCACGCTCGCGACAGGCCAAACCATCATTTTCAACAGCGAAAGAGCGTTCATCAGCCCTCCAAAGATACGAGATACGCGCTGCTGCTGCCGCTCGATCCGCACAGCATGTCGGGCCTCGGCATCTCTTTTGATGCACCTGTGATGGCACAGAGGTCGCACCAACAGCATCACCGTGCCCCGACGCGACCTCAATCTTCGTACGCTTCTCTCTCATCGGCAGCAAGCAGCAGCGGCAGCGATGCGGGCATACCTCGTCGTCCGGCCAGCAGCGTGGATCGTCGCGTACGCATCGCCAGTGGTCTTCCCAACATCATGGGTGCTACCCCACAATCCAGCCAGGCAAGTCCAGACTCTGCTCTCGACTCCGCAAGCTCAATCTCGGTATCCAGCACTCGCAGCAGCGGCTATGGCTCCGCTCGTGGTGGTGGGCGCACCGAGAGGCTGAGTGCCGCCGTCGCGAAGCTTAATGCAGAGCAGGATCAAGATGACGATATCTTGACACCAGCATCCTCATACACCTCTTCGGCACAAGGCGGTGCAAGCGAGGCAAGCTCAGCCAGATGTAGCGCCGCTAGTCGAGCCCAAACCATCCGCAAGCAAGCCAGTCAACCAATACTCAGTCGCAGCAGCACCATACGCTTTCCGCAAACGATGCAGCTGAACGCTCAAACTCAAGCGATGGGTCGCAGTCGCTCGCAGATATCTTTGAACTCAGCGTACTCTGGCGGAGCTGCACAGCTGGGACGCACCACGGAGATCGGTCGTGGCAGCCAACGCGGACCACGAGTGCGTGCTCGAACTTTAGACTCGGCCAAGGGCGCAAAGGAACCGCGCATGGTCCCTGACGGCTTTGGTGGATGGGCGCCAGCCGATCAGGCCGGCGATCAAATGAACAAAGCGAGCGCTGAAAGACCAGAGGCGAACGAGGTCCCCGCTTTTGACGGCCCAGCTCTACGCGCTGATACGGCCCCGCAGCAGCCCGCATTGATGATATCGGACAACCTTGGCACCCAGAATGTGCCGGGTGCTTTGCCGCGCGGGCCTCCGCAGCGTCCTGAGGGTCATCAGAGACGACCCGCGACTGCTCAGGCCAGATTTCGTGTCGGAAGCTTCTACGGCGTGAATGGCGAGGTGACCGCTTCGCTTGACTCTGAAGGCAGGCTTGCTCGGCCAAGCCCACCAGCATCGGAGACTCAACAAAGCTCGATACACAGCCACAGACGTAGTCAGAGCAGCGGTCCTCGTGCCCAACACATGTTCTCGCCGCCTGGCTCCACGTCGAAAGAAGCCAGCAACCTTCATGGAGCTGAGAACGTTGTGCGCATGCGAAGCCTGCGTGGCTTCAACGGTCTTGAGGGTGCGGAGCGAGGTCAGTCCATGGTCAGTTTGGATTCACTTCATTCCAGCTATCAAATGGGCGAGCACATCGTTCCCGGTCGGGTGAAGAGCTCCGATCAAGAGAGTATACTTAGCTCCGCTAGACCGTCTGAGAGCGATGAATTCTCCGGCTGCGCTTCGGGCACAGAAGTCGGTCCTGGTGACAGCATCAGCAACGTCGGCGGAAAGTCTGTCGCTGGCGGGACACCGCAGGGTTCCCGTGCCGCCCAACAACGCAAAAGAGTCGCGACTGCTAGCGCTGCATCGTCGCGTCCTCGAAGCCAAAGCATGTCGGCAGCTGCTAGCAATGTCTCTGGGCTGGAGCGACATCCCACACTGCTGAGCCAGGCAGGCAACACGGCCCGACGCTCGCGGGACTTGAGCCGCCTTCTGGACCCGGCCGCCACCAAAGCTGGCAAGCCTGTACCTACCTCAGCCATTTCGCTGGGCTCTTCGGTTGGAAGCGCTGCGGCCTCTTCTGAGGTATCCAGCAACCCCTCTGATCGACTCAGCGATGTGCAAGCCGCTGCGCTAGCACCTGCAGTCCTCGAGCAGGGTCGCTCTGGAAAAGCTCGCGTGGATGTGGACGTCGTGCTCGAGAGCGACTTGATCGTCGAGGGTGGTATGCTGCGCGGAAGACTAGAAATCAAGCTGCGCAAACCGACAGACAAGAAGGCAGCAGCGCTAATGCTTGCGCAGCCGAAAATCCGCATCGTTGGCTTTGAAGAGCTGCTCAATGACGATACCCGCCACATCTTCTACCATCACGCCACCGCCATCGACGGTGATCGATCTGACGGCGGTCCTTCGGAGCCGTACGTGCTGCACGGCAGCCCCGACCTGTGCTCTCCACAAGCTGAAGGCAGAGCTGCGCTCCCATGTTTCGCATCTGCACCTGACTCAGAAGGCTACTATATCGGTGCAGAAGGCAACCACTCCATTCCGTTCACGCTCGAGATGCCAGTCGGAAAGGGCGCAAAAGGTGCTTTCCGTGGCAAGCACGCCGTTGTTCGCTACATCGTAATTGGGTGAGTGGCTCGGTGAGGACAGACATAGAGCATTGATTCTGACCCTTCGACTTTCGACCCTGCCTCGACAGCTCCGTCAAACTCAAGGATGCTGATGGTTCCAACAGGTCCATTGCTCACTTCTACCGCCACGTCGAGTTGTTCCCCTACTTGAACCCTGCCGTGGTGCTCTCGTCTGCGTCCAAGCCAGTGCAGGCGCATGCCAGCAAGAGTCTCTTCCTAGGCGGCTCTGGAAAGGTACACCTCACTGCTAGCTTGCACCGCTCCACCTGGGTAGCTGGTCAACGTGTCTACGTCAACATCAATATCAACAACGACACGAGCAAGAGAGTGAGTAAGCTCGCAATGGTTAGTAAGAGCAGCGGGCGGCAGACGTATTGACTTCACCCCAACCCTTCAGCTTAAGAGCATCACGCTAGCTTTGGTCCGCACCGTCGTGCTGTTCCGCCCACGACCTGAGCTCAACCTGGGCAAATCGGCACCGGATGACCCACACGAAGCCTACGTCGATCCGGATGCTTGCAACACGTCCACCAGCAGAAAGAAGATTAGCGAAGAAACGCTCGAGATGGGTCAGAAGGGCACAAAGGGTTCCTTCACCGCAAAAGGCTGGTGGACCGGCGTCGAGGCCCACAAAGCTTTGGAATTCTCCCACTACATGCGAGTGCCTTCGGATGCGCTCAGCATTTCGCGAGGACGCCATGTCGAGGTGACCTATTCGGTCAAGGTTTCCGTCAGCAGCTCCTTGTCCGCTGATGTTTCTGTGGAGCTTCCTTTGCGGGTTATCAACTTCGTCTCTCTCGATCCTCCTCCACTCAAAGCGCCGAAGTGGAAGAACGGGGCGAACTGCAACCTCGCTCGATCGTGGAACTCTAGCGTCGGTCCGACCTCTCGATCATCGCCAGCTGCAGATGGGCCGTTGATCGAGCGGGTGCGCTCAGCCGAGGCGTTGCGAAGCCCTCAAAGAATGGACTATGCCCCTGCCTCCTCCCACTTGCCCCTACCGTCAGCACGAGCTGAGCAGCAATATCAGCAGCAGCAGCACTTGAAGCCACCCGAAGCAACGAGCGCCCGCCGCTTGCAACACCAGAAGTCTTTGGACTTCATCAATCATGCCATCAGAAGCGCCACTGCTCGACGCGGTGGCGCTGGAGGCATTTCCCAGAGCAATCTGCCGATGGGCTTGGGCATCGATGTTCCAGAAGGCGCAAACTCCGAAGGAGAGGCGGACAACTCTAGCCCTCAAGACCGATCGGGCGGCAGAGCCAGCTCTGGCTCATCCGAGGATGCCACCGATCCAAGCTGTCTTCCATTCGACGCTCAGCAGCATCAACAGATGCAGCAGATGCAGCACATGATCATGCAGCAGCAGATACAAGCCATGGGATACGGCGTGCCGGTCCCATTGCTGCAAGTCGCATCTGTGCCGCTCGACGATGTCGATGATGACTCGGATGACGGACAAGGCTACGAAGATGAGAGAGACCGTACGCTCAACCTCAATGACGAAAGCGTCGATGAAGTCCAGGAAGTGATTGGCTCAGCTCAACTGAGCACTCACTCACCAGACTTTGTCTCTTCTTCGAACTACTATGCTTCTTCACTCGCTGCTACGAGCGTCGACGAGGCGGATCTGTCGGATGAGTCTATAGATGCCGAGGCTGCCTCTACCGAGACCCCAAGAGAGGATGACGAGTATGACGAGGAAGAGGAACGGTTGCAAGCTCGCCTGACAATCATGCAGCAGCGCGAGGCAACGCGACTTCAGCAGGCCCAGCACGGCCAAGTGGCTAACGCAGCTGTCATCTCTGAGTCGCAACAGCCCACCGACTCTCGCTGTGAAGAGGACGACGATGCCCGTACGCCCGTCGCCCGATCGCCCTCCAAGATGGCACCTCTCAGGCACGAGGCTGCTCCAAGCTCACAGGTCCCTGCGGCTGAACTTCAACAGGAGCGCTCTCTTCCTCGCAAAGGCTCGAATTTGACGCGTACTTCCAACGTGAAGACAGCCTCTCGACCTCCTTCGCCTAGCAAGTCAGCTCCAGCACCAACCAAGTCGGCTTTAAAAGGCAAGTCGAGTTTCACATTCGCGACTGCGGACGCCCCACTCAAGTCAAAGCCCGCTACAGCCGGATCCTCGTCTCTCACTGCTGGACCTGCGGCGCCTTTCAAGCTGCGTGCCAAAGTCGCGCCCTCGCAGATGGCCGAGGCGATCCAAGCTTCGCCTTCAAATTCAAGTCTCGCCTCGCCAAGAAAGACCACTGAGTCTCGCCGCCAGGCTGTGCCAGCCTCGCCCACCAAGGCCAACCTTGCCAAGACCCTCAACAAGAACGAGCCCAACCAAGGCAAACGCCAGGTGTCGAAAGCTCGGAGAGATTCTTGTGCAAGTAGCACTACCAGCTTCGACACGAGGTCTTCATCACCGGCATCGAGTGCATCCGAAGCGCGAACGCCCGAAAGCGCTTGCGAAGAATTGCCATCAAGGATCATCGACGACGCCGGAACGGCAGCAGTTGGTGATGAGACTTTGACAGCTCTGCGCACTCATGTACCTCAAGCGAAGCAAGCCATTACTACCCCGACGCGCACAAGCAGCGCCATCCCCGAACACAGTCCTGCGAGGAGTGACCTGACGCCATCACAAAGCGCCGACCGACTACACCGGTCAGAGAGCACAATGAAGCTGAGAGGCAGCTCGATCGTCGTACCGTCCGTTCGTGACAAGATTGCCATGCTCGAGCAACGCAAGACTGCTCTCCGCGATTTCCGCGGCGAAAGCTGCTCTCCCAATACGACTCCTACCAGAAACGCAGCAAATTTGACGCCTGGAGGGACACCTGGCAGCGAAGGAAGAGTTGCGAGTGCGTCAGCAGCTCTAGCTGCTCGTACAGGTGGCTCTAGAGAGGGTGAAATGGCATCGTCGCCCAACAGCCACCGCATACAACGCAAGGGCAGCATGCTCAGTGTAGCAAGCAACGCCACTGAGGCATCTTCTGCGTCCAATGGCCTCCGACGCGCCCCTAGCGTCATGTCATTCCGTGCTCCTCTCTTCAAAACCGAAACTGCACCTCCCCTGCCTGGCAATTAGCCAGAGCACTTAGAATCACAATTTCTCGTGCTCATTTTGACTCTCACAGCGCCCAGCCGCATAGGGCTGTATACCCCTCTCGATCACACCTTTCAGATCAAAGTACATCTTCTGGACATTTGACTCCATGAACAGCATTGAATTTCGATGAATTTACGCTATACTTCTTGTTGCTTTAGCTGCTGCGCAATTCTTCGTCTGTCATTGTGCAGTGGCTGGGACGCGTTCCCAATCTCGATTCTCTGACCGTCCTTCGCAAAAGATCAAGGTGGCTTCACATGGCTTGAAGCATGACTGCGATTGCCTGGCGCAGGTCTGCGAAGAGCAAAAGAGGAAGACAAGGTGAGCTACAGCGAGTGAAGAGCGTGCGAGGCTATGCGATGACGTGCGCGCGCAAAGCCCTTTACTCGCTTTGTTGAGCCTGGTGGTCTTGAGGGCTGTTATCGAGCTGATCGAGACACAGCTTTTGCTCATCTGCAAATTTGCGCTTGAGCTTGGCAACGCGAGCCTTGTGCTCCTCGACTGCGAGACAAATCGGAGGCGAATGCGATCAGCGCTGATCGGGCCCTGTCAAATCTCCAATTAGGCGCATCAACTCACTCAGCTTTCGCGTCTCGTTGTGCCAAACCTCACGCCGCTTGCGACGCGCTTCGTACAATCCTCTGATGAAGTGAAAAGGCGCGAGAGGTTCAAATACTGTAGGGGCTTGACCAACAAAGTCCGGACGAGACTGACGCCAATTCCTCAAGTTTCGAATTGAGGGAGTCAAGACGACTTCCTGCACCTGACTTGAAGTTTGCAGCCATCTGTCCAACTTCGTTCGACGCGGCTTTCGCGCAGCTCGAAATGCTGTCCGCGTTGGTCCTGCGAAATCGGTGCTTGATCATCGATAAATTTCACAGTCTCAGCAGACGTGGAGAAGCTCTGACTGACATTAAATCGATAGAGAGCTGCGCCATTTGTCGCGTCACCGCTGGACATGACATTCACCGTCAGCGACACAGCTTCTCGTCAAATGTCTTCTGCTAGACAGCCTTCACTTTTCATTTCGCCGTAAATGTTGTCCGCTTCAGGGACGGCTCCTAACTCATTCAAATCTTCAAGTGGTCCTGGTAGGAGAGAATACAATGTCGTAGCTCAGTCATGCAGGGCATACAGCCGGTCTGAACATCAAAATACCAACGCGCTAAGTCCATGAGGAGCTCGTCGTGTAGCTTCTTTCTCATCGCGCGCGCTTCGACCCTTCGATTACCGAGGCGACAGTGCTCTGGTCAGCAAAGTGTACTCTGCTCGAACACCTGAACATCTGAAGTTGATTTCTGGCCACTCACATACGACTGCTTGTCGATGGCGTGTTGGGCATGCTAGCCGTATCTTCTGTCTCATCCATCTCGGACGAGGAATCGTGCATGCGATCCTCTTCCTCTTGGGCCAAGGAAATGGATGTCTTGCCTCCATTCTCCACAGCAGTGCGGTCCTTGGCGTTCAAATGTTGACGATGACGGTCTGTTCCAGAACGAGCAGCTGCCTTGATGAGCACGTAGCACAGCAGTCAAGTCCGATACACCATCCAGACTCACATATGTGCGGGCCCTTTGGTGTTGAATTTCTTACTGCTTGTTGGGTTCGCGCTGCGGGCGGGACTGCTTGAACAAGTCTGGTGGAGAGCGATGCCGTCCCAGGAGACGCAGCGGTAGCCTTATATCGCTGCGGCCCTCCCGCGCTCTTGTAGGCATCTTGGCGTTGGGGAAGTTCTGCTTGACAACGTATGACACAGCTCAAGAAGCCGTTGCAGATGGATGTATGCGGCACTCGCCGCACGCAAGCGGACTGGATGCATGCGCGCAACTCACCATTCTGCAAACGTGGAGCGAGTCGGTGTGTAAGAGTGGACTTCGTTTTGGGTGTTGGGGTGCCGTGTGCTGGACCGCCATTTGGGGAACGGTGGGTGGTCCTCAGAGCAAACGGCGGCAGCATCTTTGCCTTGCGCGAGTTGCCTCTGTCGTGATTGCGATGTTGGACTGCGAGAAGATTAGACGGCCACGCGTGCTGTATTGAGGCTGCGAACTCTTATGAGCGAACAACGAGGCAGCACCAATACTACTACTACGGCGAGCGGATACGGGCCCAGCGTGAAAAGACCACAAGGGACTCGTGGAGGCAGCTTGAGTGTGATGTGGAAGGCTTGCGTAGCATCATCAATTCTACGTAATGATATAGCGAAGCATTTACGCGCCCCGAATTCGCTCGCTCTTCCCCCATGCAACAACGAATTCTGGCGGGTTGGTGTAGCCTTCGCGTCGCGCTCAGTTACATCTGCATGCTGAGGCGCGCTCATCAGCCGACGTACGCGATTGATGTCTCAGCCGCGACTCATCCGAAACACTGTAGCGCCAACGCTCATGTCTGTCTTCCGTAGTCACGGGTGTGAGTTGGCACACAGCAGACATAATTGACAGTCGTGGTCTTGACCTGTAAAATTTCTAGGCTCGCTTCATTGTTGGTTGCCCTGACCTGAGCAAAAGCTTCAAAGATGCATACGCATTTGGTCGTGCAGATCTTCAATCGTCAATACCTGCGCCTTGAGAATCGCGGTGCGTCATCATTCTCGGCCGCAGCCTCACTGGCTTTGCAGCCACTTGATCGCTCTCTTGTCATCCGCCACCAGCGGAAGAACATTTCGCTTCACCTTCTCGTTGTGCTCCGTCAGCCACGCCTGCTCGTTCGGTGTGAGCAGCTGATGCTCCACCAAATTCCGCGCGACTAAAGACGCAAGCAAAGGCGCAAAGAGGGGGGGGATGAGCAAGCACGACAGCAAGCATGTCTTGGTCGGGCAATTATGACTCACTTGGCACCTGCGTGATGTTCTCAAACTTCAACCAGGTCTGAGCGCGCGATCACCGAGAGGGCGGTTGTGAGCGAGATGCTCGTTCGCCTTGCTCCAGCGATACTCACATCTTCGCCACCAAAGCCTCTGTGCGTCTTTGCCTTCTTGACAATCAGGATGCTCTCCGTTCGAATGCCAAACCCTCCCTTGCCCGCCTCGTAGTGTCCGGGCTCGTCGGACTGTGAGAAAGGCAATGCGAGGTGGTCAGCAAACTCGCACATACGAACGTATGGCTGCGGCACTTACGATGCACATGCCCTGGCATTCGGTTGGACAAGAGGAGGAGGGCAATGATCGTAAGAGAATTCAACCGAAAGTACACAGCACTCGTCGCTCACCTCTTCAAGCGGCACAGGGATCAGCGCACCACCAGAGCTCTGGCTGAACCCTTGAGGGCCCTCGTGGACATTTCCGAACGCGCCAATGCCATGTCCGGTCCCGTGCAAGTAGTTGTATCCATCTCTCCACAATGGCTGTCTTGCCAGACAGTCAAGCGTGGCTCCAGTAGTGCCTCGAGGAAATACGGCTTGCTGAATGGCAATACTGTATTCGCAAGAAATAGAAACCCGCGGTCAATCTCAATCATGCGTGTCGACCAAACCGCGGCTGCAGAACCGGTACGCACTGGCCTTGCAAGACCCGAGTGAAGGCTCGTTTCTGCTCGCTTGTGGGTCTGCCGAAATGCACGGTACGAGTCGTGTCGATCGTGCCTAGTGTCGAAAAGCTCGACGCTTGAGTGATTTTGAGCAGCATATGCGTCAATTAGACATCTTACTCACCATCAAAGTATTGCCCTGCATGATCGGATCTGTGTCAACGTCCAGATAGCCAGAACTGCCCACATTTTGAAAAGCTCACCTCCACTATCCATCAGATAGGGTGTCAGTCTGTCGATTACACGGGCCGATCCGTCCTCCGGTGTCTCGAAATGCGGCAGAGCTATGTTGCGGAAAGACGAGAATGAGGAGACTAAGGCCAAAGCGCTTGATCAAGCGAACTCCTGCCCTCTCTCCTCTCACCTGCATCCTCAGCACTCGCCGAGATGCTTGGATAGGCATCAAACCCAGCATACAGAGGATCCTTTTCCCGCACGCTTCGCAGCTGTTGCGCAGCTTGCCACTCGTCCACCTTCCTGTGCCTCCTGCGGACAGCTTCGTCAAGCCATGCAGCCCAGCGCGCCCAGCTGGCTCCGTCGCGCAGATAGGCAGCCCTCATACCAGCAAGCTCGGCCTCGTTCTTGCACGCCTTCCAGATCGCTATCGGTGTCGAGCGCAACAGAATGACACGGTGCTGCGAGCGGTCGTGGAATCACAATCAGTGCGATGATGCTCCAACAAGCGGCCTCGATAGGGAGTATTCACCTCTCCGACAGCGTTAACTACCGCGTAGCTGACCTTCTCTCCCGCTACCAAAGTAGGTCTAGCTTGATCATCGCTATCGACCTTGCCGGGCTGCTCGCTGCCACGCCAACGACCTTGCAAGAGCCAAGGAAACACGTCCGCGTAGTCCTTTACTTCGACGCCGAGACTCTCCACACACTTGCGAGCATCGGAACCGGGCAACAAGAGCAGCGAAGAGACGAAAAGGGTTGCCAGGTAACCTCCTGTAGATCCCGAGCTCTTGGAAGACACGACCAGATACGCCGGAAACAAAGCTGCAAGGGGACGCGTATGATGAGACGCTTGCTGGATGATGCAACTTGGACGACCAGACTATACTCACGACTACCCGGGATGCTTGCACCGCGCAGATTCAACAGCCAAGCAATCTGATCGAGCTCAGCAGTGAAAAAGGCGCTCCCCTCGGAAAAGTTCTGTCCATCGCCAGCTGCGCCTTTGCTTTTCAACCATTCCACCACTCTCGTCAACTTATCACCTGCCGTCACTCCTGCATACTTGAGTGGATGTGCGTAGATGTGCGTCAAATTCGGTGGTGGCCTGCTGCGCCAAATTTCGTCCACGAGATTCCGGGTAGGAAATTGTAGGGAGGAGTCGCGGCTTGTCAGGCGGGGGAGGAGCGCTGCCAATGTAGCTGAGGTGTCAAAAGCGAGGTTGTGCGTCGGTCAGCTTCTCAAGTCTGAATGGATTGAAGGCGCCTCTGAGATGTAAAGATTCCTCACTGAATGAGACAAGCGTCGCATCCACGCCGACTGCGATGGTCTCTTTGGAAGCCTCATCGACGAGCCAATCGGCCCAATCAGACACGCCGTACACTCCCACTTTGTGCAGAGTCCAATTTGAATCAAGCTGCTCCTGAGCTTGAACGTGATATCTTCCATCCGTGAAGAGATGCGCTCCGTCAAGCGTCACAACTGCGATCCCCGTAGAGCCAGTAAACCTGAAGAGGGAGCATAAACTCAGGCACGTCAGAGATCTTCCCTCTCCGCGCCAGGTTTGCTGTGCACAAGCTACTCTCTCGACTGACCCACTGATGAAAGCGCGTCTCTCGTCCGTCTTTGCGGTGTACTCGCTGCCGTGCGCGTCCTCGCTAGGAATGATGTACGCCTTTATGCCTTCCTCTTTCATCAACCTGCGCAGCGCATCGAGCTGCGTCTTGGTATCTCGCGAGGAAAACCTTTTGGACTTGAGCACATCATTATCGACCTTCAATGTGCCATATGTGTTTGGTTCTGAAAGCGAATGACTTGCCTTGTCCTCGACCAATGTAGACGCGGACGAAGATCGAGTATCGTCGAAAGTGTACTTCTCGTCCGCCCTTCGACCAGCGAAGAAGCGAAGCGAGGGCAAACAGCTCGCCATCTTGAATCTTCACGTCGAGACCGCGACTGGTGATCCAAATGTGGACGATGTGGGTTGCAATTTGACGAGTAAGCTGCCAGTCGCTGGGAGCGGAATCAACAAAATCGTGAATGGGGTGGATGTTGTCATCGCCACCTGATCCCCGATGATTGTAAAAGTGAATGTAATCATGAATGATTCGCACGTACCACTGACGGTACTCTCAAAGGCAAGTCGGATCACGATTCACACTTGACTGATTGGAGGTTCGAGCAGCCGAGTGAGGCGGTGCGTAGCGGGTGAGCTCAGGCGTCCGTGCACGCCGCCCACGTGCCTCGGCCTGCGTTGCTCGCTCTGGTCGTCCCACTTGGCAGGCTCGGCTTGGGTTGGCTTTGCTTGGGCGCACCGGCGCACCCCTTTCGGGGCTGCGCAACGCTGACCCAAGGCTACCGCCATGCAGCAGATCGAGCTACAGTGCACAGGCAGGGCCATCGTCACAACATGTACTCTTGACTGTGACTGTATGCAGGAAATATCCAGTAAACTCGGTCAGGGACAACTTGCTCGAGCTCTCTTCACTCCTCATTTACCTTTACGTCCGCGCTGCGCTCACCTCGACATCAGCTCGCCTCTGTCATCACCTTATTTTCCCCTGCCGAGTCTGCCACACGCCAAAGTCTTCCTTCGATCACACTCCTCCTTGCGACTAGCAGTACCCTAGCAGGACTCTGCCCATCATGGCCGGCGCAATGGAGAACGCGAAGAAGAACCTCCCAAAGGTGAGTCTGCACCTCCCTAGGTCATGCACAAGTCATGTCCGACGCTGACGAGCCGGCCCGAGCCGCTTGCAGATCCGTGATGAGGAGAGGGAGGGAAGATTCGGATCGGTGTTTGGTGTATCTGGACCCGTCGTGATTGCCGAGAACATGATCGGCTCTCAAATGTACGAGCTGGTTCGAGTGGGACACGATGAGCTCGTGGGAGAGATCATTCGTATCGATGCGGACAAGGTGACTATACAGGTCTATGAAGAGACGAGCGGTGTGTCTGTCGGAGACCCAGTGCTCTCTACCGGCAAACCCCTTTCCGTCGAGCTGGGTCCTGGCTTGATGGAGAACATCTACGATGGTGAGCAGGATGGGCAAGTGATGCAATCACGAAGGTGCTACGAGCTGTTTGATGAGGTGTTTGACGCTGTGACTTGATCATTTCGCTCGCTTGCAGGGATTCAGAGACCATTGGAAGGCATTATGAAGAAGAGTCAGGGCATTTACATTCGTGAGTTGGAGATTGCTCCGACTCTCAGATGAGTCGAACTCCGTTCTGAATCTCTTTCCCCAACTGTAGCTCGCGGCATCAACACACAAGCGTTGAACCGGGAGCTGCAGTGGGACTTTAAGCCCACCAACCTCAAGGTCGGAGATCACATCTCTGGTGGTGATATTTTCGGTAGCGTCTTTGAGAACACGCTCTTGACGGACCACAAGATCATGCTGGGCCCAAGAGCCAGAGGTACAATCACCAGCATCGCCGAGGCGGGATCCTACAACGTCGACGACATTGTGCTCGAAGTCGACTTCCAAGGTCAAAAGTCGAAGCACTCTTTGATGCAGCTTTGGCCAGTCCGTGCACCCAGACCTACCACTGAGAAGCTCGTCGCAAATCAGCCGCTGCTCACAGGTCAGAGAGTGCTTGACACACTCTTCCCTTGCATTCAAGGCGGTACTACTGCCATTCCCGGTGCTTTCGGTTGCGGAAAGACTGTCATTTCTCAAGCTCTTTCGAAATTCTCCAACTCGGACATCATCACTTACGTCGGCTGTGAGTATGCGAGGGTCACTAGCCACACAAATGATTGCAAAGCTCGAGCTGACAAGCTTGGTCTCTGTGTTTATCAGGTGGCGAGCGCGGTAACGAGATGGCGGAAGTCTTGGCGGAGTTCCCAGAATTGACCTTGACCCGTGACGGCAAAGAGCAGCCCATCATGAAACGTACGACGCTCGTGGCCAACACGTCCAACATGCCCGTCGCAGCTCGTGAAGCCTCCATTTACACTGGTATCACCCTGTCGGAGTACTTCCGAGACCAGGGCTACAACGTTGCCATGATGGCGGACTCTACTTCTCGATGGGCAGAAGCTCTGCGTGAGATCAGCGGTCGATTGGCAGAAATGCCAGCAGACAGTGGCTACCCTGCCTACCTCGGAGCAAAGTTGGCCTCGTTCTACGAGCGTGCGGGTAAAGTCACCTGCTTGGGCTCTCCAGAAAGAACAGGAAGTGTCAGCATTGTCGGAGCCGTCTCGCCACCAGGAGGAGACTTCTCAGACCCTGTCACTTCTTCAACCCTTGGTATTGTAGGCGCTTTCTGGGGATTGGACAAGAAGCTGGCTCAGCGCAAGCATTTCCCCTCCGTCAACTGGGATGCATCATACTCGAATTACGTGCAAGCATTGGAAGGCCACTACGAGAAGAATTCTCCAGGCTTTATCAAGCTTCGATCTACTGCGAAGGACTTGCTTCAGCAAGACACCAGTCTGGCAGAAATTGTGCAGCTGGTCGGAAAGAGCGCATTGGGTGAGAACGACAAAGTGACGCTGGAGGTTGCGAACATCGTCAAGAATGATTTCTTGGCTCAAAACGGTATCAGTGCTTGGGACCAATACTGTCCCTTTTACAAGTCTGCGTAAGTAGTCTGTATCCTCCTTCATTCCATCACGTAGGCCACTGACATCATCCTTGCCTTTGTTGCGATCGTTGTACATTTCACAGCGGTATGCTGAAGAATTTGGTGGACTTCTACGACAAGGCGCAGGCTGCCATCAACTCGAACCCTGATATGACCTGGGCCAAAATCCGCGATCACTCTGGCGACGTCATTCATGGTCTGACCCAGATGAAGGTGAGCCTCCGACCGCAATCCACATGCATGGCTGCCGCCTTCTCACGCTTTTCCATCCATACTTTCTCAAACAGTTCCTGCACCCTGGCGATGGCGAGGAATCGGTGCAGTCCGAGCTGGACAAGCTCAATCAGCAGATCGAGCAGAACTTCCAAACCCTTTCAGACTAGACGCTCAACCTTCTTGTGCACATTCCCCAGCAGTCCTGTTTGATTGGCCCATGATTTTCGGCTCGTCAACTTGCTTTCGCGCTACTCAAATTCATGAATCGACCACAACAGCCTGAGCGATGTGCTGATAGGACCGTGCCACACATACAGCGCGCTCTACCGTGCGGGGAGAAGCAGAGCATGGAATAGATCGATTTTGTTATGGCGCATCGGCGTTTGCGAAACTTACGAGACGAACTGGGGATGGAGTGGCACGAATGATGGACGTGCGGAAAAGGGAAGAGGAGAGAGATGATGTGTAAAAGACGGCGCGGCAAGGCGAAGAGCATTTCGTGTGAGACGCGAGGGTGGAGCAAGGGATCATGAGATTGCGGTTGCGGTGGTCGAAAACGAACTCAGAATCCGCTGCCGGGCGCGCCGTATCCACCGTTACCGCTGCCACTTCCGCTGCTGTTGCCCACGCCTCCTGGTCTCTGATTTGCTGAACCTGGCGGACCAAACCCAGCAGCTCCGTGAGCCATCGGCGCAGGCTCCCAAGCAGTCCTAGCACGGTCCCAGCCATTTGCAGCTCTGGCCCAAGGGTCAGCGGCAGCAAAGCTTGATCCTGAAGCTGCACTAGTCGGCATAGGCCCGGGCGAAGCAAGACTTCCAAATGCCCCTCCGGGGGAGGCGAGCGAAGGGCCGAGCCCGCCAAGACCACTGGGCGCACCTTGTGACGGGCGAGCAGGTCCCCAGGGCGAAGCTGCGCCGAAGGCGCCGCCACCACTGAAGAAAGGACCACCTGCACCGGGTGCTGTAGCGTGACTTGTGCGCCGAGGTTGCGGCTGTACGAGCTCGTCATCACCGCCGAGGGCTGAGCTTCCCAGAATGCCATCCGGCAACCTGGGGCTTGGAGCACGAGCGACACCTGATCCGATTGCGGAGCTGCCTGAAGAACCGATGCCGCTGCCAATGCCGCCTCCAATGCTGCCAAGAGCAATGGAGCTGTCGAAAGGCTCTGCAGTCGGAGGTCGCCCAATGGGACCGATGGGCCCAGCATTGCTGCGATGAACAGCGCGGTTCACGGAGAAGCTGTTGGAGCTAGGGCGGTAGCTTGGCTCGCTGCCCAGAGCTGAAGATGGCGACCGAGAATGGCCAGCGACGCCTGCACCGCTTCCTCCTGAGAGAGGTGCGCCGTGAGTTTGGGCTCCGGGCATGCCTGCGAGGCTCAGCTGCGAAAGAGACGCGGTAGCGTTTCCAACAGTCGGTGAGGGTATGCCTTCCAAATTGTGGTTCATACCGCTGGGCAGGCCATTGGGCAAAGGTGGAGAACGCAGACCTTCCAGGCCCGAGGCTGCAGCATGACCATAGACCGGAGAAGCGAACGCACGCGGATCGCCCGGCAATGGCGAGGCCTTGGGCTGTCCGATTTGACCTGGTTGCTGGAATGGCAGGTGCTGCTGCAAGTGACTGAAAGACTGGGAGGGTCCACCACTGCTCGCACTTGGCGTAGCGGCTGTGCTTCGCTGAACAGGAGGCGCGCTTGAAGGAACTTGCATTCCCACTGCAGAAGAGAACGCAGGGCCGGTGGCAGGGCTGGCAGAGGTGGCTGCACCAGCAGGGGCTCGCGGAAGCGACGCAGAGCTCGGCGCTGATGTCGGGAGACCAGCAGGTTGCTGCGGCTGGGCCGTGTTCAGAATCGGCCTAGCAGGCAAACCTTGAGGAGGAGCCGGCAAGGAAGAACCGCTCGAGAAATTGGTCGCTTGCACAGGCGCCTGCGTGTGTTGGCCTTGATGCGCGACTGCATGAGGAGCTGAGGGCAGCTGCACACCTGCCGAGCTTTGCAGAGGGCGGGCAGCTGGCGGCTGAGAGCGACCGAGACCGGCCAGAGATGATCCTTGGCCAGATGCTGATCCCTGATGAAGGTTTCCCATGGCAGAGCCTGGAGAAGATGGCAAAGTTGCACCTCTACTTCGCGGTGAAGAGGCCGAAGCAGTGGCCAGAGCAGCAGCTGCAGCAGGAGATCTGGGAACAGGCGACATTGGAATTTGGGCTCGAGATCCCGAGGGCGAGACAGGAGCCGTAGTGGGCGTGGATCCAGGAGGCGAAGGGACAGGTGCCTTCGCAGCTGCAGCGGCCGCAGCAGCCGCTCGCTGTTGTTGCGCAAGCTGATTTGCTTTGGCCTGCGAAGCCGCACGCTCAGCTGCTTCTTTCTCAGCTTTGGCAACCTCGGCTGCCTTTCTGTCTTTCTCCCTCTTGGCTCTTCGCTCGGCCTCTTCCTTCTCCTTCAGCTCCTTCTGCTGCCTGATCTCATCTTCGGCTGCTTTGCGCTCCCGCTCCTTTGCCTCTCGCGCTTCGCGTTCGAGACGAAGCTTTTCTTCCTTCTCCTTGCGCTTGCGCTCCTTCTCCGCCTCCTGCTCTTCCAAACGCTTACGTCGCTCCTCGTCCTTCTTCGCCTTCTCTTCGAGCTGTGCTTTACGTTCAGCCTCGCGCTTCTGCCGCACTTCCTCTTGGCGCTTCAGCTCCGCCTCGCGCTGTTTCTCAAGCTTCTCTCGGGTAGCAGCCTCCGCAGCAGCCTTCTCGGCATCGCGTTTGGCACGCTCCTCCTCCTTGACAGCTTTCGCTTGCCTAGGTGCATCAAGAGAGGATCAAAGATTAGCTGGCTTGATCAGAGGGGGCATGGCGTTCGCAACTTACTTCTTCTTGTCCTTCTTGCGCAAGCTCTCCTTGGCTCGCTTCGCATCGCGTTCCTTCTCGGCAGCATCCTCTTCTTCGAGTTCGCGGAGAAGTTGCAGCTGTCGTTCTTGGGCAATCTGTGTGACATCGGCAGATCATCCCAGTCAAGGCGCCGCTCTGAAAACCGACAGGCCTCATGCGCCCGCCTACTTACACGCTCTCGGTACGCTTGCAGCACGCGCTGCTCGAACATGCGCGCGGCAAAGATCTGGAACATGCGACGTCCTTCCTCCATCCTCTGCTCATCTGTAAGGGCATCCTGTGGTCATGCGCAGAGGTTTGCCATCGATCAACAGCCCGACCTGCCAAATTCGGGCGGCTGAAACACTCACAGCAGGGTCTTCGAGGTCTTCATCATCTTCCTCATCGTCTGCTTCGTCGTCATCGGCTTCGCCATCGCCATCCCGCGATGCGTCCAGCTCTTCTCGAACCTCCTCCTCGCGAATTGCACGACGCTCAGCGAGCTGCTCCATCATCTCGATGAACTTCTGCCCATCATTCTTCAAGAGATCGTCTGCTACTGTGAGAATTCCTCCTGCTGTTGTGCAGCAAGTGGCATCGTAGGTCAGGCAGCAGTGAGCACAAGTCATGAGGAAGGCGTTTAGCGGCGGGTGGGTGAGTCAGGGATGGGAGGATTGCGGAGTGACGACGAAAGTCAGCAGAGTCTCTAAAGCTTGCGGCACCTAGACATCGCGGGAGCCTAAGATCCCAAAAACCCTACCTACCTTTGACAGTCAAAGATGATCCGAAGCTGAGGAAGTCTCGACCGGCAGCATTGTTCGCAGCGGGCGCAGGAGCCCTTCGGCGACGCGCGCCACCTTTGACATCATGCTCGTCAAGCTCAGGGTCGCCTTCTTCCTCGTCTCCTTCCTCATCCTCATACTCGTAGTCCTCTTCCGAGCCTTCGAGCTCTTCATCAGTGTACCCCTCGTCTGGAGGTGCCGGTGGACCTCTTTTGTGGGGCTGTCTGACTGTGGGCTGTCGCTCCGCAGCAGCAGCAGTAACAGCAGTGGTCTTGCTAGGTTGATTGCCTTCAATGACCATGCCGTTACTGTCCACTTGCACAGAGCCAGGAAAGGGACCCGGACCGGGAGGAGGCGGAATCGTCCCGCCGCTTGACACATATTGGCGCTGATGATTGGCATACTGTTCCAGCTCCTCATAGTAGCAGTCATAGAGCACATCGAGTTCGTCCTCTATCGCATTCCTTTTGCGCCCGCAGACCGCGCACGAGCAATGATGCTTTTGCTGATCTTTCATCTTGCGCAGCACCGCGTCCTTCTCCACTTGCACTAAACTCCTCCTCTCTTTCTCATTGAGAGCAAGCCAGAACTCTTTAATCCGCTCCCGCTCTTCAGCAGTGCTCGTAGACCAAATCCGCGGCGGCTGGCTCACATGTCCATTCGCTGTTGAGCCGTGTGCATGCGATGAGCCGGTCGCGGAAGCAGGCCTCTTCCCTGAAGCTGCTGAATGCGCATGCCCGTTCGCGGTTGCTCGAGGTGGCGCTGGAGCCTTGCCCGCAGCGTTGGAAGTGAACGTCATGGGCTGCTTGCCCGCCGCTCTGGAACTTGGTGGCGGAGGTGCGTTACTGGCCGGAGCATTCGACCGCGGCGCCGGAGGGGGCTGTGGTGCCGGCGGAGCTGCTGGGCTACGAGCAGAAGGTGCCAGAGGCGCCGGTGCCGGAACAGGTGGCAGCAGTTCCTGCCCTGCGTTGGCCCCGACTCCCTTCTTCTTTTTCTTCTTGTTCTTTTTCTTCGCAGCAGCCGACTGTGGCGCCCCGTTGGTGAGGTTTGCTCTGGAAACATCCTGAACCCATTGACCATCCGGCCCTTGTATCAAGCCTCGGTCAAGAGCCGCCGCAGCCGCTGCATCGGCGTGATCCAGCTCTTCATCAGAGTAGTACTCATCATCATACTCCCCCGTCTCCTCTCCGTACTCATTCACCAACAACACAGGCGCCGGTAAAGGCTCTCCAGGTGGCTGAGTGGGGGGTGGATTGGAGCCTGGCGCACCCGTGGTGTAGTGCAGCTGAGCACCACTGTCTGTAGTGTAGTTGGGGTGCGGATGAAGGGGCAGTGCGGTGTCCGGATGCATGGCCAAGTCTGCAAAGATGGAAGGGTCGAACGGCAGACCGGTGTAAGGATGTGTGCCGCCAGGGTACTGCTGCAGATGGCGCTGAGAGGCATGCGCCGCTTGAGCGAGTTGCTGCGCGACCGCGATCATCGCTTGAGTGGATGCTTGCCGGGACTTGGGATCGTTGGGGTTCATCTGAGCAGACGCAGGCAGCTGACCCAAGGGCAACGCATTGCGAATGAAAGTGCGAAGGTGCGCTGGCAGCGAGGTCCAGTACGCATCATCATCCGGAATGCCTTGAGGGTCTGCCTCGATGCGGCGGTAGAGATCGCTCGCTGTGGCGAGCAAGTCTGCCTGTGCTTGGGCGGCAGTCGAGTAAGGATCTTTGCGAGCACCAGCATGCGGTGATTGGGCGTGATTGACACCCTCCAGGCCTCCATTGCCGACACTCAGAGGCACGCCATCTCCGAGCGTGGGGGAGCCTGTATCATCTGCATACTCGTCCGTGTCCGCCTTTTTCCCTTTGGCCTTCTTTTTCTTCTTCTTCGCAGCGGCAGCGGCTGCTGCAGCGGTAGCCGAGGGGGTCGAAGTGGAGTTGTGCTCCGCTACAGGCGCTGCTCTGGGCGACTGCTGTTGAGCACTGGCCGGCGGAGCTGTGACAGCAGGCTGAGCCCTCACTGGCGCCTTGGCCTTGGCCATCTCGGTCTCCGCGTGGTGGACAGCGGAATGAAACGCTGAGCCAGCAACGCAGGAACAAGCAGGATCAGATCAAGTCGACCAGCGCAGGAGACGCTGGGTGAGCGAGGTCAAATGCGCTGTAGGTGATAAAGAGAGTGTAGCGGTAAAGGCCGGAATACCAGAGAAGTCCGAACGAATCGAGCCGCTCTGTTTCGAACAGGCCACGAGTTATGCCAGATGTCTGGTGTCGAGGATGGGTGCAATGAGGTGGCGCTTGTGGTGCAAGTAGCAAGCGATCTTGCCCACTATTCACTAATCACTTGCTTTGATGGTTCGTCATGGACCCGTACAAGGAGCAAAGCGGAAATTTTGGAGATCTCGAATCGTGAATTGCGTGTGCATCGTCTCCCGCGCCTCTTCGCTGCCATCAGGAGGACTCGCGACTTGAAGGTGGACTCTGACTCTCCTCTTACTCTCGTCTCGACTTTGCTCGCGCAGATCGCTCAGACCTTTGGAGGCCGAAGAGCCGCGCTCACGCGCTTGCTGCTGCCTCTCTGCCTACCTGCTGCCTGCCTGCCTGCTTGCCTGCCTGCTTGCTCCTGCTGCCTGCGCCTGCTGGTCCGGCCCAGTCAGCTGCTGTCTCGCTCATGGCTAGTAGTACCGCACCGGATACTCGTGACCTGTAGCAGCCACAGCACTCACACAGTGTGACGTGCGCGACCGCGTAAGCTCCGCGAGCAGCAGCAGCCATCTCGCGTGGCTACAGCATGCAGCAAGCAGCCAACGCAAGGCCCCGCGAAGCTGTAGGCGCCAAAGCAGTGCAGTCGCACGGCAAACCAAGCAAGCGGCTGCTGCAGCACGCTTGCTGCTCGAGCCTGCTACACACACATAGACTACAGTACTGCACCCAGCTTATAGCTGCTGACTGTGCGTTCGTTGCCCCCACTCTTTCGCTGGCTGCTGCTGCTGCTCTCTCGCAATACACCTGCCCACGACTCATCAGTAGGCGTTTTCTGTGCGGGCCGAAGCGCAAGACGGCAAGAGAGAACAAGAGATGTTTGAAACACGTGACCACTCACTTGACCCACGGCTCGCCCGCAAACAAAAATTCGTTCTTTGTATAGGACCAGCAAAAGAAGGTCCCGCGACGAGCTTGTCCGACAAACCCATGGCGACTACGCGCGGCGAGGTCAAGCACTATTGACTGCTGAATCTAACTTCATATTCTTGATTTGGGAATGCGGACATAAATTACAGAAGAGTCTTATTTGAGTCCTGGAAGAGCACCAAAGCTATATTCATCTAGATTCGGGTTTTGACTTTCAAAAACTCTGCCTGGTGGCATCAACGCAAATCTTGTATCGTGAATAGTGATCTCGAATTGTGTCAGACCATTCCCACTCGCGCAGCATTCAAATTTAACTCAGCATGAATATCCTTCGTGCTCGCTGCAGCCATGTTTCTGGCGCCACGAACATGATCACAATTGAATCTTGAATAACAGACCGTAATCTTCAACTTCCGTATTTTGGGTTCAACGGTTGCCGGCCTCATGCTGTTCGCAGCAGACGACAGAGCCTTCACAAATCCGTGAATTGGTGAAGGTCGCCGCCGCGCGTGCATCTGCACACAGACCATCGAGACCACGTGGCGTCGGCATTCTCAACGAGCTCGACGCGGCGCAGGCACAAGCTCAGCCAACACAGCACAGCACAGCACACAGCACACATCCAACTCTCCACCAAGATTCACTACTGCTACTGATTGCAAACTCATAGTCACACTCTGATTGTGTCTTCTACGGATGAGCCTGCTCACTCTTGATTCGACTCCTTTGCTTCGAGAGCTATGACATTTCTCGAATTCTGCTATTTGCAGCTGGTACACGGCGGTCGTTCAGCATATTCGCAGCATTCTCCTCTCTCTCCCTCACCGCATCCAACCTCTCCTCCTCTACCGCGCGATTTAATTCATTCTGTAGTACCTCGCAATGGGATTGAATCTCTTCTTTGAAATCTTGCCTGATCTTGTCTGCGACTGCGCTTCGCCACATTGCCGCGTAAAAGACCATCTTCTTCCTGCCGTGCTGCGAAAGGACCAGCGCAAGGTCGGAGAGTGCGAGCTCCAATAACGACGATCCAGTCTCCTCTTCTACAGCTGGGAAAATCAAGCGAAGGGAATCCTGAAGCAGCGCGAGCATCTGCGCTGCAGATTCACGCCAATGCCTCCCAAGCCGACTCAAGACATCAAAGGCCACCTCTTCGACGCTCCCAAATTGCGTCCTAGACTGTTCGCCCTTGATCGCGTTGACGAATGGCAGTGCGCGCGCTGCAATATCCTTTGCCACTCTCTTCTGTGTCGCCGCTTCTTGTGCCATGATCGATGACAGCGCATCATGTTTCAGCCTTTCTTCAGGGCGGCTCAATGCTGGGACGGGGCGTCGAGCACCGTCCTCAACTTCTGGTCCTTGTTCTGGCTCGGCAGGCCGCTCGGGCACGGTTGCGAGCGACTGGCCTCCCGTGTCAGGCACATTCTCGAGAGGTGGCATATCGGCATACTTGTACTCCTCTTCTTGCGTCGGAGCACTCCCGTGAGCCCCAGTACTCAGTGTCTCGGATGCTTGCTGAGATTTCTTGTTGTCGTCAAAGAGCATCACCTCCTGAAGTGCGGAGACGTCCAAGTGTCGAGTGAGGTGGGCGTACACTAGGAGTACAGCCAGCAAGTTGTAGCGCAGCGATGCGGCTTCCGTCGGCGGTCTCAATCTGCTGGCCTCATCACTGAATTCTTTGCTCTTCCGACTTGGCAGTCTTCGCTTTGACGACGATGCGGTCCACCACGGTCCGTCCTCCTCCTCGCCATTCCGAGCGCGCTTGTGATCTTGAAGGGCAAAAGCAAGGAACGCGTCGCGCTGTGAATGTGACAGTGCCGATATGATCTGTGAAGTATCTGCGCTCTCTGCCAGCGAAAACTGGACATGTGAGTGAATGTAGCATACATGCGCGTGCTCGGGAAGCTATTTGCTCACCTGGATCAAAATCGGCGGGTAGCTGTAGAGACGCATTATCATTATCGCACTCTTCATCCGATGCGTCATGAGCATCGACTCCCGTCTCATCCTCGATTTGCTGTTGTCGAAACCTTCTGAGAAGCTCCATTACCTCCGTACGCTCTGCATCCGTCGCTTTGAAGCCGTGGGCGCCTGCAAAACCTTCTTCTCCCAGTTCCTCTCGCAGCACGCGATCTACAAAAGGCTTGGAACATCTGTCGTGCTGCGGTGAGCGAAAGCATGCCAGGCTGCAGTATCGAGCGTTGCACTGAGGACATGTGTATGCCGAATTTCGCTTTGAGCAGCTACGCCGGTGGTCAGAGGGGGAGCAGGCACCGATGGATAAGCGTGGCGCATGGCAACAGGAAGGCGACGCGGAAGAGGTCGCGACTCACAAAGCGCAAACCACAACGGGATCAATTCGATCTGCTGCAGAGTATCCATAATTGTGCTTGGCATCCTCTTCGTCCTCCTCCGCTCCACCGAATCGGCGAGCCTTTGCGGCGGCTCGCGTGACGTTGAAGAGCTCTTCGAGTGACATCTTGACGGCGTGCAAGGCCAAAATCTGACTTCTTAGTCTCGCGTTGTCATGACTGTCGTGACCTCAGAGCTGCGCCTATAGCGATCTTGGACCTAGTCAGTGAGACGGATGGTAGCGGGGAGAGCGTGGAGAAGGTGGAGGATCATCAGCATGCAGCTCAGCGCCACCATCACCAGCAGGCGTGTATACTATTCGTGATTGTATACCGTAACTATACACGCCTTTGCACGAGTGCAACGCCGCGGCAGACGCGCACGCTGAGTCGCGTGCGCGAAAATCAGCACCGCCTCGCTCAAATGAAAATCGCGATGTTTGACCTGATCAATCCCGAGCGCGCGCAGCGCAGCTTGGCCCCTGCTTTCACCTTGAACCTTGAACCTACGCAGGGCCGGCAGGGACTCGCACCGCACTCTCTGACCACGCACCTTCGTCCTGCTCGCAGTGTCAACGCAGCCGGCCCGGTTCAACTTTGCAATCTCGCGCAATACACTCACGCTTGCCTCCATCCTTCTCCACCCGGCACAGCTCCAGACACGGATAGGGGAGCATCGGTCGCAAGACGAAAGCACGGCCATACTTGGTATCATTGCCATTCATCCTCGACGCACCAAACTTTCTAGCTCGCCAAGTACTCGTCATGGTGCTGTACATCATAGGCCTAGGCCTGGCAGATGAGAAGGACATCACACTTCGCGGCTTGGAAGCCATCCGATCCTCCTCCCGCGTCTACCTTGAGGCGTACACCTCCATTCTCATGCTCTCCAACACGAGCGCACTGGAAAAGTTGTGGGGGAAACCGGTCATCATGGCGCATCGAGAGACGGTAGAGCTGGAAGCTGATGACATCATCCGAGACTGCAAAGATGGCAATGTCAGTTTTTGCGTAGTCGGCGATCCGCTATCAGCCACGACGCACACCGACTTGATTCTTCGCGCAAAAGCTTCGGGAGCGACTGTGCGAGTGGTGCACAATGCCAGCATCATGACGGCCATTGCGAGTTCGGGCTTGCAACCTTACAACTTCGGACAGACTGTCAGCGTGCCTTTTGCTCAGGTGGACAGTTGGTTGCCCAGAATCGCAGAGAACCTTCAGCATGGCATGCACACCTTGGTCCTGGGCGACATCAAGGTTAGAGAACAGAGCGAAGAGGATATGGCCAGGTGAGCAGCCGAGGCGACGAAGCATGCACCACAATCGCAGAGCGTCCTGACAGTCTTCTCTGCCTTGCAATCCGCCTGCGCTTCAGGGGCATCCAAAGGTACCAACCACCTCGCTACATGCTAATCCCTCAACTCATCGAAAAGCTGCTCTCGGCTTCCGAAGCGCATTCACAAGGTCTGGCAAAATCTTCGCTTCCTGTCGCTCCCATTTTGAGTGCGCAAAACACTCTGGCGGTAGCGCTGTGTAGAATGGGAGCGGAAAGCGAGGGCATCTATGCCGGTACGCTAGCTGAGCTGCACGCGTTGGCCGCAGCTACGCCAGAGGAAGCACGAGCAGAGGAAGAGGCGGACGATGCGGACGAGCTGGCTTCGGAGGCGGAGCTGGACAAGAGAAGGGCGCAGAGAGCGGAAGAGAGGGCTCATACAGCGTTTGGAGCACCACTGCATAGCTTGGTCATTGTTGGGAGCAGAATACACGACATGGAAGCGCGTTATGCTGGCCAATACAAAGTAACAGGGAGCAGATGGGATGATGTGGCCCGGGAGGTGTATGGCTGTCGAGATTGATGGCGATATGCATGAAATATCGCAATGGCAAAGCGTCGCCGTTGATGCTGTTTTGCCAGAAGAATCACCAAGCGAGCGAAGTTGGGTATGCGTGTTCGGCCCTCGTCGGAATTTAGCTCTTTTGCTGCCGACTATCACGCTGTTGCGAGCGCCGCCGCGTAAAGAATGATTTCAAAGGAGCTCGCAAAGCTCGCGGAGGGGCTTAAGATATGCCTGACAATGCAGTCGCTGTCATAGAGCTCCTCTTCTGACTCTGGTCTTGCAAATTTGTCAGTCACGACGTGTTTGTGTTACTTCCACACAAAGCCTCAAATGATCTACACTGGCTGCCCTTGGTTCAGACCAAAAAGCTTCTTGCCATCGACAGACCTGCGTCGTCTGACTTGAAGTCGAAATTCCTTGTTCACGATGCGATTTTTGATTCACGATGCACGATTGCTTCCGTGCTTGCGAGAAGTCAATGAAAGTCGTGAGTGTTTATGAGTATAGTCAAGAGTGGTTTTGGGCAAGCATCCGCGCGGGATCAGCTACGCGCACAGCATGCGCGTGCTCATCCCCGCGCTCCCTGCTGCTGGGCCGCGGCGCAAGCTGAGGCACGGACCGACTTTTTTCCGTTCCGATCGGAGCTAGGTGGGAGAGTCGCGCGCCCGGCCTGCTAAGTTGCGGGACGCCTCAGAACTTTACCTCCTCACGAGTGCTGCTGAATCGTGAAGAGCGATGGGTTTGCAATGCGCTCCAAGACTTGAAGCCCCGCCCACCCTCCTTCCTTCTTTTGCCACCAGCATCGTCAAGAACAGATCACTTTGAGCAGTGCATCGTCAAGTCAGATCTCTTCTACGATGCCTCGAGTACCTTACGTCTTTCCCCCCGCCGGGAGCGATGCTGTGGCAGATGCCATCCGTCAGAGACGAGGGGCGAGGGGACTAACATCTCTTGATGGCATGCTGCTCAACGCTCCGCCCATCGCTCAGGGATGGAACACACTGCTAGGAGCCGTGAGGACGGGTAGTCAGCTGGAGGGCGATTTGCGAGAAATCATGGTACGTTCTCGCGATGCCTGTGTCGACGCGAGCAGGCCACAGTGAATACTCAACACTGCCTTGCTGTGCGTTCAATCATTCTCATCAAGATTTTGAGGGTGGCCGCTAGAAACAAAGCAGCCTTTGAATGGATCCAACACGAAAAGGTGGCGCGCGAAGAGGGTGTCAGCACGGAGCAACTCAATCGTATTGGCGATCTTGGCGTCCCAGCTTTGTCTTCTACCAGGCCAGGAGCTGGCTCATTGTCGAGCATCCAAGCTGCAATGCTTTCATTAGCAGACGAAATGACGACCAAGGTGCAGGTATCGGATGAGACGTTCGAGGCAGCTAGATCCGCGTTTCAAAAAGCTGGAGAGGACGAGACTGCAGCGAATAGAAAGGTCGTCGAGGCAGTGGCTACAACCGCAGTGTACAACATGGTCTCGCGATTTCTAGTGGCGCTGGACATTGATGACAAAGCAGCTGCACCCGTGCCAGTTCCTGGTATGGACAATTCATCCCCTCTCACAACATCAGACGACACCTCTTATCGCTACATCGACGTCAAGACTGGAGGTGGATGCAGGTTGGCGAGTAGCGTAAGCTTCACTAGTGTCAACGCTCCTTGGATCATCCTTGTCAACTCTCTGATGACAAATCTCACGATGTGGAAATGGGTCTTGCCGCACTTTCAAAAGGCAGGCTATAACGTAATCTCGTACGATCAAAGAGGGCACGGAAGGTCTAGCGTTCCGGGTGAAGCATGTACCATGGAAATCTTGGCTGATGACGTCGCCGAAATCCTCTCTGCGTACGGTATCGACAAGGCGTACGCAGTCATCGGCGTCAGTCAAGGTGGTGCTACAGCGCTGTCTTTTGCAGTCAGACATCCACAATTAGCCGAACGCGTCATTGCATGCGACACACAAGCCTCGACTCCTAGCGCCAATGTTCAGGCTTGGAACGACAGGATAGACTTGGCAAGGAGAGAGTCCATGTCGCATTTGGCTGATCAGACTGTACCTCGCTGGTTTGGCGAGCAGACAAACGCAACTCTCGAGGTGAGAGACAAGCTGCATGAACTCGTATCCACAACGTCCGTGGACGGGTTCGAAAAGGGTGCCCGGGCACTGCAGAGCTACGATCTGCTTCAAGCTGGTCTGCTAGAGGCGTTGGCGAAGACGAAGGCTCTGCTGATCGCAGGAGAGCACGACGGCAAACTACCGGAGACGCTGCGAGCGCTGGCTCAGCAGGTGCGGGAGCAAGACTCGAGCGCCAACGTGCATTTCGAGGCCATTCCCGCGTCTGGCCACTTGCCAATGTGCGACAATCCGGACAAGTGGTGGGAGGTGGTAGGAGCTTGGTTGGCCAAGTAGCAGCACTAGCAGCACGAGTCGCTTTGAAATGCATTTATTTGTCCCCATTGTGGATGCCGTCACGAGTATGATTGCAAGGCCGCGCAACATTGTCGTGGGTAGGTAGGGGTGCGCGCTGTCTCAACGGAACAGACAGCCTCGCTCTCCGAAGCGAGCAGCACCGAGCAACGCATGTACATCGCTACGACTTGAATGCGGTATGGCAGTAGCTTAGGCTCCGCGATCATGCACTCTCGCTGACTGCCATCACGCATGTCATTTCGAAAGCTCGACTCCTGACTGTCGGGCCGTCATGACTGGCCAGTCCGGCCACTCGCATGCCGGATGCTGGCTGCATCCAGACGAACAACAGTCTTTTTGCGCCAATCATGATCGGGCAGCGTCTACGTAGCAGCTGGCCCAGCCTGCTACGAGCTTGACGTGATCGATGCCCGAACAGACAGACGGAAATACTTCTTCTTTCACGCTGGGGAATGCGTGGGCTTTTCGAAGCAGGAATCAATGTCCAAGTAACGAGGCTCGACGAAGCTTCGGAATCTGAATGAATGGCAGACGATACGCAGTACCTCGAGATGGAAGCTGCGCATGGGTTGCGTGCGGGCGTTGTCACATATGGTGGGACCCCTCTTCTCACCATTTTCCGCCGCACCGCCTTCCTAGCCGGTGGTGGTGGGAGACGGCAGCAGGACCGCACCCTGTCACGACTCAACGCTTCCTGTGCAGATGCGGGGTAAGGGCCAGCAGCAGCACACACCCAAGCAAGGCAACGCGATGCGATGCGATGCGGGCTTTTTCCGGCATCCACGCTAAGCTTTGACCGGTTACATTTCTACCGAGGCTCATTGGTGCACAGGTCAGTTTCGGCGGGTGCGTGTGCTAGCTGGGCAGATCACGGTTTCCCAATGTTTCGTATCAATCAATCAGAAAGTCGTGAGTGCAAGCCTCCCTCTTCATGACGACCCTCATACTTGTAGTGACCAAAATTGGCGCACCACTTTGACGAGAAGGCAAGAGATCTCAAGACTACAAGCTAGCCTTGTTCCCGTGGAGCGTGCCAACTTGACACGTCCTCTCGCTCTTCATCCTTTTTCCGACAAGAAGCGCATCCTCCTTGTGACCGACCGCACTTTTATAATGTTGCTCAACCTCACAGCAAGTCCGTGGGCCACGAGTGGACTGATACTCGCTCTGCTCGCGGTACGCATGGCCTACGTTCGCACCGTTCGCTTCCATCACCGCGATGCCGTAGAGAAGCGTTTCGAGGGCAAGTACGCTCTGAGCAAGGAGGACGAGAAGCGCGGTCTGAAGCGCATGAACAAGAGCGGTTTACGCGGTGTAAGAGATGCACAGTACATCTTCCGAAGTGAGTCATGAGAGAGAGAGAGAGAGAGACATATGAGCTGCGCGGGGAAGCTATATACTTCACCGCCGCCGCCGCCGCCGCGTGTCTCACCCTTCGCTGATCACGTCGATCACGCCATTCACGTCAACGTCTTAGACATGAGCGCGCTGGAACAACCTTTCGTCACGCTAAAGTCGCTGGAGTTCAGCCTGTTCAAGACTTATGGTATTCCATCCATCAGCAAAGTGAGACATGACTCGGTGACTGCCTGCCTGATGTACCGCCCGCGCGCGCCAAGCAGCCCATCACGCATTCTGACAGCTAAGATGCCTGCCTGCCTGCCCGCCTATCTTTGCGCTGCATGCCGACCTCCTCGGCTTTGATTTGCACGGTCAGATTCTCTTGCGCACCGGCCAGTTTGTGTGAGTGGCCGGGACGGAATGTGATGTGCGCCGTCTCATACTCCCAACAAGTGACCCAGACTGACGCGTGCAACACGTCTCTGATCCGTGCTGCTGCTGGCTGCTGTCCATGCCTGCGCACGCCGCACCCGTTTCTCGTACGCAGACACTCCGACAAAGCATCGCGAAGGTATGCCGACACGGCGGTGCTCATCGCCGCATTCTTTACCTACGCCTTGCCTGCCCTGGATCTGGACAAGAACGATGTCGGACGAGCAGGTGAAGACGAGCTCTGGCCGGATGCGGACGATCCACGTTCAGCAATCGCTTTTGCGCGCATCAATTTCTTGCATCGTCGAGCCGACGCTCTGCACGGTCCGCACGGTGCTCCGATCTCCAACGACGACATGCTGTACACGCTCAGCACATTCATGCTGGAGCCGGTGCTATGGTACAAGAAGGCCGGATGGCGCGATGCCACGCCTCTAGAAGCTGAAGCGCTCTTCACCGTCTTTTACCATTCTGGTCGATGCCTCAACATCAAGGATATTCCAGACACCTTGGAAGCTATGAAGGTTTGGGCCGAGTCTTACGAGCAGGAACACATGGTCTTTGCTCCCCAGAATCACGAGGTCGCCGTCGAGACGATTCACCTGCTCTTGTACCACGTGCCTCGCGCTCTGCGTGCGCCCTTCTTCCCCATCATCGGTGAGCGACGCGCTGTCCTCGTCTCGTCGCGCGCCATGTACCTCGCCAACATTTGCTAAAGACGTTCGTTTGCACTCGCGCTGCTTCGTGTACAGCTTCTCTCCTCTCAGATCGCCTACGCAAAGCCTTCGGACTGGCTACGCCTACTGCATGGGTCTCCAGCAGCACTTCGCTGGCACTGCGAGCCGTCGGGACATTCGTGCTGCTCTTCTGCGCTCCGCGTTCAATTCCCAAGACTCTGTTGCCCCTCGGCACCGACAACATACTGGACGGCTCTGTCGACATGGGCGTCTGTCCCGCTTCCGGTGCCAAGGCTGCAGACGGGCGCGTATGTCCGGTCGGCGGCGAGGAGAAGGCTAGGAAGGCAAGCAAGCCTAGGAGCTATCCTAATTGGGTGGAGAATGAGCCAATCGTGAGCGCATATCCATCGCACGCTCTATTCGCATGTCATTTGGGCGAACGAACGCTGATCGTCTGTCTCTCTCTCTCTCTCGCTCCTTTTACTCCTTCGCCTCGACACTTGGACCTTAGTACATGCCCTCTGCTGCTCCAGGCAGCTTGCGCTACCTCTGGGAACGCGCTTTCGTCGCTCCAGAGAATAGGTACGGCGCTCGTCGCTTCACTGCCGCAGGCAAGCAAGGCTACCGCATCGAAGAAGCTGGTCCCAGGGGACTGGAGAATGCTGGACAGAAAGAGGTGCTGGTCGAGGCTGAGCGCATTCACGGAGGACCTATTCGCGGCAAATGGGCTTTCGAAGCGTAGAGTGCGATCACGCATGCTTCGCTGATATTGAACATGACATCTGCAAGTCTCGCTTCGGCTCATCGTATCCAGCGCTCGCAGTCTCCTATTCCCCACGTCATTAGTTGTGTGATCCGCTTCTCAATTCCTGCACTGTTGAAGCGTGTATCGATCTACAGGATTAGCTGCAGTAATGCCATCAAAATTTGGCATGAGAAGCGCTTGAACGGTCTTGGCGTGCTAGTAATACAGACAGCTGACCATGGGTCGAGGCAAGAAGTTGAGACAAGTTCAGAGCAAAAAGGAAGCTTGGGCGTATCGCTCTGCTTTTGGGTAAGACGAAAGGAAAATGCTCAAGCTTTGGAGCTATCCTTTGCCTTGGCGATGGCGATGCCAGGAGGAGCGCCGACCGCCTTTTTGATTTGAGCGTAGAGGGCAAACTGACCGGCGATCAGGAAACCGGTCATGAGCATTCTTGTACCCAAACCTGCCCAGATACCGACGGGTCCAGTCTCCTTGGCAAGCACGATCAGCTTGCTCATTGCTGAACCTGAACCTCCGCCTCCTCGGTTGATCTTCGAAAGAAGAGTGTCGGCGGGATGAGAGAGAATTGCAGCTGCGAAGCCTGCTAGCACACCATTACCCAGATCAACGGCCACTTCGGCTGCGTGGCCCTTCGCTTTGAGATCTTTTGTAATCTGCAGGTCCGACAGGGTCTCCATGGTGGTGAACTGTGGTGGTGAGGTGAGATTGCGGGGGGGGGGAAAAGAGCCCTCAGTGTCCAGTCACGGGCGTCACTGCACTACCTAAAGGGTGCAAGTCACTCACTTGACCTATGGCGTAGGGGATTTGCTTGCAGAGGATGGGAGCATAACCAGCGTAGAATTCCCTCAGACCTCCTTCCTTGGCCATGCGCCCAACAGCGCCAACCAAGCCGCTCGCGTATCCTCTAGTCGAAACCAGACGAATGCGAGCCGCTTCCAAGGGAGTCAAAAGCGAAGTGGCGATGAGCTCCGCAGCGCTGGATCCTCCAACATAGATCGCTGTGCGGTATTGTTCTGCTGCTTCTCTGCTACCCGCCAGCTTAGCTCCCTGCAGCTTGAAAAATTCGAAACCGGCAAACTTTGCTCCTCCCTCTTGAGGAACGCACAAGGGGACGCTTATCAGCACACGTTACTAGAGACTGGCAACGTGATGCTGCGGTCTGCTCTGCCGACATTCGTGACTCACGGATGAGGTAGCCCACTGCTGTGGGGCCAAAGCCGGCAAGCAGGCCAGATGGGCCTTCGCTAGCAATGATGTGCCTAGTCATGGTGGCCATGCCATTCAATTTGGATCCCTTGGGCTCCAGTTGGACTACGGCACAGTGGGAGTGATCAACGTCAGTGATATGAGCACCACGTCACAGCTACTAGCGCAGCTCGACTGTCATCTTGCAGCACCACAAATATAATGCGCAACGTACTTCGAGTCTTGACCACATCCACGGGCGTCATGGCGCCGTGGGTAGCCGTAGCGCACAAAGCGCCGGCAGAAAAGAACTTGGCATAGTCGAGGCTAGTAAAGGTGGGAAGCCAACCTGATGGGGAGGCGCTGCTGGATGAAGCCATGTTGGCGAGATGTGAAGTGCGGCAACACTTTCAGTGAGGAGCAGGGCGGATGGAGAAGGCTCGAGTATGATGGTGGAAGAAAGGTACAAGTGAGATGCCAGCCAAGGGAGAACTTCTTATACGTCGGCCAGCTATGTCGATCGGGGCTTTACCGATAAAGTCGACTTGCTTGCTCTGTTTGCTTTGCTTCTCTTGCCTATACCGGTACGGTACACGAAATGGCCGTGCAGTACCTATCGCATCAGCTAGGACGTCATCCAGCGCGACCGCAATCGTGAACCTTGTAATCATGAATTTGAATCGCAACCGCGTGCAGCCGCTGCATCAGCACCGTTTCGGAGCAACCGCACCGAACTCGCTGCTGCGCTGCAGCGAGCCTTCATGCGCCAATCATGTGGAGGGATCGAGGGCCGTATATCATTCACGAGAATCACGATTGTGTAGCTGCTCTGGCTGCTGCTGCACCCGCTCACTCAATCGGCCGAGCAACGCGCCCCAAATCGGCCGCGTAGACGCGAAGCCGATACTTGTGGCGTCAATTTAGAAAAAGAGCAGCACGACGTCCGAGCAACCGCCGGCAAAGTCGGTCGTCTTTCTATCCGAGCGAAGCAAGCTCATGCAAGTTCGCGTTTTCGTCGTGGATATTCGCGATGGAACAATCACTACTGAATCGCAATGAGTGGCCAATCGCGAGTCAAGTCGAGAGTCCGCGTATGATGAAATTCCTTGTCAGCGCTGAGGATGTGATAAAATCCGCGTTCACCGTTGCGTGAAGCGTCATGAGTCATTTCAACGGTGCGGACTCGCAGCCTAGCTGCGGCCGGGGCATCGGGAGCTTCGCCTCGCTCATTCCGCATGCTCATGATTCAGGCAGAACAAGAATGATCGTTACATACCTATCATTTCTGGACACTGCGGTTAAATAAAATGGTCCGCATCAGGCACCGGTCTCCGATCAAGCCACAGACGCAATTTCGTTCAAACGACCAGTTTGTATCTGAGCACTCGCGACACTCATGCAGACACTCAGACACACTCTCTTGGTCTCTAGGCGCGCTTCGTGAGAGATTCGCGCCAACATCTCACGCTCAGGAAGTGTCAGGCGGGCCTCTCATGTGTGCTAACCACGATAGATGCTCGGGTCTTCTTTTGCGCCCGACAATCAAAATCAAGTAGACGAAGCCCGCCTGCTCGATGACTCCAACCAACTCGTGTCACCGCGGCGCCCGGCACATATTCCCTCGCGAGACGCTCAAAATTGCGTTGGGTCGCTGCAGCCTCATCTCGCGCTGGACACGTAGCGCGATGCTGGAAGTTCAACTGAATCCTTGGCCACGGTCGTGTATGATTGTTGCTGAGGGTATGTTGTAGGTATGATGCGTGCAGCACGGTCCCATGCGATGCTTGATCCGATTTGTCAGATCTTCGAAGCAAATCTCATGCCTTTTGCTCGTCCTTCTGCTGCTTCGAGCGCAACGCCGCGCGTGCAGTCCGACGCTGATCTCCATCGGGGACTCCATCCCCGTCATCGTCTTTCTCCACCTCTTCATGGTCCTCGTCTTCCTCGTCCTCGTCGTCCTTTTCCTTCTTCTGCGAGCGGCGTGACCTCTAGATTCAGTCACTATGGCGCTTTTCAGTGGAGGAGCTGTATTCTTGAACTTACGGAACGACCACCTTTCTCATCTGCCGCTTCGCGTCGCCTGACCACGTCCAAAGCCCTTTTCGCTTTCTGGCCGGACACTGTCTCTCCCTGATCCCATTCCAGACCGTACTAAGGTGTGAAGGCAGTCGTCAGCTGAGACGCGTCGGGGAAGATCCGGCTCGAAGCCTGTGACTTACATCTTCGGCAACACGTTTGATCTGTGAACGCAGCGACTTTGCTTCGTCAATCAGCTCTTCGTAACGCACTACGTTCAGTCCGCGCTGCTCGTAAAGCATTTGCTGGCGACGACTGCGAAGTTCGGCAAGACATTTAGGGGCTGAAGCTGTCTTCTGAAGCTCCTCTGGCAATTGCTCACCTCGTCGTCTCATTCAGCACGGCGCGATAGGATACCTGCATGTAAGAGGATCAGCACGATCAGCTTACGAGAGAAGAAAGCTTACAGCCGTTACGGAGCTCACCTCGCGGTTGTGAAGCAAGAACTAAGCCACAGGATACGATGTTACAGCGTGAAATTGCGTCAGCAAGCCTCCTCCGGATCCAGTCTTCCCAACAACAAAGGCTTACCCAAACGTAACCTCCCATCAAAGTTCCCAGACCGCTGCATGCCACAGCAAGGAATCAGCAATGCAATTCCAGACTTGTGCTATGAAGCACAGCAAACTCACACGAGATATGTTGCGGGCTCCATCACATCCCAGCCATACTCGGTGAAGAAGGTGAAGTAGCTAACCGTAACCCACCAAGTAGCTAGCACTCCGGCTCCAGCGAACGCAAAGCGCTTCGTCCCGACCTGGGCGAGCTTATCGCATTCAACCTTGAGCACTCTGAGCCTCTCGATCTCATCCGTGCACGCATACAACCGCGAGCGCAGAAAGCGGGTGCGATCCTCGAATGAAGGGACGTTGACCTGCGAACAGACCGGAAGTCATTTAGTGCTCATCGGGCAGACTTCGCAAACGCATGCACGCCGCACCTCGATCTCTCGCTCGCCGATGCGAATCGTGAAGCTCCCAAGTCGTGCAGCCTCGCGAACGTAGTCATTGAAACCCGTAGCAGGCGACCACCTCTTGAGCTCGGATCGCCGAGTGTGGAAGGTGATGGCGGGCAAGCGACTGTCCAGCGTATCATCAGGCGGTGTACCAGGAGGGTGGTCTCCGTGAGTGTGCGAGGGCAATGGCCGTGCCGATGGCCCCTCGGAGCGTATCAAGCTCGAGACGTACGACAACGGCTGGCCTCTGCGGGGGCGCACGACAAGGGTCAGTGGCCTCTCGAGAATGCGAATTTGGCTTTGCGACAAAGCGACTCACCCGTGAAGGAGGAATACCACCGAATGCGCGGGAGCATGCGCGTCAAATTCCAGCTCTGCACGATCAGTCATCATATCCTCCACCTCTTGTGCGCGGTCCGCCTTCGTTTTGCCGTCCGCTTTCTGATCATCATACACCTGCGATACTGTCTCTCCATCTTCGACTCTCCTTTCCCACGACCTCACGCTATCGTTCGCCGGCTGCAAGTGCTGCTTTGGCTCTTCCTCCTCGTTGCCTCGCTCTGCCTGTCGCCGCTGAGCGCGAGCTGCCGCTGAGGAAGCCTTCGAGGTGGGCGACTTGGGATCATCAGAAGGCGGAGCTAGGGGTAGCGTCAGCTTGAACAGTGAAGCACGCGTAAATGTCAAGTAGCCCCTATCGTCGTCGACGTGCGCTGGTCTCATGCCTGCATCTTTGGTAGGCTTGGAGCTGGAAGGCGTGGTGTTGCGAATTCCCCCGCTGTCTGCAGGCGTATTGACACATCTTCGAAAGATATTCGGTGAGGAGACTGAAGAGTTCGGCATCGAAGCTTCTTTGTTGCCGAGTAGGAACGGGAAAGGGCTTGGCCGTTGCTTCCTTGAAGCTGAGCTGCATCGCCGACACGAGAGCGTCGTCATCTCGGCGATTCGAAGGGCATCATTTGGCGCCCTCATGAAGGCAACGGGCCGGGTGATGCTGCGCATTGCCGCCATCTTGAGATAGCGACAATCGTGAACCGGAACCACTCAATGCCGATGTCGAGCCCGAGTCGTAAAGCTGACGAAGCAATCGTGAGTGCAATAAGATCACCAAGAGGGCATGGGAACGAGGAACGAGCTCTGCTGGGCTGCACAACCCCGTTGTGGTGCAGAAGTCGATGAGGATGTGAGGTGGAGGCAAGCGCGCGAGCCTGTGCGACCTGGCGCGCGAGCACCGCGGCTGCTGTACCTACATCACAATTTATACGCGTGATTAACCCGCGGCGCAAGGCAGCCTTCTATTCACATTCAAATTGTGATTTTGTTTGTACCGGTACATGTTCCGCGGTACCTCTGGGTGTGTTGATTCAAAAATCACGATTCTTGATTCTTGATTGCGATTCTCAATTTTCAGATTCGTGGTTGACGTTCGTTCAGCATGCATCAGCCTGGCGTACCCCGCGCCAAGCACCAAACAGAAGGCAACGAATACATCCATCGCGTATATCAGCGCCTAATCCTGCTGAGTGTCAAATCAAGAATATCAGCAACATCCAAGAAGGATCTTGGATCAATCTGCATCGATAGAGCGCAGCATTCTTGAAGACGTTCAAGCCTCCTTCGCTCATGCCAGCGTGGATTGTATGCTTGACTTCAAGTGATCCACGATTGGTGTGAGACAAGTCGCCTGCCGAATAGGCATCCCGCGTTGGCAGTCTTTTTGCAACAGCAAGTCGACCTGCGCGCCTCGGCCACACACACCTCAATTTATCACTTGCAGAACACGATTTGTATCAGGTGCTGTGAGGCCTATCGTTTTGCAAGAGGAGGTGCGGCCAAACAGCGAGAGCTGGCCAGTTCCGTCCGCCAACGGGACTCGACCATCACCTCCACGAGCGTGCTCGCAAGCTTCCACGCCAATCGGAGGAGTAGTAGACCACAGCACCATTCACACATTCTGCACACTTGGTCTCGAACAGAATGTCGAATCGTCAGATTGCGCAATTGATGGACATGGGCATCAACAGGGCTGTGGCAGTGGCGGCCCTGGCAGCCTCTCGGGATGTCGAAGATGCAGCCGAAGCTGTTTTCTCGGGCAAATTCGACCACATTGAAGCGGATGCGGAAGCCGAGGATGCTAGCGTTGTGGAAGAGGCAGATTCGTGCTCTCTCGTTGGTGGAGATGAGCAGGCCAGTTCCCATGAAGATGAGGGATGTGGACTCTCTACCTTTTCAGGTAAGCACAGCAGAGCCGCATTCTGTGCAAGAGACCCTGCTGATTGCGAGCTCTGTGCTTGCTCAAGATGATGACCTCGGAGGCGCAGGCGAGACCTCCAATGACAACGACCCCTATAGAAGGATAGCATTCTCAAAAGGGCACAAAGAAGTGGTGATTGAAGTGGAAGAGGTGGGCGCATTGGTTCAGACTTCGACTGGGCCCGCAAGGCAATTGACCCAAACAGAGTGGATGAAGGGCGTAGCAGTGGGGTCAGAACAAGCCGTATGTCCTCGAACGGTGCCTCAAAATCCCAATCGTCGTTGTTGCTGACCATGTCTGAGGGCAACAGCATCTGTTCGGTCTGTACCAAGATCTGCAACAGACTGTCTCTTGTCACAGATGCGGACTGGTTCCCGAGCTCGAATCCGACTTCAACATGCTCCTTATTTTTCCATCTCTTAAGGAGTTCGTAGCCCATGTTACTGAGCACAGCGTCCTGCGCTGTAGGGTCTGCCAAGAGCAGACATGTGTAGCTTGTCGACAAAGCTACATAGAGCAAATGGCTCTGCCGCAAGCCGAATGTCCACGTACGAAGAGTCCAGGCAAAGATGTTTCAAGTTCCAGCGAGCCACCGCTGCCTGCGCACCTAGTCCACTGCTCGCAACTTCAGGCCATTTGTCTGGCTGTCGGGCTGGCTCATATCGAGGATCTGCTCAAGTGCGAAGATGTGAAGAATCACGCGAGCTCTTTGAAGCGTCACAGAGCTGCTAATGCGGCAGAGGGCATGTCCGCGGCGAAGAAAGCCAACAATGCGTCAGCTTCCACCGAGTCAAAGTCAAACGGCCGCAAGAAAGCGTCAAACCTAGCCTCTCAAACTCCAGCAAACTTGTCAATGTCATCTTACTCTCTTCTCGATGACCACAGCTTTTACACGTCTTTGGGCAAATCGCGATCTGACCGCCAGAACGGTACTGGCTTCGCAGGGAGCAGCTCCAACGAGCACTTTTGGACCCAAGCATCCAATAGCAAACAGCAAGCACTAGATGAGCGCATCCGGGAAGCTCTCTTCCAAGTTAGGCCATTCCTGCCGGATGTCCATCGCAAACCCTTAGCGGTTCAATCCGACTTCATGCCTCACATCACGAGCATCGCCGCGGTGCGTCGTCGGTTCTTGCCCATAGCTTCTGCTTTGCTCCGCACAGAAAGGTAAGTAGCATGGGAGGGGCCTCAGCAGTGTGAAGCAGTAGCGTGATCCTGATTTGCTCCTCACCAGCCTGAACGACATGACCAGACGGGCAGCGCTCTTTCAGGAACTTTTGAATTTCTTCCAGACTCTGTCGTACCATGAGGCGCTCTCGGCACTGTTGGCTCAGGTCAGTCGAGCCTATCGTCGTGCCTGTCCTCTCGTACGAAGTATTTGGCAACTGACGACCACTCTGTCTCCCAGCCCATCATGACCCCACGTTCTGTGCGCGATGTCGTGCGGACGGACGGAAGGACCGAGAAGGAAGTCACGTACGAGGGTGACAAAGGACCTCGAGAGCTGGCGCAAAACGTCGTCAATCAGTGCCTAGTCTTTCGCAACAGCGTTAAGCGCATGCAAGCACAAGCGACCAAGGAAGAAGCGGAGAAAGCGCTGGTGAGGGTTGCATCTGAGGCCAAGGTCGTGGACAAGGAAGCGAAGGTCGCGGCATACGCCAAACTTGACGCCGAGGGGCAGAGGACGATGGAGCTTGTGGAATCATTCATATCACAAGTGAGTCGCACACGCGTACAGTGCTGCGTCAATGCGACTGGTGCTGAGACGATGGCCAACACTTCTGCAGGTGGATCGCATCGACGCAGGCCTGCGTCACTCCAAGGGCGAGGCTTTCCTGAATGCATTGCTAGCGCAGGTCGGAGGAGCACCGTCGAAATTCCCCGATGATACGATTTCTGCACAGTCCAAAGGAGAACGGCAGGCGGCATACGCGGCGTGGTGCGCCAGGTGAGCAGACGTGCCGTCGGCGTCAGCGCCCAAGCTCGCGATGGGCTAATAACATAACGGATCCACCCTAGCGAGACTTGGCAAGAAGTTGACATGCTTGAGACCGGCAAAGTGAATGCGTGGCAGCACGCCTTCAGCGATATTATCGCTACCACGTCGGTTGCTAGCAATGCAAGAAGGGGCTTGGCGATTGCTAGAGAGCTCTCAAGCTTAAGGATTGCTTTGCCAGACACAATCTTCGTGCGCGTCGACGAGTCACGTCTGGACGTTCTGAAGGCTATGATCATCGGACCCGAAGGCACGCCCTACTCGTACGGGGCCTACTGCTTCGACATATTTCTGCCTGACAGATTCAATCAGGAGCCCCCCAAGGTCAAAATTGTATCGACCTCGGGCGGCAGAGTGCGTCACAACCCCAACCTGTACGCCGAAGGCAAGGTCTGTCTGAGCCTGCTCGGAACATGGACAGGTCCAGGCTGGATTTCGGGCACATCTACAATCCTGCAGGTCTTGATCAGCATCCAGTCTTTGATTCTCGGAGAGTCCGAGCCGTGCACAAATGAGCCTGGCTGGGAAAGCTTTTTGGGCAAGCCCAAGAGTAAAGAGTATTCATTGAACAGTAAGTACACGAGAAGTATGTTTGTTGCGACGGAGCCTCTGCTGAGTCATCTGATGCCTCAGCTCGCCGGCAAGCGGTCAAGGTGGCTATGATCGAAGCCCTGACTTCTCCGCCAGCTTTCTGGGAAAACACCATTAGGGGCCACTTCAAGATGGTCAGGCACGATCTCTTGGGACAATTGGCGTCATGGCTCAAAGAAGATGATGGCCGTCCGTGAGTATCTTGTCGCCAAGACGAAGCCAAGAAACAGGCGACAGTATGTTTTTGATGCCTCATTTCCTGCTCACAGCATGGCGCGAGATAGCGCAAGTGGAATGCATAGCCTACCGAGCCCCTCGGCCTCCGCAGCTGTCGCCGCCCCACAGAAGAAAAATAATGGCAGCAAGACTCCATTCGAGACAGACGGTGAGCCGAGCAGATAGTGCTGAGAAAGGTCGCGAGAAGTCTTGAACAACGTGCTGATGCTCAATTGTGGCGTGGATTCAAAAGTCGCGCGCTTGAAGGAGCTCCTTGACACTTTGTGATCCGCCTCCGCTTTCAACATTCCCAGTCAGTAGCTAGACTTCATCCCGCCAAGCCATGCATCCAGCCCTTCTCCCTTCGCTGCGTCCGTATCCTCCATACAATACTATACTACAATCACTGTTGGCACTCAACTCTCTTCTGAATGTACTCACACTACCCAGCATCGGACGACTTGTCTAACACCTTCTTCGTCCCCACTCAAGAGCACACACACTCACCACTGATCGGCCCTCCTCTCATCTTGTCACCTCGCGCAGCTCAATCCCTAACACGTACGTCTTCATCAGAATGTAACTTTTGTTCGAAACACAGCTCAAGTGGCTTTGATTGTCCACCATGCAAAGGGGTGTAGCGTGAAGGCGACCTCTTGTGGTCCAATTGATTCTTCAGACAAAAGAAGCTGATCAGTATTGTCAGGAGTCTGAGTGTGCTTGTTCGATTGCGATGATGCGCTCTGTCACGCGAATCAAAGTGCTTTCAGCGCGTTTGGTCGCCGCGCTCTTAAGTCATCCAATTCGACAAACGTGCCTTTTCTCTTCCGCTCAAAGACTTGTAGCCTGACGATCGAGAGACATGACAAGAACAATCACAATCACGACCATCTTTGAATTCGCTTCGCAACATGCAGCTGTGATATGCACTCGGAACTTTAGAGGGACTCTTGTGTTCGAACGAACGCTCTGACAGCCACTTGACTGATGTGCTTCAGGCACAATCGTGAATCAGCAGGTCAACCGTCAAGCATGCGTATATGCATGCAGGCAGGCAGGCAGCGGAAGCAAGCAAGCAAGCAATAGCAAGCCCCCGCCCTGCTACCGGCCTGTGCGTGCAGTGACCCGCAACTTGACTTCCGACTACATCTGCTGCAGACGCAAAGGGACGACCTTGCAACCCGAGTAGGTGAGAGGCGCAGACATCAGCCTCTTTTCAAGAACAAGGCCGCTGTCATATTCGGGAGAGTCTCGACGACGTGACTGCTACGTAGATGCTACACGGCAAAAGAAGTCAGCCGGACGAATAAAAAAAGGGTTCTACGTGGATGGATCCCTTCCCCAGTGTGTGTCGTTAACGGTACGAACGTCACACATCGACGGTGAAGGAAATTCGAACAGGTGCGCTGCGGTGCATTCAGGTCTTGACACGTCAATGAAGCGCAAAGATCTATGAGAGCAGCAGCCATATGCAACCTATAGCGGCTGCTCAAATGTCACAGTCGTTGGTCACAGTAATCTCGTGTCGGCCGCACATCACACCCGGTCAAACGTGCCAGCATCCACGTCGAGGCTTAGTTTGGAGACGAGACCACACAAAAGCAATAAGGGAAGGCGCAATCAGAGACACATAATAAGGTAGCGAGCAAGCGTTGATTGTCAGCCAACATGCGTTTCATGCTCTTCAGCCAACATGCATACAGTTGCCTAGGGTTTCTTGCTCGAAGAGGACATCTTTATATACCTACCTGGCTCTGCATGGTGGAGCGCGCAGACAGTCACTAGTGCTGAGTGAGCGTAACACTCGTCTACTGCTTCAACGCTTCGCTTTCCCATCGGACGATCATTGTGTCACCTCGAGCCAAGTCTGTCGCTGCGGAGACTCGAGGAGTGAGCTCGGGCGCGAGTCGCAAGACAAGGAGCTGAAGTCGCATACACACAGCGAAGTGCTGCGATCTTGCACTCGAGGCCGACGACTCGCAAAGTTTCTTCGCGGAAGGTCTCGCATGCACCTCGGTCCCATGATACCTGGGTCTTTCCCAGCAAGCTCTATCTCTATCAGCAATAACATATAGGCACCGCAGTGTGCGACAGCAGGCGCAGTCTGACGGCTCATGCGCGCGCAGACAGCATCAAGGTCGCTATCATTATTGTCAAGAGGCTCGTCCTCGCTTCCCTCTGATCAATCGCATCACAGCGTGAGCGGGCAGACGCGAGACTCCTGCCAGACACAGACGGATACACTTGGTCTTCAGCAGCAGCTAGGAGGCCAGCACGCATCATCCTGGCGGACTGCGTAGGTGGGCGTCGCATGTACCTGGGCTCAGACTTGCCCATCCTACATACAGGCATGGGAAGAAGCTCATCCGCGGCATTATGCGCCAAGTCTCCTAAACGGCGGCGTCTATATTCAGGATTGTGTATTGTGGTACGAGTCAGACGGGCGCCAGCTTTATCAGCACATACGATCAAAAAGCTTGCGACCGGTGCGCGTATGCCTGCATATAGCCAAATGAGGGTCCAAGGGCGGCTCTGCATGAGAGCCCTTCTCGCTGGTGCACACCCGCCGATCGTCAACGTATGACATTTGGAATGCTGTCGTCTCATAGCAGGGAAGCTTCGCTGCTGATGGTGGCACCCTTGCTGAGCTCGACTCTTGCGAGTCAGGCAAATGCGTAGCAGCTGCGCTGGCGCTTGGCCATCCGCGGCCGCAGATGCCGCGGCGCTTGGGCTGAGGTACGCTAACAGCTAGCATACCATCATCAAAGGCAGCTGTAAGTGTGAGTCAAGGTCATTTGCGCAGATGCACAGCAGTCGCTCAGCCGTGGAGCAAATTACCCATTTTCAGCTACCCGTCGGTCATGAGTCACGGGTTGGTGTCAATGTATACAGTCAGTCACACGGTGCGAGTGCGTGGACAAAAGGGCGGCGTGTAGACTGCGAGAAATACTGTCGCTCCTTGGCTCATCTATGCAGCCCTCACAAGATCTCCATCACCTTGCAACGGGACGCTTCACCCAATCACCATCACCTACTTAAAGCAAGGTTCCCTTTGGCGTCCCCACTCCCGAGTCCGGCATACCCTCATTTGAACTCACTCCTGCCCCTTCTCTGCGCCAACTTGATTCCCTAAATCGCTTCATCGTCCAGACTGACCGCACTCAGGACTCGAGGTGACTTGTCGTCCCAGCGCTCTCTCTTTTCAGCTGGCTGTTCCGCTGCTCCATCACGCGCCAAACTGATCGCATATTTCTCACGATATTCCAGACCCATCCCAAAAGTCTTCAGACCGTCAGACCGTCATACCCACACCGTCGGGCTCGCAACATGAAGTTCGCACCATCCAGATGCCTCAGTTCAGGCTTCGTCCTCCTTCTCATCGCACTCAACCTCAGCTGTATTGCTGAAGCGGAGGCAAAGAAGAAGTGCGAAAGCGAGCTAGCTGTTCACAACAACCACAAATCGCACCGCTACCACAAACACCACCACAAGCATGGCCACAAATCCCAAGGAAGGCACCATCACGCCACTGTATCTTCAACATCGAGCTCCTCAAGCTGGGCGTCAGCGGGTGCAGGCGGCGCTCAGTCTGGGTCTCAAAGCAGTAGCAGTAGCAACGCCGATTCTGGTAGCGTTCAAAACACTCATGGTGGCCCAGCGCCGGGCGCTGGAGACAACCCCACACCAAAGGGTCAGCAGAACCAAGGTACTCCGACTCAAGCCATTTCGCACGGGACACCTTCCAAGTCGCCAAAGGGTGGCAAGGCTGGTGTCGCGGGCGGAGAAAGCCTCAAATGGACTGCCGAAGTGCTGGGGTGGTGGTGAGTACGCCTGCGCCCGAAAGTTTGCTGGACTTGATGGCACTCACCGCAAGGGTCTTGCCTCTTTCCTCAGGCATAATTGGGGTCCCGTGCCCGACAACGACCACGCGGGTAACATAGCTTTCATGTCCACCTGCTGGGGCATCGGCCAGACCGGAGGCAACCACGATGCTGAGCGCTTCGAGAAATTCAAGAAGGTGCCTCACGGAAAGTATCCATACGTGGCAGGCTACAATGAGATGGACTTCCAAGGCCATGCCAGTTCCGGCGGCATGAGCCTCGATGCTGCTGTGCATGTGTGGGAGCAGTACATTGCTCCACACAAAGCCAAAGGCTCCATCCTTGTAAGGTGAGGTGCATTCACAGTCTCTGGCTACGTTGTGACCTGTAGCTGACGAGCAATTTGGTCTTTCACTGCAGCCCTTCGTGCGCCAAGCAGAAAGATGAGGACATGTGTGGAAAGTTCCTGAAGCAAGTCAAGACGAAGCCGGACCTCGTGAACCTGCACATTTTCCAGGAGCACCCGGATGGTGTGAAGCCTGTCATTGATCACTACCGTGCCTATGGCTACAAGATGATCATCACCGAACTGGCATGCATCAACGTGAGCAGATCGTCAATGGCCAGCATCCGACCTCTGAGCCATCTCTGACAGCCCGCACACTGGTCCCCGCAGTTCCAGAACGGTGGTCGCAAGGAGTGCTCTATGGAGGAACAGAGGAAATTCTGGGCAACCGTGATTCCGTTGCTGGAGAAAGACGACGACATTGTAGGCTGGGCAGCCTCGGTGAGCATCTCGAGCATTCTTGCGCTGCTCTCTTATAATTCTCACCCTCAATCGCCATTCTCGCGCCTACAGGATGCCTACGACAACGGAAACCTATCCGTTCTCGTGAGTCGATCGTTCGGCGTTGACGTCTAGACCCTTGTCAGCTGGGAGTATCTACTGACACCGTTGATCTCGCCCCGTCTTGTCCATTGCGGGCGGAAAGTCCAAGGGAAACTCGCTCACTGAAACCGGCAAGTTCATCAAGGCTGTCATCAAGTCAACGGCGTCCAAGCACAAGCGCCGAGCTCTGAGCGATGGAGAACGCGTTGCGAGGCGCAGCATCAGACTAGCAGCCACCCTGTGAGGTGGGGTGTCAGCCTCGAAACCATCATCTATGGGGAACATCCGTAGTGCCACTTATGAGCATTCCGTACATACTGTCTTCGGCCCATGGCGCTGGTCGCTGAGCCTACCGCCTCACTCGTGCCTGTCCTTACTGCTGCTTCCTCTGACGCGCGCTCCTAGCGTGTGCCGACTCCCTCGGCGATTGTTTCGGTTTTCAGACCTGCCTTCGGGAAGCCAGTCAAGTCGCTTGTCTCTTCCGCCAATATGACAGCAGACTTAGTTCGTGGAAGCTAAAGCCAGCCTGATCTGTTTGAGTATGAAAGACTCGGATGAGGTGATAAGCGCTGCCGAGGAGCAGTCGCGTCGGTGACGAAATCTTGAATTCGTGTGTTGCATGCAGCGAGCGCGACGCGGCAGGAGGCAGGCACGCGCGCGTTTCTGATTTAGCTGCAACGGCACGTCCGTTCCCTCGCCGCACGCCTTCACAGCTGCTGGTGTTGGACTTGTTCCACATCCACCCTTGCATTTGAGTCGTTGCCTGCTTCTCTGCTCAGAGTTTCTCTCGGACACTTCGGTCCCAGCGCAAGGTCCGACACTTTGAGCGCCGAGCAGCTGTGCGCGTGCTCCAAGGATGGACACAAGGATGAGCGAACCCATTCTGCCGCGGTCTACGCCAACAACCCAAGAGGCAGCAGACGCCCTGGACGACGCTTTGGATCGCCTACTGGAGCACACCCAGAGATACATGGAGCTCACCACGAAGAGCAACGAAGCTTTTGCCAATGGATTTCATTCCCTTTCACGAGCCCGAATGCACCTGGGCTCTGCAGGATGGAACGCCTTGGGCGGAGATGGATGGGATGGGAGGTTGAGGGCACAGATTGGATGCAAGATCGAGGCGGATGACGGCGGAAAGGTCTACATCAGATTAGCGAGGAGAAGCGTGGCGCAGGATTCCAACGAAGCGAGTGCAGATGGGGAGACTGATGTCGGGAGTGAGAGCACTCAGCGCACTGTGGGCTTGAGAAGGAGGACGGGGAAGCGTGATGCGATGGAAGAGCCGCAAAAGATTGGGGCGAGAAGCGCGTCAGTAGCACAACCTCAGGACAGTGCAGAAGCCGAGAAGGTGGACAAATGTGATGCAAAGAAAGCGTCAGCAGTTGAGGAGCGTCACGAGCCTGCGTCAAAGAAGAGGGCAAAGCAAGAGCCAGATCCTCTATATCAATTTGCTGCCTTGCCCCCCGCCTCTCTGAGGTCGGCTCAAGCATCCTTTCGAACGGCGCTTGACCATCTGCTGGGGAGCGTAGAGGGAAGCGTCGATGCCTCTATGGACACCGGCAAAGGAACGCCGAGCGTCATGCAGCTAAGTCAAAGCCTGAAGCAGTTCGAGAAGGACATCAAGTTTGATATTTCAAGCAATGCGGCGGCGGACTGAACATCACGCGCGCCACACAGCATGCGGCCAGCATCAATTGAAGCCTGCATGCAACGTCAGACGACGTTACGCGTGGCAGTGCTGATGTGAGTTGAGGGTCGTTTCGCAGCAGCTGGGCGCAATCGGCATGAGTCTGTCATGATTCAGGTGAGTCATGTAATGAAAAGGTTTGTATAGAGGAGGGACAGCCAATCAAGCTAGTCAGCCATAGAACAGGATGCGCAAAGACGCACTCGCCCTACGTCCCAACGAGGGAGGGCGTGGAGCGGCCAAGCACGCAGCGGCAACGCGCATGCAGTCTGCGGAGATCGAGCAAGTCATAATTCTGAATCAAAGTGAGCTGATGACCTCAATCATGTTTCGCGTGACTTCTTCGAGGCAGCAGTGTTCAGCGCAACATCCACCCACCACTCAGCTGCATGAACAGAGAGTCATGATCGAGCACTCGCGACTCGCTGTATACCTCGTCAGATTCCTCAGGTTGGCCGCTTTCGTGATTGGATCCTTCACCGTTGAATTCAGGTCGCGTCAAGCGGGTTGAGAACGACCACACGGCATTTCAAGAGGGTGCAGCGCGCACTTCAGGAGGGAGCGCGAGGTTACAACAACGAGCCTGCATGGACTCACGACTGGGAACGCAAGACTTGCTCTTCAAGATCGAGTGGCCGCGCAGATTCACACTCTCGTACCCTCTGAGCCCTGTGCACACTCCGCCCGACGGGCTCGCGGTTATCAGCCGCGGATTGCACAAGCTTCGAATTAAATTTCTCCTGAACGACCGCAAGCGCACCTGCAAGTGCATCCTTCTACACAATCTTCGTCATGCCCAAACATCCTGGCTCGAGCTTACGCCCTTGATGCTCGGCCGTCGCCCGTATTCACGATTGCAGGCCGTCGTGGCCGATTAATGAATTGTCCCTCTCTCGTCCTTCCATTCATGCTTGCAACCTAGAGCCATGCTTCCGATGCCTGCTGAAACTGGATCATCCTCCCGGCGGGACGCGCAAGAACTACCCTCTGGAGTCGTCGAGGCGGCAAGCCTGGACTCTGAGCTAGTCCCGAAAGCGCTCGCCAGCATAGATGCAGAAGGGGTGGATCACGCACACGAACGTATACTAGTACCGTTGCAGAACGCAGCGCTCGATGTCTGCGGTTCCCCCTGCCTGGAGGAGCCCATGACACCTACTCCAGCCATCTCAGCACAGCCGAGGGCAAACAGAGCACCGCACATCCCTGAGGCAACGTCCCAACCATCCGTCCTCAGTGAACCCATTCATCTGGATGAGCTAGATAATCTCCTGCCGGCTACGAAGCAGCGTGGTGTGGCCAGCGGTAGGAGTAATGAGCAATTTGCGCAGACGGCCGCGTGTTCATTAGCCTCACTTGGCCGCAAGAGTGAAGCGTCGTCGTGCTCACGCGATGCGGGCTACACGGACCTTGCAACCTCTCCACGCCAAGCCAACGAAGAGCATCAACTAGCAGCGTTGGGCTCCATGCTGGATCGCATATCCAGCTTGAACCAAGGTGAGTGGTCGATGATCTCGCCAGCCGCCTGAGGAGCGGTCGCTTCAGCCCAGAAAGTGCAAGAAAGGCAACCTTCGCAGAGCGCGTGACGGCTGGCCGAAACGCCAGGTGCTACAACGGGAAGATGAAACCGGATGCGGGGCGAAAGGAGTAGCTGGCATGCTCCAACAATCTGATAGCGGCGAAGAAGAGCACGCACGGGTGGCGAGCGAAGGAGTTGCAGCGAGCCACGCCTCAGCAGATGAAGTGCGTCCGCGGTCAGCTTCATTCATCGAGGTTTGCGCTATATACCGTATAGATTGACGGACCGAGGCGCATTCATTAAAGCGTCTCGCGAAGCTCAATGTCGCAGGTACAATTTGGCACTGAGATGCCTTGAGTACATGCAGGGCTCTCCTTCCGTGATTGCCAGCTGAAGGAGACATACACCGGCGAAGGCCCAAAGCTCTTGCGTGTCGTATTTTCGCAGCCTCGAGAGGCACCAACGCGTCCACTTCACGCGTGCTAGCTAAAGGGCACCTCACCTTCCCGCTGAGCTGTTACAACTCTGACCCATTTCTCACGACAAACACCACCCTGGATTTTTGAACCGCTGAGGGACGAGGACTGCTTCATCTAATCGAGTTATTGCTGCCATCTTACCTCCGTTCTTCCCTCTTTCTGACTTTCTGTCCAAACAAGCGACCTGGTCGACGTCTCACGTCTCTAAACCTACACCATCCCCTTCCACACTTCAGAGCTTCCTCTGGCCCTCAAAACCTCTGCCTCCTCTTGGACCAGCTATATTAGACGGAGCTCGAGGCGCAGTCAATCATCAGGCTGTCCCTTTGGTTGCCAAACCTCTTACTGCTTTGGGGAGCCCACCTTGCGCTGGACACGTTTACCACAGTATTTCGCAGACAGACCAGCCTTCCAAGCTGCAACAGCGCAGCAGCGTTCCACCTCGCACATCTTCCGGTCCAAGCGTCCCGCAAATTGGAAATCGTGAACAAAGCGCAACACGCAGCCACCGGACCGACGCTTGTACAACGTTGCAAAGTATGCTTCCTCCAAAGGTGCGCGCAGCGTTTGTGGTAGATGCACATGCTCGTCACTGACACGTCACTTGGCTATCACACAGCCTGTCACCGCTGTCGAAGCGCTCGCTCGACTGCCTGAGCATCCATATCGCGCCGCGAGTGGTGACGGCTATCCTGGTCCGCATTCTGGTCCTGCTTCACTGGGCACCTCAATGACGAATCAAGGCGTTCGCCAGGCTCGCATCGAAATCAAACCACCTCTCGCGGACCATCGAGCACAGCCAAGTGGTAATGATGAGCACCAGACCTCGCGTTCGAGCGAAGATGACACCCATGATCTGCATTTGACCGAGAAGCGCGAATTTCAGCAGCCTGCTCCGACTTCCGAAGACGATTCGGGGACTGAATCAGGCAAGGCTGCTCCTTCGATCCAAATCAGCTCGGCAGCCCCTCGTTCCTTCTTTCCTGTTGCTGATGAGGCTGCCAGTTTGACGGCAGATGATGCAACAAGTCCTGATAGCCCGTCTGAGGCGCAGATCGACTCCAGAACTCATCAACCGGCAACGCAACCACCGCTGCCAGCATTCGACATGCGCGCCCTTCCGTTCTCGAGCTCTGATCATGCACCGTCCTATGCCGGCTCGCTATCCCATCAGCAGGGATTCAGGAGTCTTCAAGCACCACGTGAGTCCGAAGCGCAATGTGCGTTGATCATCGTGATGCTCATATTGGAAAGTTGCTGCCGACAGAATGGCTTTGTGGATCGATGCAGTGCTGTGAGTGCAAGTCGCGCCATGTCGCCAAATCGTCAGGATCGATGTTGGCGCTGACTTCGCTCTCGGGAAATCTTTACAGCTGTGCGTAATGACAATGTGAGTCAACTTCCACTGCAGGAAAGTACGCTCCGAGCCGGAGTCATGTTGACGCTCTAACCTTCTCCGTCTCAGCGCAATCACCACTGTTTCGGTTGCGGTGCACCAAAGCCTATAGTACCGTCACAAGTAGTGCCTTCACGCGGCAGTATTCATGCTGTTCCACCAATGTCGCTTGGAGTCCCTCCAATGCAGACGTTCCATGCTTCTTCAAATCTCTCGGGCCAGCTCCAGGCGCGACCTGCAGTCTCCCTGCCAACGCGTAAACTCAGTGATAACTACGGAATGCCGACGCAACCGAACGTTCAACCAGGTCACGCTCCAAGCCCATGGACGACACCTTTGGTCAACATCCCTGGTCAGATGCCTCCGAGTCAACACGCCTTCAACGCTTCGACTTCGGTTGCTCCCGCTCTGAACCGTCAGCCGCCTCCCGTAGCTGGTGGCGGGTTACGTCTGGGGGAACTATTGCCAAGCAATCCTTACGCTGGATCAGCTTGCCCACCTCTCACGCGCTCGCATCTCTCCGATGATGGCCCCTCTCACCTGACTTGGGCTCAAAGCAATCCGTCTACGTCTTTCGCAACTGCAGCTCGCCTCGCAAGCATGGGCGTCAGAGTGAGTGTCGGCACCTAGATTCCTTGGTGGATGCCCATGTGTACACTAAGCCGTGCTTCTTCTCAGGTCGGCCCAGGTGTAAATCCTCATGTGCGACAAGATGATCAGAGTCAGAACGGTACTTCATCGCAGCCACCCATCGTCAATACCGGCAACTTGGGACCCATGTGAGTGATGCGGTTCCGATTCCGCTGTCAGGTTGCACACTCACATCAAGCAATTGAGCCTATAGGTGCGTGCAACCTGGAGATTGGGTCTGCTCGACATGCGCTTTCGTGGTGAGTCTATCACGTCGAAGATGAAGCTAGAGCCGCATCGAAGGTAATTCGCTCACGTCTTACTGACGTGTGCACACCAGAATTGGCGCCGTCGCCGTGTCTGCATGCGCTGCTTTCCCTTTGCAGCTGGAAACGAGGTCTCCGCTTCTCTCGCCAATGGTGCTATCATCGCCGCGCAGCTGGCTGCTGGCATCGAGCCAAGTCCAGACACAATCGCTTCGCTCGCTGCAAATTGCCGTCCACAAACGCAACCAAAGACTTCAACTTCACGCCCCGAGTCTCTTGTCGGCGGAGCCCTCGCCTTGCCAAGCACTCTGGCAAGCACCCCAGTCTCCAGCAATCCGAAGCTGGCTCCCTTCGCCGCGCTGGACGCTTCGTTGCCGCAAGCTCCACGCACAGCGGCTTCTCCACAATCGCTGACCGACGCCATGCAAGGCCTGAAAATCACTCCCAGCCCCGCTAGTGGGACGATTTCGATGCCTAATACTGCAACGGCTCCATCGTTCGGATTTTCTCTCAGCCCAAATCCGCCCCTAACGCCATCGGTGATTGCATCCTCTGGCAGTCCGGCAGATCGCTCGAATACTTGGAGCCCGTTGCCAGCTCGCCAAAGCTCGAGTCAGTCCATCAGTATCAATGACGTCGGGCTTGATGCAGCGACTAGCGAAATGGATCCACCGGATAGCTGCCCTTACGTACCGGATCCTAAATGGCGCTGCCGCAACATCGATCCAATCGGCACTCGTCCTGGAGGCTCCTACAAGCCTCGAGAGGCTGCTTACGACGCTGGCGGTCATACGAGTGTCGATGAAGAGGATGCTTCGCCAAACGACAGCTTTGCTTCCTCTCGCACCCGAGCTTCTGTCCGACCTTTCGACTACGAAAGCGGCATCGATGCACTGTCTTTTTCTCCGGCACCAGCTCCTCCGCAAAATGGCGACAAGCTGCGCGCAACCGTGGGTGCCAAGTGAAGGGCATCGTGCAGAGCTTGATTGATCGTAGCCAACCTGTTCCAATCGTGCCGCGCACGACCCTTTGCCTCATCACGCCAATCACCTTGCTCATCAAAAATCGCGATTCCAATTATTTGTGGATTCGTTGGACAAGCCTTGTTGCGCTTTGGCTAGTTCTTCCCCCCCCCCTCCCCCCCCCGCTCAAAACATTCACACTCCTCTTCGCGCACCTCGTACTCGGACCGCCTCCTTAATCAGGGCCCCCGCAAAAGAAGGACAGGATTCGAACAGAAACTTTCTCGCCTACTGCGAGTACGATGTGGTATGGCTGACGCCTCGCTCGTCGGCATGAGAAGCAACTCGCTTTGCCTGTTTTTGCGCCTGGACATCGACCTCCAACTATCGAACGCATGCTATCTCCAAGGGGAATTCGAATGTCTTCAACCCTTTTGGTGCTGTTCTGTTCCGTTCTGTTTCGTGAATGGCTGGTGTGAGAGGCCGGTGACCGATCAGATATCATAGGCGTGACCACAAGTGAGATGCACGACTCATTTCATTCATCAATTTTTTTCGAGATGGCACAACACTCGCGACAGATTATCAACCCAACCCAAAGGTTCTTTGAATACGTTACAACTTGCTGTTTGAGGCAAAATCACTGCAATGGAGATCAGAGCTGGAACGAGCAAGCGAAGCTCGGACGTCAGCTCAAAAGCCACGGCTCTTGTGCGCAAGTACCAGCGTGGTCACTTACTTCCTCGTGCTTGGGCTTAGCATGCTCTTCAGCAGCTGCTGGTTTGGTGTTGTTGGCAGGTGCACTGAGATCGATCTTGACGCTGTTCTTTGCGTTCTGCCCAATGAAGTCGACGAACCCGTCCAAAGTCCTGTCACCAGCAAAGTCGAGGAACTCCTTGCTGCCGGCAGGCTTGAATTTGATGGTTGGGAAGCTGGAGACCTGGAAGCCCGCGGACGGAGGCACGTCGTTGGCCGTGGCATCCATCTTTGCGATGACGATCTTGTCCTTGTGGGCGGCATACTTCTCGCCCAAGGTGTCCCAGGTAGGCGCCAGCTTCTTGCAGTGTCCGCACCAAGGGGCGTAGAATTCGACGAGAACGTCCTTCTTGTCGTCGAACACGACCTTGTCAAATTCGTCTGCGACTAGGACCCAGACCGGACCGTCCTGCTCAGGAACCGCTTCGGATTTGATGGATGGTTTGAGCTTTCCTCCGATGAAGTCGTCGACGTGCTTGCTGATAGCACCAACGCGATCTCCGCTCAGCTCCAAGGGGAATTTAGTGTTGCCTTGAATGTCCTGGATAACGCTGTATAGGTGAGGCATACATCCTCAGCACACGACACCAATCACGCTGTTGCTGTGATGAAGACTCACAAAGCAGGCCAATTCTCGCCGTTGAGGTTGAGACCTTTTCCGTGGTTGACGAATTTGACAGCGTCAATCCAAACGAAGTTGAGCTTGCCTTTGTGCTTCTTTGCAATGTCACGCAATGCCTCGACGTCCTTGTCTTTGTCGGCAGCGTCTGGCAGAGTAAAGTAGTATGCGAGGGGCACACCAGCCTCTGCGTAGGTCATGAAATTCTCTGGGCCGACCTCGTCCACGAGAGGGGTAGACTCTGCCTTGATGAACTCTTCGATGGCAGACTCGTCTGTGAGTTTGCCGCTGTAAACAATCTTGGGCTCATCGAATGATCTGTAGAGGACGATACTTGGAACCTTGACATCCTCTGCCTTCGCGGCTTCAGCGTCAGCAACGTGACCGAAGACATACGAGTCCCGCAATTTGTCGGCCAGGCTGGAGAAGGTGGCGAGTTCCTTGGCTCCATCAGCGAGGTAGGCTACCGCCACAAGCTTGTCCTTCTTTTTGAATTCTTCAAGATCCGCAGGTGCGACCTCGGACAGCGCAGGAAGCGCTTGCCTGAAGCGCGAGATCACAGCGCAAGAGGTCAGAAGGAATTGCGAAGGCCGGCCTTCGCTCCCGGAGCCGAACCCCGACTCACTTCTTCATGTAGCTGATGATTCCATCTGCCTTTCTGGGTCCATTGTATTCGCTGGCTGTTCCTTTTCGGAAGACCTTGAGTGTACTGGAGGATTGTAGCGGATATCGAGTCAATCGCGAGAGCTTTCGACATGATTGGCAGGAGGGGATGTGGCATTTCTTGACAATCGATGAATGCAACGGCCCAGAAGTGGACGGACTTGGCGCTGCTGGCACAAGCGCCCTCTGACGGCTTCCAGCTCTTCTTCTCACTGATCCGTGTCTTCATCGGCTTTCCCAAAGATCCCCTCGCCCTACGGTCTCTCAGATGCGAAGTGGCTTACTCACGGATAGCCCTGCACCTCTTGCTCAGAGCACACGTCTTCTTCAACTGTGCAGTCCACTTTGGCCAGCTTGATGGGAGTCTCCTCTTTGAGAAGAGCCGTGGCAGATTCCTCGTACTTGAAAGCAACAATTGGGGTGCAATATCGTAAGCCGACGTCCTTCCGTCGGTCACCTCTTGCTAGCGGAGCATGGACCTCGCAACGAGCTGTGCGGGCTGCAAAGCGCAGTCGCGAAGGCCATCGCGTGGTCATGGGCTATTGCGCACTTACATGAGGCTTCAAAGCTTGACAATGACCACACCAAGGCGCAAAGAACTCGACCAGGGAGAGGTTCTGCAGCAGTGAAGAGGGCATTGATCCAGAGGCACAACAAAGATCAGTGACGGAATGACGCAGCGACCAATAGCGCTGCTTCAGCTGGCAGTCACGCACCTCATTCTCGACGAAAGAAGCGAAAGTGTCCTTGGTGAGGTCCACCACGTCTGATTTCTCGTCGGCTGCCTTGACGCCGCTCGAGATAGCTGCGAAGGCAACACTGGCTGCCAGAGCGCTGCGAAGGAGCTGCATTTTGCCTCGCTATTGGCCCTACGATGGATGGCTTGTACTTATCGAAAAGACGCGTATCGCCGAGTCTGGTGAGAAGTCCGTGATTGAGATGCTGTGGGAGAGAGAGGATGAAGGAGACGTCCATCTTAAATGGCTAAGTGGCCAATGTGACGCGCTCACCCCTGGGCACCTCAGGAAACCAACGAAAAAGTGACACGTAGCTTCTGGCAGCCATGCACAGTCACGAGTATCATCGCCAGCACAGCCCACCTTCCCTGCTGCAGCCAGCAGCAGGTGAGGCGTCCCTTCAGTTGGCCTTGCATGCTGCGCGCACGGGTGCCCCGACTGCATTCCGCGCGAGCCCGTGCGCGCAGACAGCCATGCAATTCGCCATGGCATGCACCCAGCGTGCATGCGCGCAGCACGCATCAGAGAATCAAAGAGATGCAATTCGACGCCTACCGACGCCTGCGCGGCCTTCCTCATCGTGATATGTGAGAACCTCTCATCATCGCGGCTTACCCTGCCGCGCTGCGCCTTCCGCCACTCCGCGGAGGTGATGCATTCAAAGTGCGCGCCGCGCCACGCAATCCCACATGCCAATCGTGAATCCAACGCGCACTTCATTGCGGCTTCCCCGGCATGCAAGGCGACCTCCAGACATAGCTGAACTCGCTTTCTTGGCTGGAGAGCGCGCAACCGACCGCCAAAGTGCTCGCCAGCAGGAGCGTTTACAGCGCACCACTTTCATGGTGATACCCCATCCTAGGCAACACGCGCTTGACAGACTTCACGAGTGACGGCTTCAAGCAACACATGTTTCTTCAGCTGCTATACTTTACAGATCCGATGGTCTATGCGCATGCTTGACTCACCAACTGCACCGCTGCCCTTGTACTGTATGCATTCATTCGCACCCACTCTGACGATCAAGACTATCCTGCTGACTGCAGCTGCGTCTCGCCAAAGTCGCGCTTGACACGCATCTGTGCGCCGGAAGTAACGCCTTCCACTCAGCGTATGTCCGGCGGGAGCTGGCGGGCCACGTGACCAAGAAGCGCCATCACGTGCCTGTGCAACATGCGCGCGCGTCAAGTCGAATCTTGAATCTGGTCACGAGTCTATCGAGCGTGCCTTCTAACGTTCTTGGTTCTCACACCGATCATCAACAAATTGAACATCTCGCTGTCTTTCGGCGAAGTTTGCCCCATCATGGTGGCCTATGATGCCGCGCACACGGCTGAGCTCAAGAAGTGGCTCTCGGAACAATTGGACGGTATCTGCGATGCCGATCCAGAGGTCCTTTCTGACTATGTGCTTGCCCTGCTCAAGCACGAAGTGTCGGATGACGCACTCTCTGGCATCCTCACAGAATCACTAGAAGACTTCCTAGCTGAGCGTGAGCTGTCGGAGCTCTTCGCTTGATTGGCTCATTGCCGCGTGCTGACTTGATCACTCGCTCGCGCAAACAGATACCGAACCTTTTGTAAAACTAATCATTGGTGCTCTCAAGGACCAATCTTATCTTCCCGCAGCTTCACGCAAGCGACAAGCTTCAGAGGCACCTGCAGCATCTTCTAGTCAACTACCCTCCGCAGCCGCCTCTGTTGAAGGTACCGGTGCAGAATCAGGGGATGGGCCGTCCTCTTCTAACGGGACCCGTCAGAGTCATCGAGGGGGTGATCGGGATCGCGAGCGCGATGGTAAAAGGAGAAAAGGGGACGGAGCGGGGGAGATCAGGCGCGGACTTTGCAGAGACTACCATCGTGAGTGCTATCATTGCGTGCGAGAATCTGCGGCGTGTGTCTGACATCAGGCTTCACTATGCCGCCGTCACCGGTAGAAAAGGGCTGGTGCTCGCGCGGTGCGGAATGTAGGTTTCAACACTCGACAGACGTGGTCAACGCGGCTGGCAACGGGACGCCAAACCATCCACATTTCACTCCAAATGGTCCAATCCCAATGATGCTCGGCGCTGGTCCGATCAGGCTAGGTGGCCCAGGTGGTGCACCTCAGCCTTTTGGTGGCATGCAGCAGCCATTCGCATTCAGTGGACCCATGCCTAGAGGACCGTGGCCAGGACCAGGTCAGCCTGGCTTTTCTCATGCAGGAAGCCCACGAGTTGGCCCTCAAATGAACCCTGGTGGCCCACCGGATCAGGCAGCTGGGCCAGGCATGGGTGCGCAAATGCCGCCCAACTTTCCGCCTCAGCAGCAGCAACAGTCTTTCATGCCAGACAGCGCAGGCATGCCTGGAAGACCGGTGGTCGGTGGTCGCGGCGGAGGTCATCGTCAGCATCAAGGTACATTCCGGCAGAGGAAGAGCGAGACTGCCCTAGTCGTGGAAAATATCCCACCCGAGTCTTTGGAGCTGATCAAAGTCAACGAGTTCTTCAAACGCTTTGGCACTATCACAAATATTCAAATCGACGTACCTGGGAAAAAGGCATTGGTGGAATACTCTAGGCCGGACGAGGCCAAAGCTGCTATCAGCTGCCCTGATGCGGTGCTTGGCAATCGGTTTGTGAAGGTTTTCTTCCAGCGATTCGAAAATGGTTCATCCAATGGCCAGCCAGCTTCATTACCTGCTGCATCCGCAGCCGCCCGTCCCAGACCACCTCCCCCAGAGAAATCGGCATTTGTAGTAGGGCAGAACCAGTACCACGCGCCTGGTATGCCGGTCTCAGCAGGTCAACGCGCAAAATTGATCGCGATGCAGCACGGTGCACAGCGGAAGGTTGATCACTTGCTCGGAGAGCAAAAGACTTTGATGGCCGCCATCACCAGTCCTTTGACGTCGACGGAGGCCAAGAAAGCCTCGATGACGCGGATGAAAGCCATCGAGGGCGAATTGGGTGCTGCTACCACGCAGCTGAGAGAGGCGATAAAGGCTGTCCAGTCTTTGCCCCCTCCCCCGCCTGCTGAGGATCCCGCGAAACGGAAGGAAATGAAGGAAAAGGCCGAGAGAGAGCAGATGGACAGAGAGTTGGATATGCATAGCCGAGGCGAGACCAGCGAAAGCACGGAGGAGCTCAAAGCGAAGTTGGAAAAGCTCAGGGAAGAGGTGAGTAAATGAAGCGGTCGCTGCGACCGTTCCGCAATGTGCTGATATCAGCTTGGCTTCTGCCGGCACGCTCTTTTCTAATGACAGGCCGCTGCGATTGGGTTAGATGCGAATGGCACACCCACTCATGAAGGCGGCTACAGGGGTAGAGGGCGCGGACGCGGGACTTACTTCTCCAGAGGTCGAGGCGCGTACGGGCAAAGGCCCAGCATGAGGCTTGATAATCGCACGACCAAGCTTGTTGTCAGTGACGTGCCCACAGAGCACAAGGAGCAAGTCAAGGAGCATTACAAAGTGAGCGAGAGGTGCAGGCGGACAGGGCGCGAGGCAAGGCTAGAGTGCCTTGCAGGTACGTGCATCGATGGCTTAGACGCGTGTGCCTCCTTTCCTCCACAGCAATTTGGCGAGGTGGAGGATATCTATGACTCGAGCCCGCGAGCGTTCATTATCACGTACAAGGCGCGACCGAGCGGTGAAGCCGTGAGTAAAAAGCGCAAGCGTACGTCGGCCCATGAGCTCGCGAATCAAAGCTGACCGATCCGTCATTCTGTATCCTTTGTTGCTTCTTCCAGGCCATGCGGGCTAGCACGGAGATTGCCACCGTTGGGACAGTGAAGCTAGCATGGGCAGCGGCGGATGCGGGACCACAAGCTCAAAGCGTCTCGGCCGCCTCTGGTGCTCCCTCTTCCTCTTCAGCACAGGCCAGCAATGCGATGTCGAGCTCCATGGACGGGAACAAGGCCGTCCCAAGCGATGGAGAAGCGGAAGAAGGAGAAGAGGAGGATTGGAGGCCGGCATGAGACTGTTGGGGATGAGCAGGCTAGCCGAGCAGAATGCCCGTGATGCAAAGGTCAATGCAAGGGATGTCAGATGATAAGCAAAAAAAGGGGGGTCCACGATCAACTTAGTAGTCCTTCCTGTCCACTCTCTGTCGCAATTTTATGCTACGCTGTGCAATGTGCTTCACCTTGGCTGCGGACATCGAGCGCATGAACGTTTGCGCATTTGGTGGATAGAGCGACGATGCATCATTACATGACATGTGCAAGAGACAGGGTGAGATGCGTGTGCAAGCGGGCAATTCAAAGAGGTGGTGCAAAGGTGCAAGAAGCTGCAAAGCGGAGCAGCGAGGTAGCGCTGCAAAGGTGCATTCCGGCTGCTTGACCGCCAAAGAGTCAATGTGCTTGCTTGGCTCTGGCCAGGCGACACTGTTCGACGCATCTTCCAATGCCCTGCACATCCGAAAGCAGGGTGACGTGTCTATGAGAAGTGTGATGTTCTCCCAACTTTCCCTCTCCTCGAACAAGAAGCTTGGACCAAGAACCAGGAAGATCCATGGCGCTTCGAAGCGTAATGACGCCATCTCCAGGCTCGTATAGCATGCGGGAATAATCTCCGGCCCTTACGCCGATCTTCCAGCTCTCCGTTTCGGAGCTTTGTTCAGAGGGCGCGTTTTCCGTGCGCACCAGAGCACCTCGGACCGTCGGTGTTCGACCTGACGCTAGGATAGCGATAGGCGGATACTGTCCATCGTTGAGACGTGCTTCGTCAAATCCTTCTTCGAGCTCTTTGTGGAAGCGTCTTGTCTCATCAAGGGTCTGCAAGGCCACCAGATCCTGTCATAAGCGGACGTCGAGATGCACAGCGAGATGACCCGCGGAACTCACCCGAACCAAATATGCCCACGTCTCTTCTTCCGACGGGGCCGTCGATGCGGCTTCTGCTGCGTAAGTCTTCTTCTTTGCCTCCTCTTTCGTCGTCGGAACACCATTCTGAGCAGATGCAATTGGCATAGCATTCAAACTTTCGTCTTTGATCATCTTGCTCGTCTCTGCGATATTTCTACTTGCTTCTGCAGTACCTTGGACAGCTTTAGCGACTGCTTGCCCACCTTTTGGGAAAGAGGCTTTGCCAGCCAGCTGCAGATCTAGTCCGCCGTCCAGACCCACATCGTTGCTTTGCGCACGATCGGCCCTCTGACTGCCTACAGAAGCTTCGCTAGATTGATGCTCGTCCAAAGCTGGCAGCTGCGTCTTTCCTTCGCACTGGACACGCGCTTGATACTCTTTGAAGCGCCCAGCCTCCAGACAAGGAGTGAGTCCCAGATCATCCCACACGTTTGGGTCGAAAAAGTCCAGGTCGAAAGGTTTGCCATCCTCCGACTCGAAACATCTGCCATCACGCGGAAGCAGGCCGAAAGAAGATCTAAAGGAGAAAGTGGCGCGAGGAGAACAGACTAAAGGACAGCACGGAGTGTGTGTGAGTCGTCGGGCGGCTGACGCGCAAACTTGAGCGGGCGGCAGGCAGCAGCTCACCTTCGTCATTAAATAGAGCAGCATCTCCATACCGGAACGGTCCGAGAATGTTCGCAGTGCCCGCAAACGGCGTTGAGGCCAAAATGAGCTTGTCGAAGATGTTGGGATTGCTCGTCTGAGCAAGAGCGTGCAGAGCAACCAGGCCGCCCATGGAATGAGCAACAACAGTGGCGCCCTGGCGTTTCGACTCTTCCGTATGGCTCTCCTCGTAGAGCTTTGTCAGAAAATCTCTGAGGCGCTTGCTCGATCTGTGCAGGCTCAATCTCCAATCGTAGCCCCATGAATGCACTGTAGGTCGCTTCTTGCCCGCTTCGATGCGAGAAGCTAGTCGTCCGCCCATATCTACCAGACGGCCGATGCCCATCAGAGATTCACCCGGTACCACTAGCTCTTCGGAATTTGCCTCTGCCTGCACGTCCAGATCAAGCTCCAGCGTTGGTCTGCGGAGCCCGACGCCGACCTGTCGAGAAATGATGGAACGACAAAGTCTCGACATGCTGCGAGCGTGCGTAAAGCGCGTGGCGTTCAGGGCGACGCACCTTGATCGGGATCCACAGCATCTGTCCCGTTTCGGCGTCTCGTAGCACACTACCTCTGTACCCACCCATGATCACCACATTACCCTCGATGTTGTCAAAGTATCGTTTGGCACAGGGATCCTTGTGCACAGTTGGGATCAGTTCCGGCTCGTACGCGGCCGCTACGCTCGGCCCCGCTGTATTTAGCCCTAGCGTGGGGCCATCGCGTGCACTTTGAGGGCCATCGTTGGCCATGGACGATGGACCCAGAACTCCCAGACTGGTGAGCCCATTCCATCCGCTAAGCATCTCTTTGATACGATTTGTGCCCGCATTGAGGATCGATTGGCTTTGCTGCTGCTGTTCCTTAGCGTGCTGCTCCGCTTCATCTCTCACCCTGTCGATCGGATCGACCGCTGCTGAGCCCTTGGCATGCTTGCGCTTGCCGCGCAATGTGTCCCAAGGGTGTCGAACAGGCTCAGCCAAGCTACTTAAGCTTTGCCAGCCCGAAGAAGCCCCGAAATGCGTATCATAGAACGCTTGCTTAGCTGTGGGATTTCTGTGGCTCGGAGAGACGAAGGTAGGCAGACCCGAAGATGCTTTGCTCGAGCTTGTCGACATCGCCACATCTCGCCAAGGATAGCCCCTTGGTGTGTGCACCACAGGCGGTGGCGACTCGATCGGTGACAGAGGATGCGAGCCTGCGACTCGCGGCTTAACATCCTCGACACTCCCTGACTGATCTGCTTTCTCACGAGATGACGCGTCTTGTGCTACCTGTGCGGCAGGCACGGGTACTTCTGTATCAACCTGCAATCTGTGGGAGCGTGAAGCATTCTTGAGGTCCTCCTCATCATACATTGCTTCTGATTGAGAAGCTTCCTGCAGCGATCGCCGTCGCCTTCGTTGCCGGAACGAAACGGATCCATGCTCCGCCGAGGCGTCAAAAGAGTTCTTCCTGCTCGAAGGCCTTGCAACGTTCTCGTCCACGACATCGAGCTGGTCAAGACCTCGCTGAAAAGCACGCTGCTCCAACTCCATCTCCTCTTCCATTACAGGAGCTGCTCTAGAAGCAGCTGCGGAGAGCGCATCGCCTCGCAGCCCCGCTTGGATATTGGCAGCGTTCGTGGCAGGTGTGGACCGAGATCTTGTGCGCATCAACTCTGGTCGATCTTCCGGTGTCGCAGTTTGGTCACCAGCCTTGATCTTGGACGAAGATCTAAAGTCGAGCCACTGTTTGCTAGCCAAAGAGCTCCTCCTGCGTTCGCCTCCTCTCTTGGAAGCTATATCGGCAGGTCCGCCATCATCGTACACCCAGCCCCGCTCGGATTCGGGTATGAACCTTCCGTTGGGCAACGGAGAAGCTCGAGAGGTGGAGGCTAGCGGACTTTTCCTGGTGGTGGCCGTGCCATGATTTCTCTGACCCTCCATCTCGCCTTCCCGACTGCTGGCTGCACCACTTCGCATGGCGGGAGAAGGGGTCCTACTTGTTGCCCATGCTGGGAGGGATGGCAGCTTGAGGACGCTTCCGCTGCGAAGCGGAGAGCCGGCAGGCGCGGTGGCCTTCGACGAGTCCTCAGCCGCTGCCATTGCATGCGCTATCGGCGGTGCAGCCTGGCAAAATTGCAAGATTGCGCGAATGTGAATGTGTTCAAGAATGAAATGCACCAGCAGCGACGTCGAAGACTTGCAAGACTAAAGATCTGCTTCTCTGAGAGCAAAGATCTGAATGGACTGCTGCAAGCCCCTTTGGCTCAAATTGGACCGCTTGCCCGGTAGGACCACGCGGTAGGTGTACCGTCACCCCTCTTGCTTGCATATATCCGGCACACCTGCCGGCACGGCCTCGGCAGCAAAGATCCGTGACCCTGCAGCCGAGAATCTAATGCGAGAATTAGCATCGACAGTCGCGACTCGCGAGTCACGATCCATTTGCTCAAAGACTCGGAACTTCCGTCGCGAGTGGACATTCTATCAGGAATAATGTACATCAGGGTGCGAGGGCGGATCGAGGTGCCCGACCTGAAGGTGGATTTGTGACGGGGCCCATGGCCCACCAAAAGGTGAGTGAAGGGTGTCGGGCACGAGATACGAGCACCACAATAGAATCATGACCGTGCGGGAGTAGAAGAGCCGCACACACACTTGTGACTCGTGACTTGACCACTGCATCAGCAGCTGCAAAGGGCGTGGCTGTGCTGCGCGCAAAGCGGCTGGTCGCCATAATATTGAATAACAATAATAATCATAATAATCATGAATCATGAAGATCCATACACACGTACAACCGCAGTCACCGTCTTCAGTCAGTGGTGAGTGTGAGTATATATATCTAGCAGACCTGATGCTGCGCTTACACATGACATTCAAATTCACGTGAAACAGATTCAGATAAGACTGACGTGGCGTAGGGCCCATGGGGGGTTTGAGTGCATGAGGACCGCCATCGAATGATCGCAGTTGGACAACGTGTGCGTGCATGTGTGTTCGCGCTCTCTCGCCTCCATTCGATGAGGAGGACCGCACGGGGTAGAAGTCACGACGGTGTGCAGCGTCGCACTGAATTGCTTCGATGGAGAGATGGTCGAAAAAGTTCACTCGGGTGAGCCAGCATTCAACGATTACTTGTGACATTCTTGGTTTGATGGGATTACATTCTTGATTCATGATGCTGAAATGAGGTTGAAGATTTTGATTCAAAATCAAAACTGCTACATAGCGATTGCCATTCACGTGATTCTACCATTCGTGATTTGCCATGCCGTGCTTTGGCGTTCTGCATGGCGAGGTGCCAAGCACATGTGCCGGGGCGCCAGATGGCTGCAGGCGGTGCACGCAGCGTGCGATCGTGGCCGCATGCTCGATCGCATCTCGCTGATCATCCTTTCGCCGCGCCATGCAGCATCAATCAAGTATAAGAAATCAAAGAACCGCGGGTGCCTGGCGCAGGGATTGCGAAGATGGCGCTGGCGTGCAGCAAGTGCTGATGAGTGGGGGGCTGCTTGTGCTGCGTACAGGAGGAGCCAGCCTGCACGATGTGCAGCTGCTGATGCGTGATGTGCAGGGGCAGCAGGGGCAGCAGGGGCAAAAGGTCCAGCCTGAGTCACGTACGTTGTAAACGACCGTACCACGCAGCTCTGCATGCATGCCGCTTCGTCGCGAAGATGCGTGCATCCATCCGCCTCTTTCATGCGGCGTGTGCATGCATGCATCATCGACAAGCTTTGCGGCACAGCCTTCTCTCTCACTCACAATCCGAGACGCATCAGACTGCTGCTGCTTCCCCTCGTCATGCTGCCTTCGCGCAATCACCGCATACGAGCTGTAACGCCGAACGTGTCCTTCTGCGGTCCCTTCTCGCGCTCACGAGAATCGCAATCGTGAATCAACTAAATCTCGATCACAGAGTGACGGATGCTGTGAAGGCTGTACAATGGCCTTGCTGTCACGAGTATATGTTGCTTCCGGTCCCCATCTACGACAACGATCTACAGCAACAACCACCTCTGACTTCTTCAGCTTCAGCTCCCTGACACACCGCCATTGCGCGGACAACACACATCACCAAATCACAAGTAGTCTTTCGATTTCCTGCGCTCGTGCAGCTTGAAGCCAGCCATCCACTCCACTCGCTCGCACATTCGATCGGCTCTCTGCACACGCGGTATCGGCCCTACCCCTCCTGCTGCACGCCATCTAGCCCTCGTCTTCGTAAGCAATAGCTATACCTTGCTCCCGATCACTCGTCATGTCGGACGCTGCTCTTGACGGCGTGCCTTCACTGGGCGGCTCGCCCGTCATCTTCATCGGGGTCATTGCAGCGATAGCATGTGTCGTGGTCGTCGCTGCAGTGTTGATCTGCCTCTAGTAAGTCGAGATAGCTGAGTATCGCGGCCATGAGGAGCTATCTTCTCACCTCTTGGCCACCTGTCCTCTACCTCGATGTGCGGCACAGCTGCCGTCGACGAAGACGCAGAAAAGCAGCACTGGCACGAGCTTCATTGGGCAATAATCTCAATACTATGCACCCTGGTCCATCACTAGCTGGCCGCAGGGGAAGAGCGCAAGGCTCAGGCTTTGCGCCAGTCTCCCAGATGAATGATGACGAAGCTTTCAACGCCGCTCCTTCGCCTAGACACTCGTTGCAGTACGACGGAGCTTACGATCCGTACAATTCCACCAATTCGACTGCTCTGCGAACTGGAGGTGCACCATACTCAAATCCATACGGGGCAGGCGCGGCTGCAGGCGCGAAGTACGATGAAAGCTCAGAAGTCCTTGCGACGCCAACTTCCACCAAAAATGCACCTTTTAGTGGACGACCGGGTGGAGCTGCCGCTGGATCGGCTGGCGTGGGAAGCGCAGCAGGAGCAAATGCTTACAACAGGCCGAACAGGGCTCAACAGAGTTCCGCTGCTGGCCCAGGGCACATGTATAGCGGCCATCAGCCCACTGCTAGCTATGGATCCGGCTTCTCCGACGCATCTTACTCTGCGCCTCCGAGGAGAGAGGAGAGAAGCTTTTACTATGGCGGCGTGGGTGCTATGGAGCCCGCGTCTGACTACCTGCCGCAAGCGCAAGGCGCTCACAATCCCTATACCGCCAACATGCCACCAACATCCTCAACTCACCATCAGGCACAACCGTGGACAGCATACGCGTCAGACGCAACGGTTCCGGAAGATGCTCCACCATCGCACGACTTTGGAGCGGCAAGATATGCTGCGGAAAAGCAAGCCCACATGGCTGCGCACACACCCAGCGCTAATTTCAGCAACACCCAGTCGCATCCCAATCCGTACAGCAGCGAAGGAGGTGCGGGTCCATCTGCTTCCGCCGGACATCCAGCAGCGACGCACACGTCCGCTTCGAGTTCGACTTCTTATCCGCCTCCACAGACATCATCTGCCGCAGAACCTCCTTCGTACGACGCCTTGTCCATCGCTGAGAGGTCTGAGAGCAGCAGCAGACCGCAAAGTGAAGTCATGGCTGCTGGACCTAGCAGAGTGGACAGAGCATCCGGATCCTTCCCCAGCAGCAGCAGCGCAAACGACAGTCAGAAGAAGTGGACAAGCGGAGATTTCAAGGATGGCGGCGCCGCGTAAGGCCTCCGTGCGCCCATTGGCTACGCGCACTCTACGGCCAGCATTCATCTTGTTCTGCCTTGAAGACTGCTTGGTCGCATGGCCTGTGCGTTCGCTGCGCCCCGCCTGTATTTGCTCCATCTTCTTGTACGCCTCTATCTCACATCACACACCAAGGACAATTTGCAATGTCGATCGTCGATCTTCAGCAGTGATGCCCAATTTATTGTCCTTTGCTCATGTGCTTGAGCAAGCAGGATGCGCTGCCATTAGAGAGGAGCACCACCGCGAGCCTGCTCACACTTGGGACAAAAAGGTCTGCACATTGTTACGTGACGAGAAGAGGGCGTGCCGCGAGACGATCTGAGTTAGATGAGATTTTGTGGGGGCGGGCGTGTGTAAACATGTTGCGAACATCCGTGTGACTAGACATCGTTGCGAGAGGTGTAGACGTGTTAAGAGTGGTGGTGATGAAGAGATCGAAGTTGAAAGCCGGGCCAAGCAGGGTCGCACCTGCATGGCCAAAGCTGGACAAGAAGAAGAAGAAAGAAAAATTGCGTCCGAGGTCCCCTTTCTCGCCTGGCAAATGCCATCGAGGCCATCAAAATCGATCGGAAGACATATCTGCAAACGAGGATCTCCTACTACCTCCTCCTCCAAAATCAGAGTCTCGCGCTCCTCGATCTCTTCGTCCATACGAACTTGACTCGCCGCGATCGAACATCCTGTCGTTTCTTCCGTACGATGGGGAGAAATCGGAGCGACCTCCTCTATCGAACCCTCTAAATCCGCCGCCTCGCCCAAATCCTCCTCTCCCGCCCCCTCTTCCACCTCTACCTCCTCCGAACCCACCCTTGGCAAACCCGCCGCCTCGTCTGTCATTGAGGCCGAGCTTGTCGATCATCATCTTGGAGACGTACAAGCGCTCAGAACCTCTGCTCAAGCTGTCCACCCACTCCTTTTGCCCTTCCAGAGCGGCCGTCTTGCTAAGATTGAGAGCGTCCGCATGACCAGAGATAAAGCCCAGGTGGGACATGGCAATGCCGACCAACCTATCGTTGCCGCTCTCCTCCGACATCCTGCTGATCTGCTCGCCCAGCACACTCTGCACGTGCGCTGGGTCCAGCTTCTCCGAAAAGGAGCCTACAAATTTGGCCTGAGGTATCCTGAAGCCGTTCGGTTCCCGACGCTGCCGGGGATCCGGTCTCTGGTCTGGACCCGTCAGCATCTTCAAAGTTTTCTGATCTACAACGGATTCTGGTTCCTCGTCGTACCTCTTGCACAGATCCTGCAATTCCTGTTGAAAGTCGCTGAAAGCCAGCTCTTGCACTGGGGCCAATTTGGACAGCACACCGGTCAAGAAGGGCTTCTCGTAAGGCGTAAGGATGATATCACCGCGCCCATCAGCTCCCGCACGACCTGTCCGGCCGACTCGGTGGATGTAGTTGTCCGCACCAGGTGGAACGCTGATTTGAATGACCCTGGTGGTGCCAGGGTAATCCACGCCTCGAGCAGAGACATCAGATGTGACCAGGACAGCAGCTCCGTTCTTGTACGATCTGAATTGACTGGAGACCCTGAACCTCTTATCCTGATCCTTGCCGCTGTGAATGACATTCATAAACGTCGACGTGCCGCATGGTAACAAGCTCTTGACGCTCTTCGAAAGCAGGAGCTCAGAGATGAACTCAGTGAGCTTCGTAGTGGGCGCAAAGATGATCACCTTGCTCTTGCCTGCATTGACGATCTGGTCGTGCGCGACCAAATTGACGAGATGCACCATCTGATCCATGCCAGACGGGACTTCTGTGGCAAATTGAGGAATATTCTGGTGCACATTCTCCTCTCCCTCTGGCACAGTGTCGATGAATCGGTGACTCTCTTCCAGCAAGGAGTGAGTCAACTTTCGGATCTCCTTTGAGACGGTAGCACTGAAGAGGAAGTTGGTCCTTTGCTCCCTGGGCGGCAAGTACTCTCTGATTTTGGCAATGTCGTCTCTAAAGCCCATATCCAGCAGTGTGTCGGCCTCGTCCAGGATGAAAGTCTGCGTGGCCGCAATGGCATCTCTGACCATCTCATCTTCCTGTAACAAATCCAACAGGCGACCTGGTGTGGCAACCACGACGTCCGGTCTGCCTCTTCGCCAATCCTTGAGCTGCATATGCCTGCTCGCTCCGCCGACCAGCAGTCTGCATTCGTAACCTTCGTGAAAGTGGTGCAGCTTGATGGCTTCGTTTGCAATCTGTGTTGCCAGCTCTCGCGTAGGGGAGATGACCAGCGTACCCACCGTATTGGCCACGTACTGCCGGACCAGAGCCTTTCTGCCGTGCTTGTCGAGCGAGCTGAAGTCAAAGTCGGGTCGATGCCGTTTGAGCATCTCTGAGAATGGCTGGTTAAAGATGCCCCTCTCCACATCGTGGATCGCATTGACGCGCGATTCCACCGCTGGCACCATGAATGCTAGCGTCTTGCCTGTGCCCGTCTTTGCCTTTACGAGCAAGTCGCGCCCTTTGCCATCCTCCATCTCGCCCGATTTGACATCCGCCAGCTTGGGCAAGAGGTGCAGAACCTCTCTCTGCACGTCGGACATGTCCACATAGCCAAAAGGCTTGACTGTGAGCGCCTTGAATGTGCCGTAATCAATATGACCTTTGAGCGAAGCGAAAGTTCCATCCCGGGGCACGACAGGCTTGGGAGCCCTGGCCGCTTGCTCCTTCTCTTGTTGCCTCTGCTCGTCCTCCTCCTCGAGCGCTGTTTCCGATGCTACAGCGTTTTCTGCGGTTGAGTAGCTACGCACGGCCAGAGCTGACTTGATATGAGAGAGAAAAGCATTCCTCGAGGTGCTCGAGCTGACTGGTCCAAATGCGGTGCTTGCGCTTAGCAGCGTTGAAGTTGTGTTGGTGCTCGAAGAGAGTAGCCGGACGCTAGTCCTAGCACCGTTGGGCCTCGCGCCCGCAAGAGCCGCATTGACTGCTCTTCGAGCGAGCATGGCTCGGTTGGTGGATTGTAGCGTAGCGTGTGTGCGTTTCCGGTCTCCACAATATCTTCTTGAACGCTGTGTGAAGATGTATCTGATGGAAGGGGGGATGTATGTAGTGGTACCAGCAGTGGGCGCTCGGGTGCCTCGTGAAAAGCTCTGGAACGATCGTGGGAAGCTGTCCCAGAAATCACAGGCGAAGCAATTCAAGCAAGAAGCTGAGATCTGTGAGGGGATTAGAGTGAACAAGGGAAGGGCTTTTCGAAGGACGGCCCAAGACCTCAGCAGCAGCCATCTATCTGCAGCTCTTGGACGGGCTTTGTCATGCAAAGGAAGACATCAGACACAACAGTCACAGTCTTCAAAAATTCACAATTGATTTTGGTTGCGCAGAAGCGGAAAATCGTGTATTCGGCCGATAGAAAGGCGCCGGGCAGGTCACGTGATGCGCGGCAACCTTTTTGGCGCGGGCCCCGCGGTCTTTGGTGCGAGGTCAGATGCATGCACTCAAGACTCATCAATCAAGAAATATTAATAATCGTGAATAATAATCACGAATGACTCTAAATGATTAGCGGGCCGAGTCACGGGTGCACAGCTTTGCTGCACGCACGAACACGAAGAAATCGTACGTTGGCTTTGGCTGTGCAAGCACACCATCCTTAAGGTTGCTTCGGTTGCCAAAGAGTCACAGTCAAGAAGGCCAAGAGGCTGCTGGAAACGATCTTGTCACACGATGGCCTCAGCATCGATCTTAGACGCGTGGACGCCAAGCAGCTGGCGAACAAAGCCGATTGCCCAAGATGTGGTCTATCCGAATCAAGCAGAGCTCAACAGGGCTACGGATAGATTGAAGCAATTGCCGGGTCTAGTGACCCCGTTCGAGATCGAGAAGCTGAGAAAGCAGCTTGCAGACGTAGCGGATGGCAAGGTGGGCCGAGCTATGAACCTTGTCTGCGCTAGCTCGGCAGACGCGCGCTGACATACTCTTCACTCGTGACTGCGCGTTGCACAGGCTTTTCTGTTGCAGTCTGGCGATTGCGCAGAGTTGTTCACAGACTGCGTGCCCTCAAAGATCGATGCCAAGGTCAAGCTCAGCTTGTTGATGAGCCTGATCCTCATTTGGGGTGGCAGATTACCCGTAGTGCGGGTCGGAAGGATAGCAGGGCAGTATGCCAAGCCGAGGAGTAAAGCCACAGAGGTTGTCAAGACTGAAGATGGAGAGCAGGTAGAAGTCTTGACGTTCAGGCAAGTGTCACCAAGAGTCAGCCATCAGGACATAGATCTTCGTGCAAATTCAGCCGATGAAGACTTGTTGACGCCTATACTCCATTCTTGATGTCAACAGAGGAGATAATGTAAATGCGTTTCAAGCCTCTGCCTCTGCAAGGAGACCGGACCCCGAACGGCTTCTGCAATCCTATTTTCATTCTTGCGCTACACTCAACCACATCAGAGCATCTCTCGGCAGTGGCATTGCAGGTGCGCAGCACGAGCCTCGGCTAATCAGGTTGGGCGGCTGAAGCTCATCGCCTACACCCTACAACCTTGCAGACTTACACGCTCCACAGAGCTGGTCCTTGGCTCACGTCAGATCGCCAGCGCTGCAACGTGAATTTTCTAGCGTCATAGAATCGCTCGAAGATGCGCTGCATTTCATGCAAGTCGTTGGCGCCGATAGAAACGAGCGAAGCTTGGAAAGCGTAGATTACTACACCAGGTGGGTGCTCCTCTCTCACGCGCAACGCCAACGTAAATGCGCTGACTTCCTGTTCCAACCAACCGCTGTGCCTAGTCACGAGGGGTTGATGCTCGAGTACGAGGAAAGTCTGACGCGCGGTATCGAGAGTTCCCGAATGTCCAAATCAAAATTGGAGGCGCCGAACGAATCCACTCGTGCATCGCACTACGCTCTCAGCGCGCACACCCTTTGGTTGGGCGACAGGACTCGTCAGCTCGATGGCGCTCATGTGGAGTACTTCCGCGGCCTGATCAATCCAATCGGCGTCAAGGTTGGGCCAAGCATGAAGCCGGGCGAATTGGTGGATTTGCTGGCCAAGGTGGATCCACTTGCTGAAAAGGGGAGGTGTACACTGATCTGCAGATTCGGAGCTGGCAAGGTGGGAAAAGGCTGAATGCACGCTTGTGAAATGCTTCTGCTGATGCCGTCATTTCTATATTGGCAGGCACCCTCTTTATTGCCGCCTCTCATCCAGGCCGTCCGATCTTCGCCGCACGCAAACAGCGTCATTTGGTGTAGCGACCCCATGCATGGCAACACGCGTTCTTCGCCTCTAGACCCTAGCATCAAGACACGTCGCTTTGGCGACGTGGTGACGGAGCTCGTGGAGAGCTTGCAGGTGCATGCGGCGGAGAGAAGCAGGTTAGCAGGCGTGCATCTAGAATTAACGGGGGAGGTCAATGCGAAGGGAGAGAGCGTGACAGAGTGCGTGGGTGGCAGCATGGAGCTATCGGATGAAGACCTCGGTCGGCGGTACTTGGTGAGTAGGATTTGCTGTCTCCAGGTGCGGGATGCGGGGCGGGGCTAATACACTACTTCCTCACTTGTCGTCTCGACAATCAAACAAGACACATTGTGACCCGCGCCTAAACTACGAGCAGTCCCTCGACGTCGCTTTCTTGCTTTCGCACTCGTTGCGCAGTCGCAGACTAGGCCGATCTTCATCTGCAAGCAGATCGAGAACACGAGAACCGAGTCCGACCTCTTCACCTATTCCGCCAAGCGACAACGCGCAGAATGGGGTATCGCACGGTGACAAGACGCATCCCTCGCTCCTGCTGAATGAGGACGAAGATTCGCTGCTCAAGGAGCTCGTCAGAGGCATTTCGAATCGGTCTTGATCGCGTTCTGAACAAGCAAGCGCGCAAACGAGGGGCACAGCTTGGTAAGATCTAGAAACGGGTCTGCGTCATAGGTCATTCATCTATTATTGCTCTATGCAGATCGTTTGTCGTGCGAAGAAGATCGGATGTACTGCAGGCTGCGACACGTTGTAAGCGGCTCGGATGCGATAAGAGTTCCAAGTGCTTGAGTCAGTATGAAGCACGAGAATGTGCGCGTTTGCCCACAACGGCGTGATCGTGAGTAGCATGGGGCCCGTGAGGATCTACTCTTCGTCGATGACCACTTGCTCGTAGAGTGGATTGTCGTGTCCGCCCACTGGACGATTGAGGGGAGAGTCTTGTCCGGTGTAGATGAGCAGATCATAAATGGCACCACCCGCAAGACCTCCGAGGATAGCGCTGAGACCGGGACCCCAAGCAAAGTAAAAGTGATTGTTGGTCCATACTTCGTTGCCGTAACCGACGAGCCAGCAGGCTAATCTGGGACCAGAGTCTCTGGCCAAGTTCATGGCGTAGCCAGTGTTGATTCCCAAAGCTGCGCCTATACCCACCAGCACGATCCACATGGCTAGAGGCATGAGACCGGTAGGAGGAGGCAAATTGGCCTGATCGCTGAGAGCAAAGACGACAGCTACCAGCACCGCGCTAGCCAGGAATTCCGAGTAAGCTGCGCTGGTCCATGGAAGAATGTCGTAAGGAAAGGTGAAGAAGAGACCAGCGGTAGAATGAGGACCAGTGACGGATCGAATGTGTTGACCACCTTCGTACAGAGAGATGCTGTAGTAGTAATTGGCGTAGATGAGCAGCGCGGCTGCTGCGCAACCTAGGATCTGCGAAGCGATGAACCAAGGCACTCTTCGTGCTGGGAATCCTCGGAACACTGCCAAAGCGATTGTCACGGTGGGGTTCAGATGAGCTCCGCTCACTCCTCCAGAAGTCCAGATACCGACTGCTACACCCGTAGCCCAAGCGAAGCGCGAAATCAGACTCTTGGCAGCGTCCGGTCCGCTTCCTAGACCCATGTGCAGCTGCACTTGGCACTCGACACCGCAGCCAAAGAGGATCTGAATCGCAAGCGAGAGGATGCCCAACGTGTGAGTATGGGGTCCACACGATCATCAGGCCAGGAAAGTCGGAGACCATCGCTGGCTACGCGATCGCACGTACGTGCCGCCTCACCCTACCATCAAGGCGGGTGATTGACATTATCTTCCTCCTCTGCCAATTCAGCGTCCTCAGTGACCTACTCACAATCATTGCGGCACCCAGAAATTCGCCCAGCTCCTCACGCCAGACATAGCGGAACTGCTGAATCTTGTTCGCTTTGCCATTTCGCTCTGCCCATCGAGGGTCGTGCGTGTCGGTGTCGAGGTGAGCAGGGACAGGAGCAGCAGGAAGCATAGGTTCGGTATCTGCGAGTGCCCCATTGACGTTGGAAAAGCCGCTCCTGTTGAGAGAGTTGCGGATCTCGCTTCTACGAGCATCCCTGAAGGAGCGACGGGATGAGGAGGAGGAAGATTGACGACGGGACATGTCTGAAGAGGTCACTCCCGCGCCAGCCCCGCCGGCACCTACCGCTGCTGCTGGTTGACTTTGAGGTAGAAGCGGTTCGCGGGACATTGTCTGTCGCACCTGAGACATGATTCGTCCCAAACTTGATCCTGATCCTCAGATCGGAGTTCAGAAGAGCTAGAGCAACAGCTTCAAGATTTGCTGCTGGCGGTCATAGGAAAGCGATGAGGCCGAGCATGTGAGAGAAAGATAGCTGAGCTGAGCGTGTCTGGGGCGTTGCGATTCGGGAGTCACACGAAGGGTGATGTGAAAGAGGATAGGGGCACTCGGCATCGAATTGCGAACCGCACGCGCACTCGGCAGAATCGCGGATCGGAGGTCGAGTCGAGTTGGACCCCGCGTATACATGCGCTTGCGTGGTTGCAATTAACTGTGACTGCTGGCTGTGTTCAGATGGCCACACGGCGACTTGACTTGCGTGGGTGCATAGACGCATGGGCGCAAACGCCATCGCCGCCGCCGGCGTGTTCAGGTCGTCTGTTGCTGGGCGCTCCTGGGTGGCTCTATAGCGGATCTCGCATATTTTGAACGCCGGCAGCTGGCAGATGCATACTCACTCGTGCTGACGCTGCTGCAGCACTTACAGTATGTCTAACGCGCGTGTCATCATCATCATCATTGGCGCACCTTGCATGCAGGCAAGGGGCGCGCGCAAGCACAGGTGCTCTCACTCACGACTCCCAAAAGTCTTAGTCAAGAGTCTCTCGAATCGTTGAGTCGTGGAATGAAGGTCAAAATGTCAAGAGCTAGCTGTAGAGAGTCAGACCAGAGTCGCACCCGTAAATAGAGGATCGAGTCTCTAGAATCTGAGAGTGAGCATACGATGAGCGAAACGCTGTTTGTCTCCAGTCGCAGCACACAGCAATCACTCCGACAGCGCTCGAGTTCGCATCGACGGAAGTTTGCACACTCCGCGTCCTGAATCTCTACGTCGACGAAGTTCGATTTCCATTCTCGTAGGACGATAAAGAGAGGGGGTGGAAATGAAAGCTGGTAGAAATTGATTTCGTTGCGAACAGCGAGGGCCAGACTGACCAAAGTGTGATCAGACAGAAAGCCACGCTCGACGAACCCATCAAATTCAAGTGGGAGCGGACTCTCACTGCGCAAAGCGTGCTTTCTTTCCGTTTCCATTCGACCCACCGTTGCCGTCTTTGCCAAGCACATTGGCATCTGGAGCAGCTTCGAGGCCGAGGCTACCTCCCTGACGTGGTCCAACAATGCGCGACAAGAAGCCCTTCATACCGCCCGATAAAGCTTCTGGTCTGGCTTCGTATAGCGTCGCCAAGATGGCCAGCGCAGCTCCCAATAGTAGAGCCTCGCCATTCTTGACGGGCTTGACTCTCTTGTGCTTCACCAGCGTAGCCCAATAGCTCTTTGCAGAGAGACGTCCCACATACATGCCCAATTGTTGTCTTCTGGCCGGAGGGACCGCGAAGATGAAGATGGAGCTGAGGAAGCCGTTCAGGAAGTACCTCGCTTGAGGGAGCAGATTTCGTGGCAGCCAGTGCTGGAAGAAACATATCAAAGCCCAAGCGCTTCCAATACTGCCGCTGATGAGCGTGGCTCCTTGCAGGACAGCCATGCCATACTTGAAGATGGCAGTCTCTGGATCCTTGATCACTTTCTTGATGCCGATCAGGTTCAAGACGGCCATGACTGCAGCGACAAATTTGGCGCTCGCTACCCATTCTCGCTTCCAGAAAGAGACGAAGTTGTTTGAGCAACTCGGGTCGCGAGGGTGTAGAACTGCGCATAGTAAGTTGGCATGGCTGGGGTGAGCAGGCGCATAGTCCAGCAATGGGTTGATCGCATCGTATGGGCTGGTCGGGTGTTTGGACGGAGTGAGGGCCGAGAGCAAAGGTGAGGAGAAGGCAGGATATGCCGATGCTGTCTTGCTGGGTGTCGAGAGCGCAGCGATGTTATCCACCACTGTCCGTCCGCTCGGCCATGGAATGTCGTCTGGCAGGTGCTGCGGCCGAGGCGGCACGTAAGCCGAAGAGCGTGCCATGATCAGATCCCCGTAGCCTTTCGGGAAACAGTCGCTATCGAAGACAAAAGCGTGGAGCAGCTGACCATTGCTGATGGCGTACAGCAGCGTGCTGTTGACCCATCCAGGGATCCACCGCGTGAGTGGGCTATTTAACCTCCGGCTTTCGTGGTAGGATGCTACGATTGCTTTGGACATGAGATCCACCGCAATGTCCTGACGAGGGAATGCACTTTCCGCTGCACCCGGTAGCACAGTCAGGGCTGGAATTGAGCTGATAGCTGCTGCGAGGGGGACCAGCGATGCCGAGCGCAAAAGACGCAGGACCGAGGCAAGGGCTTTGTCTCGGTGAGTGATGAGCTGGTCTCCTGAGAGAGGCTTGGGAATCAGAACCAAAGCGCGAGCTCGGACAAGCGAAAGCGCCTGAACCAGAGTGCGGTACAAGAGTGCGTAAAGCGCCAGTGCACCGCCTACCCGTGCAGAGGTGCGGGAGGCCAGCGATCGCAGAGCATCTGCCGGACTGTGGAAGCAGGCGGCAAAAATGCATGAGCGTCAGCCGCCGGGCACGATGTTGGATGGTATGGGCATCGGTGCAGGCACGTGCATTCCTCGTGAGCATCACCATTCAGTCTCCTCGCAATGTGCTCACCTCTTCTTGCGCAAGACTGCTGGCACAAGCGACTCGAGAGCGGTGTTGGCCAGGTATCCCAGAAGGAAAGCCCTGATAGCAGTTCGGCTCGTGAGCGGTAGCGCAGCATCCTGCTGCCAGAGATTCGGTGAGTCTCCGCTGCTCTCATCCTTTGCTCCTGAAGCTATGGCATAGGACAATGCAGCGATGCGTGGAGGAACTGGCGCCACGGGTGTGGCTGGTTGAGAGATCGGTGTCTGCGCTGCAGACGCGGGCGGAGATGGCGAGACCACTTTGGTCTTTGCTAAAACCCTGCGAGCTGCTTTGGCCTCGGCATGAGTGAGGATGAAGGTCGCCCAGAATGGATAGCCGGAAGAGGTGCTGGATGGCTCGCCGGAGATGCTGCCCCCCAGCCACGAGTTCTTCCTCTCGTGCGACATCCTTGTCGCGTTTGCTGACGATTCGCGTGGCTCAATTCACGAGTGCTTGATGGACGATGTGAATGCTGTCGGCTTCGAGCCGCTTGCGAGGCGTGAAGAACGATTGAGGGGGGTACCAGAGCTGTGGTGAGTCGCGGAGTCACATCGGGGGTGCTCCGAATGCGACGCTTCTCTGTCGCTCGACAGTCACTGAGTGCACCGGTGGGATGGCTCGTTGAAAGCCGGCCGCTTAGCGCACCCGCGCGCAACTTGATGTGGGGAAAGCTAGCCAGGCGTACAGCTTAGCCTCATGTGATGCGCAGCAGCCAAATCACAAGAACGGCATGCGTCACTCGCCTGCGTGCTGGGCAACCCGGTAGCTATCGGCCGGGTGAGCCGAAGCTTCAGGGCACCACCGCACGCGCGCGCGTGCGGCACTTCCAGCAGCTGTTCACTCGCGTGGCTTGCAGCTTGCATGACGTGCCTGGGCGACTCCGCGATTCACATTGACGTTGGATGCAGCTCCATCACGAATTACAATCACGAATGGTGAATGCCTTTCATTCACTCGATCGACTCTGTCGTCGGCAAGCACATCGTAACGTTCTGCCCATTAGATCGGACCTTCACGACTCAAAGGGCTGGGGTGTGAGCACACTTTCAACACTAGCCTACTCGAACTTGAACGTTGCCTATTCCCACCGCACTGCTAGGTGCCCATTGCACTGCGCTCGGCCGCTCGTCCAATTCTTTCGCGCTCCACACGACATTGCATCAACTTAGATCGCACAGAGACCGCGTGCGGCACTTTCCCCCTCAGCAACATGTTCCAGCGGCCGGCTCACTATCAACCTTGGCCAGGCATGCTGCTCTTCTAATCGTCAGACGTTCTGCTCCAAGTGTGCTGCCATCATGAGCGCCAGTGTTGCTGGTCGATACGCTCATGATCGGCGGGGGGGAGGGGGGACGATGCTATACGATAGCGGTAGTAGCAATAATATGCACGGCTCCAAGCTCAGCTTGCTCGAGGCCGGCTCTTCCCCTGCTGCTCACCTGGAGCCTTCCACTGCTCGTCCTGGACCGAGCTCGGCACCCATTACGGACTTCGGGCCTGCTATCAATCAAGGCCCAACATGGAGGCCACGTCTACATCCAGGCTCGACTGCGTTAGGCAAGCCCGACTTCTTTCCACCAGACACCGATGCAGAGCAGCTTACGGAGCAAGTCATTCGCTTAGGTATCACTAATCGCCCTGCTGTCGGCAACGAAACCATGACCGCAAACGACATGATCTATGACAGGTTGACTGGCGCCAATGTATTGGACACTATGGGTTCCATGATGGACGAGATCCTTATGCGGAGAGAAGAGCTACAGCGTGATAAGATCAGTCCCTCCTCGCATCGTGCCCCGCCACGAGTCACGCTCAACGAAGTCAAGCTGGCGGCATACATGAGGGACCTGGGAGACCCCAGCGTCCCCCTGCAGCGACTCGCTCGAAGCGTGCCACACGGTTACAGGGGTGAGCGTATGCTGGATATGCTATGGATGGGAGGTGTTGCGCCGACGCCAGCATCATCCTCTGCCGCGGCGGCAGCGGCTGCCCGATCATCTGCCACCGCTTCTCAAGCCGCAAGTGTGCTGCCTCAAAGCACGCGTAATCCCGTCGAGCTGCATCGAGCAGTGTGGTTCGTACGAGTCGTCGGTGCCAGCGAGATTTCTTCTTCGCGTGCTCGTCAGAACAGCAACTATACAGCAGAGTGGACAGGCACTTTCAGCGGGTGGCTACGTAAGCAGCTCGCCGAACTCAACATTGCTCCGACAGCATCCATGTATCAAGCAGCTCATTCATCTCCAGCTTCCCCGGCCCCAACTAATCGCACGCCCGCCCATGCACGGTCTCAGCCTATCGCCGCATCTTCGCCATACTCTGCTAGCGCTAACGGGCACAGCCTGATATCGTCTCGTGACTCCATCATACTGCAGCAGCCCGATCTGGAGGCGCGTTGGTTCGCCAAATGGGAGTACAGCATCGGACTGGCTCAAGCGCTCGTTGCAGAGTCTCTTCTTGACATTCGGGTTTTTGCGCTGTGGGTCTTCGAGCAGCTCGGCACCGCTTCGCTCGCCCAACTGCCATTCGTCTTGACTTTGGCTCAAGAGCACGCATGGGTCGCTTTGGATGCGCTCATCTTGCAAAGGGCGTTGCTGCAGTCCTTGTGCTCGTGCATCACCGAGCTTCGCAAAGCCGAAATGCCAGAGGACAATAAAAACACGCGTCTCATTCTCAAAGAAGCATGCGAACTCGTCAGGTTCCTCTTCGACTCAAACTCGGACGCATTCGTCTCTCCCAAGCTTTGGTCGCAGTATAGGGCTACCATACGCAAAGTCATTGATGATTCTCATGATGGTGTTGAGACTTCTCGTGCAGCTGCACACAGGCGCGAGAAGCTGAACAACATCGACAGGCGCGCTCAAGCGTGCCTTCTCGGCGATCTCGTTGTCTCCTCCGATGAAGTCTCGGCTCCGCGCTGCGATATCGAGGTGAGCTTCCAGCAGCGGCCCGAGACGTGAATGTGCGCAGCCATTGACTGACTTACTTACATGCACCCACTACAGCTGCTAGACGCCTTTTCTGTGAATGAAACGGACGTCGAGGCACTTTCGGATGCGTACTTTGCACGTTCCAAAGCGCAGTACTCCATTCAAGAGAAACTTTGCAATGTTCTGATCTGGGCCACAACGCAATGGCGAAGCGGCCAGCATCGCCCACTACTCGCAGCGCGACTTGTCTGGACCTACCACAGCAGATCGCAAGACGCGAGCGCCAGGCTAGCTTGCGGCTGGCGTGCTGTGGATCTGCAAACGGTGCTCTTCGACTGGCTGTCTTCAGTAGACAAGGCTCAGCGAGATCGCGGCAATGCGACTCTAGCCGTACTACGATCGCTGGAACTGGAGAGTATCATCATTCTCGTCGGTGAGCTGATACGTCTGGGCTGTTTCTCATTCTCCAAGTATCTCCAGCGCCTAACAGCGCGGGGCATGACAGCGGGTCCGACAGCGCCTCTGAAAGGCACACCGCTAGGATCTTTTGAAGCTTCGCACACTTCTCTTAATTCCGAAGCTTCATTACATCAGCGAGTTCTGCGCTCCGTGCCGCTTGCAGCTGCGACTCCAGCATTGTCGAGCCAAAGACGGTCTGCCATCTATGGCACACGCCTCAAAGAATCCCACGAGGAGGCGTCGGAGCGCAGGCTACGACGCGAGCTTTCCAATGCCTTGCCATGGCTTCACGGCGCCTCTCCTCAAGAAGGCAATAATGCGTCATTGCCATCTGAATTGAAGGAACAAATTCCACATTTGTGGTCCGCCTCGCGCTACACGCTGGCGAAGGTCATCTCAAATGACCTCATGCCAAGTATACGCTCCCTCGAAAGGAGTCTGACCGTTGACGAGATATGCATTCTGGAAGTCATTCTAGCACACGCGCGCGATTACATTGCTTTGTCACAGGTGCGTCCGCTCCCGTTGCACAGCCAGTCTTTCGCAGTACTTACGATTGGCGAACAAATCTAATGCAGCTGCTCAGCAGTCAGTTGCTCTTGATCACTTTCATGGAAGACAGCGAAGCATTGGAGGTCTTGATCAGCTGCATATGCAAACATGCTCTGTGCTTTGCCGCGCTGGACACATTTCATCAACTGGCAAATGCCGTATCCGACCTGTACATCCAATGCGCTGGCGACGACAATTCCCCTTGGGGCGCCCCTTGCTTGGAAGCTTATCAACGGGTCGCTGCCTTGCGAAACCTTCATCGGCACCTCGCGCGCAATTACGAAGAGGAGCAGACATCGGCCTCTGAAGGCCATTGCCGGACGGAACGCCGTCCATCTGGTCATCTCCATGATCAAGTTCTTGAGATTGGTCGACGACTGGTTAGTGACCTTGATGTGCGTGCAGCAATGAGAAGCGTGCAGGCCATTGCAGGTCGCGTAGCGGGGCAGAGCATCCTCAGCGCAGCACTCCACCTTGTCTCAGAGGGTGCATCGGATGGGGCAATAATTGCTCTCGTGCAATGGGCCAGGCTTGCCACCTGGACTGCTTCAGACCTCGATGCTGTCCTGCGCTCGTGGGCAAGTCAAAGCGAGCTCATGGCCGCCAACGAGGGGTTAGAGCTTTTCTTGCTGCGTTGCGTCGCATCAGGCGCGCTTCTGATGCGAGATCTGTACGCGTCTTTCGTTCTGCCAGCTCTGGAGCTTGAGGCTGAGGAAAATGGCGCTCCTCCAGTCGAGAAACAGAAAAACCGGAGCAGTAGACTAGCAACTGTCGCAGCCATAATCAAAGCTTCGAGTTCGCCAAGAGAAACCAGCGCAGCGCTCCGCCTTGACTCGCGTCACCGACTCCGGCTGGAAGCCGAATCGGCCACCGTCACGGGGCCAAGTGGGAACCACTCTTTGCTCTTCCGCGTATTGGTCCTGCTTCTACACCTGCCCAACCATGATGCAGCCGTACTAGCTCGTAACGAACTCTTGTCCAACTCCTCGGTGCGGTGCTGCATCATGATCAAGGCTTTCGAGCTGTTCAGCATCGTCAGCGAGGTCAGTCGCTCTGTCTGGGGCTCGAATCCCAGTCAGGTGCTCTCGCAGGTCTTTGCTAGCGTCAATCAAGCAGGGCTGTCCACCTTCAACCCAAGCTCAATCGATGCCGAGATGATCTTCCAACGCCTCGATCCTTGGAGATGCAACCTGACTGTGGCAGAAATTGCTCACATCAGTGGAAAGGTAGCAAATGCAGATGCTAGCGAACATCTCCGCAGCCAAAACGCTCTGACATCCTTGTCTATAGCCATCTTCGAGCCCTTGTGTCTCGTCTCGAACTCAAACCTCCAAAACCAGCTCATACGTCATACCAAGCACATCAGCACATTTCAAGGTCGACTCGTGGATCTCTGCATAGAAAAATTGCTCCGACATCTGCATAGCTCCAGCAGGAGAGCGGGGTCAACGCACTCTTGGCTTCATGACAGTCTGCAAACGCTCGCACAAGTCTTGCACAGCCAGTCCCGCGCTTCCATCAGCCCTCATACTCTGACCCTCGCTAGTCAGCTCCTTGACGCTGTCGCTGCGGGGTTCGAAAGAACGTCGAGCAGCAGAGACTGCCGGGACCCCAGCTTGATCCCTTTGGATGAGAACGTTCGTGCTAGCCTGGCGTGTGCGCGTCTTGCTGGCTTGTGGACAAGTGCAGATGCCCGCTCTACAGCGCCGAGGCTCCTCGAGGCTATGTGCGCTTGTGCTGCGAATTGCAGTCTCGAGGCATTGAACGACTTCGACGTCATTGTAGACGCAATGTCTGCTCTCATGGAAGATATGCCGCCGGATGGTGTCTCGAGCGCCCAGATGTCCATCTCAAGCATCCTCGGTCATGTTTGTGTTCGGTCAGCAATGCCCGACTTTGCTCAAGCGCGACTACAAGCCCTGGCAATGCCCGTCACAATCACGACCCAAACACATTCCGCCGGGGCCACCAGCGATATCATCCTAGCAAGTAGCATGACGTCGGCCGCTGTCAAGGGCAATTTCAGTCAAGTACCCTTCAAAGCCTGGGAGCTCCATGACCACATGGATGCCGACACATTGTCCAGAGCACAAACCCGTCTTCCGGGAAGCACGATACTCGGCGCCGGGTCTGGTACTAGCCACCTACCTTCAGTATCGATGATTGACGCGGATGAGGTAGGCTACGCTGCTGTCGACTTGGCAAACAGCGGATCTGTTTCGCTCCTTCAAGTTGGCGCAGTGAAGACTCGTGACCGCGTGGCCAGCGCCTCCGGCCTCAATGATCACATGTATCCGGCGCGTAGCCACACCTCGATCGGAGCGGACGAACCCGAGCACTGGGCAGCGCACGAATCTGAGCGCACGTACGGTGAAGGAGGGGCAGGGGACACGACGTACGCTCGTGATGCCCGAACGGGCTCCGACTTGCTGGCTCTGGATAGGGCGCGAGGGGACGGCGGCGAAGCAGCTTTGATACCCGAAGAGCTTCGAGCAGCCGATCGTGCTCTTGCGCAACGTGCACTAGCAGCAGCAGCAGCTGAAGCTGCTGCGCGTGCGGCTCAAGAAGCAGTCAAGAAAGCTGAGGCTGCGGCTGCCGTGGCAGCTGCTGCGAAAGTGGTCCAGACAACACCACAACGTCCCAAACCTGTTCCCAAAGGCACTAGACAAGCACCTGCCACGTCTGCCAAGAGTAGAAAGCGCAAAGAACCACCGGACTCACCAGACACAGCGTCTCGACCGAGCGCCCGAGGTGGACGTGGAAGAGGGCGGGGTCGAGGTAAAGAAGCCAGAGCCGTGTGATGCCCATCACAGGAACATCCGTTACGCTCAAGACATTTGCCTGCATCGATTGGTGACGTGAAATCATTTGTATTCTATCGCAGTCGCACCACTCATGACTGCAGCAGGCAATCATAGATCGCATGTAGGAGTTCTGCACGTTGAGTGAAATGAGACGGCCAACTCCGGACTGCCCACGTGTTGAGCGCGAATCACGAAATTGCGAATCCGCTTCAGTGTTGTATAGTGTCGACAAGCAATTTAGTCGGCACTCAGACTCTACCTTTACGATCTGTCAGAATCTCTACGCAATCGCGGTTCTGAAAGCATGGTGCGAAGTAGATTGACCAGTCACGCGTCACGAGTCAAGAGTTGAAGTCACGTCGTAGGTGCCCGCCTCGCGGTTACCGCTGTCTCTGCCTCACTTGCAGCATACGCGGGAGTATGTGCGCGCACGGGCTGACGCTTGGTCGAGGCAGGCACACGGCATCTTTCAGTGCCAGTCAGTCAAGAGTGCTTAGTACCTTACAGCTTCGTGCAACGTGACTCGTGATTCTAGCCTCTTTAACCCGTTTCTACCTCAACCACACAACCTCAAGCAACCTTTGACTTGTTGCAACCTCGTTCCGACATTGCTTGAGCGCTGTACCCGCAGAGTGCGACCATCCGGGACCCAATTCTCTAGCGATTTCCCAGAGCTGCGCACCTTAGCGTTCATCAAGCCCAGTCTGAAGTAGAGAAAAGCTGGCTTAGATGCGCACGACTTCTTTATACAGCGCTCTGGCGGTGCTTTGGCCAGCAGCTTGCCAAGCTTGGTACTTACCAGGTGCAGCTCCACGCTCTTATGCTCCTGGGGATGTTGTTCCATTCACAGTCAATGCCCTAGCCCCGGCTGCCTCGTCCCCTGGCCTTCCACCTTCATCGGCGCAGGGCACAGTCTCTTCTTCCACTCAGCTCAAGAGTATCACCAGCGTCAACTACTACGAGCCCAGACTCCACTTCTGCAGACCCCAGGGCGGAGAGGTGTCCCAATCGGAAAGTTTAGGTGCTGTGCTCTTTGGAGACCGTATCTACAACAGTCCCATCGAGGTGAGTAAGAATCGCTCGTCTGCTCCCCACCATCTCCAGAGCAGCGCGCCGGCCAATACGAGTCAGAAAGTGTGCTGCGGCTTGAGGAGAATGCAAACCTTGGAGTTGCAAGCGCGCACTGCGATGTATCGAAGTAACTCTGACGGGCACCCTCGATCGATGCGATGCCTCAGGCCCATCTCCTCAAGAACGAGTCGTGCCAGCACATTTGCACAAGTTCGGTCCCAAAAGAAGACTTTGGCTACATCAACGACAAGATCCAAGAACAAGTGAGGATGACTCATGCATCAGCTTTGCTGTGTATGGCGCTGATCTCGCTCTTGGCACCCAAAACTGCAGTATGCGGTAAATTGGATGGTCGACGGACTGCCGGTAGCGACCAAAAGGGTCGCGGACAGGACGCAAGAGATTTGTGAGCGATACCTCGCAGCTGTGCTTCTCTACGTATACGAGCTCAACAGACACTCTGCTTGCTTTTGCAGTCTACGCGATCGGCTTTCCGCTGGGTCGGCAATTCGACCATCACGGTTTGGAGCTGAAAACTCCCGCTTTGCATAACCACTACGAGGCCCTCATCGAGTATCATCAACATGCGCCCAACGAGTACAGAATTGTTGGGGCGACTGTTTGGCCAGATTCGAAGGACAGCTTGCGCGAATCAGCGGGGAGCAAGCCAAACTGCGGCAACGTTGACTTTCTAACTTTGGACGAGAGCTCCTCGGGCGCGGGCAAGGAGGTCGCGTACACGTAAGTGGGGCAGTGTCGCCAAGATTGTAATACTCCGAGGGTTGAGCTTTGCGCAATCCGGTGGACGCTCGCAGCATCACTACTTACTGGATTGAGAGCAAGACGCCCTGGGCGACGAGATGGGACAACTACCTCCGCGTCTGTGAGTGCATTTCGTCTTTTTTTTTTTCCCAAAGCAATTACTCGCAAGACTGACTCATCGTTGTCTGCTTTGCAGTCGATCCGCGCATCCACTTCTTTGCGCTCGCCAACAGCGTCATCGTAGTGGTCTTCTTGATCATTATGGTGAGCACTAAGCCGTGCATGTCTCTACCTCATTGTGTTGACCTCAAGCGCGCGCTACATTGACACAGGTCGGCATGATCCTTGCGCGATCGGTCAGTCGGGACATCCATAGGTACAATGCCATCGACCTCGATGAGGATGTCCAGGTAAGTTTTGCAGCGAGGTCACCTCTTCGTGCCTGCGCACACCTACTGAAAGAGAGGCGATGTGGTAATTGCGCAGGAGGAGTACGGTTGGAAGCTCGTTCACGCAGACATTGGAAGGACCCCCTCCCGGCCACTGCTTTTGGCTGTCATGGTTGGCACAGGCACACAGCTCGTAGCAATGGCGGGCGTGACCCTCGTGTTCGCCCTGCTTGGCTTTCTCTCGCCATCCAATCGAGGCAGTTTGGGAACTGTGATGGTGGTTACTTGGACGCTTTTTGGCAGTGTGTCGGGCTACTTCTCAACCAGGATCCATGTTAGCCTGAATGGAGAGGACTGGAAGAAGTGCACGTTCCTCACCGCCTTTGCCTTTCCTTTCGTCGTCTTCTCTTCCATTCTGTGAGTGCTTTGGTGGCTCAGGACTTGCCGACCACAACTCACCTGAAGCACCTCGGTGCAGCGCGATCAACTTCTTTCTGCTGGTCTCAGGCTCCTCTGGTGCTATTCCCTTTGGCACTTTGCTAGCGCTGGTCGCTCTCTGGTTTCTGATCAGTGTTCCCCTCACGCTAGTCGGCTCCTTTTTGGGCATCAAGAGCGGTGGCTGGGCCACTCCGACACGCACAAATGCCATCCCAAGGCAGATCCCACCGGTGCAGTGGTATCTGAGACCGTTGCAGAGCGCCATCATGGCAGGCATCCTGCCATTTGGCGCAGCATTCCTGGAGCTCTTCTTCGTGCTCAACTCTCTCTTTGGAACGCGAAGTGAGTTATCCTAAAGTCTGCGCCTGTAGCCTTGTTGATTCTAGAAAAGCTGACGAGTGCCTATGAACGCTACATAGTCTACGTGGCGTTCGGGTTCTTGGCATTGACATTCATCGTGACTGCTTTAGTGCGTACCATCAAAGCATCTTTGCAAAGAAGACAATATTGACTTCCGATTCCAAAACACACCGACACAGACTACGGCGACTGTCACCATCCTGTATACTTACTTCGCGCTGTGTGCTGAAGACTATAGGTGGCACTGGAGAGCTTTCATGACAGGTGGAGGATCCTCTTTCTGGCTCTTTGCATATGGCGTGAGTATACCAGCTTCGATCTCATACACGCGTTTCTGACTTTGGTCACTCTGCGTTCAATCAGCTCTTCTATTGGGCCACAAGACTGTCTCTGCCAGGTCTGTCCACCAAAATCCTGTACCTGGGATACCTGAGTCTTTTGGGCCTGGTCAACTTCTTGCTCTTTGGCTCAATAGGCTACTTTGCGGCGTGGATGGCCGTCAAGCGGATGTACACTGCCGTCAGAGTCGACTAGAGGCGAACTTGAGCTTGGCGTGCGGCAGAAATCGATAGCAAATCAATATACATATTATCAGCGACACGAGTCGGACAGACTCCTCTTTCATGCTTATGACGACATGCAACGCAGTCACGAGATGAAAGAAGAGATTGCTCAATAAGCATGGAAGAGGCAGATAAAAGTACATTAGCAAGTGCTTGGTGAGGTGCGTCCCTCTCAAGCTAATTTGGCAGCAGGAGGTTGTTGGTGCGCAGGAGCAAAAGCCTGCGCTAGCGAAGGACAAACATGCGCTTCAAACGCTTGTGCGAGCTCGAGCATCGTCTTCCAGATGTCTCGAGCCTTTGCTTCTTCGTCCAGCGCAAAGCCAATCGTGCCGTTGGTAGGGGTCGGATTCAATGCATCGTCGTCCTCGCTCCTTCTTGCTTCGCTTTGCGCCTCGAGTTGAGGATCGAGACTGTCCGATGAAGCTTCGTGCCAGTCGTAGCTAGCGGAGTTGAGCACCAGTAACATGACCGGTTGGGATTCTTGCTGCGCACGCCGGGGATCGCTTTCGATCCTCATTGTGGTCCTGGCAGTGGAGCGCAATGGCATGACGAGCGTTGCTCCGAGCTGCCGCGGAACAAGGTGAAGCTTGAGATCAGCACGGCGTGGGCGAAGCCGCGGGGACGCATCCGTGCCAACTTCGTTGAGCTCATTGAACGGGAATGATGGGCTGCCGCGAGACAGGACCCATGGACCTTCGTCATTTCCCAAGTACTTCTCAACGCGCGCCCGGCTTCCCATTCGACAGTCGTGTAGGAGCGGCAATCCTGTATCCAGCGTGCATCATCCTCGCAGCTGAGGATCTTTGGTACACTGGAACTCACCTCGGAGTGAAACAAAATGCTCGTTGCGCTAGTCAGGTCTTCGCCGGCCGAGCTTGTGGGGAGGGCATCGCTGAGAGAGGCGCCCTGAAGCGTTGTGCTTCTGCTCCTTCCTCGATCCCCATTCGGTGCCACAGCGTTGTTATTACTTCTATTGGCAAATGCACCTGATGATGCCTGATGAGGCTGTTCCTCCCTCCAAGCTTGCGTCGCAACAGCCGCCAATGCCCTCGCTCTCTCGTCGGTGCTGAGATGCGGATGTCTTGGCGATAAGACCGCAGCAGTAGAGGAAGTGGCGCCGGCACCCATCAGAGCGGATCCTATCGAAGCTGCATTTGCTGCTGCTGATGGGTGAGCCGAAGTGGGGCCTTCGGCTGTTGCAGGGAACGCGTCGGCTGATGACGATTTTGGTCGATGGGCTGCTGCGTAGAGCAAGCCTGAATCTGGCAGAGCTAACAAGGCTGTCTCGCACCTAGCGACATCATCCGACAGGTCATCCTCCAGCAGAGCTTGCAAAGCGCTGTGCAGAGCGGTGGGTCTGAGCATGATTCCCATGCCGTTTTGCCTCCCTCGTCGGCTCCTAGCTGTAGCTGATGCGTACGAATGCAGAGTCCGCGAGCTCGAATGCTTACGGCGTGGAGAAGGGGAGAGGCGACTGGCTATTGTAGCGCGCTTGTACGGCTATCACTATTACAGCACTGTCGTCGTCGCTATATGCGACCATGCGAAGGTCTTTTGGAAGAATGACGCCGTACGTGTGCGACAAGAGCAAATGTATGCACCTTCGCAAAGATCACAGCTGTTCGTGTCAGAGACGCAGAATAGGCTGAGGACACGTCGGTGGCTTGCAATCTCAATGAAGCGAGCGATTGAGCAGCTGGCCTTTTTGTTACACCGGTAGAATGGGTACCATCACAATAAGGTTGAGCAGGAAGTGATCTGCCTCGCGTGATTGTGTAGTCTTGAGCTAGAGTACCGATGGCTCTCCTTTTCCGCGATGTCGAGAAATGATCGGCTTTGCATGCGAGCGAATATGGAGTTGCTGCTTGCTTGCTCGCTGCTGCCCTTGGTGCGTATACCCGGTACCTGGCTGCTGTGCTTTGCGCGCGTGGGAGACGACTGGCAGTTGGCCGATTCACGATTGATTGCGTGGTGGAGCGCCGCTCGAGCAAAGCAAAGCTGAAGAAGTGGATTTTGTATCAAAAGTGAGTCACGGCAGGTCGTCAACTGAAGGGAGGGAATGCTCTCGATCAAACAGTTTGTCCCGCTGATGGAGCTGTATATGTCGGCCCCCACACGCAGGCCCTCCATGCATGCAGCCGCGGCTCCACTTCGGCGCGCATTGCTTGATCGGAAGAAACTCACAGCTAGCTGCGCCAATTTGTGCGGGAAATGAGTGGAATGCGCATTCACCATTCGCGAGTCTGAGTCAGAGGGGTTCGAGTCACAGACATGCTCATCACATGTTTGCCATATATACTTCCAATGCACCCGCGCCCTCGTTGAGCACTCCATCACTTGTTCGAGCACCATTCACATTGCGGCTCATCACACTTACGGAGTCGGGCAAGTCTCACTTTGACCGATTTTCCGTCATCAGTCCGGCTCCATCAAATCCACCGAATCACAAACATATTCGGGACGGAGCACTCGATTGCATGAAGCGCACGCAGAACTAGCCGCGTGCTTCTCCATTGCTCGACCGCTGCTGTTTAGCTGCTCCATCGAGCGACCCGGTGTTGAGACACGCTCGTCTGGTTTTGCATCAGCGCCAGTGCTGAGGCCCCCAACGCCGGGCGGCTGTCGAAGCTCTCGCTCATTCAGCTGCTCCATCCGCTTCGTTTTGTCGAAGCCTGCGTCCGAGGGCAGGCTGTGAGCTGCTAAACAAGTGATATCATTGTTGCATCTTCCCGCAACAACTTCAGCGGGATCTGAAGAGGTCACTGCAAACGCTACTCACGGATCCCTTCACATCTCAGCCAGCATATCCGCCCTCGCAATCCCCACCTGCTGCGTCCCAGAGTATTGGAGTCAATCCCCGGCACTGCTCTGCATAGCAACGCCAAATCACTAGCGTATTTAGATCAAAGCAAAGCTATCCATCCCCTTGTCAGCACTTCCCATCAAAGACGCGCACACTTCAGCAGCATCAGACATCCACGCCATGCCGACGCAACAGTCAGAATCTGCTCCTGGTCCGAGCGTCAAACCTCGCATTCTGATCATCGGCTTTGGTGCACTGGGTATCCTGTACGGCTGGACCTTGGCGCAAGGTGGAGCTGAAGTTGTGGCGTATGCTAGGTCCAATGCAGAGCTGATTCGCAAGGATGGTGTTGACCTCAAGAGCCTCAAGTACGGCGAGCATCTCGGCTGGAAGCCAGCTGCTGTCGCTTCCAGCGAGTCGGAAGCGCAGCAGCACGGACCCTACGACTGTGAGCAGGCTATCTTGGCCACTTTGAGTCGTTGAAGAACGGTCCAAAACTCACGTGTGTCGACTCTTTTGCACTTTCTCAGACGTGTTGTGCACTTTCAAGTGAGTCGAAGATAATCCTGACCGCAGCGCCGAGAGATGCTAAGGTTGACCAAATGCTCCTTTAATGTAGGGTGGTGCCAGAACTTCAGTCCATCTCATCCCTCGTCGCCCCTTTGATAAGCCCTTCTTCCAACATTAAGCCCCTGCTCATTCTCGTACAGAACGGTATAGCGATAGAGCAAGAACCTTACGAAAAGCTCTGCATGGGGAACGATGCGCCATTCAGTGGCTTGATTTCTTGCTGCGCTTGGCTTGGCGCCACTTTGCGAGAAGGAAGGATCTGCGAGCACGGAGGATTGGAGACGCTCAACATTGGCCTGTACCCCACGCCCGAGGCGAAGGAACTGCAGCAAGGAAGCGAGCGGGTCAAGGCATGGGAGAGCTTCATCGAGGTCTACAGCGCCGGCGGTGGGGGTGCGATCAGAAGCGAAGACGTGCAGATTGCGCGCTGGAGGAAAAGTGAGTTGCCCATTTGGTGCGGTATGTAGCTGCACGGCATCACGACTCTTACCTTTTCATGTCGGCGTGCGCGTCAGTCTTTTGGAACGCATGTGAGCATTTCGTAAGAGGACCGTATGCCGAAGCGAGGGCTGACCCTTTTCTGCGATTGCACAATCAGGCTGGGGAGGTTTGTGTTTCACATCGAGACAGACAGTCATGTCTCTACTGTCAGACGACTCGCTCGAATACACCGTACCCGTCGTAAAAATCCTGATGTCTGAGTACGTGCAGTGTATACTGGGTCAACACAGCTCGACATCAAAGCTCACTCAAAAAAGATTCGAACCATACTTATCCATGAACAGGTGTATGCAGGTCGCGCGCGCCACTGGACTTGGACCTGAAAGCCTTCCCGACTCGGCCATGGATGATGCCTTCAACATCACCTACCCTGAAAGACCGTCAAACCCAGACAGACAAGGACGCCTAGCTCCCGGATTCAAGCCAAGCTTACTCGTAAGTAGAGCGTGCACGAACCGCTGCCAAATACGTCGCCGCTCGCCGTCACGCGCCTTCATCAGACCTCTGGGTCTGACGCCCGCATCTCGAATTTGCCCCTGCCGCCAGATCGACCTTGAAGCGGGTCGCCCGATGGAACTCGTGCCTGGGGTTGGGAACGTGTGCACCCTTGCTCGCAAGCATGGAGTATCTACGCCAGCTTTGGACCTCGTGCTCGCCAGTCTGAGACCCGCGCAGGTCGCCGCTGTGAAATCCGCCAGGCAAGAAAGAGGCCTCGACACAAAGACGATCGAAGGTAGCGGAGGTCCACCAGCCAAAGCTCTTTGAAGAGAATGGTGCCACAAGCACTGATAAGCTTTGTCTCCTGTTCCAGATATGGTGCACGACGAAGAACGATGCGGTGAATGCTTTGTAATTAGAGTGCTCCATCTCTTCGTGCACGCGCGTGATCTTGTCCAAGGCTGATCGTACGGTGTCGAGCCATTTTTAGTCCCCCCCTTCTCGACAACGTCGCCATTAAGCTCACCGCAGAAACTGAGTCTACTGTATGTTTATTGCGATGCGTTTGAGTCACTTCCCCGTCGCGCGGACAGACGTGTGTGAGGGTACACGGTACGGCGAGCGATGTCAATGCATGCGCTGCCGCTCCTGATGGATGCGCTTTCAGTTGTTGTACAGTTCCTCGCGCAAGTTGATGCCTGTGGAGCGACCCGCAAACCAAGTGTCTTGGCGCGTCAGCGCAAGTGTCCCAGCAAAGGGATTTGGTGCGATCACATGCAAGGAAATTCCACACGATAGCATCTCGGTGCCGAACAAACGCTTCTTAGCACTCACCCAGCTCCTTGCGAACATCAGCGAGGGCAGTGACGTACTGCTGGTACTGTCCCTCATTCTCCACCTTCTCCTTCAGACCCTCGAAAACGCGAACAGCAGTGGAGAAATCGTTCACCCTGCGACTGGCCCTGAGCGCGCTCTCGATCACCTCTGGCGCAGGAACCAAGTCGTATGAGAAGCAGTTGTTCAGACCTCTTTGCAGCTCGAACAGATCCTCGACGGCATCGAAGAAGGATGTGTAGCGCGCTGTGAAGGACTCGAAAGTCTCGTCGTCATGAGAGTGGGATGCCATGCCTCGCACTGTGATTCGGCAAAGGCCAAAATGGTGTCGTGGTCAGTCTTTGCGCTCAAGCTCGAGACTCAGCGAGATGCCGTGCGAAGAATGGGAAAGTCATCATCCTCACGAGACCCTTCAGGACATCAGAGCCAACTTGGGCCAGTCCTCCCGCTGCGAAAATTGCGCATCGCAAACCCCCTTTTTGCCGTTGTAATTTGGCGTCCTACGGCTCGACTTAGCCGGATACAGCTTTTTGGTCATCTTTTCCCACCTCGCCCACCACCGTCTGACTCGAGCACACGAACCTTGAGGAAAAGCGACGGCAGCGCTGCGTCCGTTCAGCAAAGCATGGCGGGCAGCCGTGCCCTTTGCCGCTTGGCGAATGGCACCGGTGAGGAAAGACATGACTGAGAGTGCTAGCTGTGAATGGATAGATGGTTATGGAGAAGAATGTGGAGCTTGGTGAACAATACGAACGTTCTCCTGCGCTTAGCATACGTGTGAAGGGTCAAATCATGAAAGACCTTCTCGATCGCCTCGAACGCGACACACAGCTGGTCTCCTCTCTGCCTGTAAGCTGCAAGGCTTCCAAATCGCTCGCACGCGCGCGCACACCTTCGCTTTCTTGGCTGATGAATGCAGCCTTCAAGGTCGGCTGCTGCCGGTTGGCGGGCGGGGCCAATGACTGCATCCGACGTGGGCGCGCGCAACGAAGCGTGACCGTGTAAGCGCTGGTCGACTCGCGCGCACGTGGCAAACTGCAGCCCCCCTGTGTGCATGGGTTGAGTGGCGCGGTTCGCTCAACCGTCATCAGCGGGAGAGCGCTCGTGCCACCCTACCGTACCGTCCTCACCCACTCGTGATTCACGATTCGTGATTGCTCCAGATCACAGCTGGCTGGGATAGGTGCACATCTTTCAGCACTTGTCAACACCTCTCTAAGCCATCAGAGCACCTACTTCACGACTGCAGCACGAGATTTCGAGAGCGCTCCACTGTACGACTACTTCGTCTAGCTACTCCTGACCGGGTGCAATCATGGTCGGCCAACAGGAGTCGCTGTTCCGCTCTGCGGCGATGAGCCTGGTCCAGCTCTATATCCCCTCCGAAGTCGCCCACGACACTGTGGAGGAGCTGGCCCTCTTGTCGAACGTGCAATTCAAAGATGTGAGTGCCAGCGCTCTGCTGCTCGCTTTGTGTGCGATCGCTTTGCTGATTGCCCCTTTCTTTCCCACAGCTCAATCCTGATGTGACCCCATTCCAGCGCTCATTCGTATCTCAAATCCGTCGCTTAGACGACATGGATCGAATCGTCAGATTCCTACAACAGCAGATGACCACCGAGTCGGTGCCAGTCAGGCCTCTCGAAGCGGCGCTACCTTTTGTCAATGGTGCGCTCGGAGCTCAGCGCGGTCCCGCGCTCGTGGAAGACTTGGCCTCCAAGCTCAAGCAGCACGAGGATCGACTGGCCGATATGAATGGAAGCTACGATCAGCTTCAGAAGCGCCTGCTGGAACTCGAAGAGGCCAGACACGTGCTCAGAGAGACTGCAGTCTTCTTTGATCAAGCAGAAGGCCGCGGTACCGATCACGGTCGCACCAGCACCGATGACGCGAGCGCTCCACTTCTGGAGGACGACATCGAAAGCCGTGCATTTGGCCGCGGCGATAATCAGGACTATGGCACATTTGATCTCGAGTGAGTAAGGCTGTGACAAGGCCATGGGGAAGCGCAAGCGATGGCTGAGATCATCTCATCGCGTTGCTTGGGCTCTACAGATTTGTTGCCGGTACGATCGAGCGCTCGAAAATGTCTACGTTTGAGCGCATTCTTTGGCGTGTGCTGCGCGGCAATCTGTACATGAATTATGCCGAGATTGACCAGCCATTCAATGATCCAACCAAAGAGGATCCAGTCAGGAAGAATGTCTTCATCGTTTTTGCCCACGGTGCTGAGCTCCTTGCCAAGATCCGCAAGATTAGCGAGAGCATGGGAGGAACCCTGTACCCTATCGACTCGAATGCCGACAAGCGAGAAGAGAGCCTCCGAGAGGTCACCAACCGCATCGAAGACCTCAACTCTGTCCTTTACTCCACCAGCGCCACGCGTCGTACCGAGCTGGTCAAGATAGCAGAAAGCCTGTCAGCTTGGGCGGATGTCGTGAGAAAGGAGAAGCTGATCTACTCTACGCTCAATCTCTTCAATCACGATGCGCGCCGCAAGACGCTGATTGCTGAGGGGTGGTGCCCCACCAGCGGAATCCCTTCCATTCAGCTGGCGCTGCGGAGAGCGACTGAAAACGCTGGATCTAGCGTATCCTCGGTTCTCCAAGAATTGCAAACAAAGCAATCGCCACCCACCTACCACTTGACGAACAAATTTACGGAAGGCTTCCAGGCTATCATCGACGCGTATGGGTACGCCACGTACCAAGAAGTCAACCCCGGACTCTTCACCGTCATCACATTTCCCTTCTTGTTTGCGGTCATGTTTGGTGACATTGGTCACGGTTTCATCATGTTTCTTGCAGCAGCTGTCATGTGCTTGTACGAGCGCAAGCTGGCCAAGGCTGGTCTTGGAGAGGTGAGGAGGTCACTTTCGTCAGACTTTCAAAGAATTCTTAGCTGACGACGACGCGAATCACTTTTCAGATCTTCGAGATGTTCTTCTACGGTCGCTACATCATCCTGCTCATGGGCATCTTCTCTATGTTCACCGGCCTGATGTATAACGATATTTTCAGCAAGTCGATGCACCTCTTCCACGCAGGCTGGGAGTGGCCTCACCCCAAGTCGGACAAGCCCGGTCAGGAGTTGGAGGCCGTCAAGCTCAATCACACATACCCGATCGGTCTGGATCCGACATGGCACGGCTCGTCGAACTCTTTGGTGTTCACCAATTCACTCAAGATGAAGATGTCAATCATTCTTGGAGTGGCTCACATGACGTTCGCCATCTTGCTGCAAGTGCCCAACGCTATTCACTTTAAGAAGCGCAGCGATTTGTGGGCGATCGTCTTACCACAGATGCTCTTCATGCACTCTCTGTTCGGCTACCTTGTCGTCATGATCTTCTACAAGTGGAGCGTCGACTGGTATGCAAGGGATGCGGCGGGCGAGCTCATCCACGGCGGGCCTCCAGGTCTGCTCAACACGCTCATTTACATGTTCCTCAGCCCCGGCAACGTCGATGCCGACAAGCAGTTGTTCACCGGTCAAGCCTTTGTCCAGACGCTCCTGCTCCTGCTTGCAGCTGTATGCGTGCCTTGGCTCTTGGTTGTGCATCCCTACCTGGAATACAAAGAACACCAAGCCAAGCAAGGAGCCGGCTACCAGTCTGTCGCATCAGCCGAGGACGAGGATGATGAGCACGGTGATGGTGAAGGTCAAGGCGGGGACGGACATGGGGGCCATGGCGAGTTCAATCTCGGCGAGACTTTTATCTACTCAAGCATTCACACGATAGAGGTGAGTTGCCCTGATCTCCTTCTGACACAACAAGCGTTGCTGACCGACCTTGCCATGATCATTTCACAGTTTTGTCTGGGCTGCATTTCGAACACGGCCAGTTACTTGCGTCTTTGGGCGCTGTCCCTTGCCCACGCTCAATTGTCGGAAGTGCTGTGGACCATGACGATTCAGAACGTGTTTGGCATGACTGGAATTGTCGGAGTCATCGCCACCGTTGCTGCATTTGCCATCGTGAGTGCTCAACCTCTCCACGTTGTGACAACCTCTCCAGAAACTCATCTTATCCCAATCGCACGCCGAACTGCAGTGGTTCTCACTCAGCATTGCTGTGCTGGTCATCATGGAAGGCTTGTCGGCCTTCCTTCACGCTCTTCGTCTGCACTGGGTCGAGGCAAGCAGCAAGCACTACCAAGCTGCCGGATATCCATTCAAGCCGCTCACATTTGAGGAAGAGTAAAGACGTAAATACTTGCAACTTCGCAAATCGGCTGTATCTTGCAACATTCAATCAATTCGAATCGAATTGACTCTTTTGGCAGAGAATGTGCGCGTGAAGGCTCTTGTTGCAGACGTCGAAATGGTGACGCTACTCGTAAATGTTAAGATTCCAGAGCTGGCCATGAAGACGACCGTCTGCCTCAGATTTCTGGACTCTCGAGGCTGCAGCGGAGGCCGCAAGAGGCGTATCGTGCGACACAGAGCCCATGTTTGGCTTGACTCTCTCCTGCAGATCTCATAGAGCACAGCATTCGAGCATCTTGGCGACGTGCACCCAGGAAGAGATGACTCGATTCGACGCGAAGACGAACGCTACATGCACCTCGCGATGCGGCCGATTTTTCTTTTTCGTTCGACAGAACACCGATACGCGCCTCTTTTGCACGTGAGGCCCGCGGGATCTCGCGTCGAAGATTTGAAATCTCCGCTTGCGTGCCGCGCGCTTGCGGTCCATGCGTTCGAGATTGTTGAAGTCGTCGTAAATTCATCTTTGTGAATGAAAATGGGAGGCGGCATGCATTGCGGGGATTCGAATTGCTGTAGCAGTCAAAGTCACGAGTTAAAGTGCGAGTCAAGTGCTTGCTGATGGGGCGACTTTCGAAGCAATCAAAGAATGAGCGACTTGATGCAGCTGAGAAACGCTCGTGCATGCCAGTGGTCCAGACCAAGAGCCGTTGGAAGCCGGTCGGACCGTTCGAACGTGTTGATGTCTCACGACTGTCGCCGCCCCTCCAGAATGGCGCAAAGGGTAAGTTTGGTGCATGCATGGGTCGAGACGATGAAGCGCGACTGCGTTGCGAAAGTCACTTGAGACTCCATCAGCGCTGCCTTGTGGGCGCGACCAATATGAGTGATCAGCTAGGCTGCCTGCTGATGAGACTTGACTTGGTATAAAGCTGCCGCACAAGGAATCTCTCGAGCTGCTTAATCGCTGCTGCTGCTTGCTTGATTCACGATGAAGGCGCGCGCCCCCTGTCCAAAGGCGGAGTCTACACGTACACGGCGCGAAGTCGTGAGTCTCCCTGCATGCATGCCATCTGCAAGGCGTCTCTAGCGAGCAAGCACGATCGACAGGCCACATACAACTCAGCCTGCTTGCGTCGTACGAGATTAAAAAAACCTCTGATGAGTCGACAGCGTGGCAATGGAGCAGTGACAGTCGCGAGGTTTCTTAGCTCGCCGCGACCAGCAGCAGCATGCAGGTGCATGAGGAAAGTGTTGCTTTGCTTGGCCCGTCGGCTCCCAACGCGGCCCAACGTCAGGATTTGAGCGTTTTTCAGGGTGGGCAATAGATTAGGCTCGCGCGTATAGCCGAACAATTTCGATTGCGCATGATGTCCAGCACCAGACTTTTGACTCGAGACTCGTCTCCATGCAGCAGCGCAAGGGCGACAAACAAAGGAGGTCCGATCGAAGAGGCGTGTGGATGTGAGTGCGGTGGTCTGCTGCCATGCTGCTCATGACTTTGTTAAGGTGCGGTCCTCTTCTTCTGCGCTGCTGCATGGCGCATTAGGTAGCTGGACTGTGAATGTACGGCAGGCGCAAAGAGCGAAGGCTGAAGAGCGTCTTGTTCGTGGCGCTCGGCAGGATCATGGCTCGTGACTCCTGCCATGCCATGCCATGCCATTCGATTTCGCCATGAAGATGGCGGCCATGCACCTGTCGGCAGTCACCGGAGGCGTTTGCATGCAGGGACATCGTGTAGTCACAGTGATCGAGTGACCAGTCAGTCGTCTCATCTGATGCAATGCGCACGCACGCACGCACGCCCGTTCGACCCGTCCACTGGCACTGATGCCAAGGCTGGCCGACTGGCTCAGCTGCTTGCTGCTGAGCAAGCGCTCACCGTGTGATCGGGTCGATGGACAGTAGGAGAGGCGAGGGGCTCGTCTGCCGCCGCTTGCAGCTTACAAGGGGGAGGAGAGCACGAGCACGACACTAACATACGTACGAGCGCGAGTCAGAGTGCACACGCGCGGTGCTGCTCCATCGGACGGCGTCTTATCCGCCATTATGGCTTGGCCGCCTCGCGTGCGATCGATTTCGGGCAAGTACGGCTCAAGTGCCTTCATGCGCCCAAAGATAGCGCCCTTTTCTTTCGCGAGCACGAAATCTGCTGTTCCTGTTCGGAGGAGCTCACGCAACTGATTGAGAGAGTAGTCGGACAGACAGCAGCAGCAGCGCTCGGGACGGTACGCTAGCCTGTCACCCATTTTTCGTTCTGCCTGTAGTCGTGAGTTTGCGCTGGAGCGAGCGAGCCTCTTTCCATATCTCGACTCGAATCCTTCCGTTCCCATCTCTCCCATCAATCTCCATCACCCACCGCTCATCAGTCACTCTCACTCAGATTAAATCAGCACAGACTTGTCTGCTTGACTTCAACTCTCTCAAAAACCAATCAATTTCAGGTGAGTCGTGCCCGCATCCTACCTCGGTCCCATCCGCGCGCCCGCGTCGCACGCACAGCATCGGTTCGGGCATCAGCAGCAGCTATACGTATACAGATCTGGGCTTGTCTTCCGTCGTCACACGACGAAAGTGGTTGTCTGCTGGGGTAGAGTGCGTACGTATCATCGTTTGCACGCGTGTGCGTTGCGATTATCAGCCCGTCGCAGCGGATGCTCGGCGTCGCTCGGAGACATCCCCACACGGGCAGCCTTTCGCACACTCTCGCGCTTCGCTCCTCTCTCTTGTCCGCGTGTATATGCTGAGCAGCAAGCACTCCTCGATTGGCGTATCTTGCTGCTTTTGCGTGGGCGTGAACAGGCTGGAGAGGCAACAGTGCGAGCACAAGCGAGCTCTGCGACGTTTGAGGCTACTCGATACCGTCAGGTTAGAGTTAGAGTATATAGCGGCCACGCAGCGTATGCAGCCTTGCAACACAAGCTCCACCCAATCTACAACGCCGGTTCCGTTTCAGTTCGTGATCGACTCATCAGTCTTGTGGCTGTTCGTGTGGGTCACGTATACTACTCCGCGGGAAGTGAGCCGCGCAGTCATGCCTCCTCTCACGTCCTCATCGTCAGTCGTACTCGCTGCAAGTACGTAGCCTGCAGCACGCAGCCACGACCTAAAGCATTCGTGATTCAAATTGCGTTTACCTTGCGCTCGGAAGTACGGCACGAAGCTGGGCGCAGCCATCTTTCCGTTGCCGCTGGCTCATTTGTTGCAGCAGCAGTGCGAGAGATATCGTGCTTTGATGACCAGCCAAAGCTCTCGCATGCTGTCAACCCCCGTGACTGACGCTCTTTTCTCATCTCACCTACCTTTCGTGACCTGCCCTACCTCATCTCCATCACCTTTCCGCACTCTCGCCATCCAATCTATCCTCGTCAAACACAACTTCAGACCCACCAAACCAACCCAAGTAACTATCAACACCATGTCTTCCACTGAGGCCCCTGTCGCTGCTGCTGCCGCCCCCGAGGCCGTCGTCGCCCCCGAGGCTCCCGTCGAGGCTCCCGCTGCTGCTGTTGAGGCTCCCGCTGCCGAAGCCCCCATCGCCGCCACGGAGGCTCCTGCTGGTGAGTAGAGTGCCAATGCACGCTCATAACAAACGCCTCACTAGCATACCCAAGTAACATCGTTGTCTTTGCCTTGGTTCACCTGCAGCTGTCGAGGAGGCTGTCAAGACCGAGGAGAAGCCCGCTGAGGCCGAGGCCGCCAAGGAGGAGGTAAGTCGTGCAGAAAGGTGCTGAGTGTGGCCTGGCCTAGTCTTATCATACTTCGTCACGGTCTAGACTGTCGCCCCCACCACCCCCAAGAAGGAGAAGCGTCAGTCTTTTCTGAACAAGTTCCAGGGCCTTTTCGCCAAGAAGGAGAAGAGGTGAGACTTCGCTTAGATCTCGCTGGCCCGACTGCCGACCACATGCGCTGACTTCGGCCATCTTCTTATCATCACTTTTCCAGCCCCAAGAAGACCAAGGAGGCTGCTCCCGCTACTGAGGAGGAGACCAAGGCAACTGAGGAGGCACCTGCCGCCGCCGCCGCCGCCACTGAGGAGGCCAAGCCCGTTGAGGAGGCTGCTGCCCCCGCTGAGACCAAGGTTGAGGAGGCCAAGCCTGCCGAGGAGGCCATTGCTCCTGTTCCCGCCGAGGAGACTAAGCCCGCCGCCGAGGAGCCAGCCGCTGAGGGTGTCAAGGTGAGTCTGCACGACATGGCTGGCGCTGGCCGTACTTTTGGATGCCCTGATTGACGTTGAGCCTCACTCGCCCAACAGATCGACGAGTCTGCCAAGAAGGAGGATGCTGCCACCCCCTCGCCCAAGGACAAGATCGCCCGTCGTCTCTCGACCCGCGTTGGCGCTCTCTTCGCCAAGAAGGACAAGAAGGCCACCGAGGCTGCCCCGGTCACCAACGAGAAGGTCGAGACCGCTGCTGCTCCTGCTGAGGCCGCCGCCCCTGCTGAGGCTGTTGAGGTCAAGGCTGAGGAGCCTGTCACTGCTCCTGTGGCTGCTCCTGCTGCCGCCCCTGCCGTTGCTGCTGCCGCCTAAAGCGGACAACGCATCTCACTAGTAGGCACTTCGCCTTCTTCAAGCTCTCTTGTTCGGCCACCGCAAGTTCAAGTCCCCACTCACTCGTGCGCGGGCAAAAGCCCCTGCCTTCGATCTCTTTAGGAAGAATGGTCATCTATCTATACCCCCCGCTCTTTCCGAAAGCATCGAGGGCAATCATCCGTCTCGACTTTCCAACCCCCTACCTCCCGATTCACGCTGCCAGTCTCCTACGTATGCCAAGAAGGACACAGCCATGGGGCTGCCTCTCCGACAATGCAACAGATTGTCGCTCATCGCCATCCCACGCATCTGTCCGAGCACCGCTTGTGTACTTCTCTCTCTCACCAGCCCCCCATTCACGCGCAGCATGATATCCATCGATGTCCACGTCATATACATATCTTAACCCTTCAATACATACACTTCGTATGTCTCTAAACGTGCCATGGCTGAGTGTCTTGAGTCGCAGTGTGAGAGTGAGGATAGGTGCTGCTGCCTATCGCTGGTCGGACAGCTTGCTCTGGAGGAGCAGTGATGATGGACCCCTTTCCACCTGGACGACAAACGAAGGTCATATTCCGAGGCGCACGACCTGAGCTCCCGTCACGCCGGAATGTCTGGCAGTACCTTTGACTTGTGCTCTCGCGACCTAGCTGCCTCGGACTGGCGACGGTGGTGACTGGGAGGGTCGTCGAAGAAAATGTGAAGGATGCATGAGCACTCTGACATGTTTGCACTAGCGTCATACCCTTGTTGTTGAGAACAAATCAGCGCGCGCTTGCACCAGCAGGTCTCCTCCCGAGCGTAGCTGAGCCGAGCGATGGCTCATCTGGAGCGAATTCAGAAGCCCACAGCTAGGGACGATGACTGCGACGGTCGCCCACGGTCCCTTCGTCTTGCTAATTGCGAGCGTGAGTGTGACCCTCTCTGTCCTCGTGCGCGTCTCCTAGCTAGCTGCTCTTCCATGCCTGCTGCCTGCCTGCCTGCCTGCCTGCCTGCCTGCACCTTTGCCCGCCGCGGCATTTCGCACTCGTGACTGTGGACTCTTTTGATCTGACTCTCACGGGCTGACAGAGGGGGCCTGCATGAAGAGCCGATGAGCTAGAAGAATGCTGCGAGCGCGTCATCGCGATGGGAGCGCGACGGGCAGGCAGATCAGAAATTGTGTGCGAATGGCGCAAGCAAGCTGGGCTCGCCGCTGCAACTCGATCTGATCCTCCTGCATCACCTACCCGTGCTTCCTGCTGGAGCAGGGCATCGAGACCTATCCGTGCTCCCTGCTGGAGCAGGGCATCGAGCATTCACGATCGGGCATTGGCCATTTCTTCCAAAGACGCACCTCAAACCTCAGTTCCTTGCTGGCTTCCTGCATGGCTGGCTGGCTCGTCAGCGCTCTTGATCCGCAAGTAATTGGGTTGGGATTAGAAAGATACCGCGCATTCACGACTCCACTGCGGTCGATCTGATGCAGCAGCTAATATAGTGAGAGTTTGTCGCTACACCAAAGCCCCTGCGATAGCGTCTCGACCGCACCGCTCGAGGATCAAGACGCCTGCCAATTTGTTCTGACTACGCCCTTCATCGAGTGCTAGGCATGCATTGATTGACCTTTAGCTTGATCCAGCAAAGGCGCCATCAGCTCGAATTCCTGCTGCACTGCCAAGCAAAGAGGCTGTCTCGTGAGGTGTCAGCGGTAAGTTTTGGAGTAGCAGATTGGATGCGGACCATTGCTACGCTCCCTGTCGACCTTCGCGGTCATGCACCTCGCAAACGATGCTATACTCGCGAGCTGCGAAAGACTTGCTCTTGGACCCGGTTTCATGGCAGGCCTGCGCAAACCGCCGGCATTCATAAGAAGCTGGTGCTTCGTCGAAGCAGCAGGGCTCTTGATCGAAGGATAACCCATCCCCACCACTTCATCTAGCTGCGAATATGGCAGTCATGTCTTGGGCGCTTCTTTTCGCTTGCCAGGTCGCCTCGCTGGTGCCGGCGACATTGGCTTCACCAGACCTTGTCTCTGTCAGACCTTCCGCAGACCTGCAGAGAGGCTCTTTGGCCAATGCGCACTTCCATTGGCAGTCATCAGACGCTCTCACACATTCAGCTGAAAGGCACAACGACTCTCACTACTCTGTCACGCAGGGTTTGTGCGACGGAAGCTTCCAACGAGGGGTTGCGACGTTCTCGGGCAAGCCAGAACGATTGGCTTGGGTCGTTTCGGAAGACATTGTCGAGCAAGGTTGCCTCTTCGTTCAGCATCAGGGCGCCGAGGGAGAAGAGCCACACATCGTGGGTCGCAGCAGCGCCTTCGATGTTGCGCAGCCGCGTGTATTCAAGCGTGCTGCCGATTTTCAAGAGGAGAATCCGTTGCTGAAAGATTTCGAGTCCCTGGGAGCTTGGTTCGATGGTGTCGCCGCTATCAAGGCCAAGACTAACAGCGACGGTGTGGTCGTTTCCCGCAGCAAAAATACCTCCATAGGTATCGTCGGAGCTGGAGTCGCAGGCTTGGCTACAGGCCTCATGCTGGACAGCGTGGGTCTGCGCAACTGGCACATCATTGAAGCCAGCGACAAAGTCGGTGGTCGTTTCAGATCGCGATACGTCGGACCGACGAAGGAGATTGCTGAGATGGGACCTATGCGATTGCCCTACAATGTCAAATACGACGATGGCGAGGTTCTACCTTACACAGATCACCAGTTGACCTTTCAGCTGTTCGACTGGCTGAACGACTTGAACAAAAATGCCAGTGATTACAAGATTGATCTCATCGACTGGATCCAACATTCGCCAAACGAGCTGCTTGCGCGTGGCACCGGCAGACTGGCGGATGGAGGCATTCCCACCCGAGCTGACATTGCCGCGAATGCTTCATTGGCCCAGCCCAAGCCTTTGGATAGCGAGGCGTACAACGACACCAAGTTGCGCATGAACGACATTCTGCTGAACAAGGAGCGGCTCAAGTCGATCCAGCGAGATGTGTGGAGAGCGCACAAGCTGGCAATGGATCAGGGTCTCGACGACTGGAGCGAACAGGCTTTCATGAGGCACGTGTTCAAAGCCAGCGAGAACGTTACCGATGCGATCTGGACCTCCAGCGACTACGACGTTTTCTGGGATGAGCTGCACCACAACTCCAATCTGGGCCTTAGCGGTGGTCCTGGAGCACTAGGGGAAACTCGGTGGAAAGCCGTTGCGCAAGGATTCAGTCGCATTGGAGAAGCCTTCCTCCCTCACGTTCAGGACAGACTGACGCTCAACAGACAGGTGCGCAAACTTGAGAACATTGGCAATCGCACACGCATCTCGTGGTATCCCAGCGAGGCGAATCGCACGTTCGAGTCGGCCGACTTTGATTATACGATTATGGCTGCACCTTTCACAATGACGAGATTCATGGATCTACCGCCCTTCTCCTCCGTCCTATCTCGTGCCATCTCTGAGGCAGGCTTGCGATTCAAGTCGGCTTGCAAGGTCGGTCTGCTTTTCAGGGAGCGCTTTTGGGAAAAGGGCGACAGACCCATCTTTGGTGGCTACTCTCAGCCTTCAAGCAATGCCGTCGGAGCCCTCTACTACCCAATCTTCAATCTCAACCAGACGCGTCCAGGTTTGATTTTGCATTACCGCGGCGGAGACTGGAGCGATCGCATGGTCGCGCTCACGGACGAGGAGCATGTTGGTCTGGTTTTGGATTCCATCGTGGAGCTCCATGGTCAACAAGCACGCGAACTGTACACTGGGGACTACGAGAGGCTTTGCTGGTTGTCCGACAGGTTCACAGCCACCTCATGGACTCGACCTGACATTGAGCAGCACAAGCTCTACATCCCATCCTACCACGTCACGGAGCACAACACGATCTTCATTGGCGAGCACACTGCCCCGACGCATGCGTGGATTAGCTCATCTCTGCATTCTAGCGTCAGAGGTACAATTCAGCTCTTGTTGGAATTAGGGCTCGTCGACGAGGCCAAACAGCTCAACCAGCAGTGGATGGGCCGATGGATACGCCTCTAGGTGTGGGATGTAGAGGAGCGTAGAGAGGTTGAGGACATTTGTGCGCATTTGCTCTCCCTCGACGGGCGGAATTGCGGTCTCCTCGATATGGTGCAATGCATCTGTTCAGATACAATGAGACTTCCTTCACGTGCCGCTAAGGACGCCAATATGAATGGCACTTGTCCTCATGCGCGAACAAAAAGTTGGCTATACCGGCGTCCGACACCTTTGCCACCCTCTTTGGCGAGACGTGTGCGAGTTTGCCGAAACCTAGATTGCTAAATATGGCATTCTGCCGCTCAAGTTTTCCTGTGTTGTGAGGGCATTGCGCCCGAACTTGAAACTCCCTTCGCGTCTCCACACTGTGCAACTTCGCCACTCCATGGCATCAAGGGCGAGGTTGGAGAGCAGGAAAGTAGTCATAGCATATTCAAATGTCTAGTATACCCGGTGATGCTTACTGTCTAGCATACCCGCTGATGTTGAATGTCTGGTATCCGTACCCGCTGATGCTACGATGCGGCTGTGGGGCACCTTCTCTCTCCCGAGAGCCTCTCCGACACGCCACATTTCACCCCTATGCCATTGAATGGCCGCGGATTTGCCAAATGTCTGAGACACTGTGCTGTAGGCCGTCCGTGCTTGTCAGCCTTTCTCGGCTCACGCGCTATCGAGACTGGACAGGGCTGTCAGCTCGAAAAGGCTGATCGAGGAATTCAGCAAAAGCCAAAGCGAGTGTCGTTCCAATCCAATCCAATCCACCTTGACCATGACCTACGCATAGCCCCTATTCTTTGCCTCCGACATGAAGTTGCCGCACGCTTCAGTGTTCTTCGCGCCTCTGTGGTGGTGTGCCATTCTGATCATCGTGCTCCCAACTATATCCAGTCGCCCAGCGAGCACGTCCAGAGGCAAGGAGGTCGCGCAGCAAGTGACTGATGGAAAGTGTGTCATCGATTGTAGCGGCTTGGGAGGGCGCTTCTACAGTGGGTGGTTGGATGCCACGCAACAATCGGCCGACTTCTACAAGGAGCACATTCAGCCAAAGATGCACCGTTTCAAAGTGAGGGCATAGTTGCTTGTGAAGACTCCAGAGGTGCAGCGTGGTCCTGATGAGAGCTCCGTCGACTTCTGAAGCCTAGCAGACTTTGGCAGAGCTCAAAGGAAAATGAGCCTACCGTGATTGGAATGGCGTACGATGAGTGAGCACGGATCTCGCAGACCCGGCCCATGCACGCTTCACACAAGTGACGCTTGACCCTCGCGCTGCACCCTTGACTGCTTCGGCAAAGAAACGGCAAGCCAGTGATGGGCATCAACGCTCAGCCAAAAGGAAATACCAAATTGACCACATTGCATCTGCCGCCTGGAGTGAAGCTCACCTTGAATCGGAAGCAGCATGTCGGGCCGCCCCACTACAAAATTCCTCACTCGCATTGGAGTGGCACAATTGCCACTCCTGAGTCGTCCGCCTCCACCGAGCAAGTCGTGCCTGCAGACGTGAAATTGGTGGACAAGAGGCCTAGGCATGCGAAGGCTCACAGCACCAGGTTCAAAGACGCTGGAATGCAGGTGTCGGCCAATTGGTATCGAGACCATATCAATCCTCGGGTACACACCATGGAGGTGAGTGAAGTCTCCCGACTCAGACATTGCGATCTCTATGAACAAAGGAACGCCCTCCGCTGTGTGACGAATTTGCTCACTGGGGCACCTCTCCGCCCGCTTCATGAAAGGTGCATTCTCGAATGAGGATGTCACCCCTGAAGTTGCCCAAAGCTCTGGAAGCGTTGCCCGACCCGCAGCAGCCGTACAGCATTGTCTCGCTGTACGATTCCGAGGGCAAGCCGTTGCACCGGCTTAAAAGATGGCGGCCTACCTCTGATGCTGAGCCACGTGTACGCCTTCATTTGGCCCCAGGTTTGCACATGCTCGACGGCAATGGCAAACAATACCACAGTAAGGATCCGCCTCCTTATACGCCGGAAGAGCGCGACCCCGGCTATCAGGGCGCAAGTGCATTCGACCCGAGCTGGCGATTTGGCAGCTCACGCCCTTCAGACTCGGGGCGGAGCGCTCATGGCCCTGCAATCGAAAGCTCGCAACACGACGGAAGCCCTACTGCTGTCTCGCATAGCCAGCCAGAATCAAGCTCTTTGGAGCGCACGCATTCTGACGAGGCAGAGGGCAGGACTGGCAGACCCGACCTGAACAGGCCTGCTTCTTCGCAATCAAGGGGATGATGACAACAGGCGGTTGCTCGAACATGATGGAGTTCCTTCTGAACGGTAGCCGCGCATGCAAGTAGCTCCATGCTCTGCAACACCACTCACTGATCTCTCCGGCACGGGGCCGCACAAGGACAAGGCGTTCGCCTCCTCACAACCCAATCTTTTCCTCCTTGGCGCGAAAAGGCCCAAAAACACCATACTTGCCGCAGATAGCGCACTCATCTCGGCATTTGATGGTTAAACTGGATCGAGCCCTGGAGGAGCGCGGCTTGTAGGAGCGGTGAAGGTCGGAGGAAGGGGGTCGAGATTTGGTGGTGGCGGTGCTCTCGCGTGCGTGCCTAGCCAAAATTCAAAATTCACAACCTCCTTCTTTGACTCATAACAAATCACGTGCCTTACACTTGACGCGCCGCGAAGCGCGTTTCAATCTGCGCCACGCAGTTTCGAGTAACACCGGCCGCCCGCGGGCTCGTGATGATGTGCCTGAGACACTTTGCCCTCTCTTTTCCTGCTGTGTGTGCTTAAAGTTCTTACCGCACCGGAATGAGCGGCAATTGAACAACGCGACGGCCGACGTACATACGCGCGGGTCCTTCTATAGCCTGTCTGGTGCGTTGTGTTGTGGAGATGTGATGGTGCCGCGGAATGTCAGACCCTCATCGAGACACCTTTGAACGTTGACGTGGACGCGTGCATCGCGCGTCTAAGCTGCTTCGATCTTGACCACCTTTGGCCGTGCTATAGGTGTCGCTTTCACGACGTAATGAGCTCGAGTTGTGCGTAGACAGAGCCAACATGAATATCCAGCTTGGTCAATCGCCGCTCTGATGCGAGCCATTTGCTGCCAGAACGTACCCACAAACCACCAGCATCGGTAGACTGGACAGGGACCACAGAAGCTCCCTTCTTACTCCGCTGCGTGCGGATCCTTGACGCAAAAGATGCCGGTCTTTGCGGATCGCCTCTGGTCCAGCAAACGACCTGAGCGGAATGCCGGGACCAACGACCTCTCGAGCGAACGCAAGAGCGCACCATATAGCCCTTCCATACCCTCCCGACTGAGTCAAGAGATCAAGATGACACCCTCGCCGGACACGAGCAGCTCATTGCTCCACCTAGCCAGCAACACGCCACTGCCCGATGATTCATCCTCTTCGCTACGCGGCAACTTGACATCGCATACATCACCTCCACTGTACGACTCGAGCTGGCAGGCCAATGGCGAGCAGTCGATGCAATCAGCGGGACGAGACGCCATCGAGGAGGACAGCTACTTGGGGCGTTATGAGGGAGACGAGAGTGCGGATGTGGATGCCAGTGAGGTCTCGGCATTGAGCGACGTAGCGAGGAGATCGCCTCAGGTCGCATCGCAGAGATTCGTCTTCAGACCTAAAGAGCAGACAGAAGGTGAGTATCAGCAACGGCGCGTCAGAAAGCGCTCTGCTTCTCAGAAGAAGAGGATGCTGCTCATCACTCGAAACGCCATTGACCTCCCAGACACGAGCTCGCGTCCTTCATCGTCGACCCCATCCCCGCCTCCGGATCAGCGAAACAGCGTGCCACAAACGCCCTTTACGCGATGGAGTCAGCGTCAACAACCCTCTCAGATGCACACACCACCCACCGCTGCTCATCGCGGGGTTAGCGACGTCACCCCATCAGCCAAACAAAGCATCCTCCGTGGACCAACCACGCCTGCGACGGGTAGTAGCGTCCGTTTTGGGTCTCGCTTGTACGACGATGGAGACGAAAGCAGGATCAGCACGAGCACTCACTCTGCCTCGGGGGCAAGCAATGGTTCGGGCACTGGTCGTCTGAGAAGGTCTTTGGCAGCTTCGCCCACTCCGAGCGACCAAAGCACGGCATCTCCATCCACCATTGCGTCGTACTCTATGACAATGAGAGAGGAGATGGAAAGGGAGGAGGTGGATGACGTGTTGGGACAGTCTTTGTCGAGGAGCGAACCCGTTGTCGAGGACGATCCTTACGAGGATGCCGACGAGGCTGACGTGCACCAGCAATCCAGCCGAAGACCTGTCGAAGAAGACACTTTTGAGCAGTCAAGGCTTCGAATGTTGAAGGATTCGTCGGTGGAGGACAGCAGCTTGGACACTGTGCATCAGCCAGCCGTTGTGGCTCATCCGAGGCTGGAAGCTCTGCAAAGAGGTCTGAACAAAGCCTCGCTTCCCTCTGTACCCTCGTTGAACACGCTCGCTGAGGCTCACGAGGTCTCCAGGACGATTGGAATGGCGAACGAGAGCGCCGAGACACAGCAAAACGCGCTCGACGCCGACTCAAGCCGCAGGTCTTCTTTTTCGAACTCGGATTCTGGCTCTGCTGGGCAGCGTACTCAGCGAGCTTCCTCCAGCCCTACGATCCGCCTGAGGCAAGGCATTCCAGCAGATCCACTGGCTGTCACGCAAGCGTCGCCTGTGCCGCCTCCCAGTCCACCTTCAGCATACCCCTCCACCTTGGAGGATATGTCAGCCTTGATCGATGAGTCGATGGGCGGGATCGACGAAGGCGACGAGTCTTCTCTTCATGGAGTGCCAAGGCCATATGCTCATCGCGGCAGTAGCAGCTCGTCGCCCTCCGTTCTGCCGCAAATAAGTCAGGCTCACCGTGAATCGAACGTGTCTGCGGCTGCTCAACATACAGCGCTAGCGCACCAGCAAGAGCCCCGCCCACGAGCAGTACACGAAGCGCGCGCGAAAGCTAGCTTGGAGGGCAACGCGTCAATCAGCAGATCTTTTGACTCTGGAGAATTCAGCTTCAACCAGTCAATGCTCAACAGGGAAATGGCCAAAGCTACAGAAGCTACCTTCTCTCCCCAAACGCTCACTTCTCAAGCTGCACCACCTGCGGTGACTGGTCGCCGAGCTGTATCGACGTCACCTACAGCTGTGTTGAAGCCTCCCGGAGTCGTGCAGCCGCCCATCCGGCGCACTGTTTCGTCGTCTTCCGCCAGTACGCCAGCAAAGCCGGGCGACCTTTCGCAACAGTCGACTCGTGTTCGCGTCCAGCGGCAGACGCTTGGTGCAGATGATCCTAGCAACAGCGCATCACGTCGCGAGGTCTCGCCACTTGCGACGCCCGGACATGATAGAGCTGCAGTCTACTCTCCCGCACCATCGTCGACGAATGTCAACCGCAGCCACTGGTCCGCTGCCAGCGACTCGCACGACCAGTCTTCACAGCCTACCGCAGGACACGACGTGGATGTCAGCGTCTCTCCTCAGGACATTAGCCGAAGAACCGCAATGTCGTCAATCTTTGCTACTCCGGCTGCATCTGCTGCGGGCTCTGCGCCGGCCTCTGCCAAATCTTTTCACTCGGCACAGGTCGGCTCTACACCACTTTCGACCTCTTCTCAATCACCGGAGGTGAATGGCAGTGCGCACAAAGATGCGAGCGTCTCTAGAACAAGCAGCAGCGGCGAAAGCAGCCGTAGTGATAGCAAGCATGGCGCCCATAATATTGTTGCATCTGGACGACGCACACCGTCTGATCGGCCTAGCAGTGCTGGGTATTCTGATAGTTCACCCGCTGCTGCCAGAGCTGCTAGGAGGCTGGAACCGAAACCCTCAGGAGATTTGCGCTCCTCGTATGCAAAGGCGGGCCCAAGCAAATCCGAGCGCGCCTTGAGCCAGCAGGACTTTGGCGCATGCGAGCCTGTGGACCGACAGCAATCGACAACTCCGCCTTCACCTGCCGAATCGCGCTTTGCAAAGCTGAGTGCTGTAGAGTCTCATCGAGAGAGGTCAGAGGACGAAGCGTCTCCGTCTCCTGGAAACAATGACGAAGTCATGACCCAGTGGATTGCCGGGCAGAAAGAGTTTGATGTGGTGCACAGCAGGAGGAGCTCCCTGCTGCTCAAGCGATGTCGCGCCGCGGAAGAGGAGCGCGACCAACTCATGAGTGCGCTGAAAGACGGAGAAGCAACTAAGAAGCAGGCTCTGGTCGCGGCGCAGACGGCTCAACAGAGCCACGAACACTCACTGGCGACGGTCAGGCTGCTCGAGGCTGAGCGCGGCGCTCACAAGAAACAGCAAGCTCAGCTGGATCATCTCGTGAGCAAGCTGAAGGATCAGTTGGCGGAACATCAAGCTAGGCTACCCGACGTCGAGCGCCTGCAGGCTGAGCTCGCACGCGAACGGCAAGAAAGGGCCATCGAGTACAGGGATATGGAGGTCCGGCTTGCGTTTGCACACGAAGAAGCAAGGCAGTCCAGGGAGTCTTCACCTGCCCATATTCAGGAGGAGCAACGCTTGGCGGGCGCCTTGATGAGTAGAGGCGACTTCGATCTTGCTTTGGAGGAAGCGCGCAAAGAGATCCGAGAGGAGTGCGAGCGAGACGCGGATGTGAAGCTGTATGCCCTGGAACGTGATCACGACGAGGCTGTTGGTCATCTCGAGCAACGCTTGCAAGAGACTGAGGCCCGCAACAGTCAGGAAGAAAGGCTAGCAGACGAATTGCAGGTCGAGCAGCTGCAAGATGAAATAGAGAGGCTGCGAAGCGCCCTAACCGATGCTGAGCAAGCAACCAAAGAGAGAGAAGATGAGGATGCTGCAGCTCTCAGCCGGGTGGAACATGACGCTCATGCGCGAGAACAAAGGATGCAAAGTCAGATGGACAACCTTCATCTTGCATTGCGTAGTGCCAAGCAAGAGTCGGACATTCAAAAGGAGGAGCGTGCGAAGCTCGAAGAAGCTCTGGCAGCCAGGCCTAGCAACAGCGAGGTGGAGGACTTGCGACTCGCCAAGCAAGAAGCCCAGGACCAAATTGAAGCGCTTCGCAAAGAGATCGGCTTACTCTGGGAGAAATTGACGACCGGGGCTGGTGAACGCGACAATCTCTTGCAGCAAAAGAAACACCTTGAACAGGAGCTCAGAAAAGCGGCTACCTCGAATGAGCAGGCCGAAAGCAACGCGCAGTCGCACATCGCAGAATTGGAGCGGCAGGTGGTCAAGCAGGAACATGAGCTGGCTGGCCTAAGGCAGCTTGCCGAGCGCTGCGAAGAAGCCGAAGCTGAGGTCAGGGAGCTAGAAGCTGCACGAAATTCGCTCGTACACGAAGTCGATGCCGCTTTGGAACGCGTGGAGCGGGAAAGGGCAGAATCGCGCAAGCAGATGGAAACGGCCAGTTCTGGCTTCAAAGAGCGCATCGAGAAGCTCAGTGAACAGCTCGTGCAAGTCCAACATGAGCGTAACGAACTCGAGCAGCGCCTGAGAAGCTCGCACCACGATGCAGAGGGTCATACTTCAGAGCATATCGATCGATTACAAGACGTCATCAAGAGGCTGGAGCAGAACTATGACACTGTGCTGGAAGAACGACGATCACTCGAAACGCAGGCAGCGGAGGCTCAGGCCGAGTACGAACAGCTGCAGGTCGCGACTCAGACTGCTAGCGAAAGGTATCAGAACCACCTCGACGAACTGGAAGCCGATGGCAACGAAGCCAGGCAGGAAGTTGTGAGACTGGAGGAAGAGCGAGAGAAGCTGGAGCGCAAGAATTCGGAGCTGCAAGCGAATCACCAGAGCCTATTGCAAAGCTTGACTGAGCTGGAAGACCACAATTCCCAATTAGAGATGCGTTTGCTAGAGGAACAGAAAGCCCATACTGGCTCGATTTCGAGCGACAAAGACCTGCCTGCCCACGTCACGGAGAAAATAGAGCGACTCCACGAAAAACTTCGTCATCTTGAGCGCGAGGCCGGCGATCGTGTCCTTGAGATCAGTAAGCTCAACAAGGCTCGAGAGAAGCTGGAGATCTCCAACAGCAATTTTGCCATTGCACTGTCTGCCAAGCAGCAGGAGCTCAGCCTTTTGAAGCGCACGTACAGCATAAAAGGCACAACAGAGACGCCGGCCCAACGCGCGCCACGCGCTTCCATGCCCAATGTAGCTGCAGCTCCCCAAAGTGAAAGCGAGGAGTCAGAGCTGGAACACAAGCTCCCCCCGCTGGAGCGAGGCTTTGCTCGCGGCACGCGGAGACGCATCACGACGGGGCCAAATGATTCGGAGCAACGTAGAGCAGCTAGAGCAATCGAGGATCAATCTGCAGCGCAAAATGACAGCACTCCCGTAGCTAAGAAGGCGTCGGCTTCTGCGATGGGTCCGCCCACGAGACCAATTGCTCGTCGACCCTCCACAGCTTCTATCCGCACTCCAAGGATGGACTCTTCGCGCGCGGATGATGTCAGCAGGAGTAGCGTGGCTTCAACGACGCCGCAATCAGCCCCAAGATGGGCTGCACGGCAACGATGGTCCAGGGTGGATGAAGCGACACCGCGTGCGCCTTCGAGCGGCTTAGCCACACCGACGTCTTCGGCGAGGACGCAGCGTGCCGCTCGGGGCTCTGACGTAGCCCCTCTTTCGCGCGAAAACCTTTCTCAAGCTTCTCGCCCGTCTCGCCCGTCCAGTCGCGCTTCCTCAATCGCGTCCTCAACCAGCGATGTGCGCCTGACCTCGGCGCCTGGGCCTCGCCCAGCTTCACGCTTCAGCGCGCTTAGTCAGAGCAGGGCCAGTTTTAGCGCTGATGACTCACGAGCCTCTCAGCCTTCGGGGGCCCAGCAGGAACCAAGCGCCAGCGTCAACAGAAGCGAGAGTCAAGCATCCTCGGTGGCCGATGACATAAACGGCAGGAACAGCTACAGGTCCAGCTTTGACGGTCCCATGGATCTTTCGGAGCTGACCGACTCTGTTTCGATGTCTGAGAGAGATAGCGCACAGCCAGTCACGAGGCCTACTGCCCGTCGACCCCGCGCTTCAAGAGTCTCTGTATCTGCTCGGCGCCGCGACTCTTTGCGCGCTCTGGAAGAAGACAAGGAGAATTCGAGAAGGCACGCAAGGCTCTCGAGCGCGCCCAGAGCGCCAACCGAGCCGCCTTCCAGCGTGGGCAGCAACAAGCTGAACAGTGTCCCTGGAATGGGCAGCTTTTTGGAGAAGCGTCGCGCTGTGTTGAAACGACGTCAGTCTGAAATGCACGCCTGAAGCATTCCTTGTTTGGCGAACGACATCTGTGATCGTCCTACTCGGTACCTCTCATCTCATCATGTACTTATGTTGCCTATATACTTCTGTCATGTCATGCAAACCTTGTCGAGGGTACGAGTGCAGCGATGCGTTCACTCCGACGCACGTCAGTCCTGGTGATTGGACGTGTACCGAGATATGGCCAAGAGTGCAGACGATCAACATCAAGGACGTCGTATGGGTGCTGGAAATCGGCAATCTCGAATGACTGACTGAGCAAATCTGCCAGTCGTGAGTGGACGAAAGCCTCACGCGTGGGGTGGAATCGAATCACGAATCAAGAATCGATGTGCGTTCTATATCGATCATGCTCTTCACGCGACTGGGCCGCCTGACGCCGTACGGATCCGCGCGCGCACAGGGAGCGTGTGGAGACCCGCGAATCACGAATGATTGACTGATTGACATGCATGTGCGCGCGTGTTAACTCGTGTCTGCTAAGCAGCAGCAGTAGTCGTGAGTCCAGAGTCCTTCGACGTAGCACATGGCGCGGATCATATTCACGATTGGCTCTCGCTCGCTATCAATGTACGCCTGCTTGCAGTCGATCTCCCTCACCTCAAGCTGCCTTTGCTCTCAGCAGGTCGGAAAGTGTCTGCGAGAAGGGCTCTTTCTCGGCCCCGCAGCTCTACCTCGATCAGACACTCGATTTCTTCGAGATCTAGCCCAGTGCGGAGGGGCATTGTTCGGCGAAGTTGTCTCGAAGAAGTTCTTTCTGTCCCAGGCTGTCACAATGGCTAGCTCGAAGCGCCTGACTAAGGTGAGAGACGTCCGCCATGCTATAGAGGCGCTGGTGGTCTCCCAACTCCATTGGCACCTCGTCAAGGCCGAAGAACCCAGCACCACCTCTCTGGCTGACGCGCGTCGGCCCTTTGTCGACCGGCTGCTTTAGGAGCTTGCTGACCTTCAGGCTACCCCACTTGATGGAATAGGTGAGTGTTGTACATCCGCTCTTACACGTCAAGCTATGAGACTCAGTGCGAAGGCCTCTTCTTTGGGTTCTTCCAGAGGTGATCCCGAATGAGTAAGCTCAGCATCACACTTCAGTCGCTCCAGATGGAGCATAGGATCAAACCGCGTGCCACTCCGCTTCCTTCTTTGCCCAGGGCCAACATTTACAAATGGACTGCCAAGGTTGCGGGTCCGGTGCGTGAGAGTGGAAGACTGCTGTAGGAATGAGCGATGCAAAGCTAGGCTTTTGCTGATCAAAGGCGGGCACCTTGCAGGCGGCAAGTCCGTATGCAGGCGGAACATTTCTGGTGAGTTAGCAGTGGTGGCTCTGGTAGCTCGACGTTCGAGTCAGCAATGATGACAGGAGAGGGCGGGCGAATCGATGTTGCTCACTTCGGTCATCGACGTCTCCTTCGGTACCCTCCACAGATCGAGCTGGAATTCCCGGTCGAGTACCCCTTCAAGAGCCCTCGCTTAAAATTCGCGACGAGGGTCTTCCACCCAAACGTGGATGAAGATGGAAGTGCGTAGATCTCAGACTCCAGTCGGGTGGCACATTTGGTGGTGCAGGATGCAAAGCGGGCGGAACAAGCAGTGTGCATTTGGATCCAAAGGCGGAAGCTGCGCAGCATGCAATGTCAGAGCAAGAAGCCATGGCGATCAAGAGGGAGGGGGAAGGGTGTGCAGAGCGAGACGGCCGCATGGGCGGACATACGAGCTTGAGCAATTATTCTGGCTCACTCACCTCGATCTACACATTCTCTGTAGACCTTTGCGTTGGGCTATTGAAGTCTGAGGCTTGGAAGCCGAGCACGAAAGCATCGACTGGTGAGTCGGACTTGATGGCTGATCTGGCGACACAGCCGATGCCGGAGACACAAGCTACGAGCCCTGCAGCTACGCTTGACAGGCCGAAGCTTATGATACATACACTTGCGCATCTTCGCAGTCCTACTTTCTATACAACAATTGCTTGCAGAGCCCAACCCAGACGACGCTTTGGTCGCCTCCATCGGTATGTACTGCAGCGTCGGAGTGTCCAAGGAATGTTCAACCACGACGCGAATCCTGACATCAAGGCGATTCCTTGATAGCCGAGTTGTACAATACTGATCGAGCCAAATTCAACAAGACCGCTCAAGAGTACACCAAAAAGGTGCGTTGGGAGATGGCTAATGCCAGGACTGAAATGCTGAACTGCCTCAATTGTCCTTGGCATTCTCCTTCCTCGTACGCTGCAGCACGCAACCTGAATTATGGACCTTGCCACTGAGAATGTCCGTTTTGCGGCGCTTCTGCTTCCCTTGTGAAAGACAGCTCTGAAACTCATCAATAACAAATCGTAGAAACGCCCATGACGCTACCATGGCGCACCAAGGGCTCGCTTGTGCACGTCATGGCCCTTGCGTGATTTGCGCACACCAGCAGAACGTGCTGACCCAGGAAAGCGAGGCAAGCATTGCATATATTGTTGTACAGACCTCCGAAAACGCGGTCGATGTGATTGCGAAATGGCAATTGGAGGTAGATGTAGAGAGGCTCCGCGTAGGCGCTGAGCTCAGAACCCGCGCGGGTTCTCTCTCAGGGTGATCCTGGTCCATTTGGGCACCTGCCATCGAGCCACGAGGCATGTGTGAGCAGATCTTAAACAGAGAGACGGAGCCAGCGAGCCAATATCCACCAGCCAGACCATCACGACTGTTTGGACCCATGGCCTCCTCGATTGCGCGAAGGCCCGCTACAGTCCCACTCACTTTGTGCACGCCCTTCCGGTATCCCTTTGCAGACTTTGAAAAGGTCGTGTACTTGTCCCTTGGCAGCATCTCGTGCTCTTTGGGCAGAGCCAGCGCCCTGTCCAAAGCAGCGCATTCCACCCCTGATCTTTGAACCGCAGAGATCACATCGTCCACTGCGCGCAATCGAGATCTGACCCTGGCTTTTCGAGGAGCACTGAGTCTCCAGGGTACTTTCCTGCAAATGAAGAGAGCGCAGAAGATTGAAGGGACACTCAGTCACTTGAACGGGCCCTTTCATTTGGATTGTATGCCGTAACGACCTGCCGCCTATGCGTGCGAAAGAGACTCACCATAAGAGCCCGCCAAGGGCTGGACTGGAAGTCTTGAACGCGCCGAAGCCCAACATTGCGGAGCTGGGTCGTCGAGCAAGTGGCTGAGAAGCGCAAGCTGCTTCTACCTTGCCTTGCGTATTGGTCTTGGGTAGTGTGGTGGCGCTGTGCAGAGAGAAGTTGACTCCTTGATGAAATCAATCGAATGTATGTGGAAGATGCTCGCGCGCGATGTGCTTGCTATAGCTGCTTTCCATTTCTCTTTGAGCGAGGCAAACTTCCGTCACGTGATGCATTTTCTTCGCCTTTCGCGCGCCGCTCAACGCTGTCGGACGCACGCTTTACTCGTCCGCTTCTCCCCCGAGTGGGATCTCCTCATCAATGACCACAGCCCACTCTCATGCAGTCCCTCATCCTTCGCCAATACTAGCGCACGGGGCCGCTTTACTATCCATCTCATCGATCAGCTTCACGCAGTTCTTGTGCATCCAAGCCACAAAGCAGACAGCCAGGCACGCCGAAGTTTTATCACGAATCGGTGAGTTAGTGACATTCTCAGCGATGTGCAGAGGTGGTACGGCGCGAGCGCTATACTAAGCGTGCAGCCCGGCGATGGGTAGAGCGAGACAATGATGAGCGCACATATGCGTTTCAAACCAATTAGCCTAGGAAGAGCCGTCGCGAGCATCCGCGGTCTGTGTGCTCTCGCTCCGACTTTTTCCAAGAACTCTTTCGCCTTTGCATCGAAACAAGGGCACTGTAGTCACCCGTCTCGTCGTAGAGAGCACTTTACAGGTTGCACTCGCCCGTGTGGTACTCGTGATCGTGTCTCGCGCTCGAGATGGATCCTCTGGATTCTACTCGCGAGTGACTTGATCGCGAGGACGATCTTGGGCTGAGAGCGCCTGGCTCTCTCCGGGCAGGTAGGAGCGAGGGTGCCGCGCGGACGAAGACGATACTTTGGTAGCCTGATGTCTTCGCTGGGTTGTGCTTTGCTATTGGGAGTGACAGGTGCTGCGAGCTCCTCATCCGCGGTGAGAAGCAGCTCGTGCTGACAGAGGTCCCACTCGACCTTACCGCGCTGGTGCAGATCATGAGGTCCACCGCACAATTGCTCTCTTCAGGCCGTGTTCTGCCTAAAAACGCGCACCAACTGGCGAAGCTGCAAGCCTCCATTGCTCGCCGACAGAACATCGTCGATGCGAGCATGCGGACCATGACCACGAAGGACGCATCCACACCGTCCGACGCCAAATCAGACGTCAAGCCCACCACGCATTACAGGATCACATTGCGGAGATCTGGAATTGGAATGCCCTCCAAAATACGCAACATACTCTCCTCCATGGGCCTCAATAAGCGTTTGCAGACCATCTATCGATTGCAAAGACCAGAAGAAGCCGGCAACATTCTGGCCGTGAAGGAGCTTGTGCACGTCGATACCGTAAGGAGATTGGATGGAGGCATGGAAGAGCCGCTGCGAAAATATACACAAAGCGGGTTCGAGGCGCTTAGTCAAGAGGAGGTCGATGCTATTTCAGTCAGCAACGAAGATGCCATCTGGGTGGATCAAAAGGGAGAAGTGGTGGATTGGGGTTACAAAGGAAGAAGAGCTCCTCGAGGGTATACGGTGGTCGGTAACCTCGGCGATGAAAAGAGGCATGCCGAAATCAAACAGGGGCTGCAAGGGTCGCAGTGAAGATTGATCCGCAATGTACATCCGTCGTCTTCTCTCCGAACCCGCTTTCCCGAATACAGGGCTACATGTGCAAGCGCCCGAGTCGAATTTGTGTGCCGAGATCGAAGAACAAGAAGGCGTGGTCGTATTATCAGGCTCTGCTGAATGTCTTAGACTGTTGCACCAAGTCTAGCTGCCTTCTTGGCGGCGTAGACCGCGCGCACTTCCTCGCGGATAGCACCCAGGCCTTCAGCCTGGTGCGCAAATTGAGACGCATGCGGTCAATTCCCAGACATTGAGCCATTGTTTGTGATTTTGCAGCGACTCACCACGCATGCACGAGCCGTTTTGCGGATGGTTTCGACCTGTGGAGTGGTTCGCAACCATGAGTCGGCGTGCGGTCGCAATAGACGTCAATCCTCACCTGCTCTGGTGTCCATTCGAGATTGTAGCTGCTTGAGAAAGGTGCCGTGGAGGGATCGTAGCTTGGCTGGCACGCATGAGGCAGCAGCGGCATGTATATCATCTTGCACGGTTTTGTAGCTTGAGGCTGATGTCCTGCGCAAGCGTTTGAATGAGACTCGATCAGCGCCAGATCAAGCTTGATGTGACTTCTGTTCGGGAGACATACTATGATTGTAGCGGATACCATCTCGCTCGTACGTCCTCCCTTGCTCTTCGGTCCTTTGATCTTCTGCAATAGGCTCGGCATCCAGAACTTGCGCGTATCGGCCGGCAAATCGACTCGCAATCTCCTCTGCGGACAGCTCCTTTGGCTTGTCTTCGCCTTTCTCGTTCTTCTCTGTGGGCCAATCCGGTAGAGATGGCATGCTCGCACGCGGAGTGACGCGGTAACCCTTCTCCGCCCCAAATTCTTGAATTCGTTCGAGTGCTGAGCCTTTTTGCACATCGCTGCTAAAGTCTCCTAGAAGCATGATGTCGACGTCCCTGCCTGGTCGACAGAAAGTGTAGATTGGCAAATTGTTGCTCATTCCTGCGTCGACAAGGTGAATCCTTGGCGAGTTCTGCACGGGTAAAAGTTGCTGAGGTGAGGAAGCAAGGTAGAAGGCTGATTGAGAGCATTGGAGCTAGCCTCACCTCGAAGCCGTTTCCTCGGCCCTCTTGCACATCTGCCCCGAAAAAAGGATTGGCCTCGTTTTGAGCATGGACAGGGTGATGCGACTGCAGACGCTCAGCCTTCTCCGGGTTTTTCTCGACCCACTCGTCGGCTTCTTGACGAATCTTGTTGCCAATGGCACCCTTTGGAAGATTTCGACTGATAATGATTCGGGATTGGCCATGTGAGAGTAAGTGGAGAGCTATGTGCGAAGTGATGGGACAAGCGCAAAGAAAACGTACTAGATGGTACCTAGCCAGGCGGCAAGAGGGCCGGCTGGTGCGCTCGTCGCAAGTCCCAGCAGCAGTGAAATGCTCCTCTCGGGGCACTTCTGCGTGCTGATTCCTTTGTCAAACTGCGTGGCTCACGTCGTGCGGGATTAGCTGCGCTGTGAAGCATTGCTTGGGAAGACCAGGCTCACCTTGCGGCCAAAGGACCATGTCGGGACCCAGCCTTCGAGCTCATCAGAGCCTGCACGCGCCATGGCAGTCAGCTCAGGGTCATACTTGTCTGTATGAGCGTGATTGCCGTTGCGTACACACCAAACTCGCAGGGGCTGATCTCGAACCACTAGAGGTGAGGTCGCCAGAATCATACGAAGTCAACCAGCCGCATCCAGGTCAACTCCACGAACGGCCAGACTCACTTGCCACCAAGCATGAGGATCCTTGTGCACTGAGCTAGTGTGATCAGAATGACCTCCAAAAGCTTCCGTCGGCGATTTCCAATCCTGTAAACAGCATGCACCGTGTCAGTATAGGGATTCGACTCGCAAGCTTGCGCACAGCAGCTCACTTTCCAAGGGCGCTCGTGTCGGACGGCTGTGAAGAGGGGCATGGGAGACAGTCCCTTGTCGATGCCCATTCGTTCGTAGCATCTAGACCATTGAAACCACTCTTTTTTGAGGGCGACTGGGGTGTCCTGTTTGGTGTCCGAGTCTGGTCTTTGCGTGCGTCTGTTGGGAGGCGTAGGATATCCTTCCTCGAGGGTCGGAGGGTGCACGGGAGAGAAGAAGATGTGGCTGGTGACCAGTGTTCCGTACAAATCCAGCGGTCCAGGGTGCAACCCGAGCTTCATCTTGGAAAGAAGCGGCGCCAGCTGGAAGTACACGCCGTTTGCGCTCCTTGCGATCGCATCGATTGCGCCCATCGAGAGCGGATGGCGACTCGAAGTGGCCTTGAAGTGGTCCAACAGCCAAGGGGTGTCTAGAGCAGCAAAGGTGAAGAGCGATCCTAACGACCAACAGCTACCGCTCACACCTGCTACATAGGCACAAAGGTCGAACAGTCCACCAACATCTTGTCCAGCTGGAGGTTCCTGCATCTCCTCGATGAAAGAGAGGAAGCCTCTGCGGGTTGTAGGCACTGCGTGAGCAGAAGTGCTGAGTTTACTTGATTGTTGCGAGCCTTGCTCACAGATTGGCCCTGTATCCACCTCCGCTACCGCCCAGAGCAACGACGGGCACATCTTCTGGATGAATCTCTTCCGACTCATCTAGCTGCAAAATCCGTCTGAGCGCCCCTGATGATGCGATCCATGCTTTTCGAGCGGCAAGAGCTGCCGCTTCTTGCTGGCCCAATGTGTTCTCCCGGCTGTATCAGATGAACTGGCTGTGAGCCTCAGAGGAGTGCGGAGCGGGCAGACACGAAGCCGCTGCGAGCGCAAAGTCTCACCGCAGATGCGCGTCCTTCAGAAGCTCGGGGTACGTTGTAGTGTCTGACAAATCTTGGACAACCTGCACGCGATAGCGGTGGTCAAGCAGCGCTATGAATGCTGCCTCCTATCCACACGAGAAGCAGACTGCCTCGCCTCACCTCTTTGTGCAAGCGCAAGAGGTCGCTAAACCTGTGACTCTTTCCCCTCATCTTGGTGCTCAGATTCTTTAGACCCTTGGTCACGGAGCTCAAAAGCCCAGCATGGTCCGAGTCTTCTTTGTGCTCTTCCTCACCCTTTGCTGAGTCAGCGTCCTTTGGCTCATGATCGCTCAAGTCGTCTTGGGTGTCGCTGTGTCCCCATGGCCACAGATTGTGACTGTGAGGCTTCTCGTGCACTTCCTTCAAACCAGTATCGCTGGCCGTGACGCTGCCATCCACGGCAGTGGTATGAGCTTCCGCGACTTGTGCTGCCATTCCGACTTCAGAAGGACTACGGACTCTGTTGGGGGAAGGTGAAGCGGTTGAGAGTCATTGGTTCTACCTGTCATCGCGATGGAGTACATTCAGTGTGCAGTGATGTCTTGCAACTTGTGCCCGTCCTCATGCTGACCCCAAGTCGCCTGCCTACTTTCGCAAGTCCGTGCGGTAACGGAGCCCATGATGGCCATGCCGAGAATAGCGCATGCAAAGCGCTCTCGGCGCCGCCTCTCTTGGCCACTCGTGATTGCTACAGTCACTGATGGGTTCCGAGTGGTCGACCTCGATTCTGGATTGGGTCGGCGTCAGTGATCAAGCCGGTTCAAGACATACGTATGTGTGCGAGCGCACGTGCTCTGACCACCAGCGACCGTTCCCGCGTTTGCTTGTCGAGCAGCTAGACATTCTTGGTTGCGAGCGAGACCAAGGCGTATAGGTGCGCTTACTGATACCCTTCGATCAAGAGCGGTTGAGTAGAGCGAGCATATCTGACCGTCTAGCTCTACTGTGATGCCCATCTACTCACGCTCACCGAGCAGAATGGTGAGTATTGGTTGCTGGACCGCTGCCACACGCCCTCGGATCAACTGACTCCCCATCCAGCAGTCAGACCGAGTGCATATTCGTGTGGAGGCACGGGTGCGTGGGGCCCTTGCAGAGCTCGCGTCTAGAATAGCGTGTCTCGTAGTCAATGAAGACGCTTGTCATGGATTGGGATCGCCGTACAGAGGCCGACGTCAGAGAAGCAAACAAAGCCTTTTGTTGCAACAGGTGTTTGGGCTTGGGGAAAGAAAGCATCGCCTACCGGTGGTATAGCTCTTGTGTCTCCGACCCTGCTGGGCGGTGCGCTTGATCGAAGTGGTCTTGCGAATCACGTGGTATTTCAATGCTCGCGCGCCAGCAGCGGAGACGGCACGGGTCACACGATCAAGAAAGGCGGCTAGCCCGAAAGAGTAGCCCAGATCGAGGAACAACTCCCATCCGGTTGCGGTCATTTCGCAGCGCATGCGCTCTCCTTTCTCTCCCCACTTGAGTGACCAGGGCATTCACTGATTGTGCCGGTACAGATGGCAGCCTGATCCATGAGGCGCTATAGCAAGTCAAAGTAGTAGTTGTGCAGTTCAACCAAGGCCTTTTTTGCTGTAAGGCCAACGAGGCTCTCGAGCCATCCGACAAGCGGCGCCATCCGCTCTCGCCTCACACTTCATCCTCGCTTTCAACGTCATCCGCTGTTCAGCCCAGTTTGCTCTGTCGATCCTGCCCGAACGTGCTTACAATGCCCAACGCCGCATCTCTCGATACCGAGTCAGCCCCTCTGCTGGCTCAATCGGACGCGTCCCAACCCAATGTTGAAGCTGGTCATCTCTCTCCCACCACGGCCCTCCATCCCACCACCATTCTGGCCCTTACAATCCGACTGCAAAAGCTTCTAAACGACTTCATCACTTTCGAGTTGTCGGAGGACAGAATTACGGACAATGAAGGGATCATCGAGCCTGCTGTGGTGGACACTTTTCTGAGAGCGAGTGGGGATCTGCCCGAAGCGGTGCCGTTCGCCCTGCTGAGAGCCAGAAGGAATTTGAACAGGTGAGGTGGTGGGAATGTAAGCTGCACATGCTCATCCCAAGCACCCATTCACTGAGCATCTCTCGTTTCGATGCGCAGAGATGCCTCCTCTCATCGCTCGCCAGAACTATCGGCATTGAGAGCACTGGCTTCGGAAGTGCTAGCGACTCGCGTAGTGGCTCGTCTCGAGTCAGATTATCATGCCAAACGCGATAGGGCGGCGCAACAAGCTGCTACCCAGGCCGGTGTAGAGGGTCAGCCCGCTATACCCCTCGATGAGCCTGCCGCTGGGCCTTATGCCTCCGAGCAGTCTCATCTTTGCATCAGCAAGCGTTTCGTCACGCTCGAGGATGATGGGGACGAGACGCTGCCTACCAGTGCGCTCGAAGAAGCAGCAGACCAAAATTGGTGAGCGTCGAGCAGTCGCTTGAAGCGCTGAGCTGAAGGACCGCTCGCGTCACCTTGATGCGTGTGTGCTACCTATTGACCTTCATCTGCGACTGTTCCATGAAACAGCGTCATTTTCCTAGCCTCGGCCCCAGCGAGGCATTGTGCAGAGGCTCTGTGGGCGGGTCACTTGGTCCAGTCGTACGCTCAAGATGGCAGCGTACATTTCGTACCGTACCACAGTGTGGAGTCGGGCTCCTTCCTGACTCACTTGGATCCTGCGCGGCTAGCAGTGCCAAGGAATGCCTACTATACCTCGATCAGCATGCATATGGTTCTGCTCTTCCTCTACACCATGACGACGCTCGAGTACAATGGATTTGATTTCTGGGAAGGAGCCTTCTGGGTCTTTGCAGCTTCATACGTGCTCGAGGATCTCGTCCGTTGGATCAAGATACGAGGGATCGATAATCTCAGCTTTTGGTTGATCGTGGATCTCTTGACCGACGTGGTCTTTGTCACCTCTTTCTTCCTACGCGTATCGGGTTGGGTCAATCACGGCGATCATAGGAGCGAGCTGCAACTTTCGGGCTTTAGACTATTAGCATGCGCTGCTCCTCTGCTCTGGATGAGTCTTCTCAAGTGGGGCGACGGTCTGAGGTACTTGGGGGTCATCCAGATCGTCCTACTCAGAATGCTGAGAGAGACGGCTGCTTTCTTCGTCTTGCTGGGCCTGACCGCCATCGGCTTCGCCCAGTGTTTGTTCGCCCTTGACGCGGCTGATGGGAGACGAGTGGACAATAGCATTTCGCTTGTTGCTAACATACTCGCTAGGGCTCCCCTTGGTGACGCTTCATGGGACACTTTCGACTCTGAGCAATTTGGCCAGCCGTATGGACTCATCATGTTCTACCTTTACGTCTTCACTCAGGTGAGTTGTAGGCTCCGAAGGGGAGACGCGTCGTTGGCCATTCGTCTCGCTGACGGGTTCACCGCACCTCCATCCACAGGTGCTGCTATTGACCAACATCCTAATTGCGTTTTTTGGTCAAGCATATGGAGATGTGGTGGAGACGGCAGACGACTTGTTTGCTGCGTACTTTGCGCAAAAGGTTGTAGGAACGATTCGAGCCCCTGACCAATATGTCTATCTTCCGCCCTTCAATCTGGTAGAGGCGTTCCTGATAGCTCCTCTGGAACACATCCTTTCCTCGAGATCCTACGCCGCTCTCAATCGAGCTGTGCAGAGCACGATATATGCGCCCGCGCTGCTCGTCATCGCGCTCTACGAGAGCAGGTTCGACTCGAAGCAGATGAGAAGGATCAAGCTTGAAATGCTCGATAGGGTTCCCGGCCTGCACCTGGGCGAACGAGAGGGAATGGAGAGGGTCAAGGGAACGGCTGAAGACCCCGAAATCAGCGATTGGGATCGCAGCGCTGCAAGCACTTCGCGCGAAGGAGTAGAAGAGCGTGCTCCCATTGTGCTTGCGAGAACTGCATACAAGGAGTTACTCGGCAAGCTGCCCAAAATACGCAAGGAAGACAATGACGAGGCGCAAGAAGAGGAGACGAAGGAACAGCGCGCGGACAGCTCGAGCGGGGCCAAAAACCTACCTGACGACGCGCTCAAACTCATCCTGGCTGAACTTCAGGCTTTGAGAAAGGAAGTGGAGGAGCTGAAGAGATCGACGGCTAATGGTTTGACTGGAGCTGAGCAAGTCAAACAGGAAGATTGAGCTTTGCGTGGATGAGACCGCCGTTCATTGGGGCGACGCTCGCTACTGATCCGGGGCTTAGACGTAAAAGATCGATTGCTACTGGCTCAGCTGGAGGCGGGCGAGTCAAACCGGAAGATCAAATTTTGCGTGGATCAACAGTCGCCTTCTGAGGCGACGCTTGCTCCTGCCTCGGGCTGTACGCACACGCTCGACCTGGCCTGAAAAGGCAAGCTCGGTAATTCGGATGGAGAGCTTTTGCGAATTCAGCTGCTGCTGCGCATCCCACTCACAAATTTCCCCTGCAAACGGGACTGCTACTTTCGGTCAATGTTCATGCGATCAAATGTCCACACGCGTTTTTCTGTCGCATTGCTGTTGAGCAGCTGGACAGAGAATGTACGCTCTCACAGTGAAGGCTTGAAGCACAGTGCTCTTGGACAGCCATGATTTCCCTGTTCGATTGATGAGCGATGATGAGACACCTTCCCGTCGTCTGCAGCGGTCGAATAGAAGGGGCACAAGTGGAGGTTTGGCGCGTGCGTGCGCTAAAAAGGCGCCACGCCCACGCTGCTGGTGCGAGTACTCGCGCGGGCTTGGATGCAATCCTCGCGTTCAGCCGCGTTTGGTTTCTGGACAACGAGACTACCATCACAACAGTCGCGAAGAGGTACATGCACGCTGCCCAGCTTGCTCGCATCCCATCGAGGCTCGTCATTCGTGATTTTGTTTGAGATTCGAGGCTCACGCCTTTCACAGCATCGTCTTCAACGCACGGCCAGCAAGATGACGGACGCCGATCGTGTAGACGCTTCGACGTCTTCGAGCGCCTCGAGCACGACCAGCTACTTTCCGATACCTCGATGGGTTGCTCAGATATTCATGCATTTCCCCTTGGTCCTGCACGACTCTGCCAAAGTCTACGACCCGCACTCGCAAGTCCTACCAGTGTACGGCGTTCCCAGCTCTTCCTCTTCTTCTCCTTCCACCTCCAGCGACCAGACCGAAGTCGAGCAGCAAGAATCGTTCGCTGGGACTTTGTACGTAAAACGTTGGCACCCCAGACCTAGACATGGTAGAGATGGTAAGAGAGAGGACAAAAGAGGCTGGGCTAGCTCGGATGTGGATTGCTTGGAGGCGCAAATGCTGCTCTTGGCTACGCAGAGATCATTTCACGTCATGTACTTGGAGGATGAGGTGGATGAAAGCTGGGGACCTGGCGGTGAGTACATCCGAGGGCGCACGTCTACCGCATCGAGAAGCTTGCGCGCGTGTGTGGCTGCAGACTGGCTGTATGCTCTTCCAATGAGGTCTGCTGAGTCCGCAACACCTTCTCTTCTTTTTCACTTGCTTCGTCTAGGCGAATTACCTTTTCTGCAAACTTCTACAGGTGGTTTAATCAGCAAGAAAGATGTCAGGAACCATCTTGCCCCTTATTTGCCTCATCAAGCCAGCGCGCAGGAAGCGAGTGCGACGCTTTCCGAAAAAGAGATGCTTGCGAGTGGATCTTCGGCTGCGCCGTACGAGGACGCAGCGACGCTGCACGAATCGCACGCTTGGGCATCGCTCATTACGAGGCAAATCTTAGCTGGTGTTGTAAGTGACGCGAGAGATGACCGTACGAATGCACAAAGCTTTGGATGGCGCAGCTCACAGATCACTTGAAATTCGTCCATCCAGCTCCTTCTTCAACTCCACACCCGAGCTCTCGCACCTCCCAAACCAAAGTCCCACGGCTTCCTCTCTGCACCTCTGCACTCCCGTCTGGCCCACAATCGACGTCGTCTCCTTCAACGAAGAATATACAGCCTATCCAATAGCGACGCTTCTTCCACTTCTTTCCCTTTAAGCAGAGTGCCAGGATGGGGAATGAATCTGAGCTTGGATGGATTGCTGGGATCGGTAGCGCTACCTGGCGAAGAAGAGGATGAGGCAGAACAGGACGGACAGAGAGCGGCGTCCCGCGGAACAGAGCTGAGCCTGCTGGAGGAGAGCCGAGTGTTTAGCAGGGCGAGCGAGGGGATTAGAGCTGTTGCCCAGAGATTCGAGCAGCAGGACGATCGAGATGCGGCGCAACGAGTTGGCAAAGCACGCGAGAGCAGAGATGCGCCGATCAGATGGTTCTTGGGCGCCAAGTGAGTGGACTCGGACTGGGGGCGGCAAAGATTGCTCCAAAATATCAACATCATGAGCGCTCTCTTTTGTTTTTGAAAACTGCAGATGCGCGACGCCATTGGATTGCGCGCTCTTTGCATGCCTGCACACCATCCTCTCTCTGCCCACATTCGCACCCAGAAGCAGCGCTCATGACCAAGCAGCCCGCTTTGTTGAGCGGCAAGAGCAGGATAAGGCACAGGCGGATCTGAGAAAGACGATAGAGGATCACCCGGTGCTTTTGAGATGGACGAGAAGCGTTTGGAAAGAGAAGGTGAAGCCTTTGGGAGGATGACTCAGATTGGTTGGTGTAGCGAAGCCTGACTGTACGTTTAATCTGCATGTTTGCGGAATGGACCGCATCATCATGAAAACTCCCCCC